TAACACCCTAACACCCTAACACCCTAACACCCTAACACCCTAACACACCCTAACACCCTAACACCCAACACCCTAACACCCAAACACCCTAACCCACACCTAACACCCTAACCCCAAACACCCAACCCCACCCTAACACCAACACCCTAACACCCTAACACCCTAACACCCTAACACCCTAACACCCTAACACACCCTAACACCCTAACACCCTAACACCCTAACACCCTAACACCCTAACACCCTAACACCCTAACACCCTAACACCCTAACACCCTAACACCCTAACACCCTAACACCCTAACACCCTAACACCCTAACACCCTAACACCCTAACACCCTAACACCCTAACACCCTAACACCCTAACACCCTAACACCCTAACACCCTAACACCCTAACACCCTAACACCCTAACACCCTAACACCCTAACACCCTAACACCCTAACACCCTAACACCCTAACACCCTAACACCCTAACACCCTAACACCCTAACACCCTAACACCCTAACACCCTAACACCCTAACACCCTAACACCCTAACACCCTAACACCCTAACACCCTAACACCCTAACACCCTAACACCCTAAACACCCTAACACCACCCTAACACCCTAACACCCTAACACCCTAACACCCTAACACCCTAACACCCTAACACCCTAACACCCCTAACACCCTAACACCCTAACACCCTAACACCCTAACACCCTAACACCCTAACACCCTAACACCCTAACACCCTAACACCCTAACACCCTAACACCCTAACACCCTAACACCCTAACACCCTAACACCCTAACACCCTAACACCCTAACACCCTAACACCCTAACACCCTAACACCCTAACACCCTAACACCCTAACACCCTAACACCCTAACACCCTAACACCCTAACACCCTAACACCCTAACACCCTAACACCCTAACACCCTAACACCCTAACACCCTAACACCCTAACACCCCTAACACCCTAACACCCTAACACCCTAACACCCTAACACCCTAACACCCTAACACCCTAACACCCTAACACCCTAACACCCTAACACCCTAACACCCTAACACCCTAACACCCTAACACCCTAACACCCTAACACCCTAACACCCTAACACCCTAACACCCTAACACCCTAACACCCTAACACCCTAACACCCTAACACCCTAACACCCTAACACCCTAACACCCTAACACCCTAACACCCTAACACCCTAACACCCTAACACCCTAACACCCTAACACCCTAACACCCTAACACCCTAACACCCTAACACCCTAACACCCTAACACCCTAACACCCTAACACCCTAACACCCTAACACCCTAACACCCTAACACCCTAACACCCTAACACCCTAACACCCTAACACCCTAACACCCTAACACCCTAACACCCTAACACCCTAACACCCTAACACCCTAACACCCTAACACCCTAACACCCTAACACCCTAACACCCTAACACCCTAACACCCTAACACCCTAACACCCTAACACCCTAACACCCTAACACCCTAACACCCTAACACCCTAACACCCTAACACCCTAACACCCTAACACCCTAACACCCTAACACCCTAACACCCTAACACCCTAACACCCTAACACCCTAACACCCTAACACCCTAACACCCTAACACCCTAACACCCTAACACCCTAACACCCTAACACCCTAACACCCTAACACCCTAACACCCTAACACCCTAACACCCTAACACCCTAACACCCTAACACCCTAACACCCTAACACCCTAACACCCTAACACCCTAACACCCTAACACCCTAACACCCTAACACCCTAACACCCTAACACCCTAACACCCTAACACCCTAACACCCTAACACCCTAACACCCTAACACCCTAACACCCTAACACCCTAACACCCTAACACCCTAACACCCTAACACCCTAACACCCTAACACCCTAACACCCTAACACCCTAATAAAGAATATTTCGCTAGAGTTCGTTCTTATTAGTATATAATATATAGATTTATTAAATATAGCAATTAAAGCAAAATTTATTACTTTTGCCTTACAAATTTATACTAATTCTGAGATAATACGCAAAGGAAGATTAATCTATTGTGAAATAAAGCAGACAATTTTGGTTATATATTTTAGCCTGCATCTGATAAAAAAAGACAAGATGCGCATTGATCTCCTTGTATTGATTTTAAATATATAACTTTTTCTTGATGCAATCAATTTTATAATTGTAATTGCCTTTGTGAATACAATGGTAATATCACAAAAAAACCCGGTAAGTTATTATGATTCGAATTGCTTTGGGCAGTTAGCATCTGATTAGAATATCTTTATTTCACCATAAGTTCATATTGGGCATAGCTTTATTTTAGATTAATTTTAGCTTGGGGTTAGAATTCCTACCTAAGCCATTTTTAGGTTCTTTTTGAGAAGATCAAACGGTAGCCAATAGGAAGGGTTTTTTGTCTGGTACATGTCAAAATCATATGGTTTTCCAATGGATTTTCATATGCCAAGTGACTTTAAATAAATATAAAGTCATGGTGATAAATATTATTGGGTGTCATTGAAAATTAATTTTAATTATTATGCTTGTTTTGCATATTTTTCACCTACATTGCGAGGAAAAATGCGATCTTTAAGACTAAATCTTTCTGGTCTGCTCAAAAACTGCCCTAACTGGGCTATTATAAGAAATTAGTATATATTTTAACAAGAATGTCTATTATTTGGAGGAGAAGATGATTTCAATCCATTCAAATTATCAGTATGATTCAATTTGGATAGAACTAATAAAATAAATTAGTCTCATGCTTAAAGCTTACTCATATTGCCATAACATAATCTTAATGGAATACCCTAATTGCTGGATATTAATAAAAATCTTTTATGATATTTAGTTAAAAAGGGCAATTTAAGGCTTTATAAATCCGCAGATTATAACGCAATGATCCTAGTAAGAGCATTAAGATTACATTTGATGGGGTACGTAAATGGATAAGACTATGAAATTGAAGTTGTATGATTAAAAATGCAAAACAAAAAAAAACTCGGTAATTGGCTCTAATCTTCTTCAAATTTATTTCATATGTAGAAAAGGGAAATTTACATAGCAGCAGACGGGATTAGAATAACTATTACAAGCTTGATTTTATTTAAGAAAAACTGTTGAACTTAATTTTTAATAAAAATTGCTTTATTTGTACTTAATAAATCATAAAAATTGTTTTTACATGTACAACTTACACGTTAGCGCTTTCTTCAGCTAGCATATATTCTTCTGCAATTTCCATCCTAGTTTTATCATCTAATTTCATAACGGAATGATTAATAGTGACTACTTCAGTTTTTCCAGATGATGGAGCTATTTCACTTTCTTTTTTCATTTCATATTTTCCGCTTGCAAATTTCAGGTTTCTTTTTGCTAATGAGTCAGCCCTCACAGCAGACGTCAGCATAAATCTGAATAACTGGGCAATATTTGGTGGCTGTGGCCTTATCAATAGTCCAGGGAATCTTTTGGCTTGCAAAGCAAGCCCTAAGCCGACCATGACCGCTCATCCCACAACTTTAACAATCACAAGTTCTAAATAGAATTTATTGATCCCAGATGAGATACTTGTCAAAAGGACTGATCAGCAAACACAACATATAGCGTCTGCACCACTACAGATTGCCTTTGCGAAGGTTTCCCACAGCAACTTTGAGCTCTGACGAGTAGCCTAAAGGTGGCAGTCAACTCCAAGTTGCTGCGGGAAACCCTCGCAAAGGTAATCAATAGCGGTTCAAACTCTATAATAAAATAATCTGCCACATATTCATTCTGTCATAGTTAAAAGGCGGTTTTTTGACGTTGTACACAATAAATACAATAATTAAACTTAAATAGATAAATCCCTGCGCAGTTTTACTATAAATAGAAATTGCTTTGTTCAAAGCGATGTATATGACTTGCACAGCGCTCTTAATAGTTAAATATTCAGGCTGACATCTTAAATTTTGTTCTAGCTTAAGATTGGTCCACATAGGCCTTAGCAAAATAGAGATAGGAAGATATAACAGCAGCACAAAAATGCTGACTATTGCATAACCGATATGAGTGCCCTGCCAGCAAAACTCATGGCAATCAATATCCATATAGCTTGTGTCTAAATCACTGCCAATTGATTTTGAGCATTTAAATACACTTAAAAGAATATTGATAATTGCTATAAAAAATGTATTTCCAAGGAGCGGAATTACGATCTCTCTGTATTTAAGTAGCCACCTAACCACGAAAAGTTTATTTATCCATTCTTGATTTCTCATAAAGGAAACGAGGCAATTTATAAACCAAAAGCAAATGATTCCCAGCATAATATCTAGCCACAGTCAATATGTTGAGCCCTTCATACTTGTGAACTGCTCAACACTGATATTAGACAAGCTTCCTAGATACTCTGTAATAGGGTCTTTTTCAAACTTTGGACCTATGTTAATATATTGAAAGGCCTCTACTATCATCGTAAACATTGCAAACGAGTCAGCGAATTGGATTTCTCTTTTATCTGTTAGCTTTGGGTAAGGGTTCGGAAAGCCTCGCTTCCACATAATGAAAGTCATGATAAAACTGATTAAAGCTAATGAGAAGCAAATAGTAGCAAATGTAGCAATCCCTTTACTCCCCCTTCGTGAGCCAACAAAAAAACTTGTTCGTTCACGGAGGAGGGTTAAATTTTTTTTTAAAAAAAAAATTATATATAAATTTAAAAAAAATCCTAATTCACAAAAATTCGATAGCAAATATTAATTTAATTTATAAATTTTATGTTTTAAAACGCAATTTGTTTAAATTAAACAGAATTAGCATTAGATATGTAATACTAATTATCACTTATATCAAAATTTTATCATAAAAATTCTTCTATTTAACAAATGTTTGTTCGCTCACGGAGGGGTTTTTGAGCAAAAATAGGGATTTTTTCTAATGGCTTTGTTCGCTCACGGAGGGGAAGGGAGTTAGTGGAATCTTCAGATAAGGATTGATCGAACGGACAGTCTGAATTTAGAGCAATAGTATCGCTTGGGACATTATATGAAGGCCCAGGCCATATTATATTTGAGCTGATTTGTATTGGAGTGCTTGAAGTGGGTATATAATACCCAGGAACACTTTCATTATAAACTCCTGTCTGATTGCTTGCATAAAAATTGTTGATGCTTACTCCCCCTCCGTGGGTGAACAAAAAACGTTTGTTCACTCATGGAGGGGGTTAAATTTTTTTTAAAAAAAACACATTATATATAAAATTGTTTTTTTTTCCAAAATCCTATTTGCAAAAATTGAAGCAAATATTAATTTTAATTTATAAAATTTATGTTTTAAAACGCAATTTGTTTAAAATTAAACAGAATTAGCTCGAAATTTCATTATACTAATAATCACTTATATATCAAATATTTGTCATAAAAAAATGTTTCTATTAAAAAAAATTTTTGTTTACTCGCGGAGGATGGGTTTTCGAGCAAAAAATAGGGATTTTTCTAATGGTTCTGTTCACTCACGGGGGGGAGTTAGAATCATATAGCTCCGATCATTTGAGGTAGAGTCTATTGCAATTGTTCCAGAAGCTCCAGTAATTCTTTGTGCCCGAGTGGATTTTATTAAAACTGCTGCATTTTCGAAATCTTCCCCTTTTTTAATTGCAAAATCAACTCCGTATGCCGCTAACAAAGTCTGATCAAAGTGAGAACCTTTAAAGCTGGGAGAGCTTCCTCAGTAGCTAGCCATGCTATTTTTGATTTCATTTCCGAACTCGCCAGTGTACTCCACAGCACTCACGCTTATACACCCACATAAAAGTTCCAGTAGTTTTGTCAAATATTCTTGCACATAATTTTGTATGATAGCTTGGCCTCCAGTTTTTGACGAAAGGACCACAACAGCATCTCCTTTTCGCATTCCGACGTCATAGAGACCTTCAACTGCCTGATAGCTTGAACTTGCTCCTTGAAAAGTGATAAAAATCCTCACCTTAGTGTCCTTAACGGCTTGAAAAACATATCGATAATTTTCGAGCATTGTCCTCGCATAATTTTGTGGCAGGATTCTCTTAGTTTCATCGTTTGCGATTGTGATGCCAACTTTAGTAGCTTCGCTTACAAAAGTATTATACATAGCTATGTTTGTGCTGAGATTAGCATACACAACATTTACATTGTTTCACCCAAAAATTTGACAAAGTTTTACTAAAACTACAGCATTGTAGCTGCCACTTGGCACAACCCTCATAAACTCAGGATACAACGTTTTGTTGGAAAGGAGGGGGCTTGTAGCTGTATCGACATGTGCCATAGAAATATTCCATTCCCGTAAGAGAAGCATTACACCAATATCCGCTGCATAGTAATCAGACCCGAGAAAGAACAAGCCCAGCTCATCTTTCAAGGGAGTATAACATGTGACAGCTTTATCATGAATAAATACACTGGTCCCACAGCTGTTCTCTGTAAAAACAATTTTGAAATTTTCCAGAATCAAAGAGCTGTTATTGATTCAGTCTCTGGCAAAAAAATTACCTTGCGATATGATTGGCTGATAAGAGTTGTAGGTTCCATCCGGCTCATTTCCTGAGCTAGTTAGAGACATTATTATAGGTGCCTTCGATATTGAAGGCTTTGCAGTTGAATTGCCAGGATAAATAATTTGACTAGATAAAGAAATTTGATTTTTTGTCACAGTCCCAACTTTAACCTTCAAAGAATTGACGATATTCACCAAAGAATAAATTGGAAACCTATAATGATTATCTGTATGCGCATCCATGTACTGTTTTAATGATCTGCTATCAATATTAGGGCCTTGGCTGCTTGAAAAAGTATTAATATATTCAATTACCAAACTTGTGAAAGCTTTAACAGTGAGCGCTTCATATTCAAGATAAGATGCTGACATTTCAAGACCTTGCTCAACTAAGTACAAAAGCCCGTCATTGGTCCCTCCTCATATTCCTTGACTTCAAATCAAAACGCTTGCACCTGCTTTATAAATTTTTTTATTTATTAAAGAGGTTACGAAAATGTCAATATAGCTCCCTTCACAAAACATTATAAAATTTTGCATCCCATTTGGTTTTAATAGCCTACCTGCTATATTATCAGTACTTTCTGAGCTTAGAGTGTCTGTAAGTGATACTTTTAATTTCACTTTTTTCAAGAAGTCTTCCTCAAAGCTATTTGAAATTTTTATGGAATCGAGCGTGTTCGTGCTTATCATAGCAATTTGGCTTAATCCTAAATAGTTTAAAAATTCCTCAATAGCTGAGAGCTGGCCTTCAAAAGCAGTATGCAAATGATATTGTCATGCTCCTGTAGGGATGATGTTTGAATCTAAGCTAAGATTCAATATATGATTTTCTTCTGTGGCTGCTAATAAATATTGACTCAAATTGATATCATAAGTAGCATCAATAACCACAGGGAGGTCTCCTCGAAAGAGAATTGAAAAATTTGTTGATACACTTGCTGTAAAAAAAAGGATATCAAAAGTGATTGAATTGCCTATTATCTCTGACAAATTTTCTTGGAAAAAGGAAATCAGAGAGCTCTGGGTGTTTTCACTGAAGAAAACTAGCAGGTTTACTGAAGAAAGAGCAAAGGTCGCGAAAAATAAAATTCTAGCCACCATGATGCTAAATTATATGCAAGCCAGCTATCAAGATTTTAAATGTTTGACTGATATATTTCAAGATAAAAATATTTTTTCTACACCAATTTATTTTATTACTTTTAATGAAAATCTAAACTTAAATATCTTCATCCTTATGAATTTTTTCATATTTATGATTTCACCGAGACCTTTTTCAAAATTAAAGAACAGAAAATAAAAATATCTCACGATGAATTGTTCCTCTACGAAGCTAGGATTGGCAAAAGAATACATGACACCTCAAGGACTTGAGTAGAAATACCAAACTTATCGATAAATAAATTCTCTGGAGATTTTTTGCGGACTTCCATTTCCACATTAAGCATTCTAGCATCCTTGCCCTGAAGCACGACACTTCAGACTTATATGAAATAGATATGCATTTCTATGAAATTTGCAATAAACTGCATTGTGTTGCTTTAAGCGCTCATGATTGTAAAAGAATGAGTTCTATCTAAGACTCTCACGATTTAAAAAGTTGAAATTAATTAACGTTTAATTGCTAATTTATCTCTCCAAAAGAGCTCGATTAATAATTTATAATAGCTAAAATTTAATTATTGAGATGAATTAAATTTGGAAAATGAATTCTGCTAGAATTTAGCACCATCTAAAGATGCCACATAACTCTTCCATCTAAATTTCAAAAAAGCATCCTGTTCCAATTCAAAGGAGGTTATTTTTTTAAAAAAATTATATTAAATTTTTACTATAAAAAAAAAGTTTTACCTCAGACTCTGAAAATACGATGCTGGTGGTCCAGCAAGGGCTGTATTCTGTCACCCAAAAAAGGTGTGAAAGACTACACAATACTTGAAATTTTAATTTATTTTTATGAAGAATTAATTTAGAGCATTAATTTCAGATTAAATAAGCACTCTTTCAATTTAACAAGGTCAATAATAATAATTTTCATTTTATCACACCCAGGTATCTTAATTAGTATTTTTACCTATATATTCCTGGGTTAAAGTATCCAAAAAATGAAAATTTGCTGATTTGTTTTCCAATTTAAATGGATTAAGAATAATTTAAAGAAGTGTGGATATTTAGCTAATTAGAATTTTAAGACTAGGCTAGAGAAAGCTTAAAAACTCAATACAAGCTCATTCATAAGAAATCACTAGAGAGTGAATAGTGAGATCGCGATCATTTGCAGGCTCATACAACCATTATTAAGAAATTATTATTTTTTATTACGATTCCTCGGTTTTCTGGATCTTAGTAGGCACATCCTCACTTGGCTCAGGCGACCTCTTCTTCCCGAGTAACTCTTTCAGCTGTTCTTTTGCCCTTTCTCTTTCCTCTGCTTCTTTTTGCTCTATAGCTTTGTCATATTCCAGCGTTTTTTCGCTTTGCGCAAGCTGAACCTTGGCCATTTCGACCTTTTCCACAATCTTTTTAGCAATAGTTTCCAAAATTTTCTTATCTTCAGTCCTGGCCTCATTCCCAGACCTTAATTCCCATTTAGTGTTAGTGATCAAGTCATACGCTTCAATGGCTTCTTGCAAATTGGCTATTGCCGTTTCTGTTTCTCTGACGCTTCTTCTATCTTTTTTAAAGATCCAAAAAGCATGCTCGCTTAGCGCCAAAGCTGTATTATAAACATTCACGAAGGTTTGTGGAAGACTTTTGAAAACATCTATACATTCTTTATATTTCCCACAGGCAGATAAAGCATTAGCCCAGTAAACTGCAAGTATATCAGGCTCTAACGCTTTTTTGTCCCATGCCTTTGCATATATTTTTGCAGCAGCTTCATATTTTCCTTGTAAGAACTGCAGATGTGCTTGGTTTACCAATATAAAATCGAGGCCTGGATATGCATCGAAAACTTGCTTAAAAGTTTCATGAGCTTGTGAGTAATCGCCATGCTCAGCCAATATTATGGCAGCTCCTATGGCTGCATATGCATTGTGCTCATCCAAAGACAAGACTTTTAAGTAAAATTGTAGGGCTCGGCTTAAATTTTTGTCAGAGTGCTCGGACCTGTTGTGGACTGCTAATTCGTAATATTGGTTTCCCATGGCTAATAAGGCATATAAGTCATGGTGGGAATAATCCATAATGACCTTATTGAAGGTTTCCAGAGCTTTTTTATATTCACCTAGCTCTGCTTCAAGACTTCCTTTGAGACATAGTGCGTTGATTGGTTTTTTGTCAGCACTGATTGCGGATCTTGCATATTCAAGGGCTTTTACGTAATCTTTTAGCTTCCGAGAGATCATTCCCAGTCTGATATAGGCGTCTGGGTAATGGTTTTGTTCAGAAAGCAATTCTTGATAAAGAACTTTGGCCTCTTCAAGCCTGTCGTTATCTTCATGCCAGCGAGCTTTGTTATAAATTAAAGTCTTTTTCTTGTCTGTAATCTTTCCATAAGCTATTTCAGCGTTGGCTTGGTCACTGGTCTTATGCCTTAGGATAGCAATATTATTGAGCAGCTCTTGTGGAGGGTCTTTTATGCCAGCCAGAGCCCTTTCATATGCTTCTAAAGCTTGCTTTGGCTTTGAAATTTCAAGCAACTGAGCAATTTCAATCCAAGCCTCACAGTCATTCGGATTCATCCTTACCACTGCATTCAGCTTCTCCAGCGCTGCATCTTTCTTATGCTGCTTTGCCAATAAAGACCCAAGAATCCTCAAAGATTCGTAGTTGTTTGGGACAATTTTGAGAACGTTCTCAAAGCATGTGATTGCCTTATCAATGTCGTTTTGATAAATATACATTTGGCCAAGTCCATACTGAGCTAAGTACATGTTAGGGTTGAATTTTACAGCTTGGTTATATTGTCTAAAAGCATTTTCCATGTTATTTTGTGCGTGATGGCAAATGGCCAAAATATAGTAGCACTCTGCTTTCAGCTTTAAAATGTCTTGGATCTGCTTTTCTACCTCTGCAATGTGGCTTAGACAGAATTCGGCCATTTTAATGCTTCTTTCGTAGTCTTTCTTGTAAAAATAGTGCCTTGCTAAGTGCATGTTGGCAGCTGAGTTGTTTCTGTCGGCTTTGTAGGCTTTTACTACGAGATCAATGTACTCTTTGTAGTTTCCTTTTTCATATTCGAGAATGGCAATTCCCGTCTTAATCTTAATTAACAGATGGGTGTGGCCGTATTGGTGACTCAAGCACCAGGGACCCTTGCAAGTTCATCCGATTTGTGCCGGACACCTGATCAGTTGAGATGACTTGCTGGAAAGTTGACTCTGACATTATCTTTCTCCTTTCGAACCCTGATGTCATGGGCATCCCTAGTGTCGTACACTTAAAACGTCTCCTCCTATCTCTTTGTTCTAGTTTGAGTAAGCTGATAGTATTTCTGCTGGCCTGCATCAGGCTATTTGGGATCTTGATCCAGTGAAGAAAACCTAGAGTCTAAAAAGTGCTGGTGCTTGCCCTCAGCTATTAGAAAAAAAAACCCCACTTAATTGCCCGAGCACAGGCTGCAATCCATAGCATCGCGGTGAAGTCCAACTTCAGGGTTCCGAAGGACATTGCTTGGTTGCTTCTTTCCAATCACAAGAACTGAGTCGAAATCTACCTGGATATACATTATCGCATAATATACCTAAATTTCGGCTGGTTTCTCGCCAATTCTCCTTGGCCATAAGGTTAAAAAATTGCGTTAATATGTCGGGGTTGATTTTTGTTCGCCATTTTATGTATTTTCTAGCAATCCCCATCAGCGCTTCTGCATTGTTCGGCTCTAATCCGAGCACTCTTTTAAACGCTTTATAAGCAAGTTCTTTATTCCCTAATTTATAATGACATACAGCTAGTCCTAATCTGACGTTAGGGGGAATGCGTGGATTTATTCTAATAGCTTTTGCGTATTGTTGCAAAGCTTCTGAATAAGATTCTCTGTGATATAAAATGCAAGCTCTCCCAAGTAGCGCTAGCACGTTATCAGGATCAGCTGTAATTGTGTTGTTGAAGTAATAAACGCCGTTTTCCATCTGCCCTTTAGCTATTAAGAGGTAGCCACGGTAGATCCAGTTCTGGAACTCATTCACGTCCTTGCTATCAGCAGACCCTTTGATTGCTCCAGCTAAATTGAAAAGTTCTTCCCTTTGAGCACTTTCAGCACAAAGCAAGGCTTTTCCGAAATAGTAAGCAACTAGACGGTTGAGCATTGAGATTCTTTCTTCTTTGGAGCTGCGGTATTGAGGCATTTTTTCAAGGTCATCGCCTGATCCTGCTTTTAAAATGCGTTCAAACGCAGTATGTTTGCCTTCTTTGTAATATTTGACACCAAGTTGAAGCCAGATATTCAGGGGTGGCAAGTCAGTGCTGAGGTGATCGAGAAGATCTTCGACTTCTGGAAGAGCTTGGCTGTCTTCTAAATAATTCTCATATGATTGGGGAAGCGATATTGCCATTTTATATTAAATTTTGCTTTTACCCTAATAGTTAGATTGGCTTAATATGATCGGACTTGGCTAAATATAAATTATATTTTGCTTTATAGTACCAAAAATATTAATAAAAAACTTTTATTTATATCACTTATTGATTTTTCTATTTCTATTACTTTCATTGACCACTAGTTAAGCTTTCACCCCTTTTTGGATCGGCCTTGAGCACCTCCTCCCCATGTCACCCAAACCTAACGATCCCAAATATTTTAACATGCTAAATATTAATTTGACAAGTTAAAATATTTGAGGGAGCCTTGTCAAATAATATTTTAACATTTTAAAATTTTCAGGACCGTCGGGGGGTGGGTGGCATGGAGAGGGGGTACTTAATGGCGAGCAATCACGAGGGGTGTGCTATATAATGGCATAGAACTTCTAAGTGAAATTAGATAGCTGCAATTCTGTTCTAACTTTAAAGCCATCTCATATAGCGAGTGCAAGGAATGGGATTTTATTTTTTATATATGTTTTGCCTCAATGCAATTTAAATCGAATTTATATTATGGAATTAATAGAAATGCCTGCTGTTAAAAATGGAGAGGTCAGATGGATTCTATTATTTGCATTTTTATGATATTGTAATTGCCCGAGGATGGCGCTATTTTACGCCATTCTCGGGCAATTCAAAAATGGCTCCACACAGGAATTGAACCCACGTGTGGACCCATTTTTGGTAAGTGAAAGTCAAGATTCTCCACATGCCAAAAATGGCTCCACACGTGGGTTCAATTCCTGTGTGGAGCCATTTTTTGAATTGCCCGATAATGGCGCAAGATAGCGCCATCCTCGGGCAATTTGTATATAAATAAATATAGCATTTACACTCGTCAATTTATTGAGATGCATGAGATTTTGAGAGTAGCAAATATATTAAATGATATCAATATATAACACTAACGCTTAAGCATAATCAAAAAATTTAATTTCCCTCACGTAAGGAGATATTTTCATAATATCAGATTTCTCCTTCGTTAAAGTAAGATAAATTTACTTCCAATTAAATTTCGATAAGTAGAGATTCTATTTTTATAAGTTACATAAAAAATGATAACAGAAATATTTTTATCTTTTACTATATATTGCCACTAATTTTGGTGTAGCTTCTCAGTGCCTAGAAGCTATTGTCTTTAAAGGCGGAGATTTAAGCTTGCAGCTTAATTAGCTTTCATCCAACCTCTCTCTACATTCTATAGCGAGCTACTCTGAACTGGCACAAATGCTCAAGGACATTGAAGACCCTTAAATAGTTTCGACCTTTCAAAAAGAGTAAATGATCTTAAGAAGTCTCCATTCTATTTAGATACGTAAACGTCGTTCACTTGCTCATTGAAGGGACTACGAAATATTATGGTGAGTGAACTTCTTCAGTGCTTCAAGCTCGAATTAAAATTACCTGAAGTAACTTAAATAGCTTTTAGATTACTTTAGCTGAAACCAAGGATTGATTTTTTAATTCGAACCTTTTCTTATAAAAAAAGCAAATAAGCTCGCTTATTTTAATGATATCGAAATAGAATATTAATCAAATATCTACGGCGAAGTCGGAAATATTTCAATCCCTTTGGGAGAGTGGAATACAGCCCCTGACTCTTTTTTCAGCAGCGCTGCTGTTTGGAATTTAAGGCTTCTCATTAAAAGCAAGCTTGTATGAAAATAGAAATAAGAATATATCATGCCTCCACCATAATTGCTAAAATTCAGATTAAACTCAGCTTACTGTTTTTCTTTATAGAGAAAGATTTGAAAATAAAGTAAAAAAATTTTGTCGATATTCAACTAGAACCCCGATGTGAGCGAGAAAAAAAATTACTTATAAAGAGAAGGTTAATTTTTTCTATAAATTATACACATAAATTATATATCATTTACAACTCTAAAAAATCCTAATTAATTGAAAAACAAAACTTAATTTACTTTTCAAATTTATGTGAGAAGACAAGATAATAATTATCACTTGTATATTAATTTTTTTTAAAAAAAATTTTCGTTCATGTTTTTCCCAAAAATAGGAATTTTCCAACGGTTTTGCAAGCTCACTGATGAGGATTTAGGTGCTTTATAATTTGCCCAGTAATATTCCAAAGTTTGTGTTGTAAATAAGATTTATAGTGTACTTGCTCATTTCCCTCTCGTTAGGACTTATTAATATAGGATAGCCAATTTTAAAGAAAGATTGAAATTTCACATTGGAATATCACCAAGCCTCATTTAGGATTTAAAAAATATCATAAATTGAATTATGCCCATAAAGAATATTTTAGCATAAAAATCATAGTAAAAAATGTCAAGGTTTAAATCTTCAAAAATATAATGAGCTATTAGCTTTTGAATGAGGAAAGTGCATTAAGGACATCTAAGTTATAGCCAAGCGCATATACTTAGATGATAGGATTTCGGCTGGAATAATTCTTAGCCTAAAATTCTTGCTTTCATGCAAGAGGATTGATATTAATAGAGGGCATTTTCCTGATGTTTCTTATAAAAGTTTTAAAAAAAATATTAAAAATAAATAGTTGCAAGAGCAAACACATAATAATAAATTGTTTAGTGCGGAATAGGCTCCCTTCGATAACCTTTCATCCTTTAGCGATTTATAATTATAAGACTCAGCTTTCCAAATGCTTAATTATTCAACTAAATTAGGAAAAAAAAGCTGCAAAGTCATAGAACTTAATTGCCAGTTGCCATTAAATGTTCTAGTCGCTGTAAAGTTTCAATAATTTAAGTTAAGCTAAGAATGACACATTTTAAATAAGAAGCTGCTGCTTTGAGAGAAATTATTATACCTTACACAAATTTTGTTGAGTGCTTGGATTGTGGGGCCTCCTCCATATAGAAATTTATTCGATTTTTCACTCATAAGGCATATTTAATGTATCGTATTTTTTCAGAGCATATCAGTCTTACTATAAAAAAGGTCGTCCAAGTTTCCCTGATGAAATTTTAACATCATGAAAAATTTTCAATCAAATGCTGAATTTTTTAATATCACTTTTCTTTGAGCTCTAAATTCTAATATTTAATTACTGAAAAAGACTGCACAAAAATCCAAAGTTTGATCAGTTTTCCAGTGAATTTATAGCTGGTTTATTAGAAAATCTTTAAGTTTCATTTTTAATTTTTGTTTGATTTTTGGGTGAAATTTATCATTCATTAAATGGATTGAGCTTAATATTCTTGAAAATCTCACTCCCCCCTCCTCCGTTAGCGAACAATAACATTTTGTTCGCTCACGGAGGAGTTTTTTTTTTAAAAAATTAAAAAAAAAAAAACACTGCACAAAAATTGGAAACAAATGTTAATTTAATTTATAAAATTTATGCTTTAAAACGCAATTGTTAAAATTAAACAGATTTAGCTAGAGATTTCGTTATATATAATTATCACTTATATATAAAATTTTTTTTCATAAAATTTTTGTTCGCTCACGGAGGGTCGGTTTTTGGTCAAAAATAGGGATTTTTCTAATGGTTTTGTCCACTCACCAAGTGGGGGAGTGAGTTAAAATCAAAATAGGCTTTATTTGTTTTAATTTTTAATTCGAGATGCGTTCATTAAGATTATGACTTTTTCCTTGAATTTGCCCTAATTCAGAATTAGGATAATCTTTAATCCATTAAAAGTAAAAGGGATAAAAAATTACTGGAAAAATTCGTTAAGTCAGTTCATCATATATTGGATAAAATTCAAAAATTTTAATTAAGTTGCCTGAATTTAATAAATTTCATTTTTAATTTATCATTTTGTAACTCATTATTTGGTTCGATCTTGTGTATTAACATTATTATGATCCAAGTTAATTTCTCTGGTTCATTTTGCATCAGTACTTAAAACTAATAAGTTTAACAATGGAAGATCCAATCATTGAAGGCAAAAAATATCAGTGTAGCTATTGCACAAAAGTGCTCTCGTCAAAGCAAAATCTTAAAGAACACCTGTTTACTCACAGTGGAGAAAAGCCATACGTCTGCAAAGAAAAAGGCTGTGGCATTAAATTTCGCCAAGGAAGCCAACTTTCAGCCCACAGGAGAATTCACAAATCTATCCAGGGGAAAGCCCAAAAAGCGTACTTTTATGACATCAAAGTAAGTCTTAATTAGCTTTCTGATATATTAATTAGGCATCCTCATTTGTTGGATGAAGAATATAACGAAAACCTACCACAGACCGCCAACACACTTATTAATGTGCCATTGATCACAGTGCCTCAAGAAAACATTGTGTTGCCATCGATTCTCTAGTAAAAGAATGCCATTAATAGCCATAACTTTAAATTTAAAATGTATCCCAAAACAAAAACTGAGTCCCAAATATATATATTTAATTTCTATTTCCTATGAGAAAAGATTTTTACTGCTATTTCAGGCAGCTCGACTTTATGCAGGACATATAAATCATATTAGTGGAGAATAAAGTTTTCGTGTGTTTAAAATTGCCAATGATTTTTCATACAATTCAAAGTTTTCTGATGAAGGTTAATATAGTGCATAACACTTATTAATTATCAGTGCTCCACGTGCCAAAATCTTTTGCTGATATTTCTTTATCTCATATTTTGGCAAATGGAATGCCAGTCAAAATAAGAGCTATGCTCTATAATAAATAATTAAAAAAATGTAACCTTTATAAGCCATTTTATTAATCTATCCAGTGTTAATGCTTCTTCTTTTTGGATTTGTCGCCTTCTTCCATTTGTTGCCTTAGGGCTTGGATTTCCATTTCAAGCTCGTTATTATTATTCAGCGTTTGTCCAAACCTTTCATTGATTTTGTAAAGCTCAACTTCCATCATGGTGAATTGGGAAGAATAATCCCTCAGCTGCTCTTGGGCGTCTCTATATTTCTGAATTAGGCTTTCCTTCTCTAAGTCAGAATTAGCCCAGCCCATTTTGGCATCTACGTATTTCTTCTCCATCTGCTTGAAATCTGCTTGAAGCTGCTCGCTTTTGGACTTGGACTCGGCCACTTCCAGCTCCAAAATCCTCAGCTCTTGCTTTAAATTTTCTTCTTGGACAGAGGCTGCTAACTGGCTGGTTGACTTTACTTCTGGCTGGCTTCTTTTATTTTCACTAGAATTCTGTCGTAACATTTGGTTTTCTATGGCAAGTTTGCTTAGCTTTTCTTCGTATTCAGCAGTGATATCCCTCTTTTTGTTTTCGAGAATTTCCAGCTGCTTTTCAAGCATACTTATTTGCCTTGAGGATGAAATTTTGTCTTCTTTGTGGGCTGACTCAGAAGCCAGAAGTTTTTGCTCTAAATCGTGTATTTGGTCTTGAAGAATGAGGTTGGCTGGGTCAGAGAATTCAGTTGTTGTTGCCAGTTTAAGCTGTTCTCTAAGGGTGAAATTGTCTTTTTCTAATGTTTCTTTGTGGGAGTAAATATCTTCTAATTCAAGATCTTTTTCTTTGAGCTCTTGCTTAAGCCGATTTAAGGACTTTTCTTGGGAAGAAATTTTTTCCTGGAGTTTTTGAACGTTGTAGGAGTCAGTGTCCATTTGTGACTGCTTATGAGTCCTTTCAGATTCTGCTAGCTGCACTTCGAGCTGCTCTTTTTGTGCTTTCAGCTCTTGATATTGCTTGTTAAGTCTTATAAGCTTGGACTCGACGTCTCCTTTGGCTGTCATGGTTTGCCTTTCTAAAAGCCTCTTAGACTGGGATTCCTCGTCCAGTCTTTGATTTAGATTATTATTTTCTTCTTTAATCTCATTATTCTCAGTTTCCAGCTCTTTCAGCCTGTATTTGTACTTATCTTCAATCATGGAAACATCAGATTTTGCTTTTTGGAGCTCAAGCATGAGTTCAGTCTGCCTTGAAAGGGCTTCTTCTTTTTCTTGCTCATGCAAGGCGATTTCTCGTTTGTAATTATTTATCATTAGATCGGTCTTCTTTTTATAAGCAGCAAACGAGCTGTCTTCTGGAGCGTTCCCTACTAACTGCTCTCTAGAGTCAGAAAACTCCTGCCTCATCCTATCTATCGTTGTTTTCAGCTGATTATTTTGTTCTTGCGAATAACTCAAGCTGTTCTTTAAATTCGCGTTTTCTCTGTTCATTTCTTCTATCTGGCTTTCCAAGCCCTTCACTTTTTCTTGCAGAAACCCGACATTTTCTTTTAATTTTTGTGCTTCATTTCTCAGTCTTTCTGTGTCTCCAGAATTTTGACTAGAATTGAGTTCTGCGTCTTTTAGGTCCTGTAATAGATTTTCATTGATGGATTTCATTTTTAAGAGCTTGTCTTCAGCTTTTGTAAGCTTGATTTTAATTTTTTCCTCTCTTTTTCTGAAATCTTCGCGTTCAGTGTCTACTTTTTTTATATGCTCTAATAGGTTTTCGCGTTCTTTTTTGAATTTTTCATACTGAATGCCGAGCTCTACTTTTAGCTCTTCTTTGTCGGTCTTCAATTGCTGGTTCTCGCGCTCAAGAAGAGAAATCTGGGCTCTAAAGTCTGAAAGTTTGGAACTGGATGAGTCTTCTTCAAGCTTGATGCGTTGGTTTTCCATTGCTTCAGCGATCCTCATTGGGTTCATAGGGCCGGACTCTGGAAGGCGAAGTATTGGCTTGAGCATCGGTGGTTTCCCGTTTACACCTGGGACAACTCTTTGCTGGTGGGTTTCTTCTTCAAAGCCAGTTAAGTCTTGCTCATTGAACAGCTGCCCATTATAGTCCCCTTCAGTCCCCATGCTGATTCCAGACACCCCTGAGGCTTCACTCATGTTGTCTGCTAGAACAGCTTCACCCAATGGCTGAGCTCTAACCGATATACAAACCCTCGAGTTCTTATCAGGACAGCCTGCAACTGAGAAAACTTGCTCATTAAGTGGATTGACATGATAATCAGCAATATTGAGCTCCAAGTTCCCAACTTTTTTCATCCCTTTCCCCTCAACAATTGCTTGAAAACTAAGGGCAGCTTTCTTTTTCATGAACTGTCCTGATTTTTCTTGATACAGAGTGTTGATCATCGTTAGCGTTTCATTTATTTCTACCCTTCCGACCGAAGGCGAAAGTGCATTTTTGTTTCTTGTCTCAATTCTTTTTTTGCCTAGATTTAAAATTACGTCTCTTTCATACTACATTGATGCGGACGGGCAGTGTTAAAGCCATTTCTAGGTAATGCACAGTGATGTCGTAGGAAAAGACCTGCTTTTTTGTCCCGACTCTTCTCAAGAATTTCGACATTATTTTTAGATAATTTAATTGTGCATAAGCATTATATAACCTCCATACAGGGTAGCGTTAAAATGCCAGATTTTGCCTTTATTTTATTAAAATTGATTAATTTAAATACTGATTAAAATATGTGATCACTCGAACTTTCGGCTCCCCCGATTTAAGCTCTCTATTGCCAATATTTTAATTATGAGGTTGGTTTTACCGAGAGAATTTATCCCATCTATTCTAGCTGAGGTCAGAGGAATCAAATTTTCTTGATATGGACTACCTAGCCCTTCTGGTGAAGGTGGAACCTTTAGGGTGACAGACCTAAGTAGGTTGCTTGGGCTCAGAGTAAACTTCAAGACTGGTGTCTGGAAGTGACATAAATAGCAGGGCGGCCAGAAAAGTCAGGCTAGCATAATTTGGCGAAAATCACCCAATTGTGATTTTTTAGGCGCCGCTTTAGCATTGGTTACCTAGTAATGGATGCTAATGAAAATGCTTAAAAATAAAATTAAATTTGATTAATTTGTATATCATTACCTAGATGTATCTAGGTTTTCTTCAGTTTGATCTACTATTTTGCTTTGGATTTTGGCCCTTTGCCTGCGAGTTCTCTCCTTCAATGAACTATACCATCCTTTGAGTCGTTTTGCTCTCTATATAATTTATACCGGATCTAGCAAATAGTCTCTTCCCCCTTCGAACCCATGGCCCAGGTTCATAGCTTTTAACAAGATTTCTGCTTTTTCTTCATTTGAGAACATTTCATGCTTAATTTCTGTTTCCATTTCTTCTTTGCTTGGCATCTTCATTTTATACCTCTGTGAAAGAAATTCCTTCTCCCTTGCTGGAAATAGATCAAGAAATTCATCTTTATTCAGAACCAGACAGGTCGACTGCTCAATAGCAACAGCCCTGGTTTCTCTTGGGCAATTTTTAATTATTTCAGCCTCTCCAAAGAACTCTCCTTTGTGGAAGGTTTTTAAAGGATAAATAAATTTATTTGTGATTTTCCTTAGCTTCCACTGCTTGGATCCAATTGGCCATTTGTTTTGCATTTCTAAATGCGTATAGGTCTGGAGCTGAATGCTTCCTTCTTTTATTATATAAAATGTGCTGCATGTATCTTCTTTCTCATATATAACTATATAGTGATTACTGTCTCCAGGCTTGTACTGAGACTGCACAAGCAAGTTGCTTAGATTCTGGACTTTTATGAAGCTTCATCGTTGGAAAAATGGGATAGTCATGAGGAATTTGGTGTACTCAAACTTTTCCAGCTTTTTTAAGTTGAGAATGATATTTTCATAGTCTACCTTTTTGAGCCTAAAAAGAATTGCTTGGGTTTCTGCTATCGCATCAGCTGACCTTAGCTTCACGTTATCCAGAGCAGTCTCGCCAAGAGAATCCCCTTGGGCTCTTTGACCCACTCTTGTTCCATCAACATATATCCCCACAGTCCCAATGTATATTAAATACATGCAGTCAGCGACATCATCTTTTTTGATGACTAAATAAACACTTACTTTGTGCTCCGGACTGAAATTCTAAAACCGTGAACCTGTCACATGTCTCTTGGACAATCACTTTTGGCATTGATGAGAAAAATTTTGTGCTTGATACCCACTTAACTAATGCTTCTTTTTCATTATCTGTCCTTTTGGATGGTGATTCTAAACAAACTTCAACTAAGTTAAGTCCAACATGCTGCTTTATCTTCATGTAAGCTGAATAAAAATCATTTCTCGACATAAGCCAATTCGGAAGAATTGTCCTTAAAGTTGTGATAGGATCAAATGAATTGCGCCGCTGCTGCAAAGTATTTTCGAGTTTCATTAACAGCTCAGAGTTTTCTGTGATGCTTGAATAAGCATTCGCTTTACTGTGTCTAAGAAGTTTATGTGAAGAAGAAATCGGCGGCTTTTGAGTGAGGTTCAAGCGTAAAGTTTGAGATTTTTCAGAGACATAATTATTTTGCTTTTGCTTCAGAATTTGCTCTGAAGCAATATCAATTAGCGTTTTCGATCTTTCAGGCTCATGCGAAACTGAATAGGCTGGCTTTCTTTTAATTCTAGTAATTGCTGATAATTGTCCTTCGTCAGAGCTTCCAAGGCGAAACTGCTTAGTTTGAAAAGGGCTCACAGATTGAGCTCCTCTTCGGTTTTCTGTTGTTTTTAAATTTTGATACTTTTTATACTCATTCATAATTATTGAGAAATTTAAATTAGGCTTGCTTTTTATCATTAATTGTAATTTATTTATTACTAACAAAAAATTAAAGTATCTTTGCAAATTAGGAAATTTGGCTAATTTAAAAAATTATTTTTCAGCTTGCCTTAAAATTAATGCATATTTTAATAACTATTAAATAAAATAAAAAATAGGATGAGTAGAGTTGATTCTTCTAAAATCAGCCTTGCTTCTGATAGAGATCTGCAATGAGCAGCTAATGGAAAACCTTCGCATTTATAAAATATAGTGATCAGATAAATGCCTAGAATATATTTCGAATGCAAAGCTGCTGAGAAGGAGATTGGAGACTATATCTGAATAATAGCTAGGAGTAGCATTAATTACTGTAGATTTATAAAACAGAATGCTATCGGATAAAAAAAGATGATTAAAAAGTATATATTCTCATCAGATTGCTCATGGTAGAAGTATAATTGTTTTTTATATCTTGATTAAATTGAATATTAATACTTATGGCTAATCCAGTATTTTATATAATTGCTGTGCCCAAAATCGATAGCAAAAACCTTAATCCTAATTTTTAGAAGTAATTATATGTAAATATGAAAATATTTTAACCATTTAAATTTTTTGAAATTTCATATGATCCACTATTGCCCTCTTCAATTTTTTTGATGCATTACATTCTTTATTTTCCTTCTTAATAAAAAATGCATATCTGTATGATGCTAATATAAATGCTTAAACCAAATAGTTTTTCAGAAAAAACCTTAGAAATATAGAGTTGTTGCATAAATAAGCATTAAGAGAGAGTCACTACGAGCTGTATATAAATAGAAATAGAATTATATAAAAAAGATATAAATAAGCTAATGACTGTTGTTTTGTTTGTTCGAGACAAATTCTGATGGTAATTATTTCCTACATAATATTAGCGATATTATGAAAATATTATGCCATTTGGCATCGGAAACAAATCCGATAATTAGCCAAGAAAGATTTTCTTTGAAAAGAAAATAAGCAAGTTTAGTCATATTTCGAATTTCATTAATTATAATTCATCATCAGCATCATTTTACTTAATCGTCGCTATTTTCCAAATCCATCAGCATTGGTAAAAAATAGTCTTCTTCCTGAATAGGAAGATAGGGTTCCAAGCCGAGGTCTTCAATCATATGATAGCTAACTCCTCCCCACTCCATGAGTGAACAAATATATATATAAGTGATAATTATTATCATGAAATCTCTAGCTAATTCTGCTTAATTTTAAGCAGTTTGCACTATAAAACATAAATTTTGCAAATTAAATAAATATTTGCTTTCCAAATTTTTTTCGAAATGGAATTTTTTTAAATTCACAAAAAAAATTAACTCCCCTCCGTGTGCTAACAATTTTTTTTTCACTCATAGAGGGGGAGTAAGGTACTTCTTCAAAATGAGTCACTTTTGAATGCATTTTCCGTCATGCTCATTTTTGCAACATCTTAATCCTTCCTCCAGGAGCGAGTTTCAAAAATTATTATTTTATTGTCAAACTGCCAAAAAAAGAAATATAAATAATTTTTTTTTTAAGATCGACAAAAAAATTGTCACATTTGGCTGGAGCAGTTAGGTCAAATTTTTCACATAAATCTTCGGGATTAAGATACGAAAATAAGTACTCGACATAATAAAAGAACGATTGTCTGACTGCTGCTGATTGAAAGTATTCTCTGCAGAATAACGAGTTGTAGCTATTTTGGGATGCTTGCTCTTTTGCAGTCCTTTTGCTTCTCCCATCAGTCTTGGGTCCACTCTCTGTCTTGCTGACCAGCTCGAGCTCACCTTCATTGCTGAAATATAGCTCCTGCATTTTACCAGATCATTATTGGCCTCCATTTTAATTTCTAAAAAAACTTGTAATTGTCAATTTTTTTGAAAAGTAAAAATAAAAACGACAAATCTTCTTTTAGGGTTTTAAGATGCCTAATTAGGTATAGACTGTATAAGAGAAGTGCTCTGGTTCATATCTTTTCTGTTCGGAATGCTGCTTGGCTATATATATTATTATTGTGCATGAGCTATAATGCTTTTTCATCACTTCCCAAATTACCATAGAAAAAGTGTTTGATTCGGCGCACTTGTTTAAGGTTCGTACTGGGGCAGTCGACCTTTGGATTTGCCTGTTAATCCTCTTGTGTCCTCTGATGACTTTGCAGCGTAAGTATTCCTTTTTCGGAGGCTTGATTTTGATATTTTTCTTTGTGAAGAATAGCCCGAGAATTCGCTTCTCCAGCGTCACTCTTTTAACACCGCGCTTATGAAAGGACTTCAAATGCGTCGCTAAATACTTGGTCATTGACTTCACAAGCGTCATAATATAAATTATTATTCAGTTTATTATTTATTTTTGCTTAATTGTGTTGCCTTTAAAGGACACCAAGCACTCCAGAACTAGAACAAATATGATCAAACAGCCTTCCAAGAACACAGAGTAATACCAAATTCTGAGCAGATAAGCATTGGATCAAAATTATTTTTTGAGATCAAGATTAATTTTCCTATATAAACAGGACAGATTTGCAATTTTCTGGAAAATGGCTGGCTTCAATTGATTTATGAGACGATGATTGTATCATTTTTATTGCGTTTGCTGCATAGCAATAGTTCAGGATGAGCTGTAATCTTGGTTCATAAATTAAAAAAATTTGCGTTATAAAATAGTGGCCTATATTAAGATAAGCCGAGATATTTAATGTTTTTTCAAGATTTGCCAGATGAATAAAAATTGTGCTTTGCAGCAGGAACCTTATGCTGAAAGACTTAAATATTTATTCTCATTCGTTTTTGTTTTAGTATATACCTTCATATTTGGAACTGCTATGTCTTTAGAAGCTTTAGGCTAAAACTTAAAAACAGTTGCTCCTGCAATAATGCACCAATACCTTTATATGATTCTTAAACTTTATGTTTTGCGAATTTTATCTTCAATATATGTATTAAGCAGTTTTTAAAATATCGACTGAGCGATTTTTCAGCATTTCAAAATTGGGGCCAATGATATCCCACTAAATGAAAAAAAAATCAGAGCAAATCTGTTCATATACCATTTTGTTATTTTTAATAAATTCTAAATAATTTAAGAGAATTAATCCACTATAATAAATAAGAATCATTTTTAGTTTCACAATTAATCTGATAATCATGGACTCTCAATAATATAAGTCAGAATTTAACCCTTTAATTTTAAAACCAGCACAAATGTTTGTGGAATACCCATTAAGTCTATCACATCAACATTTTCAGCTGAATCCTTTAATACCCTGCAAAACTTATCAAAATTTGTGAAAATATCTAAAGCTCCATTGAGACCGTTAATAAATTTTTTATCCTCTTCAAATCTTGTCTTTCTCATGTTTAAGATTCCTATAAATTCAGCTGCTACAATTTGCCCTGGCAGCCTAATTCCTTTTACATTAACTTTATTTGCTTTCTGTTTAAAAGCTGATCTCGCAATTAGCACATAGCTTTCTCCATTTTCTATATTTTTTCTCACTACCATCATTACATCTTCACTACACTGATTCACACCAATTCTATCAAATTTCTTTTCTGCCATCTTTCGATGCAAAAAATTGATAAATTTACGTGCGCAATATAAATTTTCATAGATCCCTGGAAAAGCTTGAATATTTGTGCTGACTGAAAGTAAATTATTTATTTTTGTTCCTTTTCCAATTGTTTTTAACCTCTGATCAAAAGCTCATTTTTTATCAGCCATGTACTTATAGGCTAATTCTTTGCCGTCATAGTCCTTTGGAAACAGTAGTTTTACCCCTCATTTATATTTGTCTATAGGCATTAAATTTATTTTTTTCACTCAATTATCCCATTCTCCATACACAGAGACTTCTTTGTATCTTCCTCCAATTGAGAACTCTACATAAACCCTAATAGGGTCCTCAATAAAATCTATTGCTGTCACCTCAGGAATTGCTTGAGAAGAATAGTCAGGAGGGGAGTACAGTCGCTTTTCGCTTACAACAGAAAGGTTTTTAGGTATAAATTCATCATATCCACGGGTTGAAGAAATAGCACAATTGGTAAATGCTGTTAAAAATGCATGAGGCAAGGCATCCTGGGGAGTTCTTTTTCTGGCAGGAGGATCATTATCATGGGTGCAATCATAAAATAAAGCAGGGATAGGGACAGATTCTCAGCGTTGAATTTCTGATGAAAATCCCATAAAAGTTAGGCTGTCTTCATAGTTAGTTCTTTCAGGAGTATTTATGCTTAAAATTTCGCCACTGCTATGTTGGAAAATAGAGTTTCCCATTGAATTCAAGTCTGGGCAATGGATGGCTTCTCTGATCAATAAATTAAGCCCAAGATGTTTGACATATTTTGCATCTGTATTGATGTCTTCTGTAAAAAGCTCAGCTGTGATTAGAATGTTTGGGTTGACTTCTCTAGCTTTAGCCAATAAATATTCAGAAACGTGAATAGGAGTGCTATGAGCGTTGTCTAGCCTAAAGCCTTTAAAAAGCTTTGCCATGGTTGTGATGTATTTTTCCATGAAATCTCAGACCACTGGGCAGTCTTCTTTTTTATATCCATAGCGAAGCTTTATGCAGTCATTTCAGACTATGACATTTCTCCTTAAAAAATGTCACCCACTTTTATCAGCAAAATCTTTGTGGACCTTTTTATACCCATTTACATAGTCTTAAAATTAACTAAGATTATAAGAGAAGCTCTCTGTTGGCCTATCAAGTTGACCATATTTGCCTCCGTAACGCTCCACTGCTTGCTAATAGGGCACGGCCTCTCATGGTGTTTCTCCTCACGGGCGAAGGCTTGCATTCACTAAGAGTGAGTTAAAGGCTGCCAGCGGGGTTCGGCTTTGAGAAAATTCAAAAAATGAATTTTCTGGTCGCCTGTCAGCCAAGATGAAAATTCATAGTTTAGGACGCAGCGCCTGATATCGCGCTTGAAATCGTTCCCAATTGGCCAGGAGTAACATCACTGGTGTTGCTGGGAGATCCCTTCACAACTCCTAGTCCAATCTTTCTCCGAGGCCTGGATGTGAGCTTTAATCGGCCTAATCAGACATTGCTTTCCACCAAACCAAGTAAAACCTGGTGGATGGACATTGCCGAACGCTATCCTCCTTCTCTAAGGTCCCTGGGTGACCCCAGCTCAAGTATTAAGAGCGTGGATTAGTTCGCCACCCCATTTTGCCATTTTAATGTATATCCTCATTTGCATAGCCATTGAATACACAAAAATCGCCATTAGCTAGCTTATGAAAGCAAGGCTTTATGAATGGGCAATGCTCTGTTATTTCCTGTCCTATTTTTTGTCCTATTTCTATGTTTAAGTTTCTCATAATATCTTCTATAAACTTTTCAGATCTTTTCTGTAAATTCAAGTTTACAGTTTTTATGGCTTTTTTTCCAACTTCTACAATATCTTGTGTGCTAAACCCAAGCGACCTGCATGCTTTCCATATTAAATCAGGATTGATTCTGGTCAAAAATTTTCCTTCACCTTCATGCAGGAGTGCATATTTTTTAATAAACCACTCAAGTCCTCTTTCATGCAAAAGTTTTAGTTTTTCTTCATCCACTATTTCTTCTTCGCTTTGATTATTAATGAAATCGTGTTTGGCTCTTTCTTCATCAATATGGAAAAAATCATGGACTTTCAGCTTTTTCACTATGTCGTTTCTGATAACTTTTAGTAAAACTTCGACATCATTAGAGTTCTCAATTATAGTGTATTTATGTAAATTGGCAGAATGATTATAAATTTTTAAAGATAAGTCTCTATAGAATTTACTTACTCCCCCCCCATCCTTGATCGAACGACTCGCCATCGTTCGATCAAGGATGGGGGTTAAAAAAAATTTTTTTGGGAAAAAAAAATTATATATAAAATAAAAAAATATATATATATATATTTTTTTTTATTTACTTTTAAATAAGAGGGTTAAGAGTATTTAATAATTATTTTTTACAGCAAAAAATTGAATTTATTTCATAAAATACCAATTTTTAATATTTTGATTTATTAGTTACCCTTTTAAACTGCATAAATTTTTAATTTGTTCCTTATTGAATTATAAATAAAATGGCATTCGGTTCGAGAGAAATTAGCTTTGCTAATTTTCTCTCCCTCATGGATTTTTATTTATAGGGTTAGGTTTTCACTCGAGAACTTCTGGACAGCAATAGCGGTTTAACTCTGGGGATAAACCAGAGGAACCACTCCTCAGTCCACTCAAGATTTCGGGCTTTTACCTCTCAGCACATCCCCACGGGAGGATGACCCTTAGGCGAACACGCGCAGGAGCTGAGTCGGGCGACAAGGGCGACGGCAACGCGCCGGGTGAGACGTGCAGCAAGGCCGGTGAAGCAGGAGTTGATAGAAGGCTTGGACGGGGCTGACCCGTGCCAAGATGGCTCGCCTACGTCATCAGTTTTGCCATAGGCCCTTTTGGGGCTGCGGCACTAGACACCTTAAACACCAGATAATTAAGTAAGTAAGTAAGTTCCTTATTGAATTAAATTTTTTTTTTTAAAATTTTAAAGAGTCTCTATTTTTTAGATTATTGAGTTTTTAAGCCTAGGTTGATGGCTAAATCACTTTGGATGGTTGATTCCGCAGCTTTCTGTTGTCTCAAAGCTCTGAAAACAACTTCATTAGGTATATCTTCCCAAACTTTTGATAACTAATATATTTTTATATATATAAAAAATTGCATGATATGAAAATCGTTCGATCAAGGATGGGGCTTAATTTCCCCAATTTTTAGGAATTTTTACAGTCAATCGTTCGATCAAGGATGGGAGAGGGGGGAGTTAATATAAAAGGGAATATATTCTTCCGAAATTTTGGGACTTGACCGTTTGCAAGTGATTTCCCAAAATGCTGTAGTGCAATATCTAATTCATAAGCAGACTTCAGATGAGGAGCTGTAGTCAAATTTCAAGTCCCATTCGGGTGCTTTTCAAAGAATGGTGCTGCTGGTGATAAATGGTTGAGAACAATGTCTACTATAAACCCAGCACCTTCAATATCAAGCCTATTTAGTAAATTTTCTAATGCTTTCAATTTTTCTTCCTCCTACATAAAATTTACAGTGTCATAATTCCTAAAAATGCCACTATTCAGCATATTGGTGTTATACAAGCTATAATGGCTTCCAGAAGGTCCAAACTCTTGCACTGGCGCTGCATGAAACATGTTATACCCCAAGTCTTTCTGATGGCAAAAATTTTCATATCATCTCTCTATCTCTCCACAGCATCTCGGCAGCACGCTTTGCATACAAATTCCATTAATAGGCAATAATTTCCCTCCAATCTTTATTTCAGGGTCTACTACAATTCAATTCTTTATTCCTCTTGACTTTTCACCATTATTGTCTAAGTATTCAACCCAAAAGCTATAATTTCCAGGCATGCTAAACTCTACCTCACAAGTCCAATGCCCTGAAGAATTCACTGTGCCTCTATACTGTTGAGGGACAGTGTTAATCCCATTTCACAAGTCTACAATTAAAGCTGTATCCTCGGTAAGAATTGGTGATCTTGACTCAATCACAAAGGTGACAAGACTCCTAGGAGACAATTTATAAATAAAGCTTGGCGTTGCTGGAGGAGGAAGACATCCATTTAGACCATTGAGTTTGCAAATGAGCGTACTTGGCATTTTAATTTATCAGAATTAAATAGCTTCTTACCATTTTGATGGTGGATATGGTTAAATTGTTTATTTTTTAATTAATTTCTTATACTCAAAGAGAGCCTCGATAAGGGAAGAAACACTCCATGCCTGGGCAGGGCACGCAAACTTGTTCGGTCTTCCCATTTTGTTAGTCAATTCTGGCATAGACATCCATGGAGAGTTTTCTAAGTATTTCCTATGGTCTGCTAAGCACTTCATAATAAATTCAGGCTTTTCAGCTTGAAAAACCATGAGTGCCCGCAAATAATATCCAAATGGCCAAATCCATTCTGGCCCATTGTGGAAGCTGAATCCATGTGCAATTGATTTGTCGTCAGAATCATTGGATAGGTCATAAAAATCTCTGTATTCTTTGTCATTTTCACTTAAAGTTCTGATCCCTAACTGCCCGTTCCCAATGCCAGGCATCAAATTTTCAGTAATTTTCTTCAGAGCCGAAATCGCATGGCTTTTCTCGAATAGTTTGCTTGCAAAGACCATTGCTAAGCACTGGTTAGGTCTAAATTGATACTCGCTGAGCTCTTTTACACTGCCGACAGTGTCTTTATAAATGCCTCTAGTCTTTATATAATCTGCAGGTAGTCCGCTTTTTTCTTCTGGGATATAGTACAGCTTTTCAAATGAATCCTCAATGCGGGATGCCCATTTTTCATAAGCCAAAAACGATCCATCAGAAAGCTTGACACCTTTGTGTTGGAATTTGCCTTCATTGAAGAGTTTCCCAAAGAAATTGACGTTCGAGTAGACTAAGCCAGTTATCTCTATGGCAGCTCCATCTCTTGGTGTTGCGGGAAGGCCTAAATTTCCTGCTTTGGCTGAGCTACCCATTTTGTCCATTCATGTCCCACAGTTAAATTGGCTTCCTCCATAAACGAGTCCTGTTTTGATGTCCAGCCATATTTTTATGTTGAAGCCTTCAGCTGACATATGTGGATCTAGCGCCATCCCTGCGTTTCTTTCTCTGAACTCAATGCCAACTGCATGTGACTGAAAAATATTTTGGATGACCTCACTTAGTGGCAAAACCATTTCATTTTCTTGGATAATTTCCCCATTTTCATTAAACCTCATTTTAATTGGCTCATGCAAAATTGAGGCTCCGTCTGGGACTTGTTTGATATAGTCCTGAACTGCTTGCAAAAAATACCAGACCGAGTCTCTTGAATTGTATCTGCAGTTGTTGCCATTTCCTAACAAGTTAGGAATCAGCCCTTTCTGTGACACTGAAGCAAAGGTTTTTATGAGGGTTTTTGCTTCTTCATATCTTCCAGTACACAAGAAAAGCCCTCTAAGCCCTATCATTGAGTCTCTTCCCCAACATCTCATCAGTCCAACTGAAAAATGAGGCAGCCCAGCAGAAAGAGTATACTTGGAAATATGATTGACTGAGCTCGGAATATGTCCCCAAAACTGTGAAACGCTTGTCCCTAGATTATCAACGAAACTATCTTCTCCGCTAAAAAGCTCGCTTTCTTTATACAAATCTCTTAATAAATAATATTTCAAGTTTCTGAATAAGAGGAATATTGACTTTGCAGTGTGCTTTGGGACGATTCCACGAGGCAAAGCTTTTATACTTCCAAAGTGATCAGAAATAAACTGAACAAATTCAGGAGGCAAATCGTTATTTTTTAGTCTTGTAAGGAAATAGTCAATCATCCAGTTTTCTTTACGGAGATTGCAGAAAATTTCATGGTCTAGATGGTTTCCTATTGTGTGGGGGAGGACTTCAGTGACAAATCCGCCAAAGCCTGCATAATTGAAAGACTTTGTAGGAGAGAGCTTATATGTCTCCCTTTTTATCAGAGAAGATTCAATTTCTTCAGAGTTAGAACAGAATTATTAAAATGGCGAGATCTGATGTGACCTATGGAGATCCGTGAGTTGGTACGGACCGAGAGGAGAAGAGCCGCATTGTGTTAGCTCCTCAGATGAGTTTTTATTCTAGGGCTGACCCTTGACCTTTTTTTACTTTGACTAATGGCTCAATGTCCTTTAGCATTCCATGGAGGTATTACTGAGCCTTTGGTATGGCTATAGGGCTATGGAGGAGGCAATGGCGGTTTAACCGCACACCGAATCCTGTCGATTTTGAGGGAGTCTCTGTCGTTTGATGGACCCAGAAGACTGTTAGGGCGATCTCCAATGTCACCATTTTTGGTATATCAGTATGAAATGATCAGATTTGAGGATAGAGCTTAGCGTCAACGTAAGGCTATCCGTAGGACGATGAGGAGCCGAAATAATCCCTGAAGACCCCGTTAGAATTTTAATATAATCTAATTACAGTTAGAACGCCAGAGAATATGGTTTATTTGTTGGAGGGACAAGTTTTCAAAGATTTTTTTGAAGTCTTCATAATTAGAAAGCCTAGAATACGAGGCATTTAATGCACTTTCTATATTTGGAAGAAGGCTAGTTTTTAATACAATTACTGACTCCCTCACTGTGGTTATGAGTAAAACTACTAGAAAAATTAGCTTAGTTAGCTATTATTTTTTAATAAAATTTTTTTTTACAAATAATAATTCGATTTGTAATTAATGATTTTAATAGTAGGATCCTCAGCTAATTATATTAAATTATAAGCAGAATAAAATTTATTAATTAAGTATTGCATTTGCCCAAGAATGGCGCTATCTTGCGCCATCCTCGGGCAATTACTATATATATTTTTCACAAATTTTTTTTAATTTTTATATATATTTTAAAAAAATAATTATTTTTAAAAACCAAACATTAAAGCAGAAATTGAACTCCTAAGCAAGAAGGGGAGTAATGATTGTGGGATACCTGTGAGGTTGACAACATCAATATTTTCTTTATTATCTCTAAAAATATGGCAAAACCTGCTAAGATTTGTTGAGACATCTAATACACCTTTTAAACCATTGATGAACTGACTATTTTCATCAAATCTGATAGGCTTCATGCGGAGGGTCCCTATGAATTCGATTTTTTCCACAATTCCAGGGAGTCTTACATTATTGACATTGACATGATTACAGTTGTGCCTATAAGCAGTTCTCGCTAATAACACATAACTATTAAATTTTATAGGATTATGCCTAATAATCATAAAAACGTCTTCACAATATTGATGCACATAGATCTCATCATATCCCTGTTCTGCCAAAAGTTCATGCAAATTATTGATATATTTTCTTGCAGTATACATATTTTCAAAAATCCCTGGTGTCACTTCTACACTTGAATCAATTTTCAGGACATTGTTAGTCCTTGAGCCTCTCCCTGTTAGCCTTAATCTTTGATCAGCTAGCCATCTCCCATCAATGATATATTTATAAGCCATTTCTTTCCTGTCATAGCTTTTTGGGAATAGCAGCTTTACTGCCCATTTATTATCCCCAATATGATTGAGGTTGATTTTTTTATTCCAGTTGTCCCATTCGCCTTTAATAGCGACTTCTTTGAAATTATTTTCTGCAGCATATTCTACGTACACTTTGATAGGGTTTTCTATATCATCGAATAAAGAAACTTCGGATATTGATTGGGCTCCATGGACAGGAGCGGAGTAAATGCGCTTTTCACTGACGACAGAGAGGTTTCTAGGGATGAATTCATCGTATCCTCGGGTAGAAGATACAGCGCAATTGGTAAATCCAGTTAAAAAGGCATGAGGTAATGAATCTTGTGGAGTTCTTTTTTTGGCTGGAGGATCATTATCATGCGTGCAATCGTAAAATAAGGCTGGGATTGGGGTTGATTCCCATCTCTTACTTACTTACTTAGTTACATAGTTTTTAAGGTGTCTAGTGCCCACACCCCTTAATGAAAAAGGGTCAAAGCGACAACTAGTGACGTCACCAAGCCATCTTGGAATATGTGGTCAGCCCACACCCAAAGCCTTCTATAAGGCTAGTCGCCAGATAAATCGCCGCACATCTCACCCGGCGCGTTGCCGTCGCTCGTCCAGACTCAGCTCCTGCGCGTGTTCCGCCTAAGGGTCATCCTCCCGTGGGGATGTGCTGAGAGGTAAAACTCCGAAATCTTGAGTGCACTGAGGAGTCGTGCCTTTGGTTATCCCCAAAGTTAAACGACTATTGCTGTGCAGAAGTTCTCGAGAGAAAACCCAACCCCATAAATAAAATTCCATGAGGGAGAGAAAATTGGCAGAGCCAATTTCTCTCGAACCGAATGCCATTTTATTTATGTTGATTCCCATCTCAAACTGCCAGGCTCTTGATTAATCCCTAATACAGATTCGTTATATAAATCAGATTTTTCAAGGCAGCCATAACTTGAGATTTCTCCATTTCCGTATTGATAAATTGACTTTCCCATTGCAGCAGGATCTGGGCACTGTATAGCTTCCCTGATCAATAGATTTAGTCCTAGCTTTTTGACATATTTTGCATCAGTATTAATGTCTTCAGTAAATAATTCTGCAGTAACTAATAAATTTGGGTTCACTTCTCTGGCTTTAGCCAATAAATATTCAGAAACATGAATAGGGGTGCTATGGGCATTGTCCAGTCTAAAGCCTTTAAAAAGTCTTGCCATAGTGGTGACGTATTTTTCCATGAAATCCCACACCTCAGGGCAGTCTTCTCTTTTATATCCATAACGGAGCTTTATGCAGTCATTTCAGACGATGACGTCTCTCCTTAAAAAATGCCATCCACTCCTGTCAGCAAAATCTTTGTGGACCTTTTTATATGCATTTATATAGCCGTTAAATACACAGAAATCGCCATTAGGGAGCTGGGAAAAATTCGGTTTAGTTAATGGATTATCCCATGTAATGGTTTGGCCTATTTTAGGTCGAATTTCATAGTCAAGGTTTCTCATAATATCGTCAATATGTCTGTCGCATCTTTTCATGAGAAAGAGATTTGCCATTTCTATTCCTTTTTGGCCTTTTTGTAAGCTTTCTTCATGATTCCAGCCTAAAGTATTGCAGGCTCTCCATATCATTTCTGGGATGACTTCTGTCAGAAATCTGCCTTCTCCTTGATGTTTCAAGCAACATTTTTTAATAAACCATTCAATCCCTCTTTCTGACAACGATTTTGCCATTTTTTCATCATTAATTTTTTCATTGTTCTGGCATGTCAAAAATTCTTTTTTTGCTTTGTCTAGGTTTATCATGAAAAATTCATGGATTTTGAATGGATTTACCACTTCGGACCTCAAAATCCCCAAAAGGACGTTTACATCACTTTGGCTGTCAATCCTATTTTTACTATAAAATTTTCATATTTGGCATTTAGAAAGGGCTTTAGAAAAGTTCTGTAAAGCTGTGTCTAGCTCAAAAGCAGATTTCAGATGAGGAGCGGTGGTTAAATTTCAGGTCGCATTCGGGCAGCTTTCTAAAAATGGAGCACCAGGTGACAGATGATTGAGCACAATATCTATAATGCTGCCTACACCTTCGCGATCCAACCTATTTAATAAGTTTTCTAGTGCTTTCAACTTTTTTTCTTCATTGTCATAAGCCTTAAAAATGTCACTATTAAGCTTATTCGGGTCATTTAAGCTATAATGACTTCCAGAGCTCCCAAATTCCTGCATAGGAGCAAAATGGAACATGTTGTAGCCCAGTTCTTTTTGATGGGTCAAGACTTCATACCATCTTTCAAAGACTCCACAGCATCTAGGTAAAACACTTTGCATGCAAATCCCATTGATCGGTAAAGACCTTCCTCCAATTTTTATGTCAGGATCTACAACTATTCAGTTTTTTATCCCTTTTAAAATGTCATCTTTTTTATTTAAATTCTCAACCCAAAAATTGTAGTTGCCGGGGATATCGAAATTTACCTCACAAATTCAGTGTCCAAAGGAATTCAGGCACCCTTTATATTGCTTTGGCGCTTGGGTTATTCCGTTTCATATGCTTACACAAAAGTGGAGATTTTCAGTCAGAATTGGAGATCCTGCTTCAATTTGAAAAGTAACTGTGGCATTAGGAGGTAGTCGATAAATAAAACTTGGTGAAGCAGTCGGCGGAAGGCTTCCGTCCAAACTGCTAAGTCCCCCCTCCGTGAGCGAATCAAAAAATTTTGTTCGCTTATGGAGGGAGTTAATTTTTTTTCAAAAATGCATATTCCCAATTCACAAAAATTGTGAAGCAATAATTAATTTAATATAGCGAAATTTATATTTAAAATGCAAGATGTTTGAAATTAATCAGAATTTGCTAGAGATTTCAATTATCACTCCACATAGCAATTTTTTTTTCATAAAAATTTTTGTTTGTTCACAGAGGGTGGGTTTTTAGAATAAATAGGAATTTTTTTCATGGTTTTGTTCGCTTACTGAGGAGGAAGTAAGTTTGCAAATCAGTTTATTAGCCATTTATTAACAATCTTTATCAGAAAGTAAAGAGATTTTAAAATTTTAATGGTGCAAATTTTGATTAATTTTTTGAATTAAATATGTGATCAGTATTTTGTTGCATTCAAATTTAGTTTTTAAAACATGAAAAACTTTTTCTCTGCTGTAAAAATTAATTCAGCAATATTGTCGTTAAATCAAATGTACTATAAAAGTTTATTTTATAAAGAACCTTATTAGAAGGATTTCTGTTAAAAATAAATATATGAAGAAAGATTTGTTTTCTTTCAGGCTATTAAAAATTTATTGGCTTACTCCCCCCCCCTCCGTGAGTGAACAAAAAAATTTTGTTTACTCACGGAGGGGGGTTAATTTTTTTTTTTTTAAAAAAATTTATATATAAATTTTATAAAAAATATTTTTTTTCGAAATTTAAAAAAAATCCTAATTCGCAAAAAATTGGAAAGCAAATATTTAATTTAATTTATAAAATTTTATGTTTTAAAAAGCAATTCGTTTAAAATTAAACAGAATTAGCTCTAGATTTCATTATAATAATTATCATTTATATATCAAATTTTTTTTCCATAAAAAATTTTTGTATTAAAAAAATTTTTGTTCACTCACAAAGGGTGGGTTTTTGGGCAAAAAATAGCGATTTTTATAATGGTTTTGTTCACTCACGGAGGGGGGGGGGAGTTAGGCAATTGATAAGGCCCAAAAATCAATTAAGACCTAAGCTAGGACTTTTTCTGATTAATTTTTCATTTATTTAATCATTTTCATATTTTCATTGATGATTTTGCCATTTATTGACAGAGATTTATGATGACGTCAAACAGAAAATGGAAGCAAAATCTCAAAAATTCTGATATGTATGAATCTAATCTTGACAAATTTAAGAGGCAAAGTTAATCGACGATAAAGCTGAATAAATTGATTACTTATTTGAAATTAAAAATCCGTTAAGGAGATATGTGCAAGCGTAAATCTTTGCAGTGATTTTTTATTTGTGGAGCTTGGAGAGTTGAAGATGGGGATTTCCTGATGGCCAATCTTGGAGGAATGCAAATTGGTGATTCACTGGGAAAAACAAACTCAGCTTTTGCAACATTGAAGAGCTCTGTGTTGTGTTTTTTGTTTTGTTGATGTTATTTATATTTGTAGTAGTTGATGTAGTTGATTCTGAAATTGATGCTGAAGTTGATGCTGAAGTTGATGCGGAAGTTGATGCTGAAGTTGATGTGGAAGTTGATGATGAAGTCGAAGCTGAAGCTGATGCTGCAGTTTTTGCTGTAATTGATGCTGAAGCTGAATTGATAGTAAGAAAAACTGAATATTCAATTTGGCTAATTTTATTTTTTTTTGAATTTAATCATTCCTGAATTAAGTAAAACTTCTGGTCAGAATCTATATTTAAGTTTTCAATATAAACTATTTTTAATTCCTAATTAAAGAATTTTTGCTTAATTCAAAGACTCTTAACACCTTAATTTTATATATCAGAATTATGTCCATCATTATTTTTTTTCAAATTTGAATTTTGGATTTTTGAGCCTTATGAGAACTTGGCATGCCAAAAAAGCTTCATGCTAATTTTAGTATTTGATCAGAATTTACTTTACTCCAGAGCTATTTTGAATGATTAATTTATACTCCATTTTTATAGTGTTTGAAGATATAAAAAGTTGCTAACTGAAGAAAATTTTTAGATTTTTTGCAATATCGATTATGGAATTGCTGAATTTTTTTAAGCTGATTAAGTAAAGGCTTATGATTTAAAGATTTTTTATATAATTCTTTCAACAACACCTAATTTTAATTAATTAGAGATGAATTAAAATCAACTTATGAATATTGCAAACATTCAGGATGCTGGAATAGCTTGAGGTATTAAGTTTTCTCAAAAATTACAATCCTTGAGCACACAAGTAAACTTATATATAAGCATAGACACCGTTTACTATATTTAAAATGGATATTAAGGATTTTTAAAATTAAATTCTATTAGAAAGAGCCTCCAAGATATTTTAAAACATAGAAGATCTCAATACTTCTTGAAATAAGTATGCGACACAATAGATCGAATAACTTATCTTAGTAATATAATATTAAATAAATATATTCTTTAGCTAACTCAATTAGAATTAGTCCTTGGCAGGTATATTCATTCTATGATGAAAACCAATAATTATAATTAAACCCATTTAAATTTTTTTTCAGAAAATAGCTTGACTATGCTATTAAAACTGACTTATTATATATCAAAAATAAATTCAATTGATTGGACTGAATGAACTTCCTATTATAATAAACTTTTAAAATATTAAAGCTTTTTATTAAATAAATTTAATAGCCTTACAAGAATTTACTAGTCTTGCTCCATCACACAATTTTTATCAATTATTTGGCAATTGTTTATATAAAATCCAATTTAAAAATAAGATAGCATTCGTCGACTTATAGCGATCTTCTATAATAGATTAAATATATTTCCATTTTACTCCCAAATTCGTTACAATTTCGACTTCAAAAAAAATTATTACACTATTATTTGCTGATTCCAAATAGCTATAAAGAAATTATTCAATACTTAGTAATTTAAAGTATTTAGTGAGAGAATTTTTATCCAATCCTAAGTTCTGTTTTATTAAAAGCTCAAATTGTTAATAGCCACCTAGATCATTTTTTCTATTTAAATGCTATGAATGCTGCTCATAATTAGAATATAGCTCAAAGCAGGCACAAATTTGTATTAAGGCTCTAATATGGGTTTTAAATTTTTTATATTTATATAAAACGATGATTTTTTCTTAAGCCTTTTATTCAAATTAAGCTTGAAATTTAATTGAACTCTTAGTTTGTAAAAATAAATATGCTCAGTTTTAGAAAGAAATATCATTTAGACTTGAGCTTTTTAATATTTTTGTATGTTTTATAAGTAAAATTTATCATAATGGACTTTTATGACGCTCTATGGGAAAGGGCTCTTAAATTCCGCTCCGACTCTCTGATCCAGCCACTTGAAGCCCCAGTCCGTCTCCCAAACTCTTACAATTATCAAGAGTACACAATTACTCACAAATACATTAATTCAAAAGATGCATTTATAGCTCACAATTTAGATTTTACAAATTATCATCTAAAAGTTATCGTTTGTGACTCATACAATCAAGCCAAAGAAATTCACCGAATAATCCAACCATTAACTCCTATCTGCGGCGAGCTTAAACTTGTAGAAATTAAAGATGTTTTCGAAGTCTATGATAATGATAATTGGCTAGTCATACTAGTCAGCGAGCTTGTAGAAGGGATCTCTCTAGAACAAGTGTCAGGACTTTTACGATCCAGCTCAGAAATAGACAAGATTTCTAAAGATGTGTGTATTTTTGCTTATATTTGGCTCCTAGATGTTATTGAATCTGCTCAGCAGAAGGGAATATTTTTTAACAGCATTTTTCCTGACAGTGTTTTATTGTGTAGAGGGCCAGTTTCAGCGAATTCAGTGGTTTCTACAGAAAAATACTCGTATAATTTGAAAGTTTCTATGACTGGAAATTATGCACTTAATTGTGGAGTTTCTAGGCTGGACCATATTTATCCTTCTCCGAATTATCGAGATACTTTATTGTCTGATCTCTGAGGACTCGGCCTTTGCTTATACACTCTTTGTGGCTCTGGAACTTTAGAAGAATTGCCAACGCTTAGGGATTGTTCTGATAAAGAAAGGCAGGAAGCTATAAAAATACGTTTCCAAGACCCAGCGATAGACTGTATATTAGCTGATGCTTTTAAAGACTCAAATTCTAAAGCACCTTTTAACCATCCTTTTGTAAAGGTCTGAAGAGGATTGTGGCTAAAGGATTGGAGCATGGTAGATTCCAGCTCTATCCGAGAGCTGTTCGCCCTTAGGTCTGGGCTGTTTTTTGAAAACATTCAAGCTCAATTTTTAGCATTAAAAAAAGTTTTAATTTTAGGCTCGAGCCACAGCTCAGAAATTTATGACCATTTGTCAAGTTCACATATATTAAGCGATTTTTTGCAACTTTGTATGAAATTTGATTGAAAAGGGTCAAGAAATTTAATTGATTCAGTGTTTTTAATTATGCAGTATAAGCCTGCTACGCATGGATTTCAAGAGCAATTAGTGGATATTGGATTTTTAGGGATCATTCCTATTGCTATAAAGCGTAATATTACTCCAAATATTTTATATGATTTTGCTATAAGATTTATTGATGATAACACGCTGACTCTTTTGCAAATTTTATGAGACGCTGATGTCCCAAAGCGAGCTTTAGGTGGCGATAAAATAGATGCTGGGTTTTTAAAGTCCACTATAGCTTATTATGGCCCGAATTCTTTAGATATCATGAAAGAAGCTATGAAAAGCGAGTTTTTAAACGAGTATAGAGTTTTGCAAGCTATGCTGGAGGTTCCGTTTTATTTTAAACTTGAACGGCACAGAGATGTGCTAGAACTTTTAGAGAAAATTATAGCTAAAGGAAAAAACCAAAGCGAATTTATAGTAGACATATTAAAAAATACTGTCCTTATTTTAGCTGAAATTTTATCATTACCAAAAGTCCTCCAATATCATCATGCTTCAGGACAATGCACAAGCCATTCCACCCAGCAGTTTATGTGCTATGTCGGGAAAAACCCTCTACTAATTTACTGCATTGACTGTAATATTTCTCTATGCACAGTCTGTTATTGTGCAGCCCATGCAGGTCACAATAAAAGGTTTCTTTTATATCTAAACCCGCATTTTCGCTGTAACTGTGAAGAAGAGCACAAAGTTATTTTGTGTGATATTTCTGAGTTTCGTCTGCCTGAAAAAAATACAAAAAGGATATACAAATTTGTATTATTTAAGAAATAGGTATAAATAGAAGCCATTAATCAGTAAAATTCAGCATACATGATTTCTAGAAATGGAGAAATTTCTTTAGAAGACCATAAAGGGATCTATAAAAGTGGTCGCGAAAAAGTAAAAATTACTACGGAAAAACCATTGGTCACTAATTGAGACAAAAATAGGGTAGGGACTGTAATTTATTATGAAGTAAAAATCCTCAGGGCTGGGAAATATGAAGACATTACTATAGGAATTGATGGGACTGGAATTTCGTATAAAGGCATGAATGGGAAAATTTTCAAGGGAGATGAAGAAGTCTCGCTTGGTCCTCGTTTTGGGTCTTGAGATATTGTAGGGATAGGAATGACCAATTACAAAAAAGTTTACGTCACCTATAATGGCCTTGTTGTACACCCACTTATTAGCTGCGATCCTGGGCCAGAGCTTCGGCCAATAATCTCTATGGGAGACGGCTGCGAAATTCAGCTAAAATTAAGAAGCTGGATGTTCCAGCCTCCAGAATCCCCAAACCAGCCTTTATTTTACAGTGAAATTCTCCAAGAGTCCAAGCACCTTTTAGAAAACTTGTTTAATTTAATCAAAAAAGTCTGCAGAAAAAATAACAAAGATAGGAAATGTCAAGATTTAATAGAAAAATTTTTAGCATTATTAGAGTCAGTTAATGAAGAAAAATTAATACAGAAAACCAGAAAAGAAATACAGAGAACGTATGGAGGCATGTCTTCGTAAATAAGCATTATTTTCTTATATATTTAAATTTAAATGAATAGAGGTAATAGAGAAGCTATTCAAGTGTGCATTAGGGTAAGGCCGCTATTGAAACCGTATGAAGATGAAGAAATTTGGTGCACTGACTCTAATAGTAATTCTATCTATACAATAGGCGCAAATCAAAGTGATTCATCGCCATTCAGAGATAAAGAAATAAAGCTAATTCTCTCATCTTTGATCGACCAAGCGAAAACTCCTAAAAGTGGGATTAGCCTCTATCCTTAATAAAACACAATTTTCATATGACTAGCATGAAGCATGCTCTCAAATCTAGGTACCTGTCTTTGATAATAATGAATCTTAGAGATTATGCCGTATAATCATCGCTCTTACGCAATTTTAATGTGATTTATATCATATTTTGTAATATTTTGCATATTCCTCTCTTGTGTTTATATTGAATATTCAATAATTTTTAAACGCAATGTTAAATAATTTCTTTTAAAATATATTTTAGCCCTATTCATTATCGAATTATTGCAAGATGGAGGAATAAGATATTCAGAAGGGCAAGGCCCACAATCTTTTACATATGACCACGTATATGGCCCAGAGTTCACTTCTCAGCAGATTTATCAACAAATTTCCAAACCAATCGTGCAGAGAGTTCTAAATGGCTTTAATGGGACTGTTTTTATGTATGGACAAACGACTTCAGGTAAAACTTATACAATGCTTGGGACTCCAGACTTGCCTGGGATTCTTCCTTGCTCTATTAAAGACATTTTTCAAAGCATCGCTAAGGACGCTGACAGAGAATACTCAGTTTGGGTTTCCTATTTAGAAATTTACAATGAGCATATCAATGATCTGCTAGTTCCCGGGTCAAATAATCTGAAAATAAAAGACGACCCTAAACAAGGCGTTTTAATTCAAAATTTGAAGCACCAACAAGTATGGACCTTTGACCAGGTGATTTTATTGATGAATTATGGAGAAGAGCACAGGTCTTATAGAGAAACAAGCATCCATGAGCACTCCAGCCGCTCCCACACAATTTTTAAGCTGTATATAGAAAGTATAGCAAGAGGGGATAGAGGCGATGGCAGAATCAGGTTTGGGTGTTTAAATTTGGTAGATTTGGCAGGCAGTGAAAGACTTAATGAGTTTGATATAAGGAATCAAAGCCAACTAGGGGAGACTGGACATATAAATAAATCGCTGTTTACGCTTGCTCATGTGATAAATAAGCTTGCTGAAGGAAAAACTCAGCACATTCCGTATAGAGATAGCAAACTAACGAGGATTTTAAGCTTTGCCTTGGGCGGGAATTCGTTGACTGCGATTGTGTGTACTGTGTCTCCAGCTGCCATGAATTTCCAGCAGACCATTTCTACACTGAGATTTGCAAGCAGAGCTAAAATTGTCCAAAATGCTCCACATTTATACTGTTATGGATTAAATATTTAAATTATTTATAAATAAATGCTTTAGGCTATATGCACACAAAGTTAGTATAAACGAAATTTTAAATGAAATTGCAACAGTAAACGAATACAAAGCAGAAATAATTCGCCTCAAAGAAGAATTAAGCCAAATTAACGAAGAAAAACTGAGCTTGCAAATAGCGTATAATAAATTAGAAAGAGAGCTTGAAAACGCCCGAAAAGAAGTAGAAAGCCACCGAGAAGTCCATAAAGATGCTATAAATGAGCATGGAAAAGACAAGCAAAAAATTGAAAAATTGGAAAAAACTTTAGAAATGCAGCTGAGAGAGCTAAATAGCCATAAGTCAGAATTCAGTGAAAAATACCAAAAATTGCTTGATAGATTTCAAGAGGAAAGAAAATATAGAGCAAGACTAGAAAATGAGCTAACTGAGCATAAGCAAGCTTTAGCAGAAACCATCAACTCAGAGCAAGGGACACTAAGATATCTAAATAAATTAATTCTAGATGCAGGTGGGACACCTGTAGAAATCCCCAACCCAAGCTCTACTTATCAAGCTAGCCCTCAGGAATCATATATACATTAATTAAAAATTTTAAAGGTGTGCAACCCTACACTCCCACTAAAGGGACAGAGCCAAAATGGTGATGTCATGAATATTTCCAATCCAAAAGGTCGGACCATCCCAAATAAACTGCCTGCCAACCTGACCAGCGCTTCTCGCCTGGCTCTATGCCATCGCCCTTCCCTTATTCAACTCCTGCGCATGTTCCGCCTAAGGGACACCCTCCTCAGATGTGCTGAGAAGACTAACTTTGAGCCTCTTGTTGCGCTGTAGAGCAGTTCCTCTGGTTATCTCCAAAGTTAAACCTCTGCTGCTCTGCAGAAGTTTTCGAGAGAAACCTAACCCATAAATAAAATTCCATGAGGGAGAGAAAATTAGCAAAGCTAATTTATCTCGAACCAAATGCCATTCTATTTATTATTCCCAGGAATCAAATTTTTTAGAATCTTTGACCCTACAAATGGACCAAGATTTTATCCCAGAACCTAAAATCCATGATGAATGGACTAGCCAGTCCAATAAAATCATTGAAAACTATAAGCAGCAGCTAGCAAATTTGCAAAGTGAGTACCACGACAAAATCCAAAATCTTTATTACCACCTTTCCTCCGAAACCAAAAAATCCCCAGCCAAATCAATTCCAGAATCCCCTGACTCTCCTCAGTCTCCTTATAACAAAGATCTATTTTCTTCAATAAAAATAAATTTTGACCATATCATTGAAGAATATTTAGCAAATCCTAGCAATAGTCCTGATCTTGCCGACGTTATTGTCAGCAAATTAAAAGATTATCGAGATTTATTAGGAGATCAAATTGAAGGGAAATACGATGACGCAATTGTCAAGCTTGAAGAGTTTTTCAAGGAAAAAATTTCGACATCAAATAGAGTAGAAATTTCGCAGCTGACTGATCATCATAGCGAGCTACTAAAAAAGCTAAGGGATCAGTACGAAAATATGATGGAAAAGCTTGAGCAAAACTATTTACAAAGCCGATATCTTAAAAAATGTTAAAAAAATTATTTTTAAAATAAATAATTTTTTAAAAAAAAAATTTACAAACCCTCCAGCTTTTCGAACAATATTTTTTGGAAAATGATGAATACCAAACTAAAATTTATTAATTGGATAATTCTTATTTATTTAGCTTGGTGCTGGCGTAGATAAACAGAATAATTGTAAACTCGTGAAACGTTGACTTCACAGACTGTGATTTGTTCTTTTAAGAATTTCAAGTCTTCATTGGTCGAATCCAGCGCAGTTTGAGCTCCAGACAGGTTTTTCTCTAAAAGTTCTTTGGCCTCTTCATGGGAGTACTCAAGCATCACATTAGCTCCCAACCATAAAGCTACTGTATTGCTCCTTGGAACTTCCGCTTTTGTCCATAAGGCGTCTGAAAGCTGAAAGTCTAAAACAAGGTCTTTATCTGCAGATACGAGATAGTTCACAGTCTCCAATGCGTTCGTTATGTCTGGCAGCTTTGCTGTGAGCACTTGTTTGGACCTCAGCAATTGAGCTTCCATGAATTTGTATTTTGAATAGAGCTCATTCAGCTGATTTAAGATACTTTCTACTCCGTATTGTGAGGAGAACTCTGGGACATTTTCCTATGTAAAAAGTACAATGAAGATAACACTCGGAATCTTTCTTGGGTTAGATGATGGTTGGGAGAGTGGAATCGACATTTTTATAAATATTAGGTATCAAGGATTATTTATTCAGGATTGTTAAGTTTATATAATTCAAAAATTAGATATAGGAGTTTTTCCTATATGGCCCGATAGGGCCGTGGGTTCTCCGTGGAATCCTTCTGTTAGTCAAACCAACTCAGTGCATTGGTTTGGTTCAACCAGCTGAGGGATTCCATGGAGAACTCACGGTCCTTATCGGGACATATAGAGAAAACTCCTATAACTTTTATATTATTCAAATTCACATGTCGAGCAATAATAGGCTGTGCAGGGTTTGAAAACCCTTTGCCTAATTTGAAGGCTGGCATTCCTTTGTCCCTGAATCTCTTCATCCTGAATCTATTAGCAAGAGTAGGCGAAGCAGACCTGATTTCGCTGTCAGCTTTTCTTCGAGCTGGTGGAGATCCAGGAGCTCTATTTTGGGTCGGATTTATAGGCTGATGTGACCTTCCTCTTACATTTAGTATTTTTTTAGGAGGCTCTAAAGGTGGTCTCGGTATTATAGGAAGTTTGCTCATCATAGATATAGGTTTTCTATCAATTTTCTGTTTTGAAGGGTGGCTTGAAATTACTATTGGAACAATTTCATCAGAAATTTTAGGCAGAGAAGCAGCAGAAGATTCGTCTTGAGATGTATTGATTTTAGGCCGTCTCAGCAGTTCTTCTTCAGGCTGTAATTGGACTCTAGATGATTGGCGCACACGAGAACTAGACCTTTCTTGGCTTAGAGAAAGAGTCGGGATAAAGAATATGTTGCTTTCGTTTACTATACTTAAATTCACGAGATCAGGCTCCCTTTGGTTTTGCTGGAACTTTTTCTTTGAAGAAATAACTTCTTCTGCTTCTAAAGCAAAAAGAGGTGTATTTGTTTCAATTATCGAGGGTTTCAGGATTGGTGACTGTATAGAAGTGACAATTACAGTTTCAGACTGTGGAGGAATTATAATTGATTTTGAAATATTCACTGAATTTTCAGAATATTCTTCACGAACTTCTGGTTTTTCTTGCTGAATTTCTTCAATTTTTTCTTCTTCTTCTTTAACATTTTTAACTTTAATTTCACTAAAATCAATTATATCGTCTTCTTCTGCATCCTCCTCCTCCTCCTCTGAGCTAGAGCTTTCATGAATATTTTCGTGTGAAAATAAATTTTCTAAATCCTGTGACAAGCCTAAATCCTTGTTTTTTTCTGAAGGAATTTCTGATATATTATCCCATGCTTTTTCGTCCTTATTTATAGAAACTTCTTCATTTTGCTGCTCTTTAATCTGAGCATCATGCTTTTTTATAGTCCCTTCTTCATGAATTAAGTTAAAAACGATGTCTTCTCTTTCTTCAATAGACAGTTTTTCAGATCCTAGCTGCTTTGTCAGCTCTTTTCTGTATTTATTGCTGCCTTTTCCTCCAAAAACGACCCCTGCGAATTTAAGCAGCTTAGAGGAGACTGCAGCAATAATTTTGGCTTCGGGGACAGTTTTTCCATATTCAATTTCTGAGGCTGCTGAGGTTTTTCGTGAGTTTTCTAGCTGAGATGGGCTGATGGATTTTAAATCTGAAGGCAAGGAGTCTAGAGTGCCTTCTTCACTAGTCAAACAGCTGTCTTCGTCCCTAAATTTATGAATTCTCCTTCTCAGCTCAATTAATTTTTCATATACAATTTTCTGAGTTCCTTTTAAATCTAGTTTATCAATAGAAATATCCAAGCTTGATTTTGACTCAATATCGAATTTTTCTGAGTTTTCTGTGATTTTGGGTATATTGATGTCTTCATTTTTTCTTTCAGAAATTTCTCCAAGGGCAACTAGCTTTTCCTCTTGCAGTTCTTCTTGAGAAAACAGACTTGGCAAAATATCACCAAGTTTTATAGGTTTATCCAGCTTTTGTCTATGCAAATGCATAATTTCGTCCAATTCTTGATCAATATCAGCTAGCCTCTTCTGGTAGCTTGATCTTAATTTTTGTTTTTCTCTTTCCTGTTCTTTCATTGCTTCTTCTATTTTTTTTAGTTGCTCAGTCCACATATCTTTTCCTTCTTCTAAATGTTTTTTAATTATTCTTTCCCTCAATAATTAAAAATCCTGCATTTTTATCAGAAAATTCTTTTTTTTTTATATAAATTATTCTACTGCAGGATATTTCTACTTCTTCAAGCATTTCTTGTTCCTTTGCATTTCACAAAGTTTGCTTTTTATTCAGTTTATTTTTTAATTTAATTTCTGCTTCTTTGACTTCTAATAAACTTTCAGCTAGTTGTTGGCACTAAATAAAAAATACTTTAAGTTCAAACTGGTTCTTTTCAGACAAAAGAGTTAAAAGAAGCTGCTGATATTCAGAGAGGAGCTTGGATAGGTGCTTAGAAAAATGAGGGTCAAGCTTGGTTGTTAAAAGTTGCCCAGAAATTTGAAGGGATTCTAAAGTATCAAAAATTGAAATGCTGATGTTCTGTTTTTGGTTTGGTTTGTGCTTTTTCATATTGGATTTAATTATGGATTTTTGCATATTATTAAGAATTTCGAGATATAGGCTTTTAAGATAATAAATCATTTGAATTTGAAAAATAATGGGTTAATATAAATTATTAACTTACTAAGCTTGAGGTTCCAGAGGTTCCTTGTGTGAACCCAATGGCTTCTTTTTGACCTTCATGCTGTCCAATTAAATCCATAATTTCTCCTTTTCTCAATCTCACTAGAGGATTTGAGTCTATATTTTCATAACTATGCCGGTTATTTAGCGCCACATCTAAATACCCGCCTTTTGAAGCTTCAGATTCCGACATCCCTTTTTGTCCATAGACTGCCCCTTTAACTTTTCCTACAAGCATGCTGACCCCTTCTCCTATAGATTCTACGGCTGACTGTGTAGCTGATTCTACCGATTTCACTGCTTTTGACTGTCCAATTTCTTCCACCTTTTCTTTTGCACTGCTTCCTAGTTCTACCACCTTAGAAAACATGCTCGAAAGAATCCCTGCTGAAGCTGTCTCAGTGCCCATTAAAAACTTTTCCTCTTGAGGGTTCGGCATGCATTCTAGATCTTGGATGTCTGGGAGTCTTTTTTGCTCTTTGAATTCTTCTTCTTTGATTACTTCTGAGCCTATATTTTTGGCTGGGAAAGGAATCTCATATGTTCTTCTATCTGAGACAGTATCAAGCATTTTCCGATAATAGTCCATAGCTTTGGTTCTATATTTCACATTTATTGGAGTGTCTGGGCTAATTTCAAGGATCTATAAATAATGACGAATTGGCCATTCAGCATATTTTAGGTAAAAATTATGAAAATATCTTCCCCCCAATTTCATAATAAGTCAAAAATTCTCTAACTCCCCCCTCTGTGAGTGAACAAAAAAAATTTTGTTCACTCACGGAGGGGTGTTTATTTGTTTTTTAAAAAAAATTTATATATAAATTTTATAAAAAATATTTTTTTTTTTTCGAAATTTAAAAAAATCCTAAATCGCAAAAATTGGAAAGCAAATATTAATTTAATTTATAAAATTTATGTTTTAAAAAAGCAATTCGTTTAAAATTAAAAGAATTAGCTCTAGATTTCATTATACTAATTATCATTTATATATCAAAATTTTTTTCCATAAAAAATTTTTTCTATTAAAAAAATTTTGGTTCACTTACGGAGGGTGGGTTTTTGGGCAAAAAATAGCGACCCTTATAATAGTTTTGTTCACTTACAGAGGGGAGGAGTAAGTGTAGAGTTTCCACCAGAAATCAATAATTTAAGCTCCTTATAGCTCCATGGTTCTTCAACTATCAGCTTAATTTTGGAAATCTCAGGCAAAAGCACTCTATGAGAATCCGCACACTTCGAACAGAGAAAGATGCCATGGTTATAAGAACAGCTTGTAGGGCCAGGCATGTTACAATCAAAGCAGACTTGGTTATCTGGGCCTTCGAAGAGCTTGCTGAAGACATGTAATTTAACATCAGATGACTGCGACATTTCTTTTATTGCAAAAATATGGCAATTATTGGTGTATATTTTTTGAATTTACCATTTTTAACAGAAATGAAAATTTATAAATAAAAATTATTTGTTATTAAACTTGCTGCTTTTTTCTGATTGAACTCATAGTTTCTTCTGTTTGTGCCCACTCTAGTACGAGCCTTCTTCCGTATAGATGTGTGTTTTGTAGAGAATTCATCGCATTTTCTGCGTCATCGTGAGTTAAAAATTCCACAAATGCAAATCCTCGATGTGTGCCCTGAGCTTTGCTAGGAATTCTTACATTTTTGACCTCCCCGAAATTTTGGAACAAATTTTTTAATTCTTCTTTTGTGGCTTCAAAAGCCAGATTTTTGACGAGTAATTTGATCCTGTTATCATTCTCTTTGGTTTCTTCTTCAACTCTAGGTCGTTTTTGGGGTATTTGTATAGTTGTTTTTGCCTCAGATAATTTTAATGCATGGCCATCTAATAAAGAATTATTTAAATTCCTTAATGCTTTGCTTGCAGATTTTTCTGTGGCGTATTCAACGAAGCCATAGCCACAAGGTAACCCTTTATTAGTCACAATTCGGATGCTTTTGATTGTTCCACACTGCTTCATATGGTCTTCTAGCTTTTGTCTTGTAGTTTCAAAGGAAAGGTTTTTTACGAATAAAGTGTTTGTGCTTGCTTTGGTAATTTCGATAGGTTTTGTGTATTCACTATCAAAAGTGTTTAATGGGGCCCATTCTAGATATAAGGGGAGAGATTTATAGTTTAGATAAGAAGCTTGTTGAAAAGCATTTTCTGCTGCTCCTGAGTCTAAATATGCCAAATTTAGTAAATATAGCATTTTTTGTATCAATTTTTATTGAAAATAGTATATTTAAAATACTAATATATCCCCTAACTTACCTTAAGAGGGTTACTCCACAATTGCTATAGTCTTTGAAGGCGGCATACAGCATCTCCCTATCGCTCCATACCTTGCAAAAATATCCTGTATATCCGAAAGTGACGAGCCACCAGGCAGATTTTTCACAATAATCACATTTTGGCTCCTCGCAGTCGAATTTCTATCTCCATTAAAAGCTTCATAATTAATCCCTTGGGTTTCCATCCACTCCTTAATTTCTTGCAAAATCTTTGTCTCCGCCATCGATATTTTTACAGCTAAATCGTCAGCTCCTGTATCCATAAACTCCCCTTTGCTCATATGCAATTTATTTGACATAGCTGCAGCTACCGAATCTGGGTTTAAAAACAGGGTATTCCACGTATTAGAATTTTTGGCTTTTTCTTTAAGCTTAGCAGCCAGCACTTTTTTATAAGAACTTGGTGCACGAGACTCCATAATGACTTCAGGCTTCTTTTTAGCTTGGATTATATGGAGCAGTCTCCCTTGAAACACACTCCTGTCTAATTTATCAAAAGCTTGAACCGCAGACTCAGTCGCTGCAAATTTCACATACGCAAAACCTTTGGGCCGATGGTTTTCTGCATCAATCGGCAAAGTGATTTCTTCAATAGCCCCAAACTGAGAAAAAAGGTCTTCAATATCTTCTTTGCTGACCCCATATGACAAATTTCTTAAAAACAGCCTTGAAGGGTCTATTTCTAGGTTTTTATTATCAGAGTTTTCTGTGGATTCCTCGATGATTTTTTCTTCTTCTTTCTGTGGCTCATTTTTTGCTGGCTTTTGCTTTGGTTTTTTGCTTCAAGTTTTTAGGGAAGGGTCGCTTTGTGGCTTGGCTTCTTCAACTTGGATTTTGCAGGTGCCTATGTAATTTTTGTCAAAATATTTTGTAAGGGCTTCTGAGATGCCTTTTTCACGGAACCCAATGAAGGCAACTCGTCTGAACGTTCCGTCAGCTTCTTTGAGGAGTTTTACATCAGTCACTTCTCCTTTGGCAGAAAAAAACTGTTTTAGCTGCTGCTCAGTGGCGTTTTTAGGAAGATTTTTCACGAAGATTCTGGACATTCTTATGGAAAACTAATAAAAATTTGCATAATTTTATCATAGATGGATTTTGGATATTGGAAATGGAAGAATTTTTATAGTTTTTCTATGTTTTTATCGTGAATTTATAGTAAACATCATAATAAAGTGCTTATTTTGCATCTAGATTACTCAAATTTTACTTTTTCAAATCATTTATATATTTAAATGGCAGCATCTGAAGATCGGTTTGTGTTCATAGTAGACTGGTTTGACCAGCCTGCCTCCTTAATTCGTAAATACCAAGTCACATACTACTGTGTAGACAACACAATTGAAATGGTACTGTTAACGTAGTATGACATAAAAAACCGTCGCATTTTCCTAAAAAGATGCCAATATCCCACCATCGCATTGACTGATTTATTTATCGGCGCCACTGTTACAATATAGCCCATACCCATATATAGATTTCTGTATCGAAACAGCATGTAATTGACGGTTGAGACTCTATTAAAGGGATGAGCTGGACTCTATACCAAGAAGAGCTAAAAAGCGCATGTCAAAAATGGTGAAAAGTTTGCTTGTCAACCATATTTGGCATGCCACTTCCTGGTGATACTTCACCCGCCCATTGCATTTTGTATCATAAAGAAATCTATATATGGTATGGGCTATATATGCAAGGCAGCTTAAGGTCGTCGAGTACGCTGATGTGTTCACAAGGACCCATTTCGAGTCTCAAAGAGGCAGGACCTTTGCAATGATCAAGCCAGACTGCTACTCTCATATAGGAAAAATAGTAGATACCATAGTAACTGCAGGATTCAGGATCAGCCACATGAAAATGGCCCATTTTACTATTGACGATGCTCGACAGTTCTATGCTGAGCACCAAGGCAAGCCATTTTACAATGAATTAGTAAACTTCATGGCAAGTGATGTAGTTGTCGGCATGGAACTTATCGCAGAAAATGCAGTCCCCAGATGGCGAGAACTAATGGGCCCTACAAACCCGAATACAGCCAGAGTTGACGCCCCTAGAAGCTTAAGAGCTGTTTTTGGTACTGAAGGGTCACACAATGCAGTTCATGGAAGTGATGCCCCAGCAAGTGCGACTAGAGAAATCAACTTTTTCTTTGGCTTACAAGCTAATCCAGCTGTGCTTAATAACTGTACTTGTTGTGTGATTAAGCCTCATGCGATAGAAAACGCTGGAAAAATCATTGATATGATATTAAATGAAGGGTACGAAATTTCAGCTTTACAGATGTTTAGCATTGATAAACCGACCGCACAAGAGTTTTTGGAGGTTTATAAAGGAGTTCTGCCAGAATATGTGGCAACTGTAGATGAGCTGACGTCGGGGCCGCTGATAGCCATGGAGATCAGACAAGAAAATGTAGTCCAGAGCTTTAGACAGTTATGCGGGCCAATTGATCCAGAAGTAGCGAAGAATTTGAGACCAGGGACGATTAGGGCAAGATTTGGGGTCAATAAAGTGCAAAATGCAGTCCATTGTACTGATCTACCTGAGGATGGAGCCCTTGAGTGTGAGTATTTCTTTAGAATTTTAAGTGGCTCTAACTAAGTAATTCCTTTTTAATTTCTCAAAAAATTTTAAAAATTTTTCAGTTAGAGATCGTTAAATTATTTTTGCATTTTAAAAATGAATACATCATTGAGTATTCCAAAAAAGCCAAATAGTTGTAATTCATCAGTTTTGGCAGCTGCTTCGTTGAATCACACTGGGAAAAACATACCGAAAATTCTTACTCCTAGAGTCAGAGGAGAAAATGGGCCTTTGCTTATGCTTGATAAGCTAAATAGTAGCAATGCATCAGTTTTGTCATCTGCATCACTCAATCAGACTACGAGAAATATAACGAAAAATCTGCATGCACATACCCCAAGAATGAAAGAAAATATACCTGCTACAGATGAAGTGAAATTTCCAATGCCGGGTGCATCTGCATTGAAAAGTTATAAAGCATATCTAAGCAGCTGGGAACAAGGGGAAATTTTTATTCCTTTTAATTTGAAGGCAAAATTTTAGCACATAAAATACCTAATAGAATGGTCTCTATAGAATAATATAGATTACAATAAAATTTATTTTATTGGAAATCACGCTAAAAAATCACACTTAAGAGTTGGCCCAAACAATGGATTTGATGATGATAGAGGTGATTATAAAATTTCTTTTACCCCACACCTTGATTGAACGAAATTATTGGGTAAATAACCCCATCCTTAGTTGAACAATTTTCATATGGCCAAAATGATAAATACTCTAATTCATCCTATCTTCTTTTAATAATAATGAATCTTACCGGTTCGATTAATGATAGGGGGAGTTAGGTGACCACATATGTTACCGCTATGAAGTTAATCAACAATTAGGTAAAGGCTCTTTTGGGCAAGTATTTAAAGCATACGATCATAAAGATAAAGAATTCGTAGCAATGAAAATCATAAGAAATAAAAGTAGGTTCCATCAGCAAGGTGTTGTCGAGGTAAAAGTTCTAAAAGCCCTAAAAGATCATGATTCCCAAGATAGATATAATGTAGTGCATATAAAAGATTTTTTTATTTTCAGAAAGCATCTTTGCATTACTTTTGAGCTGCTTACTCCCCCCCTCCGTGAGTGAACAAAACCATTAGAAAAATCGCCATTTTTTGCCCAAAAACCCCCACCCTTTGTGAGTGAACAAAAAATTTTTAATAGAAAAAAATTTTTATGGAAAAAAAAAATTGATATATAAGTGATAATTATTATAATGAAATCTAGAGATAATTCTGTTTAATTTTAAGCAGATTGCTTTTTAAAACATAAATTTATAAATTAAATTAATATTTGCTTTCTATTTTTGCGAATTAGGATTTTTCTAAATTTCGAAAACAAATATTTTCTATAAAATTTATATATAAATTGTTTTTAAAAAAAGAAAATAAACCCGGGGGAGTTAGCATAAATTTGTATGATTTTATAAAAAGCAACCATTTTCATGGACTAAGCTTGCCTTTGATAAGAAGATTCGCATACCAAATCCTTCAATGTCTAAAACTGTCCCACAGATTAGGAATTATACACTGCGATTTAAAGCCCGAAAATATTTTATTGAGGCAATCAAATAAATCAAGCCTAAAAGTTATTGATTTTGGGTCATCTTGCTATGAAGACCAAAAACTTTATACATATATACAGAGTCGTTTTTATAGAGCGCCAGAAATTATGCTTGGCATTCCATATACCCAGAATTATTTTTTTTAAAATATCATAAAAATTTATATAAAATTAAAAAACAAATTTTCCATATACAACTGGTATTGATATGTGAAGCTTTGGCTGTATTTTAGTTGAACTTTATACAGGCTACCCACTTTTCCCTGGCGAGTCTGAACTTGAGCAGCTACAATGTATTATGGAAGTAAAAGGAATACCTCCATATAGCATTCTCCAACAGTCCACCCGGTCTAAGCTATTTTTCGATCCATCAGGATACCCAAAAATCACTGCAAATTCTAGAGGTAAAAAACACTACCCAAGTACAAAAGAACTTACTACCCACCCTTTTGTGGGCGAGCATAAATTGCTTTGCTCACTAGCAAAGGGGTTGTTATTTTTTATATTATTATAATATATTTTGTTTTAAAAATCCCAATTTGCGAATTTGGGAAGAAAAATTTAATTTAATTTAGTTTTGTTAAAATTCAATAGATTAATAGAGATTTCCATATAATAATTATCTTAGCTTAGATATGATTTATTACTCATCACTACCGCCGCAGAGATGTGAAGCCTTATTTACTCGACGTAGTTGCGGGCCTCTTAGATGGGTGCTCAAGCTTTCCAAAGAGACTTCCTTCATCAGATATAGAAGCCTTGCCAGAAGTTGGCCAAGGTGTTACTTGGCTTCTCTACTATTCGGTTAAGGATCTCTCGCTCCGTCGAGAGATAAAGTGGTTTAAATTCTGTTCCTCCTAAAAGCCAAAACCAGGCCCCAACAGCGCTGCTTGCCTGGCATATCAAGCTAAAGGTTCACTGCTAAAAAAACCAGAATAATAAAATTGCTTGAGAATGGAAAAGTTTTTGTAGAGAACTTATTTTAATGAAAAGAATTTATTATATATCACTTACATATCAAAAGTTTTAATTTTAAAACATTCTGTGCTCGCAAATGGGAGACTTTTCGAGCAGTTTTCAAAGGTGGAGAGTTAAAGAAATTTTACGAGATACTGATGCACCGTTCCAAGATTTTATTGAAAAATGCTTACTTTATCATCCTTGATTAAACGACCCTGTATTAAAAAATATTCCAAAAACGTTTTGTATGCTAATAATAAGAGATAGAGTATGCGATGCACTAGCAAATATGTCACAAATTAGTAGAATTGTGCAAGAGCAGCTATACTATAATATCTTTTAATCTTAAATCTACCTATCGAAAAGTCCACTGCAATTCCTAAATGACTATCTCCACTCATAACACTTCCCAGCCTGCTCCCCAATTCGCTTTTCAGAACATCACGAAGGTTGCTTTTGCCATGCGGGGTCTACACTTTCTACACAGTTGGATGAGTTTATCATACTTTACATCAACACAGATTGCGTGCCAAAATGGTTGAATTACTTGAAGGCTCGACAAAAATAAAACCCTAAGCCCAGAGCTTTACTCCTGAATTCAAACTAGAATACATTCCCAATTAGCAAGGAAACTAACCTTTGGCCCTCATTTGAGATCCCTTTCCAATTCTTGATCCTATTTGCCGATCAAAAACACCCAGAACTGAATGTAAGCTTGCGGTGGGCAATTCCGGAATAAGTTTCACCAAATCAAGTAAACCTGACAGGATACTCGCTCCTGAACGTCATCCTACCTTATGAATTCCTGCACACACTTGCTGGAGTCAGCTAAGGACTTAAGAGATTGGGCTGGTTCGCCACGCCATTTAATGTATATATACTGTAATATTTTGAGCAATTTTAAATAAAATCTTCGCTCAAGGTTGAGGGAGTTAGAATGGGATCCAGAAAGGAGAATTAAGGCAGAAGAGGCTTTAAAGCATATGTGAATAATGGAAGGAATTTCTAGGCCCCCTACATCATCAACTCCAAAAGCTGCTGAAATTCCTAGCTCTTTCTTAAGAGCAAGCATAATATAAGCATTTTTTTGTATAAAAAATATTTGTATATAATAAATAATCGTTATAGCGAGATCCCTAGTATCGTCTAATTCAATAAAATTTTAGAAGGCCTTTTATTGGTAAATAAATTTTAAAAAAAAAGCAGCATTTAATAGAGTGAAAAAAAGCTTTGCCTAAGCCTAAAGGAGTAAGCCTACTCATAAGCATAAATTAAGCTATCAAGAGTATGCAAAATCTACACGCCATTCTAAGCCTGGAAGTTTTTTATTTTAATAGGTTTTATTGAATTTGTGTAGAGTTATTTATACTTTATTTCATTTAACAATATTTGAATAAAAATTTCTAGCCTCATTTAGAGACAAAAAGAGATAATCATATATATTAGCAAAAAATGAAAATCCAATAGATTATTTATGAAGCTCTTTGGGTTTTCTCAGAGAATATTAATTTACAAATAAATAGTAGTCAAATTATCTTCTTACATCTTCAAATAATAAAAAAACTTTTTTCTTCTTATTAGTTGCTATATCGTACAAATTTATTTTTGATAATAATAAATTTAGTTTTACAGCTGCTCAATTTTCTTGAAGCAACCTTCTCTTCCTATCAACCTCAAATAGATACCTCTTAACAATTAAATCCAACTGAGTTTTCTGATCTTCCCCCCACCCCATCACAACAAAATTTTATTTTGGATTTTAGATTTGTTTTTAAGGGGATGTTTAGATTCAAATTTTAAAGATATCTCAGTTGATAAAATGAAGGAAAAAAGTAATAAACTTGTATTAAAACGTTAAAACATATTCTAGTAAATTTTGTTCGCTATTAAAATCTGCCAAACTAAAATGGTTTTTAATAATTTTACTCGTCATTAATTGGGGAGAATAAGAGAGTCTATCATAGCCCTAATATAAATATGCATTCAGCATTCAATCTTTAGTGATTTTTTGCTTCGTATTCCAACTCCAATCGGATAACACTACCGCACAAATCCTTTCAGCAAAGTTGCAATGTTTCGTTGCATCTTATGCAAGAAATGAAGAACAAAATGAAATGTGCGATATAAATTGCTTAAAAGGGACATGAAAACCTACGAAAATTATTTCCTTTTTTATTAGGGCAAATCTAGAATTCCAATACTTTCGCTAGTATAATAAATGATGATAACAGAGAGTAAACCTATCATTTTAATAATTGAATAAATTATATTTTTTTCAATAATTTATAAAATAATTTTAAGACACATCAGTATCCATTCTACTTTCATAAAAAAACTAACCAAAATTAAAATAATATGGATCAAAATTTTACTCTTTTTGACCTGAACAAAAAGCCTTTACATCTCATATTCAAAAAGCATTTAGGCCACGAAAAAAAGTTGCCTGTGCCAGAATATCAAAAATTTTGCAAAATTGCAAGAATTTGCCCAGTATTTTTTATATAGGATTTAATATCAATAGCAGAACTTCGAGCTGTGATATCAAGGATTTCCAATACAATCTCTATATCAAAGGTTTCCTTCAGTTTTGATGACTTTGAAAAATCATTGAAAGAAATTGCAATAATTTCTTCTAAAGGACCAATTTCTGAGAGAGTGAAGTCATTTTTTTCGCAAATTGTCCCTCGTTGTCAAGCGAAGTACGGCATTGATTTCAATATGACAGAAAAAAAAGAAGCACAAATATACCCATATTTTTATGAATTTATTGATAAAATTAATTACATAAATTTTGTCAAATACAATAAAACTAAGCTTAATATTCAGCAAAATCCAAAAAGCGAATAATACTTCAAGATCAAGTCTCAACGATTCTGGATCCGGGCTAGACCTAAACATCAAAGAAGCCTTAGAAACTCTGAAAATAAACGACTCTATGAGAACGACTAGCTTATCACCGCTATCTGATTCTGATAAACCTGGCAGGGCTCGAAAATTTTCTTTCTCAAGTAGAAGTGAATCAGGAAGTCCTATGGGGAAGCTTTTTATGTCCCCAAGAAATTCCTTAAAACCTATAAAAACCTTCAAATTACCAATAAAAACAGCAGAAACCCCAAGAAACGGCAAAACCTCTCCTGAAAAAAATAAAAACCCAGCTGAGCCTGGGGAATTAGATGAATTTATACAGACTGAGCAATCAATTTTGAATGAGGTTGCAACGGTGACTGTTTCATTAGCAAAACCAAAGCAAAAAATTAAATTAGATATTGACTTAAGTAAAACAGAAGACCCAAGCCAAGAAATTTTAAGTCAAAGGATTTCAAGTCTTGGAGTCGAGAAATTTTCTTATAATGAAAATGAAAAAAAAGCGATTTTGGACGAAATTAAAAAAATTTCCCCTATAAGAGATTCTGTGCTACCTCCAGCTCCTGAGCCTGTGCATACAGCCCAAAACCCTCAAGTTACAATAGAGAAAGGGTCGTCTTTGGAGACTATGAAATTATTATTGGAAAATTTTAAAAATAAAAAGATCAAGAAAACTAATAAGCAGAAGCCTATAAGGACTGTTTATAAAGATTTTGACAAATTCCTAACAAATGAAAGAAAATTCACATTTTCGAAAGATTTTGTATTAGGAATTATAATTCGTGCATGGAGATCTGAGGCTGCGAAAATTAAGGCTTCAAAAGCACAGCCAAGCCAATTGCGAAAAAGTTTAAACAAATTAAAGTTAAAAAAATAAATTGATATTAACTTTAAAATATTAACATTCACAGCATCCTGGGTTGGGTTCATCATCTTTAAATAGTGTAACTGCATGAAGTAAAACATCACTACCTTGGCATGGGCAACAAGAAATATCAGGCTTGCATTGAGGATTTTCACATAAAAGTTCACATTGTGGGGATTTTTATTTTTTTTAAAAAAATAATTCTTTATAAATTTTTAGGAAAAAAATTATAAATTCATTGTGGCTTAGGACAATCTGCTGGCTTATAGCATTTCCAATCACATGTAGGCTCTTGACAAATAATTTGGCATTTAGGTGCAGGAGGTTGGCAGATAGTAATGCAATGAGGTGCTGAACAAACAGCTTGACATTCTGGGCATCCTTCATCACTGCAAGAGCTTCCTGGGCATTTTATTTCACATTGTGGCTGCTCACACTTGACTTCACATAAGGCACCTGAAGGTTCTTCACAAGTTGTATGACACTCTGCTGGAGCACATACAGGATCACACAGAGCTGGGCACACTGGATCGTTGCATTTCCAAGAGCATTGAGGGGAGCACTCTGGAGGGTTTAAAAATGTACCTAAAGCGGACAAGGCTAAAAGAGGTAAAAGTTTAAAATTCATTTTTAACGGTATTTGGATTTGGTTGCAAAGAGAGAAAATAATGAAAATTTAGCTAAAATAATGTAATAACATCTTATAAAGAGTGGAATAATTTAATTTTTATGATAATCATAAATTTAAATATATTATCTAATTTATTATTACTATTTTATTAAAGAACTTTATTTTGCTATTAGTATAATAATCACGCAATCTAGCTAAACCTTAAAAACCATATAATTATATTATGTTGCTTCTCTTACCTATCATTCTTCTTTGGCATAAAATAATCCTTACCGTGTGAAAAATCGACTGCTTCATAATTTTGAGTCTTTTCTTTATTGAGCATTTTTTCATTTCATCTTAATAGATTTTACCTGTATTTTTTTCATTTCTCATACTATTCTTATGTGAAGTATGCATCAAGTTTTTCTTTTCTTTCCTTACTCCCCCCCCCCCTCCGTGAGCGAACAAAAAAATTTTGTTCGCTCACGGAGGGGGGTTAATTTTTTTTTTTTAAAAAAAAATTTATATATAAATTTTATAAAAAATATTTTTTTTCGAAATTTAAAAAAATCCTATTTTGCAAAAATTGGGAAGCAAATATTAATTTAATTTGCAAAAATTTATGTTTTAAAACGCAATTTGTTTAAAATTAAACAGAATTAGCTCTAGATTTCATTATACTAATTATCACTTATATATCCAAATTTTTTTCCATTAAAATTTTTTTCTATTAAAAAAATTTTGTTTCACTCACGGAGGGTGGGTTTTTGGTCAAAAAAAATGGCGATTTTTCTAATGGTTTTGTTCGCTCACGGAGGGGGGGGGGGGGGAGTTAGCTTTTTCCGCATCATCTGATTTAGGCCAAAATCATCTTTAAATTTTTCCTTTATAATCATCACATTTAGTGCGTGTATTTTTGCAATCCTTGGACCTTCTATCGCTATGACAGATTCATCTGGCTCTTTATTGATTTTTTCTGAGCCGATTTCTATTGATTTTACTTCTTCAACGTCAATTAGTTCTTCTCTGGAATTTTTTGAGCCTTTATTTTTTATTCTTTTTGGCTTATTTTGACTAAAAACTCTACTTATAATCTCATTTTTAAAAAAATAAGTAAAATGGAATACATATTTATAGCATCCTATCGCTGGGGTATATTCACAGTGCTCTGGATCTGTTTGAATCGCAATTAAGTTTGCGCACTTTTTACATCTCATTGAAAACTCAATAATGGGGGTTGAAAAATAATTCCTTGCTAAATTTTAATTACTGTTTTGCTGGAATGCTTTCATTTGTGTACCTTTATAGAAGATTTTGTCACAGGCTGAGCATGCAATATCAAATGGGATTTCGAAAGTAGTTTTGGGGAGGTTTTCTCTTCAGTTTTCGCAGTTTTTGTCTTCTTTGATTCCTCTTTTTCAGTCCTCCATTTATAAGATTTTCCAATTTAAGATTATTTGAATTTTAATCTTTGCTACAGCTCTGGCTTATTCTAATAGATGATTTTATAATAAGATGACTAAGGTGCCTTGCTCTTTTTGCATTTAAATAAATAATAGTCTAGAATTTCTAAAGCATTATGTACAGGATATACCATAAAGAGTTTAGTTTTAAATTTATTCAATTATTATTTATTTGATGGATTGCTCACGACAAGAGATAGGCTTATTTAGAGATTTTCAGAAATTCAAAAATGCATTTTCTTCCCCTATCAGACGGCTTTGGAAGTTTTTACCTTTGAAGAAGAAATATCTTGTGAAGGCATAATTTTAGCTTATAATTATTCAAATGAAAATCTTCCATTTGAAGGTGAGCAACTTCCTCAAGATATTTCATAAAGCAGGTAAATACTTTAGATAACGCTTGTAGCTTATTTGCAGCTACTAATGCAATTTTAAATTCTGACGTAAATCACTGAAGGAAGCATTTTGGGCTGAGCTAAAAGAAGCGAAGTTGTTATAAATCCCCTCAAGATCCAGCAAGCTGGCTTATTAATCATGAAGGGCTTCATAATACTATAGCAATATGCTAAGGAAGGCAATCTAATATTAATGATGCTCCGAATTATCATTTTATTGCAGGAATACCTAGATTTATTTTATATGATGCGCTTAAATTGTCACCAATTAAACTAAATTGAGAAGGAAGCTTAAGTCTGGAATTCTAAACATATGCCCAATTTCTATAAGAATATAAATGATTTCTGATGAACATAATTGAAAGTTAGAAATTTATATAATTTGCCTTAAGTTTGTGTAAGTTTTAAGATTAAATGAGCTCATTTTTAAATAAATAGTGTTTGTGATTTATGTTCATAATATAAAGATTCAATAATTCTATATATTTATATAATCTTTATTGCAATAAATATAAACAAATTTATAAAGCATCCTATAAAATGCATTTATATATTGATATTATTGTATTTTGCAAGCATTTCCGCACTTTTCTGCATATAAATCTGACATCGCAGTCCTCATATGAGAAAGTTCTTTTAAAGAATTTTCAAGAGATGAAATTGTTGTATATCACATACACTTTTTTTGGATCGCTCTGGAATAATAATTAAAGAGAATGCTATTTTCGTGGCAATTCCATTTTGCATGACAAGTCAGAGTCTAAAGATAAAATGTGTCAAATTTTATCTGTACTTTTAAGAAAAATGACAGTTTTCATTTCCATTTTGACTTGCTAGACTGCTATTTACCTCTTTAGGTATTGTTTCTCAGCGATCTAAATAGGCTATCGAGTTATAATTGGAGAAGGGGACATATTTATACGAGCTTGAGCTGCGATTATAAGCATAGCTAAGCTTACTCGTCGGTCTGATACCATCATTTCAAAAACGTGATTTAATTGGGTTATTTCAGCTTCAATTTGTGAGGAAAGCTTACTCTCCAATTGAAAATAGAATAAAAATCCTGTTCCATTTTTTTTTATAAAAAAAAAAAATTAACACTTTTTTTTGAATTTTAATTTATTTTTATTCAGCAAGATTCAAAAATTTAATCGATTCAGTTTTAAAACTGTTTAAATAATATTTTACTTGTACTAGCATTATTAAAATAAAAAAATTTGTCCTAATTTAAGGGGGAATTAGCAACTCTTTGAATGGAAGAGCTTTCGGAAGCACTTTTAAGTTCTTGGTTTTCCTTCTCCAAGATTGAGCATTTTGCTTCAATATTTTTTAACTCTTTATTTTGCTCTTCTAAATAATTATTAGTAATGGTCTGGATTTCATTTTTATTTTTTTCTCTATTTTATTTTTTAGTAGAATCCTGATTATATATAAAAAATAAATTAAAAATTTCACAGAAAATATTTTATTTATTATAATAGTCCATATAGCATATCCAGCTCAATGATTTTGATTTCTAACTCTTGTTTTTCTTTTAGGAACCTTTCTGTTAACTCATTTTTCTGTAGATTTAATTTATATTCCAAATCTTTGATTTGCTCATCTTTATCGCTGAATTGCTCTAAATTTTGAATTCCCTTAAGCGATAAGAATTTTTTTTCGCTTTCTTTTAATAACATATTTACATGAGCTATTTTGCTGTCTTTTTCTCTAGCTTCTTTTCTTAAATCCTCCACTTTTTCTCGTAGTTTATTTATTATATAAATAATTGAATATGGGATTTTTGGAAAAAAAAAAATAATTTTCGGAAAAATTAATTAAAAAAGCAATAACTGCTCTTTATTATGTACAAGCTCAATTTTCAACCTCAAATTTTCATTTTCGAGCTTTTTAATGCTTTCCCTTGCTTCTTGGAATTCGCCGTCTGAAGAAGTACTTAAATCCTCACTATTAAGCCGACTGTGGCAAACACTATTAGTATACATTGTGAATTTATTTAAAATCTGTGAAGAATTTCTAGGCGTATTGTATTGAGAACTCGAAAATGGCTCCATGTCAAATGACAGTGGAATTTTAAAAGTATGCATTTCATCGAAATACATTTGGTTGAAAATTTTTAATAATACGACATTTGGCTGAAAATTAACGGTTATGTCGGTCAAATGTCTCACTATCAAAAATTTTCAAATTTTTTTTCAAATAGACACTATCAAAAAGGCAATGCCATTTGACCTGCGCCCCTCGAAAATCCTGATGAAGTAACCAAAGGCGACACTGGATGGATTGCAGAATTTAAATTTGAGGATGATTTTTCAAAGCAATTTTTACAACTTTGAGGTTCGTAATCTTTAGAAAATGATGGTTTAGGAGGAAGAGTTATTCTGGAAACTGAAATTTTAGACTTTTCAGCTGATTTAGAGCTTTCTTTTTTGTACATATTCACAATTATAACTATGGCTTTAATTTGATGAAAATATGAGCTTATTTATTAAAACGAGTCCATATCCTGAAACGAACTATTGGTATACAAAAATCTTAATTAAAAATCTATTTTTTACAAAATTTGCTAGATCTTCTGCAATTTAAAAAAAAAATCTATATAAAATATCATAAAATCGAAAATTTTTAAAATCTTTCACATACTTAAATTATTTATTTTTTACCCTTTTTGCCTTTTTTGCCTTTTTTTCCTTTTTTGCCTCTTCCTTTATTGCTGTTCAGAATACTTGCGAGCTCGGCCAGAACTTCCTTAGAAACCTTATTTTGTGGGAGAATTAGTTGTTGTAGCGTCGAATTTAGCTTCTCCTGAGGGTTGCTTTTAAACATTTCGCATATAGCCCTAGCTCCTGAGTCATAAAACCCATTATACCTGAAATCTAAAATTTGCAAAGTTTCATTATTAGCCAGCATGTCATGGATTTTCCCTAATACTGCCTCATCTTCTCCGAACTGGTTATCAGTCAAATTCAGCTCTGTTAAAGACTTATTTACTTGAAGCCCATGCAAAATTGTGCAAACTCCTGGGTTTCTTAAGACATTGCCCTGCAGGTCTAAGACTTTTAAGGCAGAATTTTGATAAATCAAAATTTCCATTAGAGGTCTGGCGCCTTCTTCATCAATTCCGCAGTAGGTGAGGCTTAAGGTGTTTATAGGGATTTTTATGTATAGATTTTAAGCTATTTTTATTAGAAAATTCGTATATTTATGGGAAATGGTGTAATATTGAATTCATACACAAGCCTCTTGACAGATTTACCATTCCTTCATTGCCAATGTTATTGTGATCTAATTTTAATGTCAAAATTGGTATAGTAGTCACGGGAGATAAGAGCCCAGATATAAACTCACAGCTGAGAGGAGTTATATTGCATTCCATAAATTCTAAAGTTGTAACTGTTGGGCATAGCATAATAAACTGACAAATTGCTCGGACTCCTTCATCTTCTGTATTAGCTTTTCAGAAGCGAATGCATTTTAAGTTCTGATATTTTACATCTCTCAATGAATCTGCTATTGCACGAACTCCTGCAGGGCCGATTTCTTCTCAGACAACCAAATCTATAAGTCGCCCTGGATTTTTGTCATCTCGGAGCTCAACAAATTTTTCTTCTAGTTTCTTACTCTTTTTCTTTAGAGAGAATAAGCAAAACAATTAATAAATGCCTATTTTTTGAAAAATTAAGATTAATTTATTTTTTCCAATGTATTTAATGAGTTCTACCTGTTTTTTTTTATATTTTATATATAAATTTAGATTTTTTTTATGCTTGAAATTTGAATTTTTTAAAATCTTAAAAATTCATATTAATTTTTAGTATAAATTTTTTTAAAAAAATAAGACCTTAAAGGGCGAGCGAAAAAATCTTGCTTACTCTTAAAGGGGGTTAGGCATAGAGATCCCAAACTCAGCAAGATTTTTTCGGTAGGCACGATAAAGTTTTTCCACTGAGTCATCGACTGGGTCTTTTTTGCTACCTTCTGATTTTTTCTTATTCCCCTTCTAAAAAGGTGCCAAATGATATGGAAAAATTCTACCTTCTTTAAGCAAAGCCTTCCTTGTTAACTAGCGACAATTATTTTAATATAAAAATTTTTTATAAAATAAAAAAATAATTATTATAATGAAATTCTTGCTAATTCTATTGAAACTTACATAGCCAATTCTAAACATAAATTTTATAAAATTAAGTGAGTAAGAATTTTTTAAATATTTAACTGCAATAAATAAAAACATTAAACTTTCCTTAGTTAGTAAAAATTTGCTTGCTCATGGAGGGCGGATCTAGGTCCCATTTATATGGAAAATTCTAGCCTAAAATAGGTTTTTTAAAGGAATATGATAATAAATTGATGGGGTGCAAAAAGATAGACATAGGCTTATTTACAGACTTCCAGAATTTAAGGAGGTTTTATTTTAGAATTTGTGATAAAGCTATTAAAAAATTAGAAAAGGACGGGATTTAAATCTGATGATCTCTCATATTAAAGATGGTCAGAGTCTTTTTGTATCGATCAAATATTTTCTATGGAGAAGTTGATGAAACATGCAGCTCATTTGGCAATAGGATAATTAATATGACACTGAAAACTGGGTATGCCTTTTGACAATGCATACCCCTTAGCTTGTTTCAGTATGATCATGAGCTTTGGATTAGCATATTGAGCTTCAAAATTAAATAGAAAGCTCATTAATCCAAATAGAGGCTTTATGAGACAATTAAACTTAATAAAGACTAAAGAGAGAAATGTTAAGTAAGGTACACTAACTTACCCTTTAAATTAAAATAAAATTTAAAGCGATTTAATTTTTTTAAAAAATTTTTGGTGGCCAAGATCTGATAATCAATCACTCGACATTTCTTCAAAGAAAATTTGGTGGAAAAATTTTAAATTATGTAGACTTTTTCGATCAAAAATCTCATTATTAATTTTTTGACCAAGCTTTTGTGAGGAATTAGCATTATTGGCCAAGAAACATAATTAAAATATGGCGTCTTCGTCTAGGTGTGGCCTCCGGCCACACATACTCGACTCATATTTTAATTATATCCGACAAGGTTTTGCCATTCCGGAAATGAGCAACAATGCCATGGTAAGCAATTCTGCAGTGCAGAGCCTGGCCCATGCTCAACCACCAGAATGGATTTTCTCCCCGAGAGAAAAGGAGTCTCAGGTTTGGAAAGGGTAAGCCCAGCAAATGCCTAGACCATTCGGGCAACTACCTAGCGTGAAACTAGGCGTTACGTCCCAGGACTTGAAGATTTCCTTTTTGCCGAAAGGTGACCAGAAATTCCATTTTTTGGAATTTCTCGAGAGCCAACTCTCGTCAACTCAAGCAGCAGCCGCAGAAGCCCATAGCCCGCCCACTCAACACTAAGCCACGGCTCACGCGCGTGGGAAGGAGTGGGTGTATGTCCTGGTGACTGGTTTATATGGCCAGTTTGGACTATACCGCAAAGCAGGTGAACCCTAATACTGGGTCCTAGGTGACTGCGTCAACACTACGGCGGACGCCTGTAAATTTAAGTTAAGTTAAGTGTTGGCCAAGAAACTTTATATAAATTTTTCAAAAGTATTTTTGAGTTCTGTTTTATAAAAAATAATACTATATCGAAATTCTTATTTTCAACTGTAAAATTTTTGTTTCAATAAAAATGGGAGCTATTTACCCTATTTTTTTGTTCCAATTTAAAGGGGGTAAGAAAAGCATACATATACTCTATTATACATAAACAATTTATTTCACACTAATATATATGATATATGATAAAAAATAGGGGCTCTATAATTGTTGTTTTAAATCGTAACTAATTTAGAATCTCTAACCTATTTAAAGTAAAATTTCTAGAAAACTTAGCCTTACATAAAGTTCTAATTAGAAATGCTATGATTTACTTAAATATGTAAGATAGCTTAAATTATGGAATAAAGACAATCAAAATAATTAATATTTATGCAATATCCAAAATCAGAGATAAGTCTATTTACAGATTTTCAGACCTTCAAAGACGCTTTTTCAAACCAACTTCATAGCAAAATTGTGGAAGAATTGGAGAAGTCTGGCATGTATTTTAAACCTGACGACTTGGAGGGAGAAATATGGTCTGTGCCATTTTGTAGCAATCAAAAGGTTTTCTATGGGGAAACTGATGAAAAAAATAACCTTTGTGGATATGGAGTTATGCTGTCTTTTAATTGCATTTGTGAAGGGACTTGAGAAGACGGAAATTTGCATGGAGAAGGGAGAATGATCGATGCTGAAAATGGGGTCTATGTTGGTCAATGGAGTTTTGGTGAAAAAGATGGAAAAGGAACAATGACTTATTGGAATGGAAATAAATACAATGGAGAATGAAAAAACAATTTAAAATGTGCGCATGGGATTTTAGATGAGGGAGAGACTCATTATGAAGGAAACTTTGAAAACGATTTACAATCTGGCTATGGAGAGCAAATTTTTATCGACGGTCCTGACTTCAAAGGAAACTTTCTTATTGGAAACTGAGGACTTATACCTAGGCCTGGGACGTATCAGAATGGAAGATTTTATGGAAAAAACCGATGAAATATTCCTGGCTGGAAATATTCAGGAAGTTTCCAGAATGGAAAAAGATGAGGATCTGGGACCATTGAAAGACGAGATTCAGGCTATTTTGGGGCCTATAAGATGATATTTGAAGCGAAATTCGAAAACGATTTGCCTATTGGCGAATATATATTGCATACCGCCAATCGATATATATCAAGAGGCGTTTGAAATGGATTCAGATACACCAATCATATGGACGAGGTTTGGCCTGGAATATTACTTGGTAGTGCTAAGGCAGCAACTAATAGAGAGTGGCTTGATGAGGCTCTAGTAAAAAGAATAGTAAGGGTTTTGGACAAAGAAAAGGTGGAATTGCTGCCTGGGTTCAAATATTACCATTTAAAACTAAAAGACAGCGAAACACAAGACATTACCGAAAACCTCGAAGAAACTTTGGAGTTTATAAAGCATTCAGGAGATAAACATCCTAGGATCCTTGTGCACTGTTACAAGGGAATTTCAAGAAGCCCTACAATACTTATTGCTTATTTAATGAAGTACGGAAAGCTAAGCTTTGATCTTGCTTATGGAAGAATTAAATCACAAAGATTATGCATACATCCAAACAAAGGCTTTGTTAAACAACTCAAAGCACTTAAATTTCACTAAAGAGAGTTTTAAACTGGTTTCGTTGGTTAATTTTTTTGGAATAAATTTATATTAGAGCTGTTCTCATTAAGGATATCTTGTAATAGCTCATTAACATTTATTCTATCCAATATTTCCATATAAGGTTTCACCCTTTGCTTATAAAATAACCTTAACCCAAAAATATGCCAGAACAGAAATGATTTTTTGAAATTATTCTATTCGTTTTTCTATTAATGTATTTAGATCAATTTCTTTATATTTTCAATAAATATATGCTTCCTTCTTGCATTATCCTCTTTTTTATTACTTCAACACTTGGATTAGAAATTTCATGAATCCCAAAGACAAGATCTCCTCCATCTTCAAGACACTATTCAACTATGGACTATTTCCCATCAAATAATTCATTAGTTATTTTTGGAGGATATGACACAGACTCTATGACTTCTTATAATGACCTATGAATGTTCAGCTTTACTTCTAATACTTGGCAAAGGCTCTCTACAACTGCAAACGTCCTTCCAGGTGATTTTTATATAGATCAGCGTTACTCTTCAGCGTCTTTTGCCGATGATACAAAAAGCATTTTTTATATATTTGGAGGAAGAACTTCCAACGGTCCCCAAAATGATTTATGGGCTTTTTCTATGAAATATTTCATGGTATTGTTTATGTAGTGAACAAGTGTTACGACAACTGGACCTTTTATATACCCACGATATCTTATGGCATACACAAAATATTATCAACAAAGCACCTTAATGTTTGCTATATTTGGCGGTACTGCGACATTTGCTGAGGACAATAATTTATTTTTTTTTAAATAAATAAAAAATTTTAATTATCAATGAATACATGCTATTCATAGGAATTAGTATTTATTATCTATTATTTAAGTATTTAGATTTTTATAAAGAATATATGTGTATGAATTATTTAGATTAAATACCACATCTTTTACATGGGTAATTATGCCTCAAAATGGAGATGTGCCACCAAGAATGCATGGCGCTAATCTTGTATATAAAAACGGAGTTTTTTACTTATTTGGAGGATATAATGCAAATTTTTATAATTCTTGGTTTTATATGTATAATGTTGAGGAAAAAAGGTGAAGCAATATAAATCTATTCAGAGAGAGTATTTGAATTTAAATTTTTCTAAAAAAATATAACGAAAATCTTTATAAATGGGAATATCAAATAACAGTGAAAATTATATAGAAAAAATATACCCTCAAAGAACATTAGCAGGATCTGCAATAAATGACAATTTTATTTATTTAATTTTGGGCTGATCAAATTTAAATGAAAACACACTTTCTGATATCTATCGAGTAGATTTAAATGATTCCAGCTATTCGTGGGAGCTGTTAACTACAGTTGGAGATTATAAAAAGAGCTCTTTTGCGTTTTCTACAAATGCTAACACAGCTTATATGTTTTCTGGCTACGATAACAAAGACTCCACAAATGATCTAGCTTCATTAGATTTATCAGTTTCTCCTATAAAAATAACTGCAATAACCGAGCCTTTTTTAGAACCAAAAGAGCGTATGAAGCATACTCTGGAAGTGGTTTCTGGCAAACTTTATTTATTTGGAGGAGATAGTTATGGAGAAAAATTAAATGATTTGTGGTCATTTGATATAAATAATAATATATGGTCAAATGCTAACGTGAATGGATCATTGCCGCCTGCAAGATCAGATCACGCAGCTAGCTCACAAGGAAATGTTATGGTAATTTTTGGAGGTAAAGGGCAATCAAATTTATTAAATGATATACAAACTTTTAATTTCATTTCAAATTCCTGGACAGAGATTTCTCCATCTACCTCAACAATGCCAAGTCCCAGATACGGATCTTGTATTGTTTATTCCTCCCCATTTATATTTATATATGGCGGACATACATCTACAGGCTATTCTTCAGAACTATGAAAATTCCATACAGGCACAAATACATATGAATTACTTGGCAACGGGCCAATAGAATTAGAGTCACCGCGATGCTCATTTTCTAACTACACAATTTATGTCATGTTTGGAAAAACAAATAATCAGAGACCTGAAGGGTCAATTTATACTTATAATATTGTCAAAGATGCTTGAACTGTTAATTTTAATCCAAGTTTAGGAAATAAAAAGCAGTCAGATGGCCCTGTATTGAAAATAAATCAAAATATTTTAGTATTTGGAGGACAATCGTGAGGAATAAACCAAGAGCTTGATGTGTTTTCTATTAACTTGGATAGCCAAGAGTATACTGACTATTCAAGTTTGCCAACCTATACGTTTTATTCTGCATTTGCGTATTTTTTGAATAATTTGTATGTCCATGGAGGAGGGTTTTCAACTGGGATATTCCTAATTCTTTCATAAAAAATGATTAAAATTAATTTTTTTAAAAAAAATGAAAATAAATCCGAAATTAATTTTACTCATATTGAGTAAGACCAAATGTCCCTATAAAAGACTTTTTTATGATAAATTTAAATCAAACATGCAAAAATAATGAATGCCTGTGCAGCCCAGGAAGCTATAAATATGAAGACACATGCAAAGCATGCCCAGCTGGGTCTTACTCAAGTATCCTGTATTAATTGAATTATGTAATAAAAATTATGATTAAAATATTTTTTTATTTTAATCTAAACTGTGTACATATAAAGCTTCTTCTTGTGATTTATGCCCTATAGGCACCTATAGTTTTTTTGAGGGCGGAAATACATTTCAAGAGTGCTACCCATGTGCTGAAGGCACTTATAATGACCTCACCGGACAAGCTGTCTGTAAAATCTGTCCAGTGAATTATGACTGTTCAGTCGGCACAGTTAAGCCTGCAAATAAAGTATATTCATATGGAGAAGTATCAATCCAGCCTGATTCTTATGATTCCTCCAGTGATGAGCAAGAAGCTTTTGTTATAATTGCTGAAGGGTTTCTGATATTTTTTGTAATAGTTTTCATACTTATTGTGGCAGCTTCAAAAAAAGCCAGAAATTATTTAAAAAAATTTGACGTTTACAAGACACAGCATAATTACAAAGAAAATAGTTACATGATTTTGGCAAAAACAAGGCTCGGAGGATTTTATACAATATCTTTTTATATATTGGCAGCGTTATTAGTTTTTATAACTCTAACTACTTATGCATTCGAAAACATCAATGAGTCTAAAGGGCTGATTCCTTTAATTACAGCAGAAAATGAAGTTTCTTCATTTTCTGCCAATCTAGCCTTTTTAGTGACTTTTTCTGGATATGGAGGCTCTTGTGTGGCTGATAACAATGGGACATGCTCAAGGTTAATATCATTTTATTCAGAAAATATTATAGCCGAAAATGAACCTGGGGACTTAAAATGTGTACTAACTGACAGCCAGTATTGCCGATTAGGGTATTTTTGCAAAGATTGTGCAATAAACACTGGAGCTCAATTCAGCATAGTCCTCTCTGAACAATTTAGTTATAGCTCAACTATTTATGTAAATATTACATCTTCTTCATCAATTCCAAATGAAATTAGCAGTATCCAGCAATCAATCTCAGCTGATTCAGGAAAAATCTTCAGAGGAAACACTCCGACTGAATTTTATTTTTCTATGATTCCATCAATTTTCAAATCCGATATTGAATCCTGGCCGTCTTTAGCTACAGGATACCATGTTTCTACAGAAAAAGCTATTGAAAAAGGCTCCCAATGCTCAAATGTTGAGCTTATTTCGAATTCTAATTTGAAATTAAACGTAAATTTAGACTTAAGCAATAGTGCTCTTATGACTGAAAGGACTTTAGAACAAACGTGGCTTATGCTGATAAGCAGCCTACTTGGGACTGTTTTTGGGCTGATGGGGACGATAGGGTCAATTATGAGTTGAAATGAGGAAAAATGGGAAAAATTTGTTGAATGAAAAGATCAAAAAAACAGTGTACAAGCAAGAATCCAAAATTGCAAACATATACAATATGTATGTCAACCATCCCTACCACACAGATTTAATGGGGCACGAGAATTTTCTAAATCAAGTGCAGACACTGAAGAAAACGATGCATTAATTTCTTCAAGAAGAACCTTCAAATTTTCTGGATCACTTGGACATCTTTCTTCATTGCAATAATTAAATTTCATAAAAATTAAAAATTTCTAACTCACTTCTCATGAATTTTTCTATTTTTATTAATAAAAACAGAATATTTTATTAAATTATATAAAGGAGAAGTAAAATTAAATTCAAACTTAACGGAAACAATGGCATCTCTTTACACGAGCCCAGAAAAAGTATTTGATCCTCTGTCAACTCCAGCTCCAGACACAGTCCAGCGAACGATGAGTGCTTGCATATTTACCAATTCAGACCGCAAGGCTCACCATAGATCACAAAATTCAGAAAGAAGATATACACAAAATGCTCAGAATTTTGATGAAATTTTATCTGAAAGTTTCCTTTCGGCAAGCTCACAAAAAGAGGACGTAATTGAAGTAAAAGCTGGGAAGCTATTGGATTTTAAGGAAAACGCAGTTCAGCAGCCTCCACAGCATCATAGGCAAGGATCTCATCAGCGAAAAAGAAGCATTTGCATAGTAGAAGAAATCCCTGCTGACAAATTAATACAGGAAATAGCTTCTCAATCCCGAGTAAACAGCTATAATAATTCAACTCGTAACACAAGTAAAGTCCCAAGTGAGGATGGATGAAGCAACCCAGGAAGCAGAAATCAAAGCCCAAAGTATCATACGAGGCATATCAGCGATGCTGATTCAGTAATTTATATGGGATTTGGTGATGATTTAACCAATTCCAGAACCTTTGGAAATCAAATAGAAATTAAAAAATCAAATGTGATTATAAATGAAGAAATTACTGTGGTTAGCAAAAATATCAGAGAACTTGTCCAAAATGACGAAAATGCTGAAGAAAACCCAGTCAGTTTGATGAAAAAGTCCAGACAATCATATGAAAGGAACCCTTTACCGGTTTTAGGAAATACACCAAGCTCAGTTTATTGCACATTTTGTAAGACATATGTACATACCAAAATCGATTTTTTAAGTGGAAAAGTGCCAGGACCGCTTTTAAGGATGGTTTCCTCTGTTTTTGCATGCTGCCAGATACCATCATGACTTAATACAATGAGAGTCCATAGATGTCCTAATTGTACTTTAGTGCTAGCAAAGAGTAGGTAATTTAATTTAAAACGATTCTTAAACGCAAAAATTTTCTCTTCAATTAAGTCTTGCAAAAACAGCCTGCAAAAAATGAAAAATTAAATGAAAAAGGATTTTTTGCATTTTGAAAGGGAAAATTAATTTATGTGTCTTTCTTTTCTGTGCTGTTATTGAAGGAATAAGAAGAAATCTACAGCAAAAGTACTTACAGTAGCACCAATGGTATTTTCACAGCAAATGGAGCAGCAGTCATCAGACTCTCTTAGTAGCTTAAGAGCGGAACTAAATTCTTTAGGTATTCCTACAGAAAAAGAAAAATATTATCAAGAAATTGGAGGAGTTTTGATACTAAAACGAGCCTCAGCGAGTGTACAGAACTCAGTGTGCTTAAAAGAAATTTCAATCGAAATCGAGTCACCGATAAAAGATCGTGTAAAAATGGCTAGGGAGCGTTTAATGACTTTATAGGAAACAGAAGGGTTAAGGGAAGGTAAAAAGAGTAGTAAAATTAGTGAAAATATAATAAAAGATATACTGATTTAAATTGAATTGACTGAGCCATTGAAGCAGTGTGCTAGGGTGTTAAGGTGTTAGGGTGTTAAAAATTAGACACATTTGCCTTATAGCAAAATAATAAATATTTATATGTATAAAGAGTGGTTTGGCTAAAGTTTATAGTGTTTTGTTTAGAAAATTATGGATCATATAAAGAAAGCTTATTCAAAGGGTTTGGAAAATATAAAGACAATAAATAATGTTTTGGCAGAAAAGAGAGAAATAAAAAGAGTTATACAGATGTAAGATCTGGACAAGCCTGAAGTAAAACTGGCAAGTATTTTACTAAAAACGTGGAGAATTAAATATTATGCTGTTTTAATTTACTATAATAATAAATATAAAAAATGATAGCCATGTGTCTTCTAATCATCTGACTACTCTATTTAAAGGCTCTTAATTTAAATTTTATTCTATTTTTATTGATTTGCTCAAAAATTTACCTATCAATTTCATAGAAAATACATTATAATTTCTTTAATTTATATTATTTTTTAAAGCATCAGCCATAGACTATTTAGAATGAATAAGTTCAATTTCTGATAAACTATTTTCCTATTTACTATAAAATTAAAATAATGATCAAGAAAGCAATGTGCTTATTTATTATCAATAAATTTATTATATAATTTCCATATTTAGGGCTTCGTGTTTTAAACAATTAATTATGGCGAAACACAACAATCCCACTACAAAATTTGATTGGGAATCGAAATGGCTCACAGGGGAGGAGTACAGCTACATCCTTACAAATATTGATTCCTATTGTGCCGCTTACAATATGCAACGCTATCCTTCCAGATGCCACCCTATTTCTATATACACGAAGCCACAAAACGGTCTGATTTATTTTGTCAAAGGTTCTTCAGTTGGCTCAGAATTTGGCTTTCCTCGCGTTGATATCAAAAAAAGATATTCTATAATAAAAATAATCAAAACATATTAGAACATAAATTTCTAAAAAAAAATAGTCGCAAAAGTTTATTTTTAATGCTCAAAAATTAGCCAAATTCAGTATATCGTTGGAAAAAAATGAATTTTACGACTGAGCTCCCAAAGCGTCAGCCAATTGTCGTATATATTGTAGCCTCAGCTGTAAAAAGTGAAAAATATGTCCCAGGGAACGAAAAACAAACCCCTTCATATAGGATGCATGCTGTAATATTAAAAAATGCTAATGAAGATCCCTATATTCTTTGCCATATTCGAAAATTAAACAATACTGAAAGTCCACCTAGCCCAGAAACTCCTATAAAGAAAATTAAAACCAAAAATAACCAAATCGAGAACAATGGGCTGCACGAGCTTTTAAACGCTGCAAACCAGCTGGTGCCTACCATAAAATCAATTCCACTGTGTATCGCTGAAAGTGGGACAAAGCCTATGGAGTTTAAAGATTTTGAAACAGATTATGTGTCATTGTTTAGGAATAGCAGCATTGATAAATTCCCAGCACTTTCTGTATATTTCCAGCCGCTTTTTTATATAGAAAGTGATAGTGACGAGTATAATTCTGTAGAGTAATACTAATTAGCGAAATTATGAATTTTTATAAAAATAAAAAATAATTAAATTCCCTATGACGCGCCATAATGCAAATTTTATTATTGCTCAGATTCATATTTTGGTAATTTTGATAAGCTTTGGGAGCCTTGATAAGTGAAAGAATCACCTCTAGGCCCTCCTCTTCAGGCTTGCTTAAGGGAAGATTTAACAGAGTCAGTAAGCCCATATGCAAAAGCGTTGAAAAATCCTGTTAAAGAGATCATGGCGCCTGCAGCAATTATTAATGGGAAATATTCTTCCCTTGGGTCAATAAAATCATAAATCCTTTTTATTGTTACAAATATGTGGGAAACAGCTAGAATTCATGGGTATAGGCTAAGTCTTCAGACAAGTGATTTTTTGATTGAAGATTCAGAGTTTTCTCCCAAGCCTTTAAATTGTTGGTTGATGAATTTGACTATTTTTCAGTAGGCTCATACCATATATATGAAGATTATCCAAATTGGCCCATAAAATAGTAGAATCCTTAAGGTAGTATCCACTGTAAAATGATTTTTTCTTGATTTTATTCAGCATCATCCTTGTGCCATCCCATAACTTTCTGTAATAAAAGGAGGTATCGTTGAGAGAGCTGGCACAAGAAACCCAAATAAAGCAAAATACAATTCGCGATCTTGGATTTTTGAGTTTTGATTTATAACTACATCATATAACGCATAAGCCATGATTAAGCTTCATAATGCACTGCCAAGAGCTGAGTATTGTATTAAAAACGATTGGAATATATAAATCACTGATGCAGGGCAATTTTAAATATAAAAAAAATCAAAGCAATTTTTACTGTAAAACTAAAATTTATTTATAAATTAAAAAATAATTCTTCCCCAATTAGCAATATAATATATTGATTAAATAGTCAAAAAAAAATTAATTATTTTATTTTTTATATGTTTTATATAATAAAGAATACATCAGCCTTCAGACTCCCTATAAGGCATCATTAAAGCGACTGAATGAATAAGGTCGACAATTGACATATATTGCACAAGTCGAAAAGCAAAACTTCTAAGCTCTTGAAATGAAAGATAAATGATCAAAATAAATAAGCAGCCACATATACTTAAAGAGTTGCAGATCATCAGCATCATTTCGACTCCGTCTTGCTCATCTTCTGAAAGAGCCATTTTGGAAATTTAGCTAGCAGTGATAGAATTATTAAATTAATTAATAAGTATCGGTTATTTTATTGATTAACTTTTTTAATCAATAATTATTATTGATCTTGTAATTTTAGCTAAATTAATAAATTTTTTAATTTATTTTTTATAAATTAAGCAAATAAATTGAAAAAAATTCTGTTGTGGGATTTCTTTTACTCAAAAATCTGAGCTTATAGAAATATTTGAAATATTCATAAATGCTGATATAATTAAGGCAAAATAAAATTTAAATGGCAAATCTTTACGAAAATTTAATATAGCTTGAAGGTCTTGCAAAGTAAAATGCTTATGATGAGTTTCTGGGACTATTTCTGAATCAATTTCGCTTTGCCTTAGAACACATCTTGCCTTTAATTCTCCTTTTTTCTTGATTTTGCTACCACCTTCAAATTTAAATTCAAAATTCTTTGCTGAGAACTGATTTTTGAACTCTTTTTCATAATTAACTAATTTCCTTGTCCTTTTGGCCCTTTCTTCTTGCTTTTCCCTTAGTTTTTCATATTTTTCATGCAGTTCTTTTCTATCTTGTTCTACCCGGAGATTTTTCTCTCTTTCATTCAGGACTCTGCAAATAATGTTTTTTCTTATAGCAAAGTCTTTAATAAAATTTTGGCTTTTTGGGCTTTTAGATGAGTTTTTTTTTAGATTTTCTGTGGATCGGGCTGTGAAGCTAGATTTTGTAATTGGCTTTATAGAGCTTGGGGTTGGCGTTTTTCTCTTTGGAGAACTATCAATTAATAATTTTGATTTTCTTGAAAGAGAAGAAGTTGAATAACTTTTTCCTATAGCTTTTATAAAGCTTTATATTAAATTTATGAATTAAATATAAAAAAATATTTAATTTTATACAAAATATATAAAATAAATAGCCAGAGAGCAGACTATTGTTTACTTATCCTTTATAAAATAGTTTGAGAATTTGTGTCATATGACATATTTAGACTATTTTATTACAAAATTTTTTAATTGATAATCTCTCCTTCATTGCTATAAATAATCTCTTTTTCTTCATCATCTGATGATAACTCCTTTAAATCGTTTTCTTTTATCCACTTTTTCAGCAGCATTTTATTATGGAATTTTCTCTGTTTTCCTTGCTCGTATATTTCTTCTTCATCTTTGAGCACACTAACTAGCCTGTCTATTTCCGGATGGAAAACACCATTAGTCCTCCCTGCAGTTAGTCCACTATATCTCTGTATATGAGGCTGATAAAAGTCATTAGAAAACCATAAATCAAGAAAATTATTTTTTCAAAAAAAAATGCTCAATAATATTTTTTTAAAAAAATTAATGATACCAAAAATCACCATAATGAGCATTACTTATGCTTTTTTCAATAATTGTCCTAACCGCTTCACTTTGGTTTGCAGCCCTTATAAGCTCTTCTTTGCTTAAAACTCCATTTCCATCCTCATCAATTGCCATAAATAGATCATGCAAGCTTTCTCTCAATAATTCCCTTACATGTGCGCTGGGAACACAAAGCTTCAAAACATTGTAAAATTCGTCCTCATCTATATCTCCGCTGCCATCTTCATCACAAATATCAAAAAAAACCTCAAGTTTTTCTTGAAAACTGCTACTCCTAAACATTTCTAAGCCGACCATCACTTCTCTGGCTTCTATATACCCATTTCCGTCTTCATCAAAAACCCAGAAAAGACGGTCTATAAGGGTTTGATCGATTCCGATTCCCAGACTTGACATTATATCTTGAAACTGCTGAATATTTATATACTTTTTCTTTAAATAGCTGATTTTTATATATTTATATATATTTATAGAGATATTTATAGAGATAAGGCATAGATCCTTTATAATTTGCAGTCTGCATCATTAATTTGCAATTGTCTAGCAGCTTATCAACTTCTTTTTTGTGATTTGTGATTAATCATTGAATCGTTTTGACTTTAAGTTTGTTTCTCGTCGAGTTTTTTAGCCCTTTCCTTAACAAATAGCGGCGATTTACTGATGTTCCAGGCTCATTTTGTAATATAATCGACATAGTTCCTTTTGTTATATGTTTACATTTAAGTTTGGGCTGGGGATTTCCAGGGATTTTTGATACTTTTTTTAATGATTTTGTTCGGTGAAATACAGGTCTCGGGTCTACATTTAACGTCTTAGGAGACGAAAGAGCAGGTAAGGACTCGGCCATTTCAAGGATTTTTGTGCTTGTCCTATGCAAAATTGGTCTTCTAAAAGAAGGTTTTATTTTATTCATTTTTTATTAATTTTATTAATACATTCCTTTAGGCAGATCAGCATTGCTATATTCTATTAAATCCTCAAGTAATTTTTCTTCAAAAACTCGGCAAGCATACTCAAAGTCACATAAAAGCTCTTTTAATTGCAAATTTTCTAGGCTTTTTTTACCTCGGAAGCATTTAAATATGCTACCAGGAGGCTCAAAACTGTGGTAAATTTCTCGTTTAAGCTCCTTTTTCTTTTCAATCAGATTTTCTGATGAGTTAAATTCACTGAAATCGCGGTTGTTCAGGCTAATTAAGTATTTTAATACTATAGCGGCAGACTGCCTGTAGATTTGAGCAAATTGGATAGTTTCTTCTGATATTCCGAGGCCTTTAGGAAAGTTTTCTACTTCGATGCTAAGTCATAAAGATTCAACAGTAAATAAATCCCGTGTTAATTCTTCTAAATCTAATATATCGGCAACCAATAACCTATAAGAAGGCAAATTATTATTTTTTTAAAAAAAAAAATTATCCCATATTTATTTAAAAATAATATTTTCATGTGTCCATTTCTCGATGAAAATCTATACAAAATTTTATTGCATTTCGAAATTTTTCATTTTATTGCTAATTGCGACAATAATTCGACTAGATTTTTTATTATGTGGTATTCAAGCTTGATTTGGTGATAGTAATTATTGATATTTTGTGAAACTTGGTGTACTTGAAAAGAGTCCTTAGGCGAAAGATTTGGTAGTTTCTTTTTTAGCCTGTAAAGAGGATGGTAAAGTTCTATTGCCGATAAGGTCAATTCGCTTTCGCGCTCACTTTGGTAATATTTTCGGCAAATATTGTAAAACATAATATCCAAATTGCAAAAAGGAATTTTTTTGATTTTTTTCTGACTCCCCCCCCCCCCCTCCGTGAGCGAACAAAAAAATTTTTGTTCGCTCACGGAGGGGGGTTAATTTTTTTTTTTAAAAAAAATTTATATATAAATTTTATAAAAAAATATTTTTTTCGAAATTTAAAAAAAATCCTAATTTGCAAAAATTGGGAAGCAAATATTAATTTAATTTGCAAAATTTATGTTTTAAAACGCAATTTGTTTAAAATTAAACAGAAATTAGCTCTAGATTTCATTATACTAATTATCACTTATATATCAAAATTTTTTTCCATTAAAATTTTTTCTATTAAAAAAATTTTTGTTCACTCACGGAGGGTGGGTTTTTGGTCAAAAAATGGCGATTTTTCTAATGGTTTTGTTCGCTCACGGAGGGGGGGGGGAGTGAAATAATTTTTTACGATTTTTGCTTTGAGATTTGATTTTAGGATATGGGTCGAAAATCTAGGTTTTAGCTTTATAAAGCCAACTTTCATAAGCCGAGTTTCTTCTTTTTCAATTTTCTCTATAAGACTGTTTGAGTTTTTTTGGGTGGGTAGCTGTATATTGGATAAATCCCGCGATGAGTTGCTGCCGTTTTCACTTTTGTCGTCAGGTAAAATTCCATTGTATCGAAAATTTGAGAGTGAAGGGTTTTCCATTTCTTGTAACTGAAAAAACTATTTTATTAAAAAATAATATGCAACAGATTTTAAAAAATGAAGAAATTTACTAACTTAATTAACGTTCCTTGTGGGATTTTTAGCAGATTCCTGCAAATCCGTATCGTTCTTCTTCTATAATTGCTATAACCCCGTTGACAGAAATCCCGATCAAGCTTGCAATTATCATAAATGCTAACACAAGAATTATTATGGATGGCCTTCCAACCTTTTGCATAATTTTTTTAATAACAAAAAATCCTAAAGCTGACCCACCAAGTGATATAAAAAATAGCCACAAACCATATGAAATCCCTATAATCCCTCCAATTGAGTATTGGAAAAACGATATAGAGGAGCTATATATTTTTTCCTTAAATTGGATTATAATATTTTTATGGCTAATTTTATAGAGATTACTGATAAATAGTCTTTTAAAATGGTATAAAAAAGAATCATCAGATTAGAGCACGCAGTTGATACCTCTGGGCGGTTCCCTAGATATAGGAGAAAAGGGTTCATAATAAGCCCTCCACCTATCCCAAGTGCTCCTGCAGCAATTCCTGCTATCAAACTGACAGCTGCTATAATGCTCGCAGATTTTTTATTCCATTTTACGTCATATTCATCAAAGTCATACCCAGCATCAATTTTCTTTTGGGTCGCCATCACTAAACCATTTCCCATATGATAGGTAATTAGCATCAAAATAATAAAATAAAAAATCAGAAAAATCCAATAGCCAACCCCACATTGGGTAATTCCTATATACTTTATAGCATAAATGGCTAATTTTTATATAAAAAATCAATTTAAGCCAATTATTTATATTAAAAAGGATAATAGAATCCATTCCTTTCCCTCCTTTCATAAACGACGCAACCAGGACAACTAAATAAATAAGTGCAATGGTCGCGACACTTGAAGGTGGGACAATCTTTTTTTCTGACTCCAAAATCAGCTCAAGGGCTGGATTTTTGTCGTCCTCAGTCACATCTTTGTCAAGCACTGACGTTTCTAATTTTTTGTCTTCTATCATAGGGTCAATCGCCAAAGCATTTTTGCTGATTGCTGTTTCCTTTTTAAAAGACAAAATTCCTTTTTTTGTAATAGAATACGACAAATATAGCAATAAAGCTACAAGTAAGCCTATAGTAAGCCAGTCTGGGAAAATTGTATGGAAAATCACCCCAATTGAGGTCCCAGCTAGCAGTGGGGCTATAAGAAAGGCCACGAGTTCATAGTCGATCAGTGGCTTATCCTTTTTAGGGTGCCTTGATGGGATTTTTAAGCCAATTGTCATTAAACTTCCTCCAAAAATAGCGACCTGGGTATACGCTATAGACTTATAGGTGTCGAAATTGAAAAATGACTGGAGGATCATAGTGTTTAATGGTCCTCCACCAATCCCAGCTGTATTTGATAAGCCAATAATGATAACTGTGAATATTGAGCCGACTATCTCTATCCCTTGTATAGGAATTAAGTCTTTGTGCTTGCACTCGCCATCCTCACACTTTTGATAAGACTTGCAATCTTTATCACGCTCGCACTTATCTGATTTGTATAAGAGATTTTCACAAATACCATCAATGCATTGCTGATTCACATCACAATCGCTACTATCAACGCACTGCTGGGAAATAACAATCTGAAAGTAAATCAATAGCAAGGCTAAAATTGCTTTCATTTTATGACGCAATTTACTACTAAAAAATTATTTTATTATCTTGAATTACATTATATAATATATTGGTACTATTTTATTTTTGCTTATTTATGGTAAATTGATTTTAAAATGTCAAAAAAATTTTGACATGTCATTATACATAAAACTGATTCTATGGTATGTTAAAATTTTTTTGACATTTTAAAATCAATTTACCATAAATAAGCAAAATGAAATTTATGCAAGGGATTATATATATTATAATCTGAAATTACGCTTTAAAAAATTCTTTAATTAACACATGCTTGAGAATCCATAATATTCTTCATCAATAATAGTCGCAATTCCTGTAACAAAAATTCCTATTAAGCTTGCAGTAAGCATAAAGGCTAATAGTAAAATAATGAGAGACGGCCTATTTATTTTTTTTAAAATTTGCTTGATTACTATGAAGCCAAGTAAAGACCCACATAGAGAAGAAATAAATAGCCAAATTCCATAGTCAATACTAATAATTCCACTAATACAATATTGTAAAAATGATATTGATGAGCTGAATAAGACCATTAAATTTGAACATGCTGTAGATATTTCAGGCCGGATTCCAAGGGCAAGCATAAATGGGTTCATTATTAAGCCTCCTCCTATTCCTAAACTACCAGCTGCAATTCCAGCAGCAAAAGTCACTGATCCAATAATAGTTGCTGATTTTTTGTTCCATTTAGGATCACTTTCATCAAAATCATAATTTGCCTCAATTCTTTGTTTGGTTTTTTCTATTATCCTCTAAAACTTAACAATAATTTTCCATCTACCTTACAAAACCTATTTTTTCCCCAAAATAAATTTAATATTTCTATTAAAAATTATTTTTCATTTAATTTTTATATAAATTATTCCCCAAGTGCCAAGTTATAATCATCAGCACAATAAAATAAAAAATCAAAAAAATCCAATACCCAGCTGAACACTGCGAAATCCCTATTATCGAATTCACCCCTTTTCCGCCCTTAACAAACGAAGCCAATAACACAATTGAATAGATCAACCCAATTGTGGATGCAGGGCCTACTGGAACTAATTTTTTTTCTTCTTTTAAATGGTTTTGCAATAACAAATTTTCTTCTTTTACCTCTTCAGGCTCTTTATCTAATATAGACACCTCAGGCCCGGCTTCAGGATTTATGCTATCAAAGCTAATCCTATGTTTTGTTTCTGCTTTATATATACTTATCCCTTTTTTAGCAGTTTTATAAGAAACATACACAAGCAAAATCACTAATAAAGTGACAGTCAGCCAGTCAGGAAAAATCAAATGTAAAGCAACGCCTATAGAAGTTCCTGATAATAAAGGCGCTATTAAATAAGCGACTAGTTCATAGTCCAACAGAGGCCGATCCTTTGTAGGATGTCTAGCAGGGATTTTTAGTGCGACTGACATCAGGCTTCCTCCAAAAATCGCGACCTGAGAAAATGCTACAGCTCTATAGGTGTCAAAGCCAAAAAAAACCTGTGTAGTTATAGTGTTAAGTGGGCCGCCTCCAATTCCTGCTGCATTAGACAGCCCTGAAATCAGAATGGTCATGACTGTTCCCATGACTTCTAAGCCTTGTATAGGGAAAAGAGATTTATGTTCGCATTTCCCATCACTGCAATGGTGAAGACTGCTGCAGTCAACATCTCGCTTGCAAGTTCCAGCAAAAAGGATTTCACATTGGGTATTAAAGCATTGGTAGGGAGCTAAACAGTGGGAATCGCTATCACAGGAAGTGGTGGATTCTACTAGTGTTCAGATTGATATAATAAAAAATCATGCAATTCTCATTGTATTAGATGGATTTATAGTAACTTGGGATTTTTGATTAAAAAAATTGGACTGATAGTAATTTAAATAATCAAAATTTTTGTGATAGTAAGAAAGCAAAAAGGAGAGGGGGATATACCACATTTTATGAATTTAAATGTCCAGTAAATTAATATTCGTAATTTTGTAAAGGGCGACATGATTTTAGGGTAAATTCTGAGTTAAGTTAGAGAAGATGATAAGTAAAATTGGAGGTTTTATTTGAAAATTAAATTTATAATTTGCCGTTTGTGTATAAATTTATGTATTAGCGGATTTAACTTAAAAATCTTTGAAAATTTTGATTATTTTTCATTCTGAGCTTGTATAGAGTCTTGACTATACCTAAAAGTCACTCATATTTGATATATAAACTGATAAATTATTCATTTATATATAAACTATAGGCGTATTAAGGCTAAAACCTAAACTATTGAAGATTTTATCAGGACAATCCTAATTGATTTTGATCGATTTAATATCAATGATTTCTCTTTGGCACATCTGCAGCTTTCTAATCCTTTTCTGTATTCAATTAGACCATTTATCGTATTTAATTATTCTCTTTTTTCAAGAACATGGTTTTATTTGCCTTTTATATCTTATTTAAATCTAATCTGTAATTCTAGAACTTATTCAAGCCTTTTCAATATTAATTCTATTGACATTTCAAACTGGAATTATAACTAGAGATTTTAGAAGTATTTTTCACTTATAACTAGGTATTATCCTTAATCGTAGACGATTAATCTTATTTATGCTGTTGCTCCAATTTTGGCACAGCTTGCTTGAAGACTTCTTTCATGCTTTGATCATAGAGAGAGTCAGTGAATTTCTTTTGAGCGTCTTGATCTGCCTTGAACTTTGACTCACGAAGTTTTGACAATGCTCCTGCGATCCACATGCCATTGTTTGGATCATATAAAGATGAGAGGCCTTTTTTCGTGCTTCCATAGAATCCGTTTACCACTCTGCTAAGAATAAATTTAGTTAAGAACCCCATTTTATATTTATGGTTCAGAACATATAAAATTAATAGACGCTTACCTCGTAAAAGGCTAGTTTTCTTTATTTTTATTATCAGGAAAATCTCATTTACTCAAACTTATTAAAAAATTAAACACTTGCACGTTTTTTCCTGATTTATTTTGAGCGATTCCTGATCCAAAATATCAACCGACCTTATAATTTCTTCTAAAATAGGATCGACAGGGCTCGAGTTCGCAGAAATCTCTTGGAATGACAAATTTCCATTTTGAAGGCACCATTCAGCAGCTTCATGATATTGCACAGTCCTTTGTACCTCTAAATCCAGTTTATTTCCTACTATAAGAAGTGGGTATCTAGTGACATCCTTAATTCCCCTTAGAATGCAAAATTCATTTTTTCATGATTCTAAAGCACTGAAGCTGTTAGTTGAGGTTATGTCATATAATAAAATGCAGCCATCAAAGGACTTATGCAATTTTATATAAATAATGGCAAATATTTTTAAAAAAGTCAAATTTAATGAAAATTGTATATAAAATTCAGCTCTGTTTCCTAATGATGAAAATCTTTCACCACCTTGTGAGCCATTTCAGAGCTTTACTGTGCGAAGTTTTCCTTCAACGCTTAATCGGCGAGTTAGTCAGTCTGCTACACCTGTGAATTTTTTATAACTGCCTTGCCCTATGAAAGTATTTTTGCCAACACTGTATAGATTTTACCCTGGGTTGCCGAGGACTAAGATTTTAATCTCCTTTTTAGATGTTGACATAATAAATTATGGGAAATAACCAAGGCATGAAACAATAATAAACTGATAAAAATTTCTCAAAATTAATTTAAACCTTTATTACTATATAAATCCTCATATTTCTTGTAGTATAAGAAATAATTTCAAATTATTCATTAAAATTGGTAAAATAACCTATAAAAATCCAAGAGATAAATACTCAATACGCCCACTCAAAAATCCATAGCTTTTCTAATCATACCAAGAGATATTTATTTTTATTAAGCTCTCTCCATAAATGGCTTCACTGATAATTTTATTTACTGCTCAAAAGTATCACACCATACAAATTATAGAATGAGTACAAAAAACAGCCCAAAAGAGCAAATTCGGTCATTTACGCTGAGTATACCCTCAGTCCTAAACACAAAACCACAAAATGAAATAATTACACAAGTTCCTCGGTCCATTGAGTTTCCTATGCGAAAAATGTCAGAGACTACAAGTCTGCCTTCCATTATAACTGCCAGAAAAAGGATTGAAAGTTTTGATGTATCCTCAGTGCTTTTGTATGAAGGGCAAGCATTTAAACGAAGCAATTCTTTGAAAAATGTTGTTCCTAATAAAGTCTTGGACTTTTTACCATATATCTATGCACAAAATGGGTATGAGAAAACAAGGGAAATGTACACAATGTATTTTGGTAGAGGATATGAAAATTCTTTGCCTTTGCAAAGGAAGGTATCGAGCTTAAATATTTTAGGGGAGCTAAGAGAAAGTCGTGCAAAAATGAGGCCAAGTAAAGAAGATCTCACACACAAAAATAGGTCGTTTGATTCTGTATAGAATATAAATGGAAGTCTTATAAGTGTTAATAAACGTAATTAAGAAATGTGGGGTTTATAAATAATAAAAAATAATGTGGGATAAACGTGGTAAATTTTGGATGATTTTTTTGATGAAAAATTAATTAGATAGACAGAGAAATAAGATAGAATTTATGCAGAATTACTTTATCTTTGATATAAAAACTGAAAACAGTAAATTACCCCTGTTGGAAAAAATCATAATGGAAACTATTCAGATATAATATTTGCTGTACACATTGAAAAACTGATTAATTTTTAAGTTCTTAAATCATTTGATAAAATAAATTAATTATTCATACATAAAACCATCATTAGCCGATATAAAAATAGTCTAATACAATATTTATTACTATTTATCATAAAAAATTCTTTATTTAGCTTATCTAAAGTACTAAATCTAGCTCTTTCATTGCAATATAAAATGCCAATGAGCTATCTAGTTAAAATCTTCCCTGTCACCATCCATATTTCAACCAGCATATACCTACGTCATCACATTTAACGACTACCAATTCTTTCCATAATATCATTGCAATAAAAGCAATTTTCCCTTCACTAAACGATTTTCCTTCATAAACCTCCTCATAAAAAAGCTAATAAACCGCTTGCGTTCTCTTTTCCAGTCTATAAATGGTTCAGTTCTTACAAAGTTACTGATAAAATTTAATCTTACAAATTAATTATCCGCAAAATGCGTAATTATAAATCATCAATACAGTCATCTGGAATTTCTCCCATTTCCCAATTGCTGCTTATAATTCCAGAAAATAAGATTTCATTTAATTCATATCGCAGCTTATTGTTACATTTTTCTGTTTGGACCATAAACATTGGGTTTATTTCTGTGACACAGTTTTGCCGTTTAAAACAATCCTTTACCATTGAGTCCAAGGAAGGCTGGGAAATTTCATATCGCTTGGAATCTTCTGAGGATGAAGACTCGTCATGCGACCCAGAAGTATTTATACTTTGAGGGTCGTATGCAGAGGATAAGAAGCAGTTCGTAGGTATTTGAGATAGGTCAATCGCTTCAAAAAAATCTGAATTGCGATGTCCTCTTGATTTTTCTATATCCATACGGCGCATTTACAATTTTTATTATGAGATGGATTATTGTTTGATATAAGAAATATTTTTAATAGTTAAAATATTTTGAAAAATAATTATTATGCAAAAAGTTATGAAAATTTACTTTTCGCTTAAAATCGGGAGAAATGAAAATGAATAAAATTAGATTTGCGAAAATACAAGGAAATTCAAAATTTTGATTGATTTTTGTGATTTCTGGGTGGAAGATCAATTTAACTGGTAAAATTATAAATTAATTGCAAATGCTGTGTAGATTTTAGATATCAGGTTTGTTTTATATCTAGGTTCTGCTTATAAGATTTTTATTAATTATATTTAAAAAAATTATTAAATTTGCTAAAACAAATGCAAAATTTTGGAATTTCTAATAATTGTCCTATGATCTAAGGCAAATGTCCGCTCTAATAGTTCTGTTAAATATTCCCCTTTTAAATTTCTCCAAAGTTATGAAAATTTGCTCCAATTAAAAAATTTTTGAATACTCATATCTAATAATGCTTTTAAATTGATCGAAATTAGGCTCACCTTGAGTAAAATCTTCTATCGCAATTTGAATATAGCTATCTTCATCAGTTTTTTTCATAATATTTGCAAATTTTATTTTAGTTTTAAATTATATTATCATATATTATATATCCTCAACTTAAAATTTCAGCTATAATCGAAGCTTTCATGTTTTGATTGGGTCTTAAAATGATAATTTTTGATGATTTAAGAATCATTATAAATCCAGAAAACTTGCTTTAAAATAATTTTATAAATTACACCTATTCAATAATAAGAAAAATAGTATCAAGGTATTTCATTGGATAAGCTAAAATCAATTTTAATTTTCGTAAAATTTTAATAATAAGAGCATGCACTAGCTAGATAAAATTTCTGAATTTCAATGTAAATTTTCCTTTATTTTATTAATTAGATTTTCGTGTTTCTGTGACCTACACATAGATAAATATGTTTCTTTATAGAGATTTGCATAGACTTTGCATATACATAAAAATGGAGTGGCGAACCAACCCGACCTCTTAACACCTGTAGCTGGGGTCACCCAGGGACCTTGTGGAAGGGAGGTTGGCGTTCGGTAATGTGTATCCGGCCAGGTTTTTTACTTGGCTTGGGTGGAGCGCAATGTCGGATTAGGCCGACCGCAAGTTCACACCCAGGACCAAGGTTTTTTGCCTCTTGGGAAGATGGGTTCGGCTTTGGAAAGGGAAAGCCCAGCAGAGTCGACAAGACCAATCGGGCAATTTCCTAGCGCGATACCAGGCGTTGCGTCCTGGGCGACGGATTCCATCTTGACCGGTAGCTTGACCAGAAAATTCATAATTAAAATATGGCGTCTTCGTCTGGGCATGGCCTCCCGGCCATGCATACTCGACTCATATTTTAATTATATCCGGCAAGGTTTTGCATTTCAGAAACGGACGGCAATGCTAGGTAAGCAATTCTGGTTGTGCTCAGAGGCTAGCCCAAGTCTACTTTCGGGAATGTTTTTTTCCTCATCGGAAAGGAGACACGCAAGCTGGAAAGGGAAGCTCAGCCAAGTCCGTTAGGACCAATCGGGCAACTCCCTAGCGTGAAACTGGGCGTTACGTCCCAGGCTTCGTGTTTTTCCTTTTTTGCCGAAAGCCTACCAGAAAATCCATTTTTTATGGATTTTCGGAATGGCAACCCATGTCCTCAAGCGAAGTAGCTCAGGCATGAGCCGCCTTAGTCGGCAACACTGCTCCGGAGGCGCGTACTGGAGATCGAGGCTGACTGGCCCCAGACGGTCGGCGGGCCCTATGCGGCGAAGAAGCAGCGGGAAGCTCTAGGAGGGGTTACCCCGTGAATGGCGTTAAATACAGAACCTAATAAGTTAAGTTAAGTTAAGACCAGAAATTCATTTTTTGAATTTTCTGGAAGGGTAACCCAAGTTAAACGTACGGCACGGTGGCCCAGCCCACTGACTCACCGTTAGACGCGAGCCTCAGGCGGCGAGGAGTCTACCCCTAGAGGGTGGCGGCAGGCGGCCAAGACGAAACAAGGTGGAGATAAAGCGTTGTATGACGCCAACAGGGAGCTTTTCGATAATCTAATTAAGTAAGTAAAGTAAGCATAGACTTTGCAATAATTAAATTTATCATATGACTTCAATTCTTTCTCCTTGAGATATGCCCAGTAACAATAAAGCCATCAAAATTATAGTAAGGTCTGGTCTTTCAATCAGCGTAAATTAGATTTTAGCTCTATAGCATTCAGAAATATATGAAATATTTTTATATCTATTTAAGATAAAGCTATTCTTTATGCTTTTTGTCCAGAAATTAATCTATTGAGCTCTAGAAGGCATATAAGCCATATGGCGAATAATAATCATATAAAATGAGCGCAGTTCTTACCTCATCTCTTGGACTTATGAGGAGAATGCCTCCTTCTGCATGTGAAAAAAACCTCGCTGGCGTCTCTAAATTAATTGAAAATGAAGAAATAGTTGATCAAGTCTATCAAAGAGTCGACAAACCTTTAGAATTAGGAGTCTGTGAAACTATTTTTAATTAAATTCTCTGATGCAAAAGCCTTTTATATTATTTTAGACAAGGAATTTTCTACTAAAAATTTTCGCCTTATAAATAAATTGCCTACTAGCCACCGCCAGGTTTTGACAAGTTTACTTGTTTTCAAATATTTACGAGGCAAAATATCTCAAAATTCAATAAAATTTTTCCCTGAAACTACAGGCAACCAATTCATCCTTTGTGAATTCAATCGTGATGGTGACTCATACAGGTCTCCTTATAGTAACAACTACCAACCCCCTCTTCCAGACAGCCATGGTCCATCAGCCGATCTCCGCCAAATGGAAATAAAAGCTAATGACATTTTTAGTGAATATCGAAAACTTTACTATGAAGGAGGAACAGCTTCTGCTTACTTATGGGACACAAATCCTAATGAGTTCGCTGGAGCTTTTCTTGTGAAAAAGGATTTAGGACCTTCAGGGATTGTAGAAAAAGGTGCATGGGAGTCTACGAATTTGGTGACTGTAAGATTGTCGCCAGAAAGCAGAACAATAACTTATGTAATAACAACGACTGTGTTTTTACAAATTACAATTAATGGGATTGTTTTTAAAAAAATAAAAAAATATACTTTTTGGAATAAATAATATTAAGGATTTTTATATTAATTAGGATTAGACATATAGAGTTAAATAAGAATAATTAAGATAAATTTATTAACTCCCCCCCCCCCCTCCGTGAGCGAACAAAAAAATTTTTGTTCGCTCACGGAGGGGGGTTTATTTTTTTTTTTAAAAAAAAAATTATATATAAATTTTATAAAAAATATTTTTTTCGAAATTTAAAAAAAATCCTAATTTGCAAAAATTGGGAAGCAAATATTAATTTAATTTGCAAAATTTATGTTTTAAAAACGCAATTTGTTTAAAATTAAACAGAATTAGCTCTAGATTTCATTATACTAATTATCACTTATATATCAAAATTTTTTTCCATTAAAATTTTTTCTATTAAAAAAATTTTTGTTCACTCACGGAGGGTGGGTTTTTGGTCAAAAAATGGGCGATTTTTCTAATGGTTTTGTTCGCTCACGGAGGGGGGGGGGGGGAGTAAGAAAAAAAAATAATGGATAATTAATGACCCAGTAGCTGGAAAAGTAGAATTAAGTGGAAGCGTTTCAAGGCAGAACCAAGAGACCGCAGCTGCTAATAGCAATTTGTATGCAGATGCTCATATATATGGAATGATTTTTGCAGTTGAAAACATGGAAAGTAAGCTAAGAAGCTCGATTGATATGATATATGTTGGAAAAACAAGTGAAATTTTGGATAAGACGAGAAAAGTGGAGCCAGAAGTAAGAAGCAGATATAAATTAGCTTAAAAACTTATAATAAACCTATTAAAAATCTAAATTAGACAGTTATTTTATTATCAGGAGAATTTTGAGGACTTTTATTCTGAATTTCCCATTCAAAAACCTTTGTCCAGCATCTTTCTTTTAGTAAACATCAAGCCATTACTATAAAAATTAGCACAAAAATAGCTAAAATGGAAATCAATAAATCCACAATAACGTCTTTTGCGATATCAGCAGACTGGGATTCTTTAATTATTCCTCATATTAAAACACCAATTAATATACAGCACCCAATTATAGGTGACCATACTTTATTTTCTTCTCCGAAATTTAAGCTTAGCGTGTGAGAGTATTTATGGCTTTATATTTAAATAAAATTAAAGGCTATAATAATATTTTTGGGATTGTGGCTTTGGAATTTTTATAAGCATTTATATAAAAGGATATATATTTTATGGATAAATTTTGGTTGCAGATTTTGCAGCTTTTTTCAATTATATTATCCTTGGAGTTATCGGCAAGCCATTTCTTTATGCATTTCTTATGAACAAATTTTGATTTTTCTTTACATGAGCATGGAACAATTAAGTCTTTAGAATTTGAGGAGTCCAAGCAAATTCGGCAAAAAATTGAATTATTTGGGACTCTTTGGGGTTGTTCAAGGTTTTCTACACTTACTCCCCCCCCCTCGAAGTTCGACCAAGATATAGGGAAAATTCCTATTTTTTTTGGAAAATTAAACCCCCTCAAAGTTCGACCAAGACCTATATAAATTTACTAGGAAAATAAGCAATTTTTCAAAAAATTTAAACTATATGGGAGTGAGCTTGCGATTTTTGTATTCAAGTTCTAAAAAAACGTTACAAAACCATCTTGCACTATTTTTTCTAACCCTTACACCTTCTCAAATCATACAGAAGAATATGATAAATATTTTTTTTTTTAACTACTAAATTATATAAAAAAAATTCTATATAATTTTTTTTAAAAAAATTTTTCTTAACCCCCCTCGAAGTTCGACCAAAAAAATCTTGGTCGAACTTCGAGGGGGGGAGTTAGATAGCTTTCACATCTGGCAACTCTGAGCACAGGCAGAAACCTTTGGTTTCTCAGCTGTAGTAATGCCTTGAGTCTACAACAATTTCTGGATAAAACCTTTAGGGGATGAACTTTTCCAGGCAAAACCATTTCTAATTCACCCTTTCGCTCGTCTGATTGCTCCACTCTGCTCATCATCCCTAGGCAAAATTATTCCTTTTGTAGCCCTTGCTAGAGTGGCCGCCTTATAAGTTTTATCTATCTCTACAATTCAGGGTAAACCGCCACAGCAGTTTGAGCAGACAATCGTCCTGCTCCATTTTGGTTGCATACTGGCTTGTGTGCTGCTAGCAAAAAGAAATAACGAGCTACTGCACGTTGGATCAGATCAATAATTAGCAGAATTCTCTTGGGTCTTTTCCCTTATCTCTGATATTGCTGGGTCAATCAATGACTCCAAAAATCATGCCACACATACACATAGGTAGCCGTCACTAAACAGATCAGAGTCACTCGCCATTTTTATCTTGGTTTTCTACACTTAAATTAACAGATATCGGGGTTGATTGTTTTAGCTCATCCATAAGTGGGGAATACACAATTTTTGTGTCTGGCTGATCTTGATTTGAATTTTTCTTTGATTTAGGGCTGAAGTTGCGGATTATTTCGATGTCTTCGAAAGTAGAATTTTTAGAATCCTGACCTATTTCTTCAGTGAATCTTGACTTCATTATTATAAAGATACCTAAATAAATAAAAATTGAAAATAGGCTTGATATATAATGAGTCTGAATTGAAGATTCCATATGACAGTCTCACTAGAATGCCCTTAATTATATAAGGAAAAACTAAACCTTAAGAAGCCAAATTTAAGGACAGTAAATATCCTTTAGGGTCTTAATAACTAATATATGCATAAAAACTGATTAAGCTTGAAGTTTTAAGTTAAGTTTTGCAGAGTCTTCTAAAACTTGAATAATAATTATTAAATTTAATTAAGGAGCTTATAATTATTTATTGATAAACTTTACAAGTTTGAAATATGCACGCAGATTAAAATAATTATCATTACTATTAACCAAATATTAAGTCATATATTTATAAATTCAAATATAATTTTGATAAATTCAAAACACTCACCTTAATTTAAATAGAAATTACCTATTTTATTGCCATCAAAATTAGTATTAATTTTAATAAAAGTAAAATTTTAATTACTTTCAGCCTTAAATTTTAATCGAATTTTATAACGCATTTGTATAGAAACTTAAATTTCCTTTCTCTTTATATTTAATTAATAATTAAACTACATATAAAAATGAAAAATTCTCCTCATTCTATCTAAAAGTCTTTCTGATTTTTATCTTTTTCTATCTTTTCTATATCAAAATTCGATAATTTAATATAATAAATCATATATTTTTTATGATCTCTAAAATTAACCAACAGCAAGCTGAAGAGAATGAAGAGTTTTTTGATGCTTTTGAGACTCCATTAGATCTCGAAAAAGCCTCCACAAGCATATTCTCTCGAGATTCTTTCAGACATCCGCTTGGAAAATCAATAACTTCAATCTCAGATTTAAGAGACTCAGGATCACTACACGAAAGCGTTTTCCACACAATTGGTCATACTGTTGACAAGCCCAAAGTTAGGTCTTTTTCACTTAAAAGAGGCACTAATAAGAGTGATTTACCTACAAAATTGAGATCAGAAATAATTGAGCCAGCCAGTTTTTCAAATTTCCACTTACTCATTTTTTATTTGATTGTTTTCTAAAAAAAATAATTTTTAATAAAAAATAAAGTCATATGCAGAAAAGTTAGCCCAAGAGATCAATATTGTAGGAGAATCTAAAACTGAAGTTTGAATCCTCAAATTTAGTCAAAATTCTAACTCCCCCCCCCCCCCCCCTCCGTGAGCGAACAAAACCATTAGAAAAAAATCACCATTTTTTGACCAAAAACCCACCCTCCGTGAGCGAACAAAAATTTTTTTTAATAGAAAAAAATTTTAATGGAAAAAAATTTTGATATATAAGTGATAATTAGTATAATGAAATCTAGAGCTAATTCTGTTTAATTTTAAACAAATTGCGTTTTTAAAACATAAATTTTGCAAATTAAATTAATATTTTGCTTCCCAATTTTTGCAAATTAGGATTTTTTTAAATTTCGAAAAAATATTTTTTATAAAATTTATATATAAATTTGTTTTTAAAAAAAAAAATTAACCCCCCTCCGTGAGTGAACAAAATTTTTTTGTTCGCTCACGGAGGGGGGGGGGGGGGGGAGTAAGCATCTTGCTATAACAGGCGACTCTGGTATAATTTCTATCTACGATCTGAATATTGATCTCTCTAATAAAAATGAATTGATTAATCCAACCCCATCCTTAATATTGAATCATCATACAGACAAAGTTACCGACATTAGCTGAAACCAGGATGGTCTTTTGTTATCATCCTCATTAGACTCTACTGTAAAATTATGGAGAAATAGCGAAAATCCTGTTATGACATTTATACACCCTTGCCCTGTTCATTCTGTCTGTTTTCATCCTATGGTTCCAGGATATTTTGCTATAATTCATGCATCATAATAGATCGCTATGTCCCAGCAAAATACCGACCAGAAAAACTATGGCTCAAGATCCCTGGCTTATGCAGTCTAAGTCTGACTAGGCATCTTAAACCTTAAAAAGAGATTTTTAATTTTAATTTTACTTTTCAATAAAGCTGGTAAATGAAAATTCATTTTAAAAAATAAAATGAATCGTCAATAATGATCTAAAAAAATTCGATTGGTATACAGCAGGGCATGATCGTATAATAAGGATTGTAAATATATCAACAAGTCAAGTAGAAGCGAATTATAAGGCTAGCAATGATATTTATGTAATTAAATATTCCCCACAAGGAGAATTCCTTGCAGCAGGACTATCTCATGGAAGAGTGATTTTTTACCAGAGCCCTAGCTTTGACTTAAAACTGAGGTTTCATTCTATATTAAAATCCAGAAACCATTCAGGATTCAAACGATTTGGCAAAAAAGTCACAGGACTAGAATTTATGGATAATGATGTGATTCTTATAACGACAAATGACTCAAGATCCCGGCTTTTTCAATATAAAACAGGGAATTTATTACAAAAATACAAAGGGGCGGTTAACTCTAAGCATCCAATTTCAGCAAATTTTTCTTCAGATTTTAATCATATTATATGTGGGTCTGAAAAAGGGAAATTTGTGATATGGAAAACTATGGGAGAAAATGAATTAAAACATCCTGAAAAAAATAATAATTTTGAAATTTTTCAAGCAAGAAATGAAAAATTGTCTGAATTTTCAATTTTTTCTCCGAAAAGAATTGTATCAATAGCAAATTCAAAATTTACTGCAAAAGAAGTCAGTGAAGTGATTTTTACAATCGGCTCTCACAAGGCTTTAAAAATCTTTTATTATTTTAATTAAAACATGAATTTATTTAAAAATAGGCATATGTGCTATTTTTTTAAAAAAATGTGATGCAATAATGCCATTCGAAGAGCATCAAAAATCTAAGAAATTTCAGTCTCTTTGAGCTATTTAATATTTAAATAAAATAAAGAAATGAAATCCCTTCCCAGACTCAAAGCAGACTTCTCCAGAATAATTATGACAGACCGAGCTAAAAATTCTCCTCGATCAATCGACACCCCTCATGAGCGCCTAAGTCTCCGAAGTCCCAGGATCCAAACTCTGCTCAAATATGACACAAAATTAAAGAAAAAATTAGAAGAATCAGTCCAAGCCAGCATCGAGCTAAACAAAAAAGTCCCAAAATACGACGCTGTCAAAAAAAGCATAAAATCCCTCCGATCAATGGAGAATTACCACCTGCCAAGGTCCAAGACCTTCGAAACCCAACGAAAAAGAAATAAAAGAATCCCTCACATCCTAGAATCGTTAGCGTCTACATGAAAAGGCGAGACTTTAAATAACATACAAATTTGGATGAGGATTCACGAATGTATAGAATCTCCCCCACCAGAAAGTACAATTTGTGCCAAAATCCCAAAAGAACTAATAAAAAATCTTGCAAAAACCCAGGTCGGGGCAAAATTGCTGAGTGATGCCACACAAAATATGACACAAGAAAGTTTGTATAGTACCGGAAATTATAGAAACATAAAAGAATCATTAAATCAGAGAGAACTTGCATTACGGAAAAGAGTAAAACTTGAATTATTAAAAGCAAAGACGCAGTTAGACTAACTGTTGTCTTAATAAAAGTCTCAAAAAAAGCGCATTCTTCCTAGCGTTCCAGTTCTGAATATATAAGGTTTCTACATTAAGATAATGCAGTAAGCTTTCTAACTCATTCATAGACTTTTCCCGATCTTTTGTGAGCAGCTTTGGGTGCATTCCTTTAGCCATTAATTCTTTTAAGCCTTGGCAAGGCAAAACTCCTCGATTGTCAGGCTTTATTAATAGGTCTTTTAGGCTGTATTTTTCTAGTAGTTCTTGAGCAAGCTCAATATCGCCTCTGAGTGCGGCTTTATGTAAAATATTTTCGCCTTGGCTGTCTTCTATTCGTAAATTGGCGTTGGCTTCATGAAGCATTTCTAAGAGTTCTTTTTTGCCGTGTATTACAGTTAAATGGGCTGGGGTCATTCCATAAGGAGAACTTATTGAGTTCGGGTTGCAATGGCAATCTTTTAAAAAATATGCTGATTTATTCTGATTAAAATAATAAATAATATTTTCAAATTATAAGATTTTAATCAATTTTATTTAAAATAAATCAGTATAATTAAGGAAATAAAACTTTATTAAAAATATTTTTTAAAAAAAATAAAAAATTATTTTAAAGTAAGAATAATTGAGACACTCTTTTGCACCTTCACTACATGCATAATGAAATGTTGAACAACTGCCCATTAAATAGTTGTCTGGACAAAAAGTAGGGTTTGAGTTTAAGATATTGATGACTTGTGGAAGATTATCAGATTGGATTGCACAGCGTAAAGTGTAGAGGATATTAAAATTGAATCTGCTTTCATCGGTGATCATAATTTATTTTTAGTGTAATATAAAGATAATGGGATTATTGAAATAAAAATAATTTAAAATATTTGTTATAACCCTGTCTAACACCCTCGCTCCGTGAGCGCGGAAAAACCATTAGAAAAAAATCTATGAGTGAACAAAAAATTTTTTATAAAAAATATATTGATATATAAGCGATAATTAGTATAATAAATCTAGCTAATTATGTTTAATTTTAAACAGCTTGCGTTTTAAAAATAAATTTTAAATTAAAATTAATTATCATTTTTCAATTTTTTGGGTTATTTTAATTTTTTGAAAAAACAATTTAGGATAAAATTTTAAACCAAAAAATTGGTTACAGAGGGAGAGTAAGGTATTTATTTTTATATAGAAAATAATCACTAATTCATATAAAAACATGATTATACCTTAGGGATTATAGCTATAATTAACTGCAATTTATAAAGTCTTTTAATTTCTCTCGATAGATAAGGCAAATAGTAAAAAAAATACAAAATCAAACAACACAATGCATACATTACAACTGCATAAATAATGGAATTCAGCTTATCAGAAATCATATTTTCAGAAGACTTGTTAATAATATCAAAATTTGTGGCCATAGCCTGCTGAATAATAGCATAATCTCTAGTTGTTTTCATCATTTCTTGCATTTTATCATCTTCAATATGCTTTAATGCTAGGGAGTCAAATGTCAATAAATTATTCAATCATAGCCCTCCATATTTATACTGATAATTTGGGGCGCTTGAATGCTCATAAAGCTTGGCTCTCAGACTATTAGACATATAATGCATATAATCTATTAGCTCAGCATCAGCCAGTTTAAATAGATTTATTGCTTTATCAAGTTCTGTATCAGGATTTTCATATACAACACTTTCAGAAAAAATTATTTGGAGACCAATAGGCGTTCCATATACCGCAGATTCTCTTGACCAGAAATTTATGGTTGGGACAAGGGCTCGCCTACGAATATAATTTGTCAATAATTTAGGTCTTTCGTGTAATAAGTCTTCACAAGAAGAAAAAAGAACAGCATGAACTACTATAATGCTTTGGGTAAAGATAATTTTTTTCTTTTTTTATAAAAAAATAAATAAATTTTATAGGAATTGCCCGAGGATGGCGCTATCTTGCGCCATTCTCGGGCAATTCAAAAAATGGCCCCACACCGAGAATCGAACGCACGTGTGGGACCATTTTTGGTGCGTGTAAGTCTATGTTGGCCACACACCAAAAATGGCCCCACACGTGGGTTCGATTCCCGGTGTGGGGCCATTTTTGAATTGCCCGAGGATGGCGCAAGATAGCGCCATCCTCGGACAATTGGTATATCTGAAAAAGCATATATAATAAGCAGCTGTTTGCAATAAAAATATACTTAATCGCATAATAAATTTTTGGTTTTCTTTAAATGTCAGCTTTTCGTCTGGCTCTTTATTTCTGTACACAGAGTCAACTTCGTCCTGATTGTAATCATTTCCATGGATAGAGCAAAGCCTTTCTAAGCAGCTTCTTTTCAGCTCAAAATATGCTGAATGAGTAATTGTCTTGATAAAATTTCATAAAACATTATATTTTTTGCTTATATAAAAAATATAATAAACAAGGATTATTGTACAAAACCCAAGGACACAGATCCCTGCTACCATAAGGATAGTTATCGTATTAGAAATTTCCGAAATCCTATTAATTTCACACCTCACAAGATTTCTTTACTCCACCCCCCCAATTAATAGCGGACGAAATCAATGTTTTTTTTTTTCCCTAAAAATGGACCCTTAGGTACCATTTAATAACGGAAATTTTTTTACTATAAAAAATTTTAAATTATATAAGATAATCGTTCATTATAAATTTACTAATATACATAAAATGGCGGATGACTTCTGACCCGTCCTCTTGAGACGGTTACCTGTGTATATCCGGGCATGGTTTTTGGAGCCAGGAATTGGCCCAGCTATGTCTTGGGACCTCAAGGCGAGAGGTCTAAGCGCAAAGATCGCTGTTTTTGTGACCAAGAATTGTGCAATAACTAGCTTATCACCAGTTGTTAGTCTTTTCTCTTTCTGGCTTCTCCATTCAACTCCATTTTATTAGATTTAATGCTACTCTTTTGACTTAAAAATGCATTTTTTTCAGGCCTTTTATAAAAAATTTTAAATAGAAAAATATATATAAAAATATCAAACTTTTTAAGTTATGACCCAATTAATAGCGGACGATTTTTTCGTCCGCTATTAATTGGGGGGGGAGGATTTAATGAAGAATTTGTCTGCTGATATACGTTTTCTAGTCCATTTGAAATCAGATATCTCATTTCATCGTCAAAAGTTTCATTATTTTTTGCTTTTATTACCAATTTATTTGCCTAAATAAAAAAATACTGTATTATTCTATTTTTATTGAAAGTTTTAATTTAAAAAATTTAAAAAAAATTTTCATGCACAATTAATAAATAACAATATAATTTCATCCTGAATTTCATCAAGTAAATTTGTATAGATAATCTCTTGTTTATTACTAGCTGTTCACGAAGCCATTATATCATTTGATACAATATCAGAACTCGGACAATAACTTCACTCATAGGCATCATCCCTTAAAGCTTGATGATAATTCGACATCTCACTAATGGCGTCGTTCATTAAATCAAGATTTTCATTAAAATCAATATTTGTCTTGATACTAAAATAAATTGAACGTGAAATTTCAGCCATAGACGCCAATCTATACAAAATAATTGCTAAATCTTTGAAGGAATTAAAAGACTTCGAATGGTTTACCGCTTCTGATATATACACAGAAATTGCTATATTGGTCGCTATAACTATGATCATCTATATATTTTTTACCGAAATAAATAAAATTCATTTAAATCTTTTTAAAGACGTCTCGGATTTTATCATGGTAGATTTCCCACGAGCTTAATAAAAGTTACTTTTGGCGACTGATGAAGAGTTGCTTTGTAAAATCGACGCAGTTATGGATCTGTCGTCAATGTGGCTGAATTTTCGTTTTTTTGCAATTTCGTCAATTCGGGAAAGCTCGATGGTTTGAGAAATGTCAGTGTTTTCTTCACGGGTTAAGTGAACTCGCTTTTTTATTATGGGGGAGTCAGTTAGACCAGGAGGAAGGTCAATATTTGTATTTATTATTATTTAACTCCCCTCCAGTAATTGCTTATTTGTTGGGATTTTTGTGGAAGTTTTCAAATATGACTAAATTGAAATTTGGGGTTTTTTCAGATAAAAAGCGAAAATTGCTAATTTTTGACATTTACCACCAATAATAAGATCTATTCATATAAAATTTACTATTTGAAAATTTTCTGCAAAAATCCCCACAAATAAGCTTGCTTGGAGTAAGGAGAATTAATAAATACATTAATAGGGAAAGGTTTATTTTTCATAGGAATAAGATTTTGGCTATATTTTTTTTTGGATTATTTTTATAAAAAACCATAGATTATCTGAGTCAAAAAATGATTCCTGACGTTTAAAATATTCTTGCTGATTATAGTCGAGCCCTTTATTTCATTGCTTTATTTCAGTTGGATCAGTGATTAGCAAAATATAATGAATTCTGGTTTTTGAATAATTTTTTATACAATGAACTGCAGCTATATCAATTCCATTAGGAGAAATCATTTCTGGCTCATAAATCGTCATAGCTTCAAAATTAATTTCTGGGAGAATTTTTTGGATATATTGGCAGCCTATAGGTATTTTTTTAAAATTTAAATATTCTATTTACAATTATTTAAATTATTTTTAAAAAAAAGTTTTAATTTTTTAATATTCATCCTAATAGGAATATTCTAAAAAAAAATGTGAGCTATGGTGATATATAAACCCATTCTCTGATATTAATGCAACCTGCCTAAGGGACTGCACTATTTTTAAGGTCGCCATAAAGTATAAATATCCATTAAATGCAGTCAATTTAATCAGAACTTGGCAGTCAACCAAAAAGCCCATTTGATTTAAAAAAAATAAAGCATTAGGTGTTGGCACTTCAGTTGATTTACAATTTTCTATTCATTCAGTCATATATTGGCGGTGGGAGTCTTGATAAGGGTTAGGGATATACTGTCATATTTTATTGCCCGTAGCGCTATGAATATTTTCTTCTAATATTTCTGCAGCTTTTTGATTAATATACACAATCTCCCCAAGGTCTTTTTTACTAGCTGATATCAGTATAATCCCATTTTCATCATCAAATCTTGTCAATCTCTTTTCACTTTTCGACTTAAAATCAGGATTTTTAAAGCTGTTTCGCTTATTCATGATTAAATTTCCAAATTGATGTTCATTAAGGACATTCATTAAGAAACTCCCATACAGCTCAAAAGCTTTAGCGTGCTTATAAGCGATTAAGGACATATATTCATCTTTAAGTTTTTCTATTAATTTTGAAACTTTGTGGGCTAAACTTTCTAGTTTGCCGAGGCGTGGCTTTTTGCATGTCACTTCGTTCCATAAGGATATCAAATCGCAGCATAGTTTTTCATCATCTTTTTCAGCTTCTTCTAAATCAATTAAATAAAATAAAAAATCAGTTTCTATGCAAAAATTTTCATTTTTATTGTTATCTAATCATTTTTTAATCCTTCATTCCTGTACAACCCCATCCATACTAGCTTTAGCATGCGTCATTCTTGCAAATTTTATTCTTGCTAGCCCTAAATCTTTTATTGTATGAATACAATAGTTAACTTCTCAAGCGACCAATAATTTTTCGATAAAAAATATTTGTTTTTTATATATTTCAATGAATTTTTCTATTATTAAATAAATAAATTATCATTTTAAAAAAAATAGTCTTGAAAATTCCTTATAAAGACTATAATGTATACAACCCTTGCATTAAATTTTCCAGACCTATCAATAAGCATATGCCTCATATTCAGCTCAAAATTATGCTGATTTGACACTTCTTTTGGAGAATTTGCATAACTTTTTGAAAGTTTGCTTATATAATATATATTTGCAGCAAATATCAGAGGAAATATTACAATACTAAGCAGCACCACGACCCCTGCATCATCAATTCATAATGCTAGCAAAAAAAAAGCATCAAAAATCGAAATCCCAAGCATGACAGAAATTTTTAAAGCATCCACAAAAGGGTTAAAATAAGAATTACATGTAAACATAAGGTAGGATAAAAAGCCTGTAGAAATCATAATATAAAGGTGGTATAAGGTTATATTAGAAATCCCTGCGTAAACATAAATAATGGCTATAGCTGTTTTATGGCCTAGGACTTTTATATCAATTCCAGTGTCAGCACGTGCTCTGATATTCCGTTCAGCAAAAGAGTGGCAAACGTCAGCAGTAAAAAGTTCATGGGTAATTGCAAAAAAATATAATAAAAATGCATCAATAAGTCCAATTATGCCTCAAAAAGCTGAAATTGGCTGCATATTTAAGGTGCCATGTGAGTTATACAATTTTTATTAAAATGCTTAATATATTTTTTAAAAAAAAAATAAATAATATATTAATATATAAAATATCATATACTCATCTATTGATGATTCAGGGTAAAATGAATATTTAATAACAATCAAATTTATCATCAAAGCTGGCAGATATCCAATTGTCGATAAAAACTCTAAAATTTTCCCAGGCAAATAAATCAGGTTTCCATTGATACTGCGCTTCCAATAACACATCAAAGATGTTATACACAAAGAGATAAAGCCAAATGTAATTAAAAATGAAGACCCATAAAAACAATGATGTAAACCTTTCAAATCCGCGCAGATATTGTCGAATCTAAAATAGCTAATAATATACCAAATCAATGAATAACGATCTCACTCAGATATTTTCACCCCAGGGTGTAAAACTAGGGTTAATAACTGAAGGCTAATTTTTTATTTTAAAAAAAAAATAAAAAATATTTTTTTTAATTTTAATAAAATAAAAATAACTGAAGGCAATAAATTGAATTCATTGAGATCTCAAAGCCCATTTGAATAGAATATTTCATTTTGTATCGGTATTTTGGCTTAAAATAAGCATTAAAACCTTCAAAAATTGCATCTTTTACTTGAGATCTTATAGAGCGTGTACGGAGTTTTCTGACTTTATTACCTGCTATGTCTTGTACACTGAATTCAGATATAAAATTAACCATTTTATTTTCATTAAGGAAAACATAAGAACATATAGAATTCAGAAATTTATTATTAATCAGAGAAATAATAGAGGAATAGGTAAATTAATTTAATGATTTTTAATAAAGAGGTCTTTTATGCGGCCAAGAATTTTACTGGAAGCTAATAAGAGCTTATTATGAATTAAAATCAGAAATTTAATACCAATCAGAAATTCCGCATATGATTAATCGAGCTGATAAGAATTATTTATATTTTTTTAAAAATATTTAAAATTCAAAATTGATTATAAAATTTTAACTATACTCACAAATAAATTAAATCTTAATCAGAAGCGATTTTCTAAAAAAATCAAGACAAAGCCTTGCTTGGAGAAATAACTCTTGTCCATATTTTTATAAAAAATTATTAGCAAAATGGCTTGAATATTAACTAAAAGGCTTTTAAAAAGAAAATATAAGCAAGATTATTTTATTTATATTAAGCTTTTGAATTTTTCACACTTCCAGGTATTAAATACATAATATCCTGGATTTTCAACAAATTTTTGACCTCTGAATTGATATATGGCAAATAATATAAAAAAAATAAAAATACAGAAATCAATGAATATGCAACAATTGCATATATAATATAATTCAGTTGTCCTATAATTAAATCTTGTGAGCTACCATCGATTAATTCGAAATTACTTGTCATTGCTTGTTCTAGAATTTGAATACCACTTCCAAACGCTGTTAACTTATAAAACGCTCTTATATCATAGTCATCTATATATATTTCTGAATCCTGAAGTAGGATATTGGTATACCAATATGAGCCATATTGCAAATTTTTACTTATTGCGATATTCCCAGTCTCAAAAAGCTTTGCTAATAGTTCATCAGACATAAAACTCATATTGTCTATTAATTGCCGATTTGCATTATTAAAAGCACTGATCGCCACTTTTGCCTCCTGATGAGGATTTTTAAAAAAAGTCATATTTCCTGTCTTCCCAATAGTCGATACATTTATATTTGATAAAATTGCTTCACATGTCCAAAAATCTATTAGTGGTATCAAAGCTCTTCTGTGTAAATAATTTCTTAATAAATTCGGCCTAGTAATTAAATAGTCTTCACATTTTGGATATAAGCCAAAATTGACAGTAAAAAAATAAATAATGGTAAATACAGTAAAAATTCCAAGCCTCATTAAATACCTTTTGCTAATATTGAATTTTAATGAAATAAGTGTATTTTTGCTTCGATTGTATGCATCTTGATCTTCGGTATTATAATCAATCCCATGAACAACTGACAATCTATCCAAACAAGCACTTCTAAGGTCATGATACGACAAATGGGTTAAATGCTTAATGAACTGCCATAAAGCATTATATTTCCGACTGATTATGAAAATAAACATTGCAAGTACTGAAAAACAAACTCCTAATATAATGGCACTAGCAATAAATAGCATAGAAATCATCTCACTAATGGTATAAATCATATCGATTTCACACCGAACTAAGCCATTTAAAGTATTATTAGTAGCTGTATATATATTTTTATATAGTTTATTATTTTTACAAAATAATAAATAGAAAATATAATTATTTAATGGAATAGGATAGAGATTCCCTACCCCGTTGATAATGATGAAATCTATTTCTTTAGGGGAATGTATAAGTTTTTCAGCATTGGCGATTATCGTTTTTGTCTATTTATTTTTTACATTTGAAATAATATCTTGAAGAGCGTCATATAAGTTTGTTTTTACTATTTTTGGGGAATTATCAAAATTTCATATAGAAATATGCTTACTTATAGTGAATTTTTTAGTACTTTTTTTATGATAAATATAAGGGCTAATTCCCCTTCTGTGAACAAACAAAAAGATTTGTTCGTTCACGAAGGGGTGCCAATTTGTTTTTAAAAAATTTAAATATATGAATTTTTTTAATCTCAATTCGCAAAAATTCTAAAGCTTTTACGTTTATTAGACTTATAGAGAAGTCACTCTTCCCCCTATAACACTCCTTCGCCTGCTCGCCAGTTTGTACACTGTCTTACAAAGGATGCTCCTTCGGACAAGGGCCTGCACATTCTCTCAAATAGTTTGATGAGTTGTGTCTCCGTGCCATGCATTAACAAATGTTGCCACCATGGAAAATTTAAAATACCGAATTTTCTTGGTCGACTCTCGTTTAAAATGGAAATCCGAAGACGTGGGCATTAGTCCTGTTTTCACGCTAGGATATAAACCACTGGTATTGCTGGGAGATCCCTTTCCAAATTTTGGCTCCATTCCGATCTAAAACAAGTTGGAAATTATGTGATCAGCCAGCCCGACATTGCGCTTCACCAAACCAAGAAAAACCTGGCGGATACACATTTCCGAACGCCATCCTCCCTTCCTTAAGGTCTCTACGCACCCTGTGGATGCCAGCTACAGGAGTAAAGAGGGTGGGTTGGTTCGTCATACCATTTTAATGTATGCAAAAACTGGAAAGCAAAATTTTAATTTAATTATAAAATTTATATTTTAAAATGCAAGCTGTTTAAAATTCAAAAGAATTAGCTAGAGGTTTATTATAATAATTATTATTTATATATAGAAAATATTTTATTTATAAAAAATTTTTGTTCGGAAGGGGGGATTGCCACAAAAAATGGAATTTTCCTAATGGCTTTGTTTGTTCAAGGAAGGGGGGAGGAATAAGAAGAAATTTCAGTTATTCTAAATCAGTATAAGATTTTCCACCACAATACTGGAGCTGTCACAATAACTTCATGCTGGTAGATTTGATAAAATTCCATTATGAGAAGCATCAAGCTCTGACAATGACGCTTTTATTGGTATTATTTTTTTTTAAAAATATATAATTTTTACAAAAAATAATGATAATGTGCACAATTACTATGAAAAGTATGCAAGAACTAATTCAATATATTGCTGCTGCTCTGGCGAATCAATGCAAAAATCTATTTTTCATGCATTTTCTGCTATATGGACTAAATTAAAAAGTATATTTCCAAGATCACTAAAAGTATCTATCGATCTTGAATGGTTAACAGCGTTGGATATATAAATTGCAATAGCCACATTTGTAGTAATAACAACTAAAACCTATATAGCATTTTACAGAAACAAATAAAATCAGCTTAAACTTTTTTAAAATCATTTCCGATTTTTTGACTATAGTTTTTCCGGCTCCATAAATTTCATTGAAAATTTTTAAATAGTGTGACATTTGGTCGAAATTTAATTTTTTGTGTGTCAAATATCTCACTATCAAAAAGTTTCAACCAATTTTCGACCAAAAGTACTTCGGTAAAATGCACACTATCAAAAATGCACGATCATTGTACCTGCACCAAGTTTTTCCATGCGCTGCATATTTTTTACCTTTTTTCTCTGTCGATGAGCTATCATGTGTATAAGAATTTTTAAAAGTTTTAAAAAGTAAAAAAAATATATAATTTTTAAGGTATTGAGGATACAAGGAAAATTACTATGGCCTTTTGTTTATTCTTTATGAAGGAGATTATAATAAAAATTATTATTTTTTTAATACTATGTATAATGAGACGATGAAATAGTTATTGATTTTTCTTCACTTGTCCATCGTTCTTTATGATTCTCAGATGACCTAAACTTCACAATCGATATCTCACTCCCCCTCCGTGTGGGCGAACAAAATCATAAAAAATCCCTATTTTTTGACAAAAAACCCAACAATTTTTTTTTTAATATAAAAAATGTTTATGAAAATATAATTTTGATTTATAATTGATAATTAGTCTAATGAAATCTCTTTTAATTATGTTTAATTGCATTTTAAAACATAAATTTTATAAATTAAATATATTTGCTTTCCAATTTTATCGAAGTATTTTTAATTTTAAAAAAAAAAACCTCCGTGAGCGAACAAAAAAATTTTGTTCGCTCACAGAGAGGATGAGTTAGTACTTAAATCATGAGATCCGACCCTGGTTAAATTTTTAAAATTAAACCTCACTTTTTCTTTCTCACTAAAAGACTTTTCTGAATGAACTGACTCAAAATGCTCCAATTCAGTAAAAGAGTCACCTTTTTCAAAATATTCCAGCTGCAAAATATCATTAATTTCTAGCCAGTTATCAATTTCTTTAGGGTTTGTTATGAGGAGTACAAAGTGCATATCAGTTGATTTAAATCGCCTCACCCCATGGACAAATGCTACATTATTTTCTTTTATAGACAAAAGAATAGGCTCAAATAGCGGGACTTGTGGGAGAACAATTTCAGGCAAAAAATCTGATAAATATTGGTTTCTTATAGATTTTGTAGGCTCTGCAATTAATTTAGCAAAACCTTCACTATAACTAAAAATGAGCCCATCTTCAGAAGTCAAAGCAATTTCTCTTGAAGTTTTAACAGTCATAAATGACATCATAAAATAAAGATAATTATTCATAGCAGTTAATCTCAATAGAATTTGGCATTCTAATAAGAAACCTTGTTGGTCTAAAAGAAATAAAGAATTTGGTTTTTCTACTTGTGGGTTTGTGCAGTTTTCAATAAATTTTTTTTCATACTCCACATGTTTTTTGGAGTAAGGCTGAGGAATATGGCTTCATGTCAAATGACCGTGGATTTTTTGACAGTGTACATTTCATCGAAATCCATTTGGTCGAAAATTTTTGATAGTGGGACATTTGGCGGAAAATTAAACGGTTTTTTTTCGGTCAAAAATCTCACTATCAAAAATTTTCGATCAAAAATTTTTCGGTGAAATGGACGTTATCAAAAAAGCAAAGGCATTTGGCCTGCACCCGAGGAATATAGCATGATATTTTATTTCCCATAATTTCGAAAATTCTGCCTTTTAAAATTTGTGAGCCAATATCATTGATAAATACTATTGAGCCAAAATTATTCCTTTTTTATTAAATTTATCACAATAACAAATAATATTTTACCACAAATTATTTCTAATAACCCCAAAAAACGCTAGAGCTTACTTATAATTGCCATATCTTTATTTGCAGAAATCAAGATATTTCCATTTTGCTCTTCAAACTGACTAAGCTTTCTTTCATTTTTCATAAAAATTTCCAATTGTTTATTTTTCCTTATTTTGCTCAAAATAGCTGTACCTTTTTCATATTCCCTTAAAATTGTTTGTAATAAGCTTCCATAGAGCTCAAAAACTCTTTCACTTTTTATATCAATCATAGAGTTATAAAGATTTTTTACCTTAAAAATCAAATCTGATGAATCTCTCATTAAAAGCTCTAGCCTTTGAAGTCTTGGTTTACTTGAAGTAACTTCTCCTCAGAGATCAATAAGTAAAGAGCATAAATGTTCATCATGATGTCGGGATACTTCAAGGTCAATTAAGTATAGTAAGAACCTTAAAACTGGGGTTTTGTCTTTGTTGTCGTCAAGATATTTTTTAATCCTTCATTCTTGAATTTCTCCTTCAATGCTGCCTGACACATTCCCCATTTCAGCTAAATTTATCCTAGATAAACAGTAATCTTTTATAGTAAACGCACAATAATTCACCTTTCATGCAATAAATAGCTTGTTTACCCTAAATCTCGGGTATTTTTTGACATTTATAAATGCATCAATAGCTATTTTTGCACTCAGCTGCGACTTGTCCATCAAAAATCTCCTCAATTTCAGCTCAAACTCGTGCTGATCATTGGCAAATCCTGAAAAATTTTCTTCGTTTACAGTAATTTTTCATATTTTCATCAAAAAAATCCCAAAAATTAGAGGAATTGCACATACACACAAAACTAAGGTAACAAGGGCATTATCACTTGCAAGCCCAAATAAGAAGCTTAAAGCGACCACAGACATGATAAAAAGCTTGGAAACTTTTATTGAGTTTACTATAGGATTATAATAAGAGTTAAATTTGAAAGTTAAATAAGACAATGTGACTGTAGAAATTGTAAAAAATGTGAGGTATCAGTAGACGTTTAAGTGGCCTGCAAAAATATATAAAATTACTATAAGGGTTTTAAAACAAGTAATTGCGACGTCTAAATTTGAGTCAGATCGAGCTTTAATGTTTTTATCAGCGAATGAGTGCCGGATATCAGCTGTAAATAGCTCATAAATCAGAGTGAATAAAAATAGAAAAACAGCAGAAAAGATACCTAGTATTGCCCCTGATAACCCTAAATCTAAATCATCAGCTATAAGCGGCTTATACTCAATAACAGTTCTATCATTTTTAATAGAGTATTTAGTAACTATTAAAAATACCATCATAAATGGAACGAACCCTATAGAAGTCATAAATCCAATAATTTCACTGGGTAAAAAAACAATAAAATTTGTAATTTTCCAGCCTCTTGTTTTTAGAGCGCCTATAGCTAATAGCAAAAAAATGCAGAAACCTAGAGTTGCTGAAATGACATAAAAAGCGATTTTCATAACCTTTAATTCGGCTATTATTGAATCAAAGCTAAAAAATCCTATAAATCGCCAAAAATCCAAATAATTATTTCAGCCAGAAATATTCATATCATAGTATCACAATAAGGAAATTATTTGAAGGCAATTTATTGAATTTGTGCAAATTTCTATAACAAATTGTGTAAAAATTTTTGTTTTCAAATCAAATTTTGGCTGGAAAAAGGTTTCGAGAAAATTGATAATTGCTGATTTAATTGCTTCTCAAGGAGAAGTATAGTTTAATCCTTGCGATCTTGCTGTATAGTTGCTCTTTTTCGACAAATCTATCTCATCCAACATATTTTTATTGATAATTTTGGAATCTGAACCATTTGATTAAATATTACTTTTTTTAAGATTTACTATCAAATTTAATTGAAATTTAGCAGTTATTTTAAGATAAATATTTTATCATCTATATTCAAAAAGAAAGGTAAAATTGATCTTTTTGACTTATATTCAGTCCATTGTTCAGCAATGGTTCAAAAAAAAACATTTCAGACGTTATTTATCTAATGATTTAGGAAAATCCTTATCTGTTTATTGTAGTAATTTGAGGTTTGTGGGAATTGATACTTTGTAGATGCCAACTGTTTTGAAAAGTCGTCTCATAGCAAATTCTGTCTACCAGCCATTTTAGATAAACTAAATATGTATAACAGCTTTGAGAATTTATATAAACTTTTTTTAAAGTGATAATTTTAAAATAGGATATTTAATTCTCCAGCTTTCTTTTGGCATGTGAAAAGGGAGAGAGATAATCTATTATCAGAAAAAATTAAATTAATAAATTATGTATTTTTTATGATTTCACTGGAGCTTTATAGAAAATTGGCGCTAAAAATGTTTTATTTTGAAATATAATAGATAGAAATTATGTTAATATTATTCTCTTGTATGCTACTCATTTTCTCAAATAATATTTCATTTTTAATCAGTTTCAGAAACTAAAATGAAATTTAATAAAATGCCAATATTATACTCTCTATTTAAAATTCATCAAAAGGAAATCAAGTCTTTGCATAAGTATTTAAAAATTATATTAATCTGATAATTATAACTTTTTGGATACTCAACTTCATGCCATTTATTCAATCTATCTCTAAAGAAATTATGTTGCCACATTTTCTAGGGTGGCTTATGAAATCTATCTTTTATTATTATCTGCTAGATATTCCTTACATAAATACTTATTAATGTTAGATTATGAAATATTGATATAAGTTTTTTTGTTCGTGAAATTTATAAATAAGTAAACAAAGGATTTTTCTTATCTGGAACGTGCACTAAAGAAGAGCAAAAATTGATAAAATATTTAGCTGAAATAATTAATTCTTAGATGAAATCAGCCTTGCACAATTTTCTTCTTCTTCCTTAACTCTTTTTTCCAAATACCTTATCCTTTCCAAATAAGACTCATGCCAATAAGGTAAAAGTAAAATAAGGAAAAGGCTAATCATTTCGATAAACTCCATATATACATCCCTCTGTAGCTTTGAGTAGTTATGTTTTAGCTCAAGGAGTTTTTCTGGCTCGATACCTGGCTCATTGAAATTTGGAGTATTCCGCATTGTTGTGACATCATTGACCCAATTAGACCCAGCGAAAAGAATAAGTAAAAATACCCCGACCTTGACTGGTTTTCCGTTTAGGACTCCACATATACTGAGGGAGAAAAAGCAGGAAATCGCTACTATTAGCGCAAACCACATTATGTAAAAGTGAAGCTCTGATGTGTCTGCCATTTATTAAATTCTTAGACATATAATCTAATCTGGAAATCTAAGGAAAATATCTGATGAGTATTGAAAATTGATAATAATTATTTATGATTCTTTTCTATATATCCTTATTATTTTTCGTTGCTATACCCTCAATCTCAAGCAATATTCTTCTTAACCCAGCAGCGGAGCATAATTGCTTGACGGTTTGGTCTTCAAAAGCTCCTATAAATTCTTTTATTGACAATTTTTCAACTAATCCTCCTTGGAATAGCAGCATTTGTATATATGTCCAAGAATTTTTTCTGCTTTCTTTTAACTTCCTAGCATAATTCGTAAGCATATTTTGTTTTTTGGGATATTTAAATTTTGCCAGTTCTATAAGTCCAAAAGTAATTTGCATCATATCATTAAACATCACAAAGCCTTCATTCACGTCTAGTTCATTAGAGCAGTCCCTATCATAATTTTTGAATAACAATTCTGCTTTTTTATAAATTTCTCCTTTTCCTAATAATATTCCTAAACAAGCAAGGGTTTTTATATCATACCCATCTAGTCTGTTTGTTACTAGAGAATCGTAGAACTTATATATTAGTGACTCTTTATCCTCTAAAAACTTGGTGTCAAGGCCCATTGACTCATAGGCTCTTCTTAGTAATCTATCATCAAGATGCCTATTAAGAGCATATCTCGCAATGTCTTTGTCATAGTGAAATGCATTAACTTCTGACAATCCTAATAAAAGCTCGGTGCATTGAAGAATCTGCTCCTCTTTAGATAATTTTTCTTTTATTTCCCGTCCGGCACAACTGCAATTTGATCCCATAATAAAATTTATTGGATTAATCTTAGAAAATAAAATGTAATAAAAAAAGGGTTTCAATGAGTTTGCACAAAATTAAAAAATTATTTCTGTTTATATAAATTAATATTTGAATATAAATATAAATTGATATGCATTTATATGAAAAATATATAATTTGCATAATTATCATAGACATTATATTGTATATTTAAAAATAATTTTTAAATTATTATTCCGATTTCTATTAATAGTTAATATTAAGGGCCTATAGCGCTTGATTGAACCAGGACTTCTCTTAATCCTTTCGCATTGAGTGCTTTTCTCAGAATCGGGTCATTAAAAGCTCCAACCAGCCCTTCCAAACTAATATTTTCTTCCTTATTCGTCTTAGAAAGAATGAAATTTAAGTATTTTCCCAGCTGCTCTTTCCCACTGTTAAGAACTATCCTGTAACTTTCTAAAAGCAAAATTTGGTTTGGGTTCATTTTTTTGGCCACTTCTATAATAGCATTAGTTACTTTTATCATATCGCCAACCAAGTTATCAATATCATCGTTTTCTAATTTTTCTTCATCAGTTCGGTCGTAGTTTTTAAACAGAACTTGGATTTTTTGTGCATCTTCGGCATCTCCTAGTAATATAGCTGCACAAACCAAGGTACTTATATTATAATCCCTTTTCCCAGCCCTCAGATATTTATAAAAATAGTGACTTGGAATCAATTTACTGTCTAGAAATTCAGTACTCAGGCTTAAAGATGCATAGGCTTCTATTAATTTTTCTTCTGTAATTAGGCTACCGTTGGAGTTATCACTGATAATTCTGTTGTATATTCCAGAATGAATTTTTGTGAAGCCTAAAGACTGTTCAGTTTCACGAAGAAGGGTTTCTTCCCCAGTATGACTTGCTTCCCCTAAAGGACAGGTACAGCCCATTTAGTTTTGAAATTAAAAATGTAAGCGATTTATCCGTTTTTGGGGTTCTGCTTTATGACATCAAAATGATAAAATAATTATTTCTTTTATTTTTTAGGTAAATTTTGAGAAATTTGAATTCCATTATATGTCTATATATAATTTTAAAATAAATTAAGAAGTTAGCTATCTCAAGGACTGAGAAAATTGAACAAAAATAGATTAAATAAAAATTTATTTTTATTTTGAATAAGATATATATTAGATTTTAATGCATAGTTTATTAATTATGAACTGTTCAGTGTTTACATCGGGACTGCAAAGACGAAAGTTTCACTATTTCAAAGTACAAATATATGATAATTATAAACTTTTCCCATTAAAAAGATTATTTAAAACTTATGGCGATTCTTAATAAATAGCACTAATGACTACTGTTCTATTTTCTATATTAAATGCAAAACAATTAACTAATTGAAAAGTTTTCATTTTAATATAATTTAGAAGAGCATCAAATTCCTGACATTTTCCAGGGGAAGAATTTCCATTTTACTCTTAAAAAGTAAATTTAAATTACTTTAATATTCCTGCCAGTTAAGAAGATTGTCGGAATATCTTATCTGCTTCTAGCCTAAGACTGTTACACTCTAACAACAATTCTCTAAACCCTGAAGAAGTACAAATTTTTTTCACTAGAGGATCTTTCATTGCCTTCATGTACATTTCTAATGTAATATATTCTGAATTTTCTCCTTGATTTATTAATAAAGTTATAGTGTTATGAATGACTATATTTCTTTTTAAAATTGTTGAAATCCTAATTTTTAATAAAAAGTGCTTTAATTGAGATTATTTTTAATATACCTTAGCCTGTTTATAATAAATAACCAATTGCATATTCTTTTCCATTCTTGATTTTTTTCAGATAAGCTTCTAAAATGTTCATATTTTCAGGGTAGCACTTAATAGCTATAGTAACGAAAATTGATGTCAGTTCCAAAAATTCGTCAATCATTTGCCGAAAATCTTCAAGTTTTAGTTTATTTTGACAATTTCTATCATAATTTCTGAAAATGTTTAGTGCACTTTCAGTCTCTGTATTGGTACCGAACCAAATAGCTGTAGACACAAGCATAGTTACTTTGTAGCCTGCTGCTCCTAGCCTTAATCTCTTATAAAATGAATAGCTTATGCCTTTTTTGAGCTTAAGGAAAGAGGCATCTGTATTAAATTCTGCATAGATTTCTTCCAGCTTTTTCTCTCTCACGAATTGACCTAGGGCATATCGACTGATTTCTTTATCAAAAGCCATACTTTTGACTTTATCCTCCCTACAGTATTTTTTTAAAAATTATTTTTTTATATAATTTTAGAGTAAATTTAGACAAAATTAATTAAATTTAAAAAGTTATGTTTAGAATGTAAGCTGATTAGGATAGAAATATGGCCTAGTCCAGAGGGAGCAGATTTAACAGGTGAAGATAAAGCCTTCCTGGGCATAGTTGGGAGTTAGAGTCCGGTCGAGTTCAGCTCCCAATGGTTATCTATGGGAGAAGGATGAGAAGCCCATGAATTTTACAGCATTCCCGTCAAGATGATTCTGAGTTTTTGCCACACAGATCGAAGGCTCTTCGAATTTCTTCCTGATGGTAGATGTTCGTGCGTCGAAGTGAAGACCTCCATATAGCCGGGGAAAGTGATCGCTGTAATTTGGCATTGAAAAATGCAAACCTGTCCATCCAAAACGCAAGGAAGAAGGACTGGTTTCGTAGGCGCTTTTAATAATTCTATTCTAGAATTAGCGAGATTTCATTATAAGAATTATCATTTTCTATATTAATGATTTAATTAAATAAATTTTCCTAAAAAGGGATTTTCTATTGATTTGTTAGCTAAAGGAGGGGAATTAGGTATCGTTAAGTAACTTTCAATTTCAGAAATGAGATTTTCTTCGTGACATAGGTGAGATCGGCTATAAGGAAATGTGCAGCCCATATTTGAATTTATAGCTAATTTTTAAATTAACCATTTTTTTCACTTTTGTAATTTGGTATAAATTTTACTAAATAAATGTCTAAATCTTTGGTATTGAATTTTCAAACAAGCTGGATACTGCAAAAATAGCTATTTTTATCCAACTTTACTATGTAAATATTATAACTTTAATAGAATAATTTTAATAAAAAAAATATACCATTTCAAGAAATATAAAATTGTTATTTATCAGAATCCTCACTTTATTTAATACATTTTTTGAAATAAAGGTAGCAGCTAATTGAATATTAATTGAATTGAATTTTATTAATATTGATATTTGAATCTAACTTAATCATATTCAAATTAAATTTCCTCGCTAGAGTAAGAATAAGATACGGTTAGAATCTTAATTTATAAAAAATTGCCCTGCGCTTATAAGATAAACAATCTATTCAATATCTTGGAATGCAAGTAGTTTTATTATAAATAAAATTTAATTAAAGCTCAGACTTACAAACTTTACGAGTCCTGCTAAGTTTTAAAAGATTATTATTAAATTCAAAACTTAAAAGAAAATAAAAATATAAAAATTAAAAATATTAATTTCCTGAAAATTCCAAATGAAAATTAATAGATTAATTAATTTTTATATCAACATAAAATGCATAAACCTTAAAAATTCCATTTAAACTAATAATCTTAAATATTAATAGCTTTATTTAGGCTACATGCGGCCATTTTGCACTCTAAGACTATTGCAGCAATCCAATAGCTCTCTGAAGCCATAAGATGAGCACAATTTCTGCACAAATGAGTCTTTCATAGCATTTAAAAATTCCTCTTCTGTAAAAGTTTCTTCTTCATCTTTACCTTGCTTGATTAATAAAAGCAAATATTGCTTTAAATACTCTTTACCATTTTTTAATCTTTTTGTATAGGCTTCTAATAGATTAATTTTGTTTGGCTCCATTTTCTTTGCAAATTCAATGAATGTTACTGTCGCATAAATCATGTCTTCAATCATAATTTCGAATCCTTCAGGACCTATTTTATTTAAGCATTTTCTATCATAATTTTTAAAAATTCTTGATGCCTTCTCTAATGGATCTTCATCGCTAAGCCATATAGCAATTAAAACCAGTGTTACTACTCGATATCCCAGCACATTTGCATGAAGAATTTTATAATAATGATAGCTAGGCTCTCTTTTATCTTTAAAAAACTCGATATCAACACTATAAGCTTCATATGTTTCTTTTAATATTTTATGACTGATATATTCCCCTGAAGCATATCGGCTTATTTCTCGATCAAAGCTTCTGCAAGACAGTTCAGGAAGTATAATTTGTTCTTCTGCTCTCATCAAAGTCTTTTCTTCCTCTGATGACCGGAATTTCGATACAGGACATAGACAGCCCATTTGTTTTTTTTAATAATTAAACTAAAAGCTATTTAACAAAAAGGCTTATATTTAATAATTAATATGCGTATTTAAGAAAATTTTAGTATAATAAAAATTTTGCGCTTAATTATTATAAAAACGGCATTTTAATGGAAATAAAAACTCACTAGTTTTAATAGAAAGTCTGTATTTATGATCTTTAAATATTTTTTATTAAAATTAAAACTCTTTTAATAAAAATATTTTGATAAATAAATATTTTTGGAATATTTAATTTTTTACTCTATTTTTTTACCTTTTCATCTCTGGGTGTATAAATAAAAGCTGAAAAAAAATATTAAAATTCATCAATAAACTTTTGCATTATTAAGGTAAATTGTCTTTATACAATTTCTTATATTTTAATAAATTCAAATTGCTTTACCATGAATTTTGTTTTATAATATTTTTGGCAATAAAATTTAATTTGCCATCATATAAAAATCTGCATTTCTTACTGCTTTCTTTTATAGAATGAAACAATTGTAAAAGTCATTATTTACAAATTAATTTTTGTAAAAATAAAAACAGAATTATTGCAAAAAATTCTAAAACAATATATCTTTTAAGAATAAGCAAAAAGTCTTGCTTTTAAACCTAGAGGAGAGAATTGCCGTTCTAATATTTAAAAATATTATTTGATCTCATTTTATTCCTATATACATAATTAAAGAAGTGCAAATTTAATTAATTAAATTTATGATTCGAATATTAATATCCAAGTTGAAATATTGATAAATTAAAATGATATTGAATGATATATAAACATAATATATTATGTAAAAGTAATTAATTCCTCATTTGCCCTTGGTGAGATAAGGAAACTTAAAAAATATATTTTTATTTTTTGAAGATTTATAATTTGTCTAAGAATTGAAATCCAAATCTATTTCGATTTTAATATTTATTATATGCCTACGAAAAAATATTAAAAATGGACCTAAATTATTTTATCCTAAATAATTTTCTGATATACCATAATTGAATAATTCTATTTTAAATATTTTTTATTTTATCTTTCTTTACGAGCCAATAAAATCAGCTTTGGTTTGAAGCTCACTGCATTCAATTAAAAGCTCCCTAAAACCTTGATCCGAAATCATTTTTTTAACTGTTGAATCTCCAAAGCACTCCAGAAAATCAATCAAATTGATTTCATGAATTGTCCCTCCTCTAAAAATTAGAAGAATTAAGTACTTTTTCAGCATTTCTCTGCTTCTTTTTATCTTTCTTAAATACTTTTGTAACATTATTGATTTTTGAGGGTAAACAAATTGTGTGAATTCGATAATTGCTATAGTTATTTTAATCATATCATCTAGCATGCATCTGATTTCTAAGGAATCCAGCCTATTTGAGCAGTCTCTATCGTAATTTTTAAATAGGCAATATACTTTTTTCTTCCAATCATCAATTCCAAGCCAAATGCCTAGGCATGCTAATTTTCTAATTTCATAGCCTTTCATCAATTTGAAATTCTCATAAAATCTGAACAACGGCGAAGTTTCATCGTTGAGAAACTCAGTCGATAAGTTCAAAGATTCATAAGCATGCCGAAAATTTTTTTCGCTCAGCTTTTCGTCTATTGCAAATCTAGAAATACCTTTATCATACCAGTCTACCTTTAACTTGCCTATTTCTAGCATTTCTTCAGCAGCTTTAATGAATTTTTCCTCAATATTCTTCTTACTATCATCATCTCGGCTAGAACAAACGCAGCCCATTATTTATTATTTTCGAAAGTGAAATAATGAATTTATTAATAAAATTGCCTTTTTATTTTAAAAATATAATAATGATTGCACTAATCATTGTTTATCGGATATTATCAATATTTTACTTGAAAATAATGTATATATTAATAAAATAAATGACTTAACTGTTTTATTGTTAGTTCATATTTTTAATATATTGCTAAATTTAAATCAAATTGAAAAAAGCCAATATTTAGGGTCTTGGTGCTCAAATAATTTATGCTTTAGAGTTATTTTAACTGGGAAAATTATAATCTATAATTATAAATTTCAATTAAATATTTTATTAAAATAGTGTTTTGAAATTATTTGAATTTTATAAATAGACAAATCTGTAGCTTTATAATTAAGATTAAAGTTAAAAATTATGAGTAGAGCCTAGGATTTATTAATATTAAGAAGCCTCAAAATTTAAATAATTTTGAAATTATGAAGTATTAATATCCAAAGATTTTAAAAGATTCCCAAAATATTTTGGTGGGTTATGGAATTATATTTTATATAAAAATAAAGAAGAACCAATTTATATTACTTTTAATTTAATATATCCTTTAAGAATAATCAAAAATTCTTGCTTTTAAACTTAGAGGAGAGAATTAGGCTTTAATTTTTCAAAATATATTATTTATATTATTTTATTTCTATATACTTAATTTAAGAATAACTAATTTAATTAATTAAATTTATGTTTAGAACATTAATATCCAAAGTTGAAATATTGATAAATTAAAATGATATGAATGACATATAAACATAATATATTATGAAAAAGTAATTTCTCATTTGAGAGAAGGAAACTTAAAAATTATATTTTTTATTTTTGAAGATTAATAAATTTATCTAAGAATTGAAATTCAAATTTATTTCGATTTTAATATTTATTATATACCTAAGAAAAAATACTAAAAATGGATCTAAATTATTTTATACTAAATAATTTTCTGATATACCATAATTGAATAATTCTATTAAATTTTTTTTTATTTTATCTTTCTTTATGAGTAGATTAAATCAGATTGGGTTTGAAGCTCACCACATTCCATTAAAAGCTCCCTAAAACCTTGATCCGAAATCAATTTTTTAACTGTTGAGTCTTCAAAGCACTCCAGAAAATCAATCAAACTGATTTCATGAACTGTCCCTCCTCTAAAAATTAGAACAACTAAGTACTTTTTCAGCATTACTTTGCTTCTTCTTATCTTTCTTAAGTACTTTTGTAACATTATTGATTTTTGAGGGTAAACAAATTGTGTGAATTCGACAATTGCTAGAGTTAGTTTAATCATATCATCTAGCATGTATCTGATTTCTAAGAGATCAAGTTTATTTGAGCAGTCCCTGTCGTAATTTTTAAATAGTCAATATGCCTTTTTCTTCCAGTCATCAGTTCCAAGCCAAATGCCTAGGCATGCTAGTTTTCTAATTTCATAGCCTTTCATCAATTTGAAATGCTCATAGAATCTGAACAATGGCGAATTATCGTCGTTGAGAAAATCAGTTGACAAGTTCAAAGATTCATAAGCATGCTTAAAATTTTTTTCACTCAGCTCTTGATCTATTGCAAATCTAGAAATGCCTTTATCATACCAGGCTACCTTTAACTTGCCTATTCCTAGTATTTCTTCAGCAGCCTTAATGAATTTTTCCTCAGAATTCAGCTTACTATCATCATCTCGGCTAGAACAAGCGCAGCCCATTATTTATTGTTTATGAAAGCTAAATAAATGGATTTATTAATAAAACTGTGTTTTTAATTCAAAAATATTAATCATGATTGAACTAATCATTGTGAGCTTTATTGAAGATTATTATCAATTTTTATTTGAAAATTATATGTCTATCATAAAATAAAGAGACTTACTCCCCCGTAATCTTAAAAAAGGAAAAAAAATATCTGTTTTTTTGTAGATTTACCTAATTTTATGCGAATAACTTCGATGCCCAATTTATTATTGCCAAAATAAAAAATTACCTTTATATATATAGCTTGTGAATTTTTAAAGGGGCAAGCAGAAGTAGTATACTATGTAAAAAAGTTAAAATTTTTAAACAATAACAAATTTTACCCCCAAAATGCTACTATAATTTCTATAAATTCATTTTTTATGATAAAATTAAATTTTTTATATATAAAAATTAAGCAAGCTCGATCAAATCAGTATTTTATTTTTTTAAAAATTGACCATTTAAATAAAAAAACTAGACACAGGCAAGACAGTAGAAATTTTTCCCATGCGTATAATTTTGTATAATTATTTTTCTAAAAAAATGCTTTAAAATTGGATATCTTTTGTTCCAATTTTAATGGAGGAGTTAACCGTTTTATTATTAGTCCATATTTTTAAAAATATTATTAGATTAGATTAACGATGTGTCTTTATAGTCCCCACTTCCAAGCCTCCGTGTTCCACAGCGATGCCGCTGTGGGGTGGAATCCCTGAAGGCGACTTGAGCCCGGGCCGAAACCCCCGGTTTCTCGGTAGTGGTATTTCCCTCCTGATCCGGTCATACGGATTTTGCTGGGAATCACCATTTCCAACTCAAGGCAAGAATTACCCAACCCTGCTACAATCACCCCTTTTGATCGGGACCCTTTTAACTGGAGAGACTTGTGGCCTTGAGATCTCTAGTAGAGCTTACCTTCTCCTCTTTTCCGGATTATCTCCGAAAAAGAACTCAACCCTTAAGGGATTCGGGGTGAAGTCACCACGTAGCCTAGGCAGGTAACTCACCTGCCTCTTTTGGACACCAAGTCTGGGCCTCAGCGCTACTGGCAAAAAAGATGAGAAAAACTGCTGCCAGGATCAGGTTACAAGATCAGCTGAAATTGTGCTGGACCTCTCCCCTCGAGGCTAACCCTTCCCTTGAGTAGCTCTCCGCACCAAAAAAAATCACGTCCGGTATACATAAGGCCACCCGCCACGGAGGACGGGTCGCTCGTTTCTGGCCATTTTATGTATATTAAAACATTATTAAATTTAAACCATATTGGCAAAAGCCAATATTTAGGGAATCTTAATGCTCAAATATTTTATGTCTTAGAGTTACTTCAATAATTTATATTTATAAATTTGTCAAATTTCTATTAAATATTTTATTTATAACAGTGTTTTGAAAATATTTGAATTTTGTATCTCCAACCCTTGAAATTGAATAAAATATTTGTTCCAATTTAAAGAAGTTAAAACATTATACTTATAGAGAAAATATAAATAGTTATATATTTAACAATTTTATTGGTTTAAAGTTTAGCTTTGTCTAATTAGTATCATAACTGTACCTATTTTCAAATAAAACTTATTATAGCTAAATAAAGTTATATATAAGAATTATTATTTTTACCTATAAAATTAGAATTTTCTAATAGGGCTAATTACCCAAAAATAGAAAATTACCCAGGGAGTAGTAAATAGACAAATATGTCGCTTTATAATTAAGATTAATGTTAAAAATTATGCGAGGATTTATTAATATTAAGGAGTCTCAAATATTTAAATAATTCTGAAATTATGAAGTATTATAATGGAAAGATGATAAAAGATCCCCAGAATATTTTGGTGGGTTATGAAATTATATTTTATATAAAAATAAAGAAGAACAAACTTATATTACTTTTAATTCAATGTATTAAGATAAGCTAAAGGATAATTGAAATAATTAAATAAAAGGGTAAGATAAAAATTGATACAACCCGTGATATTATATAAAATTTTATTTGCGATATTTTATTATTGTTGCATAGTAGATGATATGGTCAAAATAGCTTTCGAAATAGCCGAATTTTCATTATTCATTCACACTTAAAAGCGTATATTTGCAAATTTACAAAGAAGGTTAATATACATTAAAACGGCTGCACGTGACAACCTGCCCTATTGGTGCAACAGTCCAGAGAGTATGGCAAAGGCGAACTGGGGCGGATTGAGTCGAGAATCAAGTGCAGGCTTCCAGGGTAAGTTTTGGCTGCTTTCGTGTCGTTGGAATGGAAGCTGTCGAAGGAAGGCACTTCGGCACCCTAAAGACTCCAAGGAGTTGATCTATGGAATCAAGCTACTCCAATCGACCGTAGCAGAGCGCAGAAATTTATAAACCGCCCAACTAAAGACTGAAGTCGCAAGGTAAGGAGTAGACAGAAAGTACTGGAAGTGCCATATACTTTCGGGGGAAAGACCCTGCTGGCTGAAGTGAAAAGCGGTAGAACTTTCCATACCGGAGGTATTTGGCGACTGCGTCACCAATATGGCTAACGCCTGATTTTAAATAACCTAACCTATAAAGAAAGTTAAGAAGTGTATATTAAATTTATTTTTTAAAATAATCATTTTATCATTAACTCCATATCAGTGAATTGCAATCTGCTATTTAAATCTCCAAAGTTGAATTTAAAAATATAAAACATTTAATAATTTATATATTGTTGCTCGCAGCCAATATAAATTGTTTACCATATGCTCTGTCAATAAGCAAATAAAATTATTTATCAGTATAAAAGGGCAGTCTCTATTAAGTCTAAATATATAAAAACTCATTTTCTATATATTTAAACAAATCCTTTATTACCGATTAAACAAAAATTTCAATATTAATTATAATAATCTTACCTATAAAATATCTCTCACATTTAAATCATCTTGTGTATGGCTTACACTTATTCTTCTCAATGTCAATCCTCTTGTCCCTGCTTTCTCAACAGGTATTTCATCACTTGAGGTATTAAATTCTCCTTCCTCCATCACAGAGCAATCTCTCTTACACAGGCAGCAAGTCTATATAAAAAATACTCTATTCGCTTTAAATCACTCCTCAATACAAGTCCCATGAAATAAATGGTTGCAATGCAGCTTTCTTACTATAGAAACCAATTTAAATGCCTCAAAACATATAGCACATGTAGTATCGATCCCTTTTTTATTTTTAATGTCTTGGTATTTCATAGCTGGGTAGTTTTTATTGACTAATGTGGATGATAATCCAGGGGATTCTAAAGCGATCCTGACTCGCTCTTTTTTTCATTTTTTTCAAATAATTATTATGGTAGTTGAGAGGAGGATAAAAACTCCAAGGACAGAAATTATGATGTAAATCAGGATAAATTCATTGGAGGAGTCGGATTTCTCTGTGTAGTAAATTGTGTAGTTTATAAGGGAACTGGGCTGGCCTTTGTTTAAGATGAATAATAAATATAAGTATCTTCCTTTTCCACTTTTATTGATAGGAAGTGTTTGAGCTGCAGGTGATTTAGAGAGGAACATTGAGGAGCAGTTATTAACTGATGAAGGAAGAAAAGTGGGGCTATATTAAAGTTACAGGTTTCCATCATAATTCAGTAGAATTTCTCCTAAATTTTCATTATTTCACATACTTTTGGGTTTAAATTTATCATTGAAAAAACTTCCCAAAATTCTTATTCTATAGGCAATTTTAATATAAAATTGCCAAATTAAATGGTTAACTTTCGTTTTTAAATTATACTATTTTTAAGTCAAATTTCTGTGAACTTACTATATATTTTTTACCATTTTTCAAGTCTATGTATCCATAATCTGCATTACTTTGACCATTTTCAATAAGAAAAGGCTTGCTACTTATTTTATATGCTTTAATATCACAGCTAGGACCAATATACCCAAATTTGCATGCACATTTTCCCAAAGTAATGCATGCCCCTCTGTCATTGCAATCATTTTTAGGACACAAAATATCATCACTACTATCAGCTCCAATCGTATAAGATATGCCACAATAAATAAATTAATATATAAAAATTTCTTATTTTTTTAAAAATGCTTAAATACTCAAAATTATATATTTGTCCCTGATAAAATTGACTATTTCCTATACCAATATATGTATTATTCGTAAGCTCTGTAGACTGGAGAAAAATAGATTGATAAGTTAGCCCTGAGTACCAGCCTTCATAATCAGCTTTTTTTGTATTTATTGAAAAATCAGCATTTCCAAAGCTTGGAAAGTTATCACTGATTGCTAAAACTGGAAAAGCATCAGAAGGTTTCGAAATTATTTGCAGTCAGATTCTTGTATATAGTTAGATAGGATGACTGGAAAGGGGCTTTTTTGGCTTGCCGGCAAGCCAAAAAAGCCCCGTTCCAGTCATCCTATCTAGCTATATATTCTTTTACTTTGCTGTGGATTTATTTTGAAATAATTCCAAGTTTTGTCTTGATTAATTATTTGGGGTATTCCAAAATCAATTAGAGTTTGGCTGAGAGTGAATTTAGGGGTAAATAGTAATGCAATTCAAATAAAAAGCAAGATCATCGATATAAAGAGGTTTACAGTGGGTTTTTATTAATAAGAATGGCGTGATCATGTAAATAAACAACATATAGGTCAATTTATTAAGTGCAGCCATAAAGCATGCTTTTAACTTATTTTGCTAGTTTTAGTATAAAGAGGTTCCTTAATTTAACGTAATTTTTATTCTTATATGTGTGAATGTATAGCTTATGTAAGTGAGGATTTTACCATAAAGATGAAATTGGCACTAACACAGCTATGGTTTTGTAGCAATTCAGGGTTCAGCAATATAGGGAGCTCACCTAGCGATAATTGCGCCAGGAGATCCATACCCATTGAAGACTGATGTAGAATCACTAACTTTGATATAAGAGCAAAGTCTATCTATTTTCTTAGATAAAAAATGTTGAAAAACAGAGAAAAGGTAGAGCCAAGACTAGTAACTAGGCAGAAGAAAGAATTAAGTTGATATAAAACTTCCTTCTTATACTCAAAAACTTTTAAATAACAATAATTAATATTAATATTTCTTCTAAATGTCATAATTAATATTTGTACAAAACAATTTAAAAATTTTGTTTTCTCAAGGATGCATTTTAATGGATTGGCAAAGTGGCTTACTCTCTTAAATCCTGGAGCGGTGCCTTGCTGAGCTGATCAGCCAAAGTTCAATTTGGGGAAGGTTTTTGTTAATGGGAAATGGGATAAGAAGTTGGATAGAAAACCTTGGCCATCAAGAATTTTTTTGCAGCACAATAGCAGGTGTTAGGTCCTTGATCTCAAGTATCCATTTTTGCTCTAATATAAGCAGAAAATTAAATTTTGCGATTTTTTTTATGGAAGTCAACCGTAGACAGTCATCGTCTAGAAGAGCAACCTTCAGATGTGAGAAATACAGCAAGCGGAACCTTAAGAGAAGGAAATAAGGGCCGAAAGGGCTAATTAATGCTAATTTTTTCCCAACTATTTAATAAGAAAATTAAGATGAGTAAAAATTCATAATGATGGAGGTTAATATCTGTAGACCCTTCATTTTGATGTTTATTTGATAACTTGTCAATTGAAAGACAAAAAAATGTTATATAATTAGGATGTGATATGGGCAATCTTATTCCTGCTGAGAAATTCAACTTTCATATTCTATTTTGAGATTAGATTGCATTTCTAGCTTCCCCATTTATTAACAAGCACTGCTAATTTTTATTTTTTTTTAAATAAGGAACGAATCTATTAAATTTAATTATTACTTTAATGGCTTTTTTAGTGCTAATGAAACTATTAATTTTTTAATTAAAATCACTATCTCCGCTGTCTCTCCGTGAGCGAACAAAAAATTTTTATTCACTATGAAAGATTATTTTTTTAAAATATTTTATATATAATTTTTATAGTAAATTTTTTTTGAAATTTAAAAATTGAAAATTGAAAATTGAAAAGTAAAAATTAATTTAATTTGCGAAATTTATGTTTTTAATGTAAGCTATTTAAATTTCAACAGAATTAGCAAGTAATTCATTATACTACCTATCACTTATATATCAAAATAATTTTTATAAAAATAGGGATTTTTCCAATGGATTTGTTAGCTCACAAAGGGGGAGTAAATCAAAATATTGAAAAAAAAATCTAAACTTAAAAAGTTATATAGGGTGTGGCTAAACTAATTTTTATAAGGCCTATGCCAATTTATCATACTTACTTACTTATACATTAATAGGCGTCTGCCGTATTGTTAGCGCAGTCACCAAGGACCCAGTAATAGGGTTCACCTGCTTTGCGGTATAGTCTCAACTGGTCATAAAGACCAGCCAAGGAGAAATGCATCTCCTCCTTCCCCCCGGAATCCCGCGGCTTAAGTGTTGAGTGGGGCGGGCTATGGATTTCTGCGGCAGCTGCTTGAGTTGACGAGTTGGCTTTCCGAAATTCCAAAAAATGGAATTTCTGGTCACCTTTCGGCAAAAAGGGAAATTCCAAGTCCTGGGACGTAACGCCCAGTTTCACGCTAGGTAGTTGCCCGAATAGTCTAGGCGTTGCCTGTAGACTCTGCTGGGCTTACCCTTTCCAAACCTGGACTCCCTTTCCTCTCAAGGAGAGAAAATCCATTCTGGTCGTTGAGCATGGGCCAGGCTCTGCTCTGTAGAATTGCTTACCTTGGCATTGTTGCTCATTTCCGGAATGGCAAAACCTTGCCGGATATAATTAAAATATGAGTCGAGTATGTATGGCCGAGAGGCCATATTTAATTATGCCAATTTATCGTACACATTTGATGGTTTGATATTCCTTGGAAAGATTTGGTCTAATTTATTGATATAGGGCCTTTGTTTTTAATTTCTATCAATTGCCTCACTATTAAAAATTTAATCTAATATTTTGAGGAAATGATGGTCATATGGATCTACACCCAATATTTTATAATATAATCGCTTCTTCTTAATTTTTTCGAAAAAAATTTAAATAATAAGGTTTTATATATAGACAATATTATAGAAAAAAATTAAAAGCTTATTTTTATTTTAAATAAATATTAGATAATTATTTATTTTAATATACTCAACTAATCTTTAAAAATTTCATAAAATATAAATTGAAAATTTTTATAAATTGCAGAGTAAGAATTTATAAATGGATGAATCATCAGAGGTTCACTTTTATATAATGTGGTTTTCATTCCTTATTGCAACTTTCTGCTTTTTCTCTGCTAACTTGTGCGGTATCCTAAATACAAAATCACATAAGACTGGTATATTTTTACTTCTACTTATCTCAGGGCCTAAATGGGTTAAAGATGTTACAGCATTGAAGAATGCTCCAAATTTCAATGAGCTCGATATTGACCCAGAAAAGTTCTATGAATTAAGGCATAACTATTCGAAATTAGAAATGGATGTATATATATATTGTATCGAAATTATCAGCCTTTTCCTTATTATACTTTTACCATATTGGCATGGGTCTTACTCAGAAAAGATAGACTATATCTGACTATAATGATTAAAATCATTACTAATGATAGTGTTTTTCTATTTTCAATATAATAAATAGTAAACGTAATCAATATAAAAAATGTTGTGATTATTGTAATTAGGAATTCCTGGAAAAAAGAGTTAAGGAGGAAGAAGAAAATTATGCAAAATTGCTTTCTTCTAAAACATCATAATTAAATGATTAAGTAAAAATAATATAGTTTTAAGCTTGAATAAAATAATTTGAAACTTTACAAATATTAATAATCAAAATTAAGCTGAATTATTTAATTTTAATAATGAGACAGTGTTTAATTTAAAGAGCCAATAGGAGCTAATTGATTTAACGAAAGCAAAATTCTTTACATTAGCGATTCTATTTATAATTTTATTTAACATTAATCTAATAAAGCCTTTAAAATGGACCTAGTCTTTCTCAAAAGTTGTGCGATGATGGAAATCCCTCAAAGACGAGTATTTATATATGTACTTTATCACTATAAAAAACAGTTTAATTGAGGTCTTGATATACTAGCAAAGGCGTTTTTACTGCTATTAAGCTGCTAACTCTTCTATGATTCCTAATTTTTTATTAAAAATCTACTTTTAACTATCTTTTTCTATACTATTTCGAAACGCATTGTTCTGTAGTTTGTTCCCCAAAATTAGGCTAGTCTGCCAAATTTGAAGGCATATAAAATTAAAAATTCATACCAAAAATGGTCAATAGATTTTTTTAAATCTCTTCAAAAAACACATTTTTAAAGTCCTATGAATAAAAATTCAATTAAGGTAAAACTTTCTGCACAACAGCACAAGGAATTAATTTTTAAAGCTAAAAATCAAATAAAACTTTTGCTCAAATTTCATACTTATAAAATATTGAGTAAGTTCGAAAATTATTTAAGAACTATGGGAAAATAGGGCATGATACTGAAAAATAAACGGCAACTGAAAGGAAGATCGATAACTCTTGATTTATCATGCTCCAGTTAAAGTATCGCACAATTTCTCATAGAATTTGGAATTAATTTAAAATTTTTTAGCCATTTTTATCATATGGAAACAGAATTTCAATCTCTATCAGATTTGACATATAAACCTATTTTGGTTAATCAAATTATCGTAGTTATAGATTCAGTTTTTCACTTATTCAGTCAATTATAAAGAGATTTTCAATAAGCATACTAATATCCTTAAATATTTAATAGGCCTTTTATAACTATGAAATGAGTTTCACTTATTGACAAATAAGTTAAAAATTCCAGGAAAAAATATTTTTGAAAATCCTATAGTCTGTTCGCTTCCTGACAATAAAGTATTTTGCTGATGAGATATTCTTGAAATATTTGGGACTGCTTTTATTATCAATTCTAATTTAATGTTAAAATTTTTAAAGAAGGGATCTAGGAGGAGATGGTAAGTACTGGTATAGGCACCGCAGGCGAGTTGAGGTTGAAACTCAGGATTTAGATGGAGCAGAAGAACACGGAGGAGAAGTTGAAAGCGTTCGCGAAGAAAATGGAGATTTGAATTTTACAGGAAAAATGGAGAAGTTGAATGTGAGGATGCAGCTAAAGGATTTTTATATAACTCCCCCCCCCCCCTCCGTGAGCGAACAAAACCATTAGAAAAATCGCCATTTTTTGACCAAAAACCCACCCTCCGTGAGTGAACAAAAATTTTTTTAATAGAAAAAAATTTTAATGGAAAAAAATTTTGATATATAAGTGATAATTAGTATAATGAAATCTAGAGCTAATTCTGTTTAATTTTAAACAAATTGCGTTTTAAAACATAAATTTTGCAAATTAAATTAATATTTGCTTCCAATTTTTGCAAATTAGGATTTTTTTAAAATTTCGAAAAAAATATTTTATTATAAAATTTATATATAAATTTTTTTTTTAAAAAAAAAATTAACCCCCCTCCGTGAGCGAACAAAATTTTTTTGTTCGCTCACGGAGGGGGGGGGGGGGAGTAAGTGGAATTTTGGAGGACATACTGATGATCGATGCCTATATGGCAATTATAAAAATATTGGGATGGAAATGCAGGTGAACTTGAAGCAATGCAAAATGTTTACTTGTTTGATGAAGATAATTTATGTGAGACTATAGCGCTGTGTGTGCTGAAGTTGAATAATTGTTGATCTTCGGATTATTGATGGAGTTTTTGCTGGGTTTGCTGATGAAATTGCTGATTTGATTGTAAATTTTGACAGAATTTGCTATTTTGCATGTAATTTATGAGTTAAAACAAGAGGAATACTGATATCGATCAGCGATAAAGTCTAAATAATAATATATGTAAAATAATATTAGCTTTAAGTATTAAAATTATTAGAGAGAATTATTATGAAGAAGAAATTATAGAGATGATAAAATTGGATTTTCTATGAAATTATTTATTATTAAAAAATGAAATTACCTGAGATGCAAAATGAAAATTTTGTAACGGTGAAAAAGATGATGATTAGATTAGAGAGGGTTAAAGCAGGGTTTATTTCAGCCCATTCGAGATTCAACTTCACGCCCATGTGGTGCTAAGGACTAGAGCCACCTAACGCCCTTTTCTGATGACGTTACCAAAAATGATGACGTCGACATCTTTCGGGGAGACTCACCAGAACCTGCTTGGACCAAAAAACTTCAGCAAAGAACTCTCTTAACCCCTATTAGTGCTCAGGGTATGAGGAATCGTTCTATGCATCCTTCTGGAACTACCTCTGCCGTTTACAGGCAACATAGTGCTCCTCCAGAAGTCCTCGATTGGCATTGCGCTGCCGATCTTCTCGTCTGCGGGTAGAGGGAAGGTCTAGCTAGCCCAGACCGCACCCATTTCTTCATATTTATATAAATTTGTAGCTTTTTTGATATTTTATCCTCTTCCTCGCTTTTCGTAATAAATGGGTTTTCGAACTCAATTTTCTTTCTTTGGTTATAATTTAGAAAGGTTTATATTCTTCTTCCATTGCTTCAATTTTTTGAGAAATGGATTATCAGTCTTACTCTAAATTTTTGCATTTTTCATTTATTTTATTATCTGCAATCTGTAAAGGTATTTCTATGCCTTTTTTCATTGATTTTCTTAATTTGAGATCCTAAGTAATTCGAAGTGTTTAATTTATCTCTCTTTGGTTTTCTAGAAATCTTGATTTGAAGCTTCTTCTTTCTAAATTCTATTGTCTTCCCATGGCTACCTGTTAAGTGACCAATTTCTTGGCATTGAGAGCATTCAGAGTCCCTGCATGTCTGATTCAGATTGATTTATTCCCTATAATTAAAACATCTGATAAATCGAGTACTTCTTCTAGACTCTGAAATTCTGCATAAATTTGATATTTTGTCTAATTCCATCTTGAAAAATTGTATCTTGTGCACAAATTCTATAATCTTGCATTTTTGTCAATTGTTTCCCTCAATTGCAACATAAGGAGGTAATATGATATCAATTCAATACCTTCTGAAATTTATTTCTCCTCCTAGTTAGAAAAGGACCAATAGGTACTGTCTTTAAATATCATCATATATGTGTTCATTTTCATAAAATCCTCATAGTTTGATTCTTTTTTGAAAAATGACTACTCCATCTCCTGATGGCAATCTAAAACATTTTAGCGGAGAAAGGCTATTGTTAATGATTGTGCAAAATGTTGAGAATAATTCTTTCTTCATTTTTTGTTCGGCTTTTTTCAGATACTTACTTGTCGAATTGGAGTGTTTTCTTAATGTTGCTGAAATTTATAATATATTTTGAAAAGTTCCTCATTTGAAGCCCTGTCTCCTTCAAAGAAAGGAGAAAAAGAGTCCTCACTGTAAGAACCTTTCCATTAAAAAAAGTTGAAAAAGATGAAGATTTAAAAAATTTTAGCATTTAAATAATAATAATGTAAAATAAAAAATTATTCTTTTTGTGAGCGAGCAAAAATTTTTTTGTTCGCTTGCAAAGAGGAGAGTTAGGTAAAAAAGAAATATCTACCTAGTTAGCTTATTTTTATTTGGAAAGAAAAAAAATATTAAATTGAGAAATTAAATATAAATTTTTTATATAAATAATTATTGTTAATAATATTTGATATATAATAATATTAATTTCAATTAAAGATTAAAATTAAAATTTGATATTATGAGTTGTTTTTTTATTTATCCAAAATGTACTGATGAGATAAGCTATTATGCAAAATATTAATGCTTGGGCTATTACCCAGGCTTTAGGTTTTGTTACGACTAGTTCGTCAGTTTCCATTTTTATTTGAAATTAAAGATGGGACTCAAAAATTTGAATTATCTAATACCTGCTTTTAAATTTTGAATCAATTTTATGGCTCGAGTTCGCATTTATTCAGCTATTGTTCTTGCATGGATCATCATCCATTCTCTAGGCTTGGTTCAATACTTGTTCGTCAGACGAACTGATCAAATTGAATTGTCTGATAGCATTTAAAATCTGAAACCCTAGTTTTTTCAGCAGAAGAATTTGCATACATGAAGAAAAGAATATAATAGACATAAAATAACCAAATTATATTGGATTGACCCTAAAAAAGGACTCTGTGCAGGATCAATTTCGCAAATACCTTTTTAGCATTATCCGCCTTATAGAGTATAGATAATGTAAAAAAAAGCATATTGTAAGTTCTCTCTACCTAAAGCAATTATTAAATATAAATAAATGATTATTTTAAAGTTACCTATAAACAATAAAGTTTCAAATCTGCATTGAAATCAATAATAATGGAAGTTAAGCTTTCAAAAAAGTTATATGATGATGAAGATTCAAGCAGGCTTGATTTTTTAGTATCTCTTCCTATCTGATGGCCACCTGAATTAATAATAACTTCACTTGATGATTTTTCACAGAATCAAATATGGAGTATAGGCCTGCATTTCCTTCAGCTATGCAGCCTTAAATACACATTTAATTATATCCGGAAGGCTTTGAAACCCAAAAATAGATATCTATACTAGTTAAGCAATTCTGGTAATGTACTGAGCTGAGACCTTTCATGATTGGATTTTACCTCAAGGGAAAAGCAAGCAGAGATTTAAGAAATAGGAAGCTCAATTAAACTGGTAGGCAATACAAATGTCACTCGGACAATTATCCAGCGAAACCCGATAGCTAGCCTCAGGCTTTAGGCTTTCCCTTTACCTTTGGGTTTTTTTATTATGAATAGCCTTCTTTCTACCCATCAGCCTCAAGGTTTGGCTGAGCCAATTTTCCAAGCAAGACTTCGTCTTTTTGTCGTAAATAGGTAAATTTCTTTTCTAAGATTCAGATGGCTGCGTTAACAAAAGGCCTCAGCCTGTCTTTAAAAATTTTAATTAAATTAAGACTTTTCACAGGCCAAAGTAGCCTTAGACCTACCAATGATAGTTGATGAAAATGCTTCTATGTTCCCAATTCCAGGAAATAAAATATTTTGTTATGGAAATTTGCAATGAGTAGGAATTCGTAATGATCCTCGGAATCTTAGACCTGTAATAAGTGGGTTTACTTTTATTATCAACGAGGATTTTAGTATAGAAATCTTAAATGAAGGGCCTCCCTGCTACGGGTCAGGAGGTACTTTTTATGATGGAAATATTTATATTTTTGGTGGGCATATTAAAACTACCGAATCTATACTGTTTATCTTTGATTTAATAGCTATGCCCATAAGATATATTTATTATATTGTACATTAAAACTGCTAATAGATATAAATCATTTCTGGGAAATTAGGCCAGGATATTATACTTGTGAGGCTTCAAAATATAATTTACAAGAAAAATCTTGAAAAAGGCTTGCAAGTCTTCCAAATTCGACCTCTTTTTCCTCTTGCATCGAATATATGGGATTAATTTTAATAGCAGGAATTAGTATACATGCTTATTAAAAATAGCTCCCAAAGATTTTTTTTGGTAGCCAAATTTAATCAAAAAATAAGGCAAAATGTTTAGCTAACCAAAAATTCTCGTTTAAGAGCTAATTATTGTAAACTAGTATAGTTCAAAGAAATCTTTTGCTTATAATATAGAACTAAATTCTTACTCACTCCCCCCCCCCCCCTCCGTGAGCGAACAAAAAAATTTTGTTCGCTCACGGAGGGGTTAATTTTTTTTTTTAAAACAAATTTATATATAAATTTTATAAAAAATATTTTTTTCGAAATTTAAAAAAATCCTAATTTGCAAAAATTGGGAAGCAAATATTAATTTAATTTGCAAAATTTATGTTTTAAAACGCAATTTGTTTAAAATTAAACAGAATTAGCTCTAGATTTCATTATACTAATTATCACTTATATATCAAAATTTTTTTCCATTAAAATTTTTTCTATTAAAAAAATTTTTGTTCACTCACGGAGGGTGGGTTTTTGGTCAAAAAATGGCGATTTTTCTAATGGTTTTGTTCGCTCACGGAGGGGGGGGGGGGAGTCAGAATTTTTAGAAGGTGTGGAAGATTGTAAAATTCTCTGCAAATATGAAGGCTATGCATATTTGCTTAATCCAGCAGGAAATATTTATGAAAGCGAATATAAAAATCCATTTGTTTGGAAAATTATAAAGAAATTTGAGACTGAAAAAATCTATGAGTTTGTGCGTTTTCAAATGGTCTATGAGGAATTTTTCTATTTTGTTGAGTATGTGTATGGAAAATATCATTATTATAGATTTGATTTAATAAATAAAGAAATAGATGGTAGCAGTTGGAGGGAGAATCTCAAATAAATCGTATTAATAAACTTTTCGCTAAAAATATGTTTCTTATAAGCAACAATAAAAATCTAAAAATTTTTTCTTGCAAACTTTATGGTGAGACTACATTTTTCAGTCAAAAGTGACTGAAATTTTCAAAAAGTCTTTTAGTATCAAAAAATTCATGGTGAAATAGAAAAAACTGCAAAATAGGGTTGGAAAACTTATACCAAAATGGGGAAAAAATATGATATTAAGCAGAGAAAATACAATACTCTCGTTATTTATTAAATAAATATAAATACGGCATCTCCAAATGAATGGACAAATAGTGCATATGATATAATTTTCATCATCAACTTAATGTTTAAATAGTATGAAACTACACGGTGAAAAAGGGTAAAAGTATAAAACCAGGTTAATTTGGCAATAAAAAACCCATGATGACAACATAAAATACAATCATGAATAGCTATTTAGTAAATTAAAATCAGACACAAAAGATATGTATAAAATGAAGACAAAGCATTTAAAAAAATTAAAAAAGTATGAAAAAACTTCAAAAATTGTTATGAAAAAACTAATTTTCTAAGGTACAAAAATTTTTAATAAAAGGCAAATAGAAAAAAGATAAAAAAAATTTATGTGCTTTGATAGTAAACAGTTATCACGCAAAATATAAAAATTTTATTAATGTCTTAAAAGTCACCCACGCCAAATTTACCATCAGAGATCCAACATTCAGCCAATGACAAAGAGAAATAAAGTTACCGCTAAAGAAATTCTAACTCCCCCCCCCCCCCCCCTCCGTGAGCGAACAAAACCATTAGAAAAATCGCCATTTTTTGACCAAAAACCCACCCTCCGTGAGTGAACAAAAATTTTTTTAATAGAAAAAATTTTAATGGAAAAAAATTTTGATATATAAGTGATAATTAGTATAATGAAATCTAGAGCTAATTCTGTTTAATTTTAAACAAATTGCGTTTTAAAACATAAATTTTGCAAATTAAATTAATATTTGCTTCCCAATTTTTGCAAATTAGGATTTTTTTTAAATTTCGAAAAAAATATTTTTTATAAAATTTATATATAAATTTTTTTTAAAAAAAAAAAAATTTAACCCCCCTCCGTGAGCGAACAAAATTTTTTTGTTCGCTCACGGAGGGGGGGGGGGGGAGTAAAGAAAAGTGTATCTCATGCTTCGACCTATTGTGCATAACGATAAAGCCCTATATTGATGAAGGAGTAATTGATCAAAAATATTCAGGATAAAGATTATACTTGAACTTCACTTGCCGACTGAAGCGAAATATTTATGAGAGCGGGTATAATAATCCATTTGTTTGGAAAATTATAAATAAGGGAAAAAAGATTATGATTTTATAGGGGGATTTTTAATTTTATTGATAATCATTTTGGATTTTCAGATTGTAATAGAAATAAAGAAATTAGCGATTGTGCTTTAAATAAACTGCCTAATAGATGGTAATAAAGACAAAAGCATTCAAAATTAATAATAGAGCTATGATAGGACAACAAGTCATCGTTCGTTCCAGATAGAAAATAAAATTTTATTTATTTTAATTCTATAAATAAAATTTTCACAATTGATAAAATTTATAATTCTTTAATCATGTCATATACTTATGCATTCAAAGGGATCTTAATCGGGGATTCTTGCGTTGGAAAGTCAAATTTACATCAGAGATGCGTTGAGAGAATAAATTCAGAGAAGAGCACCAAAAGACAAGGGGCATTGAGCTTGGAACGAAAATTATCAATATTAATGAAGAACAGATAAATTTTATATTGTGGGATACTTATAGCGATGAAAGACTCATTCAGATTACTAGAGCCTGCTTCAGAGGTACAGCAGCAGCATTCATAATTTATGACGTCACAAGAAGAGAGAGCTTTGAACATCTGGACTATTGGGTTTATGAAATATCGACTTATGGCCCTAAAGATGCTGTAGCAGTCTTGATTGGAAATAAAGTTGATATAGAAGAGGAAAGAAAAGTTTTATTTGAAGAAGGCCAAAAATTTGCAAATGATCACCAAATGATTTATTTCGAAACTTCAGCTAAAACTGGGTTGAATATTGAAAATTTGATTAATTTTGTTTCAGCTGAAATTTTGACCAAAATCAGAAATGGGCAGATAGACATAGAGGCTGATAGTAATGGGATTAAACTCTCAAGGCTAAAATAATAGCTAATAATTTTCTTTAAAAATGAGTCAAATTTTCATATAAATTTAATATGAAATCAATGCTAGTCGAAAAATGCTATGATAATGGAGACTCCATTAAGTCTCAAGCCTTGTACTCATTCTCCAACTATGCACAGAACAACTTGACGAAGATTTCACTTATTGATTTATCAATGAGACATTCTCGGGTAAAGCTTCCAAAACCAGTTGATGGGACTACTTTTATATGCACCCTTCCAAATAGAAGATTATTTTGCTATGGAAATTTGTGGTGAGAAAGGCAAGGCGGAATATCCCTCGTGCTCCTTATTGACATAGCTAGGTGCTATTATTTTTTTAAGTCAAAAATTAGTAAATTCCAAGCTAAATATGGCATTTTAACCTTGGAAAAACTGAGTACGCCATCTCTAGCTATGCAAAAGGTTGCTAAATAGACAGAAATAATTACAGATAAGCTATATATAATACGAATCCTTCTCCAAAAATATCTGGAATTGCTTTTATTGTCAATTCAGACTTAGAAACTGAGATTTTAAATGAAGGGATTCCGTGCTATAAACCAGGAGGAGTCTATTGTGATGGCAAAGTATTCCTTTTTGGTGGTCATATTCAAGCTGAAACTAATGAGCCCTATTCCAGTTTTTCATTATATTTGGAAAGAATATGTCAAGAGATTAAATTGCTAGCAGCCTAATTTTAAATGAAAAGTGCTAATTAGGAGTGAAATATAGGTTAATATTGTAAATGACATTTTACTAGTATAGCCTCAGAATATAATTTGGAAAGAAATAGATGAAGAAATATTTCTAATCTCCCAATTCCGTCATAAATTAATAGTTCAGATATTATAGCCATGGCGAACCGGACGAACTCTGAGCATAGAATCAAATACAACTTCAGAAGATGTGCATCTAGATAGGTTTTGGCTGCCTTTCTGCGGATGGAATAGGTGCTCGAAAACGTCCTTTGGATCCATAGACCCATGGCTTTTTTCTACCGAGAAAGTGGGGGTTTTAGGCTCAGGCCACAGAGAGCAGTCTTTTTCTGCAGCCTTCGAAGGAAGGCACTTCAGCACGCGACAAACTCCAAGGAGCTAATCCATGAATCAGCTACTCCAATGACACATTGGAGGGGCAGAAATCCATAAGCCGCCTACTCAAGACTGAAGCTACAAGGAGGAGACAGGAAGTACCAAAAGTGGCATCCACCTTCGGAAAAAGACCTTATAGACAGTTTTCCACAAAGCGATTGAACCTCCCATACAGGAAATCTTTTGTGACTGCATTACCAATATGACTAGCCCCTGCCTTTTAAAAATTCAACTCCCAATTTCTTCATCAGGGTGTTCTTGTATCGAATACATGGGATTAATCTTAATAGGGGGTTTTAGTCATTCTAAAAGTGTATTTGCTTATGATATAGCTGAGGATTCTTATTCAGAGTTTTTATCAAATTTGCAGAAAACCAAATTTTTATGCAAGAATGACGGCTATGCTTATTTAATAAATCCAGGTGGAAATATTTATGAAAGCGAATATTGCAATCCATTTGTTTGGAAAATCGTAAATAAATACAAAGGAAAAATTGATTATGAGTTCATAGCTTTTCAGACAGTCTTTGGGAATTATTTTTATTTTGTTGATAATCATTTTCCATTTTCAGATTGCTATATGTTTGATTTAGTGAATAAAGAAATGAGTGATTGTGATTTAAATAAGTTGATTGGCAGATAATAACAAAAAAATTTTCAAAAATAATTTAATATACTTAGCAAATTTTTATATATAATGATTTACATTCCAGATTTTTATATTTAGAATCAAGAAAGCGAAATCGAAACGTTCAAAATAAGCTGATTTGATGATGAGACCTCTGATCTAGTAGAAATTGACCTTTTAAATTTCGAGAAAGCCCATCACAGACTTATTCTTCCTGAAACTAATATTGACGAAAGAATTTCTATTTGTCAATTGCCAGGTAATAAGCTATTTTTTTATATAAACACGATAGGATGGGATGATTTGAGTGGAATTACTTTTATTGTTAATGAAAATTATGAAGTTCAAGTTCTCCCTGCAGGGACACCAAGCCTGGGATTATTTGGGACGTATTACAAAGATTGCGTTTATACTTTTGGAGGTGAATTTGCAGAGAGATTTAATCTAGATAAGTGAAGATGGGAAAAATTGATAAAATTTCCAAGCAGCACTCGTTGGTGCTCTTCTACCTTTTTGAATAATATAATTTTGGCTACAGGATACGATTGGGACAAAATATTTGCTTTAGATTCATTGACTTTGTCCTTTTCTTTATGCCCTGTTTCTTTGATTTTTTATCAAACAAAATTTCTTTGCAATTTTGAAGATTCAGCTTACTTAATTGAATATCCTGGAAAAATTCGTGAAAGTGGTAAAAATGACCCTTTTAATTGGAATTTTATAGGAAATTTTTTACGCTCGGAGGAAGGAGGATTTATGAGACATAAGGCTCTTTATAATAGAACATGATATTTTTTGACTGGAGATACAGAAATTATAAAATTTGATTTAGAAGAAAAGAAGATAATAAGAATTAATTTACCACTTACATATTAAAGAGAGTATAAGTATAAACATAATAAGAATAGTTATGGTCGCCTTAATACTATCATGCTTATACTCAATTTGTGAAGTCAGTTGATTGGCGCTGTCACTGGAATTTATTTGAGAAAAATCCATTATTTAATAAATGTAGGAACAGGGCAAAAATATTTTTGATGTTAAGCATCAGCACAATAACCCTTTAATTTTTAGGCGGTGCCATCAATACGCAGAAGGCGTATACTTAGGCAAAGAGCGTAATATTGAAATGGAAGAAGGACAAGCAATCACCTCAGATAATAGCTTCTATGATAAGTGTAAGGCTTATTTAAATGCTTTGGATCAAGAAAGCTATAATTATTATCATTTAAAAGCATCGATTGAACGTTATATCAACGACAGAGTTGATTTAAAGCCGTGCATATTAGGCGGTATATTTGTTAATACTGTAGACATCTATGACACATCTGAAGAAGAACTTAGTAATGATTTAAAAGCTATTACTGCGGCTATGTATATGATTTTAAAAGATAAAGAGATATATTTAGGTATTGATGATTTAAAGAATACCATCTATACATATTTTATGATGGGAAATCTATGTCTTTGGTAGTATAAATGAAAAAAGTTTGAATAAAAAACATTCAAAATTATAAACGGTAATCCATTTTCATGCATCGAATATATGGGATTTATATTAATATACAATTTTCAGAGAGAATAAAGTAGAAATTACCGAAAATAGCCGTTTTTACAATTTTGAGAAGTAATGCTTTTTTGATAGTTACAATTAAATCATCCGAAAAATAAGATTGAGTTTATAATTGATAAAATAAATAAAATGAAAACTAATTTGCCTCAAAAATCGTACAACAATGGAGACTCCAGCAAGCTAGACTTTTTATCCTCGCTAAATAACTCTACAAGAAACCAGCTGACTGTATTTTCACTTAAAAATTTTTCACAGGAAAAATCTATTTTAAATCTTCCGGAATTTATTGACGAAAATATATGCATTTGCCCGCTTCCAGATAATAAGGTATTTTGCTATGGAAACTTGTCATGAAATAATACCGAATCTCGTATTCCTTCAGTAACTGGGCTAACTTTTATTATAAACCCAGATTTAAGCATAGAAATTTTAGAGGAAGGTATTAAATGTTATGGATCTGGAGGAGTTTTTTATGACGGTAATGTCTATGTTTATGGAGGATATAATGATATTGGGGTGATTGAGAAAATAGCTTCTAAATATAATTTTCAGGACAAAAATTGAAAAATAATTTCAAGTCTCCCAGTTCCTTCATCGTTTTGTTCTTGTGTAGAATATATGGGACTTATCTTAGTAGGAGGTGCGAGCAGGTCAAATAAAATATTCGCTTACGATATAGCTACTAATTCTTATTCAGAATTTTTATCAGAAATTGAAGAAACGAAGATTTTGTGCAAAAGCAATGGGCATGCTTATATTATTAATCCAGGTGGATTTATTTACGAGAGCGAAAACAATAACCCTTTTGTATGAAAATCTATAAACAAATGTGAGTGAAGTAGAGATTTTTGTGATTTGATCGGCTTTCAAATGGTCTTTGAAAATTATTTTTATTTTATTGAATATGAATATGGATTGTGCAACTACTATAGATTTGATTTGGTCCGTAAATGTATGGATTTTGACACTGTAAATAATTGGTTAAGGACTCATTATTTATAAATCCATATCTAACATAAATTAATTCTTTTAGTTTAAAATATCTCTAACTCCTATTCCACTTATTAAATTTTACTATGTTTATTATGATTTATATTTATAATCGAATTTTCTAATAAAGAAATCAAACTTAATCAGGAACATTATGATGATGCAAATTCATGCAATTATACATTTAGACATTATGGAATATCGTGGGATGACTTATTTTCACGAGAAAAATTTCAAAAATATCTCCTATATGAAATTGATAAAATATGGCATATGTCCACTTCTAAACATTAAAATATTTTGTTATAGAAACAATTGAATAAAAAACTAATCAATTTCCAGTAAAATTATTTCTGGAGTAAATATTATGTATTATAATATACTTATTTAATCAATCCTGATGGAATTATTTATGAAAGTGAAAATAATAGCCCATTTACTTGGAAGACTATTAAGAAATGTGAGTGGAAAAATAATCTCTACTGTTTTATAGGATATCCAATGGGTTTTGAGCATTTTTTATGTTTAATATGAGGTATGAAGATGCTTATATTATAGATTTAATTTAATTCAGAAAAGACTTGATGATTTATCATAACATTTTAAAATTTATTTTAATGCTCTAATAAATATTTTATTGAGGTTTTGTTTTTAATCAAATAAAACCAGATGTAAGCTTTATTTTCATAAAATATAAATCTACTAAAAATTATAAACAATTAAATTCTCCGAAAAATTAAATAAAATGAAAACCACTTTGCCTCAAAAATTGTACAACAATGACTCTTGCAAGCTTGATTTTTTATGCTCGTTTACAAGTCCCATAAGAAATCAGTTGACAGTATTTTCACTTAAAGATTTTTCACAGGAAAAATCTATTTTAAATCTCCCAGAATTTATTGACGAAAATATTTTCATTTGCCCTCTTCCAGATAATAAGATGTTTTGCTATGGAAACTTGTCATGGGGTTATAAAGAATATCTCGCTCCCGTAGTAACTGGGCTAACTTTTATTATAAACCCAGATTTAAGCACAGAAATTTTAGAGGAAGGTATTAAATGTTATGGATCTGGAGGAGTTTTTTATGACGGAAATGTCTATATTTTTGGAGGATATACTCCTTGCATTAATATAACCTGCCTGGAAATGAATTTTGGAGATAACTCTAAGCTTAGCCGATCTGGAGAAAAATTTTGGAAGTAATCTTAGCTGGCTCAACAAGCCTAAGTTGATAAGCCAACTTGGTTTACAAATAAGCCAAATCATAATTATAGAGCAATTCATTAAATCTATTCCTATGGTATATAATGAAAAAAGAAGAATTGATAAAATAGCCTTGAAATATAATTTACAGGACAAAAATTGAAAAATAATTTCAAGTCTCCCAGTTCCTTCATTGTTTTGTTCTTGCGTAGAATATATGGGACTTATCTTAGTCCCCCTCCGTGAGTGAACAAAAAAATTTTGTTCACTCACGGAGGGGGGTTAATTTTTTTTTTTAAAAAAAAATTATATATAAATTTTATAAAAAATATTTTTTTCGAAATTTAAAAAAATCCTAATTCGCAAAAATTGGAAAGCAAAATATTAATTTAATTTATAAAATTTATGTTTTAAAAAGCAATTCGTTTAAAATTAAACAGAATTAGCTCTAGATTTCATTATACTAATTATAATTTATATATCAAAAATTTTTTCCATAAAAAATTTTTCTATTAAAAAAATTTTTGTTCACTCACGGAGGGTGGGTTTTTGGGCAAAAAATAGCGATTTTTCTAATGGTTTTGTTCACTCACGGAGGGGGGGGAGTTAGTATAATTATTTACAAAGATTAGTTATAATAATTTTGTTTTTAGCTAAAGTATGTTTAATTAAAAATATATTTTTATAATGAGGCCTAACCAGCATTAATGCATTTAAATTCTCCAATAAGGTATAGGAGGTACGAGTACGTCAAATAAAATATTCGCTTACGATATAGCTACTAATTCTTATTCAGAATTTTTATCACTCTCCCCCTCCATGAGAAAGAAGAAATCATTGAAAAATACATTTTTTCCACAGCATCTAGAAGTAAAAAAACAAATTATTTATATATTTTGATATAGAAATAATAATTATTAAAAAAATGATAATTAATTTTAAACAGCTTAAAATATGAAAATTATTATTAAAATTTTTAAAAAATTTTTTTTGATTATACATTTATATATAAAATTTAAAAACATTTACTTAGGAGGAGTCGGGAATTGAAGAAACGAAGATTTTGTGTAAAAACAACGGGCATGCTTATATTATTAATCCACGTGGATTTCTTTACGAAAGCGAAAGCAATAACCCTTTTGTATGAAAATCTATAAACAAATGTGAGTGATATAGAGATTTTTGTGATTTGATCGGCTTTCAAATGGTCTTTGAAAATTATTTTTACTTTGTTGAATATGAATATGGATTTTGCAACTATTATAGATTTGATTTGATTCGTAAATGTTTGGATTTTGACACTGTAAATAAATGATCAAGGACTCATTATTTATAAATCCATATCTAATATAAATTAATTCTTCTAGTTTAAAATATCTCTAACTCCTATTCCACTTATTAAATTTTACTATGCTTATTATGATTTATATTTATAATCGAATTTTCTAATAAGGAAACCAAACTTAATCAGGAACATTATGATTACGATCCATGCAATTATACACTTTAGACATTATGGCATATATGAGATGGCTTTATTTTCACCATTAATTTTTTCAGAGAAAGACTTCAAGATAAATTTTCCAGTTGAAATTGATAAAAATATTTGTATGTGTCCACTTCCAGACAATAAAGTATTTTGTTACGGAAATAATTGAATAGAAAGCTACTCAAATTCCAGTAAAATCATACCTGGAGTAACTTTTATTAACTTAGATCTTCAATGAGGGATTCTAAGCTTTGGATCTGGAGGTGCATTTTATGACGGAATTGTCTATGTTTTTGGAGAGTTTCCTGCAAAAATGTGGAATTAAAAATATTTATAAATTAGCCAAATTTTGGATTCTATTTTTTATTGAATATAAATTTGGGTGTTTCAGCTATTATAGATTCGATAGGCTTTATAGATAATGGACTAGTAATAAATTATTAAAGCCAAGAGATAATAGCTTAATATAAAATTATAATTACTTTTATAAATATCAGTATAAAATTTTTCATAATAAATTTATCTTATAAAATAATTTACAATGAAAACCAAGTTGGCCAAAAAATTATATGATAATGGAGATATCAGTAAATTAGATTTTTTATACTTGCCAGATGAGCCAAATGATATGACAAAGTTTTCACTTATTGATTTTTCATGTAAAAAAATCATAAATCTCCCATTGGATCTTACTCCCCCTTTAAATTGGAGTAAAAAGCCCTGTTCAAGTACTAAAAAAAAGTATTTTACTGATGTTTTTTCCAATTTAAAGGGATTGAGTTAATGAAACGATTTGCATGGTCCCACTTCCAAATAGCAAAGTTTTTTGTTATGGAAGTTTACGATGGAAAGAAGCCCATAACCATCTGATTCCTATATTGAGTGGCAATACTTTTATTATTAATCCAGATTTTAGCATAGAAATCTTAACAAAAGGAACTCCATGCTATGGGTCTGGAGGCATTTTTTATGATGGAATTGCATATGTGTTTGGCGGACATAATGATAATGGAAAAATTAATCTACTATTGGCTAAGCTTAAACAGATTTAAATTAAGCTTGATGTGCTAAATAATTGTTTTGTATAAGAAAAGACAATGGAACTACAAATAAAAATAATTATTTTGGGAAAATGCTATAAAATTAATATAAAAATATCGCTTCAAGATATGATTTAAACAAAAATAAATGAAAAATAATATCAAATCTCCCAGTGAGCTCTGCATTTTGTTCCTGTATTGAATTTATGAGGTTTATATTAATAGGAGGCTTCAGTTTGTCATCTTACGTATTTGTTTATGATATATTTGGAAACTCTTACTCAATGTTTTTATCTGGTGTAGATAGAACCAAAATTTTGTGTAAGCATAATGGGTATGCGTATTTAATTAATCCTGGTGGAAATATTTATGAAAGCGATTATAAAAATCCATTTGTGTGGAAAACTGTAAATAAATGAGAATGGGATAGAGAATTCTTTGATTTAATATATCTTTTTAAATAATAAATACTTGATAAATCATTGCCGGCTGAAAAAATAAGAAAATAGATAGAGCGCAAAGGCTGTTGGGATGATTCATTTATTGATAATCGACAATGACTAATTTGCCATCTTATCCTTGCTTTTAGTGAGCTTTATATGTTATAAACTATGGCTTCGTCAGCTCATCTCTCTTCTTCTTTCTTTTTGCTTTTATTCGATTTTTCCCTTCCTTGTGCGTTTTAATGCCCATTTTTGATGGGTCCTTCATGCCCTTTCTCTGACTTCTTCCTCTTTAGCCCTTTTTACTTTCGCGCATTTTCGTCATCTCAACCGCAGGCTCTTTCCTGTAACTTGGCCTTATTGTATTTTCTTCTTTCTCCTCTTGCTTTTATCTTCCTACTTTTACTTTCCTTCCCAACCCGTTTGCTTTGTCATTTAAATCCTTTTCTCAAGTCCTAGGGTACAGATCTAAATCATGGGGCTAACATTAACTTTCGGTAACCCAGAAAATCTTCTCTCTCGTCTAGCTACATGCAATAGAAGTGCATAAGTTTACTATTCGAAGATCTTAAACATCAAAAAGAGGATAAGTTTTCAAATGGCTTTTGGAGATTTTTTTTATTTTGTGGAATTTGGAGGATCATGTTCATATTATAGGTTTGATTTGACTAGTAAAAAATTGGATGACAATTTAGATGACTGATTAGTGTAAATATTTTTAGAAAGCTATTAATTTCTTATCAGCTTATTTTATTAAGGGCTTATAGTATAAAAAATATCTTAAATTTTTTTATCCTAAGTATGAGTATATAATAAAATAAATTAGTTGACTTAAAATAAAGCAGCATGTGTGAATGTTGCTAGTTCGATTTCTTGTGTCAAACAGCATTAGCTATCTATAGATGGATTTTAATAAAAAGCTATATCAACTTAAGCTAATGCTATTATTCTAGCCATAGATTTTAGATTAAATTACGATTTTCAGAATTTGAAACTCATTTTGATAATTCCAACTTTTCTTATAAAATCCCAAATAGCTATCTATAAGTATATCTACTGAAAATTTCCCATTTCCTGATAAAGGAATTTTAGATATTCTATTATAAAATTCTTCACAAAATTTCATCCTATTTCGATTACTCCATAATCTAGCATTTATTAACTGGCCAAAAAATGGAATAACCTTAAATTCTTAAATAAATAAAAAATCTAAGCTGGCTTTATCTAAATCAACATCTCTTAAAATATTCTTTATCCAAAATAGATATTGTTTCATTTTACTATATAAATAATGAAAATCAAAGCGCTAATGCTCATTTTTGTGAGTTTAAATTTCTTACTATGCCAAGCTCACGACTTTATTTTTATATATGAGTCAAATGAATCCTCAGAATCAAAATTATATGGAAATATCTTCTACGAGCATTATAAGTCAAGAATATTTTTTCTACGCGGAAACGAAATTCAGCCACTTTTCCAAGAGTTGCTACTATTAGGCCATGACATCATGCTTTTCGACCTGACAACAAATTCAGCTTCTCATTATGAAATCTCAAAATTTGCTTGAGAAAACCAAATTTTGCATTTTATCACTGAAGATTTATCAGCTTACTATTATGATTGGACTTTTGGCTTAAAAATTGCCAGAAAATCATATGGAAAATCCATAAACTCTATATCAAAATATTACAATTGAAAGAATGGAACTGTTTTTGTAAGTTTTGATAATAGGGTGTTTATGGAAGAAGTTGAACTGGACAAAACAACGTATTTAATAATAGAGGACAATACAAATATGGAAAATTTAATAAATAGGGTTGTATTTCCTTTAGGATCTAAATATTATTATATTTTCACCGGTGAAGATATAGGTAGCCAGATTGTCGAACTATTAAATTCGAAAAATCTTTTAGGAAATGATAGCATGGTTTTTCTGGATGAATCTTCAGGAAAGCAAGTAAATTACGAAGGCTCTCTGATATTATACGAAACTCAACTTAGTAGTGGTATAAACTGCACTATTCTTGATTCAATTGTCAGCTTTTTAAACCGAACAATCGAACAACTTGACACATTTGATGATAATGTTGAATCAAAAGAATATCTGCAAAATATTTGCTATGAAAATTATTGCACCGACACATTAAAACTTATAAATATAGCAAACTCAAAAAACCAAGTCGGCTATGTAAAAAATGAATATTATTATTCGGTATCAAGCATAACATACCCTGGAGGGGTATTAGCACCTCCTATAAATAAGAAAAAAGTCATCGAATTTAGTGTTAATAGTGGAACTTATAATATAGATGAGCATCCTGCAAGAGACAACGGTGAGTACAATCGCGGGACGTTTATCGCAGTCGACGAAATTAACGCAAGTCACGAAATTCTTAAAAATTATTATCTTCAAGTAAACCCATTTGACTGTGGAGTCGATGAATTTGATGAAGAATATTCTTTATCTTGCTATGGGTCACGATTGAATGATTTAGGAGTGTCATTCATCCCTCCTTACGTGTCTGACACAACCATACAACTAATAAAGCACACCTTGGCTGACTTAAACGTTATGATTCCTGTAATTTCTGCTGCAGCTTCAGATGACACGTTATCATCAATTACAGATTTTCCAAAATTTGCAAGAGTTTGTATATCTAATCATGATCTTGCAGTTAGAGCAGCTGGAGTTTTAAAGGTATTAGGGTGAGATAAATGTGCAGTTTTGTATCAAAACGATACATTTGGTAATAATTGGTACAATAGCTTTGTAGAAGGAGCGAAGCTCCAGAATCTAAAAATTATGAACGATAAGCACTTAAGGTCATTGCCTGCAGGCTACGATAGCCTGGCATCTTATCAATACGTCCTAGACGAAGTTATTACTTCAAATGCCAGACTAGTAATTTTGGTATTAGAAGCCCATTTAAGCATTGAAGTAATCACTATGTTCTATTCTATGGGAATGCGCAAAGGCGACCTTCTTTTTTATTTCGCCATGGACGATGTTATGACAAGTCTGTATTCAGCTACATATACATATGGAAATTTAGCAGAAAGGATTGAGCTTGGAGTTCCTGCAGTCAGAATGCATCAAGAAGAGTATATAGGCACGGTCGGAGACTGAGTAGAAGCCAAAATCATAAGCTTATATGGCGGAAAACCTCGGCTCAGCAATTATTTAGCCTGCAATTTTTATGATGCAGTGACTCTAATAGCTCAAGCTTTAGACTGGATGGTAAATAATGGCCTAAACTATAAAGATCCAGGCGCTCTTATGAAAATTATAAGATTTGTGTCTTTTATAGGATGTTCAGGGTCTGTAAAAATTAATGAAGGGACTAATGATAGACTTACCCATTCAATGGTGTTCCAAAGCTCAATGATTGATCCTGATACAGGGAATATCACGATTTATGATTCAATTATTTATTCGCCTTGGAGCGCTAATATGATAGCTACTGTTAGACCACTGTTATATGCTGGCAATACAACTGAGAAGCCATCTGATGAAAGGGTAGTTATAGTGGATTGTCCATTCCCAAGCTCTAAGGTCAGAACTTTTGTCAAAGGGAGAATTTTATAGAAAAATATTGTAATTATGCCAGATATATATAGAAAAAAAATCAATTAGTAGGAAATTTATGGGGATTGGGATAGTATTTTGCCTTTGTTTTTTTATTGCGTTTATAACAGCGATTTTGACTTTCATTATATGAAAAAAATGATGGCATATAAAGATTGAGATGCTGACTATGAAAAAGGAAATTTCTTATGAGGATTTTATTGTTGGGATTACAATTTTGATAGAGTTTTTTCAGATTATATCGATGGGGCCTGATGTAAAAGCAATAAGCTCTCTAGTGGGGCATGTTGGAGATGGGTTTTCTTTGAATTTGGATAGCATTTATCATATGAAAGGGAATGTTTTTTGGATTTTAATTATAAAATAGTTATTAAAATAGCAATTAAATATAATGAAAAATGAGCTTAATTAAAAATAAAACATGATTTTTATCTATTTTTTATTATTTATCCAATATATATTGAGAATAGTTGCACCTATGGCTTAACCCTTTTATGACTCATCCTCTGTGGTGTTGTGCTATTTCAGCTTGACGCAGTCTTTCCTAAATCATCTCTCTTTAAGCTACTTGTCCAATTTTCTGAAAGTATGATGCCAATCCTCGGAAATTTATTATTTATCCCCATAATTTCTATTTTATTAGACGTCTTTGTATGTGACGAATCCATAGGTGAAAATTTCACTGATAGTTTTCTATGAAAAGACTGTACACAATTTTGCTGAGATGGGATGCATATTGCATTTGCGGTTTTATCAGGAGTTGCTATATTGATTTATCATCCTTTAGCTGTATTTTGTAGACCACTCTGGCAAGAGCTTCAGCCAATGCTTCATGTAAAAACTTCGCCATTGCATTTAATGGTAAAAACTGTTTTTGAAATATGACTTATTGTTTTTAACAAAACACTTAAAAGAGCGAGCTCAAGTATTCATGGGCTTTTATTTATAGCAATCATTGCAATATATATAACTTTTATTTATTTCCATAAGCCTTATAATTATCATAGATTCAGCTTATGGCTTGGAATAAGCTTGTTTGGAGTTTTGTGGATTTCAGGCTTATCGACCCTTAATTTACTTTTGGACAATATTTCTTATACAGTTTTTAATTTAATTAAAATTCAAATTTATTAATATAAAGATTTTACTATAGAAAATACAGCTTAGCATGCAGACTGCACCTAAATTTCTATAGGAAGATATATTTTATTTGAACACCGCTATTGTTTTCTGGATGAACCTGCTTGATTGTCTTTGGATATATCTTACAAAAGAAATTTCCTTGCATGCTGACCAAAAAGCCATCAAAAGATATAGGAGAAGTAATAAATTTAGTCAAAATTTTCAAATAAAAATCCTTGTATAACACTAAAAATTAAAATTTGTAAAAAAATAAGAAAATGTCATTTATGCGACTGATAATACAAAATTACTGTTTAAATTTGCATTTACTTTTGGGAAAGCTTCGAGTATAATTGCTAAATCTGAGCTGTTTCCACATAAAAAGAAGCAGCAAGAAGATGCTAAAGTTTACCCGGAGCCTGAAGATGAAGAAGTCGTAGCTAATATTTTATCCAATCCAAATACTTTGAATGCTCCAAGGATGGTATAAATACTCTGCTTTAATGTATTTTAGACAATTTTTAATTATTTAAGCAAAATAGCACTATATAGTAATCTTTACTCTTTCAACAAAGAAAAAGTTTAATTTATTTGTAATTGAGTAGTTGGTAATTTTGTTTTAAAAATCCCATATTTTCTGTAAATTTTATAATCTTGTAATTAACTTGTCTAAAATGATTTTTATTATATTAATAATTAACTTATCTTAAAGATAAAAATTAATTTATTTCAAAAATCATTAAAATAAATCATAAAATAATTCTTGTTTTCTCCTACTTTTCAGTGATTTAGTATAAAATTTAATCCATCAATAGATATAAATAATTTATTGTAAATTTCCCTAAATCTATTCATCAAGTTGAACTTTATTGGATAAATATGAAAAATGAGTTTGCTTCTTAAAAAGATTGAAGTCGAACCTCAAATGGAATCCAAAAGTTTATTTCTTTTCCAGGGTTTTGATATGTCCTACTACATCAAAACTAATCTAGAAACGTTTGTTTCTTCAAAGTATCAATATAAAGTCTTAGAAAAATGTAAACTCATTAATAGTAATCGGAATTTTTAATTAAAGAAAAAAAATTAAAGACCCCAATTTCCAATTATTATGAATTAGAATAAAATCTCCGCCCTGCATATGCTCTCTTCCTAATGATGAATTGTTTTGCTATGGGTTTGAATTGGCTGATTATTCATTTTCTGGATCAGCTTATATATTAAACTCATATAATAGGATAAAGAAGCTACCTGATGGGATTCCTTGCTTTGGGGGAACAGGAATTTATTATGAAAATGCAGTTTATATATTCGGAGGAAGCCGATATGGATTTGATTTATATCCTATTCCTTTAAATAATGCTAGGAAGTTTGATTTTTTACAAAATAAATGAATGAGGTTAGCGAATTTACCTGAGCCTTCTCTTTATTTATTCATTACAGAATTTTTTGATGAAATTTTGATTGCAGAGTATGAAGTAAGTAAAATTTATTCTTATGATATTTTTTCAAACATTTATAGTGAAATTCCTTTAGAATTAGCTATGCACTCAGCTAAAATATTATTTAGATATGAAGATAGGGCTTATTTAATTGATAGTAAAAGAATGATAAATGTAAGTGGAATAAAAGATTCTTTTACATGAGAAAATATAGGCCAAATTAATCGAATTGCTGGATTTAAAATATATCAATGAGCTTATTATAGTGGATCTATTTATTTTGGGATTGGCAAATCGATTTATAAATTTTTTATGAAGAAAAAGGTTGCAGAAATCGAAAGAGTGATAACTAAATGCAATTTTATATAATAAATATGCCTATAAAGTGAATAAAGCTATTAGGCTTCTTATAATAGAAATTAAATTAAAATAAATTAATAAGATTAATTATATTCTAGCAATTTTTATTGAAATAATATATTATGGGGAAATAATTTTGACTATTACTGCATTGACTATATATTTATATACTTAAATGAGCTGTTTGAAATCCAATTTATATCAAATAATTAAACAGATAAACATAAAAAACTTAGTAAGTCCTCTTAGGCTTATCAATCCATTGTTTAAAGTGCTTTTATTAGGCAATTTTTTCACAATTTTATGAATTTATAATTATTTGCTTATCAATTTTACTATTCCCTTATCATTATCAACTTTTTCAATGAAAAACTCCAGAGAAATGCTTAAGAGGATATAGTCCTTGAGTTAATGCACTGCGAATAGCTGCCTATTAAAGCTCTTACAAAGAAAAGGCAGATGCTCTTAATAGGAAATCTCTTAATAGGAACAAGTTATGCAAATCTCATTAATCAAAAGGTATACCTTGCCCTAGTAAAATCACACAAATAAAAATAATTTCTTATTATATCTGCCAATAACAGTTTAAACCGCTCATAAAGCAGGTCTTTTTTAGCATTTATGGAATTCTGACTTGCCCAGTGAGTAAATAAAAATATTTTGTTTAATTATTTTTTTTTTTAAAAATTTTATATATAATTTTCATAATAATTTTTTTTCCAAATTTAAAAATTCCAAATTGAAAAGTAAAAATTAATTTAATTTGAAAAATTTATGTTTTAAAATGCAAGCTATTTAAAATCAAGCAGAATTATCTAGATATTTAATTATACTAATTATCACTTATATATCAAAATATTTTATCATATTTTTTTTTCCGGAGGAGGCTTTTAGCAAAAAATAGGGATTTTCCAATGGATTTATTGCTCAAAGACTGGGAGAGTGAGGATAATTTAATATAATCGTAAATTTTTGTTGACTAATAGCTACTTGCTAATTGATATAGCTTCATGCATATATAAATTACCTTTATATAATTATAATAAATAATTGTAGAATTGAGCAAAAATGGGCAGCACACCAATAAGTCACTATACTAAACAAGAGACAATCTACAAAACAGACTCAGTAGACATCTTCAAAGCAATTTTAAAATCGACAGGACAAGAAATTGCTATAAAGAAACTAAAATTTCAATCGGATAAGGAAATAGATGCATTTAAAATTGCTACACTTAAGCATCCAAATTTGGTATGGCCTGAGCTCTAATGTAATTTTGACTATACCTGAGCTGCTCTGAGCCCTCAAGAATTGAATTTTTTCTCATTTGGGTATCAGCCTATTCCTAAGTTTCAAATATCTATTATTTTTTGGATCATGCCCCAAATTTAGCAAATTCCAGTCTCTGAACTGATTAGGCAGCTTCAATTAATCCTCAACGATATGAGCATCTGACTATAGAATTATATGGCATATCAACGCCTAATGACAAATTCATCCTTTTATTAATGGAATACCTCCCTTCAGGAGATTTGTCGAATGAAATAGACAGAAGAATACATTTTAATAAATACTGGTCTGAAGAAGATCTATGAAATTACTTTAAATCCCTCATCCAAGCTTACTCATATCTACAAGAACGAGAAATAGCCCATAGAAATATAAAACCCCAAAATATTATTATAGGGAATGATGGAACTTTAAAAGTGACTGGCTTTGGACATGCTTTACTAGATGCACAGCAAGAAGAATATATAGGCATATCCATAAGATAGCCCATATGGGCGAGGGAAAGAGACCAAAAATTCCCACTTGGTCCGATCAACTCAGATAATCGAACCAAGTGGTAAGTGGCAAATAAGCCTCTTTCCGCTTGGGCTCTATCCCTCGCCTATATCGGGCTATCTTAGGGATATGCCTATACAGTTGTAGGGACTCCGCTGTTTTTGAGCCCTAAATTAAAAGCACTTTATTCTTCGTCACAAAATAACCTCTATAAAGCTAAGTATGATCCTTTTAAATCTGACGTGTATTCACTAGGATTAACGTTTCTTTATATGGCAAGCTTGAAAAAATTAGATGAATTGGCAGATTTAAATGCGCTTAAGTACAAAACAGCACTAAGAATTTATGATCTAAGATACTCTCAAAGGGTAAAAGACCTTTTATGGTATATGCTTGAAGATGATGAAGCAAAAAGGCCTAATTTTATAAATCTTGAAGATGCTTTTGTAATTTCTGCCGTAAAAAATATACATAAAGTTTTAGATGAATTGGCAGCTATATTTATATTTATAAGCTTTATTTTTTCAAAAATTGAGCTAAAATTTATTTTCCAATTTCAAGAAATATATTATAAGTCACACCAAAATTTATCACTAGAAAAATAAAAATATCAGAGTATGGCATGTTGTTAAATTCCTATCCACTTAAAGTTTTTTGTAAAGTTCCAAATATAAAAGCTTGCTTATCAAAAATTTTAGGTAATAATTATTTTTTTAAATATAAATTATATCGTTATTTGCAGATTTTTGAACTTTACCACCTAAGTGTGGAATTTTTTCCGCGTGTGAAAAGAGGATTCCACATGTGAAATCAAAAGGGCTCTGACGTGAAATCACCTTTTCACACGCGGAAAAAATTCCACACTTACGTGGTAAAGTTCAAAAATCTGCAAATAACGATAGCATTTATATAAAAAAATTTATGCAAATTATCTAAACCAACATTTTACAGAGAGTCGAAAATGAGACAAATAGTCACTATATATGATCTCTTATGACACTTGCGAAATCTATTAACTTTAACATTAAAATCGGGAGGCTTAGCTATAGCAGAAATATTTGTACATTTGGAAAGGTTGATTTTTTATATAAATGTAATTATTGCAGAAGACAATATTTTATCCATGCAGCGTACTTAAATCAAGAATTTACTTGTTTGTATTGTTGAAAGCCAAATGCACCTCTATATCAAGCAAATAGTTACCAACATTATGATCAAGTAGAAAAAATGGAAATAAAAGCCAAAAATAATATTCTATTTGATACATGCCATAGATGCAAAATCTAAGAAAAGTATTTATTTCGTTTAAGATGCTGCTGGTTAGCGCGTGTCGCCATTTTAATGTATATATTTTGCTCGGAGGGATTAGTTTATTTTTAAAAGTAATAGAGATCTCAATTCTTAATTACAAATTACTTTCATATTTCAGTTCTTACTTCCCTCCGTGAACAAATTTTTTGTTTCTCACTCCCCCCCTCCATGAGTGAACAAAACCATTGGAAAAATCCCTATTTTTTGCCCAAAAACCTTCCCTCCGTGAGTGAAAAAAATTGATATATAAGTGATAATTAGCATAATGAAATCTCGAGCTAATTCTGTTTAATTTTAATAAATTGTATTTTAAAAAATAAATTTTAAAATTAAATTAATATTTGCTTAAATTAGGATTTTTAATATAAAACTTATATATAATTTTTTTTCTTCGCACGCCTTTCATTTGGATGGCGCTTTAATGAATCATCTGCTCAATCCTCCGAAGTAGACCATCAGTAACAGCAGGTTCTTCGAATAATTGGCGCTAAATATTTATTTAAAATAATATTTATATATGAAATAATTAGAATTTTAATCGATAGGATATGAAATGCTCGCATTCGTTCTCTTAACAGTCTTTTTCTCCAAATTAAATTTCATAATTGCATTGTCTATATTAAAATACCAAGAATTTTTATAAAATACTTTAACAGAAAAAATTGCAAAATCAAAAGTCATACAAGATCCTATAATCGCTCATGAATAAAAATTATTTTTGGAACTCTCCCTTATTAACCCAGAAAAATCAATTAAAAAAGCCGCATTTTCAGATCTGCAAAGAACTTTTGTGCTATGTTGTCCAAGCTCTAAAGGGCATGAAGAAAAAGAGCAAGTCCGCAAATCAAAAATAAATATATCCTCACAGTCAAATCATGCAACTAATATCATATTATTTATAGAAATGCAAGTACAAAAATTACTTAAGCCAAGTTTTGCTATTATCTTTTCCCATCTTCTTTTAACCAAATCATATCTAAAAAGACAAAATTCTCCAAACATATAAACATAATTATTGCAAAATGTTGCACAATATCCAATAGTTATAATTTTAGAGGGAAGAACTTGAATTTTATGATCTTCATCTATTATAAAAGCAATGCCACATATGTGATCTAGCATTGTATTACCTCTGTAGCAAAAAGACTTATTCCCAGGCAAATAGCATATACAAGTATATCAATTATCATCTATAGGAGCTGAAATTTCAACGGAAACAGTTTGCATTGTTTCAAGATTAACTTCATCAAGACAATATTCATTATAATTGTAAATTCAACGAAATTTTGATGTTTGGACTTCAATATCTTCGCTATTTAATGACAGATTTTCCAAAATTTTCATTTATTACTATAAACAAAGATTAAGATATATTTAAATTTTAATGAAATATAAGATTGGCTGATTACTCGGCTAAAACAATATTTAGATATCAAAATCGGCTTATTTGATTTATAATAATTAATGATAAATGAGATGAGAAAAAGATGCTTTTATATGAGAAAATATAAGCCAAATAAGCTATCGTAGGGTAGGATTCGTGTTAAGCAATGGAAAATTACCATAATGCTGCATCTTGTAAAAATCTAAAAGAAAAGAAATTAACTTTATACTAAAGCATAGATTATTCTATAGGATATTCCTTATTCCAACGAGATTCATATGCATACGAAATACTTCCACTAGTTTTACTAACAGCTTTTTTATCCAAATTAAATTTCATAATCACCGAATCCATATTGAAATACCAAGAATTTTTATAAAATACTTTAATCGGATAAGTATGAAAGCATAAAGGGTTGCAAGGACCAATAATGTTTCATTTATAAAGACTGTTTTTATCGCTTTCCCATATTAGACCAGAAAACTCAATTAACTCTTCCATTGTAAATCGAAAGAATTCTATATAAATTAAAAAGGTTAATTTTTCATAAAAAAATTTTTTTTATGAAATTGACGCTATTCAAAGAACTTTTTTATTTTTTTGAGAATCATTGGAGACAGAAAGGAAAAACACAAAAAATCTGCCTTGACTCTCTATCAAGGATTGTGAGGTTGTGTCAAAGCCTTTTGACGAAACTGATTCAGAAACTGATGAATTTTGCTCAGATGAAGAAATTTGGGATGAAATAGAATTTCTTGACTTGCAAATAAAAATGTTGGAGGATGAAGCCTGGGATGATGAAGATGAAGCTGTTTAAGAAAAAATGGATGTTGCGGAGTGTCTGAGAATCTGGCTCGCTGTACAGGTAGGTGTGATTCTGGATGGTGGAGAGCTGATCCTAGCCACAAGATCCATCAATCAGGTACAGATAGAGATCATCGACTGGGTAAAGGTGGAAAGTAAGAAGACCAAAAGCCAAAAAAGTCAAAATAGCCAAAAAAGCCAAAACAGCCAAAACAGCCAAAAAAGTCAAAAAAGTCGAATTCCCATAAAAGCCATAAAAGCCTAAAAACCCACCCAAAAGGCCCAAAATACCCAAAAAGGCCAAAAATCCAAAAAGACCAAAAAAAAATAAAAAAGCCCAAAAATACGCAAGGCTAAAGCCTGGATGGAGCCTAGCAATCTAAGTAAGCTAGATTGTTAAATTTGCAAAGAATTTTTGCGCTATCTTGCTCCAGCCCAAGAGTGCATGAGGAATAAGAGAAAATCCATAAGTCAAATATAAATATATATGAATAATCATATAAGGCAACTAAAATCAATCCATTTAATGATATACAAGAGCAGTAATCATCTGAGTCAAATTATATCGATAAAAAGAAAACTCCCCAAACATATAAACATAATTGTTGTAATAGGTTGCGCAATATCCAACAGTTGACATTTCTGAAGGAAGGATTTGGATTTTATGATCTTCATCAATTATAAAAGCAATGCCATTTTGATTGGCAGATCTAGAATAGCCTCTATAGCAAAATGATTTGTTTCCAGGCAAAGAGCAAGTGCAAGTGTATAATGCATTATAATCTTCAGGAGAAGAAATTTCATAAGATGTTTTTTCCATGGTTTCAAAATTAATTTCATCAAGATCCAATTCATTATTACTGCGAATTCAGCGAAAATTAGAACTTTCAACTTCTTGATCGTTTCTGAGCAAATTATCTAAAAGTTTCATTATTTATTAAATAATTTTTATTTTTAAATTTATGAAGTTAGACTGAATAATAATTTATCTCATTTAAAGGTTATTTTGTAGGCTTCTAATGTTTCAATCTATTCAAAATGCACACTTTAGTATTAAATTTAGTTAAAAAAATTTTAACAAATTATATTCACATAGCTGCTGCAATATAGCTATACTAATAAAGATATTAAAAATATTTAAAATCATTTAAAGTTTAATCATACTATTTCTATTGAAATCATCATATTTTTAGCTTTAAAAATTAAATAAATACTTTAGAATGTGACAGCTCTTCTCCAATCTCATGAACTCTATGTGGTACATTCAACATCATGTCATTGATGATCCTTTTATCCAAATTAAAAGTTTTGGGCCTAAAAAAATATCAGCAGTTCTTATAACTCTCCCTCCTCCGTGAGAAAATAAAATCAAGAAAGATCCCTATTTTTTGCGTCGGTTAGCGAACAAAAATATTTTATCGAAAAAAATTTTGATATATAACTTACATACTTATTTCCTATGAATAGTCCTAAGCGTGTGAATTACTATTAAAATTACAATTTGGTTATTCTGATAAAAATAGAATTTATCAGTAAAACTGGAATTTTAAGAAATTTAAGTCTTATGCAGGAGGAGTTGTTACTTTATTTTGAGTTCCAACAGTGGCAATATTGGTAATTGTAAAATAACAGATGCAGCTCACATTGTGCATCTTTCGACTAAAACATATACAGTCATATCTCTAAAAACTGTAATGAATTTATATTAAAAAGTAAAAGTTCTTACTCCCCCCCCACGTGAGTGAAAAAAAAATTTTGTTCACTCACGGAGGGGTTAATTTTTTTTTACAAAAAATTTATATATAAATTTTATAGATAATATTTTTTTTCAAATTTTAAAAAAAATCCTAATTTGCAAAAATTGGGAAGCAAATATTAATTTAATTTATAAAATTTATGTTTTTAAACGCAATTTGTTTAAAATTGAACAGAATTAGCTCGAGATTTCATTATACTAATTATCACTTATATATCAAATTTTTTTCATAAAAAATTTTTGTTCACTCTCAGAGAGCTGGTTTTTAGCCAAAAAATAGGGATTTTCTAATAGTTTTGTTCACTCACGGAGGGTAGGTTAAGCATCTTCCAGGCTTGAAACTGATGCTGAAATATAAATATTGATGGATTTCACTTGAGAGTTGCCATGAAGTTGCACCATCTGTCATGCATCATGTCTTGAACAAATAATTCTTATCTGAATCAAGTCATCATGGCTTTCTCTGTTGAAAGAACATATTTTTAATTTCTGAGACTAATATTGAGTTTGCTGATCAAACTCCAGAAATGTTGCCTTTCACAGAAGCAGCACCAGTGATCAAAAGAATTTAAATTTGGTATTTACAAGTAGAAATACAGCTGTGACCTAAATTGCACCAAATATGAATGCCTTTGCCTACATGAAAAAAAAAGGTATTATGGTTTGCATTTGTCAATATAGCATTAAAAGTAATCAAAATTTGTGCATTTTAAAAAGAGGCTGCACATCTGCATTATTCATATAAATATCACGCCCTGGGACAAAGATTTTCAAGCACATATCAAAGCTTTCACAATTAGTATCAAATCTATGCCTATTATATTTACATATATTAAATAATATTGTAAAAAATGAAAAATATCAGACTGTAAAGGCATTTCTTAATAAATCTGGATCAAGGCATCATGATTCACCAAACGCAGCATGCTAGATGAAATCAAAGCAAGGTGAAGGCCTTAGAAACTAGAGTATGCTTGACATCATAACTCATAAGTAAATAATTTATGATGAATTACGTGATGCGATAGCAATCATCAAGTTTAAGTTAAAATTTATACTAATATATTGTTAAAATTAGTCCCCCTCTATTCATGCAGGTGCAATACAGTTGCATCTTTTAAATAATTATTCATCATGCATAACATTTATGCAGGCTACAGTGCGACGCAGTTGCATCTTTGAAAATATCCAATATAAAAAACTATTGTGCGGAGTTTGATGATGCATAATGTGAGCTGCATCTATAATGTGATTTCATTACGAATTTAGATAAAAAGAGTATTATGCAAGATGATGGGTGCACTCACAAGCTCTAAATTGCTGATGCACCAAGCTGTATGATGCACAATGTGCTCTATCTGATGTAAATTCATTGCAAATTTGAAGACAAAGCGCATGGTGCTTCGATGGTAGGTGCACACTAATATACTCTAAATTGAAATGTAGAAACATGAGTAAATTTCAAATGGAATAGTAAGTAATTAAAAAGCACAAGGCAGTAATTAGCTTTACAAAAATTAAACTTCAGCTATAAATATGCAAATATCTGCCTGACTCCCCCCCCTCCGTGAGTGAACAAAACCATTAGAAAAAAATCGCTATTTTTTGCCCAAAAACCCACCCTCCGTGAGTGAACAAAAATTTTTTATGGAAAAAATTTTTGATATATAAATGATAATTTAGTATAATGAAATCTAGAGCTAATTCTGTTTAATTTTAAAACGAATTGCTTTTTAAAACATAAATTTTATAAATTAAATTAATATTTGCTTCCCAATTTATGCGAATTAGGATTTTTTTAAATTTCGTAAATAAATTTTTAAAAAAAAAAATTAACCCCCCATCGTGAGTGAACAAAATTTTTTTGTTCACTCACGGAGGGGGGCAATGAGCAAAAAAAATTTCCTAATAATCAGAATAGAAAAATAAAAAATTAGCTTATTAGATATTGTGGCTGTTAATGCAGCTCAATCAAGATTGGATTGATTCTTGTGGCAAGCAAAAAAAAGCCTCGTTTATTTAAGCTTTTCCACTTTATATATAGCTGAATATATAATAGAAAGGCTTATTTCTATAAAAAGGCGTAAATTAGTCTCTTTTGACTCATAAAATTGCTGGATAACAAAAATGGGAAGTCTGCAATATATTTTTTAGATAAAATTCAAGATTTTTATGCCTATTTAACTAAATGACATTTGAATTTTTCATTATCCAAAAAAATGGGTAAATAAATAGGCAAAAAAATAAGTGAAAAAATAGGCTAAAATGCAATAGATTAAAACAATATAAGTCAAATAAAGCTATCGTAGGGTAGGGTTCGTGCTAAACAATGGAAATTTTTCTATAATACTACAATCTTGTAAAAATCTTAAAGAAAAGAAATTAATTTTATACTTAAACTATGATTATCCTATAGGATATTCCTTATTCCAACTAGATCCATACTCATATGAAATACTTCCACTAGTTTTACTAACAGTTTTTTTATCCAAATTAAATTTCATAATCACCGAATCCATATTGAAATACCAAGAATTTTTATAAAATACTTTAATCGAATAAGTATAAAAATATAAAGGGTTGCAAGGACCAATAATGTTTCATATATAAAGATCGTTTTCATCACTTTCCCATATTAGACCAGAAAAGTCAATTAAGTAAGCTACATTGTCATATTTGCAAATAATTTTTATGCAATCTTGTTCTAGCTCAAGATTGCATAAGGAATAAGAAAACGTCCATAAGTCAAATATAAACGCATATGCATAATCATATAAGGCAACAAAAATCATGCCATTTAATGATGTACAAGAGCAGCAATTACCTGAGGTACATTTATTTACTAGCTTTTCCCATCGTCGTTTAATCAAATTATATCGACATAGAGAAGAATCCCCAAACATATAGACAAAATTGTTGTAATAGGTTGCGCAATATCCAACAGTTGACATTTCTGAAGGAAGGATTTGGATTTTATGATCTTCATCAATTATAAAAGCAATGCCATTATGATTGGAATAGTTGAAATAGCCTCTATAGCAAAATGATTTGTTTCCAGGCAAAGAGCATATGCAAGTGTTTAATGCATTATAATCTGTAGGGGAAGAAATTCCATAAGATGCTTTTTCCATGGTTTCAAGATTAATTTCTTCAAGATCCAATTTTTTATCACTACGAATTCAACGAAAATTAGAACTTTCAACTTCTTGATCGTTTCTGAGCAAATTATCCAAAAGTTTCATTATTTATTATTTTTAATTTTATGAGATTAGACATAATTTATCTCATTTAAAGGCTATTTTTTAGGCATCTAATATTTCAATCTATTCAAATGCAGACTTTAATGTTAAATTTAGTTAAAAAAATTTCAACAGATTACGCTCGCATAGCTGCAATATAAGCTATAGCAATTTACTTTAAATAGCGCTATAAGGCGTGTTTTCTGGATAAGCCGATAGGTCCAAGGAATTTGAGATCTCGTGCAAGATGCACCGAAGTAAAATGGGGCAGACTGCATTGATACAGATAGAGGTGATACAAGAGATCTTCAGTGCAAACTTAGTTGAGGCAGGATGAAGTATTTATGTTAAGCTCATCTAACAGTGGATAGATACTTGGTAATGCTTAATTGAGTTGTAATACATCTAAAATTGCTTCTTATTGCTTCAGTTTTCGAAAATTTGAATAATTTGCTGTTGTCTTATTGTTTCGCGGTATTTGAACATTTATTGTATTAAACACTTGTCTGATATGATAGAACAGTGTTATAGTATTCGTTTATGGAGAAATGCCGGTTGCTTCTTTTTCTGTCAAAAAGATGCAATGTAATCGATTTTAACGATGGCTTTGATATTGATTTCAGCTGAATATTGGTAAAAAATTTGGTAGTCCTACAGATCATATAATGCACTATTGAATGCTTTCAAATGTGATATTAAAAGTATATTTGTGATGCTTATATTAATTTTAGGGCATTGATCTATTAGAAAAGTATGAGATAATAATAATTGATTGTGCAAGTGCTTGCAGAAATAAGATTATTATGAAAATTTGTTGCATGTGATTGCATCGTTAATAGAGCCCATGTGATCTGCTGAGCATACATAAAATAATAAATTACCAAAATGTTAAAAACCATGAAAATCTGTTTACTAAATATGGAATCCCGATCAGAATTGCAAATTATTTTGACACGTGAAAATAAAAACTCACATGTCAAACATTTTTAGCAAACTAAACTTATATTTGAGCATCAATTTGGCGCACGAAATAATTTTAGCATGCTAAATTTTGTTTTCATATGAAATTTTATATTTCACTTTTCAACTCTTGTTTACATTTTGAACCATAAATCATAAAACAAGTGAAACATAGTGAGCTTCATGATGTGCTTTTCCTAAGCATTCAAACAATTTCATGTATATGAAATTAATCGAGTTTACATAGAATGTAATATAATTTATGACTTATGTCTTGAATTCAAAGAATTACACTTATAGTCAAACAGTGCATGCCAAGACAAAATATCAATATCAAATGTTCATGACCATTTCCATACTAACTTGCATATCTATAGCATGATAAATAAATAAGTCCCATTTCATAAAGCAGTTTTCAATTTTCATTATATATATTGCTTCATAATTGCATTAATTGCTAAGATCATTCCACAATAACAACTTAACATATCACTATTAGCCAAACCTTTATAAGGAAATCTAGGTTAAACCTTATCTTAATATCATTTTGCAGAATGATACCTTGCATAGTTGCCACTCTTACAGCTTCACCCTTATTAGTACATCACATGCAATCTTCGTTCTGTGCCAGCACAATTTGTATTGAATCATCTTGCACTGTCAATTCTTTTATCATTTCATTTTCTTGTATCAATGCCACTTGTCTACAGTGCTCTGTGCCAGCACATCATGCATTAATTCATCCTTCATCAACTAAGCTTGCACTGAAGATCTCTTGTATCATCTCTTCCTGTATCAATGCAGCATGCCCCATTTTGTTTCTGTGCATCTTGCATAAGACCTCAAATACCTTAGACCTGCTGGTTCATCCAGAAAATACTCCTTATAGCGCCATTTAAATTATATTTCTATATCCTAATAAAGCATATTAAAATATTTTAAATTTTAATCATACTATTTCCCTATTGAAATCATAATATTTTAGCTATAAAAATTAAATAAATGCTTTAGAATATGGCAGCTCTTCTCCAATCTTATGTGGTATATTCAAAATCATGTCATTGATGGTCTTTTTATCCAAATCAAATTTTAAAAGTTTTGAGACTAAAGAAAAATATCAGCAGTTCTTATAAGTAAGCTACATTGTTATATTTGCAAAGAATTTTTGTGCAATCTTGCTCTATCATAAGAGTACATGAAGAATAAGAAAAAGTCCATAAGTCAAATATAAATATATCTATATAATCAAATAATGCAACTAAAATCATGCCATTTAATGATATGCAAGAGCAGTAAATTACCTAACAGGTTGCGCAATATCCAAAATTTAACATTTTTGTAGGAAGGATTCGGATTTTACGATTTTCATCAATGATATAAGCAATGCCATTATGTTTGGAATCATTTCAAAAGCCTCTATAGCAAAATGATTTGTTTCCAGGCAAAGAGCATATGCAAGTGTATAATGCTTTATAATCTTTAGGAGTAGAAATTTCATAAGATGTTTTTTCCATGGTTTCAAGATTAATTTCTTCAAGATCCAATTTTCTATCACTACGAATTCATCAAAAATTAGAACTCTCAACTTCTTGATCGTCTCAGAGCAAATTATCCAATATTTTCATTATTTGTTAAATAATTTTTATTTTTAAATTTATGAAATTAGGCTAAGTATTTGTGTAAGCCATGGAAAATTTTTTATAATACTGTAATCTTGTAAAAATCTAAAAGAAATTAATTTTATCCTTAAACTATGATTATTCTATAGGATATTCCTTATTCCACGAGATTCATATGCATATGAAATACTTCCACTAGTTTTACTAACAGTTTTTTTATCCAAATTAAATTTCATAATCATCGAATCAATGTTGAAATACCAAGAATTTTTATAAAATACTTGAATCGAATAAGTTTGAAAATATAGAGGCTCACAATGACCTATAATGTTTCATATATAAAGATAGTTTTTATCGCTTTCCCATATTGCACCAGAAAAATCAATTAAGTAAGCTACATTGTTATATTTGCAAAGAATCTTTGTGCAATCTTGCTCTAGCCTAAGAGGACATGACGAATAAGAAAAAGTCCATAAGTCAAATATAAATGTATGTATATGATCATATAAGGCAACAAAAATCTTGCCATTTAATGATATACAAGAGCAGTAATTACCTAAGGTGCATTTATTTCCTAGATTTTTCCATTTTTGTTTAATCAAATTATATCGATATAGAGAAGACTCCCCAAACATATAAACAAAATTGTTGTAATAGGTTGCGCAATATCCAAAAGTTGACAGCTTTGAAGGGAGGATTTGGATTTTATTATCTTCATCAATTATAAAAGCAATGCCATAATGATTGGCAAATCTGGAATGGCCTCTATAGCAAAATGATTTGTTTCCAGGCAAAGAGCATATGCAAGTGTTTATTTCATTATGATCTGTAGGAGAAGAAATTCCATAAGATGCTTTTTTCATGGTTTCAAGATTAATTTCATCAAGATCAAATTTTTTATCACTACGAATTCAACAAAAATCAGAGCTTTCAACTTCCTGATCGTCTCAGAGCAAATTATCCAAAAGTTTCATTATTTATTTATTAAATAATTTTTATTTTTAAATTTATGAAATTATACAGGAAAATGATTTTTTTAACAATTTGCCTCATTTAAAGGCTATTTGTTAGGCATCTAATGCTTCAATCTATTCAAAATTTAGACTTTAGTAAAATTCCATTATTATTTTTTCAACATCAAAAATATTTAAAATGCTTTAAATTTTAATTATACTATTTTCCGATTGAAACCATTATGTTTTAGCTATAAAAATTAAATAAATACTTTAGAATGTGACAGCTCTTCTCCAATCTCATGAACTCTATGTGATACTTTCAACATCGTGTCATTGATAGCCTTTTTAGCCAAATCAAATTTTAAAAGCTTTGAGCCTAAAGAAAAATATCAGCAGTTCTTATAAGATACTTTATATCCATGTGTTTTTCCAATGATATTCCAATTAAAAATATTATTTTTATCGCTTTGGAATATTTTTCCAGAAAAATCGATTAATAAGCCTCACTTTCTGATTTGCAAAAATTTTTGTTCTATGTAGTTCTAATTTAAAATAAAGCCAAGAGAATGAAAAAATTAAAAAATCTAATACAAAAGTGTCTTTGGTATCATACCCCGTAACTAATATAGCTCATGCACCGATATAGATTTATTTATCGAGCAAAATGTAATAGAAAGTACAACGACCAAGAAAGAATCTATTAAAGGAACGTGCTGGATATCTATATCAGGAAGTGCTAAAAAGTGGGCATGTCAAAAAATGGTGACAAGTCTGAAAAAAGTTGACAAGTAAGCGCGCAAATTTTTTAAAATGGCTTTATTATTAAAATAATTAAAATTTAAGATACCCAATTAGACTGAAGATAATAATCGCAAATTAATATGAGGCTATTTATTTAATATTTTCAATTTTGAGAGTTCATGAGCAAATTCTTCTATAATGAGCTCCATCTTTATAATCGCTAAAGTCTAAATCCTACTGGAGTTTTTACGCGATATGCTAGCTGAAGCACTAGTTCTTAGGGACCTATTGAGTGGTTGCCTCGGTAAGTTCCCCCATTGCGATTCCAATTTTCCAACTACAAGTCCTGCTTCTCCACAATAGGCACCATCTTGAAAACTATCATAAGTCAAATCCCTACTGGAGTTTTTACGCGATATGCTAGCTGAAGCACTAATTCTTAGGGATCTATTGAGTGGTTGCCTCGGTAAGTCCTCCCTTTGCATTTTCAAATTTTAAAGTTCATATGCAATTTCTTCAATAATGGACTCCATCTTTATAATCGCTTAAGTCAAAATCCTACTGGAGTTTTTGCATGATATACTAACTAGAGTTATGGCACTTGGAGACCTATGCAACTGTTCGCTCGGTAAGTCCCCTTTTGCAGTTTCAAATTTTAAAGTTCATATCTTATTTTAATAATAAAGCCATTTTAAAAATTGGCGCGTTTACTTGTCAACTTTTTTTAACACTTGTCACCATTTTTTGACATGTCACTTTTTAGCACTTTCTGATATGGAGATTGAGCTCATCTCTTTGAGAGACTCTGTTTTGCTCGTTCAATAGTCCAATACATTTTGCTCGATAAAGAAATCTATAAAGGTGTATGAGCTATATAGCTCATAAGTAAATAATTTATGATGAATTACGTGATGCGATAACTATCATCAAGTGTAAGTTAAAATTTTATACTTAATATATTGTTAAATTAGTCCCCCTCTATTCATGCAGGTGCAAATACAGTTGCATCTTTTAAATAATTATTCATCATGCATAACATTTATGCAGGCTACAGTGCGACGCAGTTGCATCTTTGAAAATATCTAATATATAAAACTATTTGTGCTGTGTTTGATGATGCATAATGTGAGCTGCATCTATAATGTGATTTCATTACGAATTTAGATAAAAAGAGTATTATGCAAGATAATGGTTGCACTCACAAGCTCTAAATTGCTGATGCACCAAGCTATATGATGCACAATGTGCTCTATCTGATGTAAATTCATTGCAAATTTAGAGATAAAGCGCATGGTGCTTCGATGGTAGGTGCACACTAACATACTCTAAATTGAAATGTAGAAACATGAGTAAATTTCAAATGGAATAGTAAGTAATTAAAAAGCACAAGGCAGTAATTAGCTTTACAAAAATTAAATTTCAGCTATAAATATGCAAATATCTGCCTGAGCAGAAAAAATTTCCTAATAATCAGAATAGAAAAATAAAAAATTAGCTTATTAGATATTGTGGCTGTTAATGCAGCTCAATCAAGATTGGATTGATTCTTTTGGCAAGCAAAAAAAGCCCAGTACTATTTAAGCTTTTCTACTTTATTATATAGCTGAAATATATAAGAGAAAGGATTATTTCTTAAAAGGCGTGATTTAATCTCTTTTGAGCTCATAAAATTGCTGGATAACAAAAATGGGAAGTCTGTGATATATTTTTTAAATAAAATTCTATTCAACTGAATGACATTTGAATTTTTCATTATCCAAAAAAATGGCTAAATAAATAAGCAAAAAAATAAGTGAAAAAATAGGCTAAAATACAATAGGTTAAAAACATATAAGTCAAATAAAGCTATCTTAGGGTAGGATTCGTGCTAAGCAATGGAAAATTTTCTATAGTACTGCAATCTTGTAAAAATCTTAAAGAAAAGAAATTAATTTTATACTAAACTTAGATTATTCTATAGGATATTCCTTATTCTAACTAGATCCATACTTATATGAAATACTTCCACTAGTTTTACTAACAGCTTTTTTATCCAAATTAAATTTCATAATCACCGAATCCATATTGAAATACCAAGAATTTTTATAAAATACTTTAATCGAATAAGTATAAAAATATAAAGGGTTGCAAGGACTAATAATATTTCATATATAAAGGTTGTTTTCATCGCTTTCCCATATTAGACCAGAAAAGTTAATTAAGTAAGCTACATTGTTATATTTACAAAGAATTTTTGTGCTATCTTGCTCTAGCTCAAGAGTGCATGAGGAATAAGAGAAAGTCCATAAGTCAAATATAAACATATATGCATAATCATATAAGGCAACTAAAATCATGCCATTTAATGATATACAAGAGCAGTAATCATCTGAGAGAGCATTACTTGTTAATTTTTCCCATCTTTGTTTAATCAAATTATATCGACATAGAGAAGAATCCCCAAACATATAAAAATAATTGTTGTAATAAGTTAGGCAATATCCAACAGTTGACATTTTTGAAGGAAGGATTTGGATTTTATGATCTTCATCAATGATAAAAGCAATGTCATGATTGGAATAGTTGCAATAGCCTCTATAGCAAAAAGATTTGTTTCCAGGCAAAGAGCATATGCAAGTGCATCATTCATTATGATCTTTAGGAGAAGAAATTTCATAAGATGCTTTTTCCATAGTTTCAAGATTAATTTCTTCAAGATCCAATTCATTATCACTACGAATTCAACGAAAATTAGAGCTTTCAACTTCCTGATTATCTCTTAGCAAATTATCCAAAAGTTTCATTGTTTATAAATAATTTTTATTTTAAGTCTCTGAAGTTACAGGGATTATAATTTTCTCGTTTAAAGATAATTTTTTAGGAATCTAATGTTTCAATTTATTCAAAATGCAGACTTTAGTATTAAATTTAGTTACAAAATTTTCAACAGATTACATTCACATAGCTGCAATATAAGCTATCCTAATAAAGCATATTAAAATATTTAAAATATTTTAAATTTTAAACATAATATTTTCCTGTTGAAACCATTATATTTTTAGCTATAATAATTAAATAAATACTTTAGAATATGGCAGCTCTTCTCCAACTATGAACTCTATGTGGTACATTCAACATCATATCATTAATGGTTTTTTTATCCAAATCAAATTTTAAAAGTTTTGAGCCTAAAGAAAAATCATCAGTCAGTTCTTATAAGGATTTATTACACTAATTAAAATTAGGCTAAAAAATGTAGTTGTCGGAGGGTAGGATTTGTGTAAACCATGGAAAAATTTCTATAATACTGCAATCTTGTAAATTCTAAAAGAAATTAATTTTATACTAAACTATGATTATTCTATAGGATATTCCTTGTTCCAAAGAGATCCATACGCATATGAAATACTTCCACTAGTTTTACTGACAGGTTTTTGTCCAAATTAAATTTCATAATCACAAAATCAATATTGAAATACCAACAATTTTTATAAAACACCTGAATCGAATAAGTAAAAATTTAAAGGCTTACAATGACCTATAATGTTTCATATATAAAAATTACTTTTATCGCTTTCCCATATTGCACCAGAAAAATCAATTAACACATTCACTGTAAAAGGGAAGAATTCATGAATTGCTCCAATTTAAAGAGGATTTGCTCAAAAAATAAAATCCATTATTTGCTTAAACTAAAAGAGCAGTGTTAACTTTGCAAAGAATTTTTGCGCAATCTTGCTCTAGCCTAAGAGGGCATGAAGATAAGAAAAACTCCATAAGTCATTAAAGTATGGAAGATCTAAAGGCAACTAAAACATGCTATTTGATGATATGCAAGAGCAGTGAAGCTGGCTACCCACTTCGTTAGCGCAAAAATCTTTTCGCTAATCAAGTGGTTAATTTTTATTCCAAAATAAATATCGAATTAAAAACTATTGAAAAATCTATTTAATTATCGGTCTAAAATTTAATATAATTTGTATGAAATTTCATTTTATAATAATTAATATATATTAAAATAAATTTGTATTAAAAAATATTAAAAACTTTTGCTTGTTTACTAAGGTGCATATATTTCCTAGATTTTTCCAATTTGTATTAATCAAATTATATCGATATAGAGAAGACTCTCCAAACATATAAACAAAATTGTTGTAATAGGTTGCGCAATATCCAAAAGTTGACAATTTTGAAGGAATGATTTGGATGTTATGATCTTCATCAATGATAAAAGCAATGCCATTATGATTGGTAGATTTGGAATGGCCTCTATAGCAAAATGATTTGTTTCCAGGCAAATAACATATGCAAGTGTTTAATTCATTATGATCTTTAGGAGAAGAAATTTCATAAGACGCTTTTTCCATAGTTTCAATTCAAGATCCAATTCATTATCACTACGAATTCAACGATAATTAGAGCTTTCAACTTCTCGATCGTCTCTAAGCAAATTATCAAAAAGTTTCATTATTTATTAAATAATTTTTATTTTTAAGTCTCTGAAGTTAGACATGAATAATAATTTATCTCATTTAAAGGCTATTTTTTAGGAAACTAATGTTTCAATCTATTCAAAATGCAGACTTTAGTAAAATTCCATTATTATTTTTTCAACACTAAAATATTTAAAATGTTTTAAATTTTAATTATACTATTTTCCGATTGAAACCATTATGCTTTAGATATAAAAATTAAATAAATACTTTAGAATATGACAGCTCTTCTCTAATCTCATGAACTCTATGTGGTACTTTAAACGTCGTGTCATTGATGGTCTTTTTATCCAAATCAAATTTTAAAAGCTTTGAGCCTAAAGAAAAATATCAGCAGTTCTTATAAGATACTTTATATCCATGTGTTTTGAGTATTGATGGCTTGCAGTCTCCTATGATATTCCAATTAAAAATATTATTTTTATCGCTTTGGAATATTTTTCCAGAAAAATCGATTAAATAAACCTCACTTTCTGATTTGCAAAAAATTTTTGTTCTATGCAGTTCTAGTGTAAAATAAAGCCAAGAGAATGAAAAAATTAATAAATCTAATGCAAAAATGTCTTTGGTATCATACCCCGTAACTAATATATAGTCATTGAAAGAAATGCAGCTGCATCAGTTATAAGATTCTGGAGTTTGTATTATTTTTTCTCATTTTCGTGAGCGAACAAAAAAATTTTGTTCACTCACGGAGGGGGGTTAATTTTTTTTTTTAAAAACAATTTATATATAAATTTTATAAAAAATATTTTTTTCGAAATTTAAAAAAAATCCCTAATTTGCAAAAATTGGGAAGCAAATACTAATTTAATTTGCAAAATTTATGTTTTAAAACGCAATTTGTTTAAAATTAAACAGAATTAGCTCTAGATTTCATTATACTAATTATCACTTATATAGCAAAATTTTTTTCTATTAAAATTTTTTCTATTAAAAATATTTTTGTTCACTCACGGAGGGTGGGTTTTTGGTCAAAAAATGGCGATTTTTCTAATGGTTTTGTTCGCTCACGGAGGGGGGGGGGGGAGTTAGCAAGATCGAATCTGTCAACAGAAAATGGTCCAAAAATATAAATAAAATCCTGGTGATAAGTTGCAAAATTTCCAAGGCTTGGGATTCCTGGAGGAAGTATTTGGGTGTTGTAATTTTTATCGATAATAAAAGAGAAATCAATAAAATTCAATCATTCATTAGTTCCTCCATAACAAAAAAGCTTGCTATCAGGTAAAAGACATGCACAAGTGCTTTCATCAATATGATCTTTAAGAGTGGTGAGCTCATGAGAAGATTTTTCTTGGGTTTCAAGATTAAGTTCTGTAAGATCAAAAGAATTGTACAAAAATCAATGAAAATTAGAGACTTCGATGTCGTTTCTTTGATTACTTGAGATAGGATTTTCAAAAATTTTCATTTATTAATTTTTTATTTTATGATATAGTTGATTAGAGGATTATAAATAAAATAAGCTTTTATGGTAAAGTATCAGTGAGAGTCAGCATCTTCTGTGCTAAAGCATGAATCATTCAGATTAGATGAGCCAGCAAGCGTAGAAAATAGATTTTGAAGATAAGAAGAATCTTGGACTATAAGGTAAATGCATCTATTTAGCAGGCTTTTGTTCACATAGCAATTGTGCAAAATCTTTTTTATACTGAAGAATCCGAAGCATCTTTCGCAGATGCTGATAAATAATTGCCAGATTGGGTAAGGCCATTCAATGAAAATAATCTCTATAAAAAGCATATAGCAAAGCTGACTGAGCACAATTAGTTTAAGATAAACCAAAAAATGCTCTGATGGGCATATTCATCCAAATTCGTTATAATTTATAAGACTTTCCAATTATTTATCTATATTATTAAAATACAATTAATTCTTTGGTGTTATTTATAATTAATTTATTAATAAAATTCATCAATTCTCCTCCAAACTTTTGTAGAGTTGATTACTTGCTTTCAATTTCTATTTTTATTTAAGTTAAATTTCATAATATTTGGTCCCAAAGGAAAATATCAGCTATTCCTGTAAAATACTTTGCATCCATATGTTGAATAATTTGAAGACTCACAAATCCCAATAGTATTCCAATCAAAGGGATTATCCAAGCCGCTTTGAAGTATTATCCCAGAAAAATCAATTAAATAAGCCAGATTTTCTCGTTTGAAAAAGATTTTTGATCTTTTTAGCTCTAGCATAATTGTTGAGACCCAAGAATATGAAAAAATTAATAAATCCAATACAAATATTTTTTGGGAATCATATTCAGAAACCAAAATAAAGTCATTAAAAGTAATACAGCTACATAATCTATAAAAGTCTGGAATCGGTACCAATTTTTCCCATTTTTGTTCATTTAAATTAAATTTTCTAGCAAAAGCAGTTCCAAATACATAAACAAAATTTTGATAATAACTTGCAATACACCCAAGAGCTGGCAGTCCAGAAGGCAGCATCTGAATTTCAAGCTTTTCATTGATCAAATAAGTAATGCCAATCAATTCTCCTCATACTTTGGTACCTCCATAACAAAATAGAACGTTTTCAGGTAAAAGGCATACACAAATTCTTCCATCAAAAACATAATTTCCAGCTGTAGGAATAGATAGATCAGTCACTTTTGTTTCTGAAGTTAGAAGGTTAATTTCAATCAAATTACATGAATTTTCAATCAGTAAAAAAAACTTTTGAGTTTCAATTTCCTCTTCTTGGCTTTTTCTTAAGAAATTTTCTGGTATTTTCATTTTAGTTATTAGAATCGAGGGATTATGATTTTATTTGATAAATAATCCATTCTCAAAGAAATACTTGGGTAAATATCTCATTGTTAACTCCAAAGCAAAATAGCTTATTTTTCTGGCAAAGGGCAAATAGAAATGCATTCTCTAATTAGATTAAATCTCTCAACGAATTCGCATCCAAAAATATAAACACAATCTTTATAATAAGTTCCAAAGCATCCAAGGCTTGGTGTCCCTGTAGGAAGAACTTGAACTTCATAATTTTCATTGATAATAAAAGTAATTCCACTCAAATCTGCCCATCCTATTGTGTTCCCATAGCAAAATAGCTTATTATCAGGCAATTGGCAAATAGAAATTCTTTCGTCAATATTATTTTCAGGAAGAAGAAATCTGTGAATGGTTTTATCGAAAGTTTCTAGATTAATTTCTACTAGATCTGAAGAATCATCATAAAATCAGCTAATCTTAGACGTTTCGATTTCACTTTTTGATTCTATCATAAATAATGGTGAATGGATTATTTAAATTAATTGTGTTTGCTTGAAGGCTCTATACTTTAATAAGTAAAAGTAATCAAATGCCAGCTTTTAATTCATATAAGATATGCTAAATATAAAATTAATCATAATTTTGATTGCAAAGTAAAGGAGTTCCAAGATTGTCATTATTTATAAAGCAAATAATTTATTTGCTATTCCAAATTTATAATAATTAAAATAGTTCTAGTGTCTATCAGTATATTTAAAAAATTGCAAAAGGCATAATAAATTATCCAAGTTTATAAATTATTTTGTATTAGATTAAATAAAATCACAAAACGAAAAGCTGAAAAGAATAGAGAAAAAATATTTCGAGTATGCATATAAATTATAATTCTCTAGAAAAATCCATATGTCTTCAGACCTTTCTACTCCTGCAGCTTCACTTAAATATGTATAAACGGTATTCTTTAAATCATCTATACCTAAATATATCTCTTTTTCTTTTAAAATCATATAAATAGCCGCAGTGATATTTGTTAAAAGATTATCTTCTTCGTCAGGTATTTCATAGCAATCTGCATTAGTACGAAATATGCTTCCTATTTCATAGTCGAAATCACCTCTGCGGTTGATACGACGTTCAATCAATGCTTTAAACTCATAATAATTATATCTTTCTGGATCCTCAACATTTAAATAAGCCTTACACTTATCATAGAAGCTAGTATCTGAGGTGATTGCTTGTCCTTCTTCCATTTCAATATTACGCTGTTTGCCTGAGCATACGCTTTCTGCGTATTGATGGCGGCACCTAGAAATTAAAGGGTTATTGTGCCGACGCTTAGCATAAAACATTTTTTCCCCTGCTCCTGCATTTATTAAATAATGGATTTTTTCTCAAATAAATTCCAGTGACGGCGCCAATCAACGGACGTGCCAAATTGAGTATAAGCATGATGCTATTAAGGCGATCATAACTATTCTTATTATTTTTATACTTATTTGAATTAAAAACCTCTTTTATATGTAAGTGGTAAATGAATTCTTAGAATATTCTTTTCTTCTAAATCAAATTTTATAATTTCTGTATCTCCAGTCAAAAAATATCATGCTTTATTATAAAGAGCCTTACGTCCAGTAAATCCTTCTTCCTTCGAACTAAAAAAATTTCCTATAAAATTTCAATCAAAAGGGTCATTTTTGCCACTTTCAAGAATTTTTCCAGGATATTCAATTAAGTAAGCTGAATCTTCAAAATTGCAAAGAAATTTATTTTGATAAAAAATCAAAGAAACAGGGCATGAAGAAAAAGACAAAGTCAATAAATCCAAAGCAAATATGTTGTCCCAATCTCGTCCTGTAGCCAAAATTATATTATTCAAAAAGGTAGAAGAGCACCAACGAGTGCTACTTGGAAACTTTACCAATTTTTCCCATCTTCACTTATCTAAATTAAATCTCTTGGCAAATTCTCCTCCAAAAACATAAACGCAATTTTTGTAATAAGTCCCAAAAAATCCCAAGCTTGGTGTCCCTGTAGGGAGAAATTGAACTTCATAATTTTCATTAACGATAAAAGTCATTCCACTCAAATCATTCCATCCTATCGTGTTAATATAACAAAATAGCTTATTACCTGGCAATTGACAAATAGAAATACTTTCGTTAATATTAGTTTTAGGAAGATAAAGCCTGTGAAGGGTTTTCTCGAAAGTTTTAATGTTAATTTCTACTAGATCAGAGGTCTTATCATAAAATCAGCTAATTTTGGACGTTTCTATTTCGCTTTCTTGATTGTATGGCAAAGGATTTTCCAATATTTTCATTTTTATAAAACAATTAAATTCAATTTTATGTGAAATTTATTATTATTACTACGTTAATTTAAATCTGATTCCAGCATTTTTCTCTTTTATCTTCATTAATGAATAAATAAAACTTTGACATGTCCATTCCTCCATTTCTTTCTAGATCATTCTCACCATCCAGTTTTCTGTGTACTTCTTTGCTAACAGTTCAGTAACAGCAATTAGCTCTATCAGCATTCTCAAGTCTTCAGCTATATCATCAGCATATAGTAAGATTCCAATTCTCGTACCTCCCACACTAACTCCCAAGCCTCGCTCCTCAACCATCAAGCCATTTATTAGGAATGAGATTGAAGCAAATAGGAGAATAACCACCTTGTCTCACTCCTCTGCTCACATTAATTCGCCCAAAAGACGTCCCATTCATGGCTATCCAACTCTCTTCCCCCTTCATGATCGCAGCAGCCAACGCAACCAGCTTCCTGTCCACCCCTCTATTAGCCATAGTTTCAAGTAATACGTTCCTGTCTATAGAATGAAACGCTTTTTCAGATCTAAAAATGTGCAATAGGTGTTCTTGCTCTGCATCCTTCTGCTTTCAATTATGGTTTACAAAATGAAGATTTGGTCAATACAACACCTATCCATTACGAATCCACCTTGGGCCTGATGCATGATACCTTTACTTCTGATATCCGAAGTCAGCCTGCTATTAAAGATTTTGTCGAATAGTTTAAAAATTGAATTTACTATCATTATCAGCCTCAGATTTTCTGGATTGACATCATTTCCACATTTCGGCAGCAAGAATACAGTTGCATACTTCATCACCATGTGAAATTTATAATAAATAGAAAAAAATTGGAATGTCTATCATCATATATAAAAATTTGCTAACTCCCCCCGTGAGCCGTTAGTGAGTAAACTATTGGAAAAATTTCAATTTTTTTGCCCAAAAACTCACCCTCCGTTAACTAACAAATATTTTTTAATATAAAATTTTTTTATGAAAAAAAAAATTGACATATAGTAATAATTATTATAATGTAATCTCTAGCGAATTCTGTTTTATTTTAAACGGCTTGTGTTTTAAAAACATAAATTTTGCAAATTAAATTTATTTTTAATTCTCAAATTTACAATTGGAGAAAAAAACACTTTTATGAAATTTAGAAATATATTTAAAAAAAAAAATAAACTCCCTACGCGATCGAACAATTTTTTTTTTCGTTCTAGGATTTGGAGTAAGTAAAAATCTCTTTAATATGTAGGTGTTAAATTAATTCTTATAATATTCTTTTCTTCTAAATCAAATTTTATAATTTCTGTGTCTCAAGTCAAAAAATATCATGCTTTATTATAAAGAGCCTTACGTCCTATAAATCCTCCTTCCTCCTCCGAACTAAAAAAATTTCCTATAAAATTTCAATCAAAAGGGTCATTTTTGCCACTTTCAAGAATTTTTCCAGGATATTCAATTAAGTAAGCTGAATCTTCAAAATTACAAAGAAATTTTGTTTGATATAAAAGCAAGGAAACAGGGCATGAAGAAAAAGACAAAGTCAATAAATCCAAAGCAAATATTTTGTCCCAATCGTATCCTGTAACCAAAATTATATCATTCAAGAAGGTAGAAGAGCACCAACGAGTGCTACTTGGAAACTTTATAGTGTATTTTCTATTTTATTTATTGAATTGGAATATTAACTATTATTCAAGTCTAGTCTTTTAGCTAATCTATGCATAAATATGTTCAAAGTAGTAGCTTTTTCTGTTAAAATATTTATAAAAGTATACCAATTTTTCCCATATTCACTTATTCTTACTTTTAAAAGATAGAGGGAGTATGAGGTCTGGCAGAGCTGATACTAGCTCCAGGTAAGTGGATAACTAATTTTAGGTAGATCGGATTTGATTTTTACCTATTTTGGGTATCATAGGAGGTTTTTATTCGACCCAGATGACAAACTGAAGGAACATTTTTTAATTAATACTTCTGGTGAAGTAATATTTGTCTGGTTAAGATGTGGTAGTTTCAGAACAAAGCATTGTACGATACACTCATACCGTAAGCACTTTCAAGCACGGTCGAAAGAGTCTCCTCGAGAGACTGCTGAAAACATCATTGAATGTGTGATTTAGAGCACTAGAGCCACCTGAGCCTGAAGCCAGTTTTAAACAGATAGGGCTTAAATAATTCCCAGAAACTTGCTATAATTTATTAAATCTAATCACTTATTCTTTATATTTTAAATTATACTTCTTATTTAATTGCTTTGCTTATTAATAAAATCAAAATTAAACATATATCTAGATTAAATCTCTCAGCATCTTCACCTCCAAAAACATAAACGCAATTTTTGTAATAAGTTCCAAAAAATCCCAAGCTTGGTGTCCCTGTAGGGAGAACTTGAACTTCATAATTTTTATTAACAATAAAAGTAATTCCACTCAAATCTTCCCAATCTATCGTGTTTCCATAACAAAATAGCTTATTATCTGGCAATTGACAAAAAGTGCATGCATATATAATTATTGACTTACTTTAGTTTAGTCTGTCGATGATAAAGTCATTAAAGACCTTTTCTTAGTTTTAGTCGCCTATATACGGTCTGTTGGCTGAATCACTTCATCTGACTACCTTGAGGATATTTTGAGAGTTCACATTACTTCGAGACACTAGCGGCTTCGTCCGTTGCTTCGTTACTGTCTGTTTTCTTGTTTGGTATAAAGATCATGTATTTCATCCAGCATTGGAAAATCGTGAAAACTATTTCTGGAATGAAATAAGAAAATTTTCGCCATTGTTTCCTATAAAAAAGAGGCACCTATATAAACTTAACCCTATAAAAATATAATTGATAGTAAAGTTCTCTTATCATCCGAAGCTTTTTATTTTATTACGATTGGCAAATACAAATTCTTTCGTCAATCATAGTTTCAGGAAGATGAAGTCTGTGAATAGTTTTCTTGAAATTTTCAAGATCAACTTCTACTAGATCAGAGGTCTCATCATAAAATCAGCTAATTTTGGATGTTTCGATTTCGCTTTCTTGATTCTATCATAAAAAAATGGAGAGTGGGTTATAAAATTTTTTTCTTCTTTCAAGGGCACTGCTTAAACTCTTTAATAAGTAGAAGTATACAAAGTTAGTTTTTGTATCTAAGAAGATAATAAAATTAATTAAAATTAATCATAATCTTGATTGTATGGCAAAGGATTTTCCAATATTTTCATTCAATTGGAATATCTAACATTAATTTTAGAATAAAAATGATCATCAATTATAGTAATTTAAGCCAAATATTTTGCAATAATATTGAGATTTATCATGAGTAATAAGAGTATTTAGGCTGTAGCTTCTAGTTTCTCCTTTGTGAACGTACAATAATTTTCCAAAACTAGTAGATCATTAATTTTATGTTTTTATGCAAATTTTTTTTTCCAATGGTTTTGTTTACTTGTGGAGGGTGAAGTAAAAGTTTGATGCCTGCTCTTCTCTGCCGTGCAAAGGAAACCATTTAAGAGCAGATGTGGAAATCTAAAAAATAAAAAGAAATAAGAAGCAAAATATAGATTAATTATTTGTAACTAAATTAATCACTTGAATCAAAGCTATATATTTTAGTCCAAAAAATATTTATTTTTAGAAATGGACCTCTTCTATTTCCTTTTTTCTTAAATCAAATTTAAAAATTTTTTCAATACTTGCTAAAAAATACCAGCAATCTTTATAATACGCTCTATGTCCATATGTCGTTATTCAATTTTTTGGATTTCAATTTTCTATAATGCTTCAGCTAAAGGGTTATTGATCTCACTTTGAAATACTTTACCTGAAAAATCAATCAAATATGCACAATTTTCATAGCTGCAAAGCAATTTAGTTGTATTGCCTTTAAAATTCATACAGCATGCAGAAAAAGATAAGATTAATAAATCAAACACAAAAATATCATTATATGTATAGCCTGAAACTAATATTATGCCGCTCAAAGAAGTTAATATGCTTATATATAGGTTAAAACTTATATGTGATTCAATTAATATTTTCCAAAACTCCCCTTATCAAAATCAAATTTATAGACTTTATTATGCATCATAATAAAATGCCAACAATTCTTATAAAATACTTTATATTTGAATATTATGAGATGTTCGGTATTCAATTATCCGTGACTCTTCAATTAAAAAGGCTATTAAAATATCTTTCCAAAAAAATCAATTAAATAAGCTGCATTTTTTGCAGCGCAAAGCATTCTGTTTCCTCATAAATTTGAGGCTTTATAAAGTATCAAGATAAAATAAGCTAATCTAATGTTAAAATATCTGTAAAATATCAGACTGAAATCAAAATAATGTTATTAAATAAATTCCAACTCAATCATACTTTCCCTTTAAATTGAAACAAAATTTTATTTTTTTGGTAAACATAATGATTTATGTGAAAATATATTCAAAATTTGTATTATTTAAACGAGAAATGCAAAAATAATACTATTTAGCACTTTGAGATGATAAATTTCATAGATTAATTTTATGGAAAATTTATTTTATTGAGAAAAAAAAATTCAAAAATCTATTATCCCTATTTAAAGCAAACTTTTATTGTTTGAGATTAATTTGAATAATTTAAGATTAGAATTAGTTTATTTTTTGGCTGTCAACTTCTCCTCCTATTTAAAACGTTGAATAAATGGAAGATCTGACAAATAAATGAAGTTTGATTATGCACAATAAAAAAAACAAATTACCATATAATTATGGAATTTTAAGTCAAAAATATAATTTCGTTTATAATTTTAAAGAATTGGTGTAAATACATGTGATTTTTTTATTCTTGAGATGCTCAAGTAGAAATATTCCAGACTGTCAAAATATATCAGCGCGTAAAGAAGGTTAATAATTTTCCAGTACTAAATATTCTAATAAGTTCGTTTAAATAAAGGGAAATTATTATTTTCGTTTCATATTTATGCTGAGCTAAAGCAATTAAGGGTCATTTGAAAAGTATAAGAGGGGTCTGATAGGATTCTGCACTTAAAAAGATGAAGAAGGAAATCTAGTGATTTCAAAAATTAGCAATTGAATGGTTTCTTTTATGGGCTAAACAATTTCTAATTTTTCCCTAAAATCTGATTTTCTATTAAAATTCTAACTCCCTTTATAAATTTGACAATATCGATAAATTCTTTTTTTGAGAGACCCTTTAACCTGTTCACAATATATGTGATATGGTCTTGATAACCAATTTAAATAGGCAAAATATAAAATTTAACAATTTTTTTTTATTTTAAATGGGAATGCAAATATAATACTGTTCAAAAAAGCGGAATTTTATGAAAAAATTTGAAAAATTATATATAACTTTTTGTCAAAAAAAAAAAACCCTATAAATTTGTAATAAACTTTTTGGTTTAAATTTAAAGTGGGGATGAAAGCCAGAATTCGCTATAATTTATTTTCTAAACCTATAAAGTCTCTCCATATCTCTTACCAATTTAATTCTCATCAAATAAAAAAACTCCAGTAACAACTTGCGTTATTCTAATTAATCCAGCTTAATATTTATGGACAAAGATATCAACTCAACCCGCTTTTTACACTACGGTTCCCTCATAAACCTCAAAACTCTTGACAACTACTACATCTACTCTCAAGGCTTCATCGAAACCACACCCTTTCTGCAGCCTTTTACCGAAATTGAGTCAAATTTCATCGGAGCAGTTTTTCGTATAATTCCACAGTGTCAGTATTCTACCCAAAAAGAAATCCTTCGTTATATTTCAGACGCAAATGGGATAGTCCAAGCAGAAAAGCTGGAAAGGCTTGAAGACAGCTTGGACGGAGAAATCAAGACAAATACCCACACTTATAACACTTTTAAAGGGGAAGCTATCAAATATGGGTCTTTAGTTCAGCTGGAACACATTCATTCCCATCGGTTCTTGGCATTGCAAAGCAAGACGTCAGCAGAATCCGAAAAGGAAAATTTTAGGCTGACTTTGGAAGATTTTGGTAGTGAGTATTCCCATTTCAGGATTGAGCCGAGTTATAAGTATCAGAAAGAAGGCAGTGGGCTAGTAAGGCTTAAAGATAAAGTACTATTTGAGCTTATGGTACCAGAACTGAACCGTGCAGCTTATTTGCATGCGAGCAAAGGACCTTTAATAATCCCTCCAATGAGCAGACTTTCTATTGATTTTTCTGTATCTCAGCTTGTAGTCCAAGAAGTCAATGCCTCCTTAGACCAAAAAACCAAATGGGCCATTGACTTATACGCCCCAGTCGAAAAAAAAGGCGCACATTTGCTTGCATGTGGGAATTATGTATGGCTTTCTAGGACAGAAGAAGGTGTCTGTTTATCAATGTTCCATAAAGAAGATATCAACCCTAAAGTAATTTACAGTGACAATTTAAATGATACTAATGGACTTTGGATGATAGAAGGAGAAGATCTACATGTAGGAGGACTTGTGAAGATTGGAAATAAATATAGATTGAAACATATGTCTACTGGAAAATATTTAGTTTTAAAAACAGTCACCAAAATTGTAGGCGAAATTAATCATAAAGTTATGCTGAAGCCTATTACTCACCCGAATTCCTTATGGATGTTTATTCCGCTTGAAAGCAAAAGCGGGGTTTATTTTTTGAATTCAGAGCAGCACTGCAAAATTGTCAATGCAACCATCAGTGGGGCGACTATTACAGGAAAAGTGATAACGGCCAATAATGTGACCTCGTTTTCACCTGTGGTGGAATTTTTTTCTGATGATTTGACTTATTTTAAAGTCTCTAGGGCAAATGGAGAAGTTGCCTGGGAAACTTTGTTTCTACTAAACTGTAAGCCAATATTACAAAGTTTCCCTGAATTTATGGCAAAAAATGCAGATGTGCTGAGCAGAGGTCCAAAAGCTATGAGGGAATATGAAAAGTATTTGAAATTAATTGAAAAATGTTTAGACGATCTTGAACTGTTTTGTAAAAACAAGCTAAAAAGTATGGTGGGGCTAGACAATCAATACGGCCAAGTGCAAAGAGCAAGGCAAAGAATTCTCCGTGAGCAGCGATTTTTCGAGGATTTAACAGAAATTTTAAAAAATGTTTTTATTTCCTATGAAGAAATAGAACGCGTAAAAATGATAAATACAGCAGAAAAATCCTATGGGGAAGAAGTTGAAGAAGCTAAAAACGATTTTAAATCAATTGAAATGATAAAAATTACCCTACAGAAGTCCATTACTGAAAAAGCTTATTCTGTGATTTCAGCTATTTGCCACAAAAATATGGAAAATCAAATTTACGCCTGCGATTTTTTTAAAATTTTTGTAAAACACGTTGGGCTAAATCTAGGAGCTACAAAATGTATGCATGAAATAGTAAAAGATAATGAAAAAATATTATTAGAGCTCCATGACACTTTTACAACCTCTGAGTCAAAAAACCTTATCCAGCATTTTGCGTGGCTTTTAAAGCAGAATTATAGAACCAAAAAGCCAGAAATTTTGGAATTTTTAAAAACTATTTGTGTCCATAAAGGAGATGGAGTCACGGTTAATCAGGAAAAAGTGTTTGAAAGTATTTTTACAAGCCCTAAAATATATAAAAAAGTGTTAATTCCTGTATCTGAATGTGAAGGAAACCTTTATATTTCTCTAGGAGAGACTAGAAGTGACTTGATTTCTTTAGATAGCTGCTTTAGAGACGGGAAAATTATTAACCATTCAGCAGAAATAATTTATTTTACCAAACTTTTAGAGCTGTTTGGCTGCTTATGTATTGGCAGGAATTTTCTATGCACAGAGTCTTTAAAAGACCATTTTTCTTCAGAAGTCTTGCAGAATATGATATGGAATGTTGATATCAGCAAAAAAGTTAGGGCAGCTTTCTGTAGACTTATTTTGACAATACATGTTGATGCTTTCCCAAGGGAAGAAATAAAACGGCCTGAGCTGATTAAAGTTTTGAGATTGAGAGGAAGGCATGCGTGGGAGGATAAAGCAGATACCCGATTTTGTGAAGAAAACATTGATTTTGTGAAAAGTTTTGAGCCAATCACAGATCAAGAGAAAAAAAATATTTTTTTGGTTTTGTGAATTTTCAAAGAGAATTTTGGCCTTGATAAACATTTCTTTGAACATTATTAATTCAAAATTTTTCTCGTCAAAAAAAACCTAAAAAAATAATTTTGCTAGTAAATATATCAAGGGAAAAATATATTTACCAAAATAGTTCAAGAAAATGTTTAATTTTACTAAAGACCTGTAACATTATTTTTGATAAGGTAAAAAAGCCAAGAAATTTTTTCCAAAGGTTTTCATCAAGCTCTATTTCTCCGCTAACTGAAGAAAGCATCAATAAAATAAAAGATGAAGATAGGTGGATTCATATTTTGAGCATGAATTTATTGAAATTTTTCAATTATCAGTATCTGAGACCTCAATATGATGTGCTTACATTAGAAATGTTAAAACTTAGTGACAAAATGTTTAGGTTTGATATTTATGGAGCAGTCTGCACAAATTTAGAGAATGGGACTATTCTTAGTGACCCAGAAAATCCGTATTTTAATGAGAAAAAGATGGATATGATTAAGTTCCTGTCCTCTATAAATCACATCTATTTTTACAATGCACAAAGCAGCTCAAACACCAAAAGCAAATCCCTTTCCAAAAAAAAATCAAGATTACTTGCAGATAAGCAGAAGAAAAAACTTTCAAAAAATTCTTTTTTATCAGCGCTCCTTAATGATCCAGCCAGCTTATCAGACCCAATTATCCGAGGTGCTTTAAATTTAAGAAATTTCTTGCAGGCTTTGCAACAGAATTATGTAATCCTTGAAAAAACTGACTATGAGAACAAAATAAAAATAAAAATCTGCAAAATAATGCATTATTACATGGACTGACGTCAAGACTTTTTAGTTTTCAATATTTCAAGCTGGTTTAATAAACAATCCGAAATTAAATCAGAAAATTTATCAAAAAAGCTGAAAAAGCTTCTCCCAAATGTTATGAAAATTGCTGACTTAAATAACAGCCCTACTTTGCAGAGCCATTTAAGTCAGATATATTCACATGGATTTGAGAATTACTATAAGCCTGAAATTTCTGATTTAAATTGCATTTCTAGTACTCCAATAATAGGGAGTTTGCTTAAAACTTTTGTCTGTTCTAATCATTATAAGCTTCAAGCTCACACGTTAAATCTTATAATCAGATGTTTTAAGCAGCGTGAAGAGTTTTTAATATCAGTAAAAAGGCTATGTGCTATCAGCTCTCGAGAAGACATGAATTTATTGAGGTGGCTGCGAGGAAATATCAATAAATTCAGACAAAACAGTGAACAAAGCGAGCTGTGGCTGAATTATTGGAAAAGAAATGATTCTACAAGGATAAAATACCTAAGGAAGTTTGAAGAAGTAATGAAATTTTTGACGGAGCTTTGTGATTTATTTTATGAAGATAGCATTATTGGAGGAGACCAAATAACCTTACCCCCCCCCCCCTCCGTGAGCGAACAAAACCATTAGAAAAATCGCCATTTTTTGACCAAAAACCCACCCTCCGTGAGTGAACAAAAATTTTTTTAATAGAAAAAATTTTAATGGAAAAAAAATTTTGATATATAAGTGATAATTAGTATAATGAAATCTAGAGCTAATTCTGTTTAATTTTAAACAAATTGCGTTTTAAAACATAAATTTTGCAAATTAAATTAATATTTGCTTCCCAATTTTTGCAAATTAGGATTTTTTTAAATTTCGAAAAAAATATTTTTTATATATAAATTTTTTTTAAAAAAAAAAAAAATTAACCCCCCTCCGTGAGCGAACAAAATTTTTTTGTTCGCTCACGGAGGGGGGGGGGGGGGAGTTAGGAAAAAAAGAGACGATTTCAAAGTCAAGACAAGATATAATGTATTATTTAGGCGTCCATGAGCTTATTATCACTCTATTAAAAGATGGCATGCACACACTAGTAAGTTTATATGACTCCGCTGACGAAAACCTAAATGAGCCCAGAAATAAAATTGGCGGCTTATACACCCAATGCCACAAAATTCTCCGAAGATTTGTATATGGACACTCCAAAAATCAAAAAAGGCTACACAAGCATTTGCATGTATTTTTGCAGTACTTGCGAATTAATGTTGAACAAATCCCTTTAATTTGTGAAATTTTCAGAGATAATCCTGAATTAATCCTAAAAATAACCAAGGATATCATTAGAAAATTCAAAAAATTGATATACAGAGAAGGGAGACAGCCTGAATTTCTTGAATTTTTTGAGACTATCCAAATCGCTAAAGGAAAGCCAGTGCCACAAATGCAGAGAATCATTATTAGGCTATTTGTGAAAGAAGAATTTAACAGATATCTACTATATATGGATGACGAACCAGAGCCGAATTTTAGCTTTGAGCCTGAAGAAAACGAAAAATCGTCATGGACTTATAGAGACATGCCTTTTGCCTACCACGCCAAACTGTTCAAAGTGCTATCTAAATGTGGGCTTGGGGTCAGTGGGATGTATATGAACGAAGCCAGGATCCAAAAAATGGTCAAACTGCCTAAAGTTTTCAATCTTTTAATCCAAGCTGAAGACAAAACTAGTCCTTATCATATATTGAAAATCCCTATCCTAGAGCTTTTTTTTAATATTTATCTTGACTGTGAAAAAATCGTTGACGATCTAAAGGAGTCAAAAGATTTTATTGCTTATATTAATAGACAGTCTGAAGCTATAGACCTTATAGACGTTTTTGATAAAGATTATGTACAGTTTTTATTAATCTGGCTCAAAATATTGAATAAATATAGCTTATCATATATAAACAACCGAGAAATTTATTCAGATAAAGACGATTTTATTGCAGTCGAGTCTTTTGCAAAAGCACTGTGTGAGCACCGCCATCATTTTTCTGAAAGAAAAATGCCAGAAAAGCTGCTGGAAGCTGTAATGTCATTATGCAGCCAATTTAAGGTAGAATTTATGCCTATCGCATATGAAGAAGCTGACATTCTTATATCAGATGAAATAGAAAACGTAAAGGAAAATGAGTCAGAAAGGGTAGCAAGATATAAAACTCATTATCAATTAAGTAGCATCTCAACTGAGCAGTCAAAGCATTGGGATACCGTTAAAGAAGAATTTATATATAATGAAGAATTCAAAGAACCCCTGCTGCTTGAGCAAAAAGCACTGAGAGCAGCCTTAATGTATGCTCATGAGCTAGATCCTGACTTAACGTTTGACTCAATTGCACAAACACTTGTGAATTTTGTTAGAAATAGCCGGTCTCAGCAGACTTCTGTAGAAGTAATTGTGGAAGCTATCAAACTGCTAGGGTCGCTAATAGAAAACCCTATTTGTGGAGAATATGATGATCCTGACCTTATTAAAGAAAATATCCAAAATAAACTTAATGGTTTTGGAGCTGGCAGAATGGCACTTACCTTGATGTCTGAGTCTGAAATAAACCCTGAAATGTTTATTGCACTATTAGACTTTTCGATACAGCTATTAGAAGGTGGAAACCCCAACGTTCAAAAAGAATTTTACCAGTTTTTCGTAAGAGTCCCCAATTCTGAGTCATTTTTCCAAAGAATCCACAAGCTGTTTTTAGAGTGTCTAGAAGAAATTGGGCATGGGATTGGCCTCGATATAACGAGAAAGCCCATTTTTAAGTCAGAAAAGCCAAAAATGGGGCAGATTTTAAGACTTCTGCAGCTGCTATGTGAAAACCATAATGACCAGCTGCAGAACTATATAAGGTTCCAAGACCAATCTAGAAACAGTTTTGATATGATAGAAGATACAGTTTTTTTATTAGAAATTCTAGTTAAAAAAATGTTTTTCAAGTATTTTCATGTGACTTCACAATGTCTAGACGCGCTGACTGAGTTTATACAAGGTCCTTGCAAGCAAAACCAAGAGAGGATTATTGATAGTAAATTTTTGGAGCTGGCAGCGTGTATTTTGTCGTTGGACGAAAACAGCCAAAGTATACAGCCATATGAGAGCTTTAAGGATGAAGGCTCAATTTCTAAGATGGAGTCATTGAGGTCTCAAGAGTCAACTGAGGATTATGAGCTTTGTAGGGGGTGGATGATTGCACATTTAAAGTATAAATGTATGATTACTATTTTAAGCTTGCTTGAAGGCAGAGAAGACAATTATGTGATGAGCAGGCTTATAAGAGCATTTAATATAGAAATTTTTAAGGAAAACCTTATGAGTATTTATGCAAATTATATTCGCTTATATAAAGGGCAGCTCTATGACTATGCAATTTTCAACCATCACATGAAAAATGAGGAATATCAGTTTGGGGTGGTTAACGCCCAAGACACAAATCCTGAATATTTTAGAGTAATTATTGAGACTGGATTTATGATTTACCATTTAATGAAATATTTCCAAGACAACGATGACCCTGAAAACCAAGAAATCATTGACGAGGAACTACCTAAAAATGATGAGGTTGAAGAAAGTGACCAATTTATTGGTGCAAAACTTATAGGAGGTCTCGGCAAATTTGGGATGGCCCTAGTAAAAGACGCAGTTTTTGGGGTCGCAAAGCTTGCTCAATTCAATGATAAATCAGTGGAAATTGACAAAGAGACGTTATTAGAGGACGCTTATGACTTTTTTGACACACATACAGGAAACGTTGAAGTCGTTTTTAATGGGAAAATCAGAAAAGTTTATTTTTCATTCCCTCCTGACTTCTCAGGGCTTAGCAATGAAATCAAAGAAACCTTTTCAAGAGATGCTGACCGCACCTCAGACCAAACCAAGCTCCGTTACTTACTTCCCTCTGTGAACGAACAAAAAAATTTTGTTTCATCAAGGAGGGTGTTAATTTTTTTTAAAATCTAATTTTATAGTGATTTTTTTTTTCTAAAATAAAAATCCCAATTCGCAAACATTGAAAAGCAAAAAAAAATATATAATTTATTTTAATATCCAACATGTTTAAAATTTAGCAGTATTAGCTAGAGATTTCATTATACTACTTATACTATATTTCAGAATATTTTTTCATAAAAGATTTTTATATTAAAGCATTATTTGCTTATTTATGGAGAATAATATGGATTTTTCCAATGATTTTTCTCGTTTACGGAGTGGGAAGTTAGCCATAAAAGCCCCCGAAATTGCTGAACAAATGAGCCATGAATACAAAATACAAAAATTTTTTACAAAATACCCACTTGTCAACAGCCTAGCTTCCAATGTCTGGCTTTGGCGATATTTTGCCTTTATTCTTACAATTTTGCTGAATTTTTTTATTATCGTTTCATATTCTTACTATGGCACCCACAATTTATTCCACCCATCCCTTTTCTATGATACTGATGGCAGCTTAAATTCAGAAAAAACATTAAGGCTTATACAGACTGTTGGTCTTATACAGGTCGTGATCTGCTGCTTGATTGTGCTGTTTTTCTTGTTGAAAAGTGGACTTATTTTGGCTATAAAAGGGTGAAAAAGTAAAAGCTTGACCAATGAGTTCTGAAAATCTAACCCATCAAAGCTTAAAATAATCATTGGGAGGTCTAAGCAGGTTATTAGTACCATAATATGGATAGCATCTGATGTAAATGTGTATTATTATTTTGGGTATTTATTAGTAGCTTGCTTAGGGACTTTTCACCACCCTTTTTGGTTTTCTTTGTTATTAATGGACATGCTTTATCAGTTCCCCTCACTCCAAAACGTGATTAAGTCTATTACGATGCCAAGAAAAGCGCTGATTGTTACTTTTGTATTTATGATCGTCATTGTCTATATTTTTGGCTTGATCGGGTATTGGAAATTTTCTAATTGGTTCAATGATAACTGCCCAAGCTTGTATTATTGTACAGTAAACGTCTGGGATAAAGGCTTCAAAGCTAATGGTGGAATAGGAGGCTATCTAGGTCAACCAACTGATGGTACTCTTGACTGAGCTAGACTGGCCTACGACAACTTATACAACATAATTATCATGATTATTATGCTAAATATCGTCCAAGGTATCATTATTGATACCTTTGCAGTCTTAAGAGAAGCCCATGAACGAGACACTGAAGATAAGAACAATAAATGCTTTATATGTGGTATGGAAAGAGATCTAATAGAAAGAGTTACCAATAAACCATTCAGGTATCATACATTATATGAACATAATGAGTGAAATTATATTTTATATATGGCTTATATACAGACTAAAGCAGAAACAGAATATACTGGCCTTGAAAGTTATGTCAGGGAACAAATTGATAAAAAAGATTTTATGTGGATCCCACAGCATCAGGCTTTGTCGGTAAAAGAAGAAGAGGATTCTGATGAAAAAGTGCTGGTGGATAACATAGAAAAAGTAGAAAGCAAGCTGGTGGTGATTGAAGATGAGCTGAAAGAGATAAAAAGAAATTTAGAATAATGTTAAAAATAAAGATTTAATAGTTTTTTTGTAAATCATTTTTTTTTGGAAAATTTTGAGGGTTTTAATAAAAATGCTAATCCAGCCTAGTCCTCAGGCTGGAGAAAAAGAAATCTTTACAGGTGACGCTGGCCTCACTTGCAACTATATCAAGAGTCTCGCTATCTAGTATTAAAATTTATAAATATCATAAAAAATGAGCCAGAATATGAACTCAAATGCGTTGCTATAGTTAGATATATAGAATTTTCCCATAGGCTCGACAAGTACCATATGGTTTGGTCAAACCAAAAAATTTTCCTAGTGGGCAAATAAAGGGCAAACAGCGCCATCTATAGGAAAATCCTATAATTTATTATAGCACCTGACTACTTATTGATTGCTAACTCCATGCGTTAAAATGGCGACACATGTCAGCCCAGACCTTGTGGCCACGGCGAACTGGGAAGGACTCCAAGCTGAGAATCAAGTGCAGACTCAAGAGGTTTGTATCCGGGTAGGTTTTGGCTGTTTTTCTGTGGTTGGAAATGGAGATGTCCAACAACTTTCTTTGGATCTGAGGACCCATGGGCATGTTTAGGCCAAGGCCCCAGGGAGTAATCTTTTTCCTGTAGCTGTCGATGAAGGCACTTCGATAGCCGAAAGACTCCAAGGAGCTGATTCTTGGAATCCAGCTACTCCCAATCACCTGCAGCAGGATCTCAGAAATCTATAAAGCACTCAAGACTGAAGTCGCAAGGAGAAGGCAGAAGGTACCAGAAGTAGAATTAACCTTCAGGAGAAAGACCCCTGGGCTATAGTTGAAAAGCGGATAAACCTCCCGTACGGGAGTTTTGGTGGCTGCGTCACCAATACGGCTAATGCCTGATTTTAATAATCATAACCTAGCATATCTTTTCTTCAAATTTCTTTTATATTTGCTTTGTTAAAATCTAGATTATTGCTTTAAAATAATTTTTGCACAGCAAACATATGAGCACAATAATATTAAAGAAGCCAAAAACTACTATCCAAGTTTCCAAAGTGACAACATCTATGTTTATAATCAGAATGGGGAGCTCATTAAATACGTGAGCCAAACTCAAAATTTCATAATATAATAAACTATTAAGTTATGCTTAATACATTATAAACCATAATTCATAATTTCATATTTTCCTTTATCAAAATCAAATTTATAGATCTGATCACTCGCAACAAAAAAATATCAGCATCCCTTATAAAATGCTCTATATTCAAACATTATTAAGCTATCAGGACTTCAATCCCCAACGATTTCTCAACTAAAAGGATTATTTATGCCACTTCGTAGTATCTTTCCAGAAAAATCAATTAAATAAGCCACATCTTTTACAGTGCAAAGCGTTCTCATCCTACAGTCATCAAACCTGATAAAGCATCGAGAAGTAGATAAAGTAAGCAAATCTAATGCATAAATACCAGTTAAAGAGTAGCCTGAAATCAAAATCATATTACTCAATGAAGCCCCAACAACTTGAACACTATTTCAAAGGCTTATTATTAGTATTTCCCATTTATAAGTATCCAATTGTAATTTCGAAGCAATTAAATTTTTTTTTAAAACAAAAATACTAAAATTTAGCATAAAAGCATAGTTAAATTTAGCCTTTCAACATAATTATTCCCAATAAAATAGATAAAATTTTGATAATAAATTGTAAAACATTTATGCTTTAGAGGAGCTCTATGAAGAAATTTGATTGTATTTTCTTTAGAGATGAGAAACATAATGCCAGTCCATTCTAAGCCTATCTTACCTTTTCCATAGCAAAAAAGATTATACTCTGAGCAGCTTTTTGGCTTGGACTTCCCTATATTTCTATACAGGAGCCAGGGAGTTAGTCTAATAAATTATGTGGGCAGACTAATTTCCCAAATGGCAGAACCCCAAGATGAATGGGATTCTACTATTTGGGGAATTTTTCAAACCAAATTTAATTGACAGACAAATCCCTCTTTTTCTTTGGGAATGATCTGAAAGACAGAGCCAAAAAGGTGATCGGGATTTATTGCCTGGAAATGGGCACACACTAATTTTTTCAGCTATATGATTTAGCATTGGTATATTGTGAGTTGATACTTTAAAAGTTTCAAGGTTTACACTTATGGTATCGCGAAATATATTTATAAATCAGCTAAGCTTTGAAGATTCAATCTCATCCTCTTTGCCAGTCGGGATATACTATTTTTGATGAACTCGACGCCCTTGAGGCTATCGGCTCAACTAATGCGATGTCCATAATTTTAAGAAATTGCCAGAGCCATTTAAGAAAGAACTTATTTATCCTAACTGCCCCCCCCATCCTTGATCGAACGATTGACTGTAAAATTTTCTAAAAATTGGGGAAATTAACCCCCATCCTTGATCGAACGATTTTCATATGCAAATTTTTATATATATAAAAATATATTAGTTATCAAAAGCTTGGGAAGATGTACCTAATGAAGTTGTTTTCAGGGACTTTGAGACGACAGAAACTTCGAAATCAACGATCCAAAGTGATTTAGTCATCAACCTAGGCTTAAAACCTCAATAATCTAATAAAATAGAGATTCTTTAAAATTTTTAAAAAAAAAAATTTAATTCAGTAAGGAACAAATTAAAATTTATACAGTTTAAAGGGGTAACTAATAAATCAAAATATTAAAAATTGGTATTTTTATCAATTTTTGCTCTAAAAATAATTATTAAATACTCTTAACCCTCTTATTTAAAACTAAATAAAAAAATAAATATATATATATTTTTTATTTTATTTATAAAATTTTTTTCCCCAAAAACTTTTTTTTTACCCCCATCCTTGATTGAACGATGGCCAGTCGTTCGATCAAGGATGGGGGAGGGAGTAAGCAAAAGCTCTAATGGATCAAAGGGCTGGTCTTGCAGGTGGAATTCAGGCAAAAAATATCCGATGTGTTGAAGCAAAGCGTAAAGGCTGGCCAAATTATGATTTCCAAGAGCTTGACACAACGCGATCTAAGTATTGAATACTTTTTGCAAAGTATTATTTCGATCTGACCGGGACATTTTTTAGCTATAAACCATTTTAGCATGTCAATTTTGCATAGATAAGGCGAATTTATTTTCTCAATTATCCCAGAAGTTTTGGTATTCAATTTTTTCTTTTGATTCCCTTTTATGCTTTAAATTCAGTGAATCTTCTTGAAGTGTTGAGTGAAATACTTTTAGTCTTTCTTCCATCATAAATTGCTGATTTTCCATTTCAATTAAATTATAAGAACCTTTACCGCAAGAAATCCTTCGAAATTCACATCTTTCTATGTTTTCTATGTGTTTTAAAATTAAAATAAAGCCTAAAATTTTTTTGTTAATAAAATGGCATTATTTATATATGAAGTATATTGAAAGTATTTTCAGCTTTTCTCAAATGTTTGATGCGACCTATAAGAAATATTGCTAACTCCCCCCCCCCCCTCCGTGAGCGAACAAAAAAAAATTTTGTTCGCTCACGGAGGGGGGTTAATTTTTTTTTTTAAAAAAAAATTTATATATAAATTTTATAAAAAATATTTTTTTCGAAATTTAAAAAAATCCTAATTTGCAAAAATTGGGAAGCAAATATTAATTTAATTTGCAAAATTTATGTTTTAAAACGCAATTTGTTTAAAATTAAACAGAATTAGCTCTAGATTTCATTATACTAATTATCACTTATATATCAAAATTTTTTTCCATTAAAATTTTTTCTATAAAAAAATTTTTTGTTCACTCACGGAGGGTGGGTTTTTGGTCAAAAAATGGCGATTTTTCTAATGGTTTTGTTCGCTCACGGAGGGGGGGGGGGGAGTAAAGCAAATAGAGAATGAATAAGCACATCTAAGTTTAGTCTTAGATTTTTGCACTTTTCTGAAAACTTACAAAATTTAGGTCTGTGAAAGTTCTTTTGATTTGAAAATTGAAATTGCAGGCAAATTCGATGGCTAAGTCTTCTTCTAATTCGGAAGGCAGGCTTCTCCTCGTTCGCTGGCTTATTGGGAAATTAATTTCTAATACCATTTCGAACTTACGGTGCATTGTTTGGATGAATGAAAGCGTGCACATTTCTGCTGTCATTGTATCTTCGGGTTCTCATATTTCAGTAAATTGACTGGGAAGAAAAGGAAATTCGGGTAAATTTATGTTTGTATCTCTCATTACAGGTAATTCATTTTGAGAAGGCAATATTAAATCTGTTTGTATTGCTTTAGGGAGGCTCATTATTTATGAATTTAATTATTTAGCCACCTAATCAGATTTTTAAATTTCAGACATTTTTGGCTTGCTAAAATGGTTTATAGCTAACAAATGTCCCGGTCAGATCGAAATAATACTTTGCAAGAAGTATTCAATACTTAGATCCCGTTATGTCAAGGTCTTGGAAATCATGATAAGGCCAGCCTTAGTCTTAGTTAAATTTATAGAGTAGCTCCCGGCCAGGACCGAAGGTCCTTTTCTTCCGCCTTTTGGACGCCTCGCTTGCTTTCCTTGCCCTGCTCCCAGTGTGCACCTAAGTGCCACGGGCTACCACTCAGCTCCTTCCGGTCATGGGGCTTGGTCATGCTATCCCGGAAGTAGGCGGACTGGGTCACCGTGCTTCACGTCGCCAGACTAGGGTTAGAGCTAAGGACTAACTCCTTAGCTCTTGTTGGCTCCTGCCTTGCCCTCCAAATTGGCACTAGGCAGTCCCTAGAGGAAAAACCCTTTTTGCCCCGTGTCCTATCGGGACGACCCTAAGATCGTCGTTGTTAGACTGGGAGGGAAACCTAGCCGGACACAAACTACCAGTACCCATTCCAGACCTTTCCCTGGGCGGATTGGTTTCAGGCCGCAGCAAGATCCCCAATCTCGCCTCAGTTCCGGGAGAGGACGGGTCGGTGTCGTCGCCATTTTATTTGTGTATGATAAGGCCAGCCTTTACGCTTTGCTTCAACACATCGGATATTTTTTTGTCTGAATTCCACCTGCAAGACCAGCCCTTTGATCCCAGTAGAGCTTTTGCTTACTCCCCCAATCCTTGATCGAACGATTGACTGTAAAAATTCCTAAAAATTGGGGAAATTAACCCCCATCCTTGATTGAACGATTTTCATATGCAAATTTTTATATATATAAAAATATATTTAGTTATCAAAAGCTTGAGAAAATGTACATAATGAAACTTTGAGACGACAGAAAGCTACGAAATCAACCATCCGAAGTGATTTAGTTATCAACTTATGTTTAAAAACTCAATAATCTAAAAAATAGAGATTCTTTAAAATTTTTAAAAAAAAAATTTTAATTTAATTTAATAAGGAACAAATTAAAATTTATACAGTTTAAAGGGGCTACTAATAAATCAAAATATTAAAAATTGTATTTTTATGAAAATTAATTCAATTTTTTTGCTATAAAAATAATTATTAAATATTCTTAACCCTCTTATTTAAAAGTAAATAAAAAAATATATAAAAATATATTTGTTTTTATATATAATTTTTTTTTAACCCGCATCCTTCTTGATCGAACGATGGCGAGCCGTTCGATCAAGGATGGGGGGGAAGTTAAGATAAATAAGTTCTTTCTTAAATGGCTCTGACAATTTCTTAAAACTATGGACATCGTATTAGTTGAGCCGATAGCCTCAAGGGTGTCGAGTTCATCAAAAATAGTATATTTTTTTCAAGAGTTCTCATTCTATTATAATTTATTACCCTATAGAATTTTTTAATAAAAATTTAGCTCCCATCCGTTTGCTAATCGCCATTGTTCAAATAAGGGTGGGAGCTAAATTAAATTAGTAAATTAATTATAAACTGAATTAAATTTATTATGAATTATTATATAAAATTCATTATTATAACAAAATATATTTAAATTAGTTCAAGAGGAGATTTAATTTTTGACCAGATGAAAATCTTCGATAAAGGATGGAAATTAACTTTCGCAATCTTTAGGAATTTTCAATGAAATCTTCAATCAATGATGGGAAGTAAGAAAATTTACTGACTAATAATACTGTGAAATTACAAAATATTATTAATTTTCGCCGATTTCATTTGCTTTATATTCCTCCACTCTTTTCAAACCAACTTTTTCAACGTTCCTTTGGTCCAAACCAAATCTATAAATATATATTTCATTATCTGAAAAGTATCAGTAATTCTTATAAAATGCTTTATGGCCTAATGCGCTACTATCCTCTAAGGTTGTGCACTCTTGCACAATATTCCAGCTAAAAGGATCATTTACCCCACTTTCTAATATTTTTCCTCTTTGATCAGCTATATACAAAATATCTTTAAAACTGAAAAGTTGCTTTACACCTAACTTTTTAATAGGCAGAAGGTAAAAGGAAATTGATAAAATAAGTGTATCTACAACACACATCTCTTCACTATAATATTCTAAAGCCAAAATCTTGCCATTGAATGATGTAGAAGTACATCAACAATACTCCTTATCATTTTTAACTAGTGTATGCCATCTTCTGCTAATTAAATCAAAACCCATTACAAATTTCATAGAAATATAAACAACATTGTTATAATAAGCTGCAAAGCTTCAAAGATTTGAGAGCCCTCTAGGAAAGGTTTTTAAGACTTTTTTATCGTCTTCTTCAAAAGCAATCCCTTTTTCATCTGATGAATTTCACATTGAGAAACGAAATTTCTGAATAATTTCAATATCATTATTTTCATCTATTATAAAAATATCACAGCATTCTTCTTGCCATTCTAGATAACTTGAATAGCAAAATAGCTTATCGCCTGGTAAAGGGCACATAAACATGATCTGATTAGTAGTGGAATGAGGGAGTTTGTGCTTGTAAGCAGATTTTTCTAGAGTTTCAAGATTATATTCGATAATATCAGAGGATTTGTAGCCAAACCATCTAAGTTTGGAGGTTGTGAGTTCATTTTCGTGAATATATTGTGGAAGATTAACAAAATTTTTGGTTTGAATTAAATTGCTCTCCATTATTATTTTTTAAGTATTTTTCTTATTTATTAATCAAATGGTAAATCAATTTTTTCTAAATTCTTTTTATTCGGATCAAATTTTAAAAGAAAAAGGCCTGCATAAAAATACAATGAATCCTTATAGAAAGCTTTATGCCCATATATGCAACGCTTTAATGGGTTGCAATTTCCTATAAAATTCCAATTGAAAGGGTTACCATTATCACTCTTATATATTTTCCCAGAAAAATCAACCAAATAAGCTGAATTTTCCCACTTGAAAAGGATTTTTGTTCAATTTGTTTCCAATCTAAGCTGGCATGAAGATAAAGACAGAGATAATAAATCTAGCATAAAAATATCCCTAAAATCAATCCCTGAAATCAAAATCATGCCATTGAATGGCACACACGTATGCGAATATGATCAGACACTAAGCCTTGCTAGTTGTTCCCATCTTCAATTATTCATATAAATATCTAAAATTATTTCTATTATTATATTTATTAAAAATTCATATTTATATGTAAATATATAATTAAATCGAATCTAATAACAGTTGCATCTCCACAGATATAGACATAATTATTATAATAAGTTGCAGAGCACCCCATATATATGACTTGTGAAGGTAAAATTTTGACAGAATAATCTTCATTAATTATAAAATAAATGTGTTCTATGGTTTTTCATTCAAAACTTCCAGAGCAAAATATTTTATTATCAGGCAAAAGACAATCACAAGAGGATTGCTCAAGTTCTATTTTAGGAATCATAATTTCGTGAGTAGTTTTACGCCTGGATTTCAGATTAAACATATGGAGACCGCAGGGCTGGCCTGATAATCACATTAAGTTTGATGTTTCGGTTTCAGTCTCTTGGCATATTGGTAACAGATTTTCTAAAATTTTCATATTTTTTATTAGCTAGATGATAATAGATTATTAATTTAGATAAAAAGAGACTAAAGAGGGATTGAATGGATTACTTATGGCGTTTTTATGCTAAAAATTTCCGGATCTTATACTTACATCCATAATACCCCCGAGTGGCCCCTAAACAGATGCTAAGAGGATGCACTGGATCACTATGCCATTTTAATGTAATTATTCTAATTGATATCTGATATAATCATTTGCCGTTTTATTTATTTTAATTTCAGATATGAGGTCTAATAAATATTCAATTCACCTTGTATTAAAATATAGTTTTCCCAGTGTTTTCAGGCTTCAATATCACAATTTTCGAGATAAGCAGATTCTTATTTTATCTGCTTCTGTTATTTAAAATTTTCGGAAAAAAGAATATATTATTAGTATCCATGCTTATAGAGTGCTGGAAAATAGATGTTTTGTTTAACTATTGCCAAAAAAATTATAAAAATTTGAAGTCTTTATTCTATTTATTCGACTATAATTTTTATTTAATGGTTTAAATGCTTTGCTCAAGTTCCAAATCAAGCTCTTTAAGCTTCTTTTTATCTAAGTCGAATCTATAAATACGCAAATCACCGATTATCATGTATCAGCAATTATTACAAAATGCGTTATAGAAATAAGGACTGTCACTATATGCAGATTCGAAATATTTTATAATCTTCCAATTAAAAGAGTCATCTATAGAGCTTTCTAGTAATATCCCATGAAAATCAACTAAATACACAAGGTTTTCAAATTTGAAAAGGATTTTTTCACTATCTTTTGTAAGAGGCAGAGAGTGTGAAGAAACTGATAAAGTTGCAAGGTCTATAATATAGATTTCTTCTCTTTCATATTCCAAAGCCAATATCAAGTTATTAAATGATAGAGAAGAGCATCAATAATGATGTTCTTCACTTTTAACTATTGTATGCCATCTTTGATTAATCAGATCAAACCCTATTATATCTTCCAATAATATATAAACAAAATTGTTATAATAAGTTCCAACGCCTTCTGTTTGTCTTATCACTCTAAGAAACGTGTTGAGAACATTTTCTTCATCTTTTAAAAAAACAATTTCTACTTTGTGTCTTTGTGATAAAGTTAATGGAACGCTAAAGTTTTGAATGAATTGAATATTGATTTTTTCTTCATCTATAATAAAAACAGAGCAGCTGCTTTTTTCGGAATCATAGCTGTGACTTAACCCAAAAAGCTTATTGCCAGGTATAGGGCACATACACATAGTATAATAAATATTAAAATCGTGTCGATAAGAAGTTTCTTGTCAAGTTTCAAAATCATACTTGCAGAAATAAGGATCTTCGGCGCTGAATCACGCAAGTTTTGACGTTCTGATGTCATTGTTTTGATGAGATTTTGGTGGTAGCCTTCCTAGCATTTCACTATCTGCTGAACAGGTTTCCATTATTTAAGTCTTATAAATTATCTATAAAAATGCTCAGTTTATAATAAATTTTTAACATTTTCTCTTCTTCTCTTAATACAAATTAAAAATTTAAATTATCTACAATATTCCATAAAAATAATAATTATTATCATCCCTAACAATTTTCCAAAAATCAATAAAGTAAGTGCGTTTTCTAATTTATAGAGAGCTTTTGCTTTATAAGTTCCAAGCATGAAATAAATACAAAAATAATAATTCTAATATAAAAATATTAAAAAATTTCGCCCTCAAGTCAAAATCATGCATTGAAAGATGCGTATTCATGACGGATATCTAGAAAGTTTTTTTCTCAGTTTTTCAGTCTTTAATTATTTTTTCCCAGAATTTTCAGACTTCGCTGTTAAAGTTTGTGAGGTAAGCAAATTATTAAGTTTTCTGCTATATTGTTTAAAATTTTTGAAAAAAAGAATATATTATTAGTGTCCATGCTTATAAAGTGCTGATAAAATGATGTTTTGCATATTTCGTAAAAAATATAAAAATTATAATATTTATTCAACTATAATTTTTTTATTTAATGGTTTAAATGCTTTGCTCAAGTTCCAAATCAAGCTCTTTAAGCTTCTTTTTATCTAAGTCGAATCTATAAACATGCAAATCACCGATTATCATGTATCAGCAATTATTACAAAATGCGTTATAGAAATAAGGACCGTCACTATCTGCAGATTCGAAATATTTTATAATCTTCCAGTTAAAAGGGTCATTTATAGAGCTTTCTAGTAATATCCCATGAAAATCAACCAAATACACTAAATTTGAAAAGGATTTTTGCACTATCGTTTTTTTTAAGCGGCAGAGAGTACCAAGAAACTGATAAAGTTAAAAGATCTATAATATAAATTTCTTCTCTTTCATATTCCAAAGCCAATATCGAGTTATTAAATGATAGAGAAGAGCATCAAAAACGATCTTCTTCACTTTTAACTATTGCATGCCATCTTTGATTAACCAGATCAAACCCTAGTATATCTTTCATTGATATATAAAAAAAATTGTTATAATAAGTTCCAACATTCTTTATAATTCTTGGGATTATAAGAAAAGTTTTGAGAGCATTGTCTTCATCTATTGAAAAAATAATTTTTTCTGGGCCTCTTTGAAATGAAGCTTCTGAAAGGCTAAATTTTTGAATAAATTGAAGATTGAGTTTTTCTTCATCTATAATAAAAACAGAGCAGCTGCTTTTAAAGAAATTTAAGTTGTTTGATAAGCCAAAAAGCTTATCGCCAGGTATAGGGCACATGCATATAACATGATCAATAAAATTACTAAAAGTGTGCTGATAAGAAGTTTCTTGTCAAGTTTCAAAATCATACTTGCAGAAGTGAATAAAGTCCCCGCAAAATTACGCAAGTTTTGATGTTCTGATGTCATTTTTTTGATGAGATTTTGATGGTAGCCTCCATAGCGCTGAACAGGTTTCCATTATTTAAGTCTTATAAATTATCTATTAAAATATTCAGCTTACAATATTATTTTTTTTCTTCTCTTAATATAATTTATTGAATCAATTTTCTTAAAAATAAAGATGCCCCATAAAAGTAAAATAAATCTTTATATAGGAATCAGTCTTCTATATAATTCAAATTAAAATTTAAAATATCTGCAATATTCCAATTAAAATAATAATTATTATCATACCTAATAATTTTCCAAAAATCACTTAAATAGTTTGAATTTTCTAGCTTTTCTTTATACTGAAGTTTAAAGCTGGAATGAAAATAAAGACAAAAATAATTCTAATATAAAACATTACAACAATTTCGCACTAAGATAAAGAATTATGCATCGAAAGATGCATATTGATGGCGAATATCAGTGAAAGGCATTTTTCTGTTTTCCATCTTTAATTTATAAATTAAATATAACAATAAATGCATCTTTAAAAATATAGATATAACTGCTCATTGAATCAGGCTACAAACTGCGGTTCTTTGCTTTAACTATTGCCACAGGTCACCAGATACTGTTGGGGCAATTCCAATTATAATTGCTATAATAAGTATTAGAGCATTTTAGTATATTGAATATTTTAATAAAGAGCTTTTAATCATTTTCCACTGAGAATAAAATCTATATAACCTCTCAGTTATCATGTAGAAAAAGACACTGATTGCCTGCAAAAATTTATTTGAAATAAAATTTGGGCTCTGCTTATACAAATATAAACTGTTAATCATTAGAGAATTTCCAATTGTTATGAATCTGCATGTGTAATTTTTTTATAGATAAGAATTATATTGTTTTTAATTATTTTAATTATTTGCCTATTGATTTATTTTTAGACTAGTAAGAGTGAATTATTAATTATTAATCTTTTTAATCTATCAACTTAAAATCTTGAAGAAAAATAATCATCATTAGGGTTTTGGCTGATTTGAGCTTGGGCTTGATCAAGTAAGAAATTAATAGTTTGGACATTTTTTTTGGTAAGGTCAAATTTAAAAATTTGATTGCCGATTGTAAAGTATATGCAATTCTTATAGAAAATTTTATTTTCTGGTGTTGAATTTCTTAAAGGCTGAAAGTTTCCTTCAAAACTTCAGATAAAAGGATTACCTATTTCACTTTGAAATATTTTCCCAGAAAAATCAACCAAGTAAATTGTATTTTTTACATTGCAAAGCAATTTTGCTTTATTACTTAAAGTCTCTAAAGAGTGCCAAGAAAATGACAAAGTCAATAAATCTAATAAAAAAATTCCATTAAAAGAATATTCTTTTTCCTATAAATAGCTTTATTTATTTTGTTTAAAAAGTTTATCTATTATTGATAAGAAATTATTTAGCCTGAGAACAGAATTTTTTTCCCAATCAAAGCACAAGTGCATAACCTACACTTGGGTGGAAATTTTATTATTTTTTCTCATTTTCATTTATCCGCTTTTATGGTTTATGGCTTTTATAAAAATTTTTTATTTTTAGCAAAAAAATAAGTTTTTGCCTGTAGAATATGGTATAATGAGATTAAATCTTTCAACATATTCTCCTCCAAAAACATAAACACAGTTCTCTAAATAAATAGGGAAACACCCAAGAATTGATGTCCAGGCTGGTAAATTTAGGATTTCATTTTTTTGATTTACTATAAACGTAATTCCACTAGCTTGCCCTATTTTAGCAATATTTCCATAGCAAAAGTATTTGCCATCTGGTAAAGGACATATGCAAATTCTTTCGTCAAGGCATATTTCTGGAATAGAAAGCTTGTGATGAGTTTTTGAAAAATCGTCCAAATTGACCTCTATAAGGTCAGAAGATCCTTTAGTAAATAAATTAAAATTGGATCTTTCGATTTCCTTCAGTTGGCTGATTTCAAATTGGCGACAAGTAATTTCCATTGTTAATTATTGTGTAAGTGAAAAAAAACCTACTGAAAATGGCTTATTAAAAATTATCAAGTATAATAGGTCACCAAATTAATAAAATTTGTGTTAAAGTCGACATCCAGCTTTCTTATAATCAAAGATACTTTAAAATTGGATCTTTTGACTTCTTTTGGTTAGCTACTTTCAAATAGGCGAGTAATTTTTATAGTTAATTATCCGTTTTGTCTTAAATATAATGAGTACCTATTGAAAAACGGTAAATAAAAATTTTAAGAGTAATTGGATTATAAAATTATTCTACTTCGTTTTATAAAATTTAAATTTCAAAAACAGATTTGAATTATTGAGGCTAATAAATCGTAAAGATTGATTTAAAGAATAGTAGGCTTATAATATGTATATTCCAGCAAATCCTTATGGATGCTAACTTTTAACTCATATTAAAGCTTATCTAATATTTGCATTTTCTCTTGAAATAATATACTTAATTTGGTCTAAATATAATAATATTAAACAAATCCAGTTTTATTACATTATTTTTATAATGAAAAACTTTATTAATTTTTAAAGATGTATACAGCCAAGGTAATTTACTAGAAATGTTTAGCAGTGTATTAAACACACAGAAGTTAAACACCTAAATTAAAACATTTTATGGTATAAGATAAGTCATTAGCTCACGATATGTTATGTCAAATCATAGTTATTCAAAATATCTCTATGATTAGCTTTTATTCTATTTATCATCAAAAACATGCATAATCCTCTCTAATAAATATTTTTCATTCTCTATAAAGGTATATTTTAAAACGAATTATTTTGCTACTTTTGGCATTAAAAAAAACTCTCTCTTAATTCCAGTCGAATAAATGGTATTTAAGCATATGAAAGATGCCAAGATTAATTATATGATAATTCTACTGTTTTTATGTCTCAGCAACTGCCAAGAGATCAATGATCTTGCGCTAGGATCAAGCGAATCAATTTTTCAAGAATCAACTTGAAAATATTTTAAATTTACTGGCGATTTTACCAACTCAGACTATACTGATACCTTTGAATTATTTTCATAATTTTTTTTTTATTTTTATTAAATCTCAATCATCTATATCAGAATATATATCAATAGAGCTTCACCTACAGTCATCAGCTGAAATCATTTTTTGTGCCAAAATAGGAAGCATCCCTACTGCTACATCAAGCCATGTCAATGCACATTATTTTGATTACGATGGGTGATATTTAAGTACAAAAAATCAGAATTTAATTATCCCAACGATACACAATATTTAAAATGGCAGCTAGGGATGTACTGATCCACCAGGCTAGACCCATAACTGAGCTTATTGAGAGAAGTCATAACTTCTTGAGAGTCTCGGCTTGAAGAGAAGTGGTCTGTGCTGAGGCTGGCACCGACTAGAGAAGTCTAAAAAGGGCTTAATAAATTAACAGTTCGAAGTTTAGGCTTATTCACCTACCGTGGTTCAGATCTGTTATTGTAACTGAACCTCAAGCAAAGAAGACTTAGAAGGCACTGAATTCACAAGATAAATTCATTAAGCTTAAATTTAAGCTTAATCCCAACGATAGAAATTGACGATGATCTTTTCATCGGAATTTTTTCAAATAAAACAAATGGGATTCATTATGAATTAAATTCATTTTCCTCATCCACTCAGCCTTGCTATAATGGATGCTCGGCTTATGGGCATTGCAGTGATGGAGTCTGCTTATGTGTTTCAGGTTATGTAGGAAGAGATTGTATTTTTTCAGCTACAGATCTGTCTATTATTGAAGACAATAGAATCATTATAAATGCAAATGATGTTGGGTATGCAGCATTAACATTATCTGAATTTAATATATATTTGAAAAAAAAATATGCATAATAATGATTGCTGGATAGTAATATATTTCATTAGAAAATAGATAATATATAGCTAAAATAACAGGATATTTATTCATTTAACTCCCCCCCCCCCTCCGTGAGCGAACAAAACCATTAGAAAAATCGCCATTTTTTGACCAAAAACCCACCCTCCGTGAGTGAACAAAAAATTTTTTTAATAGAAAAAATTTTGATATATAAGTGATAATTAGTATAATGAAATCTAGAGCTAATTCTGTTTAATTTTAAACAAATTGCGTTTTAAAACATAAATTTTGCAAATTAAATTAATATTTGCTTCCCAATTTTTGCAAATTAGGATTTTTTTAAATTTCGAAAAAATATATTTTTTATAAAATTTATATATAAATTTTTTTTTAAAAAAAAAAAAATTAACCCCCCTCCGTGAGTGAACAAAATTTTTTTGTTCGCTCACGGAGGGGGGGGGGAGTAAGAATAAAAAATTATACATGAGTATTTTAAGCAGCGCTTACATCTTTTTATATGCAAAGCCAAAAACGACTAATGATGACAGTGCTTTGCCAAGTCCTTATGAAAATAGAAAAAGCAAAAAAGGTTTGCAATTTGATTTTGTAATCAGCCAAGGCCACTATAATACTTGGTATTTTGCTATTTATAATCCATGTGATAGTGCAGTTACGATAAAATGAAGTATACATGCTTCAGAAGGTGGCAGCAGCAGTCAATATCTTCTTTATATTTTAATAGTCATTTCAGCAGGAATTTTAGCAGGATGGGTTATTTTTGCAATTTACAAAACACGACAAATTAGCAAAAAAAATGCTGCAATAGGCCCTGAGCCTGCTATAAGTATTGATTTTATAAATAAAAATTTTCCCAAAGTAGCCTTTAAGGCTAAAAAGTGTGAAGAAGCTACAAGAAGCTGCTCTATATGCCTACAACTGTATAAAAAACAAGATATGATAAGAGAATTAAGTTGTGCTCATATTTTTCATGCAAATTGTATAGACACTTGGTTCCAAAGTAACACAGTTTGCTGTCTCTGTAAAAGGGACTACAAACAGAATATGACTATGGAAAATGAAGAAAGTCGAATTGAAGAAGACCTAAATCTTATAGAATATAAATTTTTTGGGCTAAAATTAAAAAAAATAAATTTCATAAAATAATATAACAAGTTGCAGTGAATATAATATTTCTACTGGTTGCGATTATCATGTATTTAAATAGTAAATAATACAATGGTTACATTTAAAAATGCTTTTATTGATTTTATTATGTATAAATTTAATAATTCAAGAGTAAGTGCAAATGCTACTCAATGGATCGTTGAAGAGCTTGAAGGGCCAGCTGTAACAACAGAGATCCATGAACTAACAACTTTTAGAAATCAACAGAGAAGCGATACATAAATTTTGACGTGACATTAGACTGCCAGCTTTATGCTGAAAGATTATTATAATACTAACATATTTTTCACGATTATTTGTATACATGCAGTTCTTTAAAAGTAGGAATGCTCTTTATTCAAAAATAAAGTTGAAAATTTTAATGTCAAGTGCAATAAATTTGATTTTGATCGAAAAATGATGTCCTTCATCAAGAGATGCATAATTAGGCTTCTAAATAATCTTTAATTCTATAATTTTGAAATTTATATATGTGCTTTATACAGGTAGAATTCTTATAAATTTAAATTAAATATTAATAATTTAAAACTACGATAACTTTTATTAAACAAAGGAAATCATTAGTTTTAATTAAAAAAGGAATGCAACTGGCTCATTTTGGGCTTCATATTTTAATAATAATAATTAATTATTTATAGAATGAGGAATGAATGAGAGCGAGAGAAATTCCAATATTTCCAAAATTTTAAGACAATTAATTATGTTAGTAAAGGACCGAAAAATTTAATGATTGTGGAGTTCACAGATAAAACCAACCCAAACTTTCCTAAAATAGCAGTGTTAAAAGAATTCAAATCAGTAAACCCTCGATGCGAAAAAGAAGCCAAACTGCTAGATAAATGATCAGAATTGCACCCAAACATTGTAAAGCCTTATTATTTTACAGAAATTGACGGAAAATTCAGGATTTTTATTGAGTATTGTGAGTGTGGGAGTCTTTCAAAACTTATTAATGAAAGAAAAATCCAAAATCGTCCATGATCAGACTCAGAATTAATAAATCATTTTATTACTATTGCTGAGGTAATTAATTGTTTACATGAAAAAGACTGTGTTCATAGAGATATTAAGCCTGATAATATTTTTGTCAAAGCCCATGAAGTGCTTAAAATTGGCGATTTTGGCGATGCAAAAGAAATTCATATAGGAGAATCCAAATTTGAAGCACTTGGAACTTTACAATACATGTCTCCGCATTTAAAGAAAATATGAGGCAGCGTTATAACTGAGAAGACGGGAAATAAAATAAGCTCGTTGATTAATCCTAAAATGGAGGAAGTGTGGTCTGTTGGGAAAACCTTTTATGAAATGGCTAGTTTGAATTTGGCAAAAAGCTTTCCTGATGATGAAGATGAAATTATAGAAATGATGATAGCCGATATGGAATCAAGACCTCGGAGACTGATTAATTTATTAATTTGAATGCTAAATCTCCTTTGTTTTATATATAGCATTTTTGATTAGTATATATTATCATTAACATTAATTATTTATTAGGGTTCTTCCCTTTTTATGTCTCACCCACGACGAGTCTTGATAGAAGACTCTATGTTAGCATTATCACCAGAGATATAGAAATTGCCCGAGGGTGGCGCTATTTTGCGCCATCCTCGGGCAATTTCTATAGTTCTCCTCCGGCTTTCGGCCTGGCTCTTAATACTGCCTCAGAACATTGGATTATGCTTGATTAGTCTATATAAAAAAAAATTATTAAATTATAATTTTTTTTAAAATTCTATTTTATTTTTATAATAATTATTTTAGATATTCATTATCAATCAAAAGAAAAGTAAAAAGAATAACTATAACAATAGGCCTAATATCTGTGAAGTTATGGAGGTTTTGCACAATATAAAAGATGAAATTGCAGAAACTGATTCAGATTCCCAAAGTGTTTATAAAAACCAGTTCAATATTTTTGATTTAAAATCCTTTACAGAAAGTAATGGAAGTAGTAAAACAATATCTTACGAAGAAAGAAAAAGTTCAAAAGGGAATGCAACATATCGTGAATCGGATCTATTTGAGAACGAAACAAATTTATCTGGATTTGACTCTAAGCAAACTAAAGAAAAACTTGAAGTGAAAAAAAGTGACTGCGATAATATATATACACATGAATGTGGGTTAAAATATGATAAAGATGAAATAGCTAATTGCCAGGAGCTTATTGAAGAAGACAAATATTATCAGGACTTCGAAATAAAAGACTATATTAGAAGAGGTGATAAAGGATTAACAACAGTTCATTTTAAAAGCCAAGGTCCTCCAGGATTTCCAAAAATTGCTGTTTTAATAGAGTTCTCTACAATTAAGGAAAGTTACCTAAATGAAGCGAAATTGCTGAAAAAGTTGTCAGATATTCACCCAAACATTGTAAAGTATTATTACTCCACTGAAATTGATGGAAAATTCAGAATTTTTATGGAGCATTGCGAATGTGGCACCGTCGCAAGAATAATAAGCGAAAGAGAAAAATTATCTCAGCCATGGACTGACTGCGAACTGATAAATCATTTCATTACGATCGCAGAAATCATAAAAGTTTTGCATGATAATAACTATGCCCATAGAGATATAAAACCTGACAATATTTTTGTTAAAGAAAAAGAAGTGCTTAAACTTGGAGATTTTGGGGATTCAAATGAGGTGAAGTTAGGGCCAAATAAAAATACTGCAACTGGGACTCCAATTTACATGTCGCCACCATATCAAAAGATTTGAAATTCACTTAAGCCTGATGCAGACGGCAAGAAAAGAACTCCAATCCCCTTCACAAAACAAGAAGAGGTTTGGTCAGTTGGAAAAACATTTTATGAGATGGCAGTATTAGAGGTCGGCGTGTCTTTTCCTAATAAAGAGAATGAATATATGGAAATTGTTGAAAATGATATGAGAACAAGGCCTCAAAAATTAGTAAAACTGTTAAAATGAATGCTTATTCCCCTTTAATTTGAAAAAAATTTATAAAGTTATTTTAAATTAGGCAAAATCTCACTTACAAAAGATGCTAATAATATATAATTTTTTTTAATTCTTTAAGGTTTAATTTTTCCCAAAAACAGTTATTTTCCCTTCGTTTTATTCACTTTAAAGGTAGGAAGCTAGAATAAAATATGAAGATAGGCCTACTATTGCGCAAGTGCTAGAAGAATTATTAGAAATAAAAGAAGAAAATGCTAAAGAATTCTGAAGTTATTTTGAAATTAATGAGTTTATTGGAAGCTAAAGTCAATATGCATTAAAATGGCACGATGAACCAACTCAACCTCCTAACACCTGTAGATGGGAAACTCAGGGATCTTGTTTAAGTAAATCTTGGCAGCAGAATGTGTATCCGTCCAGATTTTACTTGGTTTGGAGGAGTGCAATGTCCGCTGGCTCACATCCAGGCCAAGGTTTTACCTCTGAGCAAGATAAAGTTCGGAGTTGGAAAGGGTGCCCTAGTCACACCAGTGATTCCTCCAGGTCAGTGAGAATGATCCCCATCGGGACACCAGGCGTTGCGTCCTGGGCTACAAATTTTTATTTTTACCGTAAGTGAACAGCATATTTGTTTTCAGTTTTCTACGATCCAAACTCATTGGTGTATAGCATTGTGACCCAGTGCTTCTAACTCACGGGTAGCAAATGTAAGCACTCCTCCGTGAAAAGCAACGCAGCGAAAGACCTTATTGGATGGAAAGCAAGTGGTGGAGCGATAGAGAAGTTAGTGTGAGCGGAAGGTCCTACCATGAGCTTTTCGATAATCTTAATTAAGTTTATTTAAAGCTGAAGCCAAAATGACCCTAATGAAAGTTTTGGAGACCTTTGTGGTTCAGATTGAAGATATTATGAAATTCCAACAAATGCCAAGGAAGAATGCAATCAGGACAGAGATATAATACATGATCCATACACTAGAAGTATTAATGGAATTGAACAATCAGCCAAAATGAACACTATTGACAGCAATGATGATTATTTTATCCATGATTGTGGGCTGATGATTCATAGAGTTGAGCTACAAAGCTATATTAAAACTTGTCTTAGGATGGGTTTAGAATTTCCACAAATAAACTGCTTAAATTGCTTCGGACCATTTCCAATAGAAATTTATAAATGTCTCAAAGCTTCATTAATGCTTTCTTAAAGATAATCTTATATGGATTGTATTGAGATTTTCTTATTCAATTTTTAGTTTAATAGACTATAAATAGGGATTATTAAAATAAGTAATTTAGCTTTTAACAATATATCTGAAACTTATAATCAAATACGAAAATTAATTATTACGCTTATTAATTTTAAAATAAAATGTAGATTCATTTATAATTTTTTAATCAAAAACTAACGTCATGCCTAGTGAAGAAGACAAATATTATCAGGACTTCGAAAGAAAAGACTACATTAGCAAAGGTGGCAAAGGATTGGCAACAGTTCATTTTAAAAGACAAGGTCCTCCAGGATTTCCAAAAATCGCTGTTTTAAAGGAGTTCACTACAATTAAGGAAACCTATCTAAATGAAGCGATATTGCTGAAAGACATGTCAGATATTCACCGAAACATTGTAAAGTATTATTACTCCACTGAAATTGACGGAAAATTCAGAATTTTTATGGAACATTGCGAATGTGGCAGCGTCGCAAGAATCATATGTGAAAGAAAGAAATTATCTCAGCCATGGACTGACTGAGAACTGATAAATCATTTCATTACGATCGCAGAAATCATAAAAGTTTTGCATGATAATAACTATGCCCATAGAGATATAAAACCTGACAATATTTTTGTTAAAGAAAAAGAAGTGCTTAAACTTGGAGATTTTGGGGATTCAAATGAGGTGAAGTTAGGGCCAAATAAAAATACTGCAACTGGGACCCTAATTTACATGTCGCCACCATATCAAAAGCTTTGAAATAGACTTATTCCTGATTCAGACGGCAAGAAAAGAACTCCAATCCCCCTCACAAAACAAGAAGAGGTTTGGTCAGTTGGAAAAACCTTTTATGAGATGGCAGTATTTAGAGTTGGGGTGACTTTTCCTGATCAAGAAGATAAATATATGAAAATTGTTGAAAATGATATGATAAAAAGGCATAAAAAATTAGTGGAATTGTTAAAATGAATGCTTATTCCCCTTTAATTGGAAAAAAAATTATAAAGTTTATTTAAATTAGAGTCTCGTTTACACAGACATTAATAATATATAAATATTTAATTTTTTGTTCATTCTTAAAAGTTTAATTTTTCCAAAAACAGTTATTTTTCCCATGGTTTTATTTACTTTTAAAGGTAGAAGCTAGAATAAAATATGCAGATAGGCCTATTATCGAGCAAGTGCTAGAAAAATTAAAAGAAATAAAAGAAGAAACTGCTATAACATTCTCGAATTTTGTCCCACATTTAGTAACTGAAGGAAATCCGTTTGAAATTAATGCGTTTATTGAAGGCTCAAGTCAATATACATTAAAATGCGAGGGAAACCAGAACAACCTCTGACCATATGTGGCTGTGGAGCCCAGTGACTTTGTAGAAACAAGATTTGGCAGCAGTATGTGCATTCGACCAGATTTTACTTGGTTTGAAGGAGCACAATGTCCGCTGGCTCACATCAAGGTCAAGGTTTTATATCAGACGAAGATAAAGTTCATAGTTGGATGTCCTAGTCGCACCAGTGAGGTTTCCAGGTCAGTTTGAACAATCCCCATCAGGACGCCAGGCTTTGCTTCCTGGGCTACAAATCTGCATATTTACTGTAGGTGAATAGCAAATTTGTTTTTCGAATTTTCTAGGATCCAAACCCATTGGTATACAGCATTGTGACCCAGCGCTTCTACTCACGGGTAGCAATTGGCCTAGTGGAGGTTTTGAAGGCTTTTATGATTCAGATTTAAGAGATTATGAAGACCCTCGTGGTTCAGATTGAAGAGATAATGGAATTTCAATTCCAAAAAATACTGATGAAGGATATAATCAGGACAAAGATATAATACATGATCCATACACTAGAAGTATTAATGGAATTGAACAAGAAGCCAACATGAGCACTATTGGCAGCAATGAAAAATCCTGTGGATTATGCGATTGTGATTATTTAATCCATGATTGTGGGCTGAAGATTCATAGAATTGAGCTGCAGAGCTATATTGCAACTTCTCTTAAGATGGCTTTAGAATTTCCTCAAATAAACTGCTTAAATTGCCTCGAACCATTTCCAATAGGAATTTATAATTCGCTCAACGCATAATTAATGCTTTCTTAAAAATAATTCTGTATGGATTGTATTGAGATTTTAAATATTCGATTTTTAGTTTAATAGACTATGGGTAGGCATTATTAAGATAAGTAATTTAGCTTTCCTCGGTATATCTAAAACTTATAATCAAATTCGAAAATTAATTATTAAGCTTATTAATTTTAGAATAAAAATATGGACTCATTTTATGAGCTTTTATTAAAAATTATTTAAATTTTATTATGCGTGAATTATTTTATCGCATCTTCCTCAGTGACAATAATGTGAAGTTTTACATCATTTTCTTCAACCGGCAAATCTTTAATGAGGTTAAATATGTTCTATAAAGACTAAAGTTTTGCATGAAGCAGCTTCAAAAATTCGATAGTTGGGATCGACATACTATTAAATGTATAAGCTGAATGATCTAGGTGGGCCTTCTTTTAACTAGAAAAAAGGCTAAGATAAAATTTTAAATTTTATATATTGTAAACAAATAAAAATCTGCATTAAACTATTCAGCGTAATCTGTAATATATTAATATTTTGCAGCAAAATGTGCCTATATTTTAGATATATACTCTTAAAAAGCATAAGCTTATATTATTGCCAATATTTTAATATTGTAGAATGTTAGCAGAAGCCAAATATTATCAGGACTTCGAAAGAAAAGACTACATTAGCAAAGGTGATAAAGGATTGGCAACAGTTCATTTTAAAAGCCAAGGTCCTCCAGGATTTCCAAAAATCGCTGTTTTAAAGGAGTTCACTACAATTAAGGAAACCTATCTAAATGAAGCGATATTGCTGAAAGACATGTCAGATATTCACCGAAACATTGTAAAGCATTATTACTCCACTGAAATTGATGGAAAATTCAGAATTTTTATGGAGCATTGCGAATGTGGCACCGTCGCAAGAATCATGAACGAAAGAAAGAAAATATCTCAGCCATGGACTGACTGAGAATTGATAAATCATTTCATTACGATTGCAGAAATCATAAAATTTTTGCATGATAATGGCAAAGCCCATAGAGATATGAAGCCTGACAATATTTTTGTTAAAGAAAAAGAAGTGCTTAAACTTGGAGATTTTGGGGAATCAAATGAGGTGAAGTTAGGGCCAAATAAAAATACTGCAACTGGGACCCTAATTTACATGTCGCCACCATATCAAAAGCTTTGAAATAGACTTATTCCTGATTCAGACGGCAAGAAAAGAACTCCAATCCCCCTCACAAAACAAGAAGAGGTTTGGTCAGTTGGAAAAACATTTTATGAGATGGCAATATTAGAGGTTGGCGTGTCTTTTCCTAATAAAGAGAATGAATATATGGAAATTGTTGAGAATGATATGCAAAGAAGGCCTCAAAAATTAGTTCAATTATTAAAGCGCATGCTTATCCCCTTTAAGTGCACCAATTTTTTAAAAATATAATAATTAAAAAAAAATTATAAAGTTATTTAAATTAGAGAGAGGTCTCGTTTCAGCAGATGCTAATAAAATATAAATGTTTAATTTTTTCCAAAATAGTTATTTTTCCCATGGTTTTATTCGCTTATAAAGGGAGGAAGCTAGAATAAATTATACAGATAGGCCTACTATTGCCCAAGTGCTAGAAGAATTAATAGATATAAAAGAAGAAACTACTGAAGCATTCTCAAATTATGCCACACTTTTAGTAACTGAAGGAAATCCGTTTGAAATTCGTGATGTTTATGGAACCTCAAGCCAAAATGACCCTAATCAAGGTTTTGGAGGACCAGATTCAATTAATAGATATCTTCAAAGTCAAGCAAATACCGAAGAACAATGCAAGCGGGATAGTAATATAATATATAATCCATACACTAGAAGTATTTATGAAAATGAACAATTAGCCAACAGGAGCACTATTGATAACAATGACGATTATTTTATCCATGATTGTGGGCTGATGATTCATAGAATTGAGCTAGAAAGCTATATTGCAACTTGTCTTAAGATGAATTTTGAATTTCTACAAATAAAGTGCTCAAATTGCTTCGAACCATTTCCAATAGGAATTATAAATCGCTCAAAGCTTCATTTATGCTTTTTTTTAAGATAATCTTGTATGGATTGTATTGAGATTTTCTTATTTAATTTTTAGTTTAATAGATTATAAATAGGTATTATTAAGATATCTAAAACTTATAATCAAATACGACAATTCATTATTACGCTAATTAATTTTAAAATAAAATATAGATTCATTTACAAGTTCTTATTAAAAATTATCTAAATTTTATTATGTGTAACTATTTTATCGCTCCTTCCTCAGTGACAATAACGTGAAGTTTTACATCATTTTCTTCAACCGGGAGCTCTTCTACTAGCTGCTCTGAATAGCCCAACCCTATTCTTAATGAATTTGGAAAAGCTTTAAATGTCCTATCATAATATCCTCCACCGTAGCCTATTCTATATAAGTTCAAATCAAATCCGACCAAAGGTGTTATTATTACGTCTGGAACTCTGATAGGATTTTCACTATTAGGTACCTTAATTCTGTACATTCCTTCTACAAGGCTTTTTTCCTCCCCATCTCATTCTCTAAATATAAGTGGCTGATCTTTTCCTATAACTACTGGAAGGCAAATAATATATGATTGCTGCTTAAAAAGGCTAAGGATAAATTTGCAGTCAATTTCAGAGCCAATTGGGTAAAACCCTGAAATAATTCGGGAGCGGGGTGGAATATTTTCTTTTAGTAATGGAAATGTTTTGGTTCTGAGGTTTTCATAGTAAAGATCTTGAATAGAAAGTAAATTTTTGTGAATGAACTTCCTGCGCTCCAATAGCTTTAACCGTAAAGCCTTTTTGGTTGTTTCCATTAATTTCACTTACAAAATTATCCGCGAAATTAAACGAACTTTGCAATATGGTGTTTATTTGCCTACGAGATTGGAATACAAAGTATTAGGTTATAATTTCGACAATTTTTAGTTAATCTAATTGCAAATGCGAAAAAATTTTTTAAATTTTATATTTACTAACTCCCCCACTCCATTAGCAAAAAAAATTTATTATAAATAGTTGCATTTTAAAACATACATTTTATAAATTAAATTAACTTTTATAGAAGGGGAATAAAGTAAATTATAAAATTTGAATTTCGTAATTAATAGAATAACTCCTAATTTAATTCTTTCAATAAAATGCACTTTTTCTTTTTTAATTTGTCTCTCATTAAATTCTAGGTTTATACCAAAAAATTTTTACAAAAATAATTCCATAACGCATTTTTCTTTTAGACTTATTATTTAATATCATTTACTTTAATAAAGTTTCTCATCTTAATTTAATATATTACATATAGCTCAAGACTTGTTATAGTTTTGGCTGTGCTGAGCTACTCACTCCCCCCCTCGAAGTTCGACCAAGATATAGAGAAAATTCCTATTTTTTTGGAAAATTAACCCCCCTCAAAGTTCGACCAAGACCTATATAAATTTACTAGGAAAATAAGCAATTTTTCAAAAATTTTAAACTATGTGGGGGTGAGCTTGCGATTTTTGTATTCAAGTTCTAAAAAAGCGTTACAAAACCATCTTGCACTATTTTTTCTAACCTTACACCCTCTCAACCATACAGAAGAATATGATAAATATTTTTGTTTTTAACTATTATTATATCAAACAAATTCTATATAATTTTTTTAAAACAATTTTTCTTAACCCCCCTCGAAGTTCGACCAAAAAAATCTTGGTCGAACTTCGAGGGGGGGAGTCAGGGAGTTGACAAATCAGCTCCTTGGTCGGCAAGTCTCCATTATTAGGGGGTTTGCCACCCATGGATTGATATTACCAACAAATGTTGGCTTATCAACTCCATAGCGGTGTCGGGAGTCTTTAGCACAGTCCGAGCTATAAAAAGGCCTGGGCTATATAATAAATATGAGTGAAAAATACTCAATGGTTCGACTCCTTGGCGAAGGGTCCTTTGGGAAATGCTACTTAGTTGAAGCTTCTAGTGATCGTTCTCTCTGCGTAATTAAACAAATTGATATTCGAGCAATGTCGCCATCAGAAAAAGATGAGACAGTTAAAGAAGCCTTAATACTAAGAAGTCTTGAGCACCCCAACATTATCCACTTCAGAGATGCCTATACAACAAAACGCGGAAAACTGTGTATTGTTATGGACTATGCTGATGGTGGTGACCTCCAAAGCAGAATCCAAAACCAAAAAGGAAAATATTTTCCAGAATATGTAATTTTATTAGGTAAGTTAATTTCTTTTTTACAAAATTATTGGAGCCCTTGCATATTTTGTATGGCAGATTCAGAATAATCTGTGCAGAATATTTAGGACTTTAAATCTAATATTAAAAATGAGGAAAATATATAAAAATATTTTGGGTAGTATTTAAGAAATGGGCATAATTTTAGATTGATTTGTCCAGATCTGTTTAGCTATCAAGCATATTCATGACAGGAAGATTTTGCATAGAGACTTAAAAAGTCAAAATATATTCATCACAGCCAATGGAAGAGTAAAACTGGGTGACTTTGGGATTGCGAAGGTTCTGACTCCCCTTTAAACTGTAACAAAAATTTATTCCAATTTAAAGGGAGTTGATTTTTTTTCAAAACAAAATTGAATATATTTTTTGAGTTTTAATTTATATTTATGAAGAATTAATACAAAAATCATTAATCTCTACCTGTTTAAATAACGTTCTGCTTGCACTCCTCTTTAAATTAGTTTAGATATATATAGAGATTAGTATTTTCATCTATAAGACTTTCCAAAATTTGTTCTATTTAAAAAAAGATTATAATACCCAAAAAAATGGAAATTTTACCAATATGTTGTGTTCAAATTTAAAGGAGGGAGTGAGCAAAACCACTGACAATGCAAAAACAATGGTTGGGACTCCTTATTACCTATCTCCTGAAATCATAGAAAACCGCCCATACAGCTTTAAAAGCGATATTTGGTCGTTAGGAGTTCTTTTATACGAGATGTGCAGCCTAAAGCCACCATTTGATGCCTCATCTCTTCATTTTTTAGCCTTGAAAATTGTAAGAGGAGTGTATCCCGCACTTCCAGCTCAGTATAGTAGAGACTTGAAAGCCTTGACAGCAAAAATGCTTGCTACTGATCCACAGCGTCGACCTTCAGTTCACCAAATTCTAAAAGAGCCAATAATTCAGAATCGAATTAAAAACTTTTTATATCCAATTATTATAAATAGTTATATTTTTGACCAGAATAAATAAATTTTTTTATTCTATAGCCCGAGCCTCAATACGGCTCAGGCTGTGCTGAAGTATCCTATTTCACCAAGAAAGTTGGCAAATCAATATTTGATGACAAAAACTAAATTCCTGGATGGCAAATTCACCTAATACTAGAGAGTTACCAATCAGGTAGTCATCACCACAGCCTAAGCCATAAAGAGGCTCGGGGTATATTGTATTAAATATATCATCTTCTAAAAAAGCTGAAGAATTTTCTCATACAATTTTGCATAATCAGGACATTTTCAACTACAGACCTCCAGCTGAAGAAGCCAAAGACCAACAGCAGCAAGAAGAAGCTGCTCACGAAATTAAGCCTGCCATGTCCAAATCTAACCCAAAGCCTGATAAAAGATATAGGTAAATCCTATAAACTGCCCTATGAGAGTAGACATTTGACCTGAAAGCTCTCCAATGGTTGAGCCAACTCAAGTTTGCAAGGCCAACTGAAGAGAGACTCATTTTCAAACTCTTCAGTTGGCCTAACTAACCTGAGATGATCTAATCACTGAGAATTTCCAGCTCTATGTTCTGCCCTCATAAGGCAGTTTACATGATTACCTATATGAGCAAGGCGAAGAAAACAAAAACGAGCCAGAGCAGCAGCCAGCTATGAAAGAAGCCAAAACTCCAAAACTAAAATCAGCGTGGTCAGAAGAAAGCAAAAGCCCAGCACCTCAAGAAAATAAATCCAAAAAAAAGAGGAGCTCAAAAAAACAAGAAGAAGCCCCACCTGACCCTGAACATGCTGATAGAGAAGCTGAAAGAAAAATGATGCTAGACGATATTAGAAGAAGGAAAAAAGAGCTTAAAAACCAGTCCCAAGAATTCCAGTTTGTAGGAGCTGAAGAAAAAGAGCAGAAAGAAGAAGATGCCATGCTTTATGAAATGGGAGAAGCTATGCTCGCACAAGAGTCTGATGCACAGGAAGAGCCTACTATGGCAACTGAAAGTGAAGTAGTCCCACCTGATAGAGAAGATGACATTGCAGTAGACGAAGAAAGCCAGCCATCACAGCCTTTACCTGAAGTAGAAACTGCTTATTCTTAATTTTATAAGCGATCATACATAAAATATTTCTATTTCTACTATGAATAAAGACTCAGAAAAGAATATAACAAAATTGAAGCACTGAGGCTATACTTCAAAAAGTCTTTTAAAATGTTCATTTTTATCAACAAATACCAATTTCTATATATTTTTCTATAAAAATTCTATTAAATTTTTTTATTTAATATATAAAAGCATATACCTTGAAGAAAAGCTTGGAGAAGAAGTCCTCGTTGAAGCCTACAGAATCATCAAAGAATGCAATGCAAATGAAGACGAGATTGGATATGATAAATATTACCCTTATCTAAAGCACTTGATGAATAGAGAAACCCAATTAGAGTACTTACCTATTATTCAAGCATTAATTGATATGGAGAGTTATTAATTTTAATACATTTTAAAGTGGAGATAATGGAACTAATATTAATTCACCTCCAGCTGTCTTAGCTGTCCTTGTTGAAAAAATATTTCTTGTTGAAGCTGTACTTGGGGTACGTGCTATTGGGCTTTGTATAAGAGAAGACATTGTACGGTTTCTTCGTGACTGCAGCCGGCTTGGGTTTAAAGGCCCAGTTCCACTGAAAGACTGACATCTAGGTGCTTTTTTAGAAACCCCACTTGAGGATAGATTTTTAGATAATGATAAAAAACAGTCAAAACATAATGGCGCTTTTTTCATTAAAAATTTTTCATGATTTTTCAGCCTTTTATAGTCATTTATTCTCAGCTTAGGGTGGATGTTTTTAATTATAATAGGAATTTCTTCATTTTTTAACAGAGAAATTATCATACTGTAGTCCATTTTAGCAATTTTATCAGGCTCGAAAATCGCTTCACACATAGCGCATTTCGTGTTTTTTATCAAAATTGCTGGTTTTTTGTAGTCAACTGTAAGTTTTTTTGGGTTTAAAATAGCAGGGATATTCATTTCAGAGCTTAAGTTTATTGGGTTTTTGTGAGAATCATTAAAAAACCGTAATGATGTCGCACAGAGAAGGCAAAGTCTTAGATTTTGGTCTATCCGGAAGTGCAAAACCATTCCTGCGATTTTCATTTTTTCGAAGGTTACTGCTGATATATGGGTTACTATAGAGTCACAATGCTCTTGAAGCTTTCTTGGCATGTCGCTCCCTCGTAATGGAATAGCATCTACATAGTATTCTTTTCCTTCAAAAGTTGTAGCCCTTTCATATAAGTCGTAAGATTGGTTATAGAGCTCGAGCTTGTTTTCCTTTTTCTCAAACATACAAAAACTTGGAGTCCAAATTGCCGTTAAAGCAAAATTTTTAGGTCCATAAGGGTCCACGAATTTCTGGAGAAGTCCATCATATTCGATTTTCCGCTGGTATCTTGCTTTATTATGAATTAAGTATAGAATGTTTTGCAATTTATTATGAATTTGTTGATTTTTTAAATAATTTCTAGCATAAAATCTAATAAAATTGTATACAAAAATTCATTAAAGGTGTTTTCAGTCAAATATTCAATAATTCTTTCGTCTTTTGATATATAAAAGAACACTGCGACAATCCCTGATTGTGAAATCTTTTTCAAAAACTCCCTCTGAATATGCTCCTTGGTCAATTTTTCTTTCGATTTTCTCTTTATCGTCCCATCCTGAGATGTAAAATATCAAAACCTTGGCTGATAATACTTATAAATCACTGTTTGAGGTATCATTATCTTTGGTATAGAGTCAAAAACCGCATCTTTAGTCCACAATAAATGAAACAGCATATCATTGAGTCCATCAGCCATTTAAATTATTAATTTAAAATATATCAGGACACCCTGTAAAGCAGCCTTTGGCTTTGTCTTCCCAATACCCTCCACTATACACCCATTCGTCATTGCGCTGCTCAAACCATTTTGGCTGATGAATTTCTCCAGTTTCTTCTAAAATTTTTCTGCTTGCTCTTTGCTTTTCTTCAAGTCGGAATTTTTCGGAGCTTGCGAATTTTATGTCGTTAACGTTAATTATTTCAAAGTTAGGGTCTGTGTCCAAGACCCGCTAAGTTGCTGACCCAACTTGGTTTTGTTGAGAAAAACCATTCACCAATGTCTACGCCGCCTCCGATGTTTGGATCCTTAGACAGCTGCACTTTCAGCTCAGTCTTACCAACTTGAGTCCGATCGGCACTCTTAAAGTCCCAGTATTCACCGCCTGGTGTAGTAGCATCCTTCAGGAAATTACATTCCCTAAGGACAGGAGTCCTCCACTAGAAAAGGTAGGCTCTTAATTCCCTGCCATGTCCAGGCTAAATTACTGGAAAAAGCTGACCCCATAATTAAAAAACTCGAAAGAACAATTCTCACTGGGAGACCAGAAAATCCAAGATAGTCCATTTTAATTAGCGAATTTTATGTCACCGTTTTCGAGAGCTCGCTGATCTGGGCGCAGTCGAGAATCTGTAGGGGCTATTCCAGGGACCAGTTCTGGAGGTAAATTTAACTGCAAAGCAAAATCACTGAAATAATAACTGTGTTCAAAAGCATCAGGATTTGGATAAAGCTTCCATGCAACTGTGGTATCCCCAGTGATGGGCTCTATGATATTCATCCCTTCATTATATTTTCCATAAATTTTGTACTTTTCTACCCCATTTGCGTCTAAAATGCTTCCAGCGACTTCGCCTGAAGGCCTTTCAAACCACCCCGCCTTCTTCAATTCAATAACTGCCTTATCCCCAGTCGCAATATTGCTCATTTCTACCGTCCCATAATGTTCCAGATAAATTTTTCCCATAATGATATTGTGTACATTAGACAGAGGTTTCTGCCACACAAAATGGTCATTATATGGCTTCAAGCCTACATGGAACGTTCCGCTCGGGTTAACCACAAGATAAGTCCCTTTAAAAGCTGTTTTTACTTGTGTCATCCCAGAAAACCAATACTTTTCATGATCTACATGAATTGCTGAAACAGGGGGATGATGGGAAACCTGCTCACTTATCAAATTAAACCCATCTCTTTGTAACTCGTAGGTTTCACCTAATAAGGGATTAAAAGGCTTCATTGTTCTGTTTTCATTACTTGCGTATGAAGATACAGCAAAGCATGCTACATAAGCAAGCCTCATGCAGGAGTCTGGGCATGTGGCTGCTTTTACAAGGGTTTCACTATAAGTCAAATCTTCACTAAATCGTTGTAAAAAGCTCAAGGGCTCATTAAAATATACAGGCACTGCAATCCTGCTTAATTCAAGTCCTATTGAATCTTTTATGACTTTTCATATATTTATTTTCTGTCTAGGGTTTCTTAGCACAGGTAAGCAGCTTCTATGTGGCATTAAATCATTAGGGACTAATAAATTCACTTCAATTTCTTCTATTTTCTCTGAAATATGGCTCTGAGCATCTACAAAGTCAATTGCGTCGTCATCAATGCCAATATCATAGCCAGCCTCGACCCTTTCTTTTTGGACTTTATCAAACTCTACCCCTCCAATATCGACTTCAGGAGGCTCATTTCACAATTTCAAATGGTTTTTTTCTGCATCCTCAATAATCCCTAATGTTTCTGAACCTATGATTTTCATTTGTTCAGTGAGGCTAATAATCTTGTCAAGCCCTGGGATATGTTTTTTCATGTTAGAAGGAATTAAATCAATTGCGGCCTGAATTTGAGCATGGACGCTTCACATCTCTCCAATTTTGCCTGAAATTATTTCTGATATCGGGATTTCTTTACTCTCTACACAGTTAAGCAAAATTATTTTATTTGATCTTAAATGATTATATTTTTATTTAAGATTTTTATTAGGTTAAAAATTATAAAATCGGGCCTTTGTTATATGTTTAAGATTTAATAAAAAAATTATTTTTAAGGAGATTTTTTTAATAAAAAGAATGATTTTTGCAAGTTTTAGCTTCCACTGAGGAGGGAGTTAGGGTTTTGTCTTGGAGCGTCAGTTCTGTCTGACTGCTCCCTTCTGATAGCCCAATACCAGTCTTCAGCTTCTGAAACTGTAAACGCTTTGAGATGAACTGAGGTGCAGCCTGTGTCTATATAAAATCTCAGCGGATTTCTGGGGTGTTTAAATACATTCGAAATATCAAGATGTATAGCGCCACGCTTTGAAGATCCTTTTTCTTTGCAGTAGTGAAGAACTCCATCATGCAGGATAAAATACCGCCTTTGCCAGCCGAAAACATAGTTAGTTCATTTTAAAAGGTAGCCTTCCATGAATTATAAAGATGAGCAAAAGCCAATTTAATGGTGAAAATTCCCTTATTATTTCACAACTTGTATGTGAAAATCAGCTTTTTTTATTAAATAAAAGATATGCAATAAATCTAGCTCATTATTTATCTAACCATCACGACCTCATCAATCTTCAGAATCATCCTGACACACTCAGTTGCTAACCTCACTGCGCTCAATGTAACCAATAAAGGCTGCATCACATTTTCGTCCAACATATTCGTGATCCCTCCTCTCCTCACGTTAATTCCTGCATTTCTGTCTCCTTCAATATGTCTATTCCTAAGCTCTGTCACAAGTGAAATCGGACTCAGTCCTGCATTTTCTGCTAAAGTGTATGGGATTATTTCAAAAGCCTCAGCAAAAGCTCTTACACAGATGGCTTCAGCACCTATAAGCTGTCTTGAAAATTCCATTAGTCTGATAGAAATTTCAGTTTCAGGGGCTCCTCCACCTGGTAAAAGAGCTTTTTTCTTGACAAGACTTCTTATAACACAAAGAGCGTCATGTAAAGACCTATCAGCTTCGTCAAGAATCAATTGGTTTGAGCCTCTTATAAGAATTGAGGACGTTTTGCCGCTTGGATGGTCATTTTGGACGCCTGTGATCCTCACAATTTTGCCTTCGCCGACTGTTTCTTCTTCACATAACTCAGCTGTGCCTAGCTTGTCTGGGGTAAATTGATCAACGTGAGCAGCTGGGGTGAGTCCAAGAGTTCTTGATATAAAGTCTACATCATCACGTTCTATATCTTTAATGACCATAATTTTGTTTTTAGCTAAATAAAACAAGCTCAAATCGTTTGTAGCGTCTCTGAGGACTGATTTTTGTATTAAAAGGACATTGCAGCCTGTTTGGACTATTTTCTGGCACAGTCCTACGATATATTTTCTTTCTTCCCTCAAAATTCTGTCCATAGCTTGATAATCATGCACAACGACGCTGTTTTCCATATCAGTTTTAGGTGACGACAAACAGAACTGAATCAGTCCAATCTTAGGGTTTGCTACTCTGGTAGGGCCTCCAGCTGCATGTGCGGCGTGGTTTGTGGCGAAAACCAGGCCATTTACCAGCTCTGTATCGTCTACAGTCCCTCCTAGTTTTTTACTGACCTTAATATTCCTCAAATCTACATTATCGTCGTCAGGTTTCACTATATTCATAACGGCTCTGACTGCAATTGGAGCCAGCTCTTGTGAGTGCTGTGAGACAACTTTGGAAGCTAAAGAAGTTGACGCGATTTTTATCAAGGCTTCTTCGTCGTTTAGGTCAAGCTTTATTGACATTTCTTCAAGGACTTCTGAAGCTTTGTTAATCGCAAGCTTAAAACTGTCAGAAATCAAACTTGGGTGGATGCCTTTGTCAAGCAGCGCATTGCAGGAGCTTAAAAGAGACCCAGCCAATACCACAACTGAGGTGGTACCATCACCAGCTTCAATGTCTTGGGCTTTGGAGAGCTCTACAAGCATTTTGGCAGTGGGGTGGACGACTTCCATTTGTTTAAGAATGGTCGCTCCGTCATTGGTAATGGTCACTTCGCCTTTGGAGTCTTTGATCATTTTGTCCATGCCACGTGGGCCTAAGGAGGTTCTTATGGCGTCTGCGACTGCTTTGGCTGCTGTGATGTTGGTGGATCTGACACTTCTGGATTTTTCTGACCCTGTGAAAGTCCTTTCTTTAGTTGTAGCAGCACTCATCAATTATAAAATGGATTAGGTTTCAATAGAAGTTTTATATGAGTAGTTTGGATTTGATAAATTGTTAAGCCGGATATAGGTGATTTATTTAATTCTCCTAGGCTAGATTTATAAAAATAAATTAATTTTTCTAATTATTTTTAGTCAGTATTTTCCCAAAATTTAGAAACCACACAGTGTAAAAATCAAAAGGGGTTAAGAATTATAATGGCTTGCTATAGAAAATAATATGAAAGTAAAAATTGAAAAATGACTTGGAGTTGCAAGGTGGGCTTGGGATGTCCCAGACCCTCAATGTGTCATTTGCTTACTGCCTTTTGAATCACCGTGCCCTACTTGTAAAAATCCTGGAGATGATTGCGCGCCAATCGAGTCAGAATGTTCACATCATTTTCATCTTCATTGTATAAGCCATTGGACGTCTGAAGGAAACGAGAAGTGTCCTTGCTGTAGAGCAGTATTTAGAATTAAAGTTATCAGCAGTGAGCAGCAATTTAGATCAGCACGAGCATAGCTTCAAAAATAATCAGTTTAATATATTTGAATCAAAATCAATCTTAATTGAAAATCATTAATTTATAATATCTGTTAAAAATCTTTACTATTATTTGTTATACCAATCCCTCTATTTTCTCCCTTCCCTTATCTTACTACCTTTACCTTCAATTTCACCCAAATTTGGTATATAAATTACTTCCAATTTAATGACATCTATATATTAATATGTTGAGAAGGATTTCCTCTCTAACTAAAAATCCTTTCAAACATGTTGTCCAAGATCTCAACCTTCCCACCAGTCTTCAGTATTTTTCATTAACCGCTCTACAAGATTCTCGTGTTCTGGAGCTTCCATACTGCATAAGAGTCCTTTTAGAATCTTCTGTTCGAAACTGCGACGAATTTTCTATCAAAGGTACAGACGTAGAAAACATTTTAGACTGGCAAAACAAAAGCAAACTAGACGTAGAAATTCCTTTTAAGCCAGCCCGCGTTGTTTTACAAGATTTCACTGGCGTCCCAGCTGTTGTGGATTTGGCAGCTATGAGAGATGCCACAGTAAAACTGGGGAAAAATCCAGGATTAATCAACCCTTTATGTCCTGTTGATTTAGTTATTGATCACTCAGTACAAGTCGATGCAAGCAGGACGCCAGATGCCCTGAGAACCAACGAAGAAATGGAGTTCAGGAGAAATCGAGACAGGTTCGAGTTCTTAAAATGGGGACAAAATGCGTTTAAAAATTTACAGATTGTACCACCTGGGTCAGGAATTGTGCATCAGGTTAATCTGGAGTATTTGGCGAGAGGAGTTTTTAATGAAGATGGCTTGCTTTATCCGGATTCGCTTGTTGGGACTGATAGTCATACCACAATGATTAATGGGCTGGGGATTGTAGGCTGGGGTGTAGGAGGAATTGAAGCAGAAGCAGTTATGCTTGGCCAGCCAATATCGATGGTGTTGCCACAAGTGATTGGATTTAAGCTGACTGGAAAACTGCCTGAAGAAGTTACTTCTACTGATTTGGTGCTCACTATAACACAAATGCTTACTCCTTATATAATATATTAAATTTTAACTTGGAAAATAATTTTTTTAACTAAATTAACATGGATACATATTTAATTAATAATAATTCATCAAAAAAAATTTTTTTATAAATAGCAGGCTTTACTTCTTTGAGAGGAATTTAGAAAGAAAGGAGTAGTAGGAAAATTTGTGGAGTTCTTTGGAGAAGGCTGCAGAAAGCTAAGTTTAGCCGACAAAGCAACAGTTGCTAACATGGCACCTGAATATGGAGCTACAATGGGCTTTTTCCCAGCCGATGACCAAACTTTGAAGTATTTAGAACAAACAGGCAGAGACCCAGAAAAAATCCAATATATCAGTGCATACTTAAAAGCTCAAGGATTATTCAGAGATTACTCTGGAATTGATCCCAAATATTCAGACATCATGGAACTAGACCTCTCTGAAGTCCAGCCTTGTATTGCAGGTCCAAAAAGACCTCAAGACAAAATCTCTCTTTCTCTCGCAAAGCAAAACTTTAAATCATGCTTAACAAGCCCTGTAGGATTTAAAGGCTTTGGGCTAAAATCTGCTTCAAACCCACAAACCTTAACTTATAAAGGACAGGAATATGCAATTAATCATGGCTCAGTTGTTATAGCTGCTATTACGTCTTGCACAAATACATCAAATCCAGACGTTATGCTTGCTGCAGGAGTTTTAGCTAAAAATGCTGTTGAAAAAGGGCTTAAAGTGAAGCCTTATATTAAAACCAGCTTATCCCCAGGCTCAGGAGTTGTCAGTAAATACCTAGAAGCTGCAGGAGTTCTACCATTTTTGAATGAACTAGGATTTTATCATGCAGGGTATGGGTGTATGACTTGTATTGGAAATAGCGGAGATTTAGATCCAGAAGTTATTGATGCTATCACAAAAGGAGATTTAGTTGCTGCAGCTGTTTTGTCAGGAAATAGAAACTTTGAAGGACGTGTAAATCCTTTTACAAGGGCTAACTATTTAGCGTCACCTCCACTTGTAGTGGCATATGCCTTGGCAGGAAGAATGGATATCGATTTTGAAAAAGAACCACTTGGTAATGTAAATGGAACTGATGTTTTCTTAGCTCCCTCATGAAGAAAAAATTGTTTTTATAGAAAATTTTGTTTTAATTGGAAATTTGAAATTTCTAATTTAATTAATTTATGTTTAGAATTATAAATTAGTAGAGTAGATTAGAGGCAGAGTATTTTAAGTGCTACTTCCCTGAGTATCATGCGCTCTAAAAATGGCCGCTGTGGGATCAGCACATGGAAGATTATAGAAGCCCGGGCTTAAATCTCCTGGTTTCTCGATAGTGCACATACTTCTGAGTCCCTTTTAAACCGGAGAGACTAGCACTTGAACCCTTGCCTAGCCTGTCTTCTCTCTTCCTCATGATTAGCTCCGAATGAAAAGCCCATCAAGCTTGAACTTGTTCGGGACAGGCCACGAAGGGGCTTAGGCAGGTAAAAAGGCCTGCCTCTGTCGGACACCCATTTCTGGGCCTGGGTATTGCAGGCAAAAAAGATGCAAAAAACTGCCGCTTCTGGCCAAGTTACTAATCAGCAGAATTAGTGTTTTCCTCTCTCTTCGAGGCTAACCCAACCCTTGAGAATCTTTTGCACTAAATCCCGCATCCAGACATATATAAGGATATCTCCCACGGGGAGGACGGATCTCTCGTCACCGGCCATTTTATTTTAATATAAAAATTAGTAAATAAGCAAAAATAAATTAAAATGATTTTAAAAGCCATGTATCTCTAAAACTTTAAGATAAAATTACAATTTTTCCTTATATTCTCTCAATTCTAAAGCACGGAATAAGAGATGTCTGGCCTTCCAGAAAAGAAATGCAAAACCTCACTAACAGTGTAATCAAGCCACAAATGTTTAAAGAAATCTACGGAAGAATCGCCCAAGGCACAGACAAATGGAACCAGCTTCAAGCTCCAACTGGAGAAATGTACAACTGGACTGAAAACACCTACATCCACAACCCTCCTTATTTCCAAAGCTTAACTCACGATCTCCCCTCAATTCCCGACATCACCGATGCATACTGTCTCCTCAAACTTGGCGATTCCATCACAACTGACCACATTTCTCCAGCTGGCAACATCGGAAAAACATCCCCTGCTGCCCGATTTTTACAAGAAAAAGGGGTTTCTCAATCAGATTTCAATACATATGGAGCAAGAAGAGGAAATGACGAAGTAATGAAAAGAGGAACCTTTGCCAATATTAGACTTATCAATCAGCTTGTCGAAAAACCAGGCCCTACCACCGTCCATTTCCCTACAGAACAAGAAATGTCAGTATTTGACGCTAGTGAAGAATATAGAAAAAATAACCAAAATCTGATTGTTTTGGCTGGAAAAGAATACGGCAGCGGGTCTTCAAGGGATTGGGCTGCTAAAGGAACTTTGCTATTAGGAATTAGAGCTGTTATAGCAGAAAGCTATGAGAGAATTCATAGATCTAATTTAATTGGTATGGGAGTTTTACCTTTACAATTTAAAGAAGGCGAAAATGCGGAGTCTTTGGGTCTGACTGGAAAGGAGAAATTCACAATAAATTTGAAAGGAGGAGATATCAAGGTAAAAGAAGAAATCAGCGTAAAAACTGATAAAGGGACGGAATTTCAAGTCGTTGCAAGAATTGACACTGATGTAGAGGTCGAGTATTTCAAAAATGGAGGAATTTTGCCGTATGTGCTGAGGAAGTTGTGCGCTTAATTAAGATTAAGTCTTCTAATTTTTGTTAGGAATAAGGAATAGAATATAAGGGGAGGTGAAAAGTTTTTGAAGAGAAATAAGGGAATAAAAAATGACTGCTGTGGGATTTGAACCCACGCCCTTTCGGAATAGCGCCTAAAGCTACCGCCTTAGACCACTCGGCCAAACAGTCAACTTATGCATCCTTTAATATGATATCTTTAAATTGATTAGTTTTGAATAATTATTGTCTTTTTGATATAAATCATTTTATTATTTTTCCAATTTTTATATTTTATTATCAACAAATCCAATTGTTTTTAATCATACTACTGCTGGGCTTGATTCACAATTATTTTTAACCTTCAAAAAGCAAATTCATTGAGTATTTTAAAAGAATTGAAAGGTTAGATACCAGAAAACTAAAAGAACAGTAAAATCGTAAGCCTATTAAAGAAAAGGGATAATTTGTATTCCTTTCAAAAATCATTATTTTTATTTTCAAATTAATCTATTTTCTTATTAAAAGAATTATTCTAGAAAATATATGGGGCATAGTGAAGATGATGGATACAGAGACAAAAAATATGAGCGCTCTCACCGGAGAAGAAGAAGCCGCAGCAGAGAAAGGGAATTTAATAGAGACAGAAATAGAGAAAACAAAAGAAGCAAAGAAAAAATAACAAATGATGATAAGCCTGCTATCAGAGGAAGAGGTAATAAAGCAAGCGCAGGACTAAGAGCGTGGGATGACAAATTATTCCCAGAAGAAAAAGCAAAAAAAACTCAGCCTCAGGAGCCAGCTGCTGAATCTTGAATTGACACAGAGATAAATTTTGCTGAAAAATCAAGAAAAGATGACCCAGAGAAAAAGAACCAAAAATCATTCTGGAAACATGATAAGTTTGACATGGTCAACAAGAGCCCTGCTTTAGAAGAGCCGATTGGAGGAGGAATTTCAAGATCTTCACCGAGATATATGGTCAAGCACAGGTAGCAACCCTACACCCCCACCCCCCCACCCCCTCTTTTTTAATGTACCCCCACCCTCCACCACCCCCCCTTTTAGTGGCACCCCCACCCCCCCTTTCACAGATGGCACCCCTACCCCCCCCTTAATATAGTATAGATATATCACAAATGCTAATTTAGAGCAGGCGTAATAAATAAATTATTATTTTAGATATTAAAAATTACTGATTTATACAATATCATATAGCGTAGCGCAATCGATTAAGGAGCAGTGAAAATTTCCTATAACTACTAAGAACCCCACATCTGAAGAAATTTGCTGACAAGCATAATGATCTTTGGTATTAATTAGCAGTATATCCTGTATATATTTATGAACTTTGTGGAACAATGGCTAAAGAGTCCATTTTAGAGATCTAAAAGTAAAACTGACAATAGCAAATACTATTTTTATTAGCACATTGCTTTTCAAATGAAAGAGATGCTCTATATAAGTTAGGCAGTAGAGAATAAGATATGGAATGCTATAAATAAGCTATCAGAGTTGATTCAAATTATGCTGATGCATACAATAGCATAGGAGTTATCTTCTATAAAGAAAAGAGTTATGAAAAAACACTAAAACATTGTAACGATGCAATTAAAAAAATCCAAACTGTGGAGATTATTATTATAATAATAAAGGAGATTATTATTATTATAATAATAAAGGAAATGCTCTTAATCCCCCCCTCTTTAAATTGGAACAAAAATATAGGTAAAATTTCCACTTTTTTGGTAAATTAACCCCCTTTAAATTGGAACAAAATTAATTTTATAATAAAAAAATTATAATAATTTTTATGTAAAAGGTTTTGATATAAGTTAAATGTTTCTTCTTAACTAAAATCAAAAATTTAGTTATATCTTGTTCTTGTTTAAAGAAGAGAGTATAAAGATCATCTTATTTAAATAAATTTATTATCCTTAATTGCTAAATTTTAAAAAAAAAATTAATTGTTTTTTTTAAAAAATTTTTATTCTTTTTTGATAAAAATGATATTTTTTATTTAAATAGTTTTGATATAAATTCAATAGGAATTCATTATAAATTTTAAAATTTACTAATTTCTTGCTTTATTTTAAAGAATAGAGTATAAATAGCATATTATTTAAACAAAAATTAGCACTTTGATCGATAAATTTTCTAAAATTTTTTTGTTTTTAATTTTTTTTTTATCAATAAAAATAATAACTTTTGTGTAAATAATTTTGATACCAATTAATAGTGGCGTATTAACTAATAATGATATCTTGCTTTGTTTTAAAAAGATAAAGAGTAAATAGCATTTTATTAAACAAATTTATTAATCTAATTCGATAAGTTTTTGAATTTTTTATATAAATTTTTTTTATAAAAAAAATTAATCCCCTTTAAATTGGAACAAAATTTTTTGTTCCAATTTAAATGGGGGGAGTTAGATAGTTAGGAAGAAGAGAAGAAGTTTTGGAATGCTATAAAACACAATCAAAAAGAATAATGGTAACTCAAGATGTGATATAGGCATGGTATGTAAGAAAATATGAATATAATTAATACTTGAATTCGCAAAAATTTTATTTTATGAATTGATTACTTTTAAACCTACTATTTAAGCTAATTATCCATCTTCTGCATATCCTGTATTAGCTCATATTACATCCATCTTGAAGTTACCTACACTGTATTCATCTTCGCTGCACTCTGTAGTTATTGTATTGTGCTTGATTCATTTAATAATTACTGACATTATCAATATCTTTGGCATTGTATTTATAAATATAAAAAACAAATTTAATATATTTCCTAATTAATTTTTAATTAATTTGAATTTATTAATTAATCGTAATTATTAAAGCAATTTATAGACTTCATTTATCAATATAGCGCTTTAATTGGATTATATTTAAAATATTCTTTTTAAGGGAGGGGGGTGGGGGTGCCATCTGTGAAGGGGGGGGTGGGGGTGCCATTTTTAGGGGGGTGGGGGGGTGTAGGGTTGCTACCTATGCTTGACCAGATATAACTAAAAGGGATAATTAAAAAGTTAAACTCCCATCATAACTAATATTATTTACTGGATAAGGCTTTACTCTGTTTAAATAATCTCAATGCCTAACTTATGAAATTAATCTACAGTTTATCTCTACAATTAAGCTAAACTTTTTCATTAAAATAGGCTTTTTCTAGATTTTATACACAAAAAATGGCTAGGTACTGGCCGTCCTTCTTCAGGAATTTTCAGAGTTTGAAGACATAGCTGCGACCTGAAGTCAACCTGATAGAAAAAGGCGAGAAAAACACTGGAATACTGTTATCAGAGTGGGTTTTTTCTGATTGGGACTCCATAGCAGGATTTTTACCTCGACCCATCCAGGGCAAAGTTCACGCCGGCAGCTAGGAGGAGGCATCTGAGCCTCCTCAAATATGGCGACACCAATTTAAATGACATGAGTACTACCCGATGCTTAGAACAAGAAACCTGAAGCTGGCAAGACGTATAAGAGTTTAGATAACCTCAGAGACCCCCTAAATCTAACTTATCTATCACCGAAATACGAATAAAGCTAATAAATAATACTATTGATTAATTTGCTTATTATTTTATTCAATTAATAGCTTCAAATATCATGCTTAAACCATTTCATAGCTTGTGTTTTTTTCTTCGCATAATTAAAATATGGCGTCTCAACTTGGCTTGGCCTCTCGGCCAAGCAGTATCGAGCCCTAATTTAATTATATCCGGCAAGGTTTTGCTAGTGAAGAAATGGACAGTTATGCTAGATAACTAGCCCTAGTCTATTTTCCGAGTTCGACTTTACCTCGAGGGAAGGGAGACTTGGAGTAGGAAAGGGGAAAGCCCAGCAAAGCCTTTCTAGGCCATTCGGGCAACTCCCTAGCGAGAAAACAGGAGTTTCGCCTTGGGCTACAAGTTTTACCCTTTTGCCGAAAGTCGGCCAGAAATTCCATTTTTTGAAATTTCGAGGCAGGCAACCTTCGTTGGCGTACGGCACGGTGACTACAGGGCGCATGTGCAGGCCCATGTCCGTAGGAGCAAGGCGAGTGGAGCGTTATGGAAGGGAATAAGGGCTTTCGGGCCCCGACAGGGAGCTTTTCGATAATCTTAAGTTAAGTTAAGTGTTTTTCTTCGCAATTTTTTCCTTTGCAATCATATATTTCTCTTTCGCTTTAACAAAAACCGATCCAAATATTCCTTGAATTTTCTCAAGCAGCCCTTCAAAGAATTTATAATGAGGGATTGCGTCAGACCCTCTAATCCCTCGAATGCTATTAATAATGATCCCTCCTGCAAAATATACCCAGACAAATCCTAAAAATCCTGCGAGATACCACCATTCTTTTCTAATATGAAATGTGCTTGTCACAGGACACCCTGCCGGTGTATTTTTTGTGAGAAAAACGTGACAGTACCCAAATCCAGACTCTTCTACCACTTCTCATTCAGTCTCATAGTTGCTGCAATGCAGTTTAAAAGTGGCAGCTCTTTTAATAGAATCTAATCCTTCATATGATTCTGAGCATAAATCTCCGCCTCCATAAGTGATTTTAAACCCAGCTTGAGGGTTATTAGGATTTATTAGTCCATATGATGTCATTTCTTGTCGGCCTAGGATATCACAAGACTCAAAAATTTCGTCCCAAAGCTCAATGACTTCAATCGCGCCGACGTATTGTCCTGAGCATTGCTGCTTTAGGCTTGTGCCAAAATTAAAATAATATTTTGTTGATACAATGAGATCTGAAGAAGGGTAAACTATTCAAGGGTCGTCTTCTGGCTTTTGTAGAGACTCAAAAGAGAACTGAGAGCCAGAAACAGGGTCAGTCCACTCCAAATCGGCTGCGTTAGCAACTGATAGTAAAATGAGTAATAGCATATTTTATAAGACATGTTCAGTTAATTTAATAAGGATATAAAAACGAAAGATAAGCAATTTTTATGCAAAATTAAGTGGTCTGTGGTGAAATTTCAATTGATTGAGAATAAAATCGCTGAGCGTAAGGGATTAAAATGAAAAAGGCACAATTGTAATTAAAATAGTTATAATTTTATTTTGCATTAATTACGTCTTAACTGGGAAATGCAATTTTTTATAGAGGGAGTATGAAGCCAAATAATATGATCTAGCATCTGTTTTATATTAATTTAAAATGAGTTCAAGCTTTTACCTCAACCCAAATTACAATGTAACCCCTATCTAGGGACCTATGGTTCTCGAAGCATACCTAAAAAAGCTCAAAAACTTCAGAGCAAAAGCTCTTTTTTTATCAAGATTCACCAAAAGATGATTTACCCTGAATTTACACACTGGCGTATTTTCTTATAAAAAGAAAGAATCTGACAAAAACCCTCATGAGTCTCACAATCTTAACGATTTAATTGGTTTTGATCCTAACCCACGAGTTACTATAGTGTCAGATTGGAAATTTTTGTTTTCAATAGAATTTAACACTAGGACTTATACGCTTTATACTGATTCATTATCAACTCACAATCAATGGTGTCTGGCGTTTAAAGCACTCCTTACTAGAGCTCATACAAATCCAGCTGCAGAAAGCTCAACGACTTTTTCACGAGCAGGGATTTCAATGGCTAATGAAAATCGTTATGAAAGCCCAGAAAGGCGAGTTAGAGGAAATTCTGAATCTCCCTTCATGATTAAGTAAAAATTAGCTTGGTATCAGATTATATGAAAATCTAGATTTTTAAATTCCCTTTAAAATAATTGATAAAAACTAAAAGATTGTCTGCAATACAAGCTGCCTAAATTATGAGTTGTACATTTCATTTATTATCATTAAAATAGTTTATTTTCTCGAAATTTTTCTCATTTTTGGCTAGTTTCCAATATTCTATGAGGGAAGTGAGGAAAATACTCCTTCTGATGGTGGATATCAAGAGATTCCTCAAAGAGGAAACCGATTTAATTCGCAAGCACAGATATCTCAACCACATAATGAAAAATCAAATTTCCCTACACATCCTGATGAAGGTTATTTTAATCCTCCAAAGCTTGAAACCTCCAAATTGACGAGTCCAGTTAAATCAACCCATCAACGGAGAGACACTATATGTTCAGAAGATGATCCAACACCTTCACAAGAAAATAATCCAGTGCAGCCATCTCCTCAAAAAAAAGAAAATCCTCAACCGATTGAAAATGAGACAAAATATATATTAATACTTGGCTCATGTTTTTCCTCTGGAGTTTTTGGTAATGGCAATTTGTTCTGCGATATTTGGTCAAATTTTTTCCCTGAGACATTGGATCGAAATTTGACGGCTTTTCAGAGCAAATGTGTCAGGAAGAAAAAATTGATCACTAAATCAAATGAAATGGAGCCTTAATACTAAGCCCGAAGCGAATATAGAGGAGGATCGATATAAATATCATCAAATATATAAAGCTGAGGAAGAATTAGAGGTTCCACCATTACAGCCTTTAATTAGGATGAAGTCAAAAGATCCTGATGAATATGAAAGAAAAATTCAAACTATTGAGATTAAGCAACAAGCTGAAATGAATTTACAAGGCGGAGGCATGGAAAAATATCAAGACCCAGAAAAAGGGTCATGGCAACATGAAGGAGGCTATTCTTTACAAAGAAAAGAAATTCCAGAGCAAGATTATGAAGTTTTATATTGTTTAGCATTAAATTGCAATGATAGATTATTTTCTTATCGTAATTATATAAATTTATATAATAAACACCAATATTAATTTCTATGGTATACAAAATCAAAATTTACAGAATAGAAATACTGAAATAAATCAGACAAATCCAATAAATTATCATGATTATATAGAACAAGGCGGGATCTATGAAAATAAGCATGTTCTAGATATTGATCATTATGAGGAAAAGAAACAAGAAAGAGAAAGCAGGGTCGATTTTGTAGACCAATGCAAAGCTTCAATCGGAATTAAAGAAGATGTAAAGAAAATAAAACGAGAAAGACTTCAAGAAAGGCAGCCTCAAAATAAAGAGCTTGAGTCGAATTATCAAGACTTGGTAGACCAACACAAAGCCTCAATTGGATTTAGAGAAGATGCAAATAAAAAACCTCAAAATAATAAGCCTGAGCCAAATTATCAAGACATTGTAGACCAATATAAAGCCTCAATTGGATTTAAAGAAGATCTAAATAAAAATAATAAGCCTAAGCCAAATGGTCAAGACTTGACTGATCAATATAAAGCCTTAAGTGATATGAGAGAAAATGAAATCAAAGGAAGACAAGAGTGGCCTGAAGAAAAAAAATCTAAAAATAGCATGCCTAAGTCAAATTATCAATTGAAATATGAAAATAAAGTTGATACAGAGCAAAAATATTCTACGTTTACAAAATCAGATTCCCCGAATAAAGATTTAACACCTACTAAAACACGTTTTTTCGGACCCCAGACTGGGATGATGGACGTTTTTGATGATTTTGAAAAATTTGGGCTAGACGATGTAGAGGTGAGACCAAAGCTGCCGATGTCTAAAAGCAAAAAATTGGTGAATTCTGGGAATAAGCAGCAAATTGAAGAAATTAAAGTGGCTTCTCATTTAAGCGAAAAACGACTCCATAATCCTGTAGAAATTAAGGATGAGGAGCAGATTAAAAGGCCAATTCATAATCCAGCTTCCCAAAATCAAGATATTGCAGGCAATCATGAGCCAAAGCAAAGCTTCAATTTTAAGATAAAGAAGAATCCAAGTAATAAATCAACCAAAACTTTTTCCTACAAAGGGCATAGCAATTATCAAGAAAAAACAAATATTCAGCCGACTAAAGAAGAAATTAATAACTGGGATTGGGATTAAATTAAATATTTGCGATTAAATAATTAGAAAATTTGACAATAAAATTCTTTAATTAATTTATTTAAATTATTTGTTAAATTTACATTTTTTACCATTTTTATTAAATATGAATACCCCCCAGATTTTTCATTTGGAAGGAGACATTTGGCTTGTTCCTTGTATGGCTAGCTTCAGCAGAAATAAATTTCATCCCTTAGCGGTCCCAGCCGATGTCAAAATTAAAAAAGCTCATCATCGCTCTGAAAAAAACTGAAATGCGGTAGAAGATGAAATACTCAAGAAAATAATTGAATCTAAAGGCACAAAGGTCTGAAACACTGTTGCAAAAGAACTGACTTCTCTTCCATAAATAAACAAGGTTTTTGCCTTCTCATTTTTAAGATCTTTATCAAAAATTTAATTACAAAAATTTAGGAAATAAATTTTTATCAATTTATTAAATTTCTGTTTAAATAAAAGCTACCGTCATATTAATCATTAATTATATAGTGACTTACACTACCTAGAACGTTTTAGTTTTGTTGCTGGCACTATCAAAAAAAGCCCCGTTCTAGATAGTGTAAGCCACTATATCTAAAAATTGTATCTTAAAAATTTATTTTTCCAAAATTCCGTTATTTTGCTCGCTAAGAAGGGGGGGGTAAACACTTTATATTACGCTGGAAAAGAAATCAGACGAGGCCGCCATTGCAGAGAAAGATGGTATAACCATCTTGATCCTAAATTAATAAAAGGAGACTGGACTGATAAAGAAGATATTTTTATTCTTGAGCAGCAAAGAATTCATGGTAATAAGTGGAGCGATATTGCAAAAAAACTGCCTGGGAGGAATGAAAATAGTGTAAAAAATAGATGAAAAACTATGATACAGAAGGCTACTAAAGACCATCCTAGAGGGAATGGCATAATTGACCTTCTTATTGCCCAGAAAACAGGGATTGATAAAGAAGAAAATTATGATGAAAATGATGCAGAAACGAAAAATGAAGCTCCTTATTAGATTAAATTTATTAAAGTGAGTCTCGGAGAAATTACTTCAGTCTTTTTTTGGCTTGTTGGCTACGAGCTTGAAGCGACCCTGAAACACCAATTTGGTGTTACAGAGAGACTCATCAAAATTATGCTCGGACCAGGCTATAAGACAAGAATTTATTTAACTCTGCTAGTGCTTAGGTTGTGAGCGAAACCGTATCACCTCCTTTGTAGCAGCTCTACCTTTTATCAACAAAGAAATAAAATGGTGCCGCTGATGGAAATTGAATCACAATGTGCACTCCTTATGGAGCTGGACAGACAAACACTGATTAGGGTGAAAACAGGGCTTCTGAGCCTTTTTAAAGTAGTCCTTCAGGTTTGGGATGCCTTGCCGAAGAGGAGAGTTTTGCTTCTCTCCGAAGGTTTTCCTGTCTCTTCCAGGTGGGCCAAACAGGTTTTGCCTAGCACATGGTCTTATCTCATCTGGACCATCGGGGAACTCTGCAGGTGCTGGCTCTAACTTAGGGGCTGATCCCTTGGATATGTGGTTCGGTTCGGAAATCCAAATTGACAATCTTGACATAAATGACAGCAAAAACCATTTGAATTTTTTTTTGTGGAAAAAAATATACTATTACAAAAACCTTGTAAAAAAAGGGCTGAAAAAAATCATATAAAATAGTTTTATTATCAGACTAATTTATATCTAGCAGATAAAGATAATAACATTATATTAAACATTAACAGCATTTATAGTTTAAACTATATATAAATAAGATAATTCTATATAAATGCTGGAATGACATAGCACATATTATATTACCTTTTTTGTCTGAAAAAAATTCACAGAAAAAGATAAAAAGAGTGAGTTTAATATTGCTTGAGGCATTAAAAACAGCAATAGCAAGAAAACAAATTAAGACTACAAGAAGTTATTCATTAGCATAAACATAGACTCCTAAGTCTCAAAAGACATAATAAAAAAAGCTCAAAATTTAAAAGCTGAAAATGATCTGAAAAATTCAAGTTAAAATTCTTAACTGAAAAAAATCAATTTAATTTATTTTCGCCTGAAAAAAATACATCGAGAAAAATAGGACGATCTGTTTTTGCTCGTATAATTATAAAATTATCAATAGATTAAATAAAAATAAATAGAGGACGTTTAACGGTAGAATTAGCCATACTCATCTAAAATACTCCTGCAAAATACGTCTGTAAAATACTCCTATAAATACCACCTAAAATTAGATGCTTTATTTAATAGAATAATTGCAATAATGATATGGACAGCATGAACTTGAAGAATGTAAGATTGAAACCAAAGCAGAAGAATCATCTATTAGCTTATGTGAAACAACTTTCTCTCACATAAGAAGATGAAGAAATATCATGTCTTGCCCTTTTTGGACGCCGCAGTATGCGGCACTTACTGGACGACTAACTTCGTAGCTTCAGAATCTGAGATACGAGACTGACCAGTAAGTGCTATATACTGGTGACTAAAAAGAACCAAGGCAATATCTCTACTGGTGAATTTTTTCCCCCCTGATGACTGAACTGAATCCACCGAATCCAATTGAAGAGATTATTATCCTTAATTTGATCCTCAACCTAAGCAGTTTCAGTTCAAAGAAATTGTGCCATAATATTATTTAGGGTCTTTTTATGAAGAAGTAATTAGTGAAATTATCAGATATCCCTCACACATTATTAAACTCACACTTTTTATCTTTTTCTGTGAATTTTTTTCAGACAAAAAGGGTAATATAATATGCGCTATGTCATTCCAGCATTTATATAGAATTATCTTATTTATATTGAGTTTGGACTATAAATGCTGTTTAATATTTTAATATAATGTTATTATCTTTATCTGCTGGATATAAATTTAGTTTTGGTGATAAAAACAATTTTCTTTGAATTTTTTTCAGCTTGTTTTTGCGAAAAAATCACCATGATTTTTTTTTCCATCTTTTGTTTTCTTATAAGGTTTTTGCACTGCATTTTTTTCTACCAAAAAATGCCAAATGGTTTTATATTCTTTTATATCAAAAAAAAAGAGATGGAAAAAACCACTGTAATTTTTCCCCGCCTTACCCTTACAAGAAGCTATTGCTCTATCTGTCTATCACAATGGACTGAGAAAAAAAGTTTGGCCACCCTAGAACTGAAAAACCCATCCTGACCTTCGATCAAAATGCGATTCCAAACACTCCGGGCTAAGTCAGCCCTTCGGTCATCAGAGTGCTGAGAATAATTTTCGCCATTTTAATAAAAAGTAAGAAGCTCCTGAAGAAACAGAAATATGATACTCTACTATATAAACTAATAATTACTCATATATTTTTAATTATTAAGCAACTTTTAGCATCATTTCAGTAAATTCCCTCAAATCAATAAGCCCATCTCCATTCTGATCTACTTCATTCACTATATCTTGCCACATGTCTTCATCATAATTATGATGCTTTCCTAAAAGTGCTTTCAGTTCTCCTGCACATATAGTTCCACTGTTATCTAAATCAAACGCCTTAAAGGCTGCTTCCAATCTTTCTCTTGACAAAAGTCTATTTTTATTCAAAGTCGCTGCAATGAACTCTGTATAATCAATTTCTCCTGATTTATCTGTATCAACCTGGCTCATTATTCTGTCTACCTCTCCTTCAATATCGTCTATTTGGTTTCCATATAACATAGTATAGCCTTCAATGAGCTCAGCCTTTGATAATGTTCCGCTGTTATCTGTATCTAAAGATTTAAATAAATTAAGCATTTCGTCCTTTTCTTGCTTTGTGGAGAGCTGAGAAGCTATAAAAGAAAAAGTACGCCAAATTGGGTAAATTTGGATAGTATCCTATTAGTTTTTTATATAAATAATGTCAATTTAATTAGGATAGCTTTTTGTAGACTTCGGCCTGCTCGGAAACTTTGGAGATTTGAGAAAATTGTTCTGGCAAGAGAGCTGTTAATGGGAACACGAGGAGCTTTACTGAGCCAAGTGTGCCTAAGAGCGTCTTTTGCTGAAATCCTTCTGCTTGGGTCAATTGTAAGCATTTTTGAAATTAAATCTTTGGCTTCAAAGCTTATATTGTCCCATTCAGGAGAAGGAAAAGAAAAGCGACCTGCAGTTACCTTCCTCAATATTTGCTCATCAGTATTACCTCCAAATGGTGGATATCCAACTAAAAATACATATAAATTAATCCCAGCGCTTCAAACGTCGCATTTTTCATTATAATGCTTTCTTAAGACTTCTGGAGCAATATAATAAGGTGTCCCAAATTTTTGGCTCATGTACTCTCCTGGTCTGAAAAATTGAGCTGTCCCGAAATCAATATATGCTTTAAAAAAAATGAAATTTCTACTAAAATTAAGAGATACTAGTTAAAATGAAGCCTAGGCCATACTTTTAAATTTGCATCTGGCTCTGTAGTGTCTAACAGGAAATTTTCAGGTTTCAAATCTCTATGGACGACATTTCTCTCATGGCAATACGCTAATACTGAAAGGATCTGTCTTAAATATTCAGCTGCAGTTGCTTCTGAAAATGATCCATTATTGATGATCCTATCAAATAACTCGCCACCCGAACATAGCTCCGTTATTAAATAATAATTCTTATCGTCTTGGAAAAACTCATAGAATTTAAGAATATTTGGGTGGTCTAAGGAGCGTAGGACTGATACTTCGTTAAAAAATGTTTGACGCTCTTCTTCAGTGCGGAGGGTCTTTTTGTGGATTGTTTTTACTGCGCGAATTTCTCCAGTTATTCGGTGGGTTATTTTTCTGACGCTCCCAAATGCGCCATCTCCGAGCTTTGAGCCGATTCGATAGGTATCACGAAGCTTACCTTGATTTTCGACTGCAAAATCACTTTGGTTGACTATAAGTTCGTCCATAATAACAGTTATATATATACAAATTTATGTATATTGACTGGGCCGTATAATAAAAATTTAAAATTAATCTTAATAGTAAAGCATACAAAAATTTTCTTATCCCATTATGGTAAATCTACACAAATGCTATGCCTTAGGGGCTAGAACTTATATTAATTTTGAATAAATTATTGGCATTACCAATTCGAAGCTAATTTTTCAAGCTCTACTTTGATTAATCCCATGTCCTTTTTCACCTTTTCTCTTCTGTAGAAAATCGGACAATCTTTATTTGTGCACAGGACTTCTTGGTTAACAGATCCTTGGCACCTTTGGCACTCAGCCCAGAGTTCTTGGAAATTCTTTTCATACTGATTTTCTTGCAAAACTTTCTCCAAATAAATTTCTGGAGCCTTTTCTTCACAATTGCTACATAATGCTCCAGATTTTATTTGTGCTTTACACGATATGCAAGTAGCTGAAACCTTAATAAATTTAGATAAGGCACCAGCAGATTTTGATTGGTATCTGATTTTAGTATGGTCTCCAATGAATAATTGTTCAGGATTTGCCAAAATGGCATCAAAGAGACGCAAAAGGGGCAGCTTCAGCTGCTTTTCTAAATAATAGCTGAAATCAATAGAAAGATCATTGTTTAGCGCATAAATAGGGTCCTCAGCTAGCTCATAAGCTTTTTGGCCTTTGACTCCTTTTATCATCACATAAGGAACTCTATCTCCAACCCCAGGGGCTGTGGCTGGATCTCTTTTCCTCAATTTTTCTACTAGAACTGCATGAGCCTGATTCCCTTGATAAGCATTTTTATTGCTTTTCCCTTCACTTTGAGTTTTTTTCCCCAATGCTTTTGTGATAACAAGCATAGATAAATCAATTTTATTCTGCAAAAGGGCAGATACAACACCTTTAACAAAATCTACAGCATCATTGACGTTTCTTTCAATGAGCAGCTTATATAGACAAGTATTTATAGTCTCCCTGACCAATGCACAATTATCCCTCCTAACACTTTCAATACCTTTCATATCAATTTTGTCATACTTTTCTGGGTTTGTCCATAGCAGCCCTGCGTATCTTTTTTTATTCATCAATAAATAAGGGAAATAAGCCTTTTCGAACTCGAGTTTTATGGGCTTTGCAAACTTTTGGGAAACCATTTCTGCTGCTTCTTTGCCAAGTTTCATGACTTCTGATAGGTTTTCAAGCCCAAAATTAATCATTACAGAGTCTGTGTCACCATAAATGACTTGGGAATTATATTCAAAACTGTTAGAAGTTGAATAAAATTCTTCATACTTTAAATATGGTGTCTCAGCTTGGGTATGGGCTGACCTGAGCTTAACTGATGGCGCCGTAAAGCGGATAAACCTTTATAGATCGTTAGTGACTGCTAAACTAATAGGCAGAAAAACCACTCTATAATAATATTACGAATAAAATTCTTCAATTGTCATTTTGGTCTCTTCAATCATCATTCTCCCATATGCAGTTACACTTGAAGAAATTTGTAAGCAAGGCAATTGGCCAACTTGGGCTCCTGTAAACCCATAAACAGAATTAGCTGATATTTTAAGTGCCAATTGTCGGCCATCAAGTACCTTTTTCATAAAAGGATCATCAGTTTGCTTAATTTCTTCACGTGCTTTTTTTCTTGCCCCAATTAGTTCTTCTAAAATAATAGGTAAAATCCCTTTTCTTATAGTAGCTTTGACAAAATAATCTCCTGAAGGAGTTGAAATAATATTTTCTGGGTCCATTCTATTAAGAACAGATGGTAAAATTAGCGTAGAATAACAGAGATTATGAGCCATCATAATAGAAGGATAAAGTGACGCAAAATCCAAAGTCGCAATTGGGACGTTATAAAAACCTTTTTTAGGCTCCAGTACAAAAGCCCCTTCATATTTCTCTCCTGCTTCATTTCTTGACCGTGTAGGGACTAGCATATTATGCTCTTTTGCTTTTCTCAGCAGCTGAGATGCAACCTTAATCTGCTGCCCTCTCGTCAAAAGATAAGAAAAAGGCACCCCAGTAACTCTTGCCATTTCAGCATAATTAAAAATACACATCAGTTTCTCAAGCAGCCTTAGTGGCAAATAGCAATCTTTTAAGCAATAAATAGCAATCCTTCTTCTAGTCTCATCAGAGCATTCTTGCAAGTCTTTCAAAATCGTCCAATGAACATCTTCTTTTTGCTCCTTTAAAAAGGCAATTGATACTGCATTTAGCGAATAATGACTCAGTTTATGTTCTCTTTGTATATGCTGAAACATGTCAAGCTGAATTCTTCCTTCCATTAAAATTTCTTTACTTTCTCTCAGACCTTGTGCTTTTGAGTGAAAAGTGGTATCTTTTAGTTTTGTAGGTAAATTTTTAATTCTGCCAAAAAAAGGGAATTTTTTTAATTTCAGTTTTTCGGCTCGTTTGAAAATATAGTCATAATCAAAGTTAAGAATATTGTAGCCTGTAATAATATCAGGATCTACAGAGACCACAAAATCTCGCCACCCCATTAGCATGTCTTCTTCTCTATTATAGCTAAAAATAGTAGCATCAGGAATATCTGAACAGCCACCTAAAGTAAAAATATTTCTTGCTATGACGTTTTCAGAGTTCGCTATTTTGCAGACATTTCCGATTTGAATTATTTCGTTTTTTTCTGGCGTCGGAAAATTTTGGCCGTTATTATTGCATTCAATGTCAAAGGAAAGGACTCTTAAAGGTGCGATTTTGCTTCATTCCCCTTCTGGCTTGTGGACAATAATATTTTGGTAATTAATATCTATTTCTAAATCAGAATTAGAAATTTTGTCATAGTCCCTTATCGAATATTGAAAAGCAGGGAGCTCTAGTCAGCACATTCCGACGATTCCTGCATCAATCATATATCTTAATGCAAAAGGGATATTTGACTCATAAGTTTGCCCAGAAAAAATGGTACCTTCGACTTGAATGCCCCTTTCAATGATCCCTTTAAGGGTAGAAATGGATTTTGGGATAAAGGTATGAATTTTGAAAAACAGAGAAGGGCCATTGGGTGTATAATACATAATGGATTCTTTAGGTTCATAAGTGATATGGCTGACTGCATTTGGGGATTGAGGATGAGAATTTAAAGCTTGTTTAAGCTTTTCGCTGTAGAAATCATTGTCCATGCCATAAGGGCATTCTGCTCAGAAATATGAAGCAAAGGAATGAACGTGAGCCATAACTGAATTTCCTTCCTCAGTAACCCCATATATTCTAACTCCTCCTCTCCATGAACTAACAAAAAATATAGTTCGCTCACGAGGGTGTTATTTTTTTTTAAAAATCCATATAAATTTTATAGTAATTTTTGTTTTATAATTAAACTCCAAATTCGAAACAATTTAAAAGCAAATATAAGTTTAATTTGTAATATATGTTTTAAAATGCAATTTGTTTAAAATTAAACAGAATTAGTAAGAGAATTCATTATAATAACTATCGCTACTATCAAATTATTTTTTCATAATAAATTTTTAAACAAACTTTTATTTGTATACCGAGGGCAGGCTTTACCCAAAAAATAAGGATCTTTCAAATGGTTTTTTTTCGCTCACAGAGGTGGAATAAGTATGGGGGTATCTTTTTGGACACCAGGAGAGCATCCTAGATAGTAATCTACGCCAGTTTGCATGAAATTAATTGAATTTCTGTTATCATTATAGCTCTCCGCTAACTTGGGACGCTTTATGCTGTCAACCCAATTTCCCGCTTCCATTTTCTGTCACAGCAAATTTGGGGGGATTTACATTCTTGTCTAATTTTCTTAAAGAAAATTAATTAAACAAATATATGTTTATTTATACTTTTTTATACAAGCTATGCAGAACAAAATTATCATTTCTGAATGGTTATTGTCTATTAGCAAAATGAGCATTTATTTGCAAAAAGAATAAATTTATATTATTCACAATATTTGAATTACTCTGTTTCTAATAGAAGTTCTCGATATTCTTGAGATGTCGTGAATTCAGGATAAACAAACCAATCGAATTGATGATAGATGTAAAATTCTATATCAGAAAATAATGTAGATCTTAAATTGATTGAGTCTTTTACCTCAATCAAGCATTGAATAGTCCCTTTTGATATAGAATCCGGTATTAAATCTTTATCTTTTAGAAATGTATATTTACTTATTTATTTAAATTTTATTTATTTTGAATAAAATCTATTATTTTTTATATTTCATAATAAATGTCGAATATATTAATTCCAAGTTATATATAAACAATATATCATAAATTTCTCCTGCTTTTTCTAGAGATGGTTCAAGCTTATATAAATTGATTTTTATAAGAAATTCCAGAAATTGCATCAAATTAAGTTAAGTTAAAAATTTTGCTGATCATAAGCAGGTAAGCCCACTAACCGCCTATCTTGTTGCCATTTTTGATTCCGATCCGAACCACCTGTCCAATGAATAAGCTCCCTAGTGCAGATCCGCAGGTCTAGACAGATCTAGGAGGTGCCTCGATGCTCCCGATGAGAGAGACCATGTGGTAGGCAAAACTGTAGACCATCTGGCAGGGACAGGAAAGCCTTAGGGGATCACACTTAAGCAAGCCTTCCCCAGCCTGAAGGCCTATTCAAAAAGGGACAGAGGCCCTTTTTAAGCTTCTTCAGGATATGTCTGACCTGCTCAGTAGGGAGTGCACCTCGAAGTCCAATTTCCATCAACATCACAATTTTATTTCTGCATCAAAAGTGGGTTAGCTGATCTTGATGCAAATTGTCTGAAATATCTATAGACAGTGAAATCTTCAAGGATTATTCGAGGATCTCGCAAAGATGATATTGGAATTTTGTGGAAGTGAGTGCTAGTTTCGTATAACGAAATAAAAGTGATAATAAGCATTGACAAGTTTCTTATTGGGACGATATAAAAATGAAAAATCCACATAGGAATAAAGGGTCCAGAAAATCCAAGTGACCATACTCCTAACTTCCCTCCTCCGTGAGCAAGCAAAAAATGCTGCTTATGGGGGATAAATTTTTCCTTTAAATCTTTTATAGCAAATTATTTAAAAATCCCCAATTTTCAAAAATTAAAAAGTAAAACCAATTTAATTTGTAAAATTTATGTTTTATGATGCAAGTTTTAAAATTTGGCAGAATTAGCTCATTATAATAATGATCACTTATATATTAAAATATCTTATATAAAATCTTTTTACATTAAAAATTTTTTGCTCTAAAAAAACAGGGATTTTTTCAGTTATTTTGCTCGGCTGCGGAGAGGGATTAAGAATAAATATAATTCTGCTTTAAGATTAGTCAAATGCTTGATTTTTCTAATCTTGAAGAGAAAAATTGTGTAGCCAACTTCCTCAAAAAATGTTAGGGAATCTGCCATAATATTATAAATCAAATCTAAAACGAACGGGCTTTCATCAGTTACTATACTTTGAGCAAATGCAAAACCAGTAAACAACAAAGATACCGGAGCAGCATAATATACTGCGATTTTTAAATTCCATCTGTTTGAAAGTCGTGATTGCTTCGATAAATATTCTTTATGTGTCATATTAATTCCTGCTCTAATTTTGTCTAATAAATTAAGTCTGTACATCCTTATTCCAGATTTATTTAATTCTTAGAAATATTCCACATATTTTATAAAAAAAATCTATATAATGCCTACAGGTATAATAAATTTGAGATGTAAAAAATTTGATGAGCAGTGTTATAAACTATAAAAACAGGCAGTGCAATTTTCATTTCCCAGTAAAACCCCATAATCTGAATAAATCCTAATGATATTGAGCCGATTACCTCAACACAGTTGACGATTATCGATAAAATCAAGATCCCAGGCGACCTTGCATAAATTTCTTGAAAATCTCTTTTGTGATAAATATATCATACGCATGCTCCATAAAATATGATCGCAGAAACTATAATAAAACCCCATGAACCTTCCAAAATTGCGTTCGCGACTGCCATTATTAAATTTTTATTTCTCCTTTAAGTAATAAGATTTAACTGAATATTTAAGTTTGCTTGTTCATTTTTATAAGTTAATTCTTTGGGGAAATATTTTTTATAATGTGAAGAAAGGTATTTAATTTTCTTTTATTTATTGAGATAATGCAGTTGATAATAGATATATTATATATAAAAATGGAGCTAAACTCTACCTATGAACTTCTAAAATCAATTTGTCATCTTTCAGTGCTGAATTCTCATCCAAATACGTCAGAAAACTCAGAAAGTGGAGACTGTGAAGATGATATAGACTTATTAATGGCAGACGCTCCTATTTGTGACCCATTATCATTTGCTAGTAAAGATGCTCTTTTTATTCCAGATTTTCATAGGGCTTTTTCAGTCAGTTTAACCCCAATGATGAACCCTATTCATCTAACTCCTCCACCCTAAACAAGAAAAACCATTGGGAAAAATTCCTATTTTTTGCACAAATACCCACCCTCTATGAATGAACAAAAATATTTTAATATAAAAATTTTTATTAAAAAATAATTGATAATTATTAATGAATTTAAGCTAATTCTATTTATAAATTTTGCAAATTAAATTAATTTTACTCCTCGATTTTTTAGAATCGAGTTTCGAAAAAAAAATAATTTTACTATAAAATTTTTATATAAAAAGAAAATTAACCCCTCTGTGAGCGACAAAATTTATTCTTCGTTTTGGAGGTGGGAAGTAAAAGAAAAGCTTTATTTTACTGAAGTCGTGTATCAGAGCACTAAAAAAAGTTATGCTTCATTAATATGCTTTACAGATATTGGGTTTATTTTGTTAGTGATTGAAAATTCGTCCCATAGATGAATGGAAAATGTGTTTAAAATTTTAAATGATTATATTGAAGATGGGATTTGTGAAGTTGTAAATGCCCTTTATAAGTATAGAGAAGTACAAATTGGGATATTTAAATCAGGGATGTTGGTTCCATATCGACGTTTTTATGAATTAGATACTAAATAAGGTGTTTTTATTATTTATAAATAATTATATATGATAAAAAGCTATTTATTCAGTTTAATTATATATTATCATAGCAGTGACTTATAATAACTTTATAACTAATATTTGAAACTGATAATATCCCATCAATATTTGTCATTCTCGCTAATCAGTCAATAATTTATATAATTATTATGGAGGTTAGCAATAACTACTATAAATGGAGAAGAACCAGCAACTTATAAATAAAACTTTTGAGCCTTCAAAGCGTTCATAAAGGCAGCTTTTATTGTAGCTACAGCTATTACTTATTAGAGTAATTACATCTTATAAATTGAGCTATCATTCACAGTTTTTTTATTTTCACTTTTTTGGTGATTATATACTAAACTTAATGATCTCGACACTCTTTGAGGCAGCCAAAGATTTTTTTAAAAGATCTAATTTCGATTATCACATGTTTAGAGTAGGCCAACTTTCTCTGTATCAACCACCGAGCTTCTTATCTTGAAAATATATAATTGTGTAGTGACATCAGTGAGTATCCCAGCAGATCAACTAAATTACTTCCATATTTACTTAATCGCTCAATTTTTTCAAAACGGATAATTTAGGCATATGAAAATCATTATTCTTCTTTATCTCTTGTCCACAATTTTTGCTATCAGAAGAAGCGTTAATCCTGAAATCTTTTTGCAATTTAAGCATACAGGAAAACTTGAAAATATTGACCAAAATAATCAACAATCAAATGCTATTTTTTTGGAAAATATGCTGAATTATTATCAAATTATAATAAAAAATGCAATTATTAATATATTTATATTTATTTTAAATCAGAATAAAGATAAGTTGGATAATAACGTAAAAAACGATCTATCCACAAGTTTATTTAATATTGAAAATACTCAAGATGAATTAGACACAAATTTTATGCAGCTAAGTAATGATGATTCTGGAGAAGATAATGATGGTTTAGAAGATGATACTAAAATTTTATTGGTATTTATACTTAATGCTATCACTTGTGTCTTTTGCTGCGCATTTTTACAGTTTATATTGATGCTTTCAAAAAGAATGAGTAATGAGTTAAGTGAACTCAAAAAAAATTATAGGCAGCATCAAGGGTTTCTGAGGTTTAAAGAGTTCAGAAAAGCATGGGCAAAAGAAAATGAGGCAAGTGAAGCAGAAAATTAAGTTTATTATGGAAATTAATTGTTTTTGAATTTTAAAGCTCATTTTGCTTTTATTACATATTAATTTATTCCAAAAATACAAAGAAATATTTTATTCTACTTAATCAGCAGATTAAGACCCAGATAATGCCTCTATTTTTGCCTCATAATCATCTTCCAACAATTTTAAGCTTTCATTGAGCTCATCCATCTCAATTTTCAAATCTTTCAATTGCTGGATTGAATCTTCCATTTTTTCAATGACTTTATTTTTCGGGCCATTTTCTAGTAGCTCAATATCATTAAGCGCATCTCTCATACCTTGCATTTCTTCATCATTCAAGCTATCAAAATTTTCATCAAAGTTAGTTAAAACCGATGTCCCCGATCTCTTCATTTTTTGAAAAATATCACCGTTATCTTGATCAGACTCAGATTGTATTACAAAGCTATCTCGTTTTTTCGTTTCAGCAGACATAATTGCATTAAAATATAAGCCTCTCTTGTAAGCTCTTCTACTAACTCCCCCCCCCTCCGTGAGCGAACAAAAAAATTTTGTTCGCTCACGGAGGGGGGTTAATTTTTTTTTTTTTAAAAAAAATTTTATATATAAATTTTTATAAAAAATATTTTTTTTCGAAATTTAAAAAAATCCTAATTTGCAAAAATTTGGGAAGCAAATATTAATTTAATTTGCAAAATTTATGTTTTAAAACGCAATTTGTTTAAAATTAAACAGAATTAGCTCTAGATTTCATTATACTAATTATCACTTATATATCAAAATTTTTTTCCATTAAAATTTTTTTCTATTAAAAAAATTTTTGTTCACTCACGGAGGGTGGGTTTTTGGTCAAAAAAAATGGCGATTTTTCTAATGGTTTTGTTCGCTCACGGAGGGGGGGGGGAGTAGTAAGCACAGTAAAAGCTTGAGGATATTTTTTTAAAAATTTCTCAAAGATATCTTTAGACACACACAGCAGCTCACATCCGTTCATATCTGCCAAATAAGACATTCTTGGTTTAGACTTAAAAATAATATATTCATCTCCGAAATAACTTCGCGGGGACAGTTTCAAAAAAAGCTGAACCCCATGTAGAGTTCCAAGTAAAATTGTACCAGAATGAATAAAATACACCTCGCTTACAGCTGTGTTCGCATATATAATTTCTTCCATACTTTCATACCGCCTCGGATACATATTCAAAGCCATATGATAACAAAACTCTTCAGGGCAACCATAAAAAAATGCTTCATATCTTTTGACATCCCCAGTAAACAAATGTTTTATTAAAGCTTTTCTAAGCTTATATGGCAGCCTCATCATAAATTCAGAATCTCTCACAATAGCTGAGTTATCATATTTCCAAATAAATGAGAAATATTTTCTTACTGTGTTCTGCATATCAGGAGAAATATTTTTTTGATTTTTATTTTTGCCTAATAAAAATAGCCATTTATCAAGCTGATGCTCTTTTTGGTGTATGGAATCTTCGTTGCTTTTTAGACTCGCTATAAGGCTGCTGACATTTCCAATAAAATATGCATACATCAATATACCTAAAATCTGCACAATCATCATAAAAACAGTTTCTGCATAAGTTCTGGGATAATAGTCTCCATACCCAGTTGTAGAGAAGACGACTAATGTGAAATACAATGAAGTCTCATATAGCTGGTTTCTATTAAGGCCGTTTTCTTTAATCCAAGTTTTAGTTAAATCATCTGACTCTGATTTTGCAATAAAATACCAGATGCAGGCAATATAGTGGCAAATGCATGACAAATATAATATAGCAGTTGCCCGATGATGGCGCTCAATGTGCCATCATCGGGCAACGCCAAACAAGGGTCCACACGTGAAATGGGTTTCCACGTGTGGAGCCCTTTTTGGCTCGTGGAAATGAGGATTCTCCACGTGTTAAAAAGGGCTCCACACGTGGGATCCATTTCCACTGTGGACCCTTGCCTGGTGTTGCTCGATAATGGCGCTTAATGCGCCATCATCGGGCAACTGCTATAAAAAAATTTCAAAATTCTGGTAACTTGAGTTCTCAAAGCGAAGTTTAATGTAAGCCAGCCGTTGTCATTTTCTGTCCGGGCGGTTGATTTTTCAATCCATGTCGTAATGCTGCCAATCCTGAAAATTCTTCCTAATTTTAGCCACATAAGCCAATGTGTAGCTAAATAAAATGGAATAGTAGATAAAATATCTATTAAAAACAGTCCTTTTATATATTTTTTTGCAATTCTCTTATGGTCATCAACTACAACTGCACCTGATTTATAAGCTGTAAAAAATCTCAAAATAATATCAACAAAGACAATTGCGTCTAAAGCCAAATCATAATCAATAGGATTCTCATTATCGTCATCTGACTCCCCCCCCTTTAAATTAGAACAAAAAATGTTGTTCCAATTTAAAGGGGGGTTAAGAAAATTTTTTAAAAAAAAAAATTCAAAAAATTTATCGAATTAGATTAATAAATTTGTTTAATAAAATGCTATTTACTCTTTATCCTTTAAAACAAAGCAAGATATAACTAAAATTTTATTATTAATTAACACGCCACTATTAATTGGTATCAAAACTATTTACACAAAAATTATTATTTTTATTGATAAAAGAGAAATTAAAAAATTAAAAAATTTAGAAAATTTTTAATCAAAGTGCTAATTTTGTTTAAATAAGATGCCATTTATACTCTATTCTTTTAAATAAAGCAAGAGATAAGTAAATTTTCAATTTTTGCAAAGAATTCAGATTGAATTTATATCAAAATTATTTAATAAAAAATATCATTTTTATCTAAAAAAATTTTAGCAATTAAGGATAATAAATTTATTTAAATAAGATGCTCTTTATACTCTATTCTTTAAAACAATAGCAGGATATAACTAAATTTTTAATTTTAGTTAAGAAGAAACATTTAAATTAACGATGACCCCCCCTCAATCTTCATGTCTACTGCAACAAAAATTTTCGAAAAAATCTTCATGCCTACTGCAACACAACATTTTTATAAAAAAAAATTAATGCATTTTTCTCTAGTTGAGTTTCTTAAAATACCACTGCTATTGCCATCGCTCGCCATTTTATTAAACTTATCTAGCTAAAAAGTACGGAAAAATTTAAGATGCGCATCGAAAATTGTTGCAAGAGGATTAGAATTAAGATTATTGCAGACAGGCGCTAGCCATATTGATGAGGCAGTCATTAAAGACCTCCCGTACGGAAGGTTCTACTGCTTTTCGACTCCAGCCCAGAGGATCTATCCCTTTTACGAGTGCCCTTCCGGCACCTTCTTGCCTTGGGAGTTCAGTCTTGAATGGGCGGCTTATCGATTTCTGCGGCCCTGCTATGGGCGATTGGAGTAGCTTGATTCCAAGGATCAGCTCTTGGAGTCTATTGGGTGTCAAAATGCCTTTCTTCGACAGCTACAGGAAAAAGACTGTTCCCCTGTGGCCTGGGCTGAAACCCCCAGTTTCCCGTTAGAGGAATGCACATAGGTCCTCGGATCCAAGGACGTTGCTGAGCACCTCCATTTCCAACCACAGGAAAGCAGCCAAAACCTACCCGGATACACACTTCTTAAGCCTGCGTCTGATTCTCGGCTCGGAGTCCGTCCCAGTTCGGTGTAGCCATAAGGTCTGGACTACTGCGCCAAGAGGGCAGGTTGCATGTGTCGTCATTTTTAATCTATATAATTTGTTGCAAGAGACATGAAAATTATTATTGTTTTTATATAAAATTTTATATTAAAAAATTGCATTTTTGTTGCAATAGACATGAAGATTGAGGGGGGGGTCATCGTTATATCAAAACTTTTTACATAAAAATTATGATTTTTATATATAAAAATTTTTATTATAGTTAGTGACACTGACTATATAAAATTAAATTTTTGTTCCAATTTAAAGGGGGTTTAATTTACCAAAAAAGTGGAAATTTTACCTATATTTTGTTCCAATTTAAATGGGGGGGAGTGAGTAAAAAAAGACTCTATAAGGGCCTTCAAAACAAAAATATAAATATACAAAAGAAAGTAAAAAGTCAAAAACCTTTTTCCTCTTACTGCCTGAATAAATAATTCATGATTTTTTCTTAATTTTCCCTGAATCTTTTACTTCTGAGGTGGATCCATGGTAATAATCATTTTCTGCGTCTTTTGTTTGCTGTTTTACACTAGATATTTTTTACATATTAATCGAAGAAACAATGCCTCGAAATCTAACTCCCCCCCCCCCTCTCCGTGAGCGAACAAAAAAATTTTGTTCGCTCACGGAGGGGGGTTAATTTTTTTTTTTAAAAAAAATTTATATATAAATTTTATAAAAAATATTTTTTTCGAAATTTAAAAAAAATCCTAATTTGCAAAAATTTGGAAGCAAATATTAATTTAATTTGCAAAATTTATGTTTTAAAACGCAATTTGTTTAAAATTAAACAGAATTAGCTCTAGATTTCATTATACTAATTATCACTTATATATCAAAATTTTTTTCCATTAAAATTTTTTCTATTAAAAAAATTTTTGTTCACTCACGGAGGGTGGGTTTTTGGTCAAAAAATGGCGATTTTTCTAATGGTTTTGTTCGCTCACGGAGGGGGGGGGGGGAGTAATGACTTTTCTTCAGCGCTCACATGCTCGTTCAATGCGGGCTTCTTCAGAGTTATCAATTTGGCTCTTTTTGCAACAAAAATTCCAGAAATTTTGGTTTTTACTGAGATTAGTGTCGGCTTCTTGAAAAGAAGAATCTGAAAGCGCATCACTTTCTTCCATATTAAAGTGTATAGAATTTTTTATTATTTTAAAAGAAAATATATTGTTAAATTCCATTATATGGATAGATTTAAATATTTTTTAACATAAAATATATAATGCGCTGCCTAAATTGCTTACTAGGCTGGCATTTTAAATTTTCTCCAACGTTTGAAGAAACTTCCACATGTTAATTCTCTATATTTTCATATTTAAAAATTTTCTCCAAATGTTGGAGAAAATTTAAAATGCCAGCCTAGATAAGAAATTTATGCAGCGCATAATATATTTTTACATAAAATATATATGTCTTAACTTGACATATTTTTACAATGTCCTGCCATCTATTTAGATTGTAAATAATTTTATCGAAATTAATATTTTAAAAATTAGATTCTTTTACAGCGATTAATTATATAAATTTTGAAACTTATAATCAAATAAAAAGTTGATATATTCCTACTATATATTAAGTTACTTATAATATACTTTCAAGCGGAAATCATTATTAAATTATGGGCAAATAATTAATTATAATCAGTTATAAAAGTTGAAGCAAAAAATGGCACAGAGCGATAGAAAACCTTGGAGCCCGGAGGTATGAGCCATATAGGAAGATGAAGCTATAAGAAACCTTGTTGAAGAATTTGGAACTAAAAAATGGACATTTCTAGCCCAGTTGCTCTCTGAAAGATATGGAATTAGCGATAGGTAACAATTATTTAGGACTGGGAAACAATGTAGGGAAAGATGGCATAATCACTTAGAGTCTGGAATCGTTAAAAAAGCTTGAACCAAAAATGAAGAGAAAAAGCTGTTTGAATGTCATCAAATTTATGGAAATAAATGATCAGAAATCGCAAAATACCTCCCTGGAAGAACTGATAACTCTATCAAAAATCAATTCTATAGCACAATTAGAAGAAATCTCAGAAAACTCAACAGGCAAAGGCCACAAGGGGAAAAGCTAACTGGATCAGTTCAAATGCTATTAAAAAATGAAGAGATTGCAAAATTGCTTGTAGTTCATCCATCGCTAAATAAAGAAAATGCGAAGTCTCCTTCCCAAAAAAATATTTCCCAAAAACCTCAGAAAAGCCCGAAAAGAGCAACTAAAGGGAAAAAATCAAAAAAATCTCCAAAAGCGGCTGCAAATAGCCAAAAATCCCATCCAATCCCTCAGCTTACAGTTTCGCCTGCTGAAGAAGGGCAAAAATTAACAGAAAAAGATCGCCCAGCACCAATTGTATGCCCTTCTCCAACTAAAACTCCAGAAATTGTACCTAATAACCCTTGTACCTTTGAAAGCACAAGCCCATCAAAATTAATAGCCGCAATAACTCCTACTCCTACTGGATTTTTGAGAAAATCCCCTATCAATAGTAGATTTTTTAGATTTCCAGAAGACGCTACTACAGCTTCTAACTGAGATACATATATGAGCTCAAGTTTAGGAGACCATGGGCTTCCATCTCTTGGCTACCAGTTCTCTGACTCTTTACTAAGCTGTAAAAGTACAGACTCATTAAGAAGCAGCATTAAATATGATAGATTTAAAATTCCTGACCCATCCCCACAAGCCAGGGACTATCTTTTGCCTCCCTATTCACCTGCAGATTCATTTCAACACTATTTCAGTCCGAGAAATATATAGATATTGTCTTAAAATAATAGTATTCTTATTAATCTCATTATGAAACGTATTTTAATTGACATTATTATCTACTTTTGGATAGTGAAGAACTGTCTGCCCACCCATGCAAATCTTGAAAATCAGTCTCTACCTGTATTGATCGGAACTTTGGCTTGGAGTTATAAGAAAGGCTCTCTAATTTTAATTTTCGTGAATATTTTTTAACTTCTTTAATTTTCTTTAAGCTTTCAGATTTGGTGGATAAAGGGACCATATCAAGTTCTGGCTGAAAAACAAAATCTTGAGATTTCATTATGGTTGGGGTTATTTGAAAATTATTTATATTACCTCTTATTGGCTGGGTAAAAGCGTCACTATTCTCTAGTTTGCTAGCTTCATTAATACTGAATGGTTTTGTGTTGCCTAATATGCATAATTTCGGATTAAATTTTTGTTTTGAGCATTTGGGCTTATTTTTTGATTTCAAAGAAAGTTGAGGCCTTATCGTATAGTTTTCGAATTCAGCTGCATTGAGGCTCTTTTTTGTCTTCAATTTAAATTTTCGGAAATCAGGCATGGAACTTACTTTATTGAGCAAAAATGTAGGGCTTTGATAATTTGCGTCAAATAATTTGTGCTTAACAATGCTTCTTAAAGAGGGCAAAGCAACTCCTTTGTCATTTAGCGTTTGCAGATTCATTGGTGGTTTACTTACTCCCCTCCGTGAGTGAACAAAACCATTGGAAAAATCCCTATTTTTTGCCCAAAAACCTACCCTCCGTGAGTGAACAAAATTTTTTTTAATAGAAAAAATGTTTTATGGAAAAAAATTTTGATATATAAGTCATAATTAGCATAACGAAATCTAGAGCTAATTCTGTTTAATTTTAAACAAATTGCGTTTTAAAAACATAAATTTTATGAGTTAAATTAATATTTGCTTTCCAATTTTGCGAATTAGGATTGTTTTGAATTTCGAAAAAAAAATTTTTTATAAAAAAAATTAACCCCCTCCGTGAGTAAACAAAATTTTTTTGTTCACTCACGGAGGTGGGGGAGTTAGAGCTTTTGGCGATTTCCAATGGTAATTTTTTAGAGGAGATTTTTCATTAGCACTTAGAAATTTTATCAATCTAGCTATTGATTTTTCTTGTGATAACTCTTCTTTTTTATGAAGTTTTACCTTTGCAAGTTCATTTTGAAACATTTTTCTATTTACATCTTTAATTAATAGTTCATCTATATCTTATTAAAGTTATATTTCAAAGCTTATCTTACAATCTCAGCCCCATATATTTCATTTTTGATTTGATTTAGATATATTTCTTGTAAATGAATTTAAATTTATTCAAAATAACTGATATAAGAACTCAAAAAATGCTAGAACTCATATCAATAGCTCTTACTATCTATATTATGTGTATTAAACCAACCTATCACTAAATTTTATATAAAATAGCCTATTATATTACTCAAGCCTGTATAATTTAATTTTATTTTTAATAAAAAAGACACACACAAAATAATTCCTAGGCTTCTTAGAATTATTTTATTGATTAATTTTAACTCTAAGCCCAATCTGCCAATTAGGATTTTCAGACGAATAGAACGATTTCAAATTGAATTGATTCGCAGTCGTAACGCTAACGTATGGGTTGATTTTAGCTCTAAGATTCCACCCTACAACTCCGCTCTTGCTCACTCTACCCTTGAAAGTTTTATTTCCTGACAACGCATGTTGGAAGCCAAGTGTCAAGTCAGCCACACCTTCATTATTCACAGTAGTTGTAGCTCCAATCTTACTCCCCCCCCCCCTCCGTGAGCGAACAAAACCATTAGAAAAATCGCCATTTTTTGACCCAAAAACCACCCTCCGTGAGTGAACAAAAATTTTTTTAATAGAAAAAATTTTAATAGAAAAAAATTTTGATATATAAGTGATAATTAGTATAATGAAATCTAGAGCTAATTCTGTTTAATTTTAAACAAATTGCGTTTTAAAACATAAATTTTGCAAATTTAAATTAATATTTGCTTCCCAAATTTTTGCAAATTAGGATTTTTTTAAATTTCGAAAAAAATATTTTTTATAAAATTTATATATATAAATTTTTTTTAAAAAAAAAAATTTAACCCCCCCTCCGTGAGCGAACAAAATTTTTTTGTTCGCTCACGGAGGGGGGGGGGGAGTTAGTATCTGCAGCATAATTATAATAAAGTGATCCTACCAGATTTCCAAAAGTATAAGCTTTACTATCAGTGCTCACATGTTTAAGCACAGCTCTATATTTATCAGCGAAATAATAAGCAGCTGCATTATAAGTTCCCAATCTCCAAGTATTCAAATCAAAACCGAAATCAAAGCCAGCTCCAAAGCTTCCAAAAGATCTGACTATGCTTGTCTTGAACAGTTTATCACTGCCCAGAGATATACATAAAAATGGTGACGACAGACCACTCGACCTCTCGACCCTATTTCTTCAACACCAGCAGGCAACGGCCCAGTGTCTAGGATTTAGGTGGAAAGGGGTCGGTAATCCTTTATGTATAGTCGGGCTGGGCTTTCTCGGGCCCAGGAGCTAATCCCTGGACTTAGAGTTTTTCCTCCGGTACAACCATTGGAAAGGGCAAGGTCGGCCAATGTCTGATGGGCAATATGACCCTCAGACCCTGAAGACGGTATTTGCCTAACGAGAAACTGGGAGTTTCGACCCAGGTGGTTGGCCCTTAGACTCCAGGAACCATGGAAGTCAAGAATGGTGCGCGAAGCCTCGTCTACGGTGACGGGGAAGGGTGTCCGCCGGATCCATCAGGGATGATGAGCGTGTAGGGTGCAAATCCCCGGCCCTTGCGAAAGCGAATGGCACAATCTAATCACTGCCCAGAGCTAGTTTTGCTTTAGTTTTTTCAGTATTGCACTCTACCGACAAAGTTTCTTTTGCAGCTCCAGTTGCTCTATTTACTTCAACTTCAACTTTTCCTTTAAGGTTCTTGAACTTCTCAGGAGTAATTTCAAGGATAGTCTTATAGAGAAGGGAGGTTTGGAATTCTTGCTTGAGGGTGAATCTAGGGTCAGTTAACTTGAAGTAAGTGGTTCCATTGATATTTGGGACATCTGTAGTTGATTTCACTTGTTTGAGAGAAGTTTTGGTGTTCACGCCGCTTTCGTGCTTGGTGTAGACTGCAAGAGCTATTAATTGGCCAAAACAGTAACCTTTTTTGAGGAGGTCTTCTTGAAGCTTGGTAAGGTTGGAGTAGCTTTCGATTTTTGCCATTGAATTTATTGGAAAAATGGACGCTAAGGCTTAAATTAGGAAGAGAGGAGGTTTTTTATCTGGAGAAATAAAAATATGCAATAAAGATAATTTTTATAAAAATGTTTTGGCCATTTTGGATTATACCTTGAGGTAATGATAATGGTTTTTGATTTATTTATGCTAATTTTGATCATATGCATGATTAAGATATAATTGCAGACTATAAATTAACAAGAGAATCAGAAATTGAACTTATAATTTTCTATTGCAAGCATACTCGTATATCTTTCCTGTCAAACCAATATATTTGGATCTTTTTGCATAAAACAGCAGCTAAGAGGAGGAAGGTTCCTTTCTTACATATTTTTAAGCATTTTTTTGGCCAGAATATACGTTAAATTGACTGATCTGCTGCTGATCCCTGTGTTTTTAGGTAAAACATATCAGTCAATATACCGTTTCCACCGTGGCCAATTATAAATTCACGCTGTTCACATCTGAGACTAAAATTATATGTTTCATTTTCAAAAGGCCCTTTGCGAATTTTGAATGAAATTTTATGATCCCTAAATATTAATCATTTTTACTTCATCAGCTTCTATATAAGTTGGCTCAAGGATTAATTAACTGATTAATCCCATACTAATCTGAAATAATATTTGCTGGAGAATCTCGTGCATTATTTACTTCTATGCGCGATATATGAGAGACTTCTATAATTACATCTTTAGTAGCTATTATCATAATTCCTTTTTTTAACTAGAATTTTGTCTGCTGCGGATAATTTTATTCCTTTTTTTCCGCTTCTTGAACAGGAATATTATAATAGCTGGCTCAGATGTTGGATTTTGACCGAATGAATATGGATTGCATAATAATATTGCCATCTCTGCACTATCATGGAGATCTGGGTAGGCCTTGTGGGTTTATTTGGCATTCATGATATTAAGCATCCTCATTTATAATTTGTTTAAAGAAAAAGGATGGAGTTTACAGATGTCACAAGTGCGAAATATAAACTCACAGCTTTTATTGAAATAATTAAATTGAGTTTTATTAAGCTTAAAGTGATGCTTTTCTTACATAAAAGGATTGATGTATTTACTTTTTATGTCATTTAAACTGGATGAAGCACATTTAAGATAATTTTTTATTTGGCAAAAAAGTAAAATGTTTGATGCCAAAATAAGAAAATAATATGATAAATTAGGAGCTGACAACTAGAGCAGCAGGCTTATTATATTAGATTCGTGCACTTCTCTGTGTTTCATCAAGCTCAATTTTTAGGCAACTGCTTATAAAGATGGATTAGGTTTCATAAATAACAACAATGGAATTTTGAGCAATTGTGCCAATATAGAATTCGTTTTGACTATAGTTGCTTTTATATGCAAGGCAATTAAGGATTATATGAAATAAGAAATTATGCTAAATCTATTTCTTTTGTTTAATGGGTAATCAGGATGACTGGATTTGCAAAGAGTCGGCTGAAAGAATAATTCTAATGCTTATATGGTTTTCAGGACCTTCAAACCATTTATTCATAGAGACGTAAAAATCATATATGAAATAAAAATTGAGACATAAAGAGAATCGAAAAAATATTCGATGGAAGGAATTCAGAATTTAAGCTTAAAAATTTTTAATAAAATAATTCATTTAATAAAAATTAAATTGTTTTCAATTGAGTAATTCAATAAAAATAGCAAATGCCTAGTAAATAATGCGCTTGAATAATTTATGCTATTATCTTAAAACAAAAAGTAGCAAGTGAAAGGAAATAATTACTATGAAATAATTAATATATTTGGGTTGATATTTCTCAAATGTTTTGTATTTAAATAAATAATAAAATAAAGTTGGAATAATTTATATTGGTGCTGTAAAACGCTATTTAGTCTTATATTTGCAATATTGTTACGCTAAAATATTTTTTATTTTATTAATTTTATCATAAACAATACATCATTTCTTAGTCATTTTACTTAATTTTCAATGAAATTTCGATTGATTTATTTAAAGTTGATCTTCAGATTGAGCAACTTCCCAAACCTGCACATTAAAAATTGTCAGTTGGGCAGGAACAGCTACATTGCTACAACATCCAGGAACTGAGCAAGGCCAGCTTCCTCCTATTGCCAAATTCAGAATTATGTTGAATGGTTGATTAAAAGGTGCATTTCCTGGGTATCTTTGGCCGTTTGAGTTTTGAGAATACCAGTTGCTTGATGAAATGCTACTAATTAAGGTTCCTCCCGTTATTTGCCCATTTACTATTTGAGCATCGTACCAAAAATTGATGTAGTTTGGCTGCCAATCAACTCCATACCAGTGAGCATTATTCCAATCAGCTGTAAACGGATATTGATTATTTGGAGGATTTGGGTACTGAACATTGTTTGGCCATTGACCTCCGAAATGCAAAGTTGAGTATCCGCCTGTGCCTGTGCAAATTGTCTCCATAATATCAATTTCTCCGCAAGCGGCCCAGCTTCCATAAATGCTGTTTGCACCTGGTGGGAGAAGCCAAATTGCAGGCCATAAGCCATTTCCTTTTGGAACAATTGCTTTGATATTAAAAAACCCATATGGACCCCATGGTCTAACTGAGCTTACTTTTCCAGATGTATAGTTATAGCCTTGATAATTCTGCTGAAGAGCTCTAAGAACTAATGCATTTTGCCCATTGACTTTAGTTATGAAAATATTATTTGGACTATCTGTATAATATTCCCATTCATTATTGCCAGAATCGGCACCAGCCATAACATTTTCTAATCAGTTGCTTAAGTCATTGAAGTTGTCGTTCAAGACATTGATGTAATATGCTGAAGCAGATACTGAAATGAGTGCTAGCACAAATAGACCTTTCACCATTTATAAGGCAAATGTAATTCTTTCAACAGCAACTGCTGCAAATCAGTTTTTTACCCTAACTAATTTATATGAAATGATGAGGAGAGCAAAATAAAATTATTTAGTGACTAATTGAATAAATTATTATGAAGGCTTGCTAAATTATCAAAACTTAAGCTTAAATTTGAAAATATAAATTTCAATTTAATAACTCCTCCTTAACGAGAAAAAATCTTAATCAAAAACGGAGGGTTAATGTTTCGTTCTAAATTTTAAATAATCATGAATTGTAAAATAATAAAGATAAGAAAAAAAGCTAATTTCATTATAAAATTTGTGTTCTCTAGGATGTCTAAAAATATAGAATTAGCAGGAGATTTCATCATAATTATTAATTAAATGTAAAAATTAAATAAAAAATTGTGATTGTTGAAAAAATAAGGTTAATTTCCCTAGAATCTTATTTTTTAATGGTTTTCTTAGGGATAGTAAGGAGAAAATCTGAATCAAGCATTAAAATCCTGCTTTAGAGAAGTTATTCAATCAAAAAATTGAATAGATATACTAAAGTGGCATTTAAAATGTTATTCAGTTGATTAAACAAGTTCCGAAAAAATGAGCACAAAAAACTCCATATTATTTTTCATGGAAGAACAGCAGAAAATATTGTATTTTGCCTCTGGAAAGAGATGAAAGAATCGTGTACTTGAAGAGGTCTTTCGAGACTTTTTCTTTTACCACATATCATTACTAAACTCTTGGCAAATGGCAAGCATTATATGCCTCGCTGACGTAGAAGGAGTATTCACAACGGGGGGTGTGACTTGGCTTTTGTTAAGTCGACGAACTGACTTTTTTGTTGAAGTCGAAAAAAGTTTCTTTTTGAAGCATTTTAGGGCAAGAAAAGGTGAGGGCTATTTTAAACATTTAAAATAAGATAGTTTATGGAATCTGAATTTGAATGGATTTGTGTGCAAAATTGAGGATCTTTTCTTTATATCTACAATCTCTGATATTGTTGAATGCCATAAAATATGTCATACCAATTTAAAAAAATTGGAATATCTGCTTCGACAAGATAGTAATTTTGATATCATGCACAAAAAACAGATAAATAATTAAAATTAACAATGATATCTTTCTTATTTTCTTACTCCCTCCTATCTCCACGGAGGGGCTTAATTTTTTTCCCCGAAATTTAAAAAATTCTATAGTAAGTGTCACTAACTATAATTTTTAATATTGAGAAATAAAACTTATTTAATTTGCAAAATTTATGTTTTAAAATGCAAACTAAACAGAATTGGCTAGAGATTTCGTTATAATAATTATCACTTATATATCAAATTTTTTTTCATAAAAATTTTTGTTGTGGGCTTTTACCCAAAATATAGGGATTTTTTTCAATGGTTTGTTCTCTCACGTAGTGGGGGGAGTTAGAGATTCTCTCCTTGAAAAATAAAGTTGCTCTAATTTTCAAATCTGTTCAATTGGCCTATTAATTGATTTTTTTTTTCATATCCTATCAACAAATAGAAAGAGATTCCCTTCTTCAATAGTAACCCTGATATAAAATTTGGAAAAATATTGAGCATTTTCCCATGAATTCAAGTATCTTATTTTGTTTGCCTTTGGATTTCGGAGGCCATTTTTTTTGTACTGTCGCCTGCCAAGCTTATAGTTAGCGATAAAATTTCTTCTTTGTTGAGGTAACAATTGAGCCACATAAGTCACAGTAAGATAAAATATTGAACTGCAGTGATTTATATAAGCTATTAAATCTAGTGAACCTCATAACATAATTTTTTGATTTTATTTACAATATATTATGGCGCGTTTTTTAATTTATTTACAATATATTTTGGCGCGAAAAATTTATTTACAATATATTCTGGCGCGCAAAATTTGTTTTCCAGAGCTCTTTTTAGATCCATCAAAAATGGCCTATATAATTACGCCAAGTCTTCTTAAACAAGCAATAAAATTATGTGCCATGAAACGCTAAAGGGCTTTTAAAAAGTAAAGTTGCAAAGATTTTTATATTGTTTTAAGAAACCTCCGGACTTAACTCGTTCCATAAGCAAGAATTTTTTTTTTAAAAGCTTTATAGTATTATTTATTTTCAAATAAATTTTATTTATAGCGAACCAAAAAATTTTGCTTGAGGTTAGTTTTTTTTGTTTTTAAGTACAGTTTGTTTTTCGAAATTTAAAAAAATTCTGATTCGCAAAAATTGGAAAGCAAATATTAATTTAATTTGTAAAACTTTTTTAAATGCAATCTAGTTAAAATTAAACAGAGTTAGCTAGAGATTTCATTATACTAATTATAACGCTCACGGAGGGTGGGCTTTTGGGTAAAAATAGGGATTTTTCCAATCGTTTTGTTCGCTCATGGAGGGGGAATTAGAGGGATCTACCATAGATAAATATTCTTTCTTAATACAATGGATAGTAGAGATATACAAAATCTTCTGTATGTTTAGGCGCCTCTCTTTCACAATTTAATGATTTTTTAGCTCAAATTTAATTTTAATTATTAAAATTACTAACATAAAAAGTTTAGCTACTTCCCGAATATCTATATTTTTCCAAAAACTTGCATTTTCCATTCTTTTTGATCACTCATCGAACAGATATTAGAATAGCAAAACTGTCAATTTCAAATGATCATACAAGAAAAAGAATATAGCGCTTTCCCGAGGATGGCGCGGAATGGCGCCATCCTCGGGAAAGCGCTATAATGTATAAGTAAGGTTTTTATCAGCTTGAGGCTTCAAGCAATTCTGAAAAGTGGCCATAAAATAATTTGCGGAAACCTTAAAGACTGCTACTTCATAACTGATATGACTCTATAAATATCAAATTCTACGTAAACAAGAAACATCACATCCTTTTATATTACAGTAGAAGCAGTCTGTCTATGTCCCATTAATAAAAAGAAAAAATTGATGAGAGCAATATAAAGCTATGTGCTTGATATTTTACTTAATTTTCAGTGAAATTCTTATTGATTTATTTAAATTTGATCTTCAGACTGAGCATTTTCCCAAACCTGAACATTAAAAATTGTCATTTGGGCAGGAACAGCGATATTACTACAACATCCAGGAACTGAGCAAGGCCAGCTTCCTCCTATTGCCAAATTCAGGATTATGCCGAATGGTTGATTAAAAGGTGCATTTCCTGGATATCTTTGGCCATTTGAGTTTAGAGAATACCAATTGCTTGATGAAATGCTATTTATTAAGGTTCCTCCAGTTATTTGTCCATTTACTATTTGAGCATCATACCAGAAATTGATGTAGTTTGGCTGCCAATCAACCCCATACCAGTGAGGATTACTCCAATCAGCTGTAAAAGGGAATTGATTTTTTGGAGCTTCTGGGTACTGAGCATTGTTTGGTCATTGACCTCCAAAATGCAAAGTTGAGCGTCCAGCTGTTTCTGTGCAAATTGCCTCCATAATATCAATTTCTCCGCAAGCAGCCCAGCTTCCATAAATACTTTTTGAGTTTGGTGGGAGAAGCCAAATTGCAGGCCATAAGCCATTTCCTTTTGGAACAATTGCTTTGATATTAAAAAAACCATATGGACCCCATGGTCGAACTGAACTTACTTTTCCAGAAGTATAATTATAGCCTTGATAATTTTGCTGAAGAGCTCTAAGAACTAATGCATTTTGTCCATTGACTTGAGCGATAAAAATGTTGTTAGGGCTATCTGTATAATATTCCCATTCATTATTGCCAGAATCAGCACCAGGCATAACATTTTCTAGCCAGTTGCTTAAGTCATTAAAAGTATCATTCATCACATTAATGTAAGAAGCTGTTGTAGACACCAATATCAGTCCTAAAACAAATAGGATTTTCGCCATTTATAAGGAAAATGTAATTTTTTCAACAACTGCTGCAAATCATTTTTTGCTTACTTTAATTAATTTATATAAAATGATTAGAAGAGCAAAATAATTTTATTTAATAACTATCTAATTGAATTGCCAATTTAAAAACAGCTTTTCCACTTTTAGTAAAAGCAAGATCCGATATATGCTAAGAAGCTTCTATAATATTTAGTGATGCATAAGAGAAGAAAGCATAATAGATAATATAAATGAAAAGTAAAAATTTAAGGCAAAAGCTAAGTTATGGATAAAGGATCTGGATATAGGCAAATATCTTTCTGTTTCTATAGAAGGAGATATGATAAATATTTCTTGAAATGAGCAAAATTATAAATATTATTAGGTGCAATATAAAGCTATTTCTTAGTCATTTTATATACTTTTCAATAAAATTACTATTGATTTATTTAAAGTTGATCTTCAGATTGAGCAACTTCCCAAATCTGCACATTAAAAATGGTTAATTGAGCAGGAACAGCTACATTGTTACAACATCCAGGAACTGAGCAAGGCCAACTTCCTCCTATTGCCAAATTCAGAATTATGCTGAATGGTTGATTAAAAGGTGCATTTCCTGGGTATCTTTGGCCATTTGAGTTTTGAGAATACCAATTGCTTGATGAAATGCTATTTATTAAGGTTCCTCCAGTTATTTGTCCATTTACTACTTGAGCATCATACCAGAAATTGATGTAGTTTGGCTGCCAATCAACTCCATACCAGTGAGCATTATTCCAATCAGCTGTAAAAGGGTATTGATTATTTGGAGGATTTGGGTACTGAACATTGTTTGGCCATTGACCTCCGAAATGCAAAGTTGAATATCCATCTGTACCAGCACAAACAGTCTCCATAATATCAATTTCTCCGCAAGCGGCCCAGCCTCCATAAACGCTGTTTCCACCTGGTGGGAGAAGCCAGATTGCAGGCCATAAGCCATTTCCTTTTGGAACAATTGCTTTTATGTTAAAAAACCCATATGGACCCCATGGTCTGGCTGAACTTACTTTTCCAGAAGTATAACTATAACCTTGATAATTTTGCTGAAGAGCTCTAAGAACTAATGCATTTTGCCCGTTGACTTGAGTTATGAAAACATTGTCTGAACTATCTGTATAATATTCCCATTCATTATTGCCAGAATCAGCACCAGGCATAACATTTTCAATTCAGTTGCTTAAGTCATTGAAATTGTCGTTTAGCACATTGATGTAATAAGCTGTAGTAGACACTGAAATTAGTGCTAAAACAAATAAAAGTTTTACCATTTATCAGGAGAATGAATTTTTACCAACGATGTTTATAAGTCTTTTTAAAAAATAATTGATCTATATAAAATGTTGGGAGATGAAAATAAAATTACTAAATAAATTACTTGTGTGAAGAGTTGACAAATTTTAAAAAAAATTTAAGCCTCATATGAGAAATGGAGGAAAGTAAATTAAATAATTCAATTTGATAATCAGTGAACCTAATTTAATCGCAAATTGAAATTAGTGATTAAAATAGATATAAAGCGGATTTCTTGAATAATTATCATTTAACTTAAAAACTCCATATATGAGATAGAATTTTATCTATTCAGAAGGATCAAAATATTTTCATATAAATATGAATAGTTATAGAAACCTAATTAAAGGGATTTTGGTTATATTCTTATCTATTTATGCTTATTATTGATGATTCATTTCCAGGATTATATTGGAAATCAATTGTTTAAGTCTGTAAAGCATCAGCTAAGGCTAATTTAATTGCCTATATTAAAATATAAATATCAAGTTTAAATTTATTTTAGCATATAAAATGAAATAATCCAATTGTTAGAAGATTTACGTTAAAGAGCAATGCTTAGCCTATTTTAATTTTTTTTTAATTTTGTTGGTGAATATATGTTGATGATGTTTAGAAGGTGCAATGCTAAAATTGGGAAAAACTGCGAAGAAAAGAAAAATGCTGTGTTGCAGCTTGCAGCTTTAAAAGAATTAAATAAAGTAAAAATAAAGTATTAGATTTTATAGTCTATTATCTAACTTTATTTATAAAAATATGACGGCATAATTAATTATATTCATATAAATCGATCCAATCATGATTAAATTTAGTTATTCTTCACTCTGCGAATTGTGCCATATCTGAACATTATAAATTTCCATCTGTGCTGGGATGGCAAGATTTTGACAGCAGCCTTCCCAGCAAGGCCAAAATCCTCCTACAGCCACGTTCAGTATAATATTGAATGGCTGGTTAAAAGGCGCATTGCCTGGATATCTTTGCCCATTGCTATTAAGTGCATACCACCTACTTGATGGAATATTAAATAATAATTGTCCACCTGTAATCTTCCCATTAATCATTTGTGCATCTAGCCAAAAATTTATATAATTAGGCTGCCAATCAAGTCCATACCAATGCTGAATATTCCAATTAGGAAGAAAAGACCACATATTGTAGCCATTATTAGGCCATTGGGCTCCATTTGGCCACTCTCCTCCGAAATGTATGGTTGAATACCCTGAGCTGTTTGTGCAGACAGTTTCCATGATATCAATTTCTCCACATGCTGGCCAAGTCCCATATATGGTTTGAGCATTTGGTGGTAAAAGCCAAATTGCTGGCCATAACCCATTGCCTTTCGGGACAACAGCTTTTATATTGAAAAATCCATATGGCCCCCAAGGACGGACTGAGTGCACTTTTCCTGAAGTGTAATTATAGCCTTCATAATTTTGTGCAAGAGCTCTGAGGACTAAAGCATTCTGCCCATTTATTTGAGTTGTAAAGACATTGTTTGGAGAATCGGTATAATATTCCCATTCGCTGTTTCCTGAGGCCGAGCCTGGCATAACGTCTGCAATTCAATTGCTTAAGTCTGTAAAAGTGTCGTTCATCACCAGGACATATCCTGCGTATGATGAATACGCAAGAAGTGAAAGAATAATTAAAGCTTTCATAGATTAATTATCAAGATTTTGTCAACAATTTATTAAGAAGATGGAGAAATGCGAAATAGTGTGGTTTAATTATTTATTCGAATAAGCCAATAAGATATATGCAATTTTTGGCTCAGGGTCGCTTTATATTTTAATTACATAAATTATGGTTTTTGAAATGAAATCTGATAATGTGTATTCTAAATATTAAAATTTATAACGAGAATGATATTTTTCTATCGCGGTTTTATATTGCTAAATATAATCCTGCACATCATAAACCTAAATTAATTAAATTTCTTACTGAATCATTGCTTTTCATAACATAATTATATTCTCCCATAATTCTGCCATTTAGCTTCCAATATACCTCAGATACCCCTGCATCTTAGTCAGAAATCTTTCAGTTTTTTTATTATTTTTATTCATCAGCATTAAATCAATTCTTTTTATCAGTTATTAAAATATCGAAATGGATACACCACCACGATTAAATTCACAAGCCACTGACAGAGCCTTGAATAACCAAGAAATTGACATAAGCTCAGTGGCAATCCACAACAAGTTCTCCAATTTTTTCAAGAGAGAATTTCATTTGCCTTGGAGATGAGTTGAATGAATCGAGATTTTGATATACATTATCGTCTCATGGATAATTTGTGCTATGATTGGCTCTACTATGAATCATTCCAACGTAGAAGATGACCAAAAAAGGTCTCCTTTAGCAGTCTTTAGTATTATTGCATGCCCACTTTCAGCTATTTATGGGGTTATTTTTATGAAACTGAGATTAACGCCATTCAGAGTATTAGTTATTTTCCTCATCATTTGTGTAGCCCCAGTTATATGAATTATTGTCAATGTCTCACAGGAGGATTTTTCATATCTCCCACTTGTGTTTTTAGCATATTTTCCTGGACTTTTTATATTTTTTGGAGTATTGAGATTTGCTAAAGAAAGTATTTATAATAATGGAAAAATTTTCCTTTCCTCCCTGATCCCTTCGTTAATATGCATTTTAGCCCCACTTATTATGGGAGCATCAGCAATATTTTTAGTCTTAGAAAAAGATGATGTCGATACAGACTTAGGAAGAATTTTTTTGAAAATTATGGCATTCCCTTATCTATTATTATTAATTCTGATATGAACAGTTATTCATTTGGAATTATTTAAAAAATATCCTAATCAATTTGAGGTCTACAAAGAAATGATAAAAAATGGGGATTACTCAGATCTTGCAGTCCAAGTACTTTTTAAGAAAAATCCTGATTTATTGAATCAAGAACCTAGCAAATGGAATATTTTTCATGAAAATATACACTGGATTTCGTCTATAACGCTTTTAGGCTGTTTATTGGCGATGGAAATTGGAATTATTAATCTTCTTGATAAGTATTTGAAGGGGGATGCAGACAGCGATGCATTGTGGATGTGCTGCTTTTATCTTCCTGTCGTCCCTGCTTTTTTATTTACTGGGATAACTTTTAGTGCATCAAGACTGAAAAAAAATGATAAGTTTTCTTCAGGGACTTTAGTTGGAGGAATTCCGATAACTATGGCAGTTATGGTAATTTCTTATTACTTGTATGATAATGACTCTACTTATTATCTTGGGATACTAGTCGGGTTAGGCTTTCCAATATCTACGATATATTGATTTTTATTAGCAATGGTTTTCCACCATAACAAAAGAGCTTTCCAGCTCATTTTACCGATTTCTTTCTTAATCGGAGTAATCCCTCTCGGCTATTTATGGCCTTTATACTCCATATCTGTGATGAAAACTTCTACATTTTGGGTTTTAACCGGAATCGTAGGCATCGGTGGGCTACTAATTTTAATCTTTGACTGGCTTATTGACTTTGTAATAAAATTCAAAACTGAGATGCTTGTAATTTTCAACGCTGCCAAGCTTATAAATACTTTTGACTTAATACAGCTCTCATACACGATATGCTTTATTATAGGATTCGCAATTCTTGTATGGACCGCTTGCAAAGAAACAATATCTTCCTCAGACTCCCCGCGCACATCTGGATACTTAATTGGCTGCTTTTCAATATTAGGGTTTATGATAATTTTGACGATAATTGTCCATAGAGTTTCATTTTATAATAGTGATGCTTATGAACATGAATGAACTATATCAGAAATAGTTTTAAAAAGGAAGACTGAAATTACACCATTGCAAAGTAAATTGTTGCAAAAAAAGAGGAAGTATATGAAAATAACACTGGGGTTAGGAGTTACAATCCCTTTTGTATATGCATAAAATGGCTGGAGACGAGAAACCAGCCCTCCCTCGCGGATGTCCTTATGTATATCCGTACTTTGTTTTTGGTACAAAGAGCTGCCCAAAGGTTGTGCTAGCCTCAAAGTGAGAGATCCAGCACTATTTCCTTGATTAGTGGCTTCGCCCAAGCGTTTTTTTTTTCATTTCGCCAGCAACGCCCAGGCCCAGAATGTGTTTCCAATAGAAGCAGGGCGATTTACCTGCCTAGATGCTTTGTTTTCTGTTCGAACGAGCACAAGTTATCGGAACTGATCTGGGGTAAAGTGAGACAGGTTGAGAAGATCTTATGGGCAAGTCACTTCATTCGAAAAGGGTCCTGCTAAGAGGCGATCTGGCTTGAGCTAAGCAGAGTTGGCTAATAGCGGCGAAGTTGGAAAGATGTACCCGACAAAATCTGTATGGCTGGATCAAAAGGCATGCACAACAAAGAGGTTTCTGCTGCTTTTCGAAAGTCTTATGTAAGACCGCCAAACAGCGATCGTTATGCACAGGAAATGGGGACTTTAAAGACGCAGCTTAATCTTAATCTTACAATCCCTTTTGTGATTGCAATTCCTTTACTTGCTGTTACTAAAGAGCAGACTACAACCACTGGTGTAGCAGTTATTATTGGGTTTTTATTTTCGACGTTTTTTATACTTATATTGATGGAGCTCAAGCATTATTTAAGAAAATACGGAAAAGCAATTATTTCTTATATTTTAGGATGGTGCTGATGCTTTTTTTATCTTCCACTAGTATGCTTTATCCCTATATCAGTTTCTATGGTCAATAGTAAAAGTGAGCTTCAGCAGGTAACTTCATGGTCACTCGGAATAGTAAGTTTGCTCTTTATGAGTGGTGTAGGAATGGGAAGCATTGCTATAAATACTATTTTCAAATCTGTTGAACGAGAAAAAATAGCCAAACACTGCTGCTTAATACTCAAGCACAGGCTAATGAAGTCTGGCGTTAGATCAAAAATGCAGCTTTTAAGAGCAATTTATGAGCAGATCTACTATTCTGACCCTGAATCAGTCAAAAAAGTGCTATTAGATATGACAGCAATCTATTATTTCCCAGTTGATGAAAATGACCCAGACCTTAGATTCAGCAAAGATCTTGTAACTATAAGTGATTTAATGAAACTTCAAAATAAAAATAAAATCCAAGTTATTGACAATGTAGACAAAGATGAAATTTTACATAAAGACGAAATAAGCTGCTGGCAATGGCTGAAAAATATTTTTGCAACTCAAGATGAGAAATTAATTGTAAAAGAAGAAATTGACGTATTAGAAGATGACATGAATTTTACCACAGAAGAAAGCGCCATAGAGCCTAGCAATAATAATTATGTGAAAATGCAACCTAATAGTGAGGAGGGCACAGGCCAAGAATCAAGGCAGTCGTCAAATGAATGGACGCATGCATTTAAAAAACAAGTCAAGCATGTCCAGGAAAAGAAAAGACAAGAAATGCAAAATGCGCTGTTTAGAATTGCTATTATGGATCCTGATGAGCCGAAAGCTGATAATGAAGAAATCAAAGAAAATAAATTAACTGAAGCAGAAATAATGAAAATCAAAAGAAATGAGCATTTTCAAGTGTTGAAAGAGAACCCGGATGTCAAAAAAGAATGGTTTAATATGGTGTTTTTTAGATTTTCACATGGACTGATTGTGGATGATAATGGACCTTGGATGACTTCACATGATATGAGGCAGTTTTTAAGGCTTAGTGGGCTTAAGTATTATTTCCCTAATGTCAGCTGTGATATATTATATGTGAAATTGACGAGAAAATTTAATGCAGCGAGATCACATAAAACATTCACGAAAATTAGGTTTAATGAGTTTTATGATACTTTATTAGATATTATTGGAAGGTCTATGTATCCTCATCTGAGTCCAAAAGAAGCATTTGATAAAATTTTTGAAGAAAAAATTTACCCTAATTTATATTTAATTTATTTAAAATTGACAACCATTTTAATAAGATAAAACTCTGATTCCTACATAAAATACTCAAAATAGATTTATATTAAAATTAAACTTAGCCTGGCAGTGTTTAGTATCGAATCTGCCATATTTAGGGAGCAAGCTTAAACTTGATATCAAAGGCCATGAAGAAAGACTAAGGCATACAGTTGGAACTCTAATTATGAAAAAAATTGATTTCACTGCACAAGCTCCAGTTGCGTCTGTAGTCGTCAACCCTTATTTAAATATGTTCAAACTTGATGCCCCTAAAAACTCAATGGAAATTCCTGATAACGAGACAGCTGAACCAAAAATAGAAGAAATCCAACCTCATAGCTCAGGAGGAGTGATCACTTCTACCATTAATTTAACAAAAAGAAGGTCTGTATTTATCGAAAGTGAAGCTCCAGAAATCGATAAAATGCAAGAAACTCAAAAGAAAAAGAAAGGAGCTTGTGCAAAGCTTAATAATTGTTTAGAATGCTTTTTTAATACCATTTCAAGCATTTCTGACTGTATAGTCCGCCTTGCAGCTGTGCTTTTTAAAGGCTGTTTTGCGTGCTTGTCGCCAAAATCTGCTGAAGAGGATAAATTGATAAAAGTTAGCAGTGAGCCACAATCAGAAGAAGACAGTCTAGAATTAATTGTAAGAAGAGATTCACCAGATTGGCCAGAAATTTGTGAAATTGTTACTGAAACTTTGTCAAGTGCGTTAGAAGATGCCAAAAAAATTATGGAGCAAAAAAAATCAACAGACATGCAAATGAATTTATCAAATTTGACTGCGATTGTTAGCATGGTTACTGAAATTTATTCATTTTCTAGCATGGCTTTTTCATCTCAAGTGAATTGGCTAGGAAATAATTCAGAAAATGAGGTGTCTAATAATGTCAGTGGGCAGAGTGAGTACTGGGAAGAGACATTCTGGGCTTGCTTAATTGCTGCTTTTGTTTTTATTGCGATGGTTTGGCCTGCTGTAAAATACTTAAAAGAAGGAAAACTAGGCTTGAATAAAGACCATACAAAAGCTAAATTTCCAAGTTGGCAATTTATTTTATTTTTAATATAAAATTTTGCTTTCAGCCTTAGTTTAATGATTTTTTTAAATTTTTTTTTAAATTATTAAAAAATTAATTTAATTCTAGATGGCCCCAAAAGAATTAAATGCGAAAAATAATAATTCAAAAAATATGCAAGCTCTAGCTAGATTATTAATATAAAAATTAAATAATTATTTTTTAAAAGTTATTAGAGCAAAATTTTTAGCAAACTATACTTAAATCGATATCTCTACTTGGATGCTCACTATATTTAACAATAATGTCAAATATTTTGGCAGCATTTTCATGCCAATTCGATGATAGCAGCAACTATTGGTATTTATCCAAAGACGATAGTATAGAGTGCTTTGGGACTCTCCATTCAGTTTATATAGCTCTTGCTGTTGTTTGTGCTATTTTGTATTATCCTCTCGCTACTCTGCTATATCCTAATATTCAATATCAAAATAAAGAGCTTGATCTAAAATACGACACAACCTTTTTGGTTCTTGAATCCCAAGGCAAGCTGCTTATTGCAGGGTTTTCAGCATTTTTTTTGAAATCTAAATATTTATGGCTTCAGCTCACTGTGGTAATTGTTGTTTGTTCTATACTTATGGTGATAAATATTATCACAAAGCCATGCTTTGTCAGAAGCTTTAACATTTGGAAAGCTGCTGGATATTTCGTAGCTATATGAAGCTGCTCTTGGGCTTTAGTTAGCATGCAAACTGATCTTTACTTAATTAGGTGGTTAGTCGAGGTGCACTTTGTTAACTCGATTGCCAAGGATCCTCCAATGGATTTATCTGCTTTGGGGTACACCTACTTCCGATCTCCGGAAAGGCCGGCTGTCTGGCCCTCACCTCCTCCTGCCACTTCGCGGTGGCTCCAGTCTTGAGTGGACGGACTATGGGTTCCTGGGGCCTTGCTTCAGGCTGCAAAGACGAGGTTGCCTGCACAGAAAACCCAACAAAAAAAATTTTCTGGACAACTATTGTCAAAGGAAAAAACTTTAGCCAAGGCCGTAACCCCCTGACTTCACGGTGGTGCAGTGCCCGATAGGTCCAAAGGATTTTGCTGGGCTGCTCCTTTCCAACTTCCAAGTCTCCTTTGTCCTTGAGGTAAAACCCAAACCAGAAAAAAAGACAAGGGCTAGGCTCCTTACTCCACAGGATTTGCTTGCCTAGCATAGCTTCCCATTTCAAGCTTGGTAAAACCTTGCCGGATATAATTAAAATATGTGCTCGAAGGTAGTCGGATCCGACCGCGTAGCTCTGAGACGCCATATTTAATTATATGCATGCAAACTGATCAGCAAGTACTTGCATTTTCATTTTTAATAGCAGGATATGGAGTGATTTTGGGAGTGATGATTTATCTGCAGAGTTCTTTATATGGATGTGCAGGATTTAAGAAGCTGAAACATATTAAATCAGTTTTAAGAGGAAGAGAAGTGTATGATGAAAATGATGGAATTATTAATGCGACAAATAATCAAGGGGAGCCTCAGCTTTTTTCAAAAGTGACTGTTTAATCCTTCTCTGTGAGCAAGCAAAACTTTGGAAACACTCCTATTTGGTGAAAAAAACCATCTCCGTAAATATGTTTTTAAAAAATATTAGATATATAAGTTATTATTATTATAATGAAATCTATTGATTTAAAATATTTTAAAAAATTTAGCATCTCTTAAGCAAACAGGATTTTTTGTTTGCTATGGAAGGAAAATTAGAAAAATATCATTATGATAAATAATTTATTTCGCTATAATTTTAGCTATTTAGTATATCTGCAAAATCATATTAATTTCATAAATTGGTTTACGTTAAATTTATAGTCATTCCAGCAAAATAACTCGAAATATTAGTTTAAAATCACAAAAAAAAAACCTTAAAGTCCTATTTCTCTATTAACTCCCTAATTCTCAAATCATAAATTTCTTAATTAAACTCTCCTTTGACAACAGCTGGGATTTCAATTCTAACATCATAAACTCTTTCTAGCAAGAAATCAATCCCTCTTTGTTTATTTGATTGGAACTCTCTTTCAACAGCAGTTGCTTTGTCCTTAAACTCTTTCTGCATGCCACTCATATCATTTCCCAGTCCTTTATTCGCAGCTTCAATGGCCGCATTATATTCAGCTTCCAAATCCTTTTTCATTTTTCCCAGTTCTTGTTCAGCATCAAACTTGGCTTCTTTCAGTCTTCTTTCTCTAGCTTCCTGGACTGCTCTTATGATTTCATTTGACTGTTGTTCAGCAGCTGTGAGCTCACTCAAGTATGACTTGTCCATATATAAAATATGATCCAACCGTATTCATTCAATACTTTGACCCAAACTAAAATCCTTGAACGACGAGAAAAAGCACAAACGCTTGCAGAGAACGGGGAAACTGAAAAATCGATCTTAGAATATAACAGAATAATTTTTTTATCACCAGATAACGCAGATTTCTATATAGAAAGGGCACATCTGTATTTAAAATTATCTGATCTTGCATCTGCTATTGCGAATTTTCGAAAATCATTGAAAATAAGACAAGATGCTGCTGTAGAAAAAATTTTAAACCAGCTTTGCTTTGTAAAAGGAATGAGCCTTATAGATGAAGGGAGGGTGCCTGCAGCGATGGATTTTTTAGAGCACAACATAAAGAAAGATGAGCAATACCACTATTTGTGTGCCCTTGGGTACTTAGGATCAGGCGAAAAAATGCTGTCTTTAAAAGAATTAGAAAAAGCTATTGAAATTTCTCCAGACTCAGCAGTTGATGCCCTTGTGCTAAAAGGGAAAATTCTGCTAAGTTTAGACCAAAAAGCTGATGGTTATGATGCATTTTGGAAAGCTTTCAATATAAATTCTTCACATCCTGACGTAGTCGAGTTCGTAAATATCATGAAACCTCTCGCCCAAGAATGGCACGATAAAGCAGTTAATGCTATTTTTAAAAAAGAATACAAGCAAGGACTGTATTTTATAGACAAAGGGTTATCAATTTATAAAGACTCCCCAAAGCTGCTATTATTAAGAGCCGCAATCCATCGAATGCAAGAAAATTTTGAAGAAGCACTCGACGACCTAGAAAAGGCCAGCCGGCATATGAATTTTGAAAATATTTCAGACCAGGTCAGAATTCAGATTGCGCTAACTTATAATGATATTGGGAAATCTTTGTATCAAGCTCAAAAGTATGTAGAAGCGATAACCCCTTTTAATGAAGCTATAAACTTTATGAGCCAGGACGCAGGGTTGTTTATTAATAGAGGAGACTGCTATAGGATGAGAGGAGCGACTGAGACTGCTCTAGCTGATTATCATCATGCAATAGAACTAGGAGCCAGCCCTGAACAAGTGAACCCTCGTCTGGCTGCGCTGCATAATGCAATAGGAAATAATCTTTATGGCAAAGGAGACGCTGCAGGGGCAAATATTGAATATTCAAGAGCAATTGTATACAACCCAGGGGTGGCTGCTTATTATGTGAGTAGGTCGAAAACACAAGTTGCATTGAACCAAGCTCGACAAGGTTATGAAGACCTACAAAAAGCAATAGAACTTGATCCAAATAATGAAGAAGCTCTCAGGCTGCTCTCAAATTATAAAATTTCCTCAATTCCTCACAACCTTCCACACAACATTCGTAAACTTATGTTTAAACAAAACATGCCAATTTAATTTTATTTAAAATTACTGTGCAAAAATTAAATAAAGGGTGCTATAGCCTGCTACCATCCCTGCAAATTTTAACTCTTGTTTTGATATACACATCTCGATTTTCCCTGAAAGCCCAGCTTCGAAGCCAGGCCGATCTAATTCTTGAGGTGGATATTCAACAACATAATAAGTGATATCTTGTGGAGTTTGTGAGAGTTCCATAATTAAGATTAATTCTTCTTGATAAATAAAGCAAGCTTTAAATAGGTTTCCTCTTTCTTCGTTAATTGCTCGTTTAAGAGTTTCATTAGAAAGATTTCGACCTATATGCTTTACTATATAGATTGGTAATAATTGTTCATCTATACTATGTCGGCTATGCAAAAGGTGGACAAGTCCTGATTCTTCGATGCAGCAGCCTATAAGGGATTGGTTTGTATAGATAGGAGATGCTAAGCGGTCTTGGAGACTTTCACATCAGTCAGATGGACTTGCGCCGGATAATGGAAATCTGGAAAATGAGTAGGTGCCATTGGGAGATTTAAATGTAAAAATATCACTTGGGATTTGGCTAATCACTATAGAGTTGTCTTGGCTTGTGGGGTGGTTTATAATATAGCTTGGCATTGGGGTTTTGAATTCGTTTTTAAATATTAAGATAAGCCTTGATATAGGCATAGATTCGGCTTGGACTCGGGCTATTAGAAGAGGCTTCTTTTTGTGGCCTTTTGCTTTTCCAGTAGTCACTTTGTATCGAGGCTTTTCACGATTTCCACAGGGCCAGGACCAATTGCTTCCCATAATTTAAATATGCTAAATCTATACGTTTATTTAATTATAAAATGACTGAGAAGTTTGCATAGACTAAAGAAACTATAGAATTTATGCAATAATGTGAATTTATAAAAATCTTAAAATAAATTTATTTAAAATTGATTGAAAAATAAAATTAGCAATAAGATTGATGCAATAAATAATGATAAAATAAAATAATTATGCTGCTTAATTATTGAATTTTTATTAATAAAGAATACGAATTCATATCTAGGCGTATTGAGTATTAAAATGCATAGATCATTTGAGAAAAATATGTTTAAAGAAGCAAATTACTTTCTTCTTAAATTATATTAAATTCTCTTTTACAAAATATTTATAAATAATTCAGGTTTTCGAACTATTGCGACTTTAAAGCAGAACAGCAAAGGAAATATAATTATAGGAGCAGCTGTATTCTCAATATGCCAAGGATGGTTTAATTGTATAATAAGCTTTATTTACAGACTAAAAATCCCAAGAGCTCTATCAATTTTAGTGCCGTTTGCGCTTATATACCTACCATTTTCATCTTTTTCAATGCTATCTATAAGATGAATTAAGAGTAAAATCAATCATAAAATAGATCGTATATTATCTAATTTGTGCCAAGATTGACGAGATAAATAAAGTTCATCAATTTTTAAATTATCAATGGTATGATAAATATAGCACCTATTTAGCTATATATATGATTGGCAATTGGTATCTGAAATTATTTTTGAAAAATATATAGTTAGTGACACTGACTATAAAATGATAATCTCCATTTTTGATTTGATATATTACTCAGTGTGGAAAATAAAGAAGGTAATAGAAAACATAGATATTTTGCAAATAAAATTTTGATCAGTTGACTTAGAGATAATAAAGGCTAAATTTGATATTTATTTAAGAGGAACTAGATTCTTATTCCTGATAATTTGATCTAAATATAGAATATCTAAATCTTAAAATTCTATGAAATTAATTTTGGTGATTTTTCTAACGGTAGATTGATATATGATGATATATTATTTTGATCCAAAAATCAATACTAAAAAGCTATCCTATAAATTTTAATAATGATTTGCCCTTTTAGTTGATTTCTTAATATAGCACATTTTATTGAATCATCTAATAAGCATTAAAAATTGAAATTATGAATTTTGACTATAAGAAATAATATTTCTTGTAAAAGATATTAAAAAAACATTAATTTATAGCATACTTATCTAAAATACTAATAAAAATAAATATTTGCATTTATCATTTTCTATCTTTTCCATAAAGAGTGTATATATCTTATTTATAAGCATAATTGCATCTACATTGGGCTTCTTAAAGCACTTTTTGGTTTTTTTATAAATGGACGAAATTGAGAAAAGTTTAGTAATTTGAGTATCCTTTATTTAGATTAACGAAATGAAGCTTAACAAACTCTGTAACAATTTTTCTGAGCTTTCAGACGGAGTTTTATTATACGAGCTTATGTCAAAAGTGTAACTTTTACCTAGATCCCCTGACTATTTTGACTTAGACTCCATAACAATTGACGCGCACGACAACTGAGCCTTAAAACTGGCTAATCTCCGAAGGCTCAAAAAAACCATCGACAACTATCTCGATAAAGAACTCCGCGTTAACCACGAAAAATACGACCAAATCGAATTAGCAACAATTGCTCGGAAATCCGGTCAAGAAGAGCTCCTAAAACTAATGGAGCTTGTGATGTTTGCAATTTTAAATTGTGAAGAAAAAGAAACTTTCATAAACCCCATCATGAAGCTTGACGAAAAATGTCAAACGAATTTGATGATTTTCATCAAAAACATTTTGGGTGAAGATGACAGCGGCAGTGCTGAAGAAAGCAAAATTTCTTCTAAAGAAATCAATAGATTAAGAGAAGAAAAATCAAAACTAGTTAGAAAAATTAGTACAATGCAAAAAGAACTGTCGGCTTTAAATGAACAAAAATCTAGTATTTTAAGTGAAAGAGATGAGCTCAAAGTTATCAATGTGGGCCTTGAAAATGAGCTTATAAGAAAATCAGCGTCTTGCGCAATACCAAGCGAATTTTTTGATTTAAGAGTTGAAGAGATAAGAAATAAAGAAAGAGCTGAAAATTTATCATTTATTATTAAATCAGAAATTGATGATGTAAAAAAAGAATATGAAGCTGAAATAGCTAATTTAAAAGATGAATTGGACGTCGCGAACTCTAATTTGTGTAAGCTTGCACAGACAGAAAAAACGCTACAGGATTATAAAAAAAAAATTGAAAAAAATTCAGCGATAGTGAAAAAATATTCACTCCCCCCTTTAAATTGGAACAAAAAATTTGTTCCAATTTAAAGGGAGTTAAGAAAATTTTTTTAAAAAAAAAATATCAATATAAAATTACTTTATAAAAACTAAATTTTATAAAAATTTAAAAAAACAAAAATTCCAAAAATTTATCGAATTAGATTAATAAATTTGTTTAATCAAATGCTATTAACTCTATATCCTTTAAAAAAAAGCAAGATATAAATAAATATATATTATTAGCTAATTCGACGCTATTAATTGGTATCAAAACTATTTACACAAAAATTATTATTTTTTTATGATAAAAAACAATTAAAAAAAAAATTTAGAAAATTTATCGATCAAAGTGCTAATTTTGTTTAAATAAGATGCTATTTATACTCTATTCTTTAAAATAAAGCAAGAAATAAGTAAATTTTGAATTTTTGTAAAGAATTCGTATTGATTTTATATCAAAATTAATTAAATAAAAAATTATTTTTATCAAAAAAAATAAAATTGTTTTTAAAAATTTATAGCTAGGGAGGATAATAAATTTATTTAAATAAGATGCTCTTTATACTCTATTCTTTAAACAAGAGCAGGATATAACTAAATGTTTAATTTTAGTTAAGAAGAAACATTTAATTTATATCAAACCTTTTACATATAAAATTATGATTTTTATATATATATAAATTTTTTATTTTAAAATTAAATTGTGTTCAATTTAACGGGGGATTAATTTACCAAAAATGGAAATTTTAAATATATTTTGTTCCAATTTAAAGGGGGGGAGTCAGATTTAGTCAAACAGCATGAAAGTTTAGAAGGAAGATATAAGCAGTTACTTGAAGAAAATAATGAACTAGGCAAGCTAAGGCAAAATATTGTATATTTAAATGATCATAAATAAAATGGCATTCGGTTCGAGTGAAATTGGTATCGCCAATTTTCTCTCCCTCAAGCAATTTTATTTATGGGGTTAGGTTTTACCTCGAGAACTTCTGCACAGCAATAGCAGTTTAACTCTGGGGATAGCCAGAGGAACTGCTCCTCAATACACTCAAGAGGCTCAGGTTTTTACCTCTCAGCACATCTCCACGGGAAGATGACCCTTAGGCGGAACACGCACAGGAGCTGAGTATGAGGAGGCATCGGCAACGCGCCGGGTGAGACTTACGGCTAAGACTGGCGGCGAAGCTTTGATAGAAGGCTTGGACTATGGGGTTACCATCGTGAATCCTAGATGGCTCGGTGACGTCACTAGTTTAGCTATATCCCTTTTATAAGGGTGCGGGCACTAGACACCTTAAACACCAGATAGTAATATAATGTAATGTATATTTAAAAGATCAGTTTAGTCGCGAAAAAGATAAATCAGAGTCCTTACTCCCCCTCCGTGAGCGAAAAAAAAAATTGGAAAAAATCTCTATATTTTGACCAAAAACCCACCCTTCGTCAGCGAACAAAAAATTTTTTTGAAAAAAAATTGATTATATGTGATAATTAGTATAATGAAATCTCTAGCTAATTCTGTTTAATTTTAAACAGCTTGCAATTTAAAACATAGTTTTGCAAATTAAATAAATTTCTACTTCTTAATTTTTACAAATTAGAATTTTGTTTAATTTTGAAGAAAAAAAATTAAATCCCTACGTAAACGAACAAAATTTTTTTTTTCGCTCACGGATTGGCGGAGGTAGCTTTTGCTTTAGAAAACAAAGAAAAACAGATAAAACGATTAAATAAAAAAGCTGAAGAATTATCAGAAAAATTGGAATTTGCTGAATCAAGGCTACAGGAATGCCAAAATTTGAATGAAATAAATTCAGCAGCCAGCGAGGATTCTTTCATTTATAGAGTAGAATCAGAAGATCTAAAACTAGAACTTTCAAGGGCAGGATCAAGAAAATTCACCACCCTCGGCCAAGAGCAATTAGATTTGTGCCAACGAGAAAAAATTGTTTTTAAAAATAAATACGAAAAAGCTAAACAAAAACAAAGGCAGCTATCAGAATCAATAAAAATGCTCAAAGAAGAATACGATACCCAGAAATATAATGACTCTATGTACACTCAAAGGCTATTAAAACAAATCGACGCTGTCACAGACCAAATGAAAGTCGTTTCAGATTCAGTCTCAAATTCCCAAAGCTACAGACTCAAAAATGAGCAGCTTTTTTACGAAATTGAAGGTATGAAAGCCACTAAAGATGCATTAATGCAGGATGTCAAAAAACTCCATGAAGAAAAAGATCTAATGTACAAAAGATTTATTGAATGCAGAGAAGAAACTATAAACTTGCAAAGCACAATAAATAAAAACGAATTAAAAATCAAAGAACTTTTGCTAACTCCCCCCCCCCTCCGTGAGTGAACAAAAAAATTTCGTTCACTCACGGAGGGGGGTTAATTGTTTTTTTTTTTAAGAAAAATTTATTTTTTTGAAATTTAAAAAAAATAATAATTCGCAATAATTGGAAAGGAAAATATTAATTTAATTTACAAAATTTATGTTTTAAAAAGCAATTCGTTTAAAATTAAACAGATTTCATTATACTAATTATCATTTATATATCAAATTTTTTTTTTCCATAAAAAATTTTCTATTAAAAAAAATTTTTGTTCACTCACAGAGGGTGGGTTTTTGGGCAAAAAAATAGGGATTTTTCTAATGGTTTTGTTCACTCACGGAGGGGGGGGAGTAAGTGAGAAACTGCTAAATGATAAAGTCAGAGAGCATAGTGACAAAGAAAAATGGTACACTGAAAGTATTGAGTCTTTAAAAAAACAAAAACAGGCAGAAAATGAAGACTGCAGCCTAAAACTATTTGACTTAGAAAGAGAAATAATTACTTTGAAAAGCGAAAATGGAAGCTTGCTGATTCGGCTTCATGATAAAGAAGACCGAATCCAAGAAATTTTAAAAGATAAAACTGACACTATTCAGATTTTAGAAGCCCAGCATAGTGAAGCAATAAATAAGCTGAAAAATGATAATGATTGGAAACAAAACCAAATGGTGAAACAAGCTGAAGAAGCTATGCTAGAATTGCAAAATGAAAGAGAGCTGCTAATAGCTAAGCTAAAATATGAAAGAAATAGCGGCATGAATGAGTGAAAAAGAATGAACACCATGAGGGAGCAGCCTTATCCTGAGCATGCCGAAGACGTTATGAATTTAAAGAAAAAGCTTGAAGAAAAAGAAAAACAATTAGCTGATTCCCATAAAATGAATAAAGAGCTGAAAAGATGTTGGAAGGAAGCCGCCACGCTTCTTAAAGTTGTGTATAAAGAAATGGGCAAAGAGGCCAGAAAACTCAATGCAGTTAGTAAAATTGAATATTAATTTTTTATATTTTATGGCATTAGTTTCATTTATAGATATAAGATTTGGGGATCCTGTTTTATGTCTTTCCATGAGTGAACAAGGGATTGCTTATGGCTCAGCATTTGGGAGAATATTATATCATAATTTTTGGACAGGTCAAGAAATTGTTATTGCTGAGTTTAGTGAAGAATGCATAAGAGGAATTCACGTTGCAAGGGATAATATCATATATTCTGCAGTTGGAGATTTATATAATTTAGTGACTTTGATGTCTAGTAATCAATGTACTGCAAGATTAGCTGTTTCTAATGATAATGATCACTCAGTTCATATTTGTCATGACACGCAGGTTCTTATGAGAGAAGATGTAGTTTGTCTTATTACGATTCCTAAAGAATCGTTGTCATTTATCAATAAAAATACTATTCATATCACGCAAATTTCATCAGAAACTAAACGGCATTTTGAAATTTCTACGCTGCCACCTTTTAGTTCTCCTATAGATTTTGATGGGAACCGCGTACTTTTTTTATCATTTAACTCTAACCAAACTCGGACACTAAATATTATCGAATTTAAAAATGAGAAAGCAAAGCTCAGCGAGATCACAAAGTTCAAAAATTCATTTGGCCATATTTCTCATATGAAATTAGTTAATGATTTGATTATTTTGGTGCAAGAAAATAGACATATAAAAATTTTGGATATATCTACAGGCAAAATAAGGCATGATATAGGGTCTTGTAAAGCTGATATTGCAGCTCTTAATTATTTGTATATAAAAGAAACACAAGATGAATTTCATAGTGGGCCATCATATGACCAAATTAATATAGAGAGAGAGTTATTTATTGCATCACAATATTAAAAATGTCAGTTAGTGATAGGTCCTAGCACCTGCTCACAGGATGGACCTAAAATCACGAGTTCAGTGAGAGAAGTCCAACTTCTTGAGAGCTTCGGCTTGAAGTGAAGAGGTCATTGTTGTGTCTGGCTTGACTAGAGGAGTCCTAACTTAACTTTAGCGGTTTGATGGTTAGGCCGGTTCACCTACCGTTTTTCAGAGCTGTTAAATTAGCTGAACCTCAACAAGGGGACTTAACGCAAAAATATTTGCGAGAGTAATTCAATAAACTTAAACTTAAAAATTTATTGCATTAGGTCTTTATTTCAGGACCATGCTTGTAAAGTTCCGTCTTCTTCATAAAAAGAAGAAGAATGGGAAACAGTACTTTCCGAATCTTCCATTAAAATAAAAGTAAAATTAATATAGAAGAAAATTTGGTTTTTAGCAAACTTGTAATAGTTACAGTGGATGTGGAAGGGAGTATTTGTATATGGGATAATGAAGGATTAATTGAAAGAAATTATATTAGAGATATAGATGAGCTTACTGATGAGTATAAAAATTTTGCGTATTTTTCGATGGGATATCCTTATGTTGTTCATGTTAGAAGCCCTCATATCGCTTTTTCAACAGATATAGGGATTTTTGTTATAAAATCAGCTTATTTTGATAGATCAAAAGCAGATTAATGCAGATTATTATTTATATGCGATCTATTTCCTAGTGCTTTGGCATAGTAATATAATGAAATATTTATTAAAAATTTGCAATTATAAATTTAATTATGGCATTAAAATTTTTGATTCTTATTATTTATCCTTTATTTATTTTTGCCTTAGAAGACAATCCTACTATTACATTGACTGATAAAAACTTCAAAGATATTGTGAAAATCCATCAAAAGATGCTAGTGGAATTCTATATAGAAGAAGATATTCAATGTCAAAATTTTCATCCTGAATTTATCAAAGCTGCTAAGAAATTATTGCATTTATCTCCTTCTTTTAAACTGGGAGTGTTTAATGCAAATAACAGTGATATCGCTGTAGATTATGGAATTACATCATTCCCAAAATTAGTTTATTTTATCGGAAGAATTCCAATAGAATACAGTGGACAAATGAGCTCTGATTCTATCATATTATGAACTAAAAGGCAGCTAAGGTTAAGATAAGGTTAACTATTATTGAAAAGCTCCCGGTAGCACCTATGGGTGCGATTCTCCACTTTCGTTTATTATTGGGCTAACTGCCGACACCTTCTAGGGTAAAATTCTCATCGCCTGAGGCTTGCGTCACAAAACCGTAAGTCAGACTTGGGCTGCCCTTCGAAAAAATTTCGAAAAGCGAATTTCTGATCAAGCTGTCGACCAAGATAAAACTCGTCGCCTACGACGCAACGCCTGGTATCGTTCTAGGTAATTGCCCGATTGGTCATGCAGACTTTTTTGGCTTTCTCTTTCTAACTCCGAGTCTATCTCAGCCAAGAGGTAAAACCTTGATCCAGGAATGAGCTGCGGTCGGTCTAATCAGATATTGCGCTCCTCCAAAGCTAAGTAAAGCTCTGCCTAATGCACATCACTGGACGCCATCTCTCTGCCACAATGTCCCTGGTTATCCCTGCTACAGATGCTAAGAGGGTGGGTTGGTTCGCCATGCATTTTAATGTATATAACTAAAAGGCAGCTAACTAAACAAACTATCTATTAATTATAGCCATTAGACATTAAAGTCTAGGAATTTAAGTAGTTTTCGAGTTTCTAAATTATCTCCTCTCTAATCCTCCAACGAATTTTCCAATAATAAGTCAAAGGATTAGAATTAGGATTATTAAAAGTAAGGCGTTAGCCATATTGGTGACGCAATCACCAAAGACCTCCCGTACAAGGAGGTTCGACCGCTTTTAGACTCCAGCCCAGAGAGTCTATCCCTCATATGAGTGCCCTTCCGGCACTTCTATCTCCTTGTTGAGGCTCAGTCTTTAGTGGGCGGCTTTTGGATTTCTGCTGCTACGGGCGATTGGGTAGCTTGATTCATGGATCCTTGGAGTCTATCGGATGACGAAGTGCCTCCCTTCGACAGCTACAGGAAAAAGACTACTCCCTGTGGTCTGGGCGAAACCCCCAGTTTCTCGGTAGAGGAATATCCATGGATCCTCGGATCCAAAGGACATTACCGGGCACCTCCATTTCCAACCACAGGAAATCAACCAAAACTTACTCGGATACACATCTCTCGAGCCTGCACTTCATCTCGGCTCAGAGTGCATCCCAGTTCGCCGTAGCCATAAGATCTGGACTGTTGCACCAAAAGGGCAGGCTAGCACGTGTCGCCATTTTAATGCATATTAATAAGCCAAAGGCAGCTAGGAATTTCAATTTTATACATAAATGAAACAGAAGATTTACTCAATAAAATTGAATTAGAGAAAACAGCTATTGTCTTATTTTCAAAACCTGATATTCCAATCATAAAATCCTTTGAATATATCGCTCAAAAAATCGAAGAGCCGGCCTTTTATGTTTCAATTAATTCTGATACTTGGGACTGTTTTAATGTCATACAAAGCCAAGTGATAATATTTAAAGATTTTGGGCAAGAAAAAGTGAAGCTTGATATTGAAGAAACTGACATATTAAAATTTATAAGACTTATTGAATTACACAAAAAACCTTCTTTAATACCTCTTGACAGCTATTCTATTGATTTTATATTACAAAATAAAAACCAAGCAGCTTTATTTTTAAGAGCAAAAAGTGAAGCAGAACTATATAAAAGCGAAATTGAGGAATTAGCTAATGAGTATAGGGATTTTATTACTTTTATATATGGAGATATTTCTGATTATCCTATATTTTCAGAAATGGTAGGAATTAGTGAAAAAAATCAGCCAACGTTTATGATAATTGATCCTATGCTTAGCACATCTAAATACAAAATTAAAAATAAATTTACTATTAGCTCAGCTAGACTATTAATTGAGGAGTTCAAAAATAATTCTGCCGTTCCTTATTTAAAATCTCAAGAAATACCTGAAAACCCTTTTGAAAATAGCTTGAGGGTTTTAGTTGGAAAAAATTTTGAAGAAATTGTATATGACAAAAACATAAATGTCATTGTAGAATTCATGGCTGAGGGATGTTCTGAATGCAAGGACGTCGAAAAAGAATTTCAAAAACTAGCGGAGATGCTTGTCGAAAACGATAACATAATTGTCTCAAAAATAGATATGAATAAAAATGATATTAAAGGAATAATTATAACTGAGTTTCCAACCATAAAATTTTACCCAGCAAATGATAAAACTGGGATAGATTTCAAGGAAGAAAAATCTTTTGAAAACTTGCTAACTTTTATACAGTTAAATTCAGATTTAACAATAAAGCCACACACCCCTGATCTATAAAGAAGATTTTTATTTTCTAATTTAAGAGTTATGAATAAAAGATTATTTACCTGGGTTATCTTATACAGCCTCATGCTTTTCAATATGATATTTGTCCCCATACTTCTCCAAGTGTTTTTTCATTTCTTCTTGTTGTCTTTCAAGCTCAGGTGTCAGCTTGTCATATACATTGGAAAACATCACTGTCCATTTCGGAAACTCAATATGTTCTGCGACTGTTTTGGCTTTCAAAACTCGTTCTCTTACATCTTTAGCATATTGAACAGGGTCAAAATCAAGCCATCCAGCATGCATCATGAACTTTTCAGTCCTTAAAATGGGATTATCCACATTCTTATAAAACTCAATTTCCTCTTTTGTGCGGTATCGGGTAGAGTCATCAGACGTCGAATGATGGCCAACTCTATAAGTCATAAATTCTAATAACACCGGCCCAGGTGTGCTGAGAACTAATTTTCTTGACTCTTTTACTGCGTTATAAGCTGCAAATACATCATTTCCATCAGCCCTGATGCTTGGCATCCCATATCCAACTCCTCTAGGCGCAATTCCATCACTTGCAAACTGATCCGTTATCGGTGTACTTATTGCATATTTATTGTTCCTGCATACGAAAAGTGTATGTGCTTTTGTAGTCGCCGCAAAGTTTAACCCAGCATGAGCATCCCCTTCACTGGCTGCTCCTTCACCATAAAAGCACACACAAATGTTTTGTTCGCCTCTGATTTTCAGCCCATATCCCAATCCTGCAGCTTGTGGAATTTGTGTGGCAAGTGGAGAACTGACATGTTGAATTTTTGCAGCATTGCAGCCATAGTGAACTGGCATTTGTTTGCCTTCCCCTAGGTCTAATTTGTTGCCGTACATTTGGTGGCTTGCTAATTGGATATCGAAGCCTCGCCAGAAGAATAAGCCGAGCTCTCTATATTGTGGACAAATCCAATCATCTTTATCTAAGGCTGCAGCTGTGCCAGCTTGTAGCCCTTCTTCACCAGTGTTTTGCATATAGAAAGAAACCTTGCCTTGGCGCTGGAGATCGTAGAAAATTGTGTCAAATTCTCGGACCTCAACCATTGTCTTGTATATGTCCATCAGTAATGACTTAGAAACAGCGTCTATGTAAACTTCAGCTCCTTTTAATGGTAAGCCATTCTCATCAATGCAACGGAAGGTCGGGATTTTCAAAGCATTTGGGTCTGTAAATGTAAGTTTCTGGGAAAAACTAAAGCACCGACGAATATGGCTTAACATTATGAAAAATTGTGAAAATCCATCAAAATTTAATTAATCATAACATCTCTAAGATTATTCAGCTTATTTCTTCCAGCTCTTGTTTGCATATAGGTTTAGAGCTTCGTTTGAAGTATGCACTATTCCGGAAGCAATTGGAGACTTTACCATATTCATAGTAAAGCCTTTAAATAGACCTTTGACTCCTTCGGTTTTCACTATCATGAATCCATAGCTCATCCATCCTTTTAAAGCAAAATCTCCAGATGACGATTTAAAGGATGACACTTTTTCAATGAATCCATGAGCCTGCATTCTTTTTCTAATGACTTCAAAAGGATATGATGATAATTGCCCTAATAGCCCTGAAACTGCTCCAAATAGAAAGTGCTCTTTTGAGCCTTTGTGACCTATAATTTCTTTTGACGAAAAATACAACGAAAATGTTGTTCCGCTGTACACAACTATTCCTAACATTGTGGGTGAAAAACCATTAAAAAGACCTTTATACCCTTCATTATGTCCTATATGAGAGAAAGCATGGAAGATTCCTGTGTAGATTTTCGACGTGACCTGCACTGCTAGTCGTGTCCTTACAACTTCAAAAGGATAAGTCCACGTCACTGCTATTGCTCCCGCAATTGATCCTGGCAGAAAATTATAAAGCAAAGTTTGAGCTCTGCCTTGGTTTGTCGTGGACTGAAAATAGTTTCTTTTGAAATAGTCATACATCATGAATTGCTATGTTATTGTTACAATTGCTGAGTATGGAATTATCCTTACAAGTTGGATATACATAAAATGGCGGATGACGTCCGACCTGTCCTCTCGTGTGACGGTAACCCATGTATATCCGGGCATGGTTTTCAGGAGGAATGATATAGCCCAGCAACATCAGGAGCCCAGAGGCGATGGGCTTAAGCACAGACCCGCTGATTTGTGGCCTGATCCTTGGGTAGTTAATAGTGAATCCTTTTTCCAGCAGCACCCTAGCCAGTGGGTGCTCGAAATGGAGCAGGGTGATTTCCCTGCTCAGGCTGCTCTTGATGGCTTTGCCCCGAATCACGTAAGTGGTTGAGTTTTTACTCAGGGGGATGACCTGGTAAAAGGGGAAGCAGGCTAGACTCTCAAACAAAGCGGTTCCTCCGGTTAAAGGGTCCCGAAATATGTGGACGACATCGGCCAGGGTAGGTACAGTTGGCCTTAGAAGGGCGAAGGGACTGAGTTGGAAATGGTGGTGCCCGGCAGAGGTCTGCGGACACAAAAAGGGCAACCCACTACCGAGAAACCAGGGGTTTCGGCCTGGGCTCAGAGGAACCAGAGGTGGAAGTCCACCCAATTCGCTTGTGCCAACACGCTACTGGAAGTAGAGACTTTAAATATTCAGCATTAACATTAACATCCTTACAAGTTGGACGAAATTTCCTTTTCAAAAAGCTCTGATTCCTTCTTGGGTATAAATTCGAGAGATTTCAAAATAAGCACTTCTGAGTGAAAAGGATCGGACTGTTGTTTGAAAAAGGACTTTGACTCTATCAAACGGCGCTATTGATGTTTTTGCTACAGCGCCAGCTATTCCTCCACAGACGAATTTTTGGAGCTCTTCTCGTACCATGCCTAATTAAATTTTGCCATAACCATTGTGATGTGGGTTATCAAATGTCATATGTTATTAAGATAAATTTAGCATTTATGTAAGCAAATTTATAGATGTATAAGATTTATTTTTTTATTTATGATGAAGGAGAAATGATTTGCGAATTTTTTTATTTGAGAGAAAACCTTCTATATGCAAATTTATCTGAAAAAACAATAAATTTAAAAAATATTTTGGACCTTTATTGAATGGTAGTCAAGATACATATTTATGTAATTTTTTATTTATGAATAAAACGAAATCACAAGCTGGAATTAAATTGCAAAAATTAGTAGATGATATTGCGCTAGAAAAAAAATCAAGTATAATAGCGTACTCTCCTTCAGAAGACTCAAAAAATTTCATAAATTGGCCTACTGTAAATAGACCTGTAAGCAGAATTCCTGGTAGAAGAAATATAATGAGCCGTGCTTTTGACCAGCGTCCCACAACAAGTAAAAATCAATATTTTACTATTCAAAAAACAGTTTTCAATACTATATCAAACTCAAGCGTCCCACCATCTCCAAAAATCCCTCTTAGTTTATCTAGAGCAAGTAGTGATAAGCATTTTTATAAAACCCCAATGAACCGTGTTGAAGAAGAGCTCATGATGTTTAAAGAAGTATTTGTAACTCCAAAAAAAGAACTTCTTGAAGAGTTAAAATTAGAATTACAAAAAAAAAGAGAGACAATTTTAAATAATAATCCAAGGCTTAGAGAGCTGCTTCCTGAAAATAAAGTTATTTACCAAAGCATGCAGCATGAAGAAATTGAAGTAAAAGAAGACTATTTCAATAAGCAATTGCATTGCCAAGCTCCTGGAGGTCTCAATGCATCAACTTCAGCTCCTCTTTCTCCTGGTGGTGGTTGAGCACCATCTATCCCTGCAATGGTAAACCCTTCAATAAAAGATCATTCAATAAAATCTTCATATAGATACGTAACCTATGATATCATCAAAGAGGCCCACTTTGCGTTCACCGAAGGCGTTTTGAATGAAAAAGAAAACAAAATTCATGAAGCAGAAATCAGTTTTAAACGTTTTTTTTATTGTGCAAAAACAATCCAGGATCAAATTGGTGAATGCTTGGCTTTAAATAGATTAGGAGTTTTATATTATATACAAGGAAAGACAGAAAAATCACGCCAGTTTCATACAAAAATGCTAGAGCAAAGCAGCACTGATGGAGAGTTTGTGGCATATTATAATATTGGTGTTTGCGAAAAAGAGCTGGGAGATAATATGAAAGCTATTTCAGCTTTTGAAAAATCATTGGAATATGCAAAAATATTAGATGATAAGCATGCAGAATGCATTACATTAGGGCAGCTAGGCTTAGCTTATACTAGGATTAATGATTTTGCAAAAGCTGCTGAATATCTTTATGTAATATTTATTTAGAAGTGCGCAAGTTATGCAGAAAAATTAAAGCACACGAGGCTACAGTATGAAATAGTTTTATCATTAGGACAGTTATATAATAGTTACCATAATTTGAAAAATAGTGCATTGTTTTTCAAGCAAGCTTATGAACTTGCAAAAAACTTGAGAAATCCGGGCAAGATAGAAGTTTGTGCTTGCAATCTTGGAGTTGTGCTGGGTACAGATAATTATGAGCAAAAACGGGAGAATATACTGAATAAAATACAAATAAAAAATAGATTTTCATAAGTTTTCGAAAGATTAGATGGCCATAAATTTTCGATTTCAAATACCTTGAGTAGTAGCCTTATAGCGATTAATTTACAATTTATATTAATTAGTTGTTTCTTTTAATTCAATTTGATATGGCTATTTTCAAGATTGAGAGGCTTTTTTAAAATTAATGGTAAGTTAAATATAAAAGATCAAAATTTCTCTAGCAAAATGATTGGTTACGCTCATTAGCAGGAATTTAAAAAAATCCTTTTTAGTTTTCATTTTATCTAAAGCAAATCCTGGCCCATCTTAAATTATTTTAAATTACTTTAAAAATGATCATTTAACTGGAGACGAACCATATGTTTAAATCTGTTTTCATCCATATCTCTTTAATAATTCCAAGATACCTGAATTTTTAACTAACTCTGATTACTTTCAAAATTAGGGAGATTATACTTTCAAACAACTGTCTGTGCCATTTTCTTATAATAATAAATGGAAACCATTAAACAGCAGACAAGACAAATGGCCAGAAGATCAAATGACAGCACATTGCGAGTCTCCAACAGAGTCAGAAAGCCCGCAGCCCATTTTTCGCCAACAAGGACCCCTGTCAAGGAAACCCATGAAAATGCCATAGTAAACTGCACATGCAGCAGACAAAATCGTAGGCCAGTATCCTCTAATTTTACCACTCGCACAATATTTAAAAATGGCATTAGAGATGGGTCCTTAGTCGGCTGGACCCATAAACTGAGCTAAGTGTGAGAAGTCTAACTTCTTGAGAGCTTTGGCTTGAAGAGAAGTGGTCTGTGCTGAGGCTGGTACAGACTAGAGAAGTCTGAAAGGGCTTGATAACTTTAACGGTTCGACGGTTGGGCCGGTTCACCTACCCTTTTTAGAGCAGCTATCGTAGCTGAACATCAAGAATGAAGACTTAGAAGGCATTCAATATGCATGAGAAATTCAATAAACTTAATCCTACCACTCGAACTGATATCAAATTTGAAAAAGTTCTTGAAAAAGCTATAAAAAATTTGAAGTTGAATATTAGTAGTGACTTTGTTATTGTTTATTATTCAAAGCAAGAAAGAAGTAATTTTTAATTAGAATGGAAGAAAATTAAGGATTTAGGAAATATTAATGTGGGAATGACCTATAGAGGCTGCCTTTGAGTAGCGCTCTAAGCGCCTGAGACTTCCCGACGAAGTCTGGGCGGTGGTTTGACCAGCTGATGTTGGTCAAACAACATCCAAAATGACAAATTCTTCTCATACAGAAGGTTTGTCAAATTGGATGTTGGTTTGACCAACATCAGCTGGTCAAACCACCGCCCAGACTTCGTCGGGAAGTCTCGGACGCTTAGAGCGCTACTCAAAGGCAGCCTCTATATAAGTTGAGAGTTTATAAAAAGTCAAAACCGAAGAAAGAAATAACAAAAGCTGTTGAAGTTAAAAAACAATTTGAGACCCCTATTGAAGAAAAAGAAAAAATTGAGCCAGTGAATAATGATCAGTACTCATATAATCAAATGTCGATGCAGTATGGACTTTACTGGTATTGGAATTATATAATGAATTTGAGAGGATTCCAATTTGGTAATTTTTCACCATTTGGCTAATTCTAACTCCCCCCCTCCGTGAGTGAACAAAACCATTAGAAAAGTCGCTATTTTTTGCTCAAAAACCCACCCTCCGTGAGTGAACAAAAATTGTTTTAATAGAAAAATTAAATTTGATATATAAGTGATAATTAGCATAGTGAAATCTAGTACTAATTCTGTTTAATTTTAAAACAAATTGTTTTTTAAAACATAGATTTTATAAATTAAATTAACATTTGAATTCCAATTTTCGCGAATTAGGATTTTTTTAAATTTCGAAAAAAATATTTTTTATAAAATTATATATAAATTTCTTTTAAAAAAAAAAATTAAGTCCCCTCCGTGAGTGAACAACATTTTTTTGTTCACTCACGGGGGGGGAGTAAGTAAATTATTTAGAAAACTGCAATGCGAAAATTAAGAATGCTCAATAAAATAGCTCGCATAGTATTGTTAAATAGTTTCTTATGATCAAAATTTTTCGTTTTTAAATATCAATTTTAAAATTGTGATTGATTTAATAATTTCTTATTTTTGACTATTTAATATGGTGCTTTGCTTTCAATATATATGTTTTTTGTCCTTCTATAATTACTAAAGATAGTAAAATCAGAGATTATATCAAATCGGTATTGTTCACAAAAAGTATCTTAAGTTTAGCTTTTCAAAATTTTCTAGAAATATTGATACAATTTAAATGATTTCCAAAGTGAATGTAGATTTTTTGTGGTAAATGATCATTTTAAAAATTATAATCGGAAAGTTATATCGGTATTTCAAATAGCTATATAACTGTAAGCATATGAGAAGATTACTTGGAGATGAGATTAATTATTTTATACAAATTTATTCTGTTGTTCATTCATATTTTTTTCTTAAAGGCAAGACATCAAAACTTATTAAAATTCTATAGATTTAAAGGACATTTTCCGTATTTATCATTTTCATTTTATTTGATAAATTAAATGAGATTTCAGATTTACAAAAACATATTTCTATTAATACTTTAATGAGACTTGGAACTCTTAATTTAATGCTTATATACTGTCAGCTTGAAATTTTATAAAATCATAGAGTTTGGGTGCCATATTTAAATGAGCTAGGGCAAGTGATTGATATGAATTTTTCAAAAATAAAATAGATGGGTATGTGTCCAAAAATTAACTGGGCTATCCCTATATCCAACTTATATAATTATTAAGCTTATTCTTTTGATTAATTATTAAAATATTTTTACGATTTCAAAAATATTTGTAAGTAAAATAATTTATAAAGTTTTATGCCTTAAGATTTAATTGTATAAATTTACAGAACTAACTTATAATTTAATTATAATTATCTTTGCATATCAATATATATTAAATAAAAACATTTTTATATGATAAAATTTTTTGCTCATTTAGAGGGTTAATTTTCGAAAAATATTGGGCTTTTTCTAATGCTCTTTCTCGTTCAAGGGAGTTAGAATAATAATTTCACTTTCTCTACAGTCAAAAATGTGTGATAACGTTAAAACAAATTAAAAATGCAACGCACTATCATCAAAATAAAATAGAATTGTAAATCACATTTAAAAGAAAAATTGATCTTAAAATTAGCAATACACGAAATAATTCTCATTTCAATCAAATTAACTTAATAATATAAATAAAAAGCCAAAATAACGAAACATTAATTAGTCTAACTAATAAATTACTTATATTAATTCATTAAGACAACTCTTATCCTACACTCATATTTTTACACCCCTCACATTTGCAGAGCGGCGTGCATGCCTTTGAAGCTTCATAGCACTCGCAATATTTTTTAACACAATTCGATCTTTTACAGTGGCAAACTTTCAGAACTGTATTATTTTCAGGCTTAAAAGCTACAGGATTTCTCTCACTCCCTTCACCTTGATCGAAAAATTCCATTGAACATTTTCTAAAAAGGAAAATCCTTGATCCAACGATTTTAATATATTCTGGTATTATCATGCTTAAATCTAACTACCTACCTTTGACTATAATGAATTTTAGATGTTAAATAGGATAAACTGTTCCACAAGTTTAATGCTATTTTTAACATATTTACTAATATATTACGTGCTTTATCTCTTATTGCAAGCGCTAAATATTTTTTTTAAAAAAATTCAGATTAACCTAATGAATGATGGAAGTCGGTTAAACCAAATAGGAGGTCAGCAATTTGCTTCATCGTTGCCTGCCTTGCATCATCATAGCTTGGCAGATTATGACAATTGTGGCAATTGCATCCTACACAGTACCTGTTATTTGCAAAGCACTCACAATATAGTTTCAAGCAATGAGTTCGTTTACACCCACAGGGTGTATTTACAATGGGCAATTGCTCGATTTTTGTTTCTTCTTTTTCTTCACTCCCCCCCCCTTTAAATTGGAACAAAATATAGGTAAAATTTCCACTTTTTTGGTAAATTAACCCCCCTTTAAAATTGAACAAAATTTAATTTTATAATAAAAAATTATATATAAATTTTTATCTAAAACGTTTTGATATAAGCTAAATGTTTCTTCTTAACTAAAATTAAAAATTTAGTTATATCATGCTCTTGTTTAAAGAATAGAGTATAAAGAGCATCTTATTTAAATAAATTTATTATCCTTAATTGTAAATTTTTAAAAATTTTTTAAAAAATTTTTTATTTTTTTAATAAAAATGAGATTTTTTATTTAAATAGTTTTGATATAAATTCAATAGGAATTCTTTAAAAAATTTCAAAATTTAGTTATTTCTTGCTTTATTTTAAAGAATAGAGTATAAATAACATCTTATTTAAATAAAATTAGCACTTTGATGATAAATTTTCTAAATTTGTTTTTTTAATTTTTTTTTATCAATAAAAATAATAATTTTTGTGCAAATAATTTTGATGCCAATTAATAGTGGCGTATTAACTAATAATAAAAATTTAGCTATATCTTACTTTTTTTTAAAGGATAAAGAGTAAATAGCGTTTTATTAAAACAAATTTATTAATCTAACTCGATAAGCTTTTGAATTTTTTTTTTAAAAAAAAAATTAACCCCTCAAATTGGAACAAAATTTTTAGTTCCAATTTAAAGGGGGGGGGGAGTCAGGGATTATTCGATCTTCAACTTGTGCACTAAAAGTTCCAATCGGAGGGAGGGAAGTTAAACAAAACTGCGAAAAAGGTGATATTGGGGATAAGTCTCCTTTTGTTATAAGCGCGAATTTTCTTTCCATCTTTTAATAATAAGTCATTCTTTCTTGCCACCGAAACTGAAATTAGGCTATAAGTGAAGAAGGGATGATCAAAAGATGCTTCGCTAAAAAATTATAGTGATATTCCAATTGATAAGACGAGAGGAACAAGATTTGTTGAATTCTAAAAATTTTAAAAAATGCAAAATCGTAAATTGAAGCAGTTTTTATGATAATAATTAGTTTGCTATTGATAAACTATTGGGACAGTTGAGAATTTATCATAAATTCATAGCTTGTTGGATGAATAGTTTAAATTAGTAGATGCTTGAATAAAGCGTATTTGTATGTCTTCTACTTATAATGGAAATTTGGTATTTACAATATAAGGCTTAGCTTTGCCTTGATAATGATTGAGTTTTTTAAAAAGCCTAATGATGCATAGCACTGATGGTAATCCCGAAGTAACTTTAATTTCCTGGAAGTGTGCACCGACCCTAGACGGTGGAAACTAAGATAAAGTGCCAAATGAACTAAAGATGGCTCTGCCTGAGAGTCGAAAGGACTATTGTCTTATGACAAAACTCTGAGAAGAAAAAGCATTGGGGATCAAGATCAGGTCGGTCTGAGACCTGGCGAACCTGTGGTGCTTTGATTAGCGAAAGCGCGGAAAAGCTATGTGGCATAGACTTTAAACTTAAAACTAATAAATAATCATGTTCTTCAACTCACTAACATTTTTACCATCGCCTATGATCAAGCTTGCCATTAATTCCAAAAAAGTTTCAAAAAGATCTTGATAATTTGCATTAATCAATTATTCTGCCATAAATATTATATTTGTCTTAATAAGTAAAAAAATACTATTAAATATTTATATCAACCTTTCCTCACTCCCACTTCAGTGAGCGAGCAAAAAAAAATTTGTTCGTCATGAAGAGATTCAATTTTTTTTCCGAAATTTAAAATATCCATTTTGCAAAAAGTTTGAAATAAAGGGTTTATTTAATTTGCAAAATTTATTGTTTAAAATTCAACAGAATTAACTATTACTTACATATCAAAATATTATTTCATAAAACACTTTATATTAAAAATTTTAGTTTGCTCACTAAGGGTGTTTTTTTATCCAAAAATATAAATTTTCTCAATGGTTTTTCTTGTTCATGGAAGAGAGAGTTAATAATATATGTTCTAAGCTGAATGATCTCTTTAATAGTAGCCTGCTATACCATATTTTATTCTTAAATAAGCATTTCCCATACCTTAGTTCTTTAATAATTATGCGAATTAAAAAATAATTTTATTTAAGTACAATACGCTTCAGTTTATTTGACTTTGGCTTGACGACAACGTAATAAAAGGTGTCGTCAGTCTTGATTTGTTGATTTTTATTTTATCCATCTTTTCTCTCTTTACTGACAAAGAGTAATCCATCAATACCTCTGAGTCATCAGGATTAGAAATCCTTCTAAACATTAATAATCCTCCATCAATCACCACTACGATGCTCATAGAAATAAGCACTGAAAAATAAAAATAAGAGCTCAACAATATTTGCCATACTGAAAATCTGTTTGAAAATGATGATAGGGCATCATAAATGAGCATAAAAACAAAATAAATAAAAATACTTGTTCCAAGCATCGCTGCTGAGTGAAATGAGTTTCATAGCTTTGTATGGAGAAACAGCTTTAAATTTACGATAAAAAGAACACACGTAAAAGCTGTAATCGAAAATGTCCAAAAGTCATAATTATCTCCTTTTTTATTCATAATTCCTTCTGATAAAGCGTAAAGAGGAATAAAAAATATTATCAGAGAATGGAAAAATCCGTTAATAACTCACTTGAAAAAATTTATTCGGGTAAATATTTTATTGGTTCTGCCTATGTTGTAAGCTCTCGGCACTAGTCTCCTTAAGACTGATTGGCGATCTTCTCCTTGGCTTGATGTTTCTGCTCTTCTCGGAATAATTATATCTTTTTCAAATAGAGCTCTTATCATAAGTGGTACTGCAGTGAAAAGCATATTAAAGAGTGTGATATATCAATCATCCCAGATCGATTTCCCACTATATGCGCAATAAAAAGAAAATAAAAATTGAGGAATTGTGAATACCAGATTTTTGTAAAAAAAATATAAAATCATTTCACTTTGTCTTATGTAATTAAATCTTCCATGCACAAGCAAAAGTTCTCATAAATATTTAAATTCCCCTATAGCATAATCACTAGCTTGGACTGCTTGCATTCCTTCTTCTCCATAAATTCCTACCCCAACCTGAGCTTCTAAAATCATAGAAACATCATTTGCACCATCCCCTATTGATAAAGTAACTAATTTTTTCCTGTCTTTCATTAATTTTACCACTTCTCTTTTTTGACCTGGAGTTACTCTACAACAAATTACTGTCTTACACCTAGACGCAATATTCAAAAAATGTTCTGTGATTTCTTTAATTTTTTTTTCATTTTTTGCGAATTCTGGGTATTTTTGTACTTTTTCAGTGTTTTTGATATCAAAAAGAACAATTTCAAGTGATTGGCCTTCTATGATAAGAGCAGAGTCAATATGATGGCTTGATGATATTACCCGATCAATTTGTGATAGAGTTATGAGACAGCCTGAAATTGTAGTTTCTGAGCATTTTTCAATAATCATTTCATCTGATAATAATGAGCATGTTTTTCCAATATTTTCAGCTGTTTCTAGCTTGTCACCAGTAAGCATTCAAACTTTAATTCCTGCATTTAATAGTGAATTAATAGTATTTGGGACTTCATCTTGTAAAGAATCTTCTACAGCAGTGCAGCCTAATAGAAAAATGCCTTTTTCTATTTCTTCTGCGCATTGAGAAAGTTGTGTATACCTGTCTTCAATTGCTGTGCTCGCCTTTGCAAATTTTACCATTCATGATAGAAATTCTTCTTCCTCAATAATTTTAAATCCAAAAAGTAGAGTTCTGTATCCTCTTTTAGAATAAGTATCAAGATCATGGCTAATTTTTTCTAAATAGTCACTAGAGTTCCTTGGATCAAGCCTTTGCTTTATGATATTATCAGCACCTTTTATATACAGGAAAATTTTATTTGTGCTCTTTTCTCTCACGACGACAGAATTTCTCTTTCTGTCAGAGTCAAATTCTAACACGCAAATTTTTTCATAAAACTCTCTTATCTTTTTATCTTCATTGCGAAAAGGAATTACATGCAGCTCAATTTCATTATTTTTTATTTTTCAATACCTATATCCTAGATGCCTAGCTGCATCTACCAAAGCAATTGGTAGACATTGAAAATACCACACGGTGGTATTCTCATGATATTTCGTGTAAATTTCAGAATTTTAAAAAAAAGTGGGAAAAAAAATGGATTTGCTTTAGAAAAAAAGTGCATGAAAATAAAATCTAGCCTATAAATCAGCATGAAAATACCAATGGTGATAAAAACTATGATATCAAAGCTGAATAGTATAGAATAGAGCAAAAGTAAAATAGAAGCAGATTAAAAGATTAAATAATCTTCTCTTTGTTAAACCCAATTAAACGTCCAGAATAGATGCAGAAACTATATCTTGTGTCAGCATGTATTTTTTTGCTGATCACTTTTTCAAATTGCAGGAAAAACAACATAAAATTTCAATGTGCAATATAAATGATTAAAATAGAGTATTCAAACCATGCAGTAATAAATATGACAGATTACAACTGTCAATTTAAATATATATATATATATATGGACCAAAATACAAGCAGATGCAAAAAAAATTGCAGTTATATAATAATTAAATATGAAAATAAAATAAAAAAAAACATGAAAAAACCAGCATATACTTTTTAATGAAAAAATCAGCATGAAAATATCAATAGTAATTTTTTGAATAGTGCAAAAATTGTATCAAAAAACCAGCAATGGAAAAAAATATATAAAGAAAAAAGCGAGAAAAAACAAACTACATTTTCATGCACTTTTTTTTCTAAAAAAACTCTGAAATTTACAGTTATTTTATAGGCCATGAAAATACCGCGTGTGGTATTTTCATTTCTACCCAAAGCAATTTCATCTGGACTCTGCCCAATATAATCGACATCTCCATTATTATTGCTTTCAACTAGGCATTCATGACAAAGACTCATACATCTAAAAAAATGGTCTAATGGCTCACTTTGCTTCGAAAAAGATTGCATTTTTTCATCAAAAGAATAATTTATTGAGTAAATTAATTTTTCATTTCCTTTTTCAGAAAACAAATCATTTGTGATTTCTTTTGAATTAAACGTAAAAATGGTTTCTTTAGTCGAATAAGTAGCGGTTGATTGAAATTCTTTGTCAGAAAGCGCTTTTTTGTCTCCATACATTTTGTTCCCTACCGAGCAAAATTTGAATTCCATTTTGTTTTGCGTTAAAGTTCCTGTTTTGTCTGAAAAAATATGTTGAACCATCCCTAATTCTTCATTTAAGCTATATGATGAGACTTTGCATGTTCTGTTTCTAATCTTGCTATACATTTCTATGTCCCTCTCCATAAAAAATCCTTGGGCAACTTTAATTAATTCAAGAGAAATTATGAGCGAAATTGGTAGCATTGTATTAAGAAGCAGCAAGTAAGTAAAATATGATAAAAATCCAACAAGTCCTGACTGAAAATCGTGCTGATCAATGTAGTAATGCTCTCCAAGATATTTATATGACCAGATTCCAGAAAGGATTGCGCAAAAAGTGCATAGAACAAATTGCATGATCAATATATAAAAGATATATTTATTCACGTTTTTTTCTATGCTGCTTTGTTTATAGGTTCTTGCCATTAGATTTTGTCTTAATTTAGTTTCTTTTCCTGTATATACCACAACACCAATAACTCATGCTGTATTCCTTATAAAAGCTCCTCCTAGTAATAAATTATTCTTATCTAGTGGGTATTTTTTATTTTTATAATCAATTGCTCCATTAAATTGATAAATCCTGGGATTTGGCAAATCACATTGAACCATGCTAAATATTCTAATAAAATCATTTTCTCTGAAAAACTTTAACGTTTCTGGAAATGCTTGTCTAGGTTTGAGTGTTTTTTCTCCATCAATTGTCGAGGTTTCTATATAAGCGACTCCATTTTCATTTGAATTTGACAGCATAACCATATCGCAAGGAATAGCATCATCTTTTCTCAATAAAGCGATTTCTCCAACATGAATTTCATCACATCGTTTGAAAGAAAAACTTCCATTTCTATACACATTGACTGGAACTGAGTTAACTTCTTTGTCAGATTTGTATCGAAAATAATCTTCAACTCCTTCTCTTATCATTGCTACAGCAAGGACAAAGACCAAAGGGAAAATAGCTGTAAATGGAGTAAGTCGGGGATATATATTAAAATGGCCTGGTAACCCATCCTGTAGCTGGTTACCAAAAGATGTTGGGGACTTTAGGAAAGGAGGCTGGCGTTAGATAAGTGTATCCGAAAGGCTTTTCTTTGATTTGGCAAAACGCAATGTCAGGCTGACTGACCGCAATATTTGCTTCAAACCAAGTTTTTTGCTTCATAAGGAGATGGATCCGGAAGTTGGAAAGGGGTGTCCCAGCGGTGCCAATGGCGTTCGTCTTGATCAATCGGGACTATTCTACAGCGTGAAACCAGGAGTTACATCATGGGCTACGGATTTCATCTTAGCCGAGAGTCGGCCAGAAAATTCAACCCAAACTACCTGACGACCAGGTAACGTTGGCAGGTCCACGTCTGGTATGTGCAAGACTTTAAAGGTCGTGAAACGATTGCCGACAAAGCGGATGAGTGGAGTGTTATGGAAGGGAATAAGGATTTTCGGGTCCTGACAGGGAGCTTTTCTATAATCTAAGTTAATGTCCATTTTAATGGAGTAAGTGGGGATATTTGAGGAATCGATTGAAGAACTGCTATCGCTAACTCTTAGAGTGAGAAAATTTTCTTCACTTAAAAAAGGAGTGATCTTAAGTATAATTTGAAAGGATCTCACTTACTCTTGTCCTTAAAAAGTCAACAAAACCATTAGAAAATCCTCTTCAAGAGAGAGTCAAAAAAATTTTTAATTATAAAATATTTTATATAATTAAAGCATGATCTTCTGATAATTCTTGTTAATTTTTACAACTTGCATTATTAGTATTAAATTTATAAGTTAAATTAGATTTTTATTTTCAATCTTTACAAATTGTTTTAATTTCCAAAAAAACTGCTTTTAATACAAATTTATATATTTAATCCTCCTTAAAATCTCCATGCTTCTTTTAAATTGGGAGTTAGCAAATAATTTTATATTTTTTTATGAAATACCCATTAATTTACTAACTTACCCTATCATTAATCAAACAATACTGCTTGATCAAACCATTTTTATATAGTCAAGCATAACCTCCTCATATTTTAATACCTGCATTTTATATAATGGATATAAAAGATTATATTTCATAATCGCTCATACGCAATTCTAATACAGCTCTAGCATATTTGCTAATAAATTGTATATTCCATCTTTCAAATTAATAAAAAATAAATATATATTTTTTTTCTAAACTTGCATACTTGATCAAGAAATGGTTATCTGTTCGATTAAGGATGGCAGTAGTAAGCTAAATTATTCATAAAATTATTTTTTCAATATTTTAGGAAAAACCTTTAATATTAAGATCCCATAATCTTAGATTAGAGTAAAAAATAAATATTTGCAAGCTTTTTAAATTGTTCAAATAGGCATCTAGGGAAAAATGTCACAATATTGTATTTTGTTGTACTGATGTAGTTGGAAGGGTATTTGAATTGTTTGTTTGATTCGAAACCGTTTATAAATATAGTCCTTTTATGGTCTTGCTCATTTGACATTTTATTATCTCTACCGGGTAATAATTTAAAAGGAAACATGAAATAATCATAAATTAAAATGAAAGATTTAAAGAGTTTTAAGGCAACTTGTTGTATATGACATTTATATTTCTACTTCGATTTTTGCTTTATTGAGATGGTAAGTACTTGGCGGTGGACAAAGGAAGATATTTCTTTAAAGATCATTCAAGAAAAATAATGATAAGAAAGATAGGCCTGAAAAATAGCCCGAGCACTTTTTTGGGTTGGAAGGAAAGGAAATCAACTAATGCTGGTTTCACAAGCCCCTATGCGACAGAACTACATGATACAGGGTTTTTCTAATTGGAGAGCTGGTCAAGCCACCATTAGTGGTTTCACCCACTCCCCTCTTTCCCGTTGTGAAAGATCGGGAAGGCCGAGCCAAAAAGTGCTTGGGCTATGACTCCTCTAACTTAATCGCATATAATCTTCAATTTTTTGAAAGTATTCACCTATTTTGCCAGAATAAATGATTAACTTCATTATAATTATTTTAATATTTCTCCTATTGCAATATAAAATGCAAATAGAATTATAGGAACAATCTTTCTATGCAAATCCAATTTCTAATTAATTTCTCTATTTTTAAATAAAAACCTAATTATAATCATGAAGAAAGCATTCCAATTAATCTAAAATTATTTTGCATTTTCGAAAATTTATATTGAAACTTTAATAATAAACGATAATAAAACTAATCACTTTAGCATGGGCAATTGCTGGAAAGCTAGAAAATCAGGAGATTCCAAAAAATATGAAGAAGAAGACATTCCAACTTTAAGACCTGACGGCATCCAATTACCTTGCGATGATTTTATAACAGGTCTTCAAAAAGGAGTTGAAGACGATATTTGAATACTCGGGCAAGAGTTTTTAATTTCCATATATAAAGAATGAGCTATATTTCGGTCATGGGAAACCCAAGAGCGTGTCAAAACTCTTTGCAGCAAAGACGGAATCGTTGCATGTGGAGGAAAATCAATTGAAATTTTCAATGAAAATGGAAACTCAATTGGAAAACTTTTAGGCCACGAGAGGCCCGTAAACGCTTTAGCTTTATCAAATAATTTGGCGATATCAGGATCTGGAGATTGAAGTTTAAGGCTATGAGATTTGAACTCTCAGCAAGAAATTGATAAAAACATCATCAATTGAAATGTAATTACAAGCGTAAAGTGGGTACCACAGGAGCCATTAGTAATCCAAACAAGTGAAGATTTAAGGCTCAGAATATGGGATCTAAGAGAGAGAAAAATTTTGAGGTCAAGCGTGATTTCTGTAGGCGATAATTTTGCAACTTGTTGCGATGTTAAAGGGGATTATATTGTAACTGGGCATAGAGGGTTTGATTCACAAGGGTGCGAAGCTAAAATTTGGGATAGAAGAAAAAATGAAGAATTAAAAACTTTGAAAGGCCACGAACAAGCAGTTGAATCGGTGAAATTTATTGGTGATACCATTTTCTCATGTGGCAAAGATGGAAAAATTAACCAATTCAGACTTGATGGGGATTTAATAGATACTTGGACGAATCCTCTTCCTAAGCCACTTGTGTCAATGGAACTTTATAAATCAGGAATTTTGATTGCAAATATTGACCCAAAAGTGATGTATTTTACTATAAATCCATTATTCAAAGCTCTTTAATCACAATATTTAAAAGTTTTGACGAGCATGATAATAACTTAGTAATTTGTATACCTTCAAAGCAGGTATGGCTCAACTTGAAACTCCCTCCCTTCCCTCCCTCCCCCTGACAGTTTCAATTTGAACGAAATTGTTAATTCAAAATGACAAGTCCCTCACTAAGGATTTGGCAAGTCAAATTCGATTTGTAGATTTCAATAAAGCTGAAACCGTTAAGGGATGAGGGGTTCTCAAGTCGATCTAAAACCGTGCTCACGGTATAACTTAAGCTTGCTTACATCTCTTCAATCAGTTTATTGAGCCCTTCTCTTGGTTTTCTTCGGTTGTTCAAAAATGTTCTGTATTTTCTTTTTGATTTCGAATGCCTGGAGCAATATTCGACAGCAGATTCTGTGTGATCTTGATTTTTTGAAGAGGTAAAAGAATGAAAACCCATGATCTTTGAAATCATTTCATCTTCACTGTTATTTTCAGTTGACCCGCTTTCTTTATCATTCTCTGTTTTCTCAACTTTTAAGCGAGCTGGGGATCGGGATCTGCTTCTTCTTTTTTTAGATTTTCGTCCCATAATTTTTATAGGCATGAAATTCTCATTTTTAGGTAATAATTATATAAAAACAAAACTATATGTAAATTTATGATATTAAGCACTTTATTTATTTAACTCTATAAAGACTTTTATGCCCTTTACCTCCATCTGAGCACAGAACTACTAAATAAATTCATATCCAAAATTCTCAAAAAATATTGAATCTAATTGCCAATTAAACCTACTATAATGTTTTTATCGACCTTTCATTGAAATTTTAGGTAATATGATATTTATCTTAGTCGTCAAAATCAGAATACGAATCGAAAGGATAGCAGAACAAAGCCAAACGGTGTCAGACATCCAATAAGTGGGTCGTCCAAGTCAGTTAAACAATGAGATAATATGAATAGCTAAGTAAGCGGTATTTATCTTAAAATTAATTTAAACGAATATGTATCTAATGACGCATTAAGTTTCTTATAAAATACGCAAAATGGTAAATGAAAGTTGGAGGGCAGGAGCCTTTGCAGGAGTGACGACAGCATTAACTCTACAGCCATTGGATGTTATAAAAACTCATCTTATCGTAAGCCAACATAAGTCGCATGCAATTATTCAAGGAGTGAAATTAGTTCTAACCTCATCTCGCCTCTGTAAGCGAACAAAAGATTTTGAATAATTAAAAAAATCTCCTTTCATAAATTGAAAAGGAAATTAATTTAATTAATAAAATATATGGTTTAGAATGGATGCTATTTAGAATTTAAATAAAATTAGATTATAATAAATATCACTTATGTATCAAAATATATTTCATAAAAAAATTTAAATAAAGCAAATTTTTTGCTTGCTAATATAAGGTGGTTTCGCCCCTAAAAATAGAAAATTTTCCAATGCTTTTTTCGCTCACAGACATGGGAGTAGCAAAATACGGAATGAAAGGGTTTTGGAGAGGATCAACGCCTGCAGTGGGTAGAGCTTTAATGGGTTCGGGATCATATTTTTTCTTATTGGAAGAATTTAAAAGATTACTTGGAGATTCATTTACAGTCGCAAATGGGATGTCATCTGGATTTGCAAAAGCCTCAATAACTATACTGAAAAAATTGAATTAATTTTAAAATTTGCTATTATTTTTTATTTTATTTCTCTAAATCTCAATTTCCTATTTACTATACAATAAGCAATTAGGCATACTTTGTGCTTGCCAATGACACTTATTAAAGTAAGAATGGAAGCCCCAAATTGTCAAGAATATAAAGGCATTTGGCATGCTGCAAAACGTATCTATTCTGAAGAAGGAGTCAGGGGATTCTATCAAGGATTAACGCCTGCATTAATCCGAGATGTCCCATACTCCTTCGTTGGGTATGAATTTTATGAATTGTATATAAAGTATTTTTCACAATTAACAGAATTAGATCGAACTTATAAGGCTATCACACTTGCTGCTGGGGTTGCAGCTGGCTTGTCTGCAACTATTCTTACACACCCATTTGATGTCATTAAAACAAGAATTCAGTTTGGGAAGTTTGCAGAAAACCAAAAATATCATTACACTGGAGTAATTTTGGGAATTAAAGAAATTTATTATGATGAAGGAATGACTGGATTTTTAAGAGGGATTATGCCAAGGATAATGAAACGTATCTTCTCTTTTCCCTTGGTATGGACGCTTTACGAACAAATAAAGCTTACTTATTAAGGCAAAAGTAATTTTAATCTAATTTCAATATAAAATTCCTTATATGAAATATTTGTTGAAACAGAAACTTTTATTTATTGTAACCATTTTTTTATTCTTATAGTAATCAGACTCATCTCTAAAATTTCATAAATAAGCTATTAGTAAACTGTCCTCTATGAGCTCACACTTAAGCTGATTCATTGAATCTCTATTTCTTCTCTTCTATTTTTTCTGCTTTTTTTGCAACTCATATATTGAAAAATAAAAATTATATCATAGTTTGTAAATTAAATTTATTACCCTAATTTTTAATGCCAAATTTATCATTTTTAAGAACTTAACTTCAGTCTCTAAATCATCTTGTTTATTTACTTTATGCCACTTATCAAGCCATTTATAAGCATGTCCAATTTATCCGAGTTCTGGAGTTCTGCTTCTTCTATTAATGTTTCTTTTGTTCATATTCATATTTTTATATGTAAACCATCAATTATTTAATTACTGCTTATAAACTATGCTCAAGTATTCTAACGCCCAAAATGGGAATTTTTCCATACCAATTTCTTTTATAGCAGACTCTATAGGATTTTCCGGAACTTTTTCAGACTGCGGTTTTGTGCTTCAAGGCAGCACTTTAGGGGCTGCTGGAGTATTTATAAAAGATGCTGCTGGAACTGTTGGCTTTTCTGCTGATCTTTGTCTGTTTAATGTAGAAATTAAATCATCTTGTGAGCCTTGTGGAGTCTTCACAACACGAGATTGTTTAAATGAGTCTGCCTTAGTTTTGCTTAATTGTCCTGTGCCAATTGTGACTGGTTTTATATTGCTGATAACAGGCCTTTCAATTTCTTCAAAAGACTGCTGCGAATCTGGTGCGTCTGACATAAAAGAAGAAGACACGTTTTTATGTCCAAATTGATCAGACGGTTCGCATGGGATTTGCTTTGCTTTTTCTTTAATATTCATATAGTGTAACAAATGAAGAAAATCTGATACTCTTGGATTTCGCTCAATTGGGATTGTTGGGAAAGACTTTTCTGTGCATGCGTTTGAGATAATTTTGACCTTTTTTATATTGAAAATCAGCTTGGGTTCTAAGTCAAGGCTCCAATGGCAGACTTTTATTATGGAAAGTCTTGGGATTTCGAGAGGAGGCTGGACATGTACTCATGCGGTGTAAAAGCCGTCTGATATGTATTCGCCAGAATAAAACACATTAAATGGAATTGTGCAAGGATCGTCAGCGGGCAAGGAAGCGTCTAGAAGAGGGTTGTCTTCAACTTCAAATGGAGCATATGAAGGGGCTTTTGATAATTTCTTGATTTCTATGTAGCGAGAGACTAAAATAGGTAAAGTAGAGTATGATTTCATAATTTATTATATTTTGCTATAATAAAAATTATTTTTGTGATCTATAGTTTCAATTTCCAACACTAAATATTTATAATTCCAAAATCAACCTTAAAATGCATAATTAAAATATTAATGTTTTTTAATATTCAGTTTTCAAATAAATATAGTGTATAACTTTTTATGAATCCCTCTTGAAAATGCCCCCAAAGGAAAAATGGGATTATTAAATTATTTTTCCTAAAAAAAATGAAAAATTTGTAAATTGAGTCTATTTTAAATTTCCCAAATATTTTTTTTTTCATTAAGGAAATCATTTCAAAGTTATTTATTTCTGTGCTTCATATCATTAAAAATCTAAATGAAAGCATGCGCTATAAGGATGTCATTTTCAGCACATATGTCAAATACCGGATCTAGAATGAATTATCAAAACCCACTTGATACCTCCACATCAAAAGCTCGTACACCATCACCTGGCCGAGATTATACATCCCTTCTAAATGAATCCCCTACAAATAAATTCTATCCAGAACTAATTTCAGACGAAGAATATAATGGAAAATACGCTCGCATTACAACAAATAAAGACACTGAAGTAAAACGCACGCTTAAATCTCTTGAAGCTGAAATCCAAGAAATGGAAAAAGAGCTTAATAAAGTGAGGGCAGAAAGGAATTATTTTAGTGCTCAATTAGAAATCTTGAAAAAAGAAAAAGAGATGCACATTGAGAATCATGCAAAAGAAAAATTTGCATGGGAAAAAGAAATTAGGGATCTTCAGAATAGAATGAATCATGAAAGAAAGCAGCTTAAAGAAGAAAGTTTTGCAGTTACGAAGCAGCTGCAAGAAATGCAGCAGGCTTATAAAGAGTTGAAGCAGAAAAATGAGAATCAAATAGAGTCATTTAAAAAAAAAATCGAAGAAAATGAACAAACTTATATTCAATCGTTAAGAAAAAAAGAAAGCCAGATATTTTCATTAAAATTGCAAATGGATGGCAATAGGGTTGCATCAAAAACAATTGCAAGTCCAAAACATGAACTTAGGGCTAAGCATGCATCTCCAAAAGAGAAAAAAAGAAAATCTCTTAAAAGAAGCCTAAGGATGCCTTCTCCAAAGACCTCTCGTGAAAGCAATAAAAATTCACAGTTAGATGAAATAAGCCATATGATTGTCACACTAGAAAAAGAGGAAGCTGAATTAAAACAAAAAATCAAGGAATTAGAATTGAGTGGGACTTATGAAAGAGATAAGAAAAAAATTGCGGATTTAATAAAAAGAAATGATGAAAGGTTGAGCGAAGCTAAAGCTATACAAGAAGAAATGGTTAGAGAGAGATTTTTTAATGGTGGGATGACCTTTAGATAAGGTTACAAGATACATAATTTAATTAAATAAGCAGCTTAATGTGAATATTGATTAATTAATATAAGATTTTACTTATAAAACCTATTTCATTGGCAACCTAATTTATTATAATATAAAAATCTCTAAATGAATCCTAAAATAATAAAAGTAACAATCTTCTCAACCCCAGAATCCATATTGTTATAATTATTGATAATATCTTCAATAGAAGGGAAAAACACATTCATAGTGCAACTCTCTATGCTATAAATTATTGGATAATTTGATGCATATGCCTCAAAATAAGCTAGTTCATCCAAATCGTCTTGATTCCAATAATTTTTCATACAATTATAGCTATTTCTTGAAGCTGTGTTGCAATTTAATGACTGATCACTATCAATCCACTTTTTAAGGATTTTAAAATATCTTTTTCACAAAGAGTCTCCCAAGAACAAAGGACAATAGCTTTGACCATTGCTATTATAACTAATTTGATAAATAATTCAGCATATGATATATAATAACAATTTTTTATATTTGCATAAATCATCATATATCCGCATGTGCATTGTTGAGTAAACACCAATTTATCGTTACCAAAAGCTTGGCTTACACACTGTGAGTTGCTTGAGCATTCCACCGGAATACTAGCACTCGAAGTTGGAATAGGGTAGCACATACTTTTTCCAGCATTATTTAAACAAAATCCAGAGTCGCATATCAAATTAATTCCCCCGCTGTCGCTGCACCCTAAATCTACTGTATAATTTCTCATAGTAAAATAAGGAACACACACATTTAAACTTGAATCAGTCAGAGAATTAACTACACATCCGCCTGTATTCGAGCATTGGTAATCATTAAAACATCCTACCCTTCCTAAAGCAATCTGAGACTTGCACGTTTCATTGCAATACAACCCAACATCGCATTCCTCATGATAAGTAAGAATAAAATAGTGGTGCTGAGGAAGGCCAGGCCTGAGGGATGCTCCTGTGAAGTTGCTAGACAATCTCTATGTGCAGAAAGTTGAGTGCTATGCCACTTGGAGTTATTTTTGCATCTTATACTTGCTTTCTTTATCTATCAAGGCTATATGATATAAACTCGGGTTAGGTAAGTTTCACCAGAAAATTCAAGACAGGGAATATTGATTGAGCTGTACGGTATTTTCACTCTTGCATATGCCAGCTTAGATTACTCCTCCTGAAGATGCGGCATATGGATAGCGGCTATCCGCTTGTTCAATATAAATTTTAGTCTTAATCATGATATGTGCAATTTTCATTTTTTTCTAAACCTTTGCATTTACCGTCAATGCAGCTATTTTCTTCAAAGCAGTCATCATCAAAATGGCAGTCTTCACCAGGAAGAAAAGTATGAGGAATATGGGTGTCGTTTACATGAACGCAGTAACCATAATGAGTGTCAGAAACTGTGGATGCATCACAATAATATTCAGAATTGTCACAGCTTCGAGAGTAGTAGCTTTCCCCTCATCCTTATCCTTGATCGAATTATCCATCCGTGTTCAATCAAAAATGGAGATTAAAACAATTTATACAAATTCTTATATATTATACTTGCATATTAATATTTTATATGCTAGTGAAGAGAATTAGAATTTTAAATATATTAGTAAATATGAATGATTACGCATTCATATTTTTAATATTCATTATTACCAAAAATAAATAGTCTGATTTAAGGTAGGTTCAGAGTTGAATTCATGCTTGGCATATGAAAATCGTTCGACCAATGATGGGGTATAATTTTCTCAACTTTGTTAGTTTTAATGGGGTCTTTAGGATGAGTAGAGTAAGTGAAATTTTCAAAATAAAGACAAGTGGACTCGCTTGGAAAATCGATTGAATCTGGCTTGCATAGGTATTGTGTGCAGGTTTTTGAGACTGAAATTTCAGAGAATGCTAGTGAAATGGCAAAACTGGCCAAAATAAGTAACTTCATGTGCAGCCTGTTTAATTATAATAATTAGAAATTAATAAATTCATATTAAATAATCATAAATATAACAAAAGTGTCTAGCATGTTAAAAGAGGGGTTTAGTTGCAACTATCATATTATTATATCTTGTGAGTATTACCATTCCAGGAAAGGATCATCTCTTGGACTTATAGAACTTGTTTGGGTCGCTGAATCAGGATAATTTGAAAAATTCGAGGTATCATCTGGAGAATGCACAAAGGGTCTATACGGCATTTCAATTTCTCTTTGTCTCAGCTTATATCAATCAATAGATGCAAACCATTTATGATTTTTAATATCATTGACTCCTCCTCTCATATTTCCATATCTTTTCGTCAAATCTGCAACCAACAAATGTTTCACTAGACTTTTGGCGCCTTTATCAAATCCTCTTGGAAATTTTATTTTGCCTTTTAATATTTTTTGATAAACAACCATTGGGTCTTCATCATTAAAAGGATCTATCCCAGCTAGCATTTCATAAATAATTATCCCTAATGTCCATCAATCAACTGGCTTTCCGTGTCCTTTATTAAGCAAAATTTCAGGAGCAAAGTACTCAGGGGTTCCACAAAGAGTGTATGTGCGTCCTTCCACTACTTTGGAAAACCCAAAATCAGTAAGTTTTAAATAACCATCTGGTGCAATAAGGAGATTTTCTGGTTTTAAGTCTCTATACACTATATTTAAGGAGTGTAAATATTCAAACATTAAGGTCATCTGTGCTGCATAGAATCGTGTTTGCACGTTATCAATTTTGCCTAAATTTCGGAGGTAGCTGAATAGTTCGCCTCCAGGAACATATTCAAGGGCAAAGTAAAGATAGCGATTATCTTGAGTGAATCCTAATAAATTGACTAAAAATGGATGATTAATCATTTGCAAAATTGAATGCTCAGAGATTACATGGTCAACTTGCTTATGGCGAATTATTTCGAGTTTTTTCAATATCTTTAATGCGATAAATTGATTTCTGTCTCTCATGTAGGCTAAGCGAACCCTTCCATATGTCCCTGTCCCTAGAGTTTGAAGTATATCTATATGATCTAAAGAAAGTCTATCAGCCATTTTAAGTTATTTTTGCACTATCATAATTACCAATGCAAATGATAATGTTCAAAATTTTTATATATTTGCTTAACTAATTAGGAAAAATTATTATTAATAATTTAATTTTAATTGAAAAATATTAATTTATTTGATATGATCTATTCTGAAGGCCTAAGACAATTTTATTTTAGCTCAGTTCTATCTGAAAGAATTAGCATATTTAATGTCGATTGAAAACCAATCGCTTTTAAGTCCATCATTATGATCAGCAGGCAAAAGAAACTCATCAATTGAGTCAGTGAGGTCTGAATCTCGGAATTTTCATCATAGACTCATAAATAGGTCAGTACAGCTGCTTCTGAATAAGAGAAGTAGTTTAATTTCAAATGAAATTAAATTGAAAAAGCTTAAAGAAAAAGAAGAAATCATTAATAGAAAATTACAAAAAAGGCAAGAAAAAGATATTTTGGCTAAGCATATCGAAAACGTTTTAGGAATAAAATTATCAAGGATATTCGTAAGATCTTCAAATATTGATGAAATTTGAGATAAAGGCTATATGATTTTTCAAATGAAAAGAAAGTACAGAGCTGTAAAATATATTTCGAATTGGTGGAAAAAGACTATAATTAATCGAAAAATTAGAGAAATTAAACTGAAAAATCATATGGCTGCTAGCTTTATACAGCGAAATTGGAAGAAATTTAAAAAGCAGAAGCTTTTAAAAAGCATATTCGATGCAAAAAAGAAGGCTGCAATTACAATCCAAAAATTTTATAGGGGATATACTTAATAATATGGCTAAAAGCATTGAGCAAATATATGATTTAAATTTTTTATTTTAAAAATAATCATGATAACATATCTTTATTGATTATTCAAATTTACTAATATATAAAATAAGGTCAGAATATAAAACTATAATTCTGAAAATTCATATGAAAAAGATATTTCAGTATTTCGAACTCCAAAAAGATACTTTAAGAGCCAAAGCTTTTGAGTCACTACAGCAAATATGAATAAAATTCAAAGCAAAATCTTTCTTTCTCAAAAAATACAACCCACTACGACTTAAGCCTAAAACAAATTCATATATGGGTACTAAAGAAATTAATATATTTCAGCCAGCAGAAGGCCTTTCTCCGACTCAACCAATAAGGAATAATACTAGACATTACACGTTCCCCAAGCGGAATTATGTTTCTAAACCTACTTCACTGCAAAGAAAACACTCCCCATAATTTTTCCAAAAAAATTTTTGGATTTGATTTAATTTCACTCCTAATAAATTTTATTAAAAAATTGTTTCTCTTAGCATGGATGAGCCTCAAACTGAAACAAATTTATCAAAAGAAAATCAGTCCTTAATCAACGACCTCAAAACAATTCTTGAAAAATCTCCAGAATCAAGAACTGCTGAAGATATAAACAAAATTATGGGTTTCACTGTAAATGTGAAATTTTTTAAATCATTAACTGCGGATTCTTCAAGCATAATACATAGGGAATGCTGCTTGTGCATGTCATATGAATTTTTCCCAGCAAATGAATATGTTTTTCATTACGGAGACAAAGGAAACAAATTCTATATTCTTTTGTTTGGTAGTGTTGGTGTGCAAGTCCCTTTTATGAATGAAGAAACAGAACAATATGACTATCAAGAAGTTCTTGTCTTAAAAGACGGAGCTAGCTTTGGGGAGCTTGCATTATTAGAGAAAAAACCTAGGGCTGCTTCAATCCAATGCAAAGAGGCTTCTCATTTTGCTGTTCTTGATAAAATAAATTATCAAAGAATTTTATCAAAATTGATGAATGAAAAGAAACAGGAAATAGTGAACTATTTGAAAACTTTACCAATTTTCCATAGGTGAACAAGAGGATCTCTCACTAAATTAAGCTTTTTCTTTGAAGAAAAATCTTTTTACAGAAAGCATGTTATATACAAAGAAGGAGAAGAAGCTAATGAAGTCTACTTAATAAGGGAAGGAGAGTTTCAATTTATTAAAAAAATTCCAATAGACCAAGATCATTCCAACGAAAAAAAATTCCGAAGAATTTTAATACCTAAAAAAGCCCAACAACATCGAGCAGAAGTTGCGATTTTGGGCAAGGGAGAATTTTTTGGAGAAGAAGAAGTTATAAACAGAACCAAAAGAAACACTACTTGCATTTGCTACTCTTTGCAAGCTACCGTACTTGCTATATCTGCAACGGATTTTGTCAGGAGAGTCACTAGTGAAGATTCCTGAAAAATTATTAAAAACAGAAATGAAATTAAAACTGACTATAGAACTAAACAAATACAAAATATCACTGAAGAAGTAACACAATTTATTATATCGCCTAAAAAGCTTGACGAAGAAGCCTCACAAAGTTTATCAAAAGAAGACATTTCACCTTTAGCAAGAACAAATTTTAGAAAAATGTATGACCATGTAAAGAATTCATTTTTATTTAAAACTACTGAAAAAGAGCTAATAAAAAGAGAAAAAACGACTTCACCAATTAAAAGTGATAAAAGCGAGCCAATTATTCAAGATATTAAGCTGAATTTGCAAAAAACTACAAATAGTTCGAGACCTGAGTCAAGCTCATTGGCGAACACATTGAGGGCTTTACAAACCCAAAGAAATAATAGGAATTTTATAGAAATGGCTGCTTTTAACTTGGAAGAAAAATCATCACGCCTTAAGAGAAGGCCAGCAAGTTCTTCTCAGCGCCCATGCTGCTCAGAAGTATTACAGTATGATACTACTATAGATGTGACTTTTCATAAGAAAACTCCTCCTCTAACTCCTAACAAAAATGCATCTACATTAATAAATAGGAAACTTCGAGGTAGTTTAGCTGAAAACTCAATCAGCATTTTTTCTCTGAACTCATTCCCAATATATGACACTTTATGAGACCCACAAAAGGTTTCTAGTAAGCGAAGAAACAGTCACAACATCCACTTTGCCAAGCGAACAAGGCCACCAAATAGAACATTGTCACATTTTGGAAATAATTTTTAAATTATATTATGAGTTTTGTATAGCTCAAAATACGTTTCTTCATAGTTTGAAATTTATATCATTTTGTAAAAAAAACTGTATTTGAGGCATAATTTAACTAAAATAATGAACAGACAAAAATCTGCAGCGTCTTTTTCTTCACTTAATTATTCATCATACCAAAGCTCCAAACCCGTAAACACTTCGATTACTTCTATTAAGCCACAACTAATAAAACCTTCGCCTTATTCAGAGCCTAATCCAAAGCCAAAAACAAACCAAGTTAGGAAGAAAGAAAGCTCGCCTATTCAGATGCGCCACAGCTCTCCAGGCATGAAAAAATCATCATCAAATGCTTCATTTCAAACAAATCCTTCTTCTAAACTAAAAAACCAGACTTTTTCACATTCTAATTTATTTGCATCAATTGAAAATAATCACTCAAGCCCTACAAATGCTTCAAAAAGCCTAGTGAAAAGTATGAATTTTTCTTTTAATAATACAGCAAATGCTGCACAAAATAATCCTTATAAAGAAACTGGGCAATACCAGTCAAGGATAAGCACGGCTTCAACTGAAATCCAAATCCTTGAAGGAAGGCTCAGCCAACAATTAAGAGAACTTTCGCTGAAAGACTCAGAAAGAATACCAGATAAATTAGAAATATTTCGGGATTTATTCCAAGAAATTATAAAAAAAGACACAATATATAGCCCACTTCTATCAAAAATAAGGGATGCATATGATGAAGTAATTGGAGAGAGCCGCGAAAAAATGGCTAATGATATTAACTCACGGCTAAACGAGCTAAATGGAAGACTAAGCAAATGCATTGAAGAAAAGCGGATATTAGAAAAAAGAATAGAAAAGATTTCTAACTCCCCTCCGTGAGCAAACAAAAAATTTTGTTCATGGGTTCGATTTTTTTGAAAATATATACAAATTATATAGTAAATTTTTTTTTGATATTTAAAGCAAATATTAATTTAACTCGCTCACGGAGGGTGGGGTTTTACACAAAAAATAGGGATTTTCTAATGGTTTTGTTCTCTCACGGAGGGGGGAATAAAGAAAAATACGAAATGGAAATTATGCTAGAAGAATGCAATATTCAAAATAACCGTCTCAAAGACAAGCTTCAAAAATCTTCAAAAAAGTCTTTCCCAGATTTTGACGATAAAAGTGTTGGGTTAATTATAGATGAAAATAAATCATTATCAAAAATATGCCAAAAACAGAAAAATGAGATTGATAGTTATAAGTATAAGGAAAAGCAGCTTCTGAAGTTGATACTTGCGCTGAAGAAAAAAGGGTACCCAGTTGAAGAAATTTATGATAGAGAAGTGCAGAAATCGAAATATGAAATGTATAAAAATGAAGAAAACAGTGAGTTAGGAGAAGAGTCTGAAGATGAGCAGCTTGTAAGTGGCAGACCTAAAGATGTGCCACGACCGAGGATCGTCCCAAAACTTAATTTAAATGAAGTAAAGCCAGACACGCCATCAAGCTATAGTGATTCGAATGAATCATCGCCTGTTTCCAACGTACAATCAATATAAGCTTAATTTAACAATTTTATGAAAAGCATTTTTTTCAATAACTATTTCTTATTTAATAAGGCCATAGCGTTGTTTACGAATACCTCAACTTCTCTATCTTTCGAATTTTCGACTAGCTCAGGCAAAAGATCATATAATTTGTTTTTTATTGCCACTTCTGCCGCTTTAGTATAACTTTTAATGCGCTCAAGCATTGAAAACTGATAAAAAGGGTCTTTTGTTTCTTTCATAATCAGTTCTTCTGCTAGTCTATAATAATTATGCCTAACAAACACATTTATAAATGGCTTGAATCCTGAAGGTGGCTTCTTTTTAAGCTTCAAAAGGTTTTCAATCCCAATAAAATCGCCTTTAGACTCTTTCGCTTTAATTGTGATGCATCACAATAATCCATCCTTTACCTTCATTCTTTTTGCGAATTTTTTCACCATTGCATGCTCATCTCCATAGATTAACTGGAATAAAGTCCCACTGATTGAGGTGCAAACCAATGATGAATCTCCAGTCGCTTTGGCTAACAATTTCTGCTCATCAATTAGCTGGATTTGTCTTATCATTGCTTTTTCGTAGAATTTATTTTTCAAGCTCGCATAAATATCTTTTGCAACATTAAAATAAGTAATTTTTTGGTTCAATCTTTTCATTTTTAGTGCTTTTATAATAGTCAGATGGCCTATTTCTTCTTGGCGCTTTAAAAATGTTAGGGACTTATAATATAAATCTTCATCCACTTGTTTAATATAAATTAAAAATAATTCTTTAGAAATTGATTTTGTGAGGGTTGATTCAAATAAATAATTAGAATTTTCGAGCAATTCAGGATCAGATTTCGCTTTATTGATAATTTCGTGGATTTTAAAAATCACTTGATAGCTGTATAGTGATTACATTAAATCTGGGTCTTTACTTTCTATTGAAAGATCCAAGGCTTGCAAAATTTCATTTATATAAATTAACATAGGAATTTTTCTTGATAATTTTTTTTCATTATTAACGAATCTTTTTGCTAACTCCCCCCCCCTCCGTGAGTGAACAAAAAATTTTTGTTCACTCACGGAGGGGGGTTAATTTTTTTTTTTTTTTAAAAAATTTATATATAAATTTTATAAAAAAATATTTGTTTTCGAAATTTAAAAAAATCCTAATTCGCAAAAATTGGAAAGCAAATATTAATTCAATTTGCAAAATTTATGTTTTAAAAAGCAATTCGTTTAAGAATAAACAGAATTAGCTCTAGATTTCATTATAATAATTATCATTTATATATCAAATTTTTTTTCCATAAAAAATTTTTCTATTAAAAAAAATTTTTTGTTCACTCACGGAGGGTGGGTTTTTGGGCAAAAAATAGGGATTTTTCTAATGGTTTTGTTCACTCACGGAGGGGGGGGGAGTAAATCTTTTCTTCCATAGTCATATGAACTTTTAGCAATATTTATATAGGATACAGATGGGCAGAGTTTTAATTTTGAGTATAAAATTTCATACATATCGTCATCATCAAAAGCTAAATTTTGCAGCTTTGAGCAGGCTCATTCTTCAAAAATTCGTTCAGGTCTTGCTTTCCATATTTTTGCTAGCTCCAAAGCTAATAGATGATTATTAGAGTACACTAATTTTTTAATGAAATCATCACTATTTGATTGCATATAGTTAAGACGCTTATAAGTAACTGGAATTGCAACTGTTTCGTCGTTGAATTTATTTATTAATTTCAATCGGTCACTAATAGTGCTATATCTTTCTTCGTTAAATGTCCCTGAAGCAAGAAAACTTTTACCGTACCAAACAGCTTTTAAAAGTTTTTCTTGTATTATTGAATTGACTTCTGAGCACGCAAATTGTAATAAAAACTCAATAGCGTCGCTGACTTCGTCTGTGTTTATAAGATGGCTGATGATTTTATCAGACTCAAACTTATCGATTTCACGCTTTTCATAAGCTGAATAAAGTAAAGTAGAAGGAAGGGTTTGTTTTTTAGATAAAGAATTATAAAGAACACTACCAACTTTTTCTCATGACATAAATAGATCGCCTGTGATTATTCTTATTTCAATATATATAAAATGGCTGGTGATGAGTGACCTGCCCTTCGCGTGGTGGGTGTCTTTATGTATATTCAAATGCGGTTTTTAGATGCAAGGAGCTTCCAAAGATTTTGGCTAGCCTTGAAGTGAGAGCGGCACCATTTCTGCTGATAGTGGCTTGAGTGGCAGTTTTACCTGCAGTACCCAAGCCCGGATTGGTGTCCAATAGAGGCAGAGAGGCTTACTTGTATAGATTACTTGGTGCCGATCCAGAATAGCATAAGCTGGTGAGTTTTTCCTTTGAAGATAATTGGGGGAAAAGAAAAGACAAGCTCGTTAAGACTACGAGGGCGAAAGTCTCTCCATTCTCTAGTTGAAAAGGTTCATATAAAGGGGCGATCTAGCTGAGCTAAGTAAATTGTGTAAAGTAGGGCCTTTGGGTTAGAATGGAGGCTAAGCAAAATCTGGTGAGCAGATGATTAGGATAAATTGGGGAGTTCAGCCAGGCTCAAGATCCTTAAGGAAACCTTCCCACAGCTAAGCAGTGAAGCGTATGCTGCTTTGCTTAGGAACTTAAATCATGATTTAATCTATCTAATTCTTATTTCATCGTAAAATGAGTAGCAAAAAACCCCTTCTTGAGAATTTGGAAATGGGATTACACAATTTGAGTCACCATTTAGCAAGATTACACGGTTTGAATAAGCTAGACCAATCGTTTCGTCTCCAATTCAAAATATTTGTTTAAATTTAGCTTTATTTTCAATCTCAATTTTGCTTGCAGAATCTGAAAAATTAGAATTGATCAAAAAAGCTTCTAAATTGTCCAGAACCACAATCAGTTTTTTCCCTGCTGATGATTTTATGAATTTTGCAGAGCTTCCAATTTTATCATAAGAAATTGGGAATTTTTCAACGAATTTTATGTATTTCATTTCTTCAATTATCACAATACCTCCATTAGAGCATCCGCAGTATATATCTGAAAAGCCGGAATATGAATATAAAGGTGGAATAATAGTAAAGCAACTGATTTGGTATTGTTTAGGGACAGTGATAATTGGCTCAGGCACAAAGCTATGGCAATTAGGAAAATTTCTTAAGCAGTAAAATTTGTTTTCTGCTGTGAGAATATATAGAGTTTTTTCATTAAATTCACAAGCTATGATCTCGTTATTTGATGAGGGTGAAATACCGAACATTGGAGGGGGAAATGAAGGTTTATCGTCATTAGCACTAAATACATCGATTTCTCCATTTCTGCAAATTGTTGTCACAGTATCATCGTCTGTCCATATAAGATAAGCTAATTTTCTAGTGAAATCTCATTCATACCTTCTTACTCCCCCTCTGTGAGCTAAAAAAATTATATATAATTATCATGAATTTTTTTCAAAATTTAAAAATTAGAAATATCGCAAATATTAATTTAATTTGTAAATTTATGTTTTTAAATAGGAGCTGTTTAAAATTAAATTGAATTAGCTAGAGATTTCATTATAATAATTATCACTTATATATCAATTTTTGTCCGCTCGCGTGTTTTTTTAGGGATTTTTCCTATAGTTTGGTTCGCTCATGGAGGGGGGGTTTAGTAATCTGCCAGAAAGTGTGTGAATAGTAATCTGGCGATCAACGAGAATATCAAAAGAGCCAGAATTATTTGATAATGCATCAGGATTAACAAGTTTAGCAATCAGGTATTTATTTGGAGAGATAGCAAATAATACATTTTTAAATTCAGTTTCTAATTTCCAGTTCATAGTATATCGTAGTGCTATCTTGTAAAACTCAGACTTAAAAGGGACTCAATTGTCTAAGTCCATATTTTCACTTATTGCACTTTAAGATCGAGCAGAATCATTGGAAAAGTTTTTAATATAATTTTTTTCCATTAAAATTTATTTTATAAAAAGATCTGACCTAATTTAACACAGATCGAATTCTTAAAAATAGATTTTATAGATTTCATTTAAATACTCCCCGGGATTTGTAAAAATTTAACTTTTAGAGCAAGCGAGTAAAGAATATTGCTAACTCTTTAAGGGGAAGGAATTAATAACTCTCCAAGCTTTAAAATTAGCTATATTAATTTAAGCATGCTTATTTGATTATTTAAATTTCGTATGGTTAAATTATATTTTTAGTCATCAGAGCTTAATGATAGCAGTCAATTAATTTATATTAATTGTGTATTATTAATTAAGCCTGAAACTTTTTATTTCTTTCAAATTAGCATGTAGGCTATATAAAATTAATGATTCATTATATCTTCATATATTTTAATTAAAAACGAATGTGATCGGATTCAAAAGTATATATAAAAAATATATGTGCATAACTAGATTTTACTGCTTTATGATGTTCTCATTTTTATAAACCACAGTCTTAACGCGGATAGCAATATAAAGCATATATCCTGATCCTTGCTGCTTATATGAATTCTTCCAAAAAATTATCTATTGTTTTATTATAAAATTCGCTCAAATCTTTTATAGCATGAGTAGTCCCAAAAGATTATACAGATTTGTTAGTTCCTGAGTCAGTATAAATTAGCAAATAATAGATACCAACATAAATAAATTGCGTAATAGGATTAGCCAAAATTCTTTTATCAATAAATTTTCGATCAAATCATTTAGCACACTAAAATTAAGCTCCAATCCTTCCAAATTCCCCAAAAATCATCTATTATCCATCTAATTTTTCTGGCGCAAGTCCATATTGCTACACTCCATTTTTGCGCTTTATAATAATATCGCGCCAAATGTCAGACTTCTTTACAGTTCTCTCAGGTGTTCTTTCAGCAGATAAAGACACCAGAACCCAATCTGAAGCAGCCTTCACCACCTTAATGACTTCCTCCCCAACCGAAACAGCCCTACAACTCGTTAATGCTATGGGTGCTGAAGAAACAATTGCTTCTCTCTCAATAGTCCTTTTCAGAAAGAAAGTTATTGACACTGGCGTGTATACAACATTTACCGATGCCATCAAAGCTCAAATCAGAACCTCTATGATAGCCCTTGTAACTCCAACCCACACCACAACCTATCTTAAAAAGTTAGGCGACGTGCTAACCAATTTGGCTAACACCGATGGCTGGGTAAACGAATTCTTCGGGTATATTGCAGCCTGGGAAAAAGTCGAAGAATTAAAAGAGTTTTCTCTTTACCTTCTAGAACTAGCTGTCGAATTCCCTAAACTTATGGACACTCTTCAACAAAACGCTGCCTCTGTCATTGAACTTTTAGGATCATCGCTCCAGCACTCAAACCCAACAGTAGTCCTCAGTGGCCTAAATTCTTTAGCATCCTTTTTATCAGGACTTACCGACGAAACCCAGGTCTTAAAATTCGCTTATACAGCTAGTCCAATGCTTACTGTGTTCACCACAGTTTTATCCCAACCAGAGCTAAACGTTGACAAAGTCAAGAACACCTTGACTTGCCTTGCAGAACTTACAGAGACCTTTCCAAGGTTTTGGAAAGAAACTTTAACCCAATTGACTACTGTGATGACCACTATTTCAAACAGCACTCAGCTGGATAATGAAATCAGAAGCGGAAGTGTAGAAGTCTTAGTCACTTTGACACAAAAAGCTCCAGGGATGATAAAGAAAACAGCTGGAGTTATAGAAGAAATAATGAAGACTGCACTGCAGCTGACTTATGAAGTGGACAATGTCAATGATATTGAAGCTTGGACTACTGATGACACTGATGAAAATGTGACTACAAATGAACCTTTCAGCCTTGGAAAAGATTTATTGAATAAAGCTTCGTACTCGCTTGGAGCTGAAACTGTGCTGCCTTACTTTATGACTACCATTCCAACACTTATTAATAGCGCTGAATGGACTCATCAACATACAGGACTTTTAGCTTTAGGATTGATTGCAAATGGATGCCATGAACAGTTCGAAAAGAACTTAAATGAAATCCTCACAATGATTTTGCCTTTTGTAAGCTCACTCCTCCCTCAGTGAGTGAACAAAACAATTGTAAAAATCCCTATTTTTTGGGTAAAAACACACCTCTGTGAGCGAACAAAAATTTTATGAAAAAAATGTTTCGATGTATAAGTGATAATTATAATGAAATCTCTAGCTAATTGATTGAATTTTAAGCAGCTTGCATTTAAAACATAAATTTTACAAATTAAATTAATTTTTTTAATTTTCGATTTTTACGAAAATGGATTGTTTTAAATTTTTGAAAAAATATTACATCTGTGAGTGAAAAATTTTTTGTGCACGCTCATGGAGAGAGTCAGCAAACCCAAGACTCCAATGGGCTACTGCCACTACATTAGGACTGTTGTGCACTGAATTTGAGCCGACAATTGAGACTGCTCATCACGCCAGATTAAGATTTAAGATTAATTTCGGATGTGGCAGAGTGCTACCATCTTGCAGCCTGGGTTGAAACCACCTATTTCTCTGTAGTTACATCATCAAGGGCCAAAGAACATTGCTGGTCATCACCTTCTCCAACCACAAAACGTGACCTTTTTTGACTCCAACTCTAGAATGTTCGCTGATCAGAACACTCTCTCATCTCAAGAGTCACTTTCGACTGGAGATACTCCTTTGCTGGGAGCGCGCCAGCTGTCTAATTTGCTTCCTTTTTCCCTGGTTATCCAAAGAAAAAAATTAACAGCTTTCACCATTCAGGGCAAATAACCCAAGCAGCTTGAGTGATAGGCCAACCTACTCCATTACGGGCCCCACTGGGCTGGGGTGCTTCTCGAAAAAAGAGATGCAATTAACTGCTTAAATTCCAGGACACAATTCAGCGGAAAAAAAGTCTCACTTCTCTCGCTTCGAGGCTACTGAGCATCGCTGGACTATAAATGGATCTCAAAAAACCACTCCCAGATACTTAAGGGCTTCCTTCTCTCCGTGGCGAGTTGCTCACCTCCGTCATTTTATGTATCATCATGCCAGATTAATCCCAGCTATGCTTACTCTTATGACTTCCTCTACTAATGTGAAGGTCCAAACCAGAGGAACTTCAGCATTAGTTAACTACACCCGTGGCCTTTTAGCAGAAGATGATGTTGACCCAGCTGAATCCCTTACTCAGTATGCCAGTACAGTCTTACAAACCCTCGCCACTCTCCTTCAACAAGCTGTTACTACTAACAACTACACCTTAATGCTCGAAGTCTTAAACGCCATCTCTACCACTGCTTCAGCCCTCCAAAGTGCATTTGCTCCATACTACAACCAATTTATGCCAGCCCTCAAAACCTTGGTCACAATCCCAACAACTACAACCCAGCAGCAAGAAATAAGAGCTACCTGCATCAGATGTATCGGATACATGATTGAATCAATCAGTGAAGTCCCAGAAAACTACACTGAAGATGCCAAATCAATCATGAATGGCCTTGTTCAGCTGAAATCGTCCTTAGATAGTGAAGATCCAGCTACATTGGCCATCAATGAAGTTATTTCAAACTTTGCTGACTGTCTCAAAGAACAATTTGAGCCATACATGCATGTCTTTATGCCAGAACTTCTGACAAGAGCTCAAGCTAATGTAGATATTACCTTTACTGATGCTGATGAAGGACAAGACTTAGCACCTGGAATGAATGCAGTTACCTTTGATATGAAAGGAGAAGGCAAAAAACAGCTTGCCATTAACACTACAGCTCTTCAGCATAAAATTAAAGCTTGCAGGATTCTTTATGACTTGGTTTCAAGCATGGGGAAGGCTTTTGCTCCTTATATAGAGCAGACAATAAGCACTTTGACTCCATTATTTGCATATGCTTATAACGCAGATATCAGAAAATATAGCATTAGGACTGTTGCTTGCACTGTAGGAGCTACCAAAGATACTTTCCAAGCTGAAGCTTTATTAAGAGTTTTATTCCCTCTATTCACTACCACTCTTCAAGGCACTCATTTGTCACCTGAAGACATCAAAAGGATTCTCAAAGCTCTCTTATTTGTACTAGAAAGTGTTGAAAATGTTGCAGTTGTGGGTCTCGGCTATGCAAATGAGTTAGCCCAAACCCTCTCAAACCAAACCAAAGCAGTTTTTACTAGAAAAGTTGAAAGATCAACTGAAATACAAAAATACACAGATCCTGAACTGTACTCAGAAGAGCTTGAAGTTTTGAATGAAGAAGAAACGACTGATAACAAAATCTTAAGAACAACCATGGAAGTTGTAGGAAAACTCTTAAAGAACTTCAGAAAAGAGTTCCAAGCCACATTTTTGACCTGCTTCAAAGACATGTATGCCCAGCTTTTCTTTAAAGAAAAGGCTACAGACGAAGAACTTCTATCAGCAATTTGCATTTTTGACGACTATGTTGAGTTTACTCAAGACCTCATGTGGGATTCTGGCAGAAGCAGACTGACTGAACAGATGCTGAAGTTTGCCAACCATAAAAACGCTGATATTAGACAGTCAGCAGTATATGGAGTTGGAGTTTGTGCACAAACAGTAGACCAAGCTACCTTTGCACCTTATGTGAACTCTGCCGTAGAAGCAGTCAGAACTATAATTAATGATGGCAAAGCTAGAAGTGACGAGTATAACGTAGCAACTGATTGCGCTGTAGGAGCACTCGGAAAACTAGCTATTTTCCAAAGAAATGATTTAATTGAAGAGTGGCTTAATAATTTACCAATTAAAGCTGAGCCTGAAGAAGCCCAAAACGTACACAGGCTGTTCTTAAACAACTTTGCAAACCTCAAGAACTACCCACGAAGCATGACTGTAGTCCAAGAATTATCAAGACTTGTAAGAGAAGAGCCAACCTCTGAAGTTCTAGACAAAACAGAAATTGAAGTCCTTTCCCAGATTATTGCAACTAACTAAATTAACTTAATTATTCAAATAAATGGCATTTTCTCGTGCTACTCTTGATAACTCTTCTGAATGTTGGTCAGATTGACTTAAAAGATCAATTGGAATCAGAAATTCAGCGACAAGAAGACCCCAACGTGGATATCGGCTTTATCATTGGGATGAAGTTGTGAAACATGACAAACCTGGAGATTGCTGAATTGTAATTCACGGGAGAATTTATGATGTCACTGATTGGGTTGAATTGCATCCAGGTGGAAAAATCATATATGAAGGCGCTGGCTCTGATTGTACAGAAGTTTGGGAAAGTTATCATCCTCTAAAAGTTGTTGACAAAGGAGTAAGCAAAAAATATCTTATTGGGGAAATCGAGGGATATGAAAATCTTTATTCCTGGGAAGGGAATTTTTATAAAACTGTGAAGCAGAGAGTTGGAGAAGCTGTGCCTAAAAATTTGAGAAGAGAAGACCCAAAAATCGCTTTTAAAGGACTGTTTTTATCTTAACAGAAACTTAAATAGAGGTTGGATTCCGCCAAAGTAGCGCAGTCACCAAGGATCCCCTGGGATTCACCCTCATTGCAGCATCGACAGGGAGAACTTGTTTGAGTAAGATAGCTCATCGGGCGAGATACGACTCGAACACCACCTTTCCTCTTCTTCACAACCTGATACCTATAAATATGTGAAGTAGGGTTCTGCGTCTCCTTCTTGCCTTATCGGCTCCAATGGGAAGGCTATGGACTTATGGAAAAATTCAAAGCCTGGGGCTAGCTCCCATTTTTACGTTAGGAAGATGCCTGAATGATCTAGGCGGATTATTTTTATCAATTTGTTATTTTATTTCGCTGGCTTTGTATATTTACTTTTGCACTTGGTGGTCAGCTATAATCTATGGAGTGTTGTGCAGCCAAATCGGAATGATTTCGATTGAGCATAAAAATGATGGAGTTTTTACAAGCCTGAAAACTCTGACCTGGCTTGCAGGGTATACACCAGATTTAGCAAGCTCAAGGCTTGTTTATAAAAGATCACACGAATTTCAGCATGGATATAATATACATGATCAATCGAACTTTTCATTATTAAGGTTACATATAAATCAGCGTAGGTTTGGAATTCATAGATATCAGCAAGTGTATGCTTGGTTGCTATATATAACAATTCATTTTGGGGATTTGTTTGGGACATTTAATGACTTTTTTTGGGTTTCGAACTCACTAAATCTAAGAGGCTCGAACTCATTTTCAGACTTTGTTTTTCAAATTTTTGTAAAATTTTGCTGGTTTTTATATACAATTTTAATTCCGTGTTATTTGCATGGATATTTGAATATTTTCCCAATATGAATGCTTTATATGGTAAGCTTTGGTGCTGGATATGCTTTATTTTTTGCTATAAATCATTGGGTGTTGGAAGCTGGATGTGTAGAATCAATAAATAATATTAATTGGGGTGTTTTGAAAGCTGAGTATTCTATTAATTTTGCAATTGATTCTAAGTTTTGGACATGGATAACTGGGGGTTTAAATCATCAAATTGAACATAATTTATTCCCAGCAATGGTCCATACAAGACTCCCTGAAATTGCAAAAATTGTTCAAAGTACTTGCAAAGAGTTTGGGGTTAATTATTTTTCTTATCCAACCTTTTGGGATGCTTTAAAAGCACATTATAGATTATTAAAAGCTTTAGGGAATTATGATAAGCCAGAGATTCTTAAGAAAGATAGTAAACTTAATACTTAATGCCCCTATTAATAATTGGATATTCTTGCAAAGTTTTATGAACAATAAAAAATTAATTAAATTATGAATTTACAACTTTATGCAATGTTTTTATGACTTTCCCCTTTTAAATTGTAACAAAATTTTAAATTTTAGATTAAAAATTATAGATTCTATGGAAATAGATTTGATAATCAATTTAATATCACAAAATCGATATTTGCCTATAATTTGTTCTTTTTTAAAGGCAGGATTGTTATAAGATCTTTTATTCTTAAAATTTCATAGGCAAATTTAATAAAGAAAAAAATTGCTCATTATTAATTTAGGTGTTAGCTTTTAAGAAATATGGAGCGCATGACAATATGCTAAACGCGATGAGCAATTACAAATTATTAGTGAGCCTAATATTTTAAGTATAAATATTAATTAAGCATTAATAAAATATCAATCTTAAGCAATACTTTAAACACTATTTGTATGGAAACTCTTAAAGAATTAATAACTGATATTAAATTAATTAAAATTAGCAAGTTTTCCTTTTAGGCAACTTTGCAAAATACCTTAAAACCATATCGAGGTTATTCATATCTTTTGAACTGACACTATAACAAGCCACAGGCCTCCCGATAACTGACATCAATGTAAGCGTTGATATAATTTCTTCTTCATTTAAAGCGCCCTCTAAATCATTCTTATTCCCTATCACTAATAAAGGAATTCCCACAAGTGAAGGCCACATCAGCAGCTTCTGCAACTGAGCTTTAGCAATATCAAAATTTCCGAAATCGGCAGAATCAACTACAAAGACAATGCAGTCTACATTTCGGCAATATTTCTCTCAGCTGTCTCTGAATTTAGGCTGTCCACCTAAATCTCAAATTTGAAGCTCAACACCACCTTTTTTGACTTTTCGGTGGTTGAAGCCGATTGTCGGGATTGTGTCGTCATCAAATTCAGATGTTGCGAGCGCAGAAACAAATGTAGTTTTCCCTGCATTTTGAAGGCCGACGATAGAAATTTCGAGTTTTCTGCTTCAAAATAAAGAACGGAGTCAGTTTAGCAGTCGGGTCCAGATAGGCATGATTTAGAAATATTAAATAAGTATAATAAAAATAAAGAATATTAAAGAAATAGTTTTTTTAAATAAAAATTCAAAGGACAAGCATTGATTAGTATACTTTCCCTTGATAAGAGAAATATATTGATTTTTTTTGGAGAAATTATTGATTAATTTTTGAAGATTTTACCAGCTATACCTAAGTATTTATTATCAAATTAAAAATATTCTTCATTTCCAGCTTCCAGCACCTCAAATTGAGGATACGCTATCAGTAATTTGTTTTTATCCATCAAAATCATGCTTTGCCCATCAGGACTCCAAACAATTTTCTGAACTTTGAAATCTTTATTTTCCAATGGAACATCGCAAACTGAAGCTCCTTCAAGACTCCACAAAAATAGCCTTGGAGTCCCAGTACAAAAAGCTAGATGAAGCGTTTTTGAGTTTCATTCAGCATTCTTTATAGGCTGCTGCTGAATAAGTATGACATTTAATGAAAGAGTTGCCATATTCCATAGCCAAAGCACATTTGGCTGGCTATCATTTCTAGTTGCTAAATAATTTGTATTATTGCTCCACTCACACAGTGAAACTCCTGTAGGCGGATTTGGCTTGTCTTTAGGCACCTTCAATGTTGGCAATTTAACTGGAATTTCCTGCATGCCATATTTCGATGTCAATCTTTCTTCAGCTCCTCCAAAGCCCAAACTTTCGTTATATTCTTCTTCCTTATAGATGTGGATGTCGCTTCCTTCAGTTATTTGATTTTGATGAGGAAATTCACTTAAAAACCTTCATGAAATTTTGGTAAAAACTCTTGCACTTTGGTCATATGATCCAGCTGCTATAAATGTTCCGTTTGGAGAAACACTAACTTCCCTCTCCATGAGCGAACAAAAAAAATATGTTCACTCACGGAGGGTTTTTTTTTAAAATATTTATATATAATTTTTCATAAATTTTTTTTTCGAAATTTAAAAAAGTCCCAATTCACAAAAATTGGAAAGCAATATTTATTTAATTTGTAAAATATATGTTTTAAAATGCAAGCTGTTTAAAATTTAACAGAATTAGCTAGAGATTTCATTATACTAATTCTCACTTATATATTAAAAAAATTTTTGTTCGCTCACGGAGGGTGGGTTTTTTTGGCGAAAAATAGGGATTTTTCCAATGGTTTTGTTCGCTCACGGAGGGTGGGTTTTTGGGCGAAAAATAGGGATTTTTCCAATGGTTTTGTTCGTTCACAAAAGGGTGGAGTAAGTGTTTTTATGCCTAATCCATTATCATAAGGTCTATGTCTTGCTAATGGAGTTCCAAGCGGCGAATAAATTATTAAGGAATACACTAAGCAGCTATCCCATACAATAATTGCAGTATCGTCAGGGGTCCACTTTGCGTCTTCCAAATCAAAAGTTTCAGTTGCAAAATGATTGACCACTTGCCAGTCACCTGTGTAATAAATCCCAATATAATCTTTGCCTTCATTTCTTTCAGCTAGGATCATGAATTTCCCATCACTACTAAAAGAGTAGCCTTTATCATTGAATTTGGGATTTTTTATATGATAAACGCTCATATCAGTCAAATTCCAAGCACTGAGTCTAAGTTCGAAATCTGTGATTGCGAGGATCTGAAGCGAATCTGGAGACCAAAATGCATTTGCAACACCACAAGGAGTTAAAGTTATGCGGCCACTTCAGGCTTGATCTGCAACTGAATAAATTTGAACAATTCCTCGTTTTTGATGGGTTGTAAGTAGATATCTAGAGTCTCGGCTCCATTCCAAATTTGAGGGTTGGTCAGCTAATGGCCAATTTGCAAGTGTTTCTATGTCAGAAACTGAATAAATTGTTAGGGCAGTTTGCTTTACGACTGCGAAGTATTTTGAATCAGGGGAAAACTGTACTAAGCCAGAAAAAGTCACTAGTTCAGAGAAGTTCATATTTTACCGCCGAGTTGTTTAAATATATGCTCCTTAGAGAGAGCAGACGATTTTATCCTATCACAGCAGACTGTCTTAATTGAAAAAAGGGCAAATCTACCTTTTCAAAAAAATCTAAAAATAAATATAAGGATAATTGAAATGGATTAGATATGATAAATTTAAAAAATAAATAGTTTTTATTTATTAATAATTCAACTTTAGCTCAAATATACATCTTTTATTCTTCTCAATTCATCTTGATATAGCGTCCACTCAAACATTGTATTTGCTGGTTCTTTGATAATAATATTTTCTTCACAGCTTGCCAGCCTTTTCTTCCATTCCTTCACTGTCAAGCTTTTCCACTTCTTTTCTTCCTTTTCTTTCATTTTCTCCAGAATTTCCATAACTTCATCCAGCCCAGCATTAATTTCAGAAAGCACCTTTTCAATTGTTAAATCTTTTGGAGGATTAAAATAAATTTTGAAATCATTAATTTCAAAGAAATCGCAATCCAAGCATTTTATCATGAGATCGTCCAAGTTTATTTTCTCATTTGTTTGCATAAAATTGATAAAGGCTTTCTGCTTACTCCCCCCCTCCGTGAGTGAACAAAAAAATTTTGTTCGCTCACAGAGAGGGGTTAATTTCTTTTTAAAAAAAAAAATTTATATATAAATTTATAGAAAATATTTGTTTTCGAAATTTAAAAAAAATTGGAAAGCAAATATTAATTTAATTTACAAATTTATTTTTTTAAAAAGAAATTTGTTTAAAATTAAACAGAATTAGCTCTAGATTTCATTATAATAATTATCACTTATATATAAATTTTTTTCCATAAAAATTTTTTCTATTAAAAAAAATTTTGTTTGCTCACGGAGGTGGGCTTTTGGGCAAAAAATAGCGATTTTTATAATAATTTTGTTCCCTGACGAAGGGGAGGAGTTAGGGCTTAAAGTATCAATTGTAAAATCTTCATCCTTTGGAGGAATAAAGATTTTATGCTGGAGGATATGTCTGACAAGTCGAGTTATAAATTATGCTACCTTCTATCATCTCAGTTTCAAAAGCAAGTCTCCATTGATCTGAGAGTTCAGATGAGAAAAATGAAAGGTTGCCCTCTTAGATTTCCGACCTGAACCACTTGCCTTAGGAATCAACTCTAGGGCAGAGCCACAGCCCCCGATGGTCTCTATAAGGAAAAGCCATATGTTAGGCAAAACTGTTAGCCCATCTGGCATAGACAGGAAAACCTTAGGGGGAAAATAAAACTTCCCTTTGGTAAGATACCCCGAAACTTGAAAGACTTAGTTCAAAGTGACAGATATACTGTTTTCAAACTTCATCAGTCACTTTGGAGTCCTATCTTGTCAACGCCACATTTTATTTCTGTGTCTGGCAAGGATAAGCAGAATTACATTAGAAATTGTGTTGTTTTCATCATATCCAACTGTTTTTAATGCATATAGAATTCCATCTTCTATTCTATTTTGGTAGTTCTCATAGGAGTCAATTACAATTTCTAGCATTGAATCAAGCTCAACTAAGCCATTTGCGTTGATGCGTTTTGGGTCTGGGGTTGAAATATCTTCAATTTGTCCAATTAAATTGGTCAATGCAAGTTTGTCGAAAAAATCAAATTTATCTCTGACGTATTCAATCGCTCTTAGCGTAGGGAACATATTTTTGTTTGAAGTGTCGTCAAATGCTGCCATTATGCCTGTTTTTGATGTCAACATATAATTAAAGCAACTTAAAAACCATGGAAAGCTCAATCTCTTGTAATCCTGCAATCCTAACTTCTTCCCATAACCTAAAAACTTCAAAAACATCATCGATTTTATAGAATCTGAATATTTAAACAGGGAAGCAATAAAATCAATGAACTTCTTGTCAATCACAGCTTTCAAGCCATATTTTTTGTTAAATTCATCATAAATAATTTCAGCTAAGTTTTCAATAATTTCTCCTGATTTTTGTTTTGTCATTGCAAAACTGTAAACTGAGTTAATAATTCTGTTTACCATTCGAGAGCTCATAGTTGATTTCTTTTTTATATATATCAATTTTTTCCTTATAAGCCTGTCAATAATTCCTGAGGCCACTAATTTTTTAGTAGAAACTTGGTTTGCCCTTTGATTGAATTTAAACTCAAAAAATTTTGTCATATCTTTCTTTTTGGCTTCTTTTTTCAAATAAGATGAAAATTTAAGCCCATCTGTTTTTCCGTTATCAGGTGAGTTTTCAGCTTTCTTAAATACTCGAAGAGAGTTATCTTCTTTGATAGTCCCATCCAATGAAGGATCTCTTATGCTTTCAAATCCAAAATCTTTATCAGTTTTATTTTTCATTAATCTAGCATTATATCTCACTTTGACTGCATTTTTCATTAATCTCTTTGCTTCTTTAATTTCTTCAGGCCACAACTCAGAGGACTCTTCTTTTATGCTTTGGTTTGTTGCGTCTTCAATTGCGATTTCTGATCTATTTATAGTCTCATCTTCACTTTTATCTCCCTGATTTTTTATCAGTTCTTTCAGGCCTTTTTTTTCTTGCAAGGCTTTAATATAGCCTGCTAATCTGCCCTGCTCAATTCCAAAATCTTCTCCATCTATGAATCCTTGAGCTTTTCCAAACTCTAAGCCGGTGCTGAATCCTTCTTTCCAAGATTCTTTATTTGAGTTTTCAGGAATTAACAAATTGATGACTTCATCTGCAGATAGATCTGTATTAAAATTAACGTTAAACTGAATTGTTTCCCCTGTTGGTGCCAGCCTTGTAAAAATCATAGATTTTCTGTTTACAAATGGCTTACTCCCCCCATCCTTGATCGCCATCGTTCGATCAAGAATGGGGGTTAAAAGATTTTATATATAAAAAAAAAATATATATATTTTTATATACTTTTAAATAATAGGGTTAAGAGTATTTAATAATTATTTTTATAGCAAAAAATTGATTAATTTCATGAGAATACCAATTTTTATTATTTTAATATTTTGGTTACCCTTTAAACTGTATAAATTTTAATATGTTCCTTATTGAATTAAAAATTTTAAATTTTAAAGAATCTCTATTTTTTAGATTATTGAGGTTTTAAGCCCAGATTGATGATGACTAAAGCACTTCGGATGGTTGATTCCGTAGCTTTCTGTCGTTTCAAAGCCTTGACAACAAATCTTCCCAAGCTTTTGATAACTAATATATTTTTATATATATAAAAATTTGCATAATATGAAAATCGTTCGATCAAGGATGGGAGCTAATTTTCCCAATTTTTAGGAAATTTTTTACAGTGAATCGCTCGATCAAGGACGGGGGGAGTTAGTTATTTCTTTTTGAATTTGAGCTTCTTTTTCTTCTGTATCTTGGCGGCTCAGACTTTGAGATCTTTTAGTATCGCCTGGCAGATTTGGAAAATTTCTAGACTCAATGCTGCAATTTGATGAAGAAAGCTCATCTTCAGAATTTCTACTTGAAGGACTCACTGTAAGCTGCCCTGCTCTTAGCTGCCCATCTCCTTCAGTAGAAATGGTGTCTGAGTGCTTATAATTTTTTGCGTAATTTTCTTCATATCTTGCATCGTTTTCGATTTCTTTTATATCAATTTTTGGAATTGATGGGCTAAATTGAGGTATTTTATTTTCAGTTTGACGTTTGCTAATTGCATTTGCGTTCATATAATCTTTATCGATTTCCTCTCCATTATATGGATTTTTTTTATCAGAAGCTGCTGAATTCCCTACCTTAATTAATTTGATAATTGATGCAGCATCATTTGGAGAGACATCAGGAATTCCACCCATTTGATTGATTATTATTGCATTTTCGTCTTCATAAAAATCTTCATCTGGTGCCAGGTTTTCTAAATCTTGCCAAGCTTCTTCTAAAAGTGAATTAAAATCAAACTGAACACCTTTGTTTTTTCGCTTTACTTTTAGTTCAGCACTTTCAATATCAATTATTGAATCTCTTGAGGTTTTAATTGTTTTTCTTCTTAAAGATAACTCTCGAAATCCTGCAATTCCTGGAACTCCTAAAGTTCCAGAGGTTCCTAAAGCTCCTAAGGTTCCTAAAACTCCTGGAGGCTCAACAAAATCTTCATCCTTGCTAATTGAATTCTCTAATTTATTCTGCTTTCATAGAATTGATGCAACTTTTTTGTTTCCCGAAGTGATACCCGATGCCCTTGATTTTTTTAGCTCTGTTAATTCTAACAATTTTTTATCTCAGTAATCTTTTTCGTTTTCATACATTCTCATGACTTCTCTCCACCTACTCCTATTATCTAATATATTATTCGCTAGATTTGGGTTAACGTTTTGATATTTATAGACCAATTTTTGCAGCCTGTCTATTTCATTTTCATAATTTTTAATAGTTTCCTGATTTTTTTTGTTAATTGTTTTTAGTTCTTTTGCAAATTCCGCTTCTTTATGTCTGATAATTTCTCTCGTTTTTTGCTCCAACTGTTTTTCTTTTAAATCATACTCACTAGGAATTCGGCGCAGAATTCTTTTAAGCAAGTTTCCTCTATCTACACACTGTACAGATACTTGCCTTATTAATTCTTTTTCGCACATCGAGTAAATAACGTCTAAATCCTCTGGGTTTTTATTATGTTTTATCATGTAATTGAACCATTCCCTTAAATTCTTTATATCTTGCCTCCCAGTTGGATTCCCTAGATATGCGCTTTCAATTACTTCTGGAGTTGTCATGCCTGAATAAGTATCAAAAGTTCCTAGTTTTGGAAGATCTGTGCTTGATTGCCGAGCGTGATGAAAAATATCTAAGCAGCCCTCTCTATTGCAAACGTGGGTTTTTAAAGCTAACTGCGAACTCATTGATGGTGATAAGCCTTTAAAGTCGGTAGACTCTTTTAACTTTTTAAGTTGGTCTATTTCAGTAGGCAGTGGAGTCAATGATAAAGCAGGGAGCTTTGTGAGTTTATCCTTTATGTGAGAAACATCTCTTGTTGGGTAAGATTTTTTCAGTGTGTAATAACCTTTTTGGAATTCTTCTTTTAGTAAGCCTCTCATATCGTGAAAATCTGGGCTTCCAACATATTTCTTAGACTTTTTATTCAAAGACATATTTTATTTAACAATGAAGTAAGCAAGATTAACCATTATGAAGATTAATTAATATTAAAACTTATTTTTCTTGATGCCAAGCAGAAATAGAATTTCTGTTTCTTATAACTTTATAGATCATAATTAACCTTATTTGTTAATTTATTTAATAACTGGCTATTGTTCTTCAAGTATTTCATTAAGACCTTTCACATCATAATATTTGATTTTTATAATAAGCTCTGGATGCATATAAAGGCCAGCTATTAAAAGTCCCAACCCAGACACAGATCCTATTGTCATCCAAACTTTCCAGTTTCTGTACCATAAAGGAACTGTTTTCCTTTGCACCACATACATTGTGTCTAATGCCAAAGTCCCTACATAAACACTTCCAATTGCAGCTAAATAGCTTAAAAATTTAATTTCACTGCATGGGACTGCCCACATAAAGCAGCATAATGCCCAATTAACTACAGGCACTATCAGAGGAAACGCAAGCTGCTTTTTAATATATTGGCCGTCTTCATTCATTAAATTAGGATCATAAAATACTGAGCCAAGCCCTATATGAATACCTGATAAAAAGGTTGAATGAAGTGCTGCATAAACACAAGTATATTTTGCGATTTCTGGCAGTAAAGTTGGCATTAGGCCTAAATAAGGACACGCAATTACTGATATTCCACCTCCTAATAAAGGGAATAATGATACCAGAGAAATGTTTTTGAAGTAAGTCGGTGTTTTAGTTAGAGAAATGATAGGCTTGAAAAACTCAAGAGTTTGATAGTAATCTAAACCATTTTGTTGCTCTGTGGAAGACTCAGGAATAGGGTTTGAAGAAAACACTCTTCGCAGGCTTCTTATTGACATCATTTTAGCAATAAAATTATGACAATTTTTAATAAAGGAAATCCAAAAAGATTTTAATTATCTAAAAAATTTAAGTTAAAGAAATCGATCTTATTCAAAGCTATTTTAAATTGAAAATATACCAGAATTTTGTGGCATTGGGTGTATAAGTCGCCAATTTTAGTTCTGGACTCATTTAAGTTTTCGTCAGCGGAGTTATATAAACTTGCTAGTGTGTGCATAGAGTTATAATAACTCATGGATGCCTAAATAATACGTTATATCTTGTCTTGACTTTGAAATTGTCTCTTTTTTTTTCCTAAGTATTTGCACTTCTTTGAGGGGCGTAATATTAGCTTCAGGCTATTCATATGAGGATATTTTTGTTTTTGATTTATTAACCTTATCTTTTTCTGCTTGCTCTATGAATTTTAAAGGTAATGTAATTAAAGTGCTTTCCAGTTATGAAAATTGTGCGTACTTGATTGATTTTTCAGGTAAAGTATTTCAAAGTGAGATTAATAACCCTTTTAGCTGAAATATTGTAGAAAATTGAAATTCAAAAGATTTAATAATGACATATGGACAAAGAGCGTTTTATAAAGATTGCTGGTATTTTTTAACAGCTTTTATACAAATTTTTAAATTTGATTTAAGAAAAAAGGAAATAAAAGAGGTGCATTCTAAAGCATAAACATTTTTTGAGACTAAAATATATAGCTTTAATACAAGTGAATGCTAAGTCTATGTACTAATTAATCAATTATAGTTACAAATAGTTAATATATATTCTGCATCTTATTTCTTCTTATTTTTTAGATTTCCCCAACTGTTCTTATATTTTTTTTTCCTTTGCATGGCAAGACGAGCAGTTTTCAAATTTTTACTCTATCCAACTTATCGGAACATAAAATAGAGATTGTATTTCCCAATACAGAATAAATACTAAAAGTAATAGGGTTGACATTTGTCTTTAGCAAAATTTTATATATGCTGATAGACGTTCCAGAATTTTTCTATTTATTATAAATTTCACATAAAATTTAATTTATGTGTTTTTATAAATAATGAAAATTTTGGAAAATCTTTTACCATACAATCAAGAAAGCGAAATCGAAACGTCCAAAATTTGCTGATTTTATGATGAGACGTCTGATCTAATAGAACTTGACCTTGAAACTTTTGAGAAAACGCTTCACAGACTTATTATTCCTGAAAATAATATTGATGAAAGAATTTGTATTTGTCAATTACCAGGTAATAAGCTATTTTGTTATGGAAACACAATAGGATGGGCAGATTTTAGTGGAATTACTTTTATTTTTAATGAAAATTATGAGGTTCAAGTTCTCCCTACAGGGACACCAAGCCTGGGATGCTGTGGGACTTATTACAAAGATTGCGTTTATGTTTTTGGAGGTGAATTTGCGGAGAGATTTAATATAGATAAGTGAAGATGGGAAAAATTGATAAAGCTTCCAAGTAGAACTCGTTGATACTCTTCTACCTTTTTGAATGATATACTTTTGGTTACAGGATATGATTGGGACAAAATATTTGCTTTAGATTTATTTACTTTGTCCTTTTCTTCATGCCCTATTTCTTTGCTTTGATATGAAACAAAATTTCTTTGCAATTTTGAAGATTCAGCTTACTTAATTGATTACCCTGGGAAAATTTTTGAAAGTGGTAAAAATGACCCTTTTAATTGGAATTTAATAGGAAATTTTGCAGGTTCAGAGCAAGGAGGAATTATCGGACGTAAGGCTCTTTACAATAAAGCATGGTATTTTTTGACTGGAGATTCAGAAATTATAAAATTCGATTTAGAAGAAAAGAAGATTATAAGAATTAATTTACCGCTTACATATTAAAGAGATTTTTACTTCGAATAAGTATAAGTATAATTATAATAGTTCTGTTCGCCTATTAGTATCATATTTATACTCAATTAACAAGATATGTCTTAAATATCAAACACCAAATATTTTTGAACATATATTTTCATTCAGACATTCTCAAACTTAGAAGAGTGTAATGCGTAAATTTACTGATCCTAAATATATTGCAAATAATGACTTTAATCATCATAAACAAATTAGCATTGATTTTAAGAACAATTGACTTTTAGCTTATGCTATTTAAATTTTAAATTAGTAAAGTACTTTAATCTTCCTGGGACAGAGATCCAGCCTGCCCTATGATAGAGTCTGCTAAACTAATTCAGCTGTCTATTGGGGCTGACCTATAGATAAATCTATATAGGGTATAAGCTATATAAATGAGATATTTACCAACATATTTTTTGGGAATCATATTCAGAAGCCAAACTAAAGTCATTAAATGTAATGCAGCTACATAATCTATAAAAGTCTGGAATCAGTATCAATTTTTCCCATTTTCGTTTATTTAAATTAAATTTTCTAGCAAAAGCAGTCCCAAATACATAAACGAAATTTTGATAATAACTTGCAATACATCCAAGAGCTGGCAATCCAGAAGACAGCATTTGAATTTCAAGCTTTTCATTGATCAAACAAGTAATTTCAATCAATTCTGCTCATGCTTTGGTACCTCCATAGCAAAATAGCACGTTTTCAGGCAAAAGGCATACACAAATCCTTCCATCAAAAAACATATGTAGGAGTAGATAGACGAGTGACTTTTGTTTCTGAAGTTAGAAGGTTAGATTAAATGAATTTTCAATCACTAAAAAAAATTTTGAGTTAATTTCCTCTCTTCTTGGCTATATCCTGAATCCCGTATTGAATTCTATTTGAAATGATCTTTATTAATATCGAAAATACAAATGGACTTAAAACCAAGGTATTTATAAATTAGCCTCCAATGATACCAAGTTATATTACTTGGAGACCCATATGTAGGAATAACATCTTTTTATAATAGGTGCTCCAAGTATGAAAATAAAACTAATAATCACCATATTCTAGTTGGAGGTAGTGATTGAGTAATCTATCAAAAATATTTTAAATTTGATGGCAATGATATATCATTTTATCGATGACAAACGTGAGGAGATAGGTTTGATCCTTATCAAATCTATTATCAAAGCAGTGATGTAGCCTTAATTTTTTTTGATCTAACTAACAAATTTTCTTTTTTAAGTATCAAGAAATGAATTGAAGAAGTGAAAGAGAAAGCCTGAAAACAAGTCAAAACGATGATAATTGGTACTAAATCAGATTTAACAAACGAAAGAGTTGTAAGTTATGAAGAGGGTAAAAGTTTAGCAGATGAGATCGGAATTATGTATTTGGAAGTATCTTCAAAAACGAATAAAAATATTAAAATTGCTTTCAATATCGCAGCAAATTTGGTAATGCAGAAAAAATAATCTGTGATAATTACTTTTTAATAAAATGAGAGCTATTGAGAACAAATTAAGCCAATTTATATATTTCTATTCAAATTAAAATAATGTTAAAATTGATACTTTATTTGAGGATCCATATTATCGTAAAAAGATGATAGAGTAATTTTACAATAATTGATGTTTCATAAGCAAGATTATCGTATGCATATAATCTTCAAACGGTTTAATAGAAAGTACTGTCTGATCTATTAATTAAAATTCAGTAACTCTATGATATTAAGTGCAATATTTAGCAATTTTAGAATTATAACTTTATTGTGTAAATATATTTTAGATTTATTTATCCTCCCTAGCTATACCAGATTATTTGCTATCTCACCTAAAATATTTTATTTTCATGTCTAATACTCTCCATTCTTCCGATGTGGTCTCAAATTCATCCACAGAAAATGATGCAACTGATAAATTTAGACCAAACTGAAGGGAAGCTGATCCAGAGCAATTTAAAAATCTCCTAACTCCCCCCCTCCGTGAGTGAACAAAAAAATTTTGTCCACTCACGGAGAGGGGTTAAGCTTTTGTTTTTATATATAAATTTTATAAAAAAATTTTTTTCGAAATTAAAAAAATCTTAATTCGCAAAAATTGAGAAGCAAATATAATTTAATTTGTAAGTTTTATGTTTTAAAACGCAATTTGTTTAAAATTAAAAGAATTAGCTCCAGATTTCATTATACTAATTATCACTTATATATCAACTTTTCTATTAAAAAAATTTTGTTCACTCACGGGTGGGTTTTTTGGGCAAAAAATAGGGATTTTCTATTGGTTTTGTTTACTCACGGAGGGGGGGAGTAAGCCAATCCGATGACGAAATTGAGGCTGCTAATCAAGATCAAACCAACAAAAAAAAATGAGATAATCTCTAAGGACACCTCTGAATTGTCAAGCAAGCCTTCAGCAAAGCTCGCTCTCAAACAAAACCAATTCGAAGTTGAACAATATTTCCAAAATAATTACAAGAAGCTTACCTCTACGTGAAAGCAAAAAAATTTTGTTTGCTCAGAGGGAGCTGTTTTATTCCTAAAAATGGAAATAAAATGTAAATAAATTCAAAAATTCATGTCTTAGATATAAGCTATTTAAAATTAATAGAATTAGCAAAAGAATTCATTATAATAATATTACTTATTTATCCCATCCTTTATGTGAGTGAACAAAACTATTGGAAAAATACCAACCTCTGTTAGTAGATAAAATTATTTATAAAAAATTGTTAATAAAAAAAAATAATATATAAATGATAGATATTATAGTAAAATCTCTAGCTAATTTGTTGAGTTTTAAAACCAATTGCATTTTAAAATATAAATTTTATAAATTAAATTAATTTTTGCTTTCCAATTTATGCTAAATTTAAAACAAAATTGTTTGCTTGCTCACGGATGGGGGAGCTACAAAAATTTTTTGCTGGAATTTTTCTAGTAACTTTATTAACTTATCAGAAGTTAGCATTTTTTTCGCCATAGTTATTTGCATAAATAATTTGCTGACTCTTTGACATATGCTTTATCTAATTAATGCCTTATGCATTTTAGTCACAATTTTTATTGCTTCTGCTATTTGCCTACATTACTTTGAAGTAAAGACTGGAATATGAATTTTGCTACCTCTTTTAATCTCTATTTGGTTCTTTAGTGCAAATATTCAATTACCTAACTCCCCACCTCTTCATGTGCAAACAAAAATATTTTCTTTGTTTAATTGTTTTTTTAAAATTTATATATAATTTTATATATAATTTTATATCTAATTTATTTTTCGAAATTTAAAAATCTTAATTTGAAAAATTCAGCAAATTGTTTAGATTTAATAGATATTAATACTAATTATCACTTATATATCAAAATTTTTTATTCATAAAAAATTTCTAATGGAAGGTAGATTTTTGCCATGAAAATAAGGATTTTTCCAATAGTTTTGTTCACTTCTGAAGGGGAATAAGGAAATTTTCGGTCTATTTCCGGCTGAGAATATTCTATTAACCAGCTTTAAGGAAATATAAGCAATTTATAAATTATATTTCATTAATTAATGGTTTCAAAATATTTAAAGGAAGACTTAATAATGAAGCATAAGTTTTATTATTCTGAATTTTACAAAACACTAATGCTTAATTAATGCTGAAAAATTAAATAATTTGGATTAGCATACCGAGATTTATTTGAGCTTTTCAAAATTCTGAATGGTAAGAAGTCTTAAAAATCAATGAATGAGCAATAATAATTCAATATTAGATTTTAACCTTCAATAAAATGAAGACTACTAAGAATGAGCTAACTCCCTCCCTTTTAAATTGGAACAAAATATATGTAAAATTTTTATATTTTGGGCACTTTAACCCCCATTAAATTGAACAGATTTTTTTCCTATTTATAGGGGAAGTAAGCCAAACTCTATATCAATATCACAATTTGGAAGACTGCTATAAAATTAGATCTCAAATAGAAATCGAAGCAGAAGATATTAAAGGAGACATAAAAGAGAGAGCAAAAGAGTATTAAGTAAATAGCTGAGAAATAAATAAGAAAGCATATGAACTTGAAATGAAAAGACTAAACCTTGATCAAGAATATAACTTATATTGCCACAAATATATTTATTTAGTAAATAGAAATGATTTTCTAACGTATTTATGAATCTATGATATCGAAACAAAAATAAGAGAAGAAATTATTATGGATACCCATGAAGCATTAACAGATGCTACATGCATAATTCTCCTTCCAAATGATGAGCTTTTTTGTTATGGAACTTACGATGATTTCTCAGGAATAGCGTGTATAATTGACGTGAAAAATTATTCACTAAAAAGATTGTTACCATATGGAAAATCATGCTGCGCTTCGGGAGGATTATATCATAATAATTCTGTTTACATTTTTGGAGGAAATATTGAAGATAATTGATGTGAACAAACTCTTGCAGAAAGATTTGATTTAGAAAAAAATATGTGATTTAAATTGACACCATTGCCAACAGCCTCAAAAAATTGCTCTTGTGTGCTTTTCAAGCATATAATATTGATTGCTGGATTTAATTATAATAAATTATATGCGTATAATATTGAAATTGATAGTTATTCTACTATTTATAATATTGATTTGAATTCAGAAACTTCTAAGATACTTTGCTATGGAAACTTGAAATTTTATGCTATCGAGCAAGGTAGGTCAATTTCTGAGTGCAAAGATGGAGACTGAAATTTTTGAACAACTGTAGGGCAATGAGATATTGATTGCAATATTTTGCAAAATAATTGAGTATTTAAGGATAATCATATATTTATTGGAACTATTTATAACAGCTTTTATAACCGTATTGGCTATTTCAATTTTGATTTAAGCACAAAGAGTATTCAAATTGATAAATTATTTGAAGATTTTGAGTATCAAGAATAGTATTTATTTAATTAAAATTAATGCTTTTAATAAATCTTTCATATAACATTGATTGTATTAAAATAACTGATAGGCAAATGCTGATTGTGATATCAATTATAATGCGCTATTAATATTATAAAATTACATATAAGAAATTTATGCAATTTAAGAATACAACCCTTAGTTTTTCTTAATAAGTCCTTTAAAATCAATTTTGTACATGATAAATTAGCATTTTTTGGATTATTTTATTCAATTATCTAAAAATGGTGAAGAATAATTTAAGCATGATCAAAAGTTACGCACATTACTAATAATATGAAATATCCTTACAATATATATAAGATTGTAGAATCATGATGAATAATCAAGATGCTCCTAAAGAGGCTTTGTACAACGAAGAAAATGCAACCGTTGCAGATAAATCATTCTGCTGCGAAGCTGAGATACTCAATAATAGCGAAGAGTCAGTCTTTATAGACTTATCTAATATCGAAATTGAGGCTTGTATTGACAGTCATTCATCTAAATCTTATAGCTATAGATTGAAATAGATTCCCACTAAACTGCATTTGCACTCTCAAGTCCCTAGTTTGGCATTTTCATCAAAAATAAAAATGCTAATATGGAATATCAAATTTGCTACATCACTGGCTTCTTCAATCATAGTTGATATTTTCATTTTAAATTATAAATACCAGCTAGGACTTAGGAGCATAAAAGTGAATTGCTTTACAAGCACTAACCCATCTACTCTATGAGAGCAAGACAAGAAAGACTATTGGAAAAATCCGAGCAATTAAACCTTCCATGAGTGAACAAAAATGTTTTTAATGACTCACAAAGGAAGAGGATAAGGAGGAGTAAGATAGCTCACCATATATGAAATTGATTCAGAAGATCAATTACGAGAATGCGATGAGTTTAAAATTCAGCCAAATCTTGATCAAAACAAATCTCAAAAATTCGGGCTCGCCGTTATTAATTCCAAGTTGTTTAATTCTATTTTTGCAATATTTATTTGCATCATGATATTACTAGTTCTTTTGAATATGCCTGAAATTTTCGTTTATTTAATTATTTCCTCAAGCGTGGTAGCCTTAATTTTTGGTATTTCACTATGCTGCTTTATAAAGGCACTTAGAAATCAAAAATTGAATTGCTATTCAATATGAAAGCTCTTGGCTCCTTTATTGATTCTAATGTGGCTCAGTTTTGTAAAATATCCGAAATTGTGTTTAAGTCTGTTTATGACTGAAGATATGCTGCTAGTCTTCAAAGAAATATAAGCACTTAAATAATAAAGATGCATTAATTAATTTAAGATTTCAAATAATTGCATTTGCGATTAAAAATTGTAAGAACTGTTGCTTTAAAATCGATAAGACACCAAATAGACTAATGATAATCCTTAAAATTTTTCAATTTATAAATGGATTATATAAACAATAGTTCACAAATCATAAAAAAGCATTATAATCATTAATAATCTCCATAATTAATCTTCGTCTTAATTTTTCATTTAAGTACACCCTTATTTCAAAATATTCAAATTATTTCTTTATTAAAGCAAGAAAATAGCATAGATTAATTTATAGCTTATGAAAATATTTTAATTTGAATTATCATAAGAAATGGAGGAAGTAAATTTATCCATATGTAGAGAATCAAGCCTAAGAAACTTACCTAACGCAACTCCAGAAAAAACTAGTGCTACTCATCATTCAAAAGATGAAGTAAACTCAAAGCTACTTACAATTTTAGAATTTGAAAATAAGTTGGAAAGCTTGATCAGCAAATATTTATCAGGCACTTTTGAAATTAATGAGCTAAAGTTTGAAACACTTAAAGCTGAGCTTAGAAGTGAATTTAGTGCTGCACGCAGAGCTGGTCAAAAGGAAAATCTAACTTTTTTTAATAATCCTAATTTGAAAAAGAGCCGGAGTTATAAAGCTATGGTTCAAAAAAATATATATCCATGGAGCGATTATAGATGCCCTTGGGTAGAGAATTTTCTACAAAATTTTTGGAGTTGAAAATGATCCGATATAAAACTTGCAAATCCACCAGACTGACTCATAAACCCTGTGTATAAATCACTCACCCCCCCTTTAAATTGAAACAAAATATAGGTAAAATTCCTACTTTTTTGGGAAATTACCCCCCCTTTAAATTGAAACAAAATTATATTATAATAGAAAATTTTATAGGTAAAAATCATTATTTTATATGTAAATACGTTAATACCCTATTTAATATGCTTCAAACATATAAGATTTAGAAATTAAACTCTATTTTGTCCAATTGTTATGGGGAGAGTTAGAAGAATACCATTTCAGCAAGTTTACACTTTGAGATTGAGAAATTTATGAATTAATTTTTCATGAAATTAAAATTAAAAATCAAACACAGAATGAACCATAAACCCTTTAAATAATTAGGTTTCTTAGGTTGATTTGATGACTGAAAAGCTTAGGATGATCAATTCTGTAGTGCCCAGTTATCTCAAAACCCCTAATAACGACTTCTGGTTTCACCTCAATCCAAGCTTTTGAGACAATGTTGATCAGCTGCTGACGATCGAGTGCCTTGATGTTGCCACTCCTTTCGATCTTTTCTCAATCTGTTCTGTCTCACACTCAATCCTGAATTGAGTGCTTTTTCTCTTGAAATTAGCGATGACAATCGCATCAAGAGGTTGCAAGTGCTTTGTGCATCCTCCTGGGATCAGAATTGTCTCCAGGTTCAAGTCTCTCATGGTTTCAGACACCATGTTAGTTTTGTGGATGTTTGCCTGATCCATGACCACCAGTGATCCTGATCTGGTGAAATGAAAGACTGTCCGTAGGTAATCGTTGAGGAGGATGTCAGTTAAATAGCCTGACGAGTTTGCTTTGACGATGGCGTTGTCGGGGATAATCAGATGCTCCCTCACATTGTAAGGGATTTGGCCATTTCGCTCTTTGAAGACAAGCAAAGCAGCAATCTGAGTCCATCTGCCCTAATCATGAGAAGCACAGTGATGGCATGGCCAACTTTGGCAGAGTGCACGCCTACAACTCTCTTGGCTCCCTTGAAGTCGTAAGTGTGCTTGCTGCTCATGTCCCATTCAAATCTAGTATCATCAAAGTTGAAGATGCTATCTGGATTGTACCGACGCAGCAATGGCTCCAAGTCATCAAGGTACTGGCCTACAAGCTCTGCTTCTTTCTCCAGGGGCTTTATGCTTGACGCATTGATTTTGCGATATGCCAGCCCATTTCTTTGCCTGAATCCATCCCATCATCCTTGCCCGCATTTGAATTGCGCCAATCCCATTTCTACCGCCAACTCACGAGCACGCTTTTCTATGGTCGCTCTCAGCACCACTTGCCCATGCTGCCTCATTGAAATTAGCCATTGCATCAATTCCTTTTCAAGCATTGGGAATTTCGTAAAAGGCTGCGTTTTTACTCTCTTTCCTTCGGGAGATCCATTCCGTATGTAGCCAAGTTGACGAAGCCAGGTGGAGATGTGGCAGAAGTGATCCATGCTAAACTTCTCTCCCACCGCTCTCATAGGGATCCCTTCTGCCTTGTGCTTAAGGTAGAATTCACAAATTTCTATCTTTTTTTCATTTGTGAAGGTCTGGTAAGTCTTCGTCCTCGCCTTTTCCATTTTTAAAACTATTAAATGCAAATTTTATAAGTTTAACGTGAAAATTCAAAACTTTCTAAAATAGTATTCTTAAATTTTAAAGAGCGATTTTAAGAAAATAGAACTTGCTAACTTACCGACTAGGCATTGTCATAAAATTATAATGTTATTAAATATAATTTACTCAATTTATTGTCTCTTTAAATCTATATAATTTATTTTCTATAAAATTTTATCTTTGAAAAAATTTTTATATATAAATGTTTTTATAAAAAAAATTTCTTAACCCCCCTTTAAAATTGAAACAAAATTTTTTGTTTCAATTTAAAGGGGGGGTCAGGAAATTTGCAGGAAAAATCCACTCCAGAATAGCTGAAATCGCTTCTGGGATATAATGATTTTTTGAAAAAAATCGAAAATTTTATACAGCAATCCAAGTTTGATTCAAGATTTCTTTATAATGTTGATTTTAAAAACAACAGAACTGTTTTATCAAGCTACGACATAGAAACAAATAGAACCAGCCAAGAATTTCTTGAAACCCCTTTTCAATTTTATGCAGGGACAACTGTAATTCAACTCCCAAACAAAGAATTATTTTTTTATGGAAATTCTTATCCTTCTTCTGGGGCTTGCTGCATAATTGACCTCAAGTCTATTTCGATAAAAAAAATTCTACCACCAGGACCGCCTTCATCATATTCTGAAGGACTTTATTATAAAAATTGCATTTTTCTGTTTGGAGGTTTGGATGAAAAGGATTCATTAGGGCTTTCCATAAAGCTTAATTTAAAAGAAAACAGATGAATCCAGCTTACCCCTCTTCCATTGAGATCTTATAGATGCTCTTGTGTTAATTTTAATGGGTCTATTTTATTATGTGGGAATCTTCATGAAAATCTTTACAAATTTGACTTAGAAATTGAAAGCTACTCAGAAATCAAAGAACTAAGCTTAAAGATGTATAAAAATAAGATGCTGTTTAATGGGAAATCAAGGGTTTATGCTATTGAAGAGCTTGGAAATATCTTTGAGAGCGGTATAAATAATGAATATAAATGGGATATTATTGGAGAATTCAAAATTATGTGGTATTCATGCGCGATGAGGAAGTTTTGGAAAGAAGAAATATTTATTAGCTTTATTTCATATGGAAATATGAACTGCTATAAATTTGATCTGAATAGGAAGATATTAGAAAAAGCTTTGTAAAGATCGTATAAATATTTAATATCAATAAATTAGTATTTTTTATCACAGTTTTCTTGTTAAGATAAAATCTGCTCTAATAAAATTTTTGAAAATAAAGAAAGATTATTTAATTTAATCTTCTTCGCCTTCTTCCCCTCACCTTCTTCAATTTCTTCTTCTCCTCAATTAAATTATTCAAACGAAATCATTATTTTTCAGTGTATGACAATTTTCTTAAGTTCCATTCAAACTAAATCAAAGCCATTTTGTTTTCAGAATGTTTAATGAAAACTATCCGTTTATAACTATATTTTTTCACAAGATGCAAGACATATATCGATGAACTGTTTTCGCTCAAAGTTTAGGAGACCATTCACATGTCCTTGACTCGGATATTGAGGTTGTCGGAGAGGCTATACAAGTATTATCTATTTAGAATCTTGAAAGGCAAGTAGAAAGCTTAAGAAACAAAGTCTCAGCACTTGAGAGTAGTAGAAGTACTACTGAGCTCGATATAGAAGCTCAAAACATTCATCTTCGTCTGTTCGCACAAATTCTTTATAAAAAGCGAAAAACACTCCTTCTTGATGCAGTTGAAATTTGTATCAAGCGAATGAAACGGCTACGATATGAGGTGGACTCAGTCAAAGTCGAGCAGATTAAAAGTGTGTCAAAAGAAATCCTAGAACAAATCATGAAAGAGCATCAAGTGCCTAAAAGTTTTCAGATTGGAATCAGTTTTTCAAAGCTCAAAAGAACTATAATCAAGACTCTGGAAGTGTTTGAGAAGGCAAGTCATAGGGAGTTTAATAGTAGGATAATAGGAAAAGAGATTTCAGCACATGCTTAATGATTGTAAAATATGTCGTTAAGTAATTGCGTTCAAAAACGAATACTTTAAGTTAACGATTAGATTACCTGAATAAATTGTTTGTTGATTAATTTTTAACGTTTATATATGATTATTAGTTTAAGGTTCTTTACAAAATTAGCATTGAATTGTGCTTTATATATAAAAGTATTTTATTGAATTATTCTTTTAAATTGAACTAAATATTCCTTATAATCCATTGTAGTTAGCAATAAGCTAGCTGAGTATTAGATCATCAGTACCTATTAGGTCAAGCCCATCTTCAATTAATAGATTAACACGGCTTCCATCATGAGTTGGCTTTCTTTGAAGTGTAGAAAGCCTTGAGATTCTATAAAAACTCTAGGATATATTACTTCCAACCTTCAGGTCCTTTTAAAAATGGAATTTCAAATTTAAATTTTTCCTGAGAAAACTTGTTTTTTTAAATTTGAATTTATATATTTAGAGACAAAATTTCCAACGCATTATATTTTTGCGATGCGCTTTTGCTTTTCGATTTTTTAGTTCTGAAAAATTTCATTAATTGGGATGATTTTGGCCTATTATCTCTTAGTGTTGGCTTTGCAAGTGAATTGGATACAGAAGTCTTGCTATTAATTTTTGGCCTTTGCCTTTGAGAAGCCAAAGGTTCGACGACTCTACTCGTATCGCTTGAAGTTCCACAACCCATTACAATTTTTCTCAAATAACTTAAAAATACGGCAAATGAGCATTTCTTATTTCTTTAAATTTATTTGTATAATCCTCACTATTATTAAAAGCTATCTTCCCTAGAATCAACATCTCAATCATAATTCGGCATAAACACACAGAATTTTTAAATTGTTAATTATCCTACTTGAAACCTGATGACATAAAAGATGGCAAAACAGGAATCAAGAAATTATTAAACCGGGGTGGATCTAATACAACAAAGGATCCCGCATAAACTTTCGACTTCTTAACAGGCAACGGATCAATGGGAGTGACATTCAATTGAGTCGTATTCAGTAAAGGCTGTCGGGAACCATGAAGCTGTATTGCTTTCAAGACGCTTTCTGATTCTTCAAATTGAACAGTGCAGCATTTCCTGCCTTTGAAGCGAATGCCCTCAACCTTACCATAAGGCGTAAAAACGGCAGCAATTGAATCAGAAGTGATATTGCTTCCGAATCCAGACACAACAACACGACGATTTTCACCTCTCTCTCTTTTCGACATTTTAATTGCAAATTTGTATCCCCCTACCTAATAAAACAAATTTTAATTAAAGATAAAGAGAAAAAGCTAATAAATTTTATTATGAATTTAATAGTAAAATTATTTTAAAAATTAAATTTCTATAAATATTAAAATTTTTATAATAATATGTGTAATTTAGCATTATATTAAGGTTGAAGCTCTTTATTTATATCAGTTCATCTATTAATTTATTTATTCCTACCTCCTTTTAAAGCCAGTAAAATTATTGGAAAATGTCTATTTTTATTAAAATTACTACCTATTTATGAGGAGCAAAAACATCTTTAATAGCAATTTTTTCAATTAAATATTTTTTTAATATATTTAAAGATTATAATTACGAGATCTCTAGCCAATCAATAAATTTTTAAATAATTGCCTTATTAAACATAAAACTTTTCTTTTGAGCATTAAGTATATGGCAAAAAATTCTTTAAATTTAATATAAAATCTTATAAAAATAAAACTTACTCCTTTAGAGCTAGCTAAAAATCTTTATTCACTCCTAAGGGGGATCTAGCCGAAAATATTTCATAAAGCTATGATAAATGTTATTTCTTGCAATTTTAGTTTTTACTTGAAGTTTTATGCTTTATAATGTTCATAATTGCATCTGATTGTTTACTCACTATTTGTGGAAAAATAATTATTTTAAGACTGCTGAAATTTTACTAGAACTTCATTAAAGTTACGGTGAATTTCAAGAAAATGTTTCATGCTTTAAAGATATTTAACACTATTAATCTTGAAATTTATTTAAATCAAAAATTCTAATAAATGATTTCCAAAATATTCGGAAGCAAAACCAAATATACTTACGAAATCTTTCAGTAATTATAATTCCAGAGAGATGCATAGAGAGCTTAGTTTCTTCTATGAGATTACTCCTAAAAATGAAGAACAAGCAGTCGAGTTGGTCAGATCAATGACAGAAGCCTTGGTATGAAGTGAACAAAATTATCAAAATTTCTTTGAGTAATCTCTACCTAGCTTTTTTATGAAAGCTGACGTCCAAAGTTTATTCAGAAGATTTCTGAGTTTCCAATCTAAACCTCTGTTAATCCAACTAATTCAATCAGCAAACATGCTGGTTCACAATCTTGATTCGGACGAAGATAAACGTATTTTCAAAATAGAATACTTACTCAATACCCCTTTCTATGGCGAGGTTATAAGTCACCCATATGACTCAAACGATGAAGAAATTGTAGAAAACTATATGTCTCTATTGAAAAGTCTTGCAACAAATCTGAAATCTGAACAACTGAAATCTTATGTTTTAGGGCAAAACTTTTCGTTATATACTGGTGCTTTTGCGTTTATAGATTCAAAAGACCAAATGATAAAAACTGCAGCAAGAACAGTGATTTTAAGTATATTTAAATGTAAAGATTAAGTAGTGCAAGACGAAAGTATAATTCAGTACATAAGTCAGAGTGGATTTTTTATAGCAATTGTGCTGTCTATGAGAGAGCAATGGTATGCTTTGGATCAGAAAATAATGAGTATGTCAAATTCCTCTAAACTTGAACAAATTATCAAAGATCATGTTGATAATTTGTATTTTATGAATGATATTTTTGAGCAAGATATAATCGAAATTAATCAAGAATTAGCTGATTTGTTATTAAGACATATAATTCTGCCTGTACTTGTAGGCTCTTTAGGGTCGGAAAGGCATATGCAGCATCATCTAGGGATCCCTCTTGCTGCTTATTTAATTATACAAATATTGAAAACAATAAGGCACCCACCTTTAATCAATACCCTTGCAGCATGCTTATTTTTGAAAGAAGTGCGAGAAGAATTGCTTACACTTACTATGAATTCTCCTCCATTGCAAGCGTTAGCTGGAGGATCAAGAGACTTATCGCCGTCAACTGATGCAATCAGGCTTGGATCTCAAATGCTGGACTATCTTGACTACTTAGAAGAGCCTGAAAACTTAAGACATAATACCATTAGAGATGTTATATTTTCATTTTTGAGATCAAGAGATGACAATCTTGTTACTTTAACTGTGCTGATAATTCAAGGAGTTATCTTAAATGGGTCAGTCAGCTCTACAATTTTATGAGGAGCAGGATTAATGCCAGTAGAAAACAAGAAGATAAAAGACCAATCTGGGCGTCCCCGGGAAGAAAACAAGGATTTAGGAGAAGAGGCAAAGGATCTGCAAAAGATAAATTACGAATCTGGAGTGATCTCAATGCTTTTAAGACTTATAAATTTAGAGCCGTCATTCAGGATTTTTACATGCCATGCAATATGCAAACTGATGCTCAGCTTGGTTTATAAAAAAGACTCTAACATCTGCTTGCTTCCAGAGCATGAATTATCCCTTAAAAAAGCCTTAAAACGAACGATTGCAGCTTTAAAAAAGTTAGTTAAAGCCAATTTCCACGATAGCCTGTTATTAGAACTATTTGAAGAAGAATGAAATAGAATATCAAGCTTAAAATTCAATGACAAAATTATCTGTCCAAGCCATTTACTTCTGCCTCTTTTAAATGAGCTTGAGTCCAATATCCCTCTTGAGCATCGTCGTCCATCAGGAGACGTAGAAGAAGCTAGATGCAATGTGAGTTTATTTTTCCTGTATAGAAAAATGCATCATTTATTATGTGCAAAAGACGTGAATACAGATTTTGATATTGACACTTATCCTTTAAATTATATGAAAACTCCTTGTTTATGGAAAGAAGGCGAAGTTCATTCAATGGGTAATTATTATTTAGATGGAAGAACTTGCTTTAGGTGCTTTGTGAAAGACGGGAAAAAGGAGAAAATTCTTTATTTTACGGAAGATGATGACAAATTTGTACTTGTAGAGCCAGATATTGAACTAATGGGGTATGCAAAAATAGTTATCATTACTAATTTGAGGGATGTTGAAGCAATGACTGATAGATCGGATCCAAGAAGTCTTGTTCTTTTGGTGAAGCAAAAAACTGATAATACTCAGCTGATTTTAACGTTTGAAGACGCACAAAGATGCCTGTGGATTAAAAGGCAAATAGAGGAACACAGAAAATCCTCAAAATCTGAGGATATGGGTTAGGATAGGTTATTAAAGTTAGGCGTTAGCCATATTGGTGACGAAGTCACCAAAGACCTCTCACGTACGGGAGGTTCTACCACTTTTCGACTTCAGCCCAGAGGGTCTTTCCCCGAAGGCAGATGCCACTTCCAGTACCTTCTGTCTCCTCCTTGACGCTTCAGTCTTGAGTTCTTATGGATTTCTGCTGCTACGGGCGATTGGAGTAGCTTGATTTCAATGATCCTTGAGTTTTTCGGGCGCCGAAGTATCTTCCTTCGATAGTTACAAGAAAATTACTACTCCCCTGTGGCCTGGGCCGAAACTCTCAGTTTCTCGATCGAGGAATGCACGTAGATCCTCGAATCCAAATTTGTTGAGCACCTCCATTTCCGACCACAAAAAGCAGCCAAAAACTACCGGATACGCATCTCTTGAGCCTAAATTCATTATCTGCTCGGAGTCCGTCTCAGTTCGCCGTAGCCATAAGGCCTTGGACTGGACTATTGCTCCAAGAGAGCAGGTTGGCACGTGTCGCAATTTTGATGTACAGCTGAGGATATGGGACTTATAGAAGTATTGCTGAATACAATAGACGAATGCTTACTTTCAACCTCTTCTGAAGGAGCAAAATTATTTTGCCCGAGTCAAAGGGGGTTTTTTATTTTTTTATATAATTTAATATTAAATTTTCTATATAAATTGAAAAATTGCAAATTTAATTTAATTTAATTTTTAAATTTATGCTTATAAGATGAATATAATTAGATAAAAATTTTATTAACTTGTATATAAAATATTTGTTATCAATTTTTTTTAAACTTCTCATAGAGGTGGCTTTTACGAAAAAATAGGGAATTTTCTAATGGTTTTGCTCTTTCACAGAGAAGTGAATTAGTTAAATAATTTCTAGATAAATAACTTGAGTTTGGAAAATAGATACTCTATTAATACCTTCTGAGTTTATTTTATATAAGAATTAAAATTTTTTGAAGTATTGTGCAATTATGAAAATTAAGCCATTTTGAATCTTGATGCAGGCAATTCAATAGCGTTGAAGATCTGATACAAGTTCTGCTTAATAATAAATATTTATATCTATTCATTAAGCCAAACTTGAATCAAGAAAATATACCTTTATAGAGAACATAAAAATTACTGGTTGCCATTATACTATTTCATATAGCAAATGGGAAAAAGCATAGCTGTAGCAAAATTTTTATTCCTTCAAATAAGTATATAATATAATTAGAAAAATTCTGTTATATTAACATGGAGGACAGAGAGATCACTACTCCTGGAGGAACTTTAGTCGCAGCTGAAGAAGTTAAGAAACTAATTGATGACAGAGAAAAAGCAAGACAATATATTCGCTCTTGCAAAGAAACAATGGGCAAACAGAGCGAGCAGCATAAAAAGGAGCAATCCGAGTTTAAACAAACATTAGCCAACTTAGAATCTCAACAATACAACACTAGATTTAACGCAGTTGCAATAAAACTTGAATTAGAAACCCATAAAATTTTTAAAATCTTTACAAAGCGTGCCAGTTTGCTTCTGGCCCAAGCATTCTACTTATATCGACAAAACGTAAGATCACTCAAGAAAAGCAACCAATTCTACATTGCTGTAGAATTAAAATTTGGATTAAAAAAGCTTATATGAAATGTAAAAAAGCATAGAGGTATAGTTGGCAGAAAATATTGAAACAGATGGGTCAAGCTTGTATCTGATGACTCAGAAAAACTTCAAAAAGAAATTTTAAAAGTGGAAAAAGAAAATAAAGAGTTTAAATTTAAAATTACGAAGAGAAAAATGAAGGGGGAAAGTGGATCTGTGCTAAATGAGATTATGGAAGAGAATAAACAGCTAAAAGAAAAAATAAAAGCTTCACTCCCCCATTTAAATTGGAACAAAATCAGTAAATTTGCATTTTTTGGTACTTTAAACCCCTTTAAACTGGAACAAATTTGTTTTACAATACGAAAATTTAAACAATAAAAAATACTAATTTTTTTAAAATTAGTTTTGACCAATTTTAATAGGCAAATGCAAGTAGAATGCTATTTAAAAATTTTTCACATTAAATCTATCAATGTTTTTATTAAATTCTTATTAAAAGTATTAAAATTCTTAAAAAAAATTAAAGAAGAAAATACTAATTTTATAAAATTAATTTCGACCTAATTTATAAACTTAATTTTAACCTAATTTTATAGAAAAGGTGCTACAATAATGTTATTTAAATATTTTTCACATTGAATCGATTAATTTTTTTAATTATTTCTTTATAGTAATAAATTAAAATTCAAAGTATTGTATTCAATTTATATTTAAAAATTTAATAGAGAGAAATTAAAATATAACTTTTTTTAAAAGAAGAAATTAACCCACCTTTTAATTGAGCAGGATTTTTTGTTCCAATTTAAAGGGAGAGGAGTCAGAAGAAAGTGTTGGAGTTTTTATAAGAGAAATGTCATTACTTTTAGATCAGCACGAACCTCCAGGATTTAGAGAAGAAATAGAAAAATTTGCACAAAGATCAAAGAGGCAAACTAAGCCAGTCCCAAAAGCAAGATTACGTCATAGCCCAGAACATGGAGAAAGGCGATTGCAATTTGATTAGTTAATATATCTCTAAAAATAAATAATTTTGTAAAATACAGCTAAAATATCCCATTTAATCAGATTTTGTAGTCTTCAAATTTAAATGTGGTTTTGATATGCCTTTTAAGAACTGTCTTAAAACTCGCACGACTCTTTATAACACAACGACTATTTTTTGCCTATTTTTTGGTTTATTTTTTTTGCCTATTGTTTACTCAATAATTATTGATCTTTTTTTGGTATATTTGCTTTAGAAATGATTCCATATTGACAATATTGAGGTGATTTAAGCATTTTTTTCTATTACTTTACAGAAGATATATTATAAAATTTTAGGCATTAAAACAATAGGTTAAAAAGAGGAAAAAAAAAAATATAGGCTAAAAAGTTAAGGTAAAAAAAATTGATCAAAATAAAATAGACCTAAAAAAAGTCTTTATTGTGCATGCACGTATGAAGTAATCCTTAAAACTTGGTCTCGGAATATTCTTAATGCAACCCTGACATCAGGAACCTTTTTTATTACAATTTCTTTTAGCAACGGAATGAGTTCATATAAGAAAGTATCTTCCAGTTCTCCATACCAGCTCTTTACTGTAATTCCATTTTCAATTTGGTTTTTAAAGTTGTCAGGTATGTTGTCAATAATTATTGTTTTTCTTAAGTCCCTCCCTAAACATTTTAAATCTTTTATGAATGCTGGGCCCATTAAATTGGTATGCTGCCTGTACAGTCTATGAGAAACAGCACTGCTAGTATCGATTTGCTCAATTGCCCAGTTTGCATAATCTGGCAATGCAGCTGTAAATATGACGATTTCATAGTAATTTTTCATTTCATTCAAAAATTCAACACTCCCTGGACGAACTAATAGAATTCCATTCGGGCCTGAGTCAGCATAATGGACCAATGTTTCATCCAGGTCGATTACAAGTGTATATCCTGGGCTAGCCATTGGCGGTAAATAAGGAATTTCGCTTTTAGGTGATGAAGGGCTCTGAACTGAGAAACTTTGGACATTATCAGCCAGAGAATTAAAAATTTTTTTTACTTTCGAAATAGTCATCTGCTCTAAGTTGTCAGTTATTAATTTCACGTAATCTTTGGCTTCTCCATCTATTATAGCAGCAATATTTTGTAGTAGTTTATAAATTATTTCTGTATGCTGTTTTAGAAAGCCTGTGATGCTTCCATTTTTTATAACATCTACTTGCTTCTCTTCAATTCTTTGGTTTAAGAGGCGGATCCATGTATTGTTGCTTCCTGAGTCTATATAACGGAGAAGCATCAATTTTATAAGTATTAGATAGTTTTGATGGACATAAAAGAATAAATTTCGAAACTCCTGCATCAAATCATTAGGCAATTCTTTTCCAAAGCAAAATCGAGATATTCCGATAGACGTTTTTTCTAGAACATTTGCCTGCTTTATAAGGCTCTTCATTCTCTTTTCACCAAAAAGAAACTCCAGTTTATTAATTGGGTCATCTTCATTCATTAATCAATACTCATCACAAGGAAACTTCGCTGCCACATTCTTTCTTGCTCTCATTAATTAATAATGAACACTTTTATGAATGCAATTAATTTAGTCAGCACTTCTAATAATAGAAATTATTTATTTTTTTAACAATTTTTTAGGCCTCGCAAACATAAATAGACTGATATTGCATTATTTTTTAACTAAAAATATTAAAAATAGATCATGCAGAAGGTTTTCCTAATTATTATTGGAGAATTTAGCATATCTAAAATCTCTCATAATTTATCTTCAATAACCAATGTGAATTTGATGTTAACTGTAACTGGCTTATTACACAATTCTGCCTTACGTATTAAATCGTTTTCGTCCTCTAATTTTGGTAAACTTAAATTCCTTGATTTGATTTGATTTAGGTTCTGTTCAAAAGACTGAGAAACCTTGCGGCCTGATTTAATTATAGAGGATGCTTGATGTTTTGCTGATTTCATATAATATGAATAACTATTTAATTATGTAAAAGATAAATTATGATATAAAAAATTAAAGCATTATATTTGCATTGAACAGTCCTTCAAAATTTTAGATAAGTCTGCATCGATATTAAGATGCTGATTTCAACTGAAAAGAATATAATATTGGAAATTATTTTACTATGCTGGAGTTTCCTTAAACTATTTATGAATATTAAATAATTCCCTTTTTGACTTTTTCTAACTCCCAGTGTTTCCGTAAGCAAAATAGTCATTGGAAAAATCCTACTTTTTGAGGGAAGCCTGCCCTATATGGACCAGCCTAAGCTTTTTATAAAAAAATATGTTAGCATAATAAGCGATAATTTTTAAATGATACCTTCTGCTGATTCTATTCAATTAAATAGCTTCATTCTAAAACATAATTTTATTATAAATTAATTAATTTTACGAATTTCGTTTTTTAATCTTCATATTATATTTTTAATAAAAAAATTTAAACCCTGTATTGAGCAAAACATTTTCTCGCTGAGGGAGAGTAAGCAAGTTAAAACATGTCTGCCATAAGGAAAAGTTTTCAAAGCTGCAGAATGTTCAGTAACTTTCAAGATCAGCTGGGCTTGCAACTCCCCTCTTGCCATTTCTAATGTCTTTTGTATGACAAAATTCGCGAATTTATCAGTCATAAGTTCAAATACATGCTCTGGAGCAAATAATTCTTTTGAAAATGCTCGAATATGTTCAGGGTTTCCAGCACTCAAACATTTTTCAATAACATTGCTGGCGAATTTATGCTTACTAAGTTCATATAGTCTTCCACTAAAAGCCATAATCAGCTGCGATTTAATTGAAGCTTCTTCTTTATCAAGAATATGCTGGATGACATAATTTCCATAGTTCTTTTTACTAATATCTACAGCATTCCTAATAATAGCATTTAGAATGTCCATGATTGCTTCTTTTGGACAAAATTCGATGATTCTCTGTATAACTCTGCAGCCATAAGGATGCTCTGTCCAGTAAATAGTATTTAGTCTTAAGTCATCAACAATAAAACTCATATAAGGATACGGCAAAGTTTCAACACATTTCTGAACAACATGGTTCGCATTTTGGTCTTCTACGCACTTTTCAACATGTCCTCTAAGCTCATGAGCCAGATATCTTTTTTGGTCTACTTCTACGACTTCTAAAGCCTTCTGAATTACTCTGCATCCATACATGTGAGTAGATAGCTCAATTACTCTGCCAGACATTAAATTAGCAATTGCTCTTCTTTGCTCTAGATTCCCAAATTCTAAAACCTTCTGGACGACATAATTTCCAAAGACGTCTACAAGTAATCCGAACCCTGCTCTGAATACTTCTTCAAAAATCATTTGTTTGTCTTCTGGTATCGCTGTTTCCATCTTTTGCTGAAGATATTCTTTTCTTATTTGAATAAGCGCCTTATTAATTATAAAAAATTTATTTAATGAAAATGAGTATATCTTGATCCTGCCTGCTCTCTTGCCATTTCTGCGACACGGCCACGTATTTCAGCCAATTCGCTGCGCTTTGGAGGAGACGGGATTGCTTGAAAGCCTCCTGGAACGAATTCAGCTGCTGCTAAGTTTAGTGATGGCCCATAAGATGATTGAATAGACTTCCCGATGTCTTCTTTTACGGTAAGCCCAGCTAAGTCATTTGTAACTTTTTGTATTGAATACTGCGGCTCTTTTTCTGGCCAAAACACTTGTGGAAATGGCAGATATACTGATGGAGCAGATGTTCAGGGTAAATTTTGGATTAGTTTATGTGGTTGGAATTGGAGATGGTTGGCAACGTCCTTCGACCCGAGATCAAGCTCTTTCCAGGGACCAAGAATAGACCCCTCGGCCTTATAGATTAAGCGATTAAACTGGCCTTAAGAGGATAACCCACTAGCCTTTGACTCATCTTGGCTCCAAAACAGCCTCCTCCCTCACCCCTTGAGGCAAAATAGGGAAATAAAGGTTGAATCTTAAATTTCCGGCCTGAACTACCTGTCCAAGAGATTAGCTTCACAGGGCAGAGCTACCTTCTGCAGAGTGCTCCGATGATTCCTACAGGGAAATTATCTGATAGGCGAAACTTATCTAGCCCATCTGGCAAGGATAGGAAAACCTTCGGGGAGAAATAAAACTTCCCTCTTCGGCAAAGGCATCCTCAAACCTGAAGGCCTACTTCAAAAAAAACAGAGGCCTGTTTTCCTTGGAGTCCAATTTTCATTAACGTCAAAATTTATTTCTCCCTGGGCCTTATGGATTAGTTCTTTTTCTTATAGCTGCTAAGAATCCATACTTTGACCAAACACTCTCATGGCAGGGCTTCAAAAATCCATAATCTGCCACTCACAATAGAGCAGTCAATGTATATCTGGTTGCAATGAGGAGCTTGAAAAAAAAAATGTCTCTAACTTTACATAGCATTAATAGCTAGAGGAGATGAAGGTAGTGCACGCGAATTACTAGGAATCATTGGGATCAAATGCAGGGAATCTCCTAGGGGTGCCAAACGGACGAATCTTGTGGGGTCCTTGATTATTGCATTGCTATCAGTAATTTAAATTAATTTAAGATAGAGCAGATGTTGGTCTTTCAATGAGCTGCTCAAGTTCGTCTTTATTAAGAAGAACGTGGCGTTTAGTTGTTGTGAACCGCTTGAATTGTTCTTCGTCTGAATCATTGTCTTCAGCCAGAATATTTCCAATAAGTTTGATTTCGTTCATATCTACAGCTATTTATATCAATATATGAAAAATCCATTTTCACTATCACTTTAATTCAGCTCATAAAAAAAATCATAATTTGACCAATATACTACCTGCAATTTCTTAAGCAGAAATAGATCTTTAAAGTTTTAATCTTGGTTTCAAAAAATAAGGCGTTTCAATTTATTAATAAATCCATAATTAGACATAAAAGATAGCACGAGCATATAAAATGGAAGCAAAGTCATTTCTTAAAGCAGACAAAAGCTTATCTAAGCTATACTGATTGCCCGATGATGGCGCTCAATGCGCCATCATCGGGCAACGTCTTTTAAGGGTCCACGTGTGGAACCCTTTTCCATTGTGGACCCCTTTTCTATTGTGGACCCCTTTCCATTGTGGACCCTGAAAAAAATGTTGCCCGATGATGGCGCATTGAGCGCCATCATCCGGCAATTTCTATAACTCAATGGGGGGAAAAAAATTATTTGAGAATTTCTTGCTTTTTGGATAAATATGTCTATAAATATTTTTACTATTAAGCTCCAATTTATAAGCAACATTAAAAATAAATGATTACTTTTAAATGTAATAATATTTAGCTATGATCAGAACATGAAGAATTCAAAGATTCTTCCGTTGGATCCTTCCGCGCAACAGTAGTTGACCCTCTTCTGAGAGGAACCCATTTACTTGCAAGATTAACATACTCTGATGGGTTTTCATGTCTAATAACTGTCCTAACTCGGTTTCGGTGCCTTTCTGACTTATACTCCCATGCCCTCATATTTACTTTCAACTGCTCCACACAATTTGTTGAAATATACGAAGACTGTAAAAACTGATTAAAAGCTTCATATAGCGGCAAAACAATATTTTTCAAGAACCCCGCTTGTGATTTAGCAATATCTGTTGTTTCCCTATCACAATACATAGAAATTGGCTGGCTTCTTGACTTTTCAATATCTCCCTGATTAAAGAATTCTTCAATGACCAAAAGGCTTCATCTCTCATGCAGCTCTCTTGACTTGGCTGCATGGCCGATATCTGCTGATTTTACCATAATCTTCATAACATCAATTCTATTTTCGAAATTTTCTAATACACTTGGAGGAGAGCTCATTAATTTGACTCGAAACTGCCCTAATAAATCAAAATGTTTTTGCATGTCAGTTGCAAGGATCATTTCGACGATTTCTTTTCTCACCATAATTCATGACTCAGCACTTAGCGTTCCTAATATATTTGCACCATTTTCTTTCATAACTTGGAATACAGTTGAACAGTGCATCATTTCCAGCACAGAGGCATCGTTATAAAGAATTGCCAGATCGTCTTTGTTGGTGACTAAGAATCTGTTGGAAAATGCAGGATGGCCGACATCATGGCCTAAGCATGCAACAATTGAAGCCAAAATGTCAAACTCCACAAAATACTCTGACAGTATCGATTTGTTAATAAAATAAATGGAAGATGCTAGCATGTCAGCAGCATGAGACGAGTTATGGAATGGATTACTCTTATATAGCCCCTCAAGTGTTTCGAAGAAGCAGGTATATACAGATTCTGGCATGTTAAACATTTCATCAAGGCGATATTTTTTAATGCAGTAGCTGCCGACAATGTGAAGAGGCTTATCGTGTGTGACATCCTTCAAGAAAAACATGTCAAAGTTCCAATTCTTTCCAATCTGGCTCAAAACCCCGATCAGGTCGTTTTCGTGGTACTCTTTTTGGAGGTCTGATGTGTTTAACGTTCTCATTCGGTGTCGAGTGCGCTTTTCGGGTAAATTTTGTTGATCTGTTCAAGTTTCTTTGATGTATCTACGATCTTCTGGGTCGATATTTTTTGTTATCGCATCAATATCTGGTGAGTATATGTTGCTTTTTGAAGAAATGATACTAATCACATTATTTGCTAATTTTACAGCCCCATTCAATTTAAATTTTAGCTCACCTGCCAAAGAGTCTGCCACGCTTTGAACGAGCGATATAGACTCTTTTATGCTTGAAGTCACTCTTTCAAAATCTTAACTTAAACTAAACTACTCGGTGTTTAAGATGTCTAGTGCTGCACCTTAGTAATAGGGATTTAGCTAAACTAGTGACTTCACGGAGCCATCTTGGAATCGCGGTGGCCAGCCCAACTGGCCAAGCCTTCTATCAACGCTTCGCCCCAGCCGCCGCACATCTCACCCAGCGCGTTACCGTTGCCTTTCCCTGACTCAGCTCCTATGCGCGTTCCGCCTAAGGGTGATCCTTCCGTGGGGATGTGCTGAGAGGTAAAACTCTGAGCCTCTTGAATGCACTGAGGAGCTGTTCTTTTGGTTATCCCCAAAGTTAAACAGCTATTGCTATGCAGAAGTTCTCGAGAGAAAGCCCAACCCCATAATAGAATTCCATGAGGGAGAGAAAATTAGCAAAGCTAATTTCTCTCGAACCGAATGCCATTTTATTTATCCACTCTTTCAAGCTCAGTTGTTGCTGGCTCGATATCATGGTTATCTGGTTCATTTGATTTTGAGATTTGCTCGACTTGAAACTGTTCCCTTGCTGAATGCTCAATCAGGTAAAATTTTTTGGTTTCAAAAAAGATTTGAACTAAATAAATTGCGAGCTCAATTAGTGTAGTTAAAATTGTTTGGTCTGAACAAATATGAGCAACGAAATATTATTAGTTAGATTGTTTGATAATAAAATGATATTTTATTTATCTCACAAGCACATTTAAAACTTAGGGCTCTTAAATAATGATTCTTTGGATTTAATAAAATTATGCATATATTAAAGCTGTAAATAAATTTCAGATTCCAAAGTACAAATAGTTGATATGAAGAGTGAATTTTGAAATGATGAGCATAATAATAAGCCCAGGGATACAGGAAACACCTTCTGATATATTGCAGTCCAAGATTTTGCTGACTTCTCCTCACTTTAAATTGGAATAAAAATCCTGCTTTAATTTATAAGAGGGTTAATTTTAATTTTTAGAATAAAATTAACAATTTATAAAAAGAATTTTTTAAAAAAAAATGTTTAAAATCTTAAAAAAAAATTAGTTGAGCAAAATACTTTGAATTTTAATTTATTTTTATAAATAATTAAATAAAAATTAATTGATTCAGCGGAAAACTGTTTAAATAGCATTCTAACTGCATTTTGGCTATTAATTTATGAAATTAATTTTATAAAAAATAAGTATTTTCATCGATAAAATTTTTCCGATTGACAAATTTTGTTCCAATTTAAAGAGGAATTAAGGACCTCCAATTTAGAGGGGGAGTAAGAACAGGAGCATCATTTAGAATGAGAAATAGTGCAGTAAAAAAATAAGTTACTTGAAGCACGAGGATATGCTGAATCCTAATTTTCAAGTAAAAGATGATCAAGAAGGCCAAAGAGTTGAAAGCAATCAAACCTCCAAATAAAGAAAGCTCAAAAGCTATAATAATTGATGTCTGATTGGAGCTAATTGCACAATAAAGGTAAACGATAAGATAAATGACACAAATCAAGTAGTAGTTTAAAAAAAAGTGCTTCTTTTGTATTTGAATTTCCAAAAAAGCTCTAACTCCTACCATTTAATAGCGGAAAAAACCCATTTAAAATTTTGAAGAGTTTTTAAGAGCACTTTCATACAAAAAATTAACTTTGTATTTATGGCTATAATTAAATTCATTTGACTAAATATCCAATCCTCGTAGATATTTTTTCTTGCAGACTTTTTTTAACGGCATTTGTCTGAAAAATGGTGATTTGCCAGGAGTAGAGTAAATAAATCCGATCCAGAGAGAACTGAAGTTTGGAAAGCCTTCTCTGTGACAGCATTAGAAAATTTCAAAGAAAATGCCTTGTCACCTCTAAAAGGTGTTTCTCCTGTGTATGTGTTAACTGACGCAACATGCAAGCCATCTTCATGGCTTGGAGATTGGCTTATTTTCATTTATAAGCTTAGCAATTTTCAGGCATTAAACATGATTAGAAAAGAGACCAATATTTCTGCTTTCATCATTTTACAGCTAGAAAATATGAATTTTACCTTAGAAAAATTGCTAATTAAAGTCTACTTTTATGAATAATTATGAAATAAAGAATTAAAAACGCATTACTTCATTCTATTATTGGTATTTATTAATTTCTCTCTTTCTTTAAAGTTCTTTGCATTCCATAAAAGTGTTTTTTTAAAAAATTCATTAAAGAATATAAGATCTATTTGATTTTCATCACCTACCAATTATGTGATAGCATCGGCAAGGAAGAATGCTTTGGCTTGTAAAATTAATGTTTCAATTAAAATCTTTCTTTCGTTATACTGGCTTCACATTTATAAAAAGGTTACATATTTCAAATTATTTAAAAAAAGATGGATATGTCTCGGTGCTATTATTTAAAGTCAGCTTAAAATTTGAAATAAAACTGGCATAACGCTACTAGAAATTGATGAAATGCTATAGTGCACAAAGGCTATACGCTCAGCTCAGAATTTTCAAGAAATTTCTAGCCATCTATGAAAATAAATCCCAAATACGAAATTGTGAAAAAATAAAATTTTAGTATCAAGACAAATAAGCTTTTTGCAAGTTTCATGGTATTACAAACAGATTAATCCCTAAATTTTTAAATTTGAAAAATGATGATAAATTTAAATTGAAAATATTATATTTAATAGGGCGTCTAGCTTAAACTAAAATTCATTTTTGGAGAGAATTGATTAAGAAATAAAATTATGCTTCGCAAATTAATAGCAATGTCATTTTATTTCATATCAGTTTTTTATAAATTTTTTTATTTCGATGTGAGCAAAAAATTGAGAGAAAAATAGTAAAGAGATTTAATTTTAAATTAATATGCAGTTTAGCAAAATTTTAGAAAGATAAAAAAATTATATGATCAAAGGACTTCAATGATTTTTTAGTTGATGCTCACTCTGTATTTTATAAGAATTTAAATCTAACACTCATCCGGAAGAACACTATAAGCATTAAATTTTTGACCTATTTCCTTAATTGCATACAACTTTTCAATTTCTTTGCTACCAAAGCTACCGACCCAACTTATACTAAAGCCGATATACTCATTTTCGTTAAAGTGAGTATAATCTATAATTAAATCATATACAGAACTGCTTAAAAAATTCATCTGTGAGCTTGTACAATTTCCAAAGCAATCCAGCAAAATGTTTTCATTAATATACACAGATATCTTGTCATTAATCGGTTGAACTACCGAAATTGCTGCATTCGTCAGATCGCTTTGAGGAACAATTTTTGCTTTCCACAATGATGTTGATACTGTCCCGATTTTGTGATAATCCAAATCAAATGCCCCTAATTTATTTTGAATTTGGAACTCTGGAGCAATATTTAAATTTCCCAGTTTATCTCATATAGTTGCTTCTACTCCTCCTAATGCATAAGTAACATTAATTGTATAAAGTCCTCTGTCTGGGATACTAAACTTTGAAGTATAGCTCCCGTCTCCATTATCATTAGATAGCAAGTTTTTATAATATCTGGAAGAAACTGTAAAATCATTATTTGGAAAAAAACAATTTCCAGTAATTCCGGAGTAAATATCATCATGCTTTCTTATTTCCACAATAAAATAATATCCCCCTTCTGCCATTGGAGTAGACGAATTATAATAGGAAAATATATCAAGTTCTAATGTGTCGCTATTTTTAACTGTGTAGGGCATATAAAAATCAATGGGGTCATTATCTAAAAGCAAAATTGTTGATTGAGGATAAGGAGCATCTGGATCATCAAAGATTTCAACTGTAGCATAAGAATAAGTGTTGATTCCTTCATCGCTTCAAAAATACTCCAATATAGGAGTGTTCTGCACCGCTCCTAAAATAGCTCCTCCTGTTGGATTGTGCATGATCAATCTAAACTGTTTAGAGCTAGAGCTTTCATCAAAAGTATTGAAAATTGTGATTGCTGCAGTTTTGCTTGTCTCTCCCTGCAAAAATGTTATAGTTTTGTAATAATATTGATAATCTAAATACTTTTGTTGCTTAATATTGACAGAGCTTGCAGTTAGATCTTGAGTAATAATATCAACAGAAACTTTTCCAAGGCTTCCTCCAAGCCTGTTTAAAAGAATATCAACCTCTGAGTCGGTATCGACTACACTATAAGTCGGACTAGAAAATTCTATATATCCTCCAAAATCGCAAAAGCCTTCTCCAGAAGCCATTGCGGAATAAGGAAAATTACACTTGAAACATGTCGTGCTATTACATTTCAAGCAGCCAGGATGTAAATAGCTGCAAGATACACAGTCAATTCCGCTCGGGTAAAACCCCTCAACACATTTCAAACAAGAGCTTTTATCACATGAAGTACAATAAAGTCCGTATACATCAGCACAGTTAATATCATTACAATGCACGCTTAAAGTCAAATTTGCGGTGTAATATGGAGCATAGCATTCACACATATCAGGATTAATGCACCATCCATTAACACAAGTAACTGACTGGCATAATGGAGTATCACAAATGTCGCCTCCAAACCCAGTGTTACACTTACACACATTTGGGCTTATAGGGTAGCCATTCACACAAGCTGGATTGCTTAATGGCTCATCACAGCTTGAGCCTGTTCACAACGAAGAGCTGCATTTACAAACTTCTGGGGATATACAGACCCCATTTATGCAGCTTGAACAAATAGGAGTGTTGCAAGTAGTCCCTGTCCAGCCTGTTTGGCATGAACAATTGTCTCGACTAATGCAAGTTCCGTGTTTACATCCTGCAGAGCATATAGGAGATGCACAAGAAAACCCAGCTCAGCCGTCTTCACAGATGCAACATTGCCCATATGAGTATTTCATTGATGTGTCGGGGCATTGTGAGATTGTGTAGCAAGTCCCATGGTAGCATTCACTGCACCCTTGAGAATCTGTACAATTGTATCCTGAATATCCACACTCATAAGGGCATGTATTATTTAAATTTTCAATTGGCATTTGTGATGGAGTAGTTGAACTAGATGAATAATAACAGTTTTTAACGCAGGTTTTTCGGCAGCAGTCACCGCCATCATAGCTGCAGTCTTCGAAGTTGTTATAGCTATTGCATCTTCCATCTGTCTGAGCACTTGAAATGCATGAAGAAGGGCCTTTTCCTATAATTGTTGACTTGCTTGTGTAGTTGTCAAAGGGAAAAGGCAAATCGTTGTTAAAATAATTGATCCTTGAGAATCCTAAATAAAATAATTGAAAAAACAGGAAAGTGAACATTTAATTTATAATGATTATTGAGAAGATTTACCTATACAAACCATGATAGCTTTGTCGAAAACTTGTTTTAGGCCTTCTTGAGAGAGGGCGCTGCATGTGGCTCATGAGTGAAACCTCAGTTCATTGCAGAGAAGTTGAGCTCGATTATTGTGAGACACCAAAGAAAAATCTGTAGATTCAATGAGCATTAATCAGCTTGATCTTTCTGTGTCACTACTAAGATCACAGGAGCATGATTAGCATTGCTTTTTCGAAGTTCTGAATATCAATATGCCCCTACATTCTGAAAGCTAGACATCAAAACCATTGAGTAGCATACAAGAATTACATCAGAATTCTGGATAATGGAGCTTCTGAAATTCGTCCATTCTCTTTGTCCTGAAGTATCAAACTATTTAAAGTCAGCATTTCATCTCCCAGATAAGCGGCACATTGCAACTAGAAAAAGTTGTTGGCGTATATACGTCAATAAATGTGTTAGTGGAATGTGATGTAATCATGCAAGTTTTGCCGACACCTGAGTCCCCAAGCACTGCGCATTTAATTTCTCTTTTCATTATTGAAAATTAAAAGGTATATATAAATTAAAAATAATGAGCTAGAATAAAACTGAATTTCTTATGAAAATGCGTTAACATAAATGTCGTTTGATAGATTTAAATCAAAAATTTTGAATCCAACTTCTGCTGTGCTCAGGAGATTTATAGGGAACTCTGTGCAACTAATTTCTGGCTCAGTTAGAACCTCGTATCTTATTTTCTGACAAATTTCAAGTATAACTTCTAAAGTGATTAACGCTATAATTCCACCTCCAATGTCAAATTTATCAAAAGCACAATTTAAACAACTAGAAAATATAAAGCCAATTAGCTTTTTTGCACCAAAATCAAGCTTAGGAGCGGGATTATTTGATATTAAGACTGAATTAAAAATAAGCTCAGAATCTCCAGACTTAAAAGACTCACCTAAGCTAAAAACTGGTTTCAGAAGAAACTATAAAGGGGGGACTCTAACTTCATCCTCCCCATTTCGAAGAGAAAACTTTTATGGTCTCTATGAAGGAATTAAATTTATTTTTAATTTTTTACATAAAAATTAGATTTTAAAAAAAATTCAGAAAAGTAAAAATTTATTCTAAAAATTTAAGAGGCTTAAATATAATAGTATTATTGTAGATTTTATTATAATAATTACTAATTCTATATTGATACATTTATGAAAAAGACTTCATAATCAATAAATTTTGTTCGCCTTAGAAGCCAAGAGTAAGAAAATCTTCATATTTGACTGAAACAGTTGGAAGAGAAAGTAATGGCTCGAAGAGTTCATTTGAATTTTATAGTAGCTTCAAACAAGAAAACCGAGAAATAAATAAACAACAGAGTATTGATAGCTTTTCAAACCAAAATTACGGTAAGCGCAAAGAAACTTGCCGAAGCATCACTCCTATATACGAAGAAGCCTGCCCAAGCCCATACATTTTTTCTAATTCTAATTCAAGTATTTTCGGAGCAAGCACGCCTCTTTCATTATTCAATAAAGAATACCCTCAAGCAGACACTTATTCTCCTCAAATGAATTGGGGAATTCATGAAAATTATACTAGGGCTTCTGATTATAGGAATGAGACATGCGTTATTTTTTCAGGAAACAACCAGTGCTATAGTGCAGGATTTCACTCAGAAACAAGCACTAATCCCTCCAACGAAGAAATTCCTACAGATAATAACGATGACGGAGTGCAAAGAAAAAGATTCAAAGCTAGAAGGCTGCTTGCAAGATAATAATATTATTTCAAGTTTTATTCAAATGAATTCTTCAGTTTTATAGCTTCACTTATTGTATTTTGATCATACTTATCAGATTTCTATATACTTTTTTACCTCTATTATCGTCTGCAGATGCTTTACAATGTGGCATTCTTCTAAATGCCGCTTTATGTCCAGCTGTATGGTATCTTCATTGTCTAAAATTAAATCTAATATATTCAAAATAGTTTCAAACACAGTTGAGCTGTCATCTGACTTCAATAAGTGTACCAATAAGCTGCATCCTCCTTCTCTAACAAACAGTTTTTGCATATTTTGTCTTCCTACATATAGATTTCTACAGCACAGAGCAGCTGTGGATCTCAGTCCTTCCTTGCCATCTCTCATGTGTCTTATAAAGATCGGAAGTGCGTTTCTCTTAATCAAAGCTTCAGCAATGTCTGGGTTATTTTTTGACAAATAACTGAGTGTCAGAATTGAGGCCTCAAATTTGTATCTTTCCAGTGATGCTGCAAAGTTCAAGAGAAGTTCAAGGACTCGTGAGCTGAGCATTCCTTCATTAAATTTGGAATCTTTTAGTATGTCATTGTCTGAAGCAAAAATTCCAATCTGCATAGCAGTTAGAGCTCCTATGGTGCGTGGATTTTCTGCCCATGGATGAAGAAGGACTCCTGGTCAAACCTGGCTGGCTCTACTGGCTCTATCAGGCAGTAAGGCTCTGCTGGCTCTATATGGCAGTCTGGCAGTTCGGCTCTACTGGCTCTACCGGCTCTACCTGACAGTCTGTCTCTATGGCTCTACCTGGCAGTCTGGCAGTCTGGAAGTCTGGATCTACCTGGCAGTCTGGCAGTCTGGCAGTCAGGCTCTACTAGCTCTACCGGCTCTACCTGGCAGTATGGCTCTATGGCTCTACCTGGCAGCCTGGCAGTCTGGCAGTCCGGATCTATCTGGGTCTACTGGCTCTACCTGGCAGTAAGGCTCTATGGCTCTATGGCTCTATGGCTCTACCTGGCAATCTGGCAGTCCGGCAGTCTGGGACTATCTGGGTCTACTGACTAAGGCTCTACCAAAAACAAAATATTATTTACTACACCATCATTTTAAATCAAAATTTTAAAGATATTTATTAGCAATAGACTGAAAACAGTGAAATCATAATTAAAATATGGCGTCTTCGTCTAGATATGCCTCACAGCCATACATCCTCGACTCATATTTTAATTATATCTGGCAAGGTTTTTCTAGCCTTGAAAAGGACAGTAATGCTATGGTAATCAATTCTACAGGAGGCAGAGACTAGCCCAAGTCCAACTTCGAGACTGGTTTTTACCTCGAAGGAAAGGAGGGCTCAGATTTGGGAAAGAGCAACCCAGCAAGGTCTACAGGTAATACCTAGACCAATCGGGCAACTACCTAGCGTGAAACTGGGCGTTACGTCCCAAGATCTGGACTTCACTCTTTTGCCGAAAGGCTACCAGAAATTCCATTTTTTGGGATTTCGGAATGCCAATTTCGTATTCTCTCAGCCTCAGGAGGCCGCAAAAACCCATGGATGGAAATGCTAGGTAACCAATTCTGCAGGAGGCAAAGACTAGCCCAAGTCCAACTTCGAGACTGGTTCTTACCTTGAAGTAAAGGAGGGTTCAGATTTGGAAAGGGCAAGCCCAGGAAGATTTACAGATAATTCCTAGACCAATCGGGCAACTGCCTAGCGTGAAACTGGGCGTTACGTCCCAGGACCTGGATTTAACCCTTTTGCCGACAGTCTACCAGAAATTCCATTTTTTGGGATTTCAGAATGCCAACCTAATATTCCACAGCCTCAGCAGGCTGCACAAACCCATAGCCTGCCCACTCAAACACTGGAGCCTTTTACAAGAGGCAAGGAGGAGACTGGACGGAAGGAAGGTCGCAAAGCGGGTGAATCCCCAAGGGATCTTTGATGATTGCGTTAAAATAAAGGGCATGAGCCCGTCTATCGAATAAGATAATAAGATTCAGTCATAAGAGTTAAAATTTTATATTAGAATTGTTTTATGATTTATCTATAGTTATTAAAAAATTATAGCAGAACTGATTTTTTAATTTTAACATAATAGTATTTGCAATTAGTGAAGAGTCCTAGCTGGCTGCACCTTATTTTTATCTGAGCAAATGGCCTATAAAAGATATCTAAATTATAAAGCATGATTGGAATTTAATGAGTAGAGCCTTACTGCCAGGTAGAGCCAGTAGACCCAGGTAGAGCCAGACTGCCATATGGATCCAGTAGAGCCAGTAGAGCCGGTAGAGTCGGACTGCCATATAGGCCCAGGTAGAGCCAGTAGAGCCAGTAGAGTTAGACTGCCATATAGACCCAGTAGAGCCAGTAGTGCCATACTGCCAGACTTCCAGTAGACCCAGTAGAGCCTGGTAGAGCCTGGTAGAGCCGATAGAGCCAATAGAGCCGGACTGCCAGACTGCCAGATAGAGCCTTACTGCCAGATAGAGCCATAGAGCCTGATAGAGCCAGCCAGGTTTGACCAGACTCCTTCATCAAGGGTGAAAACTGTTTCGGAGCTGAGAAGTTTGGCAAGTTTATTGATATCTACAGATGCTCTGGCATTGTAAAATTCTCTATGTTACGTTTACTCTAGTTCTTCGTTAACCTTCCTGCTGTCAACTGACGTTACTCTGAAATTATTTCGATAATAGTTGTGAGCTGCTGTTTGGAAATTGCTGCTTATAGAGGAAAAGTAAGCTTTGTCAATTGTGTCAGGCTCCTCTTTTTTAGTTGGTGCATTTATGCTTTGTAAAGGCTTTTGGCTCTATTTAAAATTTACTCTGCCTTGGCAGCATCCCATTTTAGAAATACACTATTAGAAGAAGCTATATGGATGAGCTTTTATACGATAAATTGTTTCTAATAAATAACAACTGAAACATCAAGAAATATTTTAAAAGAATTCTATTATCTTATGTGTTCTTTGATGTTTTCTCCACTCAGAGTTTCGAGCTGAGTCAAAAGCATTTTAGCAATGTTTGTAACGGAGTCGTTTTCGTCTTCAAGTGCTTCTGAAACGAAAGGCATTATGTCAGGCAATAAGGTAAGGTATTCTTTGCCAAGAGTAAGGAGAATTTTGTTGACTGTTAGTAAAGAAACACAGCGAACCTCAGGGTTTTCGTTTCTTGAATTCAAAAGAATCTTATAATTGAAGCTTTGCCAAATTGCTTGGTCGTGGGTTTCAGTAATCAATGCATGAATGGCTGGTAAAACGTTGGCTTCTGTGTACTTCCTATATTTATTCTTAAGTCCAACCATCTTCAATTGATTTGAAAGCGAAACTGAAAGCTTGTCGTACCTATCAATAGTCAAAAACTTATCTTTATCATGAGCTGACAGCTTGGCCAGACACTGCAAAACAATTGAGTTGACTTCTAGATACAATTTTCCCTGATTTCTCTTTCTTTTCTTAGTCTCAATTTGGTAAGCCTCATATATTTTATTTAGCGTATCAATAATTACGTCAAATAAATAAGCATAATAGGAAACAAATAGGCTTTTCAGTTTATCAGTGAGGGCTCCAGTTATAGAAAATAAGGTCAAAAGTCTATGGAATGAATAGTCATCATCTTCAGCCTTCTCCAAGCACCAATCTGCTATTTCTGAAAATGCTGGCTTAAGTTGCTGGTTGGTTAAAGATAGAGAAAAAGATGAAAAGCTGTCACTTGTTGTGCTACTTAAGGCTTTTACTTGCTTCAAATCTAACTCATCTTTAAGCTTTTCTGGCAAAGTTATAGCATCTTTATAAAAAGCAAATAATGACTCTTTATATATTTCTGCATCTTGGGAGGTTATTTTTTCACCTAAAATTTTACTCATCTCTAACAGTCTAATAAGTCCATTGAAATTGTCTTTAAGCCAACCAAGCAGACTATTAAGGCAAACTATAATGATTCTAGGTGAAATATAAGTGGGCACAAGACTCAGTAACTCAGTAGTATCGAATTCTATAGAGCAAAGTTTAAAGATTAGCTCTTCTATATGTGGACTTAAGAAATCCCTAGCCCCTGACATCATATGTTTGATGCAAGAAAGTGCACACTCTATAACAACCTCATCATTTTCAGCAAGAATATTTAGAATCTGACTTAAATATGGCTCTATAAAAGGCAAAATATCAGAAGACTTAGCACTGAAAAAGACTGAAAAGCATAAGCTGCTTGAACTTCTGATTTCTGAACAAGTTGACTTGGTGAACTCAAGAATAGTTTTTCCATAAAGTTCTAAGAACTGATTAGGATTTTCATAGGATTTCAGCAGATTATAGGTTGCTAATATAGTAAGCTGCAAATAAACAGCTTTTGAGTCGTATTTTTCTTTATGCAGTGCTGATGCTTTGTCTGTGTAGAGTTCAAGAATCGCACAAAGTATTGGAATTAAAGAGTGAAATTTGTTGTGGTTTGAAAGTTCTAGTCTTTTTAGAAGAAATTCAAGGGCTTCTTTTTTGACGTCAATATTTGCTCTTTTTTCTGGTTTTTCAAGGATTAATAATAAAGACTTGGAAAGGGTCTCATTATCAAGTGCTCTGTTAATGCTTTCTAGCAGTTTTAAAAGCTGCTTTTTAACTGATTTTGATTGAGAAATCAGTTTTTTATCTCCAGATCCTATGATTTCTTCAGATTTATGCTTAAGTGTGAACAGACTGTACAAGAACTCGCTTAAAAGCTGCGATGATTTTTCTTTCTTTTTGGGAATCAAGCTTAAGAATTCCTTTGCGTTGAATTCTAAGTCAAAGAGATCTAAGACTTTAAAATCATTGGTTTTTTTGACTTTTTCGAGCTCAAGACTTGAAATAAGCGCATTGAACGAGCTCAGAATTTCTTCTAGCGTAAATCTTGATAAGAATTCTTGAGTGATAAACAAATCTTCAATTGTTTGGCATAAATAAGAGACTGCAAGATGCAAATGTGTGTGGCCTCCAATTCTGATGATATCTTCAAGCTCATTAATATCAAATGGGATTACTTCAAAAAAGTTAATCAGCTGTGAAACTAGCGTGGAAACTGAAAGATCAGTATCTACTAAGGAAGGGACTAAAGCTCTTAAAGCTGCTTTAAAAAGGGTAAATTCATCAGCAGCGTTTTCTTTGCTGGAACTCATAAATAAGGACTCCATTGCAATAAGAACTTCTGCGGGCTTTGTAGCTGCAAATCCAGCAAGTGTGTGTAAAGCTTGCTGCTTAGTTTGCATATTAAATTCAATTTCATTTCTGAAGCTGCTTACTCCATCTCCCATGAATGAACAAAAAATTTTAATTTTGTAATTAATAATTATAAATAAATTTTATGGTAATTGGAAAGCAAATTAATTAATTTATAAAATTTGTGCTTTAAGGTGAAAGAGATTTCGTTATAATAATTATCACTTTATATATATAAATATTTTCCATAAAAAATTTTTTGTTCACTCACGGAGAGTGGCTTTTACCCTAAAAATAAGGATTTCCCAATGATTTGTTTCGCTAATGAAGTGTAGGGAGTTAGAATAATATTCAAGTGCTCCCCTTTAAGCTCAAATTTTCGCTCAGAAGCAAGATGAATTTTCAATGCCAATAAGACAAGCTGCTTTAGATATTCATTTTCTGAAGTTTGGATGCTTTCGTTTATTTTATGAAGCAGGCTAAATAGGCTTTCTATAAGCACTGGAGAGCTTTGTGTGTGCTTGTATTGGACTATTTCAAGTAGTGGCTCGATTTTTTCAATATCTGCATTTTTGATGGCTTGTGATAAAAGACTTGCATCAATTGGCAGATTGTCAATAAGTTCGTGAACTGCGATAGAGTGAGTGCTGGATAGTCCAGGTAGGATTTTTGTTAAAGTAAAAAATAAATTTACTTTTAATTCTTGCGAAAGATTGCGGAACGTCTCAGGAGTAACGATTTTGAGTGCAGCCAATCTCAGCCTTGCTTTTTCAAAAAGTGAAAGAAAAACACTTTCATGCTGGAAATTTCCCCAGTTTTTATATTCACATAACCTGTCAGCTACCTCAGCAAGCTCCTCATCAGACTTTGCAGCTTCTAGAAACACTTCTGTCAAATGATCACTTTTAATTTTTTTGTGGATGCTCAAATATCTTGCTCTATCATAAGCAACTTGATTAAATCCGACACTAATTAGATCAATGACTTCATTTTGCATCACTTTGGCAACTGCATGCTCAATATAATTTGAATCTTGAGAGATCCCTGCTTTATATTTTAATAGCCTCTTAAGCATTTTTTTTATTAATGAAGAATGCTCCTCAAATTGTTTAAAATCTGAACGTTCTTCTATTTCAATCTCAATCTCAATTTTAGGGAGTTGCTTTAGCAAGAATTGTTCAAGCGCTACAATTGCTGCATTTCGATATATGGAATCTCTCCCCATACTTAATATAATGTATGGATATGTCTGGAGAAAAGAGTTAAATTGGCCAGAATTAGCAGCGATGCACACTGCAAGATGGAGGGACTCTGGGCATTTTTCTGAAATTTCTAGTAAGATTTGTAAGCTGTATTTACCAAAATGCTTGGTTAAGAGTCCTTTGCATAGCTCAGAACCTCTTGGAATAAGATAAATGACCAAACACTTCATCAGTTCTACAGCTTCTTTACGAACTTGCTCTGACTTTATATTTCTTGCTATAGGGCATGCTCTAATTACAGCTTCAAAAATATCAGTTGCATTGTTATCCATTTCAATAAGCTTTTGTACTATTAAATAGCTGCTTGAAATTATTTCTTTTGTTAAAAATTCTCGTTTTTTCTCTAGTTCTTCAATAATTTCAGGCACTAAGCCTAGTATCACTTGGCAGTCCAAAAGTTCAGCAACAGACGTATAAATATCACACCAATGCTGAGAAAGCCACTGTTTTAAATAAATGCTTAAGTCTTGGCCTTGGTATCCTTTCAATATTTGATGATGTTTTGCATTCGAAGCAGCATTATGGCAAAGATCTCTTAACTCTGGCTTATCATAAGCGAGAAAGATCAGTTTAAGATGCTCTGAACTGATTGCTATATGAGGTGCAATTTCTACAGTGAGAATTGTGAACAGCTTTCTCAAAAGAGGGGTATATTGGGCCTCATATGAAATAAATTGTGTAAATCTTTTCAGGATCACTGGATAAAGACTTTCTGGGTCTACTTTAGACAATTCACTCCTCCCTTTGAAATTAGAACAATTTTTTTTTTCAATATGAAAATTTTATAGGTAAAAATACCATTTTTAGAAAATTAATTTTTGCCTAATTTTTTTAATGGAAAAAGTGCAAGTAGAATATTCTTAAATAGATTTTACACTGAAAAGACTAATTTTTTGAATTAATTCTTTTTAAAATATTTAAAATTTAAAGATATTGCATTCAATTTATATCATTTTAATTTGTAAATTTTTTTTAAAATTAATCCCCCTTTAAATTGGAATAGGATATCTTGTTCCAATCTATAGGGGTAGGAAGTCAGGAACTGAGACTGCCTCTAATAAAATTTCTACATCATCTTCACTTGATAGCATTCCTAGAAGCACTTGATAGTATTTCGAAGCTTGTGAATTTATTTGGGATAGAGAGTGAAGTCTGATTTCGCGAGATGGGTGTCTCAATGCTAATACAAGTGGGAGGTCTGAGCTGGGATCATATGGCATTCCACTTAAGCCTTTAGAAATTAAGTCATAAAGCATTGTTTTGCTTTCTCCACCTGGATGTGAAGCACAAACTTCTTTGACTATTTTTGGAATAATCTCCAAAACCTGGTCTCCATATCTTTGCCATAAATTTGCTAAAACTTTAATAAACCCACTTTTCACCTTATCTCTTACTCCCCTCCGCAAGCTATCAAAAATTTCGCTGGATAATGGAGCTGATTGATTTTTTTAAAAAGAGTTTTATATTTATTTATTATTTTTGTTGTTTAGTTTAAAAATTTTTAAAATTTAAAGTTAGATTAATTTAGTTTATAATGTGTTTTAGAATGCAAGCTGTTTAAAGTTAAATAAAATAGTTATAGATTGCGCTATGATAATTGTCACTTACTATATATAATAAAAAAAAATATATATAAAAAAATTTTGCTCGCTGATGTAGGGGTTTTCTAAAATTCAGGGATGTTTCCGTGCTTATGACGATAAGTTAGCTCTTTTTTGACATTCAAGTACTGCATTAGTAATGAGTTAAGAATAGCTTCAATTCCAGCTTTCGAATAATTCACTGTAGAGCAAAGCTGAAAAGTCAGCTCATTAACTTTATCTTTTCCTAAATTATTAATGAATTTTTTTTCAACAGCTTTAACTATCTGTGTGATATCATGCTTTTGGCTTACATTTGCAAGAGCTTTGAGAATCTCTTCGCTGTAAAATAGATCAATGATGTTTTTTGGTAAACTTTGGGTCTTATGTATATGCATCAGAAGCGAAATTGTAGCTAAACCTTGCTCGATTTCAGGGCCAGCAGTTTTAAGAATGTCGATGAATAATGCTTGCAAATAATGAGGAGAAAAGTTTTGTCTTAATGAAATTCTGACAGCTAAAGAATAGCCTAGCACTTTTTCCTCCTTAGATCCACTTAATACTTCTGAAAGAAACGGCAGCAAAATGTAAAGCAAAGAGTTGCTTAACGTGCTTATTTTGTGAATCACATCCAAACAAACTACTCCTGCAAATCTCATGTGTATTTGTGAGAGCTTCATTTTCCCTATTATCACCTCCAGCAGTGATAAGTCTTGCATACTTTTTTTTACGATATCACTCCTTAGCATAATATATCCTTGCTGCTGGTGTCTTATCATAAATTCCCATTGGCTTCCTTGAAGCTTACAAAGCATTATCATGCGAGTGAAAAATTTTGTGTCATGATAAGGCAAAAAGCTGGAAAGAAGCTCATCTCTTTGGTATTGATGGACTTTGTAAAATCTAACCAGCAATTCAAGAATTTTATGGCAGGATGGGTTAAGGAAATGGGGAGCAAGCAAATGGATGACCTTTGTTAGCTCTTCATCTAGCTTAGATATTTGCGATTTTGTGAGATTATCTCTGTGCAAGTGGGCATTTGCAAAATCTTCTTGGAAAACATCTGAATAGAATGATAAAAATGTGTGGTCAATGCGACGTATTTCTTCTAAACCATTCATTCCGATCATAAATATCGTGTCTCTGTCTATTTTGCTTGCGTCTTTTAAGTCAAAAAGAAAAGAAGGCTGAGATCCTGATGGTAAAGTCACTTGACGTAGCTGCTCTAGTTGTCTAGAAAGCTCAGTCATATTTATATTATAGGGGTTTTCCCTATATGGCCCGATAAGGGCCATGGGTTCTCCGCGCGAAATCCCTCTGTTGGTCAAACCAACTCAGTGCGTTGATAACCAATTCACTGGTTGGTTCAACCAGCAGAGGGATTCCACGGAGAACCCACGGCCCTTATCGGGCTATGTAGAGGAAACACCTATAAATTTTTATGCGGATATATATAGATAATTTTCTAAGATAAAGGGAAATGCTGAAACTCTTTCTATTTACAGTGATAAGCACCTTTTCATTGGCATGGGACTATAAGAACGGAGGGAGCGATTGAACTGATACATGCTTATATGGAACTAGCCAATCTCCTATAGATCTTAAAGCCCAATCGACAACTGCAATTAATATAACCTCAAGTTCCATCAGTCAATTGAAACTGGTATATAAATCACACCCTGAAAGCGGGACTTTTAAAGATCAAACATATACTATTGATGGAAATTTTTTGAATTTAACCGAAATACTCGAAAGTGTAACAATCTTCATGAGATCACAATCATTTTCCTTCCATGCTCCATCAGAGCACACATTAAATGGTTACCAATTCGATCTTGAGCTGCAGATTTTATCAACCAATACTCCTGGATACATTTATAATCAGCAGACTGCTGTTTTTTTCAGGCTTGGAGAAGATGATAATTCTTTTATTGATAAAGTTATAAGAGCTTATGGCAAGACTACAGAGATTGATTTATCCGATTTATTTGGAGGAAGAAGCTCATTAAATCATTTTTACAGCTATAAAGGATCAGTTACATCTCCTCCATGCACTGAAGATGTGACATGGTACATATGGGCTGAAATTCAAGAAATCAGCTTGAGCCAACTTTCATTCTTTACAGACCAATGGGCTGGAAATCAAAATTTTGCTGGAGGCAGAGGGAATAATCGAAAAATCCAAAACTTGAATAAAAGAACGATAACTCTTTATGAAGGTGCAGATGACTCTGGTAAAAATTTGTTCTATTTTTCAGTTCTTTTCTTTGCGCTACTTTATTAAGCATTTTCTATTAAGATATTTAAACTTATTTCAAGTGCATGTGTCTTATTTTATATTATAGAATTTATTATCCTGAGTTTTGTGCTTTCGTCTGCAGACATCTCTGAGATAATTTCTTTTAGACATTTCTTTTCTTGGCCTGACATAAATTTCATGTTTTTTATGAAGCCAGAAGTATTGGACAGTTCGATAATAAATTGAGTTAGCCATTCGCTATCATTTTTGGCGTTTTGATATATAGCTTTGATTATCTTGCTAAGCACATCGGGGTTCATTGGTTTATTTTTGTAGATCAAGCTAATTTCTTCTATTGGAAAATTCTATATAGAAAATACGTGTATATAATTATAAATTTGGAAGCAATCCGACCGAAATGAGTTGATGCTACCTTCAAATTCTGAAGAGCTTATTCTTCTAGGATTATTGCGCCTTGAAGACTCTTTTTCAGCCATTTCCAGAGCATCATCAACAAATTTCTTTTGGCTTTGAGAAAAATTGTTGCTCTGCTTATGTATTGCTTTTGTTTCTTCAATTTCATTTTTACTGTTTTTTGTTTTTACCTCAACTTTTGGCTTTGCATCATCAATTTTAATATCTTCTTTGGCAGCCTGGGACTTTTTCTTACTCCTCAAACTTTCAAAAATTTGAAAGAAATAATTGAATTGATTAACTTGAGAGATTATATAGCTTAGATCGCTGAGAAAAAATACCTAAAGAGGTAAATTTATCAATCTGACAATTCAAAATGAAAATAGCACTGTCAATGCTCTGACAAGTACAGATATAATTTGACAAATTTTATTTATATAGGTTCTGCTTGCCAAGCCAAATATGAATTTGCCATGATAATAGCATTTTAATTTTCAGTCTGACGTTTCAGATCGCTAATTTACCTCTTTAGGTATTGTTCTAGAACGATCCAAACAAATTAAAGAGTTATATTGGAATAAAAAATTATATATAAAAATTTGTATATAAAATAAATTTTTCCTTGCAAATATATGTCTTAGTTTCCCAAAATGTTAATTTTCTAATAGTTTTGATATAGGGAGTTAGATTCAATTGCTAAATTCAAATAATTTTCAAAATCATTTTTTGCAACTAAATTAGAAGGCTCAAATTCCATTACTTTTTTCATATGTTTTGCAGCATTCCCATAGTCTCCAGTATTTCCTTCTGCTTTTCCTAATCTATAATAGGCTTTTGCATTTAAAGGATCAATATCCAGGACACGTTGCGTATCATGCATTACTTTATTTCAAGAATCCAGTTTTGTATATACCAAAGCTCTATTGTTAAGCAAGTTAACTAAAAGGGTTGATAATCTTTTATCTTCTATAATTATTTCCTGGCTTGTGTTTTTCTCTAATATTTCAATTGCCCCAGAAAATTCGATTATTGCCCCTTCCAATTGGCCCTTTTTAAACAGCTGATTTCCTCCCTCTTTCATTTTTTCAATTTGATTGATAAGTGACTCTTTATCCAGAAGTTCTTTCATGTTTTCATTTTCAACAATTTCTTTTGTAACATTTAAAACTCTTTGCAGAGCTTCTTGAATTTTAGGATCATCTGGGCTCAATTCAGATGCTTTTTTAAAATCTTCAAATGAGTCAATAAAATTATTCAGCCTTTCCAAGGAAAGTCCTCTATTTAAGTATGCTTCAAGTTTTAGATTTTCATAAGCATATTTTGAATTGATAACTAGATTTAAGCATTCAATTTCCTTTTTATAGTCCCCAAGCTTGCAGTAGCACGATGCAATGCTATAGGCATATCCTGTAAATAGCCGGATATGGGCTAGGGATAAAGGCCAAAACTTCCCCCAAAATGGATTGGTCGGATCAAGTGGGAAATTTGGTCTCTATCCCTAGCCCATATTGGGCTATTTACAGGATATGCCTATAGTATAAAATTTGCATTTTTCTTTGCTCAATGAATAAATATCCTTCGGAGTCAAATTAATCAAATCATGAAGAGTATCCTCATAAAGATGCTTGGCTTCTTCATATTTTCCTTCACTAAACAAGTTTTCAGCCTTTTTTTCTTGTTCATGACAAATTTGAAGTATTTGATTGATAAATGCATCATCATCAAATTCTTCAATTTTTATCTCATAATTTAAAACATCTTCGATTTTTGTTTCAGTAAGCTCGCTGGGTTTCTCATCTTTTTTAATTTTAATTTTTGAAAGTTCTTCCATGCATATTTGCAAGTCATTTTGTATTTCGCTATTGTTTGGCTCAATCTTTAAAGCAGATCCAAAGTCTTTAGATGCCTTGCTATATTCTTTTAAAGCAAGATAAGCTTTTCCTCTCCTGACATAGGCTTTGGCATAATTAGACTTAAAATGAATGGCTTTATCGCAGTCTTCTATAGCATTCTCATACTTTTTTGATTTTAAGTATGCTAGAGCTCGATTGCAAAAAATAGCTGGATTGGTAGGCTGGTAATATTCAGCAATATTGTAACAATCTATAGCATTTTCATAATCTCCTGAACGCAAAAACTCATTTCCTTTTTCTTTTTCTTCTTCAGACTGCTTAAGATTTATGTCTGCAATAGTCACATCTTTGCTTTCTACCATTTTATTTAAGGCTAACTCATAATTAAATATGACATCATTTTCAGATTTATATAAAATTATAACTATAAGCACCTATTAATTTAATATCGTTTGAGGGGTGGGGCTAGATCCCATATTTCTAAAAAAATCATATACAATTTTCCCCATATTTTTTTGCTCAGGAGTTAATATTTGCTTGCTTTCTTGACCGAATAGTTCTTCAAAATAATGTAAGAAAATATTTTTGTCCCTATTGCAAAATTTATATAATAAAGTATAAAATATCTTATTTTATATATACCTAATCCGAATAAATAGAACGTTCCTACTGGAATCTGTCATCCTATTTTCAATAATAAATAGATAATTACTAATCAGTAGGAATGCTTTATATATCTTAATTAAGTGTGGTTTTTTTTTTAGAATGTTTTTAATCCCTACCCTTAATTAACAATCATGAGTCTATGATCGAGTTTTGGGAAGTTAGGGTTTGTTTTGATAGAGTCAAGCCATCCTATAAAATCTTTGAAATTTTGCTGATAAACCTAAATACAAACTACAGCTTTTTCAGAAAAAAGATGAATTAATTGTAAGTTCCCAATATCTTGGCCAAGCTCCTTTTCAGACAGATCTTCTGGTCGAAGATTTATTAAAAATCTGTTACTCTTGTAATAAACTTCTATATAAACTATTTGGAACTTTTTCTTCGTAACAGATACTCCTAAAACCCTAACATAAGAATGTTTAGATTCAATAAACGTCCCTCTAAAGCATCTCACTTCCATAGGAACATATAGCGGAATTATTTCTTTTAACTTCTCAAGAGTTCGAGCAGCTTTAAACTCACCTGTATAATCAAAAATCTTTACCTTATTATCTTTAAACCTAATATACAGAAAATGGTTATGGACGTACAACCCGTCCTCTCGTGTGAAAGCTACCAATGCATATCTTGGTATGGTTTTTGGAGCAAGGAGTTGGCCCAGCGATATTTGGCACCTGAGGTGAGCACAGAAGTGCAGTTTTGGGCCTGATCCAATAGGCAGTTACTTGGAGGAGGTCCCTCAAACAAAGAGTCCCTTAGATGAGGCTTTTAACGAAGTTGTTCATAATTCACTCTTGGAAGTAGGGACATTTAGCATGCTATGTAATATGATGTAATAAATGTAATCTTTAAACTGTTTATTTTTGGCATCGGCTTTTTAGTCGAATCTTCACAATCCTTACCATTAGAAGGCTTAAAAGTGCATGCTTCAAATAAATTTTCAGTATTTCCCATGATATATATATTAATACAGAACAAAATAATAGCAATAACAAAGCTCATTAAGCATACTTATATTAAATTATTCCTTTTAATTTTAAGATGCGTGATATAAATATAGTCGTTACTAATGTTAATTTTCTTATTAATTGTTTCAGTTTGGGCACGCTCATACCCGCTTTATACATGGGTTCAGATTACACACATGGAAGGATTAGTCCCTTTACCTAGAGGAGGCCACACAATGTCAACGATTGGTAGGGTTTTGTACATTTTTGGAGGATGTGATGTCACTATGCAATGCTTTAATGACCTGCATAGTTTTAATACGGAAACTTTCACTTGGTCAAGGCTGAACTCAACAGGAGACCGTCCAAGCAAGAGAGGTGGCCACTCAGCTGTGGTATTGGGCACACGAATAATCATTTTTGGAGGATCTTCACAAAGTCTGGACTATAATGATCTTTATGAGTACGACGCAGTTAATGACCACTGGAAAAATTTATTGCCTGAAGGAGAACGGCCTTCTGGGAGGACTAATCATGCTGCAGGGGTTGATGCAGATGGAAACATGATCGTTTTTGGAGGCTACAACTCAAGAGGTTATTTAAACGATGTGTGGCTATATTCTCCTTCAAATAATGTGTGGATTACTTATCAGACCTCAGGAGATGCACCAACACCAAGAGAATTGCTGTCTATGAATATTGTCCTGAAGCAGGCTTATACTTTTGGTGGATTCCATGAAGGAGGAGTTAGCTCAGAAATGTATATGCTTGATGCTGAGCTAATGGTATGGCAGCAGCTTAAAGATGATGGATACATCCCAGAGCCAAGAGAAGGCCATGCTGCAGTCAGAATTGGAGATTTTCTATTTTTAATTGGAGGCTGCGACTATGGGCTTACTACTTGCTATAATGACGTGTATGTACTTGATTTATTGACTTTATGATGGACAAAACTTGAACATAAAGAATTCACCCCTCAGCCTGCACTTAAGGAGAGACACGCAGCTGCAAATGTGGGGGAAAACATTTATGTCTTTGGAGGGTGCTATTTGGGAAACCATTGCTTTAATGACCTCATGCTGATTAACACAGGACTTGAATGCCTTAATGACTGCAATGATAATGGAGTATGCAGAGGAGACATTTGTTTGTGTGATAAAGGATATATGGGAAATGAATGCGAAATCAAGCCAAAATGCTATGCAAATTGCCTTTACAGAGGACTATGCACAAGCTCTGCAAAGTGTGATTGCTACCCTGGATATAAAGGTGCTATCTGTGAATATGAATCAAATTGCATACGCTAAAATGGCGTGCGATCCAATCTACCCTCTGGTTCCTGTAGCTGGAATCGCACAAAATGCACAGGGATCTTGAGGAAGGTCGTCGTATGACGTTCGGAAATGTGTATCCGGCCGGAGTTTTCTTGGTTTGGTGAAGCGCAATGCCGGTTAGCCGACTGCAAGCTGTACTCTAATATCAGGTTTTTGCTTCAATTGGAGATGGATCCAGAAGTTGGAAATGGTTGCCAATGGCGTTCGTCTTGACCGAGCATGAAACCGGGGAATTACGAAAAAATTCAACCTTCTTTTGAATTTTTAATGGCGGGAAACTCTGACATATGGCATGGCGATGCGAGTCGCTTAACTAGGGCGCGAGTAAAAGCCTCTTCCAGCAGGAGCAGTCTTTATAAGGATGTTTAAACTTAATAACTAATTTGTGAATATGAATCAAATTGCCCTAATAATTGCACAAGCATTCTAAATGGAGTTTGTCAGCCAAATGGTGAGTGTCTCTGCAATCTTGGATATTCTGGGCCTTCTTGCACTTGCGACTGTGTCAATGGAGTTTGCCATGATGGAGGCTGCATATGTGAAGCAGGATGGAGGGGGTCAATTTGCAATATTAAAATAGAAGAAGAGTCTCAATCAGTATCGGAAGAAAGCCAAAGTGACACTCAAGAAGAAACTAATAGTACAGAGGAAGCAAGTGAAGCTCAAGATAATTCAACTGAATCAAGTAATGATGAAAATTCCACTGAAACAAGCTCTGGAGTTTTCATACAAAAACTTCTAGTAAGCAATCCGAGTAATAATTCACCAGTATTTACACAAATGAGCATTAAATCGGAAATACCTTTATCAAGAGAATAGAAATGAAATGGTGACGTTAACGGAAATTTGACTCCTAGGTGCACTCCCTGTGGAGCAGCAGGACCCAAACTGATGAAGCTGAAAATAGGCCTTCAGGCTTGGGGGAGCCCTGCTGAAGAGAAAAGTTTTTTTTTTTCACCATGGAGGTTTTTCTGTCACTGCCAGATGGGCTAGACAGGTGGTCAACCACAGGTAGCAACCCTGCACCCCCACCCCCCCTAAAAGTTGTACCCCCCCCCCCCTAAAAAATGGCACCCCCACCCCCCTTTCACAGATGGCACCCCACCCCCCCCTTAATATAGCATAAATATATGACAAATGCCATTTAGAGCAGACGTAATAAATAAATTATTATTTTAAATATTTAAAATTACTGATTTATACAATATCCACATAGCGTAGCACAATCGATTAAGGAGTAGGTGGAATGAGGTGAGAATTTCCTATAACTACTAAGCACACCACATATGAAAATTTGTTAGCGAGCATAATAATGATCTTTTGTATTAATTAGCAATATATCCTGCATATATTTATGAACTTTGTGGAGCAATGGCTAAAAGTCGAATTAGAGATCCAAAAGTAAAACTGACAATAGCAAATGCTATTTCTATTACCACTATTGAATCCTGTTACCAATTCAGTCCTGCAATCCTTATACAATGGACAATAGATTAGCTTTAATGTATGAATCAATAAATTTAATGCAATTTATTGTGTTGTGCTTGGCTCATTTAATAATTAATGCCATTATCTATATCTTTGGCATTATATTTATAAATATAAAAAACAAATTTAATATATTTTCTAATTAATTGCTAATTAATTTAAATTTATTAATTAATCATAAATATAAAGTAATTTGTGGACTTAATTTATCAATATAGTGTTTTAATTGGGTTATATTTAATTTATTTTGCTTGTTTCCTATCAATTACTTCTATAGAATAAACCCGAGAGGGGGGGTGGGGGTGCCATCTGTGAAAGGGGGGGTGGGGGGTACCATTTTTAGGGGGGGTGGGGGTTCCCCTTATTGGGGGAGTGGGGTGTGGGGTTGCTACTTATGCTTGACCAGACAGGTTTTGCCCCACATGGTTTCCTTTGTCGGACCATCGGGAACTCTCTGCCTAGGAAGCTGATCCCTTGGACAGAAGGTTCAGACTGGAAATCTAAATGGCAGCCTTCCATTATTCGCATTCAAACTCTGAGTGGGATGGTGAATTCTATTTTTGGAGACAAGGCAAAAGTTAGTGAGCTTGCCCACTTATGACGGTTTAGCAATTTAATTTAATTTATCAAGCGAATGTGGAAATGATTGCAATGGAAACGGAAAGTGTATTAATCAAGAATGCTATTGCAATAGTGGATGGACTGGGAATCTTTGCAATACAAAAATTAGCAGTAAAGAGGGATATCCAATGATAATAGCTTCGATGCTCACTTTTGGCTTTATAATTGCTGGAGCCATCATTGGATTTTGCTATTTCGGGTGGAAAAAGATAGTCAGAGAACCTGAAGAATTTAACCTCATAAATTAATTTTATTATATATTATAACTCTCTCCTCCTAGATTTAGGAAACAAAATTTCTTCTTTTTTATAGAATTGGCACTTCGTGCAAATAAAAATTGCTTTATGTAAAAATATTTTGATATACAAGTAATTATTATAATGAAATCTTCTATTAACTTTAACAGCTTACATTCTAAAGAATAAATTTTATAAGAGTTTTGAATCTAAAAGAAAAATGAGCATGTCATGAACGAGAAATAAGCAAATTTGTATGCAATTAAATGAAACAGTTATTATTATGCTAATCACTAAAGATTTGGCTCTGATTGCGCCCTAGAATTAAAGGAGTTTTTTGTTGAAGTGGAATACCTTTCCATTCTTTGAGCCATGTCTGTTATAATATAATCATTCATGCTCTTTACATGCTCTAAATATGATTTTTGTTTTTTCATAGAAACCTTTGAAGTCTTCAAATTAGTTGGTGTACTTGTAAGACTGATAGTTTTTCCTTTTGGTAAATTATGTGTAGAGCTCGAACGGTGTGTAAGAAATCCGTCAACGATATTATACACATCAATATCTTGAACAACTGAAAGCTTTCGAGGCTTTTCAAGAGTTGCGCTATAATTAGAGGCCCTTCTAATATTGATAGTCGGTTGATTTTTAATAATATTATTAATTGGCTCTTCTTTCCTTTTATCCTTATCTGAACTTCTCCCAGACAAGGGCAGATGGCTCCCATTTTTCTTATGCTTTTCTGAACTTCTTCCAGACAATGGCAAAGCGTCCATTTTCATCATTTCGCATTTAGTCAGATGTGGAGAATAAAAATCTTCAGGTTCTAGCTGCTTGCCCAAAGTCTCATCCAACTTGTTGCCGACCCCAAACAGCTCCATTCACTGAGTTGGAAATGGATCGACTGTCATATAATGATCTTCTGGAATATAAGCATCATGATGCTTGTCTAAATTTACATTAATTCTATTACTCGGTACTTTTTTATCGAAGCTGAGCCCAATAATTAAAGTTAGCGAGCACATTTCTTTTCTGTCAAAATTAAACATATCCATTTGCCACTTTTCATAAAGAGCACTACCTAATTTCAAAGTTTCAGGAAATTTTGTGAGCACTTTCCCACTTGTTTGAGCTAGTAAAGAATCTTCGACTTTTGGGCCATTTGTAATTCTTATTTCCAATATGAAATTTTGGAAGAATTTTTTTAAGGTTTTATTGGGGCTATAAAATAGATAGTTAAGTCTCATGATATCTATTGGAGAAATCCCTTGCTCATCTTCATCAATTAGTATAGGAAAAGACACTGTGCTTCCAAAGAATAGAAAATGCATATATAAAGTGCCTTTAATAGTTGATTTTTCTATATCTCAGAGATTTATTGCATAGAAAAGTAGGCGGACTTGTATTAGTTCGCTTGGCAGAAAGGGAATTTGAGATATAGGCATTATATCGTCATCGTATGTCAGTTCTTTCATAGTGATATGAACAAACTCGGCAAGTGATTTTTGTGCGTCTATGAGCTCAAATTCACTTGAAATTAGAGTATAGCAGAGCTGGCAGATTCTGACACTTTGAGAAACGTGGCCAGTTGCATACACTTTTAAATGAGAAACGTCCAAAGGTAAATCAGATCTTAACGTAACATGATTTTTAAAAAGGAGCAAAACTCGTGATGAGACTAAGTTTGAAAGCTCATAGTTAGGATAGCTTAATCTGCATAATTTACAATGGACAAAACTCAATACGCCTTTTCTTTTCTCTTCATTAATAGGAAAATTCAACTTTTTTATATGCTGATCTTCATTTGCTAGGTGAGTTTCAGGTCAAAAGTCTTTTACAGGCTGCAAGCAAAATGCAAAAGTGCTTGGATCAATAATAATCCTTTTGCAGCTTATAAGTCATACCGTTCCATTTGAATCTCTAATAAAGTCAAGCACAATTTCTTGAACTCTGCAGTTGTATCCTTTATTTAAATAATGGATGATTTTTGAGGCTTCATTTTCGTAAGGAAGCAAGGCAGTCCCTGATTGTTTAAAAATTTCAATTTTTCTAGGTTTCGAAGTATTTACAGCACAAAGCTGTATATTATTCTGCATTTCAGCGTCTTCAAAGGTTAAACTGTTTATAAAATATGCAAAGTTGGCGCGGTTTGTTTTTTCATAAGCATAGTAATAAAGTCTAACAATGCTTGGCCTGCCACTTGCACATTTTATATACCTTTGCATCATAGCATAAGGAAGAGTTTCATTTGCGACCATTTTTAGCTCAAATTGAAGCCAGTCCATCATTGAAACGTTCATATCTTGTTCCTTTTCGCCTGGCATTCGTATAATTATTGCTATCGTATCAGTTACAGCTTCCTCTTCAGCAGGCTTATGCTTAGATACTGCATTTTGAAATAAATAGCAGTTAACATTTGTTGTGCATTGGACTTTCCCAGCCGAATTTGTATATAAGTAATAGATCTTGTCAGTATAATATAGCATTTCTGGGATATTAATGCTTAAAGTGTTTATTGAAGCTTTAGGTGCTCTCATTAAGCAGCTAAAAAATAGGAACCCGGGCTTTATATTGAGAGATTTGTAGTAGTCTTTTGAAGGAGGATCAAGATTAAGCTGCTCTTTAATCACTTTTATTTTATGCTTTTGCACTTTTTTTTCTTCTTGGGATAGAGAACGTAGAGCATTTCTTCTTTTAGTTTGATTTTTACTGTATTTTCAAAACAACTTCGGGTTTTCTAGGGCTCTTCGATGGTCCCAGCCAGACTTTTCTGTGTTCTCAAAATCATTGAAAGGGACAGGATTTTGCATTTATTATTCATACAGTACATTGGAAATTTTAACATATTCTGTTTACTATTAAATTTTTTTTTTTGAATGTGAAGTTATTTTTTCATTTTAATTATTTTTATATACCAAGAGGTTGTGTCTAATATTCCTAATTTCTATAAAATAATTCCATGGTTTTCAATATTATGATTTGAGTAGCGAATCATATAATATCAATAACTTTTATTTATCAATTTTTAAATTAAATCAATCAAAGCTTTCTAGTTGTCCTACATCTAGCTTATTCAAGGCATCCTTTAAAACATCAATATATTCTACTACTGCATGAAGCTGCTCTTCATTTAAATTATCCTCTGCTTCATAAATATTATTTTGTATAAACTCTTTGCATATTTCCCCTTTATCTATTTCTAAACACATATCTATTCAGCTTCTTCTTAGCTCGCGATATACTTTTCAATTGATTTCATTCTATCTTGACATTACTTCAAACATAAACACCCCTCAGTGCTTGTTAAAAAAGTCAACTTCTTTATTGAACAATTTATATTCCTTTCTGTTCACTGATTCAATATTTTTCCCAATCAAGCTAGCGTGAAGAAATAGAATATTAATTCTTGTATATGTTTTTTCTGCAGGCGGAATTATTTTGTAAAGCTCAGAGCAGAATGCGAAATCTCTTGTGTTTAATAGTAGTTGCTTGTATTTATTATTGTGCCATCTGAGCTTGAAATTGTTTCAGAAGTTGATCTTCTGATAATTAGTCACGTGAAATTCAGGCCTTGCTGCATTTTTTAAAAGTGACAATTTTGCAATCATTTATAAAATGATATAGTCCTTTTAATTTTATAATTTAATTATAAAAAGCATAATCCTCGCTCGTAATTTGTGCTTTCGTAAAGACAAAAAGTTTTAATAGGGTATATCATTTGAATTTATATTAAATAATTGCTAAACAAAAACGAATATGGACTGACTTCATGATGGAATCAGGCTATTTTGTAATAGTAGCCCAACTGAGCCAGTATGAAAATCAATTGCAGATTCTATAAACGTAAACAATCCCCGCAATGATTTCGAAATGATTGACGACTTTCTTTGCAATAAAACTTATTTAGCTGGAGAAGCTATCTCTTCAAATGACTTTTATGTTTGCTATAAATTGAAACAGATTCCAAAATTTTCTATGCCAAGCATCTATAGCTATTTGATTATTAATGGCCAATTATTCCTATTTTAAAAATAATAGCATTTTAAATCCGCTAAATATTTCATCAGATCTCATATCTTGAGTATAAAATATTATCAAGCCCCAATAGGCCTTTTCATTTATGTCGATGGTTTAGCCAAGTTAACTCAGTTTTCCCAGATGACTCTTTCAGTTACTTTGTGAAACAGAGGCAAAGAATTTCTAAATTGTTGATTGAAGCACTAAAAGAAAATGATATGAAGAAATTTTTCATGCACTTAGAAATGCTAAAACAAAATGAGCAATTCATTGGAGTCCTAGGGATCAAGCCTATCCATATAGCTTGTGAGCAAGAAAATTTAGCAGCCTTAGTCATGTTAGTAGAAAAAGGGGTTAGTATTGAGCTAGAAGATGACGAAGGATTAACGCCTATATTTTACACACTTAGAGGCCGCAATCTTGATATTTTTAACTATTTAATTTCAATTGGAGCAAATATCCATCATAAAGACAAACAAAATCGAAGTCTCTTTTATTTTGCTGTCAGCTCTATGAAATTCAGCTTTGTAAAAATATTGCTTGATTTAGGCTGCAATGTAAATAGCTCTACTACCCTAGGAAGCACACCACTAACACCTCCATTAGAGGTTTAATTGTTTTTCTCAATTTATATTATAAATATCTTTATTGAAAATTTGAAAGTAAAAAATAGTTTAATTACATTTTAGAATAAAAGCTAATTAATTGAATAGAGTTAGCTATAGATTTCATTTTAATAATCAGTATAAATATATCAAAATTCGCTTATAAAAATTATTTTGCTTGCTCACGAAGGGTTATTTTGCCACAAAAAGAAATTTTCCAATGATTTACTTACTTAGAGAGGGATTAAGCAAAGCTGCATGGAATGGGGATACTAAAATAGTTGAATTGCTGCTAAGTGTGAAAGGGATTGAAATTGATAAGCCAGATTCAAGGTTAAGAACTCCGCTTCACAACGCAGTTTGAGGATGCGCAAGCCGAAGACCAGGCACTCTCAGCTTAGCGGATAGCTCTGAATGTGCAAAACTTTTAATTGATGCAGGAGCTAGCATAGAAGCTCTTGATGATACTGGAAATAACCCTTTATGCATTGCTGCTTACTCTTGTGCGATAAATTCATTGGAGCTTTTGCTTGAGTATAATGCAAATAAATATCACTTCGGAAAAGACGGATATACACCTCTCCATCAAGCTTTAATAAGAAGCCATTTGAATTGTGCAAGCATACTAATCCAGAATGGAATAGATCCGAATTTAAGCTGCAAAGATGGAAGGAGTTGTCTTCAAGTAGCCATTGCTCATGAGCAAGAAAGATCTGTTATTTTTCTGCTTGACTTAGAAGAAGTTCAGCGATCACATATTGATGTTATTTTCTGTATAAGGCATGGATCTTCCAAAATTCTTGAATTACTAATAAATAGGATTGGAACTCCAGATGATTTTTTTGAAAAATGTATAACAGAAGGAAATGATGACTGCGCATTATGAGCAGTGAGGAACAAAAGTTCTTTAAGTTATCATGAATTTAAGTCAGTGGTAATGAGAAGCAAAGCGTTTTCAGAAATTGCTCTTCCAAGATGAGTAGGAAATATTAAACATGAAATACTTGAAAAGTTGCTTGATTATGACTTAGATATAGAAAAAATTTATCAAATAGTCAAGCCAACAAGAAAAACGCTTCAAATTGCGATAAATAAAGGCAAGGAAGAACTGGCAATGCACATTTTGTCATGCATCCCTGATCTATATATTGAAAAAGATTCAAAATCAGGAAGGACAGCTTTGCATTTTGCTGCAGAGAAAGGGCTATGCAATCTTGCTTCACACCTTGTAGGGCTATCAAATAATCCCTCAGAATATATCAATTTGCAAGATTCTCAAGGACTGAGCTCTATTATAATTGCCGAGCATCATGGGTATTGATATTTATCCGCATTTCTCAAAGATTTTCATAGCCAAAGCTCGAATAATAAAATTGTGAGTTACATCACTCAAATCGAGTATGAAGAGGTTTATGATCAAATCCCAACCTATCCGACCCCTTTATCTGAAATGAAAACAGCCTTTTATGAAATAAACATAAAATTGAGAGAATTAAACGAAACAGAGCTCATATGGGTTGATAACCAAATAGCATTCGAAGAAATGGCTTCGTATTTCAATAATATATCAGTGATTGGCGTCGATCTGGAATATTATTCTTTTGAGCCTCGTAAAGGATGCATTTCATTAATCCAGCTGTCAAGTGGAGAGAGGGATTTTGTGATTGATCCGTTTGTTAATAGAAGTAAAATAGCAGCATTTATGAAGGAGTTGATGATAGATTCAACTAAAACCAAAGCCCTTCATGGCGCAGACTCTGATCTTTTGTGATTGCAAAATGACTTCTTAGCCTATTCAGCTAACATTTTTGATACTGCTAGAGCTAGCAAGCTGATAACTGGAGAAAACGACTGTCCTTCATTAGCTTCATTGATATATGAATACTTAGGTCTAAAAATCGATAAATCTTTCCAAGTGTCAGATTGAAGAATCAGACCTTTACCTTCTCCAATGCTAAATTATGCACGAATTGACGCTCATTATCTGCCCTATCTCTACAATAGGCTAAAACCTCTGCTAAATCCTCAAAATCTCGAAGAATTTTTTTCCATATTAAATTCAATGTGCCATAAAAACCCTACAGGCAAACTTATAAGATTAAAAATCTTAAATTGTGGATAACAAAAACACCCTAAAAACAACAAAAAACACAATATTTCTAATATACACTATATAACAATTAATTTAAACATTCAAAAACATTGAAGGCGAAGGACTTCTTCGCCGATTTCTTTTCACATGACCATTCTTTGATGGTAAATTATTTTCAAAGTCACTACATGTACTTTCGTGCATAATATCTCCGTTATTTACATTGCACTCCAAAAAATAGCCTTTTTTTTCTAATATTGTAACAGTTGGAGGCTGAGCATCAAAACGTTGAATCTCGGCCTCTTCCTCGATTTTTGGGACTTTTCTAATAGGACTTTCATTGCTTCTTTTAGCCATAAGGCTTTTAAATCTATTTTTTACACTATTTTCAGTTCTTCCTTTTAATCCTCGTGCAATTTCGCATCATTTGTTGCCAATGAGGACTTGCTGATTAATTATATACAAATCTTCTTCTTCAGTTCATTCATTCTTATTTATAATAGGGTTTAGGCGGTTGAGCCATCTCTCTCTGCATTGTTTCCCATTTCGGATCTGCTTCTTCTGATATAACAAAGAATTTAACTCTTTGGCTATTTTCGACCAAGAATTGGGACCTCTCACTTCGATTATCTTCGAAAGAATAAGATCTTCAGTTTTGGTTCACTTGCCAAGTTTATGGCAAGAAATAGTCTTAGGTTGGTCAGGTTTGATCAGAGGAAGAAAAGTTGAAGACCCAGAATTTCATATACATGGGACATAAATTTTATGTCAAATTCATTTTAGTGAAAAACCCACAATTTCGATATATATCTTTAACAACTTTGAATCAAAATAATGTATAAATAATTAATGACATGAGACATAAAATGTATTACCTTCGATTCTCTCAAAATCTGCAATCTGGATTAGTTTAGATTCAAATTGGTTGCCAATATCCATTACTTTACTATTGATTTGATATAATCATAGATGGCAACAACTGTTGCAAAAAATAATATCTGATCCTATTTAATAGTAAATCTTAAAAAAAATTAAAATCTTCAATAAGATTAAGGATTCTCACTTATTTTTCGATCAGAAATAAGCAAATATGCTGAACTATTAATTTTCTGATGATCGGTCAAAATTTACAATTAATTAATTTCCTTATTCCTAATCCTTGATTGAGCAACCTGCAGGTTGCTATTTAAATTCTGTTTCATAAAAATAATTTGTGCGCAAGTGACAAGAGATAGATTAAGCAATAAATTTACTAAAATGCTAGTAATTTATTAGAATTACTTATCAAAACTATGCTGTAATATATCTAATACTCATATAGATGTTAGATTTTAAGATGGAACAAGAAGTGGGTTTCATGGTTGATTGGCCATATAAAAATTATTCGATCGACCTCGGAGTGGATTTTCCCGATTTTATTGGAAATGTTCGATCAAGGATGGGGGAGCTAGCCAAAAATTCGAATCAAATTAAAATGACTTATCAATGAACTTCTATCACAAGAATTTGCTTATCTCTTTACCAAGACTCTACTACAATGAAAAATATTGAAATAGATGAGAACTCAATAACAACTTCTGATTTTCGGGTGATTCTTAAGAAACTCAGGGTTGAGAATCGATTGGTTAAATTTATGATAAAAGAAATCAAAGATCTATTTAAATCGAACTTTTTGCACAGAAGATATATGGTTGTATTGCTTCATTTCTTAATTTCTGAAATGCCTTTTATTGACAAAGATAGTCTTATTGCCTTACTAAAGGAATCGAATGAAGAGATTGTAAATATCGTTCATAATAGCATCATTGACTTGTCTTATTTATCTGAGCACCAGATCTTTATGAGTCTTGTTAGCCAAACTGATATTTTAATAAAAGAAGCCTTAATTGGTATAGAAGACTTAGGTGCTCTGCAAACAAATTACATAAGAAAAATAAAACAGTATGATTAATTTTAGTCCTTATTTCCCCAAAATTAGTTTGGAAAAAGGAACTTATATCTCTTTAATTAGTGAAGAAAGGGCAAATTTTTTATATTTCTTGAAAAAATATTCCATCAATAATATTGATGGAAAATCAGTCTATATGTTCAAAGGAAATCTGTATATCTTTAAAGATTTGGCAGATCTAAATGAAATATCATATCCAGCAATTATTTTTTCAGCTGAAGCGCCTGAATCATTTGAAATGAACAGTGATTGTCTAAGGATTTCTTCATTGCCTCTAAAAATGCTCAATGATCTTGAAAACAGGGCAGGATTTTACGAAAATTTATTAATTGAAAGCTGGCTAGGTGCAATACAAAAAGAAGAATATCTTCCGAATATCACATATGGATTTGAGTGCTTTAGTAGCATTCAGAGTGAAAATGTTTTGCATGCACTTTTTAGATTTGATTCTTTTAATACATTTCTTATTTATGCCCCAACTGACCCTCAATTAGATCTCTTGAGTCTTAATCTGGCAAGATTTATTAGAAGGTATCAGAGAATAAAAGAGACAAGGCGCGCTGTTAGAGGAGGAGGGTGAATTCAAAAGCAAATATCTGAAAATATAAGAAACAGCTATTTATCAGGCGTATTTCAAAAAGTTGGAGAATTAGGATCTGGAAAAGAAGTGTGGGATGATATGGAAAGTCTGAGTTTTATGACAACGAAAAGCTTTGAAATTTTTTCGATCATAATAACTTTTATTTACTCCCCCCCCCCCCTCCGTGAGCGAACAAAATTTTTTTGTTCGCTCACGGAGGGGGGTTAATTTTTTTTTTTTAAAAAAAATTTATATATAAATTTTATATAAAAAATATTTTTTTCGAAATTTAAAAAAAAATCCTAATTTTGCAAAAATTGGGAAGCAAATATTAATTTAATTTGCAAAATTTATGTTTTAAAACGCAATTTGTTTAAAATTAAACAGAATTAGCTCTAGATTTCATTATACTAATTATCACTTATATATCAAAATTTTTTTTCCATTAAAATTTTTTCTATTAAAAAAATTTTTGTTCACTCACGGAGGGTGGGTTTTTGGTCAAAAAATGGCGATTTTTCTAATGGTTTTGTTCGCTCACGGAGGGGGGGGGGAGTTAGTATTTATCTTTCTTGGAATTCCCGATTATAACTCTAATCAATAAACAATTTATTCATAGATTATCTGAGATTGCCATTTAAATAGTGAGAAATGTTAGACCGGCTGCAAGACTTTAAAAACTTTAGAGATAACTCAAATGCTGAAATCCCATTAATTCCTAAACAAGAAGATGAAGGAGCAACTGGTCCTTTTATGCTTCATATTCGTAAAGCACAAGAATCCATTGATCGAGTTAGAGTCAATAATAATAACATTAGACAATTAAGAGAAGAGCTCAACAGAAGTGTTAGGACAGAGCAAGAAATCGAAATAAATAACAGACTCAAAGAAAACTTAAGAGAAAGCAATAAAGAGCTGAACGCAGTAAGAGATGTGATAGAAGGACTAAGCAAAGAAATTGATGAAGTACGGAGTCAAAATGATATTGAAAGCCGAATGAAGATAACAATGCATGCAACACTCGCGCGGCAATTTCAAGACGCATTGGCAGAAACTGAAAAAACAGAAGCTGCATTTTGGCAAGCAGCTCGAAATAAAACGTCAAACCAGCTTAGAATGGTTGATCAAAATATAGACGATGCCACTATTGAAAGATGTTTAGAAGACCCTGCTCAAGCCCAAATGATAGTTAATAAACAGATGATGGGTGCTCATCATGAAATCATATCAATGGTACACAATATAGAAGATAGGCTAGAAGACATAAAAATGCTTGAAAACAATGTGAACATTATGCATAGGATGTTTTTAGATATGGCAGCATTAGTCCATTCGCAAGGTGAAATTCTCAATAGTATTGAAACTCATGTAGAAAAAGCAACAGACTTTGTTAAAAAGGCAGAAAAAAATTTAACAGAAGCAAAAAGACATCAGGAAAAAACCAGGTGGAGGAAATGCTGCCTACTTGTGATAGCTTTGGTTATTCTTATTATTGTTGTTGTCCCAGCAACTACTGCAACTAAATTATAAATAAATATGAAATCAATTTATTCTCTATTGTAACTGTTTATAATCGATATAAAATGCTCCAAAACATGGAAAACGATCAATTCCTACAGGAAATTTTAGAAAACAACTACCACCAGCGCATACAACAGCTTAAATCACTTGTTGACTTGCAGGAAACTCAAAATAAAGGAAAAACACAAAAGGCTTATAAGTGCATTGTTGATTCAATAAATTTTGAGAGCGGCCAAAAGATTATAAGGCTATATAATAAAGATTTCGAGAGGCAAAAAAAAGCGAGCTATGTTTTAAGTCCAAGGCCTTTTAATTTTTACAATAACAAATTCAAGACATCAAGACTAAAAGAGCTTTATGGTTGCAACTTCAAATCACTTTTAAAGAAAGATAAAAAATGAAAAAGTTGCAAACCAAATCATGCTAAAGGTGAAAATGGATTTTTATTACAAATTTAATGTTTTAATTTTTAAAAATAAAATAAAATAGAGAGCCATGCTAATTTTTTGGACCAAGATAGCCCTCTGCACTTGCCTCCTATTTCAAAGTTTTTGAAATCCCCAGAAAATAAAAATCTGAAAAGATCTTCAGTGCAAAATTCTCCACGAAAATGTAATAATATGATATTTGGCAATAGAAGCAATATAGATTTACATGTGCAAGGTACAAGTCAAATACCTTTATATATTAATCGTGATAAAAGTAAGCATTTATATGATTGCTTTTGTGGTGATGATTTTAATCATCAATGCGAGGCCGGTGAAGAAAATTTTGGAGAATTGGAAGAAAATATAGATATTTAATTGATTTAATTAATATACAAAGCTTATGATATTCTATCTTTTTGAAGTAAAATTATATAAATGAGATTTAATTAATTATTATATAAGCAATGGGTTGCAGCAAGCTGGGGTATATTGATATTGACTCTCTTCAAACCTTTTTTTCTGAAATTTTGTGATAAAAGAAAATTTTCGTTTTCTTTATTTGAAGAGTCTTTTATTGCTTCAAATGGTGTGCTAGATTTAGATGGTAAAGTTAAAGCCAAATCTTCGGAGCATAGTAGATTGCTGCTATTTTCGTCTATTTTAGATGGCGCAATAATTGGCATTGAGTTTTTGATAGAATTAAAGACGAGGTTCTTTATAGGTTTAGAAATTCTTGTAACTATTGGTACCAAGATATCAATTCCTTCTTCAATAACAAGTCTTGTTTCCCATTTTTCTTTGATTCTTTCCAAGGAGTAGTTATAATAATTTTTTTCATGTTTCTCTAAAAACGATGATAATTTAGCTGATGCATCTGAGAATGCTTTTTCGTGTATTTTATAATCTTTAGGCTTTTCTTCTGTAATTAAAGGATCTTTATTAGGCCAAAGAGTGTATTGAATTTTAATGAATGAGTGCTGAATTCTTGATTTATAAGCGCCTTTCAAAAATGAAGATAGTTTTTTTGCTTTCATTCTTGAATAAACTTCACTTAATAAAGAAATAGCATGGTCTTTTACTTTTTTCACTTTACTTTCACATAGTATTCTATGGAACGAGGAAGAAAGTCGCGATTTTTTTAAGCTATTAAGAGTATAGCAAAGCATTGGGGATTTGCGATTAAATGAAAAACTTGCTTCAGTGCATGTTTGAAATGATGTATTTAGCGACTTAGGGTTTTTAATTTCTTTTTCTATGTGAGATATTAACTCATTTACAGAGTTTTCTTTTGCTTCATTCATTAAAATTTCTTTTGCCTCAAGCAAAGCAGCTTTCAATCTTTTATTTTGCTCATGCTCTGCAAATCACAGTCTCCGAAGGTCATGAACATGGTTAGCTAACAATCTGAGAGGTTGGCTTGAAAGGAGATCAGGGGTCTGATGCTTGTCCATTTACAATTTAAATTAGATACAATTTGAATTAATTCATAAGAAGTACCCATTATATATTTTCTCTAAGAAGCACAATTCTTCTTGCTTGATGGATTACCAATGCTTTGCTTGAGACTATCAGCTTAAATCTAATCATTTCAAAACTAAAATCATATAAAATTTCGAAATTAAAATCACATAAATTTCGAAATCATTATTTCAAAAGTTTATTCGATTAATTAATAATATTAATCAACAAAATTATTTCTTAATTGGCTATCTAATCTATATAGCAATAACTCTTATAAGTTTTCAATTTCCAGCTGCTCAAGTTCAACTCCAATTTCCCCAACAATTTCAATTCCTTCAATTTCTTTAATAATTGAATCGTCTTGATTTACATATTGTCCAATATTGGTTAAAATCTCCATTATGCCGCTTATATCTTCTTTCAATAATAGCGAGCTTACAATTTTTAATACAGCAACGCCAGTTTTAAATAAAACAACTGTGCCTTTATAAAAATACCAGTCCCATATCCTGCAAGCGATTTCGTTATTAAGGACTTTTGCATAAATTGTTATAAACCATTCAGGAATAAACGAATAAGTTTGAACTCCTTCTGACTCAAAATGGTCAAATAGCTCTGCAAGATTATGCCTAAAGATTGATCGGAATATTTGAACCCGTGTTTGGATTTCGGGCTCATCAAGTCTGTAAAATGGATTCAAAACTGGAGACGCCACAAGGCTGTTGAAAACAACAAAGGCTCGGTACACTTCAAGATTTAACAATAGGAGACCTGCCACATAGCTCATACCTTGAACATAGCCAATATCAGGCCTACATAATGTAAAGGCTCCTAATAAGTTGTTGAGTTCCTTGCTTAATGGGTGAGGCGGAAAAAAATACACTGTATTTTTTTCCTACAGTTTCCCACAGTCAAATTTGACATAAAATTTTCCAATTTTTTGAAACGATAGGAAAAAAATACATGGAAAAGACAAAACAAATTCGAAACCAGGGCGGAAAAAAATTCAACCCCTAAAAATGAAAAAAAACCGCATGAAAAAAATACACACAAAAAAAAAATATTAAATTACTAATATTTAAAAAGAAGCAAAGAAAATGTTTTATTAAATATGAATGACAATAGCAGTCATTGCATTTGCTATAAATTCGCATAATAGATAAAAAATAGATGCAAGAACTGTATCATATGCTTTATAGTAAAAAGTTTTCTGTGTTTTTTTTCCAAACCGCATGAAAAAACTACTATAAAAATTTGAAATACAGATCTTTAAGTCAAATAGAGTTAAAAAATAACGAAAAACAGTCCCAGCTTAAATTTCTCTTTAATAACGAGATTTTAAGAATAAAATTAATGCCTAAATGTTAAAGATCAGTTTAAATAAAAAAATTAAAAACAGAAGGAAAAAATTCAAAATTTTTTTTTCTAACTCCCCCCCCCCCCCCCCTCCCGTGAGCGAACAAAACCATTAGAAAAATCGCCATTTTTTGACCAAAAACCCACCCTCCGTGAGTGAACAAAAATTTTTTTAATAGAAAAAATTTTAATGGAAAAAAATTTTGATATATAAGTGATAATTAGTATAATGAAATCTAGAGCTAATTCTGTTTAATTTTAAACAAATTGCGTTTTAAAACATAAATTTTGCAAATTAAATTAATATTTGCTTCCCAATTTTTGCAAATTAGGATTTTTTTAAATTTCGAAAAAAATATATTTTATAAATTTATATATATAATTTTTTTTTAAAAAAAAAAAAATTAACCCCCCTCCGTGAGCGAACAAAATTTTTTTGTTCGCTCACGGAGGGGGGGGGGGGGGGAGTAAAAAAAAAACAGCATGAAAAAAATATCAGTAAAATTTTAACAGTCTAAATTTCGGCATGAAAAAATAATAATAGAAAAAATTTAGTAGGAAAAAAATACATATAAAATTTATATATTTTTTTTAAAATTTTTTAATTAAAAAAAATCCAAAATATTTAACTCCCCCCCAAATAAATAGCGGATGAAATCAATGTTTTTTTTCCCTAAAAATGGACTCTTAGGTACCATTTAATAACGGAAATTTTTTTACTATAAAAAATTTTTAAATTATATAAGATAATCGTTCATTATAAATTTACTAATATACATAAAATGGCGGATGACTTCCGACCCGTCCTCTTAAGACAGTTACCTGTGTATATCCGGGCATGGTTTTTGGAGCCAGGAATTGGCCCAGCTATGTCTTTGTACCTCAAAGCGAGAGGTCTAAGCGCAAAGATCGCTGTTTTTGTGACCAAGATCCTTGGGCAGTTATTCGTGACTCCTTTTTTCCAGCAGAGCCCAGCCTAGTGTGGTGTCAGAAATGAGGCAGGGCGACATACCTGCCTAAGCTGCTTTTGTGATTTGCCCCAAATGGCGAAAGCTGTTGAGTTCTTTCTCGGGATGACCGGAAAAGAGGGGAAGGCAAATTAGACGAGAGATCGGGGTTCTCCCCAATTAAAAGGTGCCCTTCAGTGGGCAGATTTGGCGACGTACGGACAGAGTTGACGCAAGATTCAGGGCGACGAATCAAGTTGGAAATGGAGGCGGTCAGTTGGTCATCACCTCTACCGAGAAACCGGGGTTTCGGACCGGGCTTGAAGCGGCCACGCCTTAGCCACCTTACGGGGTTATCTCCATAAAACGTCACGGCGGCAAAGTAGGGACTTAAAATACATAGCATCTTAACATAACATAACATAACATAACATAACATAACATAACATAACATAACATAACATGACATAACATAACATAACATGACATAACATAACATAACATAACATAACATAACATAACATAACATAACATAACATAACATAACATAACATAACATAACATAACATAACATAACATAACATAACATAACATAACATATAACATAACATAACATAACATAACATAACATAACATAACATAGCATAACATAACATAACATAACATAACATAACATAGCATAACATAATATAACATAACATAACAAAGCATAACATAAATTTACTAGAGCCAATGAAATAAAGATGGGAATATTTAAATAGAATTAATTTAAGCGCAAAGGTATTAAAAAATTATGAGAGCTAATAATATGCATCTGGCTTTCTTTTCTTTAAACCTTGATCTCCCCTTTTCAATTGATGAATGCCTTTTACTAATTCGCCGACACTTGACTTTGATATATTGAACTTGTAGGCTATATCTTCATATGAAAGACCTTCATTTTGATGATCCAGGTAGTATTGTGCAATAACTAGCTTATCACCAGCTGTTAGTCTTTTCTCTTTCTGGTTTCTCCATTCAACTCCATTTTATTAGATTTAGTGCTTCTCTTTTGACTTAAAAATGCATTTTTTTTCAGCCGTTTATAAAAAATTTTAAATAGAAAAATATTTATAAATATCGAACTTTTTTAATAGAGGACGATTTTTTCGTCCGCTATTAATTGGGGGGGAGTTAGAACCATCCAATAGACAATTAAAAGAAGAGTTGATCAGCTGGGCTTAAGCGCAGTGTAATCGACTCCAAACCAGAAGGAATAAAACTTAGAAATATAAATAATTAATCGTTTTATTATCAGTTATTATTACTAATCACACACAGTAGAGTTTGGATAACTCATCCTTAGATATTTTGGATTTTTTTAATTAAAAAATTTTAAAAAAAATATATAAATTTTATATGTATTTTTTTTTCCCTACTAAATTTTTTCTATTGTATTTTTTTCATGCCGAAATTTAGACTGTTAAAATTTTACTGATATTTTTTTCATGCTGTTTTTTTTTAGAAAAAAAATTTTGAATTTTTTTCCTTCTGTTTTTAATTTTTTTTTTAAACTGATCTTTTAACATTTAGCATTAATTTTATTCTTAAAATCTCGTTATTAAAGAGAAATTTAAGCTGGGACTGTTTTTCGTTATTTTTAACTCTATTTGACTTAAAGATCTGTATTTCAAATTTTTATAGTAGTTTTTTCATGCGGTTTGGAAAAAAACACAGAAAACTTTTTACTATAAAGCATATGATACAGTTCTTGCATCTATTTTTTATCTATTATGCGAATTTATAGCAAATGCAATGACTGCTATTGTCATTCATATATTTAATAAAACATTTTCTTTGCTTCTTTTTAAATATTAGTAATTTAATATTTTTTTTTATGTGTATTTTTTTCATGCGGTTTTTTTTCATTTTTAGGGGTTGAATTTTTTTCCGCCCTGGTTTCGAATTTGTTTTTCTTTTCCATGTATTTTTTTCCTATCGTTTCAAAAAAATGGGAAAATTTTATGTCAAATTTGACTGTGGGAAACTGTAGGAAAAAAATACAGTGTATATTTTTTTCCGCCTCACCCTTGCTTAATGGGCTCCCATCACAAAAATACCCAAGCTGGCTAAATGTTCGTGTTACATCTAGACTTATCAACATTAATGATTTTTCTTTTCCTACAAATTCATGCTCCTCTCTCATTGTTTCTTGAAATTTTATCGCTTTATCTACATTTATCTTGAAGTAGCTTTGAGAAATCCCTAAAGGATTTGGGAGCAGTCTAGCTCATACTTCGCCTCGCACCTTTGGTGGAATTCCTTTCATGCATAATTTTTCTACTTTGCTAGTCCTCCTCATTCTGTCTCAGAAAGGCAAAATGTCATTTTCTCATTTTCTCATTCTTTTCTGTATTTTGGCTTCCCTTCTGAGCTGCTGTTCTACTTTAAGCCTATTTTTTCTTTCTTTTTCTTTGACTCTTTGCAGATAAATCCTAGCTTGTTCTGCAATAAGTTTTTTCTGTAAGGCTAGCTCATATGGATCTTTTGGTGGAAGATTTGTCGGCCTAAAGGAGGTTTCTGTATCTAGATACAAGCCTTCAAGCCTATCAGAGCTTTCACTGGTGCTTATAAAGCTAAAAGAATAACTGTTATTTTCATACCTCCCTCGAATAATTATATATGTAGAGTCGGAGCCACATATAAGGTTTGCTTGATCAAAAGAATCTATTAAATGTAAACTAATAGGTTCTGGGACTAATGAATTTACACATGATCCGTTCCCCAATTGCCCTCTCGTTCCTAAGCCCATACAATGCATCATCCCATCATCACATAGAACAAATGTGTGAAAAGCACCACACGCTGCTTTTATAACTGCATTATTTGACAATGATAAGCATAAAGTTGGAATTACTGCATTAGATGTAGTCCCTAATCCAAGCTGGCCGTATCCATTAAACCCAAAAGTATACAACGCACCCGAAACTGAAACTAAAACAGAATGGAGATATCCACAGGCCACAATTACAATAGATTCTGATAAATTTTCAATCTTTACAGGCTCTTCACAGTACCCAGACCTTCCATTTCCAAGCCTCCCATCGGACGCAGATCCCCAGGAATAAACATCCCCATAAGTATCAAGTGCTAAGCTGTGATTATATCCACACGCAATTTGCTTTATTTCTTTTAAATTATTTAATTCTCTGATTTTCTGTTTTACAAGATCGCCGGCAATGTTGTAAACTTTGCCATGACTATCCAAAGCAATCAAGCTGTGCCTAGTGTGATCAATTGCCCTGACTTTATGAGCCAAGACAATTTCAAAATTTTTCTTCAATCCTTCGTTATCATGACTAAACACTCCAAGCCCGCCTGGCGACTTTAAAATCACTGTATTTTTGTTGTGTATCAAAACTTGTTTCGGTTGGACATCTTCGTCTTGCAATAATAATTGATTTGAGATATCTACTGAGGGCTTTCCCCAAGCATAAACTGCTTTTGAAGTCCACATTACAGAATGGTCTTTTTCTATGAAAATTCCTGAAGGGATTAGAGAAGTGTTGATTCTGATAGGGATTTGTGCGATTACGTCACCATGCAGGTGGCCCCAGCCCCATACATGCTCGATGCTGGAATTCATATTTAGAAAATTATTTAGCTAATAAATTATCTTTTTCCAAAACATTTTACAGTCTCTTTTTCTTGCTTATTGAAGAAAGAGTCCCAAATATTTGAAGATTCAGTCTTTTCTTGGGGCGACATCAAGAGGTAATTTTTTCTCCCTACAATTCCAAAGGATTTTGATCTTTTCTGCTCGTTTTTCTTTTTCCTGTAGCTTCTCAATGTTTCTTTATATTCTTCTATATTAACTTGGTCTGTGACGTCTTCCCCTCTTAGCGCTTTTTCAATTTCTTGTACCTTTGGGTCAGATATTTTTAAAAGTCCCAGCATTTCTTTCAATTTATGGTTTTCTCGGTTCAGCTGCTCAAATAAAGAAATATCTTCTTTGTCTTCGTCTTTTATATCAAAAGCGGCTTCTCTCATCACATCTAATAGTCCCATATATCTTTCTTTTAATCTGAGATGTGTTTGTAATAGATTTTGTTTTCGGGTTTTTTCTTTGGCAAGCTGCTGCTCAAGTAAGTCGATTCTGGTATTTTTTAGTTTTTCTACTTCAAGATCTCTTTTCATTTCGTTGTATTTAGTAATAAGGATTTCAAGCACAGCTTTGAAATCTCCGATGTCTTCGTGGAGCATTTTGTTGTCTTGCACAAGGTTTTCTATTAGAGATTTTTGAGCAGTAAGCTCTGTTAGGACTGGCTTGTGTTGGACAGACCCTGGACTGAATTTAAGTTGCATTGATTTTTATTAAAATGAAATATTAGAGAACACGGAAGTAAAATTTATAAGCCAAAATTCCTACTAGAAACCCAACTAAGCATACGAAAAATCCTCTTAACTGTGAATTCATAGCTCGTGCCTTTGATGAAATATAGCTTTTTTCGGGTATTTGCGTTGAAAGCGACGAGGTTTGGGATTGACGGCGAAGCCTATTTCCTATACAAAACGGATTTTACGGCGCAAGAAGAAAATACTGAGTACCTTAACTAGGTCGATAAATGTTAGATTTGCTTTTTTTAAACCACTAAAGTGTTATAAGATTCCTTTGTCGTAATTACCTGCTGCTTGAGAAAGCAAGAACTTTGTTACTTTTACCTCCTGGCCCGTTTGAGATTGGTGTGTTGATTCCATTTTATTAAAATTTTGACAAACCTCAATTTTTTAGCTAGCTATTTTAAAATTGAAATATTAAATATGGAATCTGACAACACACTCATTACTGTGAACCAAATTCCTCTAATTTTACGATTTGTGAATTCAAATTCAAGTATGATTATGTTTAATCAATCCTGATCTATTCGGCCTTATTCAAATCCAAAATAACAGAATCTGATTGTCAAGTTTATCTCAAAGTGAAATGTTTAGCTCAACAGAATTTACTCTTAAAATAAAAAGAAGTATTGAGCTATTAATCGAAATTTTATTAAGTGCAAAACGCGGAAAGCAGATTCTAGCAGCCCTACAAGTGCTCATGCTCCAGTAGCAATTTGAAGAAAAATATCCAGTAGATTTTAGAGATAAATGCATTTTAAGATGGTGGTGTATATTGGATCTGGATAAATGGTACATGAAAAAAAATTTCAGCTAAAGAAAAAGTGCGAAACGCGGAAAGCAGATTCGAGCAGTCCTACAAGTGCTCATGCTCCTGTTGTAGTTTGAAGTAAAATCTTCGGTAGAATTTAGAGAAAAATATATTTCAAGATGGCGTAAGTCAAGATGAGAGTAAATACAAAATGGTTCATGAAAAAACCCTTCAGCTAAGAAAAAAGTGCAAAACGCGGAAAGCAGATTCTAGCAGCCCTACAAATGCTCATGCTCCAGTAGCAATTTGAAGGATAATCTCCAGCAGATTTTAGAAAACAATGTATTTCAAGATGGTGATGTATATTGGATCTGGATAAATGGTACATGAAACTAACTTTTCAGTGAAGAAAAAGTGCGAAATGCGGAAAGCAGATTCTAGAACCCTACAAGTGCTCATGCTCCTGCAGCAATTTGAAGGAAAATATCAAGTAGAATTTAGAGAACAATGCATTTCAAGATGGTGTAAGTCAAGATGAAGTACATAAAAAAATGGCACATGAAACGAACTTTTCAGCTAACTCCCCCCCCCCCCTCCGTGAGCGAACAAAAAAATTTTGTTCGCTCACGGAGGGGGGTTAATTTTTTTTTTTAAAAAAAAAATTATATATATAAATTTTATAAAAAATATTTTTTTCGAAATTTAAAAAAAATCCTAATTTGCAAAAATTGGGAAGCAAATATTAATTTAATTTGCAAAATTTATGTTTTAAAAACGCAATTTGTTTAAAATTAAACAGAATTAGCTCTAGATTTCATTATACTAATTATCACTTATATATCAAAATTTTTTTCCATTAAAATTTTTTCTATTAAAAAAATTTTTTGTTCACTCACGGAGGGTGGGTTTTTGGTCAAAAAATGGCGATTTTTCTAATGGTTTTGTTCGCTCACGGAGGGGGGGGGGGGGGGTAGTAAGCAAAAGTGCGAAACGCGGAAAGCAGATTCGAGCAGCCCTGCAAGTGCTCATGCTCCAGTAGCAATTTTAAGAAAAATCTCCAGTAGAATTTAGAAAAAAATGTATTTCAAGATGGTGTAAGTCAAGATGAAATACATAAAAAAATGGCACATGAAACGAACTTTTCAGCTAAGTAAAAGTGCGAAACGCGGAAAGCAGATTCTAGAAGCCCTACAAGTGTTCATTCTCCAGTAGCATTTTGAAGAAAAATCTCCAGTATAATTTAGAGAAAAATGCATTTCAAGATGGTGGAAGTCAAGATGCGAGCCCATACAAAATGGTTCATGAAAAACCTTTTCAGCTAAGAAAAAGTGCGAAACGCAGAAAGCAGATTCAAGCAGCCCTACAAGTGCTCATGTTCCTGTTGTAATTTGAAGGAAAATCTCCGGTAGAATTTAGAAGTGCAAAACGCGGAAAGCAAGATTTTACTATCTCTACAAGTACTCATGCTCCAGTTATAATTTGAAGAAAAATCTCCAGTAGAATTTAGAGAAAAATAAAATGCAAGATGGTAGTGCATATGCAAGATGGTAGTGCATATGCAAGATGGTGCAAGAAAATGTAAGTGCATACAAAATGGTACATGAAACGAACTTCTCAGTTAAGAAAAAGTGCGAAACGCGGAAAGTGCATTTTAGTTGTCCTACAAGTGCTCATGTTCCGGTTGTAGTTTAAAGAAAAATGTTGAGTAGACTTTGGAGAAAAATAAAAAAAAATAACATAATTAAAATTAAAAAATAACACTTTAAAGAAAGAATAAAAACCTTGAGAAAGAAAAATTGAGTCTTTTAGCTCAATGATTCCTCTAATATTAAAGACATAGCTTCAGAAGGAGTTTTATCTCCATGGGTTAAAATTTAATAAGTAGCCCCCAAAATAATTAATATTTCAATTTAAAATGACATGTTAAAAAATTTAGGTTTGTCAAAATTTTAATAAAATGGAATCAACACACCAATCCCAAGCAAGCCAGGAGGCAAAAGTGACAAAGGTCTTGCTTTCTCAAGCAGAAGGGAATCACCACAAAGGAATCTTATGTGCACTTAGCTCATATCAGATACTTCCTTCCCGATATCTTTCTATACTCTACTAAGTATGTTTCTTCTTGTGCCATTCGACCCGTTTTGTATAGGAAATAGGCTTCGCCGTCAATTCCAAACTTCATCGCTTTCAACGCAAATACCCGAAAAAAGCTATATTATTTCCAATTATTTCTGACTGTTTAAGTTCAAATTCACTCTTCACAGATTGAGCTGACCTAATTTTTTGCTTATAGTAATTCTTCCTAGACTCATAATCATTTACATGGTCGGAGCTTGGGCTTAAAGACATAAAAGATCTTTTATTTCTTGATCGATAAGGCTCATTAGGGGACTCTTCACTTTCTATATCTTCTAGGGTTGGGGTTTCTGGCTTTGTTACAAAATCCTCTACCTCTGGTCTTTTTTTCCGCAAAGTTTGCTTCTTAATTTGTGTTTCTTCTTCTTTTTGTGCTAACAGCCTGCTGATTTCTTGGTATCTTTCTCTTTCTTTTCTCTCCAAATCTATCAGTGCTTCAAGTTCTTTTAGCTTCAGCTCTTTCTCTTCAGCGAGCTGGTTCATTTCATTTTGCTTGTCTCTCACAATTTTCATTTCTTGCTCATACTCTGCTTCTTGCTGCTTTAGGACTGCTTCTTGGGCTTCTAGCATCTCAGATAGATGCTTGGCTTCTTTTTCTTTGATACTGATGGTTTCCAAATCTTTTTCCAAAAAATAATTATTCATTTTGACTTCTTCTTCTAATTGCTGAAGCTTTATTTTTTTTTCTTCGATAATTCTAATTAGTTCATGGGTTTCTTCTTGGTTTCTTTCTTCCTCTAAATGCTTTTGCTTCAAAATTTCTTCTTTCTTTTCTAATTCTTGGGTTAAAAATGCATCTTTTTCTTTCAGCTGTTCGATTTCTCTTTTTAGGTCTTCTATTTCTTGGTCATCTTTTTTGAAGTCATAGGACTCACAAGTCTCGTTTAACTTTTTTATGTCTTCCTTAATGGTTTCTATATGTTCTTTTATTTGTTTATTTAATGCTTGCTGCTCTAAAATCTGCCTATCAATGTTTTCTTTTTCTGTGTCGTATTGCTTGATTTCTAACAGCTCTTCTTTTTCATCAATGTCTGGAGTTAGAAAAGGGTTGTTCTGGCCTGAACGAGATATTCTAGTTATGTAATCGGTCATATTAAAATATATAATTTATTAAAACTCGATATCCCAGTTCATAGGAACTGAGGATTTTGATTTGCCTGCATGGATTGGAGTCTCGACTGAAATTTCGTCTCGCAGTATAGTATCTAAAAAGTTCTTTTTCGATTTAAATGCTTTCGCAGCTTCAGATGTCAAAGATCGAAGCTTCGGGACATATGGAGGGGAAATTCCTCTCGAAAACATTACTTCCCACTTAAACCCAGCTAAAAATTTGTGTTTTTTAAGCTTAGAAATGCTTCCGCCAGTTCTTGACGCTCCTTTGACACTTAAAAGTTGTGTAATAATTGACTTTAAATGTGTTGTGTGCTTTATATTTGTCGGAAAAATTAAATTGTGCTCAATCACTCTTTCGTAAACTTTATATGTATCTTCTTCATTTTCGCCAAATGGGACAGTTCCAAACACAAACTCATAAATCATGATCCCTAAGCTCCACCAGTCTACTGCTGAGTTATATCCGTTCCCCATAATCACTTCTGGGGCCATATAATGAGGAGTCCCTACAGTGGTATAAGATCTCCCATTTACGATTTTTGCTATGCCAAAGTCAATGAGCTTTGGGTACCCTTCTTCGTCAATCATGATATTTTCAGGCTTTAAATCCCTGTATATGATATCTCTCTTATGCAAGTACTCAAGGATAACCACTAGACAAGCTGTATAAAACCTTGCATCATCTTCTTTTAAAAGACCGAGTTGTCTAAGGACATCAAATAAATCGATTCCTCTTACATATTCCATGAGAAAATAAATCCTTTTGCTGTCTTTAAAGGTTTTTACAAGCTTTACTATCATCGTATGGTCTAATTGCAAAAGAATTTTCCTCTCAAGTACTAGACTTTCATGTATATTATAGGCTACAATTTTACTTCGAGGTACAGTTTTCATAGCATAAAATGCGCCTTTTTCTTTATGAGTCATCAGATATACATTGCCAAACAGCTCATGCCATTTGATGATTGATATATTTTGGTTCTGTGACATTTCCTGATCGAAATTTTTTCCTCATGATAAATTTGATAGAATTTTGACAGTTTTTTGCCGAAGAATGCCATTCGAGAAAAATTTACTACCAAAAGTCTGATATGAGGAAAAAGTTCCCATTAAATGACTGGGAACAATTGCCAAACATCCCTTTTCCAAGTGGCTTTATCATCACAAGTTGGTCAAGCATAATTGTGTTGTCTTGCAATTCAATTCTTTTAAGCAGCTGAGTCCTCATGCTGAAATCAATAATACTTTCAAAATCATTTTTTTCTAACGTCCAACAAGTAACATTTCCTTCAGCCACAACTGTAGCGCTTCGTCTTTCATTAAACAAAATTGATCTTTCCCCAAAATAATCATGCATTGTTAGAGTTCTTACATTTGTGTTATCTTTAAAAATGCTCACTTTCCCTGTTTTTACTATATACAATGTATCTCCTGTTTCATTCTCCTGAACAATTGCTTCTCGATCTCTGAAATCTACAGTCCTTAAAACCTGGAGTAAAGCTTTTAGTCTATCTTTCGGCAGATTTCGAAGCAGCTGGACCTGCTTTAAAACAGCCAAGGCTGCATTATTATTTGTAGCAGGGGCAATGCCTCCCACTCCTAAGCATCGTTCAAACTCTTCTTTCGATATCTGAGCAATATCAGCATCAGTCTCAGCTATATAATTTTCTGGATTATTTTGTTCAGAAGTTTGGCTAATCTTGTCGTCTCCAATGCATGAAAAAGTTTCATAAACTCCTAGCGGGCCTCTAACTCTGCCCTTCATAATGATACACAGCTTAGATCCTTGTAACGAGTTTTTTGAAACCACTACTTCTCCAGAGCTGAATTTTGCGATTTTCATGGCATCCATCATTTTCTGTGACTGCTCTTTTGTGAGGTTTTTTAGAGGTTCACTTTTTTCTATTGCTTTCTTTTGAATATTCCTATATATAACTTGTTGCAGATTTTCTCCTAGAGCTTCAAGCAAACTCCCTCTACCTATACACAAAACTTTGACAGCTCCTACACAAGTAATTGTAGCTGTTCTTTTAGAATTGTAAAGAAGAGCTTGGAATAATTAAAATATGGCGTCTTCGTCTAGGTATGGCCTCCCGGCCATACAGCCTCCGACCCATATTTTTAATTATATCCGGCAAGGTTTTTCTAGCCCTGATAAGACGGCAATGCTAGGCAACTAATTCTGTAGGAGCGCAGAACCCTAGCCAAGTCTAATTCGGTGACTAGTTTTTACCTCGAAGGAAAGGAGGGTTCGGATTTGGAAGGGCAAGCCCAGCGGAGTCTACAGGTAATACCTAGACCAATCGGGCAACTGCCTAGCGTGAAACTGGGCGTTACGTTCCAGGATCTGGACTTAACCCTTTTGCCGATAGGCTACCAGAAATTCCATTTTTTGGAATTTCGGAATGCCAACTTCGTCAACTACAGCCTCAGGAGGCCGCACAAACCCGTAGTCTGCCCACTCTCAATACTGGAGCCTTTTGCAAGAGGCAAGGAGGAGGCCTCAGTACTCTCATCATGTGTGAGAGGGAGGTCGCAAAGCAGATGAATCCCACAAGGGATCCTCGGTGATTGCGTAACAATTAAGGGCACGAGCCTGTCAGTGATTAAGTAAAGAAGAGCTTGCTCTCTCCAAAGAAATCGCCTTTTATCATTTGTCTTATTTCGACACCTTCTTTGGTGCATAAAACTACGCCTTCTTTTATAATATAAAATAAATCTCCTACTTCGCCTTCTTTGACAATGGCTTGTCTGTTGTCCCATTTTTGAGTTGTTATAGATGCGAGGAGGGCTTCTTTTTGTTGAGAAGTAAGAATTTCGAAAATTGGGACACTATTTATAAACAATTTGTTTTCCTCATAATTCATTCTATTGACAGCTTCTACTGCTTGTTTAAAGGTTAGTCTGTCAACCCCTCATAATGTTGATTTCTGAGCAGATTTAACTGTAGCTGTTCTAGGTTTGTCGTCCAATAAAGCTAGCTCTCCGAAGCCAGTCCCTGGCTTTAGGACGTTTTGCCTGATTCCATTAACAATTACTTCAAGCCGACCTGTAGCTAAAACAAAGAAATATTTCCCAGGGAATCCTTGCTGAGTGATGATTTCTCCTGAATTTACTGAGAAGTGTTTCATTTGATCAATAATATGCCGTTGGCTGTCTTCATCCAAATTCCTCAAAATAAAATGACTATTTAGTGCATTTAGAATCATATTGATGTCTTCTGATGATTTCGGCCGTGCTGAGATGACGGCTGTGACTGCTTCATTGACTTCTTTTACTTTTTGCCAAGTTACTGCCGCAATTTTTGGCTTTGATTTTCTGCCTGCCCCTTTTGGTGACTTTGTTTCTTCGATTTCTTCAAAGTTAATTATAGGTTTCGAGGAAGGCTGTCCTGTATTATTTCCGTCACTTATTATTTCTTTTTGGAAGCATCCATTGCAGGCGTTACCCATTTATTTTTTGATTTATAAAATGCGAAAGTTTGCTGATATTTTTTTTAATCAATCAATTAGAGATTAGTAGAAGAAAAAAAACAAGCTGGTTGTGATGATTATAAAATAAAACATCAAAATTATAGCAATAAAAAAGATTAATAGATGATCTAAGTGAGTAAACCCTATAAAGAGACATTTATTTAATAAAATATTATTATATATTTATAAGAGGATTAAATTTTAAATTATCGTTTGCTAAAATGGACGAAATAAGTGGCATTTTAAAATTAGAACTTAAAATTTTTTTCAAAATCGACAAACTGGAGTGACAAACACCTAGGATACAATGATCTATTCTTTTTGAAGTGTATCAGAAAATATATTCGCAAAAATAAAACATTTATAGCAATATTTTTAGTTTTTCAGAACACCAGAAAAGTTTTAAATTTAGACTACTCAAAGGGAATTCTTATTAGCTTTAAGTTTACCACTTGCTATTTATATTTACACAATAATAATAATAATAGCTCAATACTTTACTGACTTGACAAAGGTAGCAATTTACTCGGATCAAGTGAAAGATCTAAGCCTTTCAATAGCTCACTCTTTCTTTGCTGCATAGCTTTATAGCAATTTTTAATAGTGATATCTTTCATTGTAGAAACATTACTGATCTCGCTAAAAGTTTTATCATTACCATAAAGTTTGCCCACAATATACACAGTTGCGCTTGCAATACTCAAAGGATTTTTACCAGTTAAGATACCCAATTCTATAGCCCTCTCAGCTATTTGTCTTGCAGATCTTACCTGGATAGGGGTAAATGCTAATTCATTTGAGTACCTTGAAGCATATTCAACTGCAGTTCTATTTGCAGTCATTCCAGGATCTATTTTCTTAGCCATAGAGTAGCATCTGAGAATGTCTTTCTTATCAACTCCAGTTATAGCAGCAATTTCTCTTATAGACCTAGGGCTGCTTCGACGACTTGCAATAAATACACAAGCAGAAACAATTGCCATGTGAGGTCTTCCTTTCAGCCCTCTCTGCTCGCCAATGCTTTTGAAGATTCTTTTGGCTTCAGTGCCAACGGTATCGTTTAACATGAGATTTCGGCATAATTCATCAATGCTGTGAGATCCTTTAGCAAGGGTCTTATCATGACCTGACTGAAGATTTCGCCGATTATAAGCTGAGAGAGAAGCTCCGTTAGGATTAGTTTCAGAGATTACTGTGCCCAGACCGCAGTCAGAATAAAATCGATCATTAGCTTGTCCTGACCTGGATTGGTCATTCAAACCAATTCCGCTAACGTCTTTTGAGAAATGCCTGTATTCTGAAGTTTCGTCAATTATTCGGTTTTCCAACACGAGACCACATCCTGTGCATACAATTGTACCTTCACTAGCTCGAGTTACCACTAGACCTTGAAACATGCATAATTCATTTGGGCATCCCTGCGACATTTTATATTTATAAAATATCTGAATTTACAGTACTTTATGAACAAATGTAGACATTGAATGATACTATCATAAAAAACTAAAAAAACAGCTTTTAAGCAGTTATTTTGCATTATCATGCAAATTGGAAGCTTGAGGAAGTTTTATGCTTGAATTCACATATAGCTCATGCACCTTAATAGATCTCTATACCTCAGCAGAATACCGACTAGAAAAAATATGATACAGGGAATCTGCCTTATACAGTATAAATCTGATTAGGCACCTTAAAACCATAAAAGGAGATTTACCATTTTCGTTTTACTTTTCAAAAAAACTGACAAGCACAAATTAATTTTGGAAATTAAAATGGATGGCCAATAATGATCTAAAATATTTCAGGGCTATAATCATAAATTATATATGCTTTTTTGCCTTACAAAAAGAAAGCATTTGAGGATTGAGTATTAATATATGAAAATGCTATGCTTAAAACGATCAAATTTTCTTTAACTATATAATCTTTAAATTTATGTCCCATAATCTAAATATAAGCATCAAATTCAGTGAAATTATGAAGCTTGGGATGATAAAGAGTTCACACACGGTTGAGCATGGAAATTATGATTTAAAGGATTATAGTTATAAAGCATTCTTTACCAATAACCGCCTAAATATTAGCAGAAGCTATATTATTTAGTTGATTTATATCCTTAAGGTCCATTTTATTTTGTGCTTATTTGATTTAAATTTAAAGTGACAGTTAAATAATATGATCAGTGTATTAGTTATTGCTTGCGCTATCTTCGCACTTACAGCAAGTGAATCACCGGATTCTCAATCATCAATTCAATCAATACACACTTTGCTTCAAGATTTAAAATCAGAATTCCTCTTAGAACAGAATGAAGATGACTCAAAACAATTCAGTCACAATAGAAATTGTATAGAAATATTATCGTCTTTCAGCAAGATAGGAGCTAGCACTCAATCTCTTCTAGAGCATCGACAAAATGCTCAAAAGTTGTTGAGTGACGAGATTGAAGCAGTAAAAGGTGAAATTGATTATCTCAATGAAAACCTTTCATATAGCCAAAAAAGGCTTCAGGAGTTATCTGGATTGAGGTGTGACCAATCCACTATTTTCTTGCATAATCTCAAAGACATAAAAGAAGCAGAAAGTTCAATTGCTGACCTCAGAAAAAACACCAACATCTTCTTCAACACCGAAAACACTGAATTGGTGCAGATTGCTGCTAAAATCAGCTCTCTAGTGCCACAGTCAGGAAATATCTTCACAGAGCTGACAGAAAATGCAGCTCTGGATGTGCCAAACTTGTTGAACAATTTGAAATCCTTGATTAAAGAAAACGTTAAAAAATTAGAAGATGAAGAACTGCAAAATGCAAGAAATTTTGCAGATTGGCATATTAATATTAAAAAAGAGATACAAAGGATAAGCGAAGAGCTGCAGCAGAAAGGAGATTACGCTGAAAAGCTACTAGCTGACTTAAGTCAGGCTGAAGCTGCTAAAGAGGAGGCTGTTAGAGCTAACGAAGATTTTAAAATGGTAATGGAAGCTCAACAAGCAGAGTGTGAAACTCAAAAGAAAATTATTGAAAAAGATACCCAAAGAAGAAAGGAAAACATTGAAATATTGGATGAAAGCATTCAAATTTTAGAAAACTAAATATTAATAGGTAATATTATTTTTATTTCATTGAGAGCCTTAATATCTATATAGAGTATAAATTGCTGATATAAACTAATATAAATTATACAAAAACAAAAAAATATTTAAATAATTAAAATCTCCTCAGATCAGATATAATTTAATTCCAAAAATGGACCCAGCATTCAATCAAGATATGGATGCCAAGCCAGTTCAAAAATCAGAAATTTCAGTTGACAGCATCTCGGTTGAAATGGGTTCTCCAAATTTTCAAGGTAAATTTTTGGCTCCCTTGCCTATTCAAGAAAATCAAGAAAAAGAGCAAATATTAGAAAATGGAGATGAGGGCTCAGATTCATCTGACAGTTCTTACTCAGATTCTCAAGCTGAACTTGGACAATTAAACAATGGAAGCAATCTTAAAAACGATTGCACCATTCAACCTCCTCCATCTCTTGAAAATTCGCTTAAGCAATTGAAGTTTGATTCATTTAAAATTAAAAAATCAATATCAGTAGAGAAAAATCCATTGAAAAGCGATTCAGTGAAAAAATATGATTCAAGCAGAGAAAAATCTTCATCTTCATCAGGATCTGCAGTTTTTGATAGCCCAAGCTCCAAAAATCAGTTTTCCATAAAAAAAGAGAATTTACTTGAAAAGAAAGACAATATAAAACTGTATGAAAGTTCAGCTGAGAATCAAGCAAATATATTCAAATTTGGAATGAGCAAAATTGCTACTAACCCAAATTCAGATTTTAAAATTATATCTAATAGCCCGAAAGAATTGAGCGGAGAAAAAAATTCAAAAAATCAATTTAGTAGGTTTGACACGGAGCCAGCCAAAAAAAGAAGTCCGAAAATAGAAATACCTGAAGAATTACCACAAGAAATAAATGTATCCAAAAAGAAAGAAAGCAGTGATAAATTAAAAATTCCTGAAACTCTTCTGGAAGACGTTAAAGTTTATATAGATGAAGGCAAAGATGAAATTGCTTCAAATATTCAAGAAAAGCAGCCTATACTTCCTAAAGAAAACGAAAAGGCCTATTATCCTGGGCCTATTTCTCATATAGAAAACCCAAAAAAGCATTTGGTTCCAGGTGAAGACCTAGATGAATCCTCTAATAAAGGAGAGAAAAAAGACGTTTTATCTTCAAGCAAAGCGTTTCATGCTAGATTTCAGCGTAATAGAGAAGACGATAAATTATTTTTATCTCAGAAGGGGATAGCAAAAAAACCCATAATTGATGTAAAAGAGCAAGTAAGCAGCAGAGAGCAAGCTAAAGACATATACGATTTTAAAACTTTTGGCCCTGATTTAGCTCCTTCTCCTGAAAATATTGGCTCAGGTTCTAATAGTGGTGGGTCTCACACAGGAGTTCACACCCCAGTGTATGGGATTATGAACTCAAATATTTTTGGAGGGAATTTATCAAGCAATAGAGAGAATTTGCAACCCAACGTTTTTATAGGCCAAGAGATGGTTGATTCATTTTCTGAGCAGTCATCATATAAATCTCTGCAATCAAACGGCGGAAGCAAGAAGAATTTCCAAAGATCATTTGAAATCGACACAAATCGAAATTCAATAGAAAATGAACTCGGCATCGATTTGATGTCAAGCAGGCATAACGAGCTTATAGACCTTTTAAATAGGAGCAGAAGTTTATCGAATTGCGAAAAAATTACAGTTTTTATGCAAGCATTGCAGGATTTTCAACAACAGCCGCTGCCTCAGATACAAAATCAGCCTCAAAAAAAGCCAGGGATTTTAAATAAAATCTGCCAATGCTGTTTCTCATCTAAAGATGACAAATCATGTGATGATCAGCCATGCCCTTGTGACTATTTAATAAAATGGTCAAAAATAAATGTTGATTTAAATGTCGAATTTCATCGGAAAATGCTGCAAAAGATTTATAAGAACATTACAGGCATAGACGAGTGGCCAAAAAATAATGGATTATGAAATGAAATTGGGATCAAAGATATAAACAGCGATTTTTCTGGGAATATTTCTGTTGTCGGATTTTTATTTATACTTTTTTTGCAGTCCTACTATAACAATCATTTTATGGATTGGCTATTTCAAACAAAAAATATTGACCCTAACTTTCCTTTCCTTAAAATGCTTGCTGAGCTTGCATTGCTAGCAATTGATGTACTTAAAGCAGGGAAATTAGAAATATATATAAACCCAAAGAAAAATCCTCATGAGCCAGTCTTTCTGGTATATTCGGGAATTGCAATTAACTACTTTAAAGATATTTTTACAAAATGATCTGAAAATGAAGGTGAAATAAGCACGATATCTTTGAAAAGCTCAAGGCTTAACCCTCAAGAAATGATAAAGATTGCGAGACAGTCATCTCAAAAGAACCAGAGATAAATAAACATTAAATTTTCTGTATTTTAGATAAATTTTAGATTTAGTTATAGTGATCGAGCCTTATTGAGCCGTTGGATGATTGCTGGCGCTCTTTTATTGTTTTTAAAATTCCTGAAAGAACTGGCGAGTTGTTATATCTTGACCTTGGACTTACTGAGTGAGCGTTTACTTTTATAAAAATATTAGATTTTTGATTTGCCACATCATTTGCATTGGAAAAATTCACTAATGATGCTTGAGAGTCCATAGAGAGGTTCAGTTTACTTATATATTCATTCTTTATTGGTTTTATAAATGTTTCAGAAGCTTCCTTTGTAGGGGTTTGATCTCTCGATGGAGGATTTGACGAGACTCCATACTTGCCTTCATTTCATTGCAAATTTGTATGGCTGTTATGCGAATTATTAAGATTTGGATTTATCATCGCATTAAACCCATATGTATTTGATATTTCATGAGGAGTTATATTAGTCCCGCTTCTTATGTGCTTGATCGATGGTTTGGACCTTAATTCAAGAGCTGCTTGATGCCGTTTTTTCATTGAAGCAAGCAGGCTATCAATAGTGATCTTTCCTTTAATTCTTAAGTGATTGCTTGGCTCTATAACTTTTTTATCATATTCAAGACTTCAATTAGTCCTTTTATGAGTCCGTTTTTGAGAAATTTTTGGCAGTATTTCTGATTTAAAAGGGCTTTCACTTGATGACCCAGTTTGCAGCTTATTTGGCCGAAGAATATTTGATGAGGCTTTGGAGGTGCTTTGAGAACAATTATACTTTATTTCTTGGTATAAGCTCTTTAAGCATAGCTTTAAGTCGTCAGCTTTACGCAGTCCAGGAGAAAATTCTTGAAATTTAACGAACTTTTGAGGTCTTAGCAATGATTTTGAAGAACTTTTAATAGGTGATGTATAACGGGGACTAGCGGGCGAGTTTAATCTGCAATTTCTTGGAGACAACTTGTTTTTAGATGCCGAATTGTAATTATACATTAAATTAACTTAATTCTTCATTATTTTTAGTCACATAGAAATTTATAGATAAGATTAAATTTATATATATTCAAGATTTCATAATAAATTTTTTAGCTTTCCTTTATATAATGCAATAAATTCTAAAGATTATGCCATTATGTACTGATATTTTTCTTTATATTAGTTCCTCTCTAAGAAATTATAAATCTTTAGATTGATTACTAAGAGTTTTAGTATGTTTTGCTTGCTCTTTCCCGAGAGATTAAAATTTTCTTATAATTAATCTTCTCTCATGCAACTAGCAAATATTATCAGCTCTCCTTTTAAAATAATAATTAAAAATTAACAGTCTGAGATATATATAAGATTAACGGTTAAAGATACCAATTACGTTATAATTTAAAATGGTCAAAATCCATCATACCATCCTATTACTTTCAGCTATTCTCGCAACAATAAACGCTCAAAGTGAGCCCATAGGAACTTTAAAATCAGTAGCTGAATTAGCTTTCGAGCTTAAAGATATCAATCAACGAGAGAATAATGACTCTGATATCATTAGCCAAGACATCGAGCAAAGATGCGGAAAGCTCATAGGGGCAATTTCAGCATCTGAAACTGAATCATTTAATAGCATGAACCAAGCTAAACAGCAGCAAAAAAAATTGGAAATTGATTTAGAGCAATCAAAAGAATACATATCAAACAACAATCGTCAACTAATGCATGACTCCGAACAGATTGTCGACCTTCAATCAAAGCGCTGCTTTGAAAATGAGAGATTTGTCAATGACTTAATCGATTTGAAAGAATCTTTGGAAAAAGTAGATTTTCTTAAAGCAAATTTGAAAGAATTCTTCAAGTCCAAAGGGGTAGAATTCTTAGAAACAATTAAAGAGGTTTCTAAAAATACTGGAAACACAGACTCCCTATTAGAAATTGAAGCAAACTATGATTTGCATTCACACCCTTATGAATTCAACACAGCCCAAAGATATGCTGATGATAAAAAAATGACTCTAGAAGAAGCAATGAAAATTTCAGGCAAAAAGGGTCAAAAACTAGAAGAAGATTTAGAAATATTGCTAAATAAGATTGAAAAAGATATCGAGCAGGCATTTCAAGATGTTGAAAGAAGAGAAATACAAACCGCAAACGATTTCGTTCTCATAGAAATGGATCTGCAAAAGCAAGCTGCTCAATTTCTTGACGAAATTGAAAGAAAGCAGCTTCACATTGCAAAGGTTAAAAGAGACATGGAATCTAATGCACAGCTTTCAGACCTTAACCAAAAAGCAATGAATAATCTCAAAAAAGCAAGAGAGGCTGAAGAAGCCTACTGCAGAACTAAAAGTGATTTTTCCAGTTTTGATGAAAGATTAAGAATTCACCAAAAAGAAGCTATTGAGGAATTGTTGTATTATTTCAAAACAGCCTATCCTGAATTATCAACATTCGTGATTTCAAACGAGTAAAAGTTTTAAATTATTTAATAGTATTGGATAAAACTGTTCTATCTTCAATTTTTCTATTTATTTTTCAGGTTTAATAAGAGGAGGCAAGGAAATTTGGGGATGGTTTGAGGGAGCTGGAATAATTACATCTACTTTGCTTTCGAAAAAAGATTGATGCATATTTATCATATCGGTAAGCTGATTTATTAATTACCTTGAAAATTTCTATATGATTGGGAGAAAATAAACTTGCTAGTGCTAAATGGTTTCGCTGGTGTGCTGCAAGCTGGGCTTTTGATTTAAATTTTGCATTGCATCCAGATTTTTGACATTTATATGTTTCCTCACCCTTGTGACAACTCATATGCATTGCAAGGGTTGAGCTAGATTTGTATGACAATCCACATATTGCACAAAAAAATTTTTTCTCTTTGGGTGAAGAGTATTCAAGGTCACTTTCGTCAAAATCAGAATCAGAATATTTTTTAGTCAGCAGAGCACCTCTTGTTTTCATTTATTAAATAAAATTATAAAGAAAATATTTGATTAACAGTTATAAATGCTTTGCTATATTAATTTATGATCTTATTCCACTAAGAAATAGGAAGCCAAATAAGAAGCATTTTGATTTATTTTTGTGTTATTTGTAGCCATTCATCCTGTTTAGAATGTAATATATACTCATAGTGTATAAATTTGAATTTAATTTATATGGATATTGAAATATTAATTCTGAGTCCATACTCTTGTGTTAGTAAATAAAAGAAGCCTTAGCTAGATTAGTATCAGAAATCTGCCAAGAGATGCTAAATAAATGGCTATGACTGATATTTAATGACAAAAATTAATATACTATTTACAGTAAATAGTTTTCCTTTTTAATTGCTTTAAAGCACTAGCTCTTGAATGCCCATTCAACTGATGCTTAATATTTAATTAGTTCTGTTCGTACAATTTAGTGGTCTAGAACATTTATGGCATCTAATCCTAGGAGCTTTACACTCATTTGTCATATAAGGCAGCAGAAAGCACCCAAACACTCCTCCCATAAAGAAAATTCCAACTGCTGACCAAAAGGTCTTTGAAGAATTGATATAAATTAATTCAGTCGTAACCTCTGATTTGCAATAAGCACACCAAACAAGCTTAGGGACATCATTTTTCAATTCAAACTCCTCCTCAGCATCATCAATAAATATTGCCTCTTTTGATTCTCCAAGACTTGCACTGAATGGCAACTGTGATAATGAGACCGAGTGTGTATGCCGTGATGGGAGTGGATCATCATTACTTGTAATAACATTTGTGTCGGATTTTCTTGATTTAAACTCATTTTCAATAGATTTCAGCTTTTCTTGCAAACGATTTTGCAGTCGTGCGTTCTCAAGATCTCGAGCTTTTGCAGCTAAAAATAAAGAAGTTTGAGATTTTCTTGGAGAGCTACGTCTGCGACCGAATGAACGCATTGTGCTTGTATTGGTGTCTGCGCTTTCTCTTAGGATAGACCTGCCAAACGGCGTTTGATTATTTGGGTCAGCTTTTCTAAATGGAGAGCTCATCATGCTTGATATAGAAGTCATATCTTGAAATTCTACCAAGGAGCCTTTAAGAGGGGTTGGACTCAAATTTTGACTAAAAATTGACCGTTTAAGTTCTGATGAGGCTGCGTAGTCAGACAAGTTTTCTTCCATTTTTTAACGTTTATATCCACTTTAATAGACTAATTTGTAAAAAGAAATTTTTATACATTTTGAGATTATTATATGCAAAATAACATGTCAAGACGATCGCCACCCCAAGCTTTGCAGATGAGCAATACTTCAGGGCTGCTTAACAGCTCTCGTTACACATTTCAGCCAGCTGCAAGTTTACGCCAATCTTGAGACGGCCACCAAAGCAGATCAAAGCTTACATTTCCTGAAATCATGAGTTATCTGAAACCTGAAACTCCTAACTCCCCCTCCGTTTGCGAACAAAAAAATTTGTCACAGAGTTCGGTTAATTATTTTTTAAAAAATTTGTATATAGTTTTATAGTAAAATTTTTTTTTGAAATTTAAAAAATCCCAATTAGTAAATATTGGAATACAAATATTTATTTAATTTCTAAATTTATGCTTTAAAATGCAAGCTGTTTAAATTAAAACAGAATTAGCTAGCGATTTCATTATGCTAATTATTATTTATATATCAAAATTTTTTGTTCGCTCACGAAGGCGGGTTTTTGGGCAAAAATAGTGATTTTTGCATGGTTTTTGCTCGCTCAAGGAGGGGTGAATAAACAAAAAAGGCTTCCTAAGGTGGGAAAAAACGAATTAATGACTGGGATATTTGAAATTCATGGGATTGGGATTAATTATAGCTCATCTAATGGGTATGGTGCTCCAAGAGGAATAGGGTTTTTAATTACAAAAAATTTGATATTGACGACTCACTCTGTGATTCCAACCGAAGAAAGTGCGCTGATGAGCCAAATCAAATTCATGGGGATTTATAATGAAATTCATAGGCTTGACCCGAATCAGTTTTTTTATACTGATGGGGCAAGAGATATTACAATCACTAGCTTAGTGCTGCAAGAAGGAGACGAAAGAATTAGGTATCCATTAGAAGCAAGGCATAGATTTAAATTACTGCCTGGAGAAACTTTAAATATCTTAAATGGCCGGCTCGTCCCTAGCTTGGTGAGTGAAATCACGGATCATAGCTTCACTTTTAAATCCAAAGAATTAATACTGCCAGGGACTCCTTTGTTTTCTAAGAAATGGAAGCTTCAAGGTATATTTGTCTCAGGCTCAAATTCATATAATTCAAAGCAAGCCAGAAGACTTGACTCCATCTTGACCTCTCTCCTCATGCTAAAAAATACAATTTTGGCACAAGAACTTGAAAATTTCCTATTAGAATATGCAAAATTTTATCAACTTCCCACAAATTTAGGCAATCGTCTCGCAGACTCAAATACTACTATAATTTATTTAGATTTCAACATGTGTTATTCCTTTAGCAGGATTACTTTGATATGTATAGTATCACCCTTTTAAATCCCTTGATAGTGACACAGGAGCCATCTTGTCAAGCAAGTATTCTAGAATGCGCAATAAAGGGCCAAGAATTCTTCATGGCTGCGTTTGCCTTGCCTAAACCTGACTCCAGCACGTGCCCCGCTTAAGGGTTACCCTTCTCGGGTGTGTTAGGCAGTGAAAATTAAATTACCCTATGCGGTAATTCCATATTAGCATTGAGGGTAAAGGTCAATGTGGAAAACTAAACCCCATAATAATGGACACCGCAGTGGAGAAGGAATGGTTTTCGGAGACAACTGCTTCCGCACATAACCATTTTATTATCGCAGACTCAAATACACTCTTTTGGGTTCAATGAAACAGCCCAAACGTGTACCAATTCGATGAGATTGTAAAAGACTGAAAAATTGTTACATTAAATAATATCAATGAATTTAAAGGCTATGAACGACAACATTGAGGGTTTCCTACAAATTCTCGCCTAGTAAACTTGCAAGACGGGAGTATTATGATTGTAGGAGGAAAAGATCCAAATAATGGGAAGTCAAGAAGAGACACTTTTCAAGTTTTCCCAAATTCAGGAGTGATTTTAAGAAAAGGGAGCATGCTAGAAGGAAGAGCTGCACATTGTTTAATATATAGGTATGGATATGTATACGCAATGGGTGGAATTCCTTCAGGAAACACATGTGAGAGATATTCAATACAGCAAGACTCATGAGTACCCATTACAAGTTTAAACATTGCAAGATGTGAAGCTTCTGCTTGTACATTTAACAATGAAAAATTCATGCTGATCATTGGAGGATTGCCTGAAAATGCAGCTGGGAATTCTATAGAAAGGTACAGCTTTGAATTCAATAGATGGCAACTGCTGGAATTGAGGCTTCCAAATGTTGTTATTAATCCAGCTTTATATCAAGTTTCCCCAACTAAACTTGCCATTTTTGGAGGGAGAATAAGCGATAATGTGTTTATTTTTGAAACTGAAGGATACTCAGGAAATGAGACTGAAGAATTATTGAGGCTTTATCAAGTGGATTTACTTCCGAGAAAAGTTAAATGCCTTTATCCGGTTACTTATAGGTATGGAAGAAATGTGCTTTATATTTTATGTGAAAGAGTGGACTCTCTTCCAGATATTCATATTTATGATTATAAAAGGCTCCTAGGTGAGAGGATTGGAGATGTTATTGAAGTAATTTCAGAAAATAAGTCTATTGGAGGAGTGCTGAATCATATGAGATTATTAACACCCGATTATAGAGATGCATATTTTTAAGAGATATTATTGTAACAAGACATTTCTATTTGCTTTAATTAAAACCAAAACTTTTTCCCCTACTCAAGTATAAAAAATAAACAACTTTACCAAATATACTTAAATTAACTAATAAATTAGACGTTTAACTTACAAAATTTTCAATATCTTCAATGATATCTAATAAGCTTTTATCATTTTCTTCAACAATCTGTCTCCTTATGGATTTATTCTCTATAGGTGTCATCAAGAAGCTCTCAATTTCCACTAATTTCAAAGATTCAGGCAGTGTTAAAGCACTCTCTCTTCTTCCATAATATCTTGCAGTTTCTTGCATTTTCACTGATTCTGGAACACCAGAAACAGACTTTTTTTTGCTTATAACGCCTTTACTAGATTTGGTGGAAATATATTTGTGTGTTTTTTTATTCTGGCTTGGTTTTTTAGCTACTGGCGAAGACTGAGAAGGAGGTGCTGAAAACCTAGAATGGACTTTGCCTGTCCTTATTTTAGTTAAAAGTTTTTCCTTTTCACTTGTCTTGATGCTTGCCTTGCAGTAAGGGGAAGCTTTTCTTCTAGCAATGAAATTCTTTGATGAAATCTCAGATTTTACTGAAGCTGCTAGCGGAAGATTATCAAGCATCAAATTGATACAGCTCGAAGACTTTATTAAAACCTTGCTGTTTGTCTGGATCATTGTTTAGATATTTGTGTTATAGTCATATTGATGAAGATTCAATTTGATAAAACCGAAAAAGATTTAAAATAATTTAATAGAGATATTTCAAAAAAATTATTAGTTAAGTTTTTTATTAGCTAATTATTTATCAAATAATAGAAATGTAGACTTCGCTAAATCACAATTAGAAAGAAATACTGCAAAAGGCATATTGTTGAAATGAATCACAAAAAAAGGTCAAATTGGTACTTCACCACTAGCTTAAATCTTATTTTAGTTATGAAGATTTCATACCTGCGTCTTTTGAATAGATTTTTAAATAGAAATCTAAATTAACTGTTGTTAATAAATCAATTAATTAAAAGAATTATTTTTAATTTAAAAAATAAGCCACTTAATAGTGCTGCTGCCACTATTGAATTGCAAAATTTTCAGAATCTTAACATTTCTTTTCCAAATTCTATTAAAATGTCGTTAAATCTTTAATATTAAATTTGTCTAACGATGAAGTACAAATTCGAAATAAGCATACTCGAAGTTCAAGGACTTGGAGACGGTCCATTTGATTATACAATAGCACTTGATTCCACCGAGCAGCAGCTTTTTGACACCGATACCTTTGAGATCTATGGGGAAGGAAACTTTTCTCTTGGAATTCAAAAAGCAGATGAAGGCCTCTGCGGATTTAAAATTCCTATGAATGTATTGCATGGCTATAAAACGAAATGATTCCCAGTCAGCTGCCCATATATTGAACTAACAACCTTACTCCCCCCTCCCTCCGTAAGTGAACAAAAAATTTTGTTCACTCACGGAGGAGGGTTAATTTTTTTTTTTTAAAAAATTTATATATATAAATTTTATAGAAAAAACAATTTTTTCGAAATTTAAAAAAAATCCTAATTTGCAAAAATTGGGAAGCAAATATTAATTTAATTTATGTTTTAAAACGCAATTTGTTTAAAATTAAACAGAATTAGCTCGAGATTTCATTATACTAATTATCACTTATATATCAATTTTTTTTTCCATAAAAAATTTTTTCTATTAAAAAAAATTTTGTTAACTCACGAGGGTGGTTTTTTGGGCAAAAAATAGGGATTTTTCTAATGGTTTTGTTCACTCACGGAGGTGGGGAAGTTAGATTGTGATATCGGCACTCCATGTGTTCTTCTATCTATCACAGAAATAACAGTATTGTCCCCTGTAATAGAAAGAAGAGAAATAAGCGAATGCTCTAGAAATACCAGTCCGGTTATGTGCTCACCTCAAAATTATGTGTCAGAATTAATGCCTGACATTCAAAATGAAGCAAAATTCGCGTATAATAGCTCAATTAAGCTTGAGCTTGAGCAGAAAGAGCTGTTTACTGTCCATCTCAAAGATTTACTTTATGCTTCCAAAGAAGAAACAACAAAGTTAAGAACTGCTTATGGGGATATCATAATAATAAAATGGCTACGTTCGGAAATGGTTTTCTCATGAAAGTTTCCCTCTCGCGAGTTTTATTATTATGGTGTTCGATTTATTTGATGCACTTTATCCGTAATGTCAATATGGCTAATCGCATAGGGTAAGACATACTGGCCAAGGAATTTAATACGTATATGAGCTTACCACTTGGCACACCCAAGGGAGGGTGACCCTTAAGTGGAATACGCGCAAGAGTCAAATTAAAGGCGAGGAAGTGTGTCCTGTGTGTGGGTTTTGGCCACTCAACGAATTGCTGTTTCGGAATGTTCTCCTATTTTGATGACTTCGGTACTTATGGCATCGACCCTTTTTGGCCAGGAATTGTCCGGAATTCTCTGCTTGAACTTAATAGGATGGGGCCCATGAATGCCTAAATCATTCTGCTGAAGAGACTGGCATTTTAAGCACTAACTCCTCCTCCTCCGTGAGCGAACAAAAACGTGTATATATAAAAAATTTTTAAAAAAATCCCAATTCGGATAAATTGGAATGCAAATACTTATTTAATTTGTAAGATTTATGTTTAAAATGCTAACTAAACAGAATTAGCTAAGATTTCATTACAATAATTATCATTATATATCAAAATTATTTTTTAAGCAAATATTTTGGTTTGCTCACAGGTTTTTGGGCAAAAAATAGGAATCTTTCCAATGGTTTTGTTCGCTGATTTATGAGAGAATAAGTAATTAATGCAATGCTTATGGGGACATCAGGGAGCAAATGAACGAGTGTCTAAACGATTTTCAAGAGAAAAAATCGGAGCTTATAAAAGAAATTGAGGAGGCTAGAGAGGAAAAATCCAAAGCTGAAGCAAAAATATCTGCTTTAGAATTGAGAATCATTAAGCTTGAAAGTGAAAATTTGAAATTAACTCACCAAATTTCACATAATAACAGGGTCTTCGAATTTAATCAAAAATCTGAGCAAGAAGATTTGGAAGGTAAACTGATTGAGTCAGAAAATGAAAGGAAAAAGTTGCAGGAAGCATTAATTTCTGCGCACGCCCAATGGGAAGGAAAAACAGTTTCTTCAAATGGTCATCTTGAAAAAGAAAATCAGTTACTTGAAGACAAAAATAAAATTCTATCAGAAAGGCTGCGAAATGCTGAGTTTCAGCTAAAAGAAAACGCAACAAAAGTGAGTGAGCAGCACTATTTAAACCAAATTCACTCACTAAATAGCAAAATCTCGAACTTGCAAAATGAAAACGAGTCCTTACAGCAGCAATCTCAGGAATTGCTATATGAAAATAACCAATTCAGAGATGCTTTAGAAAAACTAAAATCAACAATAATAAAGCAAGAAGAAGAAAACTCAGAACTTTCTGAACAATTGAAATTGGCAATCGAAAATATATCAACTTCGAGAAGCAGCAGAACAGATGTTGATACTGAGCTGAAGGGCTATTTATTGAAAATTGGAATAAAAAATCCATTTGTAAAAATATCAGAAGGACTCTATAGTTTGGGCAATAAAAAGTTCAGTATAAGTTTAAGAAATGGAGCACCAGTGATAAGAGTAGGAGGCGGATATATGTTTATTGAAGAATTCCTTAAAATCTATTTGACTCAAACCAAGAAAAAATCAGAAGAAGATGAAAACCCAAAGCGATCATTAAGCTCTGAGCCAAAGCTCGGCAAAGGCAAAACCCTTGAGCCTCTATATAAGGACGATTGTGAAAATAACATGTCAATGAATGAAATTATTAACATGACTCCTGTTCAAACTCCATTAAAGTCTGATTCTTCATGCAAAGACTTGAAAAAACAAATGGCATTAGGCTGCAAAGCCAAAATTTTGAACCAGGTCCCTAAGCTCCAAACTTCTTTGAGAGAATATACACCTCTGTCATCAAGAAGAGTGAAAATACCAAAATAAACTTTATATATAATTTTATGATAATAATTTCAAAAATCTGTGAATAAATAAATTTAAAATGGTCCCATAACAAATTAAGATGGAAAATTATTATAAAAAGGGCGGTAGGAGCTAAATTCACTTACCTGGTTGGAGTGAGTCATAGATCAAGCAGTATGATCACTTAGGGTGGAGCAGGTCCTTTGAACACTGATGTCTGTAAAGCCCTACAGCTTCCCGCTTGGGATAGCTGACTACTAAATTTCTGGCAGTGGGGACGTGCGCTCGTCGCCTCCCCGCCTTCAATAAATTAAAGAAAAACCAGTTGCAAAGCAACCCAAATTAACTGTTAAACAATTATGGTTGTTTACGTTAGAGATTCCTTATAAATGGATTCATAACTATTATGATGAGTAGGAATCTCTCTGTCATTGATGACACTATTATAATTTTCTGAAATAATGATCATTAAGTAGCTTACATTATTCTCTTGTACGTCTTCTCTCAACACAGCCAAAAATCGCAGTGAACCAGTGGGTAATTCCAGATTTTTGCTGATTCGGTGTCTTTCCTTTGCTATCTCTTGTTTGGCAGCCAATTGAATTTGTTTTGAGAAACCTTTTGAAGTCTCTGCATTCTCTTTCTCTTTGCTGCTCGAGGCTTTGATTGAATTCCTTGATCTCTTTATCATTTTGGTAGGCTTTTTGGCTTTGGTCTCCAGTCATTTCAGTTGTTTTCCCATCACAATTGTTAGACGTAGACGATTTTTGTTCTCTTAGATCAACGAATTTTAACGCTTTTATATCGATGACAGATGAGCCGTCCGATATTTGATTGCTGCTTCTCATTTCGCTTCTGCTTTCCCCTGAAAATCTCTCTAATTCTAATTTCAAAGCTATTTTAAAGTTTTTTTCCTTTAGATTAATTGATTTTCTTAATTTCCTTTCAAATTTATTTTTTCTCTTGACAGGAGCTTTGCATCACTTATGGATTCTATGTAAAAGCCTTTTTTCTCTAGTTAAAGATGAAGCTTCTGAATCAATGCTTTTTAGGGACTCTATTTCTTGTAGGAGGGTTTCTTTTTGATCGTTTGGCTGTATTTCTAATATATACGGGATATCAGGAACAGCTAAATATTGAGTGAAATTTTTATCATGATTTAAGTTTAAATTTAAGATAACTCTTCAAGTCCAGTACTTCTTGACCTCAGCTTGGACCACAGCTCTGAATAGCGGTAGGTGGGTCGGCCTAACCGTTAACCGTCGAACTGTTTCTGTCCCCAAGCCACTTATGACCTCTCTGATCTACACCAGACTCAGTATAGACCCATCCTCTTGAGCCGAGACTCTCAAGAAGTCCTGGACTTTTCTCACTGCGCTCAGATATAGGACCTGAATCCTCCCGCTAACTGACATTTTTTATTGTGTTTATCATGGTAAAATATTGTACATAGTAGACCTTCTATATTGGTTATCACTCCAAGGCCATACTCAGGATGAATTGCTTTTGTATTCACATTAGTATTGATGGAAGGAGCGTATCTAGCAATCCATGGATGTGCTAGCACTTCATTCAGCTGTAAGCGCTCTTCTGGATTTGTTCTTAATAAATTTTTAATTAAATCAGCTGCTTCAGGACTGATTTTTGGGTCAAAAGTTAATTTGGGTAGCAAAATTTGTTGGCACTTATCAGTATCTCTAACTGCTCGAAAAGGTGGATATCCATGTAATAGCTCATAGAGGAGCACCCCAATTGCCCACATATCTAGCTCAAAAGAATGCCCTTTTTCTAAAATCATTTCTGGGGCCATATAGTCCAAAGTTCCACAAAAAGTCTGCCTCTGCTCAGTACTCTGCACGCACCATCCAAAATCACAGATTTTTACATTGCCATATTGATCGAGTAGCAGATTTTCTGGCTTTAAATCCCGATGAATTATATGGTTATCATGCAAGTATTTGAGACCTACACAAGTTTGCGTATAGTAATGCCATGCAATTTCTTCGGAAAGGCCTTGGCGCTTTTTGATTAATTTAAATAAAGACCCATTCGGAGCATATTCTAATAAAATATAGACGTTTTTATCATCTTCAAAGTGCTGGAATAGTTGAATTACATTGGGATGCTTTAAAGCTTTATGGATATTTATTTCTCTAACCCCTGTGATAAGGCAAAATATATTCCTCATATATAGAAAGATATTTAAAAATTTTATTTTAAAATTCCAAATTTTCCAATTGTTTCGCTCAATTACAGAGGGAGAGTAAGCATCACTAATAAAGAAGAATCGCTTTTTAATCGCTCTTTGTTTATTTGCTTTAAGGCAAAATACTGACCTGATGTTGGGTTTTTTACAAGTTTTACTTCTCCGTATGAGCCTTTTCCCAGAATTTTAGTCTCTCTATCCTCTATATAGTCCTGTATAGCAGTCTTATGTTGACTGCAAGTAAATTGATGAGATGCCGTCCAATCTTTTCTAAGGCAATTTTGAGAGCAATATCTTGTGGAGTTGCATTTTGGGCAAGTATCATAGTCTGTAGAAGAGTTTTGGCATATGGAATAAGCGCAAGATGATTTCATCGATTGCATTCCAAGGAAAGAATTGCAGATTTTGGGGTTGATTTTTATCATGTCTATATTATTACTATATCGAAGCTTATAATTTAAATAATGGTAGGCTTATTTGTAGCTTAATCGGTTTGGCAAGAATACTAGGCTATATTAATAATTATTATGAAAATTAATAATAGAATCTCGAGGGATTTTTTAATAATCTGATCAGGTTAAAATGGAAATAATTTGATTTAAATTTGATTTAATGCATTAAATGTGTAAGATTAAAGATTATACGAGCTTGCATAATTCTGGCTGATATTTTAAATGGAATACTATTAGATTTTATCTGAGAATAAAACTATTTTATATTTATTGATTTTAGCATTAATTCGTCTGTGCTTGATCGAACGATGCCAATTGGTTCAATCAAGGATAGGGGAGAGCAGCCATTTTATGACACTGAAAGTTTTTTTTTAATTATTACAAATAAATATATAATTAAATGGTGAATATATAAATAAATATGTATTTAATAAATAGTTTGCTTTATAATCTTTCAAGATGAGAAAAATGGAAGATCTAAATGAAGCAGTTTTTAAGTAAACTCTACACAGAGCTACACTAGAAAGTATCCACAGCATTTTGGCACCTGATAGTCTTTTGGTGTCCTATAAAAAGCCTATTCCTGAAGACCAAAAAGAAGCTGCAATTTCACTCGCAAAGTCTCTCCTTCCAGGAGATATTATAATGGTAATCGCTATTCAGACACAAACACCTGGAAGAGCTTACACATCTTTAAGGACAATGGCATATTCTTATTTTGACCACGTTGCAGTACTAGTTGACAGTGAGACCTGCTTACAAGTTGGACCACCCAGGGTGAGACTGATCCCTTCCTACCACTTTTTATTGTTTTCAAGAAAACCTTTTGTATTGAGGGTTAAAGATAACATAAGAGCTCAATTTTTAGAAAATATCAGAAGTCTAAATAACCAGAAATACGAAAGCACAAAAGCTCTTACGACTTGGCTATATTTAGTTTTATATGAAAGATTTAGAATCACTCTAAAAGTCCCATCAGAAGACAGAAGAATTTGTACTGATAGCATTTTGAGTGCTTTGCCAAACATTCAAGAAATCAGAGAAAAGTATTCAGACTGCTTAGATTTTGGGAAAATTGGATCCCATTCTTTAAATGACTTTTTAGTTTTGGAACAAAAAGGAGTTTTGGATGTCGTCAAGCTTCCGTTTCCTTTTAACCTTTCGGATTCCTCGATAAAGAAAGATTCTTACGCTGCTGTTGCTCGTAAGATGGCAAAAAAACAAGGAATTGAGCACACAGTTTTGAATATTAGAGATGCTGCGTCAGTAGCAAAATTCGCTTGGTCACTTAAAAAGACAAAGTATAGAAGAGTGTATGGATTATTATGCGCTATAGCACTATATATGAGGAAGATGGAAGTTCCTGGAAATGAACTTTTTCAGATTCTCTCTTTGGTATGGCCTAAGCTTTAGATATTTATATTAAGCGGCTTTACACAAAAATTTGTGAATAATTAAGATTTTTCTTCAGATTTGCTTTTCCTATAGATTTATGAATTATTCTGAAAATAAATTATGCAAATATAATAGTAGAATTAAATTATAATTCTGGCTCTAAATATACCATTGCTGGTAAATACATTACAGATCCATTCTCCTGTTTTAGCGGCTCAATCGAAATGCCACTAAATGGTCCATAAAGGACATCATCAACTAATATATCCATTCCTCTCGAGTTGTCTGACATAACAATATACCCACTCCCAATATGCAACGAAGAATAAAGCGTTGAGATAGCCACATTCACATTAGCCTGAGTGTCTCCTGTCTTTTTGCTTTTTATCCTTTTCATGTATGCTGCTTCTTGCTGAGCTGATTCAGGCTCTATATAAGATAACTCAAGCCACTCAGCGCTTGGGATTGCAGGAGTAGTTTTATCGTTTTCACATGGCACATTGGAAATGTTCATATTATAAATAACTCTTGTGGCTGACTCAGTCGTAGCATATTCTATCCCAAATAAATCCATTTGCGTCAATCTCATATTCAATTGTATAGGGACGTATCTGAAAAGTTTGCATTCCATTATATCCTGTGGGGATTTATCTTTGAATCCTTCATTTTTTTCTTGAAACCTTCTTATTGCTGCAGTGATCCCAATTCTTATGTGTAGGCAGAAGGGTATCACAATATCAGGTAAAGTTGCATCATTGACTTCCCCTTTATAGCATTTCACTTGATAAATTGATATTGGAAGAGTCCTTGATGCTTCCATAATGTAGTCTTGAAGCAGAGCTTCTGAGTATATGAAAGGAAGAGTGTCTTCTCTTAATCCTCCATCTGAAGATGGATCAAGTGCAACCGATCTCCTTATAATATCTTTTGCTTGTGGGTCTTTTTTCATTTGTTTTATGGCTTCTTTTGAGTCTAGCCTAGGTACCCAAGGTCTTAATGCGAATGGAACATAAATGTGTCTTAGATATCAGCTGTCAATGGTAGATAAATATTGGGCTAGAGTATTATAGACATCATACGTGGGAACGATATATATACGAATGTCCATTTCATCTGGATTCTTTCTTTCAAGCAGTCTAACATAGCTTTTTAAAAACCTATGAATGATTTGGTCGCTGCCTGTTAAAACTATTTTGATAGGAGCCATATGAAAAGCATTATCAGGATTTATGCTTCTTTGAAACACCTCATACAAAGGCTCATTCACTGATTTTTCTGCTTGGAGGTTAAAAATTGACTCGTCCACTGTCCTATTTGTGACATCAGTATCAGTTGGTAATGGCTCATCTATCTGCGAAATGTCAATAATCGAGATAGTGTGAATTGGAAATTGTGGAGTATATATACTGAAATTACTCAAAAACTTCACCTCATAATAGCAAATTCTTGCTTATTTGTTGAGGTTTTGCACAAAATTTTCAAATAGTATATTTATATGAATAGACCAAAATTCACTTATTATTGAGGGATTTTCAGGTAAAAGTGCAAAATCCAAATTTTGGGGCTTTAGCCCCAATAATAAGTGAACTTCGATCTATTTATATAAATTTACTATTTGAAAATTTTGTGGAAAAACCTACAAATAAGCAAGAATTTCTTATTACTGGGGATGTAAGTAAAAAGAGCTGTTGTTAAGGGATTTGAATCATCACAAGAAAAGTTATTCATCTCAACAAGCAGCTCTAAGAAAAAATCTTCTTGAAGCTTTCTAGCATGCTCAACTTCAACTTCTCCAGCTTTTTCAATAATGAGTATCACTCTCTTATATAAGTCAAATACATTTTCAGGACTTAACCCAGACAAATAAGAAACATCCTGAATGTTAATATCGTGATGATTGGAAAAGACAAATAGAATGATCATTAATCGTAAAACATGGCTCTGAAATGCTGTGAAATTGATAGTCCTTCCCATATCAACATTTTGAATAATATCTCTTACTCCCCCTTCCGTGAGCGACTGTTCGTTATCGGAAGGGTTAACTTTTTTTTTAAAAAAAATATTTTTACACCAATTGGAAAGCAAACATTTATTTAATTTGTAAAATTTATGTTTTAAAATGCAAGCTGTTGAAAATTAAACAGAATTAGCTAGACATTTCATTATAGTAATTATCACTTATATACATCATAAATAAAAATGTTTTATTTGCTTAGAGGGTGGGCTTTGGGCAAAAAATAGAGATTTTTCCAATTGTTTTGTTCGCTTATGGAGGGGGCGTTAATTTTTCTTCTCTGTGTTTTCGATTGAGCAATGATAATTTATAAAAGAGTCCAACTTCTGGACTTTCATTGATGTAGCCAGGAATCGATATTGATCGGTCTGGGCTGGAAAAATGCCTAAAAACTTCCCGAGTTGGTTCTCCAACCCAAGTTGACAAGTGAATTCGGGATTTGGCAAATAGGCCCGATATAAAGCATATGCCAACTCCCCGAGTTGGTTCGTTAACTTGGTTGGAGAACTAACTCGGGAAGTTTCTAGGCATTCTCCTAGCCCAGGCCTATCAATTTCGGTTCATGGCTATATCTAAAAATACAAAAGCATTGGCTCGTCTGAATTCTTGTTTTTGATAGGTATCATAAGAGCTTTCAAATAATGGAATGCATGCATCAATCATAGGGAATTCCTCCCTTAGCTTATTTATCATTGAATTCCCCGGAGATTTCATTTCATCTTTTAAAAGCTCTACAAGTCTATCTGCAGAAGACCCATAAGGAATAGGCCACCTTCGAAGAACATCAATTTCCAATATCAAAGATTCAATTGCCTCATAATTCATAATTGGATACCTTGTAATAAGCTGCTCCAAAATATGCAAAACAGGCAGCAAAGACGCTTCAGCAACTCTTGGGTTGCTCGATCTTACAGAAATGATAATTTCTTGGATTTTTCTATGAAAAATATCAAGAAAACTCACAGGCATGTGTGACGTTGTTTTTATATAATTTTTCAAGAAAGTATAAACCATAGTCAATTCTCCACAGTCAAGTATCGAAAACTTTGGGTTCGGAGACAGATGAATACGGATGTAGGCCAAATGACTTTGCCTTTTTGATAGTGTCCATTTCATCGAAAAATTTTGGCCAAAAATTGATCGAAAATTTTTATAGTTAGACATTTGACCGAAAAAAACGTTTATTTTCGGCCAAATGTCCGCACTATCAAAAATTTTCGACCAAATGGATTTCGATGAAATGTATACACTGTCAAAAACCCATGGTCATTTGACATGGAGCCGATGAATACTCCCACTGCCTAAGTGAACTTGCAAATCTTGAGGAGTTTCAACTTTAATTTCTTGGCCAAGATAGTTCAAGTAGTTTATATCTTCAAAATCTCTAATTGGAGGCTGGAATTTGGTTGCATGTGTGATAATCAATGGGATAATTTCTTCTCTTTCATTGGGAATTCTCAAAACGCATGTCATTATTTCATCAAACATCAAATTTAATGTAGGATGATTAGTCCTATGATTTTCCCAGCGTTGACGGGCTTCTGATAAAGAAGCTAGGAATTTTTCATCGCTGGGCGAGTATGATTCAGAAATGACTAGGAAATAAAGTTAGTTAGTTAGTTTTAAAAGGCCATACGTGGGCGAACCAGCGGACCTCAACATCTCAGCTCGAAAGACGACTCCAGGTCGGGTTCTGATGTGGCCATACTCCCAGGCCCGACGCCATCTTGATTTCTCGTCAAAACCACCTGTCCAAGGGATCAGCTCCTTTGGACAGAGCCACTTCTGTCTGAGTGCCCCGATGGTACCGATGAAGGAAGACCATGTGGTAGGAAAAACCTGTCTAGCCCATCTGGCAGGGACAGGGAAAACCTTCGGGGGAGAAATAAAACTTCGGAGAACTTGCTAAATCTTGCTAAAAAAATCAAGTAATGCCAAATCAATTGGTGAAAATGCTAACAAAATGCAAGTAAAAGCTAAAAATGTCTAAAATGGGCTAATTTTCGTCAAATATTTTAGCTATCAGACTAAAATGCGCTAAAAATAAAAAAATAAATGCTAAAAAACGGCTAAAAAATTTTTTTTTGTCTAAAATGTGCGAAAATGCTAAATTAATAGGAGGCCGCGCTACACTTCACCATTAAAGGAGTAAGGGAAAAAATTATATAAGTTTTTTAAATAATTAATAGAGTCAATTAGGATTAATAAGAAATGCAATATTAATATATACAAATATTAAACAGATATTATAATAGTAAGTATTTAATCTTCTATATGCATCTAATATAATGCAAAAGCATTAATAGCGTATGATATACTAAAATTGAGAAAAAATTTTTAGCGCAATTTTATTTTGGGAAAAATAAGTATTTGAGTACGGAAAAGTATGCATATTTTTCATAGAAACACTGCTTGTACTTTTTTGCGCGAAATTGAAATAAATTCATATAAAATGCACTATTTATCAATAAATTTCTTTAATGCATGCAATTGAGTTAAAATGATTAAGTATAGCAATGAATAGATTAAATTGGGTATAGCAAAACGCGTTTTTCTTTATTTTATTATATTATATAATATCATTTTGCTTAACTTAATAAAAAGTTTTAAATAGATGAAAAAATTAGCAAAGAAACTTACCTGATTTAACAACTAGCAAATGCTTATAGAAAAATATACTATATGATTATATAATATTAAAATGACAAATTGGATTAAATTTATCAAAAAGCTAAAGGAAATTTCAAATCATTATAAGAAGCTTCAGTAAAATTAAAATTTATCAAAAAATTCCAATTAAAAAATAGATTGTATAAAAAATTTAGAAGAAAAAAGGTTATGGTAAAAACATTATTCTAGGTTTACTGTACGAAAGAGCATAACTTTAATGCAAAGGTATATTGGCTTATGTATGATAAGCAACCCTGAATTGACTTTAAAAATTAGAATAAATAAAAGTAATTCAATATAGGTTAGAATTAATTAATTAATTATTTTTATTTACAATAATGGATAAATATAATATATAAAATACTTATAGCAATGAAAGGCAATTACACCTCTTTCGTTTGGCATGAAGCTTATACTCAAATTTGCATCAACAATACTTATTATTCTAGAAGAAAGAATTCACATGCAAATTTTTCTTATTATTACTGTGTCAATAAAAATTTGCCGCGCATCTTGTAGGATTCAAAACCCTGTAAAAAACGCAGTAAGGGCAGAAATTCTTAAGGACCATTCTAATCATGAAGAAATTCCACAAGAAAATCCAAAAGTTAATGTTCAGCAAGAGCAAGAGCTCATTTCTATTTTAAAACATATAGTTTCACAATCTCCTTATTTGAATAATGAAGAGGTAGAATTAATTTTAAAAAGAGAGCATTCATCATTAATGGCAGGCATTAATAAAACAAGTCTTAAGCAAAAATTAAAAGAAATCAAACTAGAATGTGGCTGAAATGATTGGTATACGGCATCATTTCAATTCTCAACAATAAAAGATATAGGAATTCAATTTCTTCGCAATCATGGAAAGTCTTAATATTAACAACAAAAATTATAAGTTCATTGTATGAGCAACAGATTGGCAGTTGTCACAGCTGAGGCAAGCCACTCACTGATATATTGATGGAACTTTCAAGATTTTGCCTCAAGGAGAATTTAGCCAACTACTAGTTATAGCAATATATGATCCAGTATCCCAAAAAAAGAATGCCTGGCTGCTTTGCAGCTATGAGTTCAAGAGAAAAATGATTATATTCATATATTTTTACACTTATAAAAAATTTCATATATCCATATCAGGATTTCCAATGAAGTTGAGTTCTATAACAATTGATTTTGAGCAAGCATTGATATCTAGCATAAAGGAGTCTTTTCCAAATCAAAGAATTATTGGCTGCTTTTATCACCTTAATAAAAGCTTGAAAAGAAAAGCAAAAGCACTTGGGATTTACAAAAAGAAAGAGGCATCAGAACTGAGAAATAAAACTGATCAAATTATTAAAAGAATAGAAAAACTATGCTATAAAATAGATGATTTGGAGGTAGAGGTTGCAAATATTGAAAAAGAATTCATTGAATCTGAATCACTTATGAAATTCATAAATTACTTCAAGAAAACCTGATTAAAATATTTTCGAGATAACACTCTTAATTATAGCTCTATAGAAGAGCGTAGATATAGATCTAATTCCATGCTCGAAGGGATTAATGGAGAAATTAAGAAGTTTTTCAAGGATAAAGGTGTCAATTTCATGTGAAGTGATTTCATATTAGCACTCCAAAATCTATATAAGTACTTTTATGATGATATAATTGCTTGCGGCAATAAACCTGTTGTCTTTAGATCAAAAGCAAAGATACTAGAAGGCGAATCTCAAAAAACAATTGAAAATGACTCAGAAACTGAGTCAACTAGTCAAAATTCAACGCATTCTAATCTTGAAATGCCAGAAGAAGAAAAAGGAAAGAATGAAAAGAATAAAAAAGAAAATAAAATTGATGAAGAAGATGATGAAGATGATGAAGATGAAAATTCAGACATCGATGAAAAAGCAACATTCATGACTCCACTAAAGAAGAAGATCTTAACAGGTAAGAGAATAGTCAAGAGTCCTTTCAATCCTAAACCCGTTAAAAGAAAAGTTGTGCCAGTAAGCGATTTTCAGTGAATCCGATGGAAAAATAGTTCATGCAGATTCGACAGCTTTTTTACTGTTGTCACTTTATCAATCTTAAACCATGAACAAAATATATTTGATGCATATTTAGAAGATGAAAGGATTAGAGATTTGGTGGAGACTATGGAAGCTTTAAACAAATCAATCTAATGATGCAATAGAAAAATTTTGGAAAAAGCATAAGCCATTACAGAGTGCTAAAAAACTTGGAAGGACATATTAGTTCACTGTTTTACATGCTTTCTGTATGCAAAGAATTTAGGATTTCTTATGAGAGCTATTTATCATGTGATTGCTGCGGTTTCCAAGGCCAAAAAATTCGGACTGAACTAAGTTCTTTACTAGAATTTTGCATTGATTCAGATATTAAAGAATTCAAAGAATTCCATCAATTTTTTAATTTTATAGATTTAGAAATACATTTCAGCAATGTTCACATTGTAAAGGCGTAGCAGACTGCAAAATCACGCTAATTGAGTGGCCTATGTATTTGATAATCTTCGCAGAAAATGATCACTATGAAGTAGAAATTAATGATCTAAATTATTTACATGGAAAATGATGCGAAATATGATTTTAGTTCAGCAATATTATATAAAAACGGGCATTTTACAAGTATCATTAAGGATCCTAAGATTAATAAAGGTGGAGAATTTTATTTCTTAAAAACGGATTATATTATCATGATGGAATGATGTTTGAAGGGAAAATTATGAAGCTAGATGATTCAATAAAGAGTCAGATTACTGAAGAAAAACCATATATTTTAATTTATAAAAGATTTCAATAAAATTAGAATTAAATTAGCTATTACTTTATTTCATTTTTCTTTTTGATTCGAACTTGTATTGGACTGATATTTATCCAATCTAATTTTTATCCTATAAGAGGACATTATACTTTATATTAAATTTATTTTCTTTGATACTCTAAATCCAGATTCATACATTATCATAATTTTTCTTTCTAATCACAATCAATATTTTTCAATTCGAACAATTTTTTAATTATTCGTTTTTTAAATGGAAATTTTTGGATAAATTTTAATTTTACTGAAGCTTCTTATAATTATATGAAATTTTCTTTAGCTTTTGATAAATTTAATCCAATTTGTCATTTTAATATTATATAATCATATAGTATATTTTGCTATAAGCATTTGCTAGTTTGTTAAATCAGGTAAGTTTCTTTGCTAATTTTTTCATCTATTTAAAACTTTTTATCAAGTTAAGCAAAATGATATTATATAATATAATAAAATAAAGAAAACGCGTTTTTCTATACCCAATTTTAAATCTATTCATTGCTATACTTAATCATTTTAACTCAATTGCATGCATTAAAGAAATTTATTGATAAATAGTGCATTTTATATGAATTTATTTCAATTTCGCGCAAAAAAGTACAAGCAGTGTTTCTATGCTAAATATACATACTTTTCCGTACTCAAATACTTATTTTCTCAAAATAAAATTGCGCTAAAAATTTTTTCTCAATTTTAGTATATCATACGTTATTAATGTTTTTGCATTATATTAGATGCATATAGAAGATTAAATACTTACTATTATAATATCTGTTTAATATTTGTATATATTAATATTGCATTTCTTATTAATCCTAATTGACTCTATTAATTATTAAAACAACTAATATAATTTTTTTCCTTACTCCTTTAATGGTGAAGTGTAGCGCGGCCTCCTATTAATTTAGCATTTTCGCACATTTTAGACAAAAAAAATTTTTTTTAGCCGTTTTTTAGCATTTATTTTTTATTTTTAGCGCATTTTTAGTCTGATAGCTAAAAATATTTGACGAAAATTAGCCCATTTTAGACATTTTTAGCTTTTTACTTGCATTTTGTTAGCATTTCCACCAATTGATTTGGCATTACTTGATTTTTTTAGCAAGATTTAGCAAGTTCTCCATAAAACTTCCTCTTCGGCACGGCTTCCCCACAACTGAAGGCCTACTTAGGACAGGAATGAGACCTGTATCTTCAGCTTCATCAGCAATGAGTCCTACCAGCTACATAGGAGGTGCGCCTCGGAATCCAATTTCCGTCAACGCCACCATTTTTATTTTCTTCTAGGAAATAAAGGGTTGCTAATGCCTGCTCCATTGAAACACCAGATATTTTCTTGAGCTTCTCACAATCAATTAGATATTTGACTAACCCCAAAATATAGTTACCAATTTGAATTTTTTCAGTCCAAAAAGCGTTATATTTCGCCACTGGCATGTTGACTTTTCCATTCCTTAAGAAAGCACTCTTGTCTTTTCCCGATTCGGCATTTCCTTTATTCTTCGCCATCTTATAATCCTGTACAAGTTTTTTCAAAATTTAAACGTGCAATCATATTGTATTTTTATTATGTCTTTTGACGCAAATAAGCTTGGGCTTTTGAGTATGAGGATTCCTGCGTATGAGCTTCCACAAGCACAGAAAACTTCTCAGCCTATTAAATTACTTCAATTTGGAGGCCCTTCTAAGCTACTGAAGCCAATTCACCAAAAGCACACACAGCCGGCTGCGATTCGTTCACAAATACAAGAAGTTAAGAGAAATCAGCACACTGATGAAACTGGATGCCAAACAAATTTGGAAGATGATCTAATAAGTTACCAATATCAAAAGGATATCGGGATTAATGCAGATGAGCTTCAAGATATGCAATTTTTAGAAGTCAATGATATTGAAGATATTCCATTGCAAACCCCTGCTGTGAATTATAGTGAAGGGAGAATTCTAATGCCAGTTCCAACACAGCAGTTTGAAGCATCAGTAGATATTGATGAAAAACAGTTTACAGAATTGCCACCAAGACCTATTAGCCCTTCAGTCCTTAGAGATATTGAAGAAAGCGCTAAATTAATTAGAGAGGAAGAAGAGAGGCTTGAAATGCTAAGGAAAGATCCAATGTATCATATAAAACAAACTAAAGAGTATAGACTAAAGGTTCTTACTGAGCAGCTAGCAAACTTAGAGGATGTTGCTTGCAAACTTGAATATGACATGAAAAATGAGAATGAGAGAATTGAAGATATCGATTTAAATTACAGAAAAGAGCTTGAAGCTGAAAAGAAAAAAGTAGCTTTGAGTATTGTTGAAAAAATGGAAAGGAGAATTGAAGACTTGCAAGATTATGATAATGAAGAAGCAAGAATTGCAAGGGTTTTGGCTGCGAATAAACAGCTATATGGAGAAATTGATAGTGCTTTGAAGAAAAAAGAAAAAGGAGAGCACGAAGAAGTTAAAATTGAGCAAGAGCAGCCAATAGTGATAGGCCCAAGTGTGAAAGCAAGGCCTGCTAAATTTAATGCGAGAGAATATAGAAAAAACACGAGAGGGATTATCACAAAAAGACTTAATTCAGCAATGGGAACTGCTCAGCAAGTGATTCAAATGTCTAAAAAACAAGTAAGGCCTGCTATAGTTTCAATGAAATATTAATGCTAAAAATGCAAATAATTTAATAGTATTAATTTTAGGTCCAATTATATAGATAAAAAAATTCAATTCATATGAGAAACATTGCTATTGGTAGAAATCTGTTGGAAAAAATACTTATAGCATTCACCTGAAAAACGAATTTAAAGTCTCAGAGCAATATTACAGGAATTCATATCAGCAAATCCTTAACCTTTTAGATGCCTTGATAGTAGTTAAGTTGCATGATTCTTTGAAATGTTCTTAAAAATTAAATAATAAATTTTTTGATTTATAAATGAGCGAAAGAGAAGCTGAACTAGAATCTCAGCTTTTAAGCCTCCAACAAGAATTTGAAGAGTATTTTAAAATTAGATTTCAAGCCCAATCTAAGGAATACGAAGAAATCCTTGAAGCCGAAGTAGCAGAAAAAGATGAAAAAATCCATAAAATTTCAAGGAAGCTAGAAGACATAGAAGATGAACTTAAAGATTACAAAGAAAAATACAAGAAAAATGAGCACGAACTCACAAAAAAATGCGAAGAGGTCGACAAACTTAAAAGACAGCTTAAATCTCATGAAGATCAAAAGCGCGAATTAGAACATTTGAATGACCAATGGGAACAATCAGCAAGAATTTTAGAATTTTCCAAACAAGACTTAGAAGAGAAGCTCTACCAAGCCGAAGAAAACGCGATTCTTTATAAAGAAGAGCTAGATGAAATCACAGTTTCAAAAGAAATCGAACTTCAAAGATTAAGAGATGAGTGCAAAGAACTAAAACAAGAAATCAGCACCCTTGTAGCTCAGCATGGAGATACAAATAAAATTTTGGAACTTGAAATAGCTTTAGAAAAGGCGACAAAGCAGCAAGAAAACTATATAGTAATTGCCCTAGGATGGCGCTATCTTCCGCCATCCTCGGGCAATTCAAAAATGGCCCCATACCGGGAATTGAACCCACGTGTGGGGCCATTTTTGGTTAGTGGAGAACATCGACTTCACGCACACCAAAAATGGCCCCACACGTGGGTTCAATTCCCGGTGTGGGGCCATTTTTTTTAAATTGCCCGAGGATGGCGCAAGATAGCGCCATCCTCGGGCAATTACAATAACTTAAAGCTAGAAAATGCAAAAAGTTCGTTACCAAGTTCTCGGTTCTCTTCACGAAGAGTGTCTGCTGATACTACTATTCCTGCTTTGTCTGAAGGAAACCATATGCTGAAAGTGATTGTTAGGGTTAGACCGATACTTGAGCTTGATTCAAGCAAGGCTTCATGTATTATATGCGATAATAATACTTTATTTTTAAGCATGCCAACATCAAGGACTCGAGGTCGTGTCTCAGTCAATTCCCAGAAGAAATATGAGTTTTCTAAGATTTTTGACCAAAAGTCTACAATTTCGGAAGTGTTTCAAGAAGCATATGATTGTATAGAGCATGCTTCTTTTGGAGGAAGATCTTGCATTATAGCATATGGCCAAACTGGCTCCGGCAAGACTTATACAATGAACGGAATTATCGAGCAGTCTTTTTACGCCTTAAAAAAACTCCTAGAAAATGAAAACATCAAAGTTACCATGCATTGCATTGAAATTTATAATGAACAAGTTAAATTAAATCTTTAAATTGGTCATAAGCGGGCAACCCACTAACCTTTGCATTGTCTTGGCTACAAAAAACTAGCCTACACGGACCTTGGAGTTCAAATGAGAAAAATGGAAGGCTGCCTTTTTGAATTTCCTATCTGAACCACCTGCTCAAGGGATCAGCTTCCTAGGGCAGAGCCATCATCTGTAGAGTGCCCGGTGGTTCCGATAAGGAAAGACCATGTGATAGGCAAAACCTGTCTAGCTCATCTTGAAGGGACAGGAAAAAATTCGAAGGAGAAGCAAAACTTCCCTCTTTGACAAGGCATCCCTAAATTTCAGAGCTTGCTTCAAAAGTGGCAGAGCCCTATTTTCAGCTTCACCGGGATGGGTCATACCTGCTCCACAGGGAGTGCGCCCGGAGTCCATCTTCCATCGACATCACCATTTATTTCTATGGACAAGTTAGGAATCTCTTAACTGATTTGCCTTTGAGCAAGAATTGAAATGATATTGTTTCTATAGCAGAAATCGAGCTGCAAAACGATTGGGTTTCCCATGGTCTCTCTTTGATTGACCAAACATTAAAAAGAAGAGCCACACGGCAAACTAGCTCAAATGAATTTTCCTCAAGGAGCCATTTAATATATACTTTGAAGATAATGAGCGGAAGAGATACCGGCATAATCCAATTTGTTGATTTAGCAGGGAGTGAAAGATTAATAAAAAGCAGTGTAACTGGTGAAATGCTGAAAGAAACTCTTCTAATTAACAAATCGCTATCTGCTTTGCAAGACGTAATTGGAGCCTTAGAGAGCAAGCAAAACCATGTACCGTTTAGAAATTCAATTCTCACAAGAATTCTCCAGCCAACTTTAGGAGGATCTGAAAGTAAAATTACTTTTATTTTGAATTGCAGTCCTTCAGAATCCTGCTCAAACGAAACAGCTTCAACCTTGGCCCTCGGGCTAAGGCTTCAAGTGCTAGACTTTGGATTTCTAATCAGAAAAAATCTTAATTGTGAAGAAATCGAAAGAACACTCAAGCTTCTAGAAAAAGAAAGGGCGGAAAAGAATACAATATCAAGAAGACTTGATAAAGTAGAAAGAGATTTAGAAAGCTACCAATATGCCCTAAAGGATAGAGAAGTCAAGATGGGGATTTTGAATACGAAATATAAGCAGAAAGAAAAAACATTCCAGGATGAAATAACGAAGCTCAAAAAAGAATTAGTGAATTTAAAGGTGCAGCAGGATGAGACTAATAAAAGATTAAAAACAATTGCAGCTAAGGCAGAAAATGAAAATATTTTTAAAAGTAAAGCTGCACAGCTATCAAGAAATAAAGATGAACATGTTAAAAGAAAAGGCAGTATTAGTCCTTCTGCTTTAACTCGGCCGAGCTCAAATCCTCCTGAAGATGTTCGATACCAAAAATCGCAAACACCGTCTAGGATCCCCCAGCCTAAGCTTTCGTTTATAATTTCTGCCAATTCTATCAAAGATAATCAGCTGGTTTCATAGGCTTTATATAATGTACACATTGCTTTTTGTTCTAAATTTGATGATATTCCTGAAAAACTTTAAGTTCCTATTAAATATAAATTTAAACCTAAATTAATTATGCTTGAAGTTTGGGAGTATATGAATTATAAAAAATTAAATTTAGATTAGCTATATTTATCGCCGCGATGTACTTAAATAATAACAGTTTTGATGCGTAGACGAGGTTGGACGCTTTTTGGTGTCAATAGATCCCTCTCTAAGTTTACTTTGGCTTCTTGTTGTAGATAAAAATGGACTTTCAGGTCTATGAATCCTCGCAGCTGAATCAGACCTTTTTGGGGCAGGTGACTTTGTTTTTTCTCTTACTTTTGGCTCCCTTGAGTTTTCCCTTGTTTTTTCTTTCGTTTGGCTTAATCTCTTCTCAAGCACCCGAATTTCTTCACATTTTCTTTCATATTTCCTCTTATATAGCTCTGTAAGCGTATCTGGATAATTTTCTTTTTGACTAATGCTCTCTCTTAATTTTTTATACTTCTGTTCAGCAGAACTAAATTCTTTATCTCTTTCTTCCAAATATTGTTTATTTTTTGCTAGTTCTAATTCAAGCCGTTTATTTGTTTTTTCAAGGTCAGCTATCTTTTGTGAATCTTTTTTATTAGCAGTCCTCAGCATTGCAATTTCCTGCACAAATCTAGCCCTTTCTCCTCTATCTGTGATACACATCTCTCTTTCAGTTGAAGCGCCTTCACTGCTCCGTAAGGATTCCTGTTCTTTTAGCTTTTCTGAGAGTCGACAGTTATCTCTTTTAAGCTTATCAATAATTCTGCTACTGCTTTCTGAGTCTTTTCTTTCTTTTTCCATCTCATCAAGTTTAGCTTGAGTGCTTTCTATATGCAATTTCATTTGTTGCTCAATTTTTATATGGTTTCTAACTTCTCCTTCTAATTTTTGTAAAGCTTTTTGGTATTGCTCATGGGACCTGTAGTGATTGTAGTCCTCTGACATTTGAAAGTCCCTCTTGATTCGCACACAAATAAAATGGCGACGACACCGACCCGTCCTCTCCTGGAACTGTGGCGAGATTGGGGACCTTGCTGCGGCCTGAAGCCAATCCGCCCAGGGAAAGGTCTGGAATGGGTACTGGTAGTTTGTGTCCGGCTAGGTTTCCCTCCCAGTCCAGCAACGACGATCCTAGGGTCGTCCCGATAGGACACGGGGCAAAAAGGGTTTTTCCTCTAGGGACCGCTAGTGCCAATTTGGAGGGCATGGCAGGAGTCGACAAGAGCTAAGGAGTTAATCCTTAGCTCTAACCCTAGTCTGGCGACGTGAAGCACGGTGACCCAGTTCGCCTACTTCCGGGATAGCATGACCAAGCCCCATGACCGGAAGGAGCTGAGTGGTAGCCTGTGGCACTTAGGTGCACACTGGGAGCAGGGCAAGGAAAGCAAGCAAGGCGTCCAAAAGGCGGAAGAAAAGGACCTTCGGTCCTGGCCGGGAGCTACTCTATAATTTTAACTAAGACTAAGGCCCTCTTGATTCGCAAATAAGTCTTTGATAGTGTCACTAATATTTTCTAAAGATTCAAATGAGTCTAATTGAAGCACATCTGAAAGATCCATCATACTTTCGTCTGTTTTGTCATTCATGGAAGAGATTTCTGTGTGCAAAAATACACAAATATCCATGATCTTCTTTTCTAGCTTTGTCAGTCTTTCTAATGACATAAATTTAAATATGAGTATTATAACTGAATTATGAAGAATTCTTTTAGCTAATTTTTTCTGATTATTTAAATTTTTGTCGGGAAAGAAAGAAAAATTATTCAGAGAAATGATTAAGGATAAGCTTTAAGATGTAAAATAATGACTTTTTGGAAGGATGGAATTAATTAAGTAAAATGATTTTTATGGATATTTGAGTTTTTTTAATAGGAATTCAATTTTTTGTTAAAATGATTAAATTAAAAAAATATTGGATATAATTCTCTTTGCCAGAATTTTTTTCGCTGCCAAAGGATTTTTAAGATCAATTTAAAGGGCGTTTAATCAATTCCAGATTTTATTATAAATTTAAACAATTTTTTAATTGAGTTTTCTATGCAATAAAATTTATAGAAAGAACAAAGCTTAATGACTTTAGAAAAATTTGATAAGACAACATGAGCTATAATAAAACTCTCTTGATTGCGGATGCAATATAATTTTTTATAAAAATTTTCAAAAGGTGAAATAATGTTGATTTCTAAGGATGCTAAGTTTAGATTAAACATTAATTATTATATAATTCTAATATAATTTCTACTGTTTCAGGGTCTGCTACAACCATAGCTTCTATATTTAAATATTTAGAAGCCAAAAATATGCAAGCCCTGGCTATATTTTCAGCCTCTTTTTTCAAAGCAACCAAAGTTCTAAAGCTATCATTTGCAAAGTTATTTGCACATCTAAGAAAGCTATCTTTTAATTTTGGCTGCAAATTATATGAATTAACGAAGTTTGTGATGTATGAATAAGGAAGCGGAATTTCCGTGTTGAATCCTATGACGTCCAGGACATTGAACTCATAATCTATTATACTCTGTTTGAATTTTTGAAGCATTGCCGGAGACATCGGCGGGACTTGCAGTCTTGGGTTTCTTGCCATTTGAATAGCTGCACGTCTCTCATAAAACCCTTTGCAAAAAGTCTCTAAATGTCTTGGCTGTTCTAGAACTTTCCCTGCTAAAAACAGACATGCTGTAGCCAGTAGGAGACAGTCGTACTTGAACTTGCTGTGATTTACAGCAAACTAGCTCACAATTACTATATTAAAGTAAACTTGAGCGGTAGCAACACATGGCTGCGACAACCGGAGCGTAATGGCTAGGTCTCTAATAAACATTAAAGACTCTGCACAAAAACCCTGCTCCGAAGTCTTGTCATGGATTTTTATGGTTCTTTCGTGTGTTAAAATTAATTGTGACTTCAGAAGTTCCATTTTATAAGAACCCGCAGATTAATTAATTGCCCCTCAAAAATTTAATTATGACTTTTTTTGAAAAGCGACAGAATTAGGGAATTTTGAATTTTTATGAGAAATATAAATTAATCTTTATAAGCTGTTACTACTAAAGCTTCGTAAATGAGAGGCTCTTCTTTTTCAAACAAGATTTCTTCGAGCTCTTGTTTGACCAGATTTTCAAATTCATGGCTCTTTCCGACTTGTTTTGCACCATCTCGAAGGACAGGGTTATCAAGATACATTCCAAAAATGTCCTTTGGATCAATGACATTGAAGTGGTATTGTTCATAGAAGTAGCAGGCTCTTTTGAATCCAATCGACTTTACTAGTGCTTTCACTTTTTCTGGGTCTGCAAGTTCGAATCTTGGCTCAGCAGTTCCACGTTTAATTCCTAGTTTATTTCTGATTGATTTGTAAATTCTTAAAGTATTGCATATTCCCATTCTCCCATAAATTGAGAATGAGGCAACACCACCTGGTTTCAACACTCTATAAGCCTCACTGACAACCCAGTCAGGCTTTTTAACGATTTCTAAAAGGCCATTGGAAATATAGACATCAAAAGTGGCATCATGGAAAGATAAAGATTCAGCGTCTTGTTGAAAGACTTCTACTCCAGGATTAGCTGCTCTCGCCTTTTCAACAAACACATCACTAATATCTACTAAGGTGAATTGAGTGTTTGGAGAAGCAAATTTTTTCATAGCTTCTACTCCATTTCCTGACCCACACCCTGCATCAATTACTTTGTTGGCTTTATCTAATCTGAGAAAGCTTGCCATTGTCTCATACATCTTGGTGGAATTTTCATGGTTATATTTGATATATCAGTCTGCGACTTTATTCCAAAATATTCTTGATCCTTCTGATAACTCAGTTTGAGGAACTGTTTGAGTAGTTATGAGGCGAGCAATCAGCTTAGATCTTGACAACATTTATTATTTGAGCCATTAATTTAAACGAGACCATTTAATTAAGTCACACAATTTAAGCTTAAGTTATAATAGAAATTGGAAAAGATGTGATTTGATTCATAATATTAAATATCTGCTATTATGTATTTCTGATATTTTAACCCACATCTTTGCATATTGGGCTTTCTGTTGAGGTATGGCTAGACTTACAATCAAGTAAACTGCCAAATAGCTTAAGATAACTTATTTTTGCTTTTTTAAAAATGCTTTTATAAGTTAAATGGGTTTATTCCACAACTATAAACTTGAGAGTAAGCCTGAATAAATTGACACTCTTAATCCATTTATAAATTGGCAGACATAATTATAAACTCAAATATCTGCAAATGAACTAATAATGTTTTATTTATATTAAGACCCAAAATAATTCGGAGAAAAAATTAATATAAGGCTTTTCAGTTATCAAAGCTATTTGTTTCTACAATAAAATTAAAATTAATAAAAGAAAATGGCTATTTACTGCTTGAAAAGTGCTTATACGCGCATCCAACTGCAGCACATGCAAGTAATATTACAATATTTCCCATAAACTCTGGCTCTTCTCCTTCCATGAACCTAAAGGACTTAAGAGTTCGTTTTCCCGTGTTCGTTACATCACTACTTTCATTGTGAGTTGCAAGTACGACACAAATCATTGAAAGCACAACACTAACAGCCAGCCAGGCAGTGCTTTTCTTGGCTCCTTTCATTTTCGGTTTCTCTGGGTTTACCATTCCTTGGTAAAATGCCAGCTCTTTTTTCAATATCTCATTTTCAGCCCTTAAAGCTGTGTTTTCCAATGTCAATTTTTGATTGATGTCAGACAATTGTGAAATTTCTGTGTCCATTTTGTTCACTTCAATCTTTTTTCTTGCCCTGCTTCGGGTCGCGCTTTCACGATTTTGCCTTCTTTTTCTTGCTTTTTTATAGGCTTCAGTTCCTGCTGGATATAGACTTTCGTCGTCTTCAAGGAGTCTTTTTCTAGGCAAGCCAGGTGATGAGCACTCAGTTGTGTCTGAATAAGTAAAGTAATCAGGAAGGGGCTCTAGTTCTTGTAAGGTATATAGATCAAGGTCGGTCATCTGATGTCAGATTTAGTAATATTATCTTAAAAATGTATTAATTCTATTATACTTTTTGAAACTGTGTTTAGTTTTAGGTATATGCAGACTTGTATAGTTTAATATATAATTTTGTTGAAGAATCAATTAAATAAAGCATATAAAATTATCTATGACTATCTGTTGGTAATAAGCAACACGTGTTGATTTAATAATGCTTTTAACATAAAATAATTTACGAGACATTTAAATTTAAATATCTTTTATTAAATTATTTAAATTTCACATCATTTTCAATTTTCGCATACTCTAGCTCGAAATTGGCTTTTTTTTGTTGAGTCCATTTAACTTCATAGTCAAAATACAGATAAGTTCCTAGCTCCTTTTCAGGGGAAGTTGCTTTGGGATTCCCTTGTCTTTGAAACCAAGTTTGATATTGCTTATGATAAATTCAATCTTTAGATTTTAATAGCTTACTCGCAACAAATTGCTGATAACTTCCTTGCTGATGGTAAAATATAAAGAAAAGAGCATCTAAGTCAAGCTTTTTATATTGCTCAACGTCATTCATTAGAGGTTTTTTGGGAAAGCTGTTGTGAGTTTCGTAAGAAGTCTTTAAGATTTGGAGTTGAGATTTTTTTCTTTCATCTGGTCTAACAGCAAATCTGCAAGCAAAATCTAATGCTTCCTTTGAGTTTTCGATTGCAATTTTAGAGAATTCCTAAATTTTATCATACTTCGTCAGATTCATCTTGTTCTTCAGTATCATCTTGATTTCTTTCCATTTTTTAGACTAAAATTCTAAAAGCAAACTATTATGCAAATTTCAGCATTATTGATAAAAATTATTGCAGCTTAATCTTAAAATTTATAATTCTCTCAATTTTAATTTATTCTATATCTGTTTCCTTTCTCCGCCTCCTTCTGTGAGTGAACAAAAAATTTTGTTCGCTCATGGAGTTAATGAAAAATGAAATTTTTTCGAAGTTTAAAAAAAACCCATTTTTGCAAAAATTGGAAAGCCAAAATTAATTTATTTTTTAAAATGCAAACTGTTTAAAATTAAACAGAAAGAACAAGAGATTTCATTTACTAATTATCACTTGCATATCATAATTTTTTTCTTAAAAAAAAATTATATTAAAAAGACTTTTTGCTTGTTAATGGAGGGCGATTTTTCCATGGTTTTTCCACAACTCACTCACTCACTGAGAGAGGAAGGGAGGGAGGGAGTTAGTTATCATTATTCAATATACATATATATTTATATTTTTTATAAACTCAAATTAATTTTCATGCTTCAAGGCTATAATGGCTAGCGATTGCATCTTCTTAATGTAATTTTTCCTAATAGTAAATTTCTGTTATCCTCAAATGAATACTTCTGAATAAATAAAATGTCAGGTCATGCTGGTCTAAAGTCTTACTATCTTTCTAAGATAGAAGACCTGATGCATAAGGTTCAGCTCAAAATGTCAGAAGTAAAACGCCTTGAAGCCCAACGTAACGAAATGAACAACCAAGTCCGCAATCTGCGAGAAGAAATCCAGCTCTTGCAAGAACCCGGTTCCTATGTAGGTGAAGTCGTCAAGGTCATGGGGAAGAAAAAATGTCTCTGCAAGGTAAATCCCGAAGGAAAATTCGTAGTCAATATAGCTAAAGATATCCCACTTGATAAATTGACACCAAACACACGTGTCGCTTTGAAAAGTGACTCATACCAACTTCACAAGATCTTACCTAGCAAAATAGATCCATTAGTCAGTCTGATGAAAGTTGAAAAAGTCCCAGACTCCACTTATGACATGATCGGAGGTCTAGATCAGCAAATAAAAGAAGTTAAAGAGGTCATTGAGCTCCCTATCAAGCATCCAGAAATTTTCGAAGCTCTAGGCATTGCTCAGCCTAAAGGAGTTTTACTATATGGCCCTCCAGGAACAGGCAAAACTTTGCTAGCGAGAGCTGTTGCTCATCATACTGACTGCACATTTATCAGGGTTTCAGGTGCGGAATTAGTTCAGAAGTATATAGGAGAAGGGTCAAGGATGGTGAGAGAACTGTTTGTGATGGCCAGAGAGCACGCGCCTTCTATTATCTTTATGGATGAAATTGACTCTATTGGTGGGACAAGAATATCTGGAGAGCATGGAGGAGACTCTGAAGTGCAGAGAACTATGCTTGAGCTCTTAAACCAATTGGATGGGTTTGAGGCTAATAAAGACATCAAAGTTATCATGGCAACGAATAGAATTGATATTTTAGATGAAGCTTTGTTAAGGCCAGGCAGAATTGATAGAAAAATTGAATTCCCTAATCCTGATGAAGACGCCAGGGCACAAATTTTAAAAATTCACTCAAGAAAAATGAACCTAACTAGAGGAATTGATTTTAAGAAAGTGGCAAGCAATATGAACGGTGCTTCAGCTGCAGAGACCAAAGCTGTTTGCACAGAAGCAGGAATTTTCGCATTAAGAGAAAGAAGAGTTCACGTGACTCAAGAGGACTTTGAGTTAGCTGTTGCAAAAGTGATGAAGAAAGATACAGACAAGAATTTATCATTTGCTAAGTTATGGAAGTAGTTTAGCCAATTAAAACGGTTTCTTTATCTTTAAAATTCATCATCCCAGTGAGGCGGTGGAGTTCTTGATCGTAACTTGCGGGTATCAACAACTTCTTTTCCATCTTCGCGCTTCATAAAAGCAAAAATATCTCTTGGATTTCTTAGTTCTCTTGCAATTTCAGTATCCAAACTTTCAAGCTTTGGAACATGAGGAGCTGGAATCTGCTTTCCTAATAAAGCATCCCAATCCAGCCCTTCAAACCATTTGTGTGCTTTAATTGTATCATATGTGCCTCTCATAGCTGGATTTTTGTTCAAAAGAAGCTCAATCATCGGTGCAGCCTTTAAATTTTGACCCACAAAATTTGGGTAGGATAAGCGTCTTTCTAGAACTTTCTCATAAATCCTATATGGATCTTCCTCTTCTTCTCCAAACGGGACTCCTCCACACAAAAATTCGTAAATCATAATTCCTACGGTTCAATAATCAGCAGCTAGCCCATATCCTTTCCCAAGAATGACTTCTGGGGCCATATAATGAGGTGTCCCTACAACTGTATAAGTTCTGTTACTCACAAATTTCGCTGTCCCAAAGTCTATCATTTTTGGGTATCCGTCTTCATCAATCATGATATTTTCTGGCTTGAGATCTCGGTAAATGATTTTTCTTTCATGAAGGTGCTCAAGCATCAGCATAATGCATCCAGCATAAAACCTGGAATACTCGTTATTCAGGATATTTAAAATTCGGAGAACGTCGAATAAATCTTTCCCCCTTACAAATTCAATTAAAAAGTAGATCCTATCAGCATCTTTTAGGGTCTTTACTAGCTTCATGATTAAAGGATGGTCAATTTGTAGCAGAATCTTTCTTTCGAGAATCAGGTTATCGTAGATTTCATAAGCCTGTATTTTGGTTCTAGGAACTGTTTTCAGAGCATATGGAGTTTTTGTTTTTTTATTGACCGATAAATAAACCGTACCGAACATTCCTTTGCCAAGTCCTTTTACAATGCAGAGATCATCTAATACGACAGAGTCGTTTTGCAGTTCAATCCTCTTCATTAATTGGTTACGGATTCCTTCATCGATCAGGCTGATAAAGGCTTGTCTATCAAGCACCCAGCATGATGCGCTTCCTTTTGCGATAACTGTGGCTGTTCGGTTTTCGTTGTGAATAATAGATCTCTCCCCGAAAAAGTCATGCTTGATAATTGTTCTTATTAGCGTCCCATCTTTAAATATATCAACTTGGCCTTCTTTTACTATATAAAAAGAATCTCCTACATCATCTTGTCTGAAAATTGCATCTTGATCGTGATACTCTTTTACTCTTAAAACAGCAGCTATAGCTTCTAATTTCTGAGAAGGCAAAGCTCTTAATAGCTGCACTCTTCTTAAAATCCCTACAACTTCATTATGATTTGAAATCGATGAAAGTGGCCCTCCAATGCTTGCTTCGAGCTCTTCCCACGTGATTTCTGCTATCGTAGTTTCTCCTTGAGTAACATACTCTGACTCATAAACTAAATTATTTGTGATTTCACTGTCGCCATCTCCGACACATCCAAATACCTCAATTGCTTTTGTGCCACCCTTAGTTGTTAACTTTCCTTGAAGAACAACCCAAATTTTTTCTTTTTTGGGGTTTCCTCTGTGTATAACAACTTGTGAGTCTTGATAAGAAGCTATATGCATTTTTCCAATAACAACTTCAACCTGACCGTTGGTGAGACAAGTCAAGTATCGGCTTTGGTTAAGAGCAATCCTTTGAGAATTCCTATATAAAAGTTGTTGCAATTCTCCACCTAACACTTTTTGTAAACTTTCTCTGCCAATCGAAAGAACTTTTACCTTGGTTATTGCGGTTACTGTTGCGGTCCTCACAGTATCATAAAGCAATGCCTGCTCTCCAAAGAATTCGCCTCTTCCCAGCTGTCTAATTTCGTTTCCTTTAAATGTACAGCTTACAGTGCCGAGTTTGATTATATACATCAAATCTCCTGGATCTCCTTCTGTAACGATTTTTTGGCCTGGGGAATATTCCATAGGCACCATTACAGCAAGCAATGATTCTTTTTGGTCCTCAGTGAGCAAATTCAGGATTGGGATGCTTTCTAAAAATTGCTTATTTTCTTCATATTTTCTTGCGTTTACTGATTCGACCGCTGATATAAATAAAATGGCATTCGGTTCGAATGAAATTAGCTTCGCTAATTTTCTCTCCCTCAAGCAATTTTATTTATGGGGTTAGGCTTTCTTCTGAGAACTTCTGTACAGCGATAGTTGTTTAACTCTCTAAGTACATCAAGAGGCTCGAAGTTTACCTCTCAGCACACCCGAGGAAGGTGACCCTTAGGCGGAACACGCGCAGGAGCTGAGTCAAAGAAGGCAAGGTAACGCAGCCCGTCGAAGCTAGAATGCTGTATTTTCCTGTACTCTGGAGAAACAAAGTGGATCGATCCAGAGATCCATGAGCCCGACACGTGGACAAATATGGTGGCAGCTCTGGAAACGGCTACTCCGTAGTGGACGTTAAACGTTATAGATAATATAACGATAAGATTCTACCGCTGATCTGAAAGCTTGCCTGCCAATTCCCCACAGTCTTGCTCTTTCTATAGTTTTAATTGTAGCAGTTCTAACTGAATCATGTAAGAGAGCGAGCTCTCCAAAACATTTACCTTTACCAAGAAAGCCTTTTGATTGTCCATTAACGATAATTTCAACTCTTCCAGCAGAAATAATAAAAAAATTGTTGCCCGGCTGGCCTTGCTCAAATACAAATTCCCTGGGGCCCATCTCATAAAATTTCATTTGTTCAATTACCAATTCAACATTTTGCCGTGGCAAACTGTTGAATAGTGAGTGTGTTAATAGAGCTTCTCTGATTTCTTCTTTTTCGCGGTCTGTTTTAGGCTTTTCTGTGATTACTGCTGTGGCAGCGTCAACATCTTCTGGCCCAATTCGTCTTCTATTAAGTCTTATTATATTGATTATGATGATTTTTATAATAAAAATGATATATCTAAATAAATAAAAGTGAGTATATCTGCAACGGGTGCCTTCTTTTTGATGTTTTTACGACCCAGCTGGGTTTCATCTTTAGTTTCTTCTTTACTCCCCTTCCTCAGCGAACACTAAAATTTTGTTCGCTCATAGAGACGAGTTAATTTTTTTTTAAAAATTTTAAAATAATCCAATTCGAAATAATTAAAGACTTATAAATTTGTGTTTTATAATGCAAGCCGTTTAAAATTTAACAGAATTAAAAAGAGATTTCATTATAAGGACCCCCCCCTCATTTGTCGAATTTTCTAGTCTTTTTTTGAGAAGAAAATTTTGTTTTTCAGGACCTCATTTGTCCCAAAATCTAGTCAAAAATGATTTGTCCAATTTTCTAATCTTTTTTGCAATTTTTCGAATGCCCTAAATTCTAGTTTTTTACTTTAAAAAAAACTAGAAAATGAGACAATTGAGTTCCTGAAAATTTTTTTTCTCTATCAAAATTTTGACTAGAAAATTGGACAAATGAGGTTCTAAAAAAATTTTTTTTCCCTATAAAACAAACTAGAAAAAATGGACAAATGATAAAAGACTAGAAAATTGGACAAATGAGGGGGGGTTCCTTACTAGGGGCAACTTATAGATCAACTATTTTTTGATAAAAAATTTTTGTTCGCTCAGAAGGGAAGCTTTTATCCAAAAATAGAGATGATTTTTTTATGGTTTTGCTCGCTTACAGGGAGTTAGCAATTTTTGGCAATGCAGGATGAGATGGTATTTGTGATAAATCAGTTTCTTGAACTTTTGGATTTTTAACTTTGGACTTCGATACACAGCTACCCATTTAATATAAGCTATTTTATATAGCTCTCCCTCCTCCATTAGCATACAAGTTTGTTTTTGTTTGCTGCAAAGAGTTTAATTTTTATTTTTAAAATTTAAAAAATCAGATATTGCAAAAATTAAAAATTAATTAATAAAATGAATATTTTAGAAATGCAAGCTGTTTAAAATGAATAATTGGTAATGGATTTATTTTAATATTGCTTTACATCAATATAATTTTATATGAAAAGCATTTTTGTTCATTCATAAGGGTCGGTCTTCTGCAAAAAGTAGGATTTTTTCAATGCCTTTGCTCACTAGCAGAGCAGAAGTTAAGAAAAAAGATTTGCAATTCAAAATAAACTGTGAAAAACGAATTCTGAAAATAAGAAAAAATATATAAATTTCAATTAACTTTTTTAGTTAAAAAGAATAATTTATATTTTTTGAATAAGAATGCAGCAAATTACTTTAAAATGACATTATACTCACCCTTATAAAGTTAATGATATAATTAATATTGCAGTGTTTAAATTGAAATATTTATTCAAAGCCTATGGCTATCTATTAGTTTAGCTTTGACAGAGACAATTTCAATTTTCATTACTGGCTTTTAATAAAAAGAGGAAAAATAATAAATAAATTATTGAAATTTCGTCATAAAAAGATAAAGTGAAAATAATGCCCTCGTCCCTAAGAGTCATTTTTTGAGTTTAAAACTAATAAATAAAGAAATCATTTACAAAAAAAATGATTTATTTTATTTCATGATTTTTAATTGCCATAATTACTTTCGATAAATAGGATTGGATAGTATATCATCATAAAAGTATTTATTATTATAATAAACCTTCCTTCTGTTTAAACAATATATAAGTAGCTGTATTTTATACTATTTTGATTAAATAATAATTATTTAATTAAAACTCCATCTGGCTCATTGTGAACAACTAGCATTCTAAAACTTAAATTTATAGAGTAAGTGCAATTGATTACATAATCTGAAGCCAAAATTAAAATTTTGATATAAATAAGCATTTACAAATTATTAATCATCTTCTACATTCGGGCAAATTAGTCTTACTTTCTCTTGAATGGAAGAGTTAAAGATTTTGATTAATAATGTATAATTTTTGAAATTTTGGATAATATTTAATTTGATTAAGATATTAGTTGATTTTTAAATTAGATTAAGAGTGAAATCTACAAAATGGTTCTAAATTTACAATAAGACTTTTTTTGGAATATTCTTTCAAAGGAGTTTACTAAACTATAATATTTTGGTTTAATTGAATTTATTCGAGCCTCTTGCGGGTGGTCTGTAAAGAAGCACACTGTACTTTTTTACAGTCAGCTTTTTTACATTCAAAGTGACTGGCAATATTGAATTTTTTTCCCAACAGGAAAAAAAGTACGGTAAAAACAGAATTTTTCCAAATCTATACCTGAGAAAAGTACAAAATTGGAAAAAAATTCTCTCACCTCCCTCCATGGGAGACAAAAAAATTGTTCGCTCATGAAGGGGTTAATTTTATTTTTATATAAAGTTTATAAAAAACTTTTACATTAAAAAAATTTTTGTTATCTTACAGAGGGTGGGGTTTTACACAAAAAATAGGCATTTTTCCAATTGTTTTGGTCGCTCACGGAGGGAGGAGTAAGGAAGGAATTATATTGAATAAAGAAAGGACTTAATAAAAGAAACTATCAATTGCAGCCATTGTGTTTATTCTTATTCTAATAATTTATTAGCTTTAATTGATTATCATGTAAGATCTTTTATTATAGCTTTAAGTTTACAATGTCTAAAAACTTGAACATTAAATTCTATTTTCTTATTGAAATTGTATACAAGATGTTGGAGTGCTTTATTTTTGAATTAAGGAAAATAAAAATATTTCTTTTATACAATCTTGAAATTAATTACGAATTTAAATGATTTTTATACTTAGTTTACTTAAGCTCCAACTTGAAATCAATGCATGGAAATCATTTTTACATATATCTATTAGGCCGGAGTAGTTAATTAAGTTTAAATATAGATTTTTGCCATAGATAGCGCCATTAGCCTATGAATTAGTCACATATTTTTGTTCGGCCAAGGTTATTTTTGGACGGACCTGCTTAAAATTAGATTTGGCCAAAAAATAACCTTGCCGGATCAAAATATGGAGTCAGTGGCTAATTCATAGGCTAATAGAGCTATCCATTGCAAAAATCTATAATATCTTTGCTGAATGAATTTTGGAAGGCTCAATCGTTGCATCTATATTCTGGGTAGTAAAAGCAGTTTAAATGATAATTCTAAAGAGCTTGATTTTCATTATTATAACATAATTGAATTAAATGCAATGAAAAAATAAGTATATGTTAAATGCTTTGTAAAATAAGTTGTAAATTCCTTACTCCCCGCTCCATTAGCGAGCTAAATAATTTTGTTCGCTGCGCAGGGGTAAATTTTTATTATTAATTTTAAAATAATTTTTTTCGAAATTTAAAAAATTTCCAATTGCAAAAATTGAGAAGTAAAATTAATTTAATTAAAAACTTGTTTTTTAAAATGAAAGTGTTTAAATTAATAAATTAAACAGAATTGGATAAAGATTTCATTATAATAATTATCACTTATTTACCGAAATATTTTTTTAAAAACCATTTTTATATCGTTAATCTTTTAAATAGCTTTGCTAACTCACTCCATGAGCGAGCTAATTTTTTTTTTGATAGAGAGATCATGGCTATTAAAATTAAAATCTCTAGCTAATTATATTACATTTTAATAGCATGCATTTTTAAAATCTAAATTATATAAATTGAACAGCATTCTTAAAGATTTTAAAAAGGAATTTAAAAAAACCATCGTGTGAGGAAGCAAAAGAATTTAAGAGACTAAGTTAGTTTTCAGTATATCTATAGCTGTCTGGATGGTGATCACATCTCAATATTGATTCACTTTCTCATAACTTAGTTCCATAACTTATTCCTATGCATAAATAGGATACTTGGAAAGAACGGCTTTAAACAATAAATTGAATAAGCTTTCTTTGATTTTTCATTCTCTAATTATCAATAATTTTAATCCAAAAATCAGATTCCACCCTACTCCTCATTGTAGCACTCTTAGTAGTGATAATATTCAATCAAATAGTAAACTTTAATCAGAAAGCCAATTTAGCAAAAACTGAAGTCTTTATATGGGTCAAAAATCAATAAATGCCTCTTTGATTTATTTTGGTTTTGCTGAAATTTTAAGTTAATAGAGATCATAAAATCAGCCCTTTTACCCTGTTTCAAATGCCCAGAATTTTCATTTTAAAATGGCTTTTAAAATCATGGGTACCTATAGGTATTTTTTACTATAAACTGGATTAAATTAAATGCCATCTCAGCTTACCTAAGTTTTTCTTAAAATCTGCTGATTCTATTTTTAAAGGAAAATCATCAATCTTAAATATACCATTTTAAAATCATGGGGGTAGTTAAGTTTCCATAACTCTATTTAAGGCCATGTATAACTGTATGCCGTAAATTAAAGAATCCAATGAGAGAAGTTATTTCAATCCACGTAGGTCAAGCCGGTATTCAAGTCGGTAACGCTTGTTGGGAACTCTACTGTCTCGAACATGGTATCCAGCCAGATGGTCAAATGCCAAGTGACAAGACTATTGGAGGAGGAGATGATGCCTTCAACACTTTCTTCAGCGAAACTGGAGCTGGCAAACACGTTCCTCGTGCCGTCTTCTTGGATCTTGAACCAACTGTCATCGATGAAGTCAGAACTGGAACCTACCGCCAACTTTTCCACCCTGAACAATTGATCTCAGGAAAGGAAGATGCCGCCAACAACTTCGCCCGTGGTCACTACACCATTGGTAAAGAAATTGTTGACCTCTGCTTAGACAGAATCAGAAAACTCGCTGATAACTGCACTGGTCTCCAAGGCTTCTTAGTCTTCAACTCAGTCGGAGGTGGTACTGGCTCAGGTCTCGGCTCCCTCCTTCTTGAAAGACTTTCAGTCGATTACGGAAAGAAATCCAAGCTCGGTTTCACCGTCTACCCAAGCCCTCAGGTTTCAACTGCAGTCGTTGAACCATACAACTCAGTCCTGTCAACCCACTCCCTCCTTGAACACACTGATGTTGCAGTTATGCTTGATAACGAAGCTATTTACGATATCTGCAGAAGACAACTCGATATTGAAAGACCAACTTACACCAACTTGAACAGACTCATTGCCCAAGTCATTTCTTCATTGACTGCTTCCCTCAGATTCGATGGTGCCTTGAACGTCGATGTCACTGAATTCCAGACCAACCTTGTCCCATACCCTAGAATTCACTTCATGCTTTCTTCATACGCCCCAATCATTTCAGCTGAAAAGGCCTACCACGAACAACTCTCAGTCGCTGAAATCACCAACTCAGCCTTCGAACCAGCCTCTATGATGGCTAAATGCGACCCAAGACACGGTAAATACATGGCTTGCTGCATGATGTACAGAGGAGATGTTGTACCAAAGGATGTCAACGCAGCTGTCGCCACCATTAAGACCAAGAGAACCATCCAATTCGTCGATTGGTGCCCAACTGGATTCAAATGTGGAATTAACTACCAACCACCAACAGTCGTACCTGGTGGAGATTTAGCCAAAGTCATGAGAGCTGTCTGTATGATCAGCAACTCAACTGCCATTGCTGAAGTCTTCTCAAGAATTGATCATAAATTCGATTTAATGTACGCCAAGAGAGCCTTCGTCCACTGGTATGTCGGTGAAGGTATGGAAGAAGGAGAATTCTCAGAAGCAAGAGAAGATTTGGCCGCCCTTGAAAAAGATTACGAAGAAGTCGGTATTGAAACTGCTGAAGCTGAAGGAGAAGAAGAAGGATACGGTGAGGAACTCTAAATCCTTTGTTTTAAAAAAATTTTTGTGGGGTTAATATTGTTTAGTTATTAACTGAAGAATTAATAATAATATTTTTTTATTTTTTGAGATGGAGGGGTAAGTTAATAAAATCCTTTAAAGTAAATGTGGCTTTAGTATATTTATGGAGCTTGTTTTATACTTTTGAGCAACATTCAAATTCTGGGTTGAAAATAATTATTACTCAAAGATTGTTTGACTACTTCATTTCATCTGTTTTATATTTTTGTCTAACATTTTAAAGTGCTGCTTATATTTATAATTTAAAATAATTATATGTCTTTATTAATTGCCTGCTACTTTATGCTATTTTATTCCTCTTATATTTTAAAAGTTTCTCAAATATGTTTATAACATTTTAAATTTATCACACAATTTTGATGCTTCCTAAAATATTCCTAAATCTATTGAATCTTTGTATTTTTATGTTATGAGCATAGTGATATAGCGGCTATCTAACCCTATTTAATATATTTATCTTATCGACTTTACCAAAATCTCATAATGACTACTATTAAGAACAGACTCCAGGAAGGATAAGCATATCAAAATAAAAAAGATTTAAGGAATTAGGAAGCTCTTGAATTAAACACATTTTAAAGCCTGAAAGCAAAGGATAAACGTGTACCAAACCCCTCAAGTTTACAGTAAGTGTGGTAAGGAAGCTTTTAAAATGTTAACAGGTTTTGTTGGAGTAGAAATATTAGATGAAAAGTTTTGAAATTTTGATGAATCTAAACTTAAAAAAATTAATGATTACAAAATATGAATTCGGGTTAATAATCCTTGCAATAATTACCCTGATTACCTAATAAAAGAAAAGAAATTATATTTTATGTTATGATATCTGAATAAGAGATTAGATTAGATTATTAAAGTCAGGCGTTAGCCATATTGGTGACGCAGTCACCAAAGACCTCCCGTACGGGAGGTTCATCCGCTTTTCGACTCAAGCCCAGAGAGTCTATCCCTCTTGCGAGTGCCCTTCCGGCACCTTCTGTCTCCTCCTTGCCTTAAGGCTTCAGTCTTGAGTGGGCAGCTTATGGATTTCTGCGGCCCTGCTACTGGCGATTGGAGTAGCTTGATTCCAGGGATCAACTCCTTGGAGTCTATCGGGTGTCGAAGTGCCTTTCTTCGACAGCTACAGGAAAAAGACTGTTCTCCTGTGGCCTGGGCCGAAACCCCCAGTTTCTCGGTAGAGGAATGCCCATGGGTCCTCGGATCCAAAGGACGCTGTCGAGCACCTCCATTTCCAACCACAGGAAAGCAGCCAAAACCTACCCCGGATACACACCTCTAGAGCCTGCACTAGATTCTCAGCTCGGAGTCCGTCCCAGTTCGCCGTAGCCATAAGGTCTGGACTACTGCGCCAAGAGGGCAGGTTGACACGTGTCGCCATTTTAATGTATATATCTGAATAAGAGATATTTAGGGATTAATTTGGATAATTAATATTGAAGAGAGGAAATTGTATGTGGTGCAGCGAGACTTTTGTACCTATTTCATGAAGAGTAAGTGTGCAAGATTTCGATCTCGAATTTAAAACAAAAGTGGATGTGTCTTAAATTAAAGCAGAAAGAAAAAGATATGTGTGGAGATCGAGTTCTAACATCATTTTTAATACAAATTCTACAACAAATCGTAAGGAAAATTAATTTTGGTTACCATTTATATGAAATTAAAATCAAACTTATAAAAAAGTAAATTAAAATAGGAAAAAAATATTTTAATAACTCTTTTATCACAGTTTTGTTTAACTATATGCTTATTTATGATTTTTATCCATTATTCGTTTAGTTATATGCTCTCAGATTTGTAATATGACTTATATGCTTTATTAAAATACATTTTTAAAAAATAGCTAAAGTGAAATTGCAATATTTTATCAATTTCCAAAATATACTTTTTTGATCAAAATGATTCAGATAAAATTTCAACTTTTTTTTGATTATGCATCACTTCTTACTCCCCTTGTGAGCGAAAAAAAAAATCCCACTTCGCAAAAATTGGAAAGCAAATATTAATTTAATTTGAAAAATTTATGTTATAAAACATTAAACAGAATTAGCAAGAGGTTTCATTATAATAATTATCATTTATATATCAATTTTTTTTTTCCATAAAAAATTTTCTATTAAAAAAAATTTTCGTCCGCTCACGGAGGGGAGGGGAGTTAATATTTATTTCACCAATTTGCTTGCTTGGTTAATATAATAGGGCTTATTTAAGAATGACGATTTTTTTAAAATTAAGAGAAACTCTTTTATTTTTGAGATTTTATCGAAACCCAAATATTTAGATATTCTGAAAATAATATTGATCAGCATTATATATAATATAAAAGATTTATCATCATATATGGAAGGCACTTTAAAAACAGGTTGGATTGAAAAGAGATCGCATTATCTTAAAAAGTGGAGAAAGAGATGGCTTGTTCTCAATGAAACCTCCATTTCTACATATAAGCATCCTGAGTCCACAGCAACTCCCACTGCAAATATCAGCATTAATTCCATTGTAGAAGCTGGCCCTTGGGATCAAGAAAATAATAGAGAATTTTGTTTCAAAATTGCCACTCCATCGAGACAATACATCATTTCTACGAATTCCTCTTCGGATTTAGGAGGCTGACTCGATCTAATTACAAGTGCTATGAATTCCCCAAAAAACTCAACAATATTGAATATCTCGAATTTCCAGGAACGCAAAGCCTTAACTCCCCTTCGTGAGCAAAAATTTTTATATAAAAAAAACAATTTTGGAATAAGTTTTAAATAGTATAATAAAATCTCTAGTTAATTAAATAGGATTTAAACAGTTTGCATTTCAAACATAATTTTTACAAATTAAAAATACTTTCGGTTCCCATTTTTGGAACTTTTTAAATTTCAATAAAAATATATGCTAAAAATTTTTTTGCTCACTCATGGATGATGATTTTTACCCAAAAAATAGTAATTTTTTCAATGTTTTTGTTCGCTCTAGGGAGCAAGCGACATTTCTTTAATTTCTGTCTTTTCCAAAATTAAAGAAATTTTAAATAATCGAGAACAAGATCTTAGTCAAGAGATTGAAAATTTGTACGAAAACCATATTAAAATAGCAGAAATTGAGCAAATAAAAATTAATGAAATCTTAGAATCAGAAACCAAAAGTTATGAAAAATTTGAAAATATCTTAAAATCGAATAGATCAGCTGTACATAAAATTAGACTTATTCAAGCTATAAAAAGAAATAACTTAATGTTCAAAGACTTTGATAACGAATCAGAAACTCAATTTAGTGTAGCAATTCCTGACGAAGGGCTCAAAAAAATAATTCACTCTTCAACTCGTGTAAGGCTTGATAACCCACTTGAAGAAAAAATAAGAAGAACAACAATAACGAGGGCTCTTAAATGGAGGTACACTGGTGAGCGTATTGATGCGCTAACTTTTACAGTTTCTGAGCCTATAAAACTCACTGGAGTTGGAATCTGTGCTCCTTATAAAGCTGGAGGAGTCACAACGGTAAAAGAGTTTCAAGTGATTAAAGGGAATTATACTGGCTCATCATCTGCTTATCGTCATCCTCAAAGTATTGTAATTGAATATAACTCTGATGAATCAGTCTTCAAAATTGAGATGGATAGCCCAATACCGATTTCAAAAAATCACAAATACACAGTGATGTTTTGTATAGAAGGGTCTCATACTTATAAATGTGTCGACTGCATGCAATCTGTGACGGGGCCGGGACATATTCGATGGGATTTTGAAAATACAACTTTCTCTCAAAATCATCAAAATAATCGCTGTGATACAATTTGCGGACCAATAGCTGACTTTTATTATATAGTTGATTAGGAATTAATTAAATATGCCTTATTATTAAATATATTCTGATTATGTTAATAAATCAATAAATGCCAGAAATTTTTGTTATAAAAAAAATATATCCATTCTAATATAATAAAGCAAATCTTATAATCCTGCTAAAGCTATTATGAAATTAGTAATTATTTTGCATAATATTTTGCAATCGTAAATTTCATTCATGATGAAATAGCAAAAGGCAATTATAAAAACTTTTAGCTCAGTTTCAAATTAAACCCTGTTTTTATATAATTAATTTTTAAAAAAAAATGGTTTACTGTGCTTTCAACACAATCATTATTTTGAATTATCATACATTATTGAGGATCGCATAAACATTATGATGGAAAATTATCAGGAATAATTATTACGATATCGGAGTAAATTTCCTTTTGAAAATTTTAAATTAAAAGATATAAAATTACTGTTTTTTATCATTTTTTAATTATATCAATGGAGTCAAATTATGTGAGAGTCGGAGGAAAATACGTTCTACGGAAAAGAATAGGTGGAGGCTCATTTGGAGATATTTTTTATGGATCTAATTTAGAAACTCAAGCGGATGTCGCAATAAAATTAGAAAGTGTAAATACAACCCCACCTCAACTTATAAATGAAGCTAAAATAATCAGAAGTCTAAAAGGTGAAGGAATTCCAAAAGTCTACTGATCAGGGTCTGAGGGCAATTATAACATCATGGCTATGGAGCTTTTAGGATCTTCACTAGAAGATGCTTTCGCAGCAAATGACAGGAGAATATCCACAAAATCTGCCTGCATGATGTGCGATCAAATGGTTCAGAGGATAGAAACCATCCACAACCAAGACTATATCCACAGAGATATCAAACCGGAAAATTTTTTATTTGGCTTGAATGAAAAAGAAAGCCAGATTTATATAATTGACTTCGGACTTTCAAAAAAATACAGAGAAAGCAAAACAAAGCAGCATATTCAATACAAAGATAAAAAGAGCTTAACTGGGACTGCAAGATATGCATCTTTAAATGCACATCAAGGGATAGATCAAACTAGAAGAGACGATTTAGAAGGAATAATATATGTTTTCATAGGCTCCATGTCAAATGACTGTGAATTTTGATATTGCGACATCTCCTAGGGAAAATTTGTTCGAATAATTTTTGATAGTTAGACGTTAGACAGATAAAACAGTTAAATTTCGGCCAAATGGGTACACTAGTTAAAAAATTTCGACCAAAAGTACTTTGGTGAAATATACACTATCAAAAAGGCACTATCATTGGCCTCACCTGTTTTCATATATTTTCTAAAAGGAGCTTTGCCTTGGCAAGGACTACACATAAAAAATAAAACCGAAAAGTACAACAAAATAATGACTACAAAAATGAACACAAGTGTGGGAGAGTTATGTAAAGGCTGTCCTTCTGAAGTAGCTGTTTTACTTAATTACTGCAAAGGACTGAGATTTGAAGAAAATCCTAATTACAATTATATGAGAGAACAAATTGCATCAATTGCAAGAAAAGAAAATTTTCAGCTTGATTTGATATTCGAATGAAGCAAGTTTAACAAAGGTCGTAGCTCAGTAAAAAAAGCTGAAATCGAGGAAATTGAAGTTCCAGTTCAGAAAGGAAAAAAGACGAAAAAGATAAGAAAAAAGCAAGCGATTGGGAAAAGTCCAAAAAATATAGAAACTGAGCAGATATTAGCACCTGCTCAAGCTGAAGTCAAAGACGAAGATTGCGAAACCGTAGTTGGCAATAGTTGACCAGAGTTTTTTGATCGCGAAAAGATATTCAGTTTTCGACAAAACAAGAGCCGGATAGCTTTCCAATGAAAATGGAAACAGAAGAAACAGATGCAATGGAAAGAGATGGAAGTCTTTGCATAATGTTTTAATTATGTAATTAAGTTTCAAAGAAAACAGTTTGCAATTCCTATTTATAGCTAATAATTTAAAATAAATGAAATAGAAATACCCGTTAAGCTAATTGAAAATAGTCATTAATTCTTGCTTGCATTCATCAGCCTTGCCAGTGCAAGATTTAGAGCCAATAACACTATCCAATCCTAATTGCCTAGAAATATCAACCAGCTCACTATTAATCCCACTTCCTGCTAAAATATTTCCTACTGCACAAAATGCTCTGAACTGGCTTTCCATCTCTCCTTCTGCATTTATAAATTCCATCAGCGCTGAAAGCACTTGGATTTTCCCTTCATTTTCCTTCTCTGCAATCAAATCTACTGAAAAATTGAACAGCAAAGTCACCAATCCGAGCCTTACGTTGTTATTAGTATTATCAATGTGAGCTAAAACTGCATCTAGAACTGACTCTCTTCTGTGGGAAATCATTGAATGCGAAGTATTTCCATAAAATAAATTGCAAAGAAGCTTCAGACCTGTAATTAAAATTGGATTTTCTTGAGAACGGGAAATCTGTGCAGTGATTACTGCTAAATGTCGAGAACCATGGTCTGCACCTTTGAACATCTCTTGAGCTGAGTTGTGGAGGAGAGAGATCCTGAATAAATCAAAGACAGGGAATATGTTTTCTCTTGGCCAGTTAATGAGTTTTAGCAGTAAGTCGGTATCTTTGTATGTAAGAGATGTTTGCTTATAGTCTTTTGGGTTTCCTAGTGCTTGGGCAATCCTATCGAGCTCTCTTAGCTCTGCTTCATTTAGCTGATGAGGAGTAACTAGGTTTGCATTGAATTCTTTGATTTTATTGATGATTGGCTGGATATTAAAAGTGTCAAAATAGATAGGAGCTTGCTGAGGGAAAAATCTGTTAGAGATCTGCCTAACTTGTGGTGCTGCAGGAGCACTGTTATAACTAGGCTGAGCATTGCTCATGATAAATTTAGTTATTTCACTTATTCCACTCTGTATGCGAACAGAAATATTTTAATATAAAAATTATTTATTTCAAAAATCTAAAAAACATTCCAATTGGAAAGCAAATTATGATTTTCAAAATTTATGTTTTAGAAATCAAGCTATTTAAAATTAACAGAACTAATTAGAGATTTCTTTATAATCAACCTTTTTTCATATTAAAAAAAGGTTTTCTTGGGATTTTTACTATGTTTTTGCCAAACATGTAAGGGAGTTACATATTCTTTGTTCAGCCCTTCTCGAGCTATGAATTTTTCAGCAGTTTCCAAAGGATTGTCAGCATTATTATAAGGCATTTTTCTCATAACCCCGTCTCCTAATTCTACATCAAAAACGTAGTCATAATCCCCAGCCTTGAACAGTCTATCTCCATCATAATGCTTTTTCACAGGATTTTTTCCAGATGCCCCTTGGCCTACAACCTCTCCAATTCTTTCCCAAAATTCTCCTTCCACATGCCAAACATATGCTTCAGGAACTCCAAAATTATTAAAAACTTGGACATCGCCTTCTTTTTTCCCTTTCACATTCGAAATATCATTAATCGACTGCATTTTGTCAATATCCATCGCTGCTTCATCCTTTGGAACTTCTGTGCATTTTTTATTGTATTCTTCAATTTCTTCTGGCGCAGCAACTCTTGGTCTATCCCTTGTAAAGACTCTTATAAAACAATCAGCACCAGCAGTAATTATGTCATCTTCAAAATTCATTGCCACATCCCAAATGCTGTTTGGATGTATAATAGAATCTATTTCCCTACCATTAGCCCAAACCTTGACAGTTCTATCGTCACTTCCAGAAATGATTTCCCCATTCTTCAATAATTTCGCACAAAACACAAATCCTTGGTGTCCCATATAAGTGTTTACCAGTCTTCCATCGATGGTAAATTGCTTTATTGTATTATCATTAGAACAGGTCATAATGCCAAAATTTTCAGAGAACGAAATTTCCCTAATCAAATCGTTATGGGCTTGGATTGACCTTATGAATTCTCCTGACTTGCTCCAAAAGTTAAGTTTTCCATTTTGTGATGCAGTGAGGATTGCGTATTGAGTATTTTTTACACAGACTCCGTAAGTATGCTTTTCGTTCCCTAACACAGATAAACAATTTCCTGTTGTAATATCCCAAATTCTTGCTGTGGCATCCCATGAGCCTGACAATAGAACATTCTCATTCACATCCAATGAGCAAACTGCATTGGAGTGCCCAATAAAGTTCCTTATATTGGAAGACGTGAAATCTGAGTGAACTATTTGCCCTATTTTATCACCTGAGAAGAAAGACTGCCCGTCATTTGCAAAGGCGCATGAGTAAATATAAGAAGTGTGATGAGTATAATGCTGAAGAGGCTCATACTTGCCTTGGTTGAGTTTTGATATAAAGAGCTGAGTGTCCAAGCCTCCAGAGAGCAAAAGGTCATTGTAAAGTGATAAACATCTGACGGTTCCACTATGAATCTGTAAGGACTGCGCTAAAGTGTAGTTTTCAAGTGTTGAGGAAAGAGATGACATATTTTCCAATTATAATTTAAATAGCAAAGATCTCATGAAATCAGGGAATACCAATGAATAAATGTGTCAATTCGGTCATTTAGTGCACTTATATCATTGTAAATTTGAAATTAAAAATGATAAGCATGGGGTTTCTAATATTTTAAAGTTTAATGGATATTAAGGATATTGTACTTATGCAATGGTTTTTTACATTTATAAGAATTATTGCTTGAGATTCGCACAAAATATATAATGTATTATAAAAGATTTATAGATATGAATAGGAACGGTTATAGGAAAAAAAAATGAAACTCTCTATTGGTTTCTAAAATTTTCGTCGATTTATACTTTAAATGAGTTTCGATAGAATTTTTGTAAAACATTTACTCCCTTTAAATTGTAGCAAAATATTGGTAAAATTTCTATTTTTGGAAACTTTAAACCCCTTTAAATTAAATCTAAAAATTTTTTCTCTCAAATAGTAAAATTTATTGGCAAAAATGCTAATTTTTATATGATAAGTTTCGAGCTAATTTAATTGAAAAAATGCAATTAGAATATTATTTAACAGTTTTCACACTGAACCTATAAATTTTTGAAATTAATTTTTTATAAAAATAAATTAAAACTCATAAATTGTGTTCAATTTATATTTTTTTAATTTTTAAATAATTTTTTTTAAAAACAAAACTAGACCCATTTACGTTGGCACAGAGTATTTGTTCCAGTTTAAAATGGAGGGTTAGGATACCTTGCAAAAATTTTATTTATATCATTTAATTCATTAAATGCAAAAAATAATAATTCTACTCCTTATTTAATCCGGCTAAATGAAGAGATATAGGCAAAATGAGATCAGACTAAAAGAAAGTTTTTCAGGTGAATCATCAGAAATTAAAAAAGCGTCAATATTAATGCCAGTGTAACCTATATTTAGAATTAAAAAACACACATCAGCTTCGTTAAAACACAGAATCTCTCAAAATCCTGTATGCAAAACAAACAGACTTGAAATGGATTCTCCAAAATATTATACCAACAAACTAAGAATACTTAATAAATTTGAAAAAGAGGATCAAAAGTTGCAAGTCACAGGCCAAGGAAAATTATATTTCCCTCATGCCCTAACTCATGACTATATTTCATCCAATAATTAAAATATGGAGTCTCCACCTAGCATGGCCTCCGGCCATGCAACTTCCGAGCACATATTTTAATTATATCCGGCAAGGTTTTACCAATCCTGAAATGGACGGCAATACTAGGTAAGCTATTCTTGACGTTTCAGAGTCTAGCCCTTAGTCCGAATTCGGAATTGGGTTTTACCTCGAAGGAAAGGAAGGTACAGATTTGGAAAGGGCAAGCCCAGCAAGGTCTACAGGGAATACCTAGACCAATCGGGCAACTGCCTAGCGTGAAACTGGGAGTTACGCCCCAGGATCCGGACTTTTCCTTTTTGCCGAGAGGTTCATCAGAAATTTCATTTTTTGGAATTTTTGAATGGCCAACTTCGTACTCTCACAGCCTCAAGCAAGGCCACACAAGTCCATAGACTGCCCACTCAAAACTGGAGCCGCAAGGCAAGGAGGAGACCCTGGCTGGCCCTTGTTGTAGGCCCGTCGCAAAACAGTTGAATCTCTCCTAGGAGATCCTTGGTGATTGCGTTAAAATTATGGCACTCTGCCTTTCTGCTAATTAAGATTAAGATTAAGACTATATTTCATCCAGAAAAATTACTTATGAACGACTCCATAAAATGAACACAGAGCCTCCCAAAGTTCCTAAAATCCTCAATAAATCCAAACAAAGGGATTATTCAAAAAGTACAAGCCCTATTCAGCCAGAGGCTTATAAAATTAATTTAATCATGCCAAAATATAAGCTGAATAGCGAAAGGAGAAGGAGAGAAAATTCTAATAAAACCCCCACACTGCCTCCGATAATGAAATCGAAATCTGATTATTCACCTGCAAGAGTCAATACAGAAGAAATTAGTATCCTCTCTCTAAAGGAGCTTTGAAAAAATAAATTAAATAATTTCCAATAAAATAATATTGCCAAATTTAGTAATATAGTATAAAAATGAAAATTCGTGCACAAACTTCGAGGAAGAAAAACTTGACGCTACTCCCGAGCCAAGTGATTTGACTAAGTTTGATTCTCCAGCAGCTGTTTGAAAAATAATTGAGCCACATTCAGGTGAATCTTGGGGGTCTGAGCTTTCGATTAAATATTCAAGTAGTATTGTTGGCCTATCATCAACCCATAGACAGCTATCACGTGAAGAAATGCTAGAAGAGATGCTTTTAACATCATGCGTTGCCAAATATCACGAATTCAAGTTCAAAGTGATTTCAAAAGATCCTCTATATGAAGGTGTTAATGGAATTATAAGAAGTTGGAAGGCAGGAGATTGCATTGGAAATGGAAATTTTGGATGTGTTTTAAAAGCATTTGATAATGAAACTGGAGAATTATTCGCCGTCAAAAGAATTTTTTTTAACCCGGAAAATACACCGCAAGCACAGTTTATAAACGCGTATAAAAACGAAATAAATATTTTGAAAGATCTTGACCATAAGCATATTGTAAGATATTATGGAAGTGAAGCAGTCGCTGACAGCTTTTGCATTTACTTAGAGTATTTGCCTGGCGGAAGTATTTCAAGCTTATTGTTCAATGTTGGAGCTCTTCCAGAATCAACTGTGAAGGTTTATACGAAGCAGATCTTAAAAGGTTTAATTTATTTGCATGACAACAATGTAATTCATAGAGATATAAAGGGAGCAAATCTATTGCTAGATTCAAGAGGTAAAATTAGATTAAGCGATTTTGGATGTTCCGTGAAATATGATAACAGCGACGAATCAGGCTTGGTTAATTCATTAAAAGGTAGCTTACCATGAATGGCTCCTGAGGTAGTAAGACAAAATGGATACGGAAGAAAGGCAGATATTTGAAGCCTTGGGTGCGTCTTAATCGAAATGCTGACAGCAAAGCAGCCCTGGCCTCAGATGGAAAATCATGTCTTGTTAATGCTTAAAATTGCTACATCTAACGATATACCTGAAATACCTCAAGACATATCTAATGATGCTAAAAGTTTTATATCTTTGTGTCTACAGAGAGATCCTGAGATGCGAAAATCTGCTAAAGAGTTAAGAAATCATCCATTTGTCAGTAAATTATATATAAATTAAATTAACTTTAATGGGATTTCTAAAATGTATTAATAACTCCCCCCCCTCCGTGAGTGAACAAAACCATTAGAAAAATCGCTATATTTTGCCCAAAAGCCCACCCTCCGTGAGTGAACAAAAGTTTTTTTAATAGAACAAATTTTTTATAGAAAAAAATTTGATAGATAAGTGATAATTAGTATAATGAAATCTAGAGCTAATTCTGTTCAATTTTAAACAAAATAGCTTTTTAAAGCATAAAATTATATAAATCAAATTAATATTTGCTTTCCAATTTTTGGGAATTAAGATTTTTTTAAATTTAGAAAAAAAAAAAATCCTATAAAATTTATTTATAAATTGTTTTTAAAAAATAAATTAACCCCCCCCTTCGTGAGTGAACAAAGTTGCTTTGTTCACTCACGGAGGGGGGAGTAAGATTATTTATTATTTTAGTATCTTTATTTTAAAAATTATTATAGAAACCGAGCAATAAGATCAAACAAGTTTTTGCTTTCTTTAATTTTTTTATTTTTCTATAAAGGGAAAGCCTTTTAACTTCATTAAGCATAATTGCTTATCAGATCCTAAAGACTAGTTCTTTTATAAAGAATTTAATCATTTTTTACCATAATCATTAAAAATGATCATAAATAATATTAAAAAATTTTTTACATTTAAACAAAAATTTTTATTTCTTATAAATAGTAAACTTTTACAAATTCATTATTTTTGATTAAAAAGTAAATTCCAGTTTTTTCCAAGTTCAGTTATAGCAGAATTATGCCAAAAATAAAATGGAGTCAATTCGCGTGACCCATGGTGACTTTGTTGTCGAAAGAGGTGGAAAACTGCGAGACACTTATAGGATTGGTTCAAAATTAGGCGACGGTGCATTTGGAAGTGTCAGAAAAATTACTCACAGAATTACAGGAGAAGCTCGTGCAGTGAAAACAATTCACAAAAAAACTCTTCGCAGCGAAGAAGAGCGACAAACATTTTTCAACGAAGTTTCAGTTCTCAGGGCTTTAGATCACCCCAACGTCCTGAAGCTCTACGAGTTTTACCAAGACGAAAAGAATTACTATCTAATTACTGAATTATGCTCTGGAGGTGAGCTATTCGACCGAATCATAAACAACGGCTCATTTTCAGAAGCAGTTGCTGCTGAATATATGCGACAAATTTTGTCTGTGCTTGCATACTGCCATGATCGAAATATTGTGCATAGAGATCTGAAGCCAGAAAACTTTTTGCTAGACACCCCAGAGGCCGACGCAAATTTAAAAGTTATTGATTTTGGGACAGCACAGTTTTTCACACCAGGAGTAACGCTAACTCAGAAGTTTGGGACTCCTTATTATATAGCGCCCGAAGTCTTGAGAAAATCATATGATGAAAAATGCGATATTTGGAGTGCTGGGGTGAATATGTATATATTCTTGTGTGGGTATCCTCCGTTTGGTGGAAATACTGATGAACAAATTTTAAGAAGAGTTTCCTCTGGGAGATATAGCTACCCAAGCCCTGAATGGGACAATATCAGCTTTGAAGCAAAAGATTTAATATCGAAAATGCTTACTTTTGAGCCACAAAGAAGATGCACAGCAAGAGAAGCTTTGAATCACCCATGGATGCACAATGCAAGCAGAACCCCAATCAACCCAGCTGCTGCAAGAAACATTTTTACTAATCTGCAATCATTTAGGGCTGAAAGGGCTTTACAAAAGGCGACGTTTTCCTTTATGGCAAGTCAATTATCAACCAAACAAGAACAAGAAGAAATGTTGACCTTATTTAAGTCGCTTGATACTGATAACAGTGGCACTCTTTCAAGAAATGAGCTCATTGAGGGATTTAGAATTTTATATGGAAACCAAATAGAAGATATTGAAGGAGAAGCAGCAAGAATTATGGGCCAAGTCGACATTGATAAGTCAGGAGAAATCGATTATAATGAATTTATAGCAGCTACTCTAAATAGAACTAGATTGCTTTGCAGAGAAAAGCTAGAAGCTGCTTTTAGAGCTTTTGATTTAGATGGAAATGGAACTATTTCTGCTGAAGAGCTTAAAGGAGTGCTTGGAAAGCATCATTCTTATAAAGAAGAGGTATGACAACAAATTATTAATGAAGTGGATCTAAACGGCGATGGTGTTATTGATTTTAGAGAATTCACTGAAATGATGCTTAAGAGAACTTAAAAGATAATTATTTAGATATATAAATTTAGTTTTTTTTAAAATAAAATATCATTTATTCTTTTTGATTTAGTTTTATTAAAATAAAATATTATTTATTTTTTTTGATAAGCAATTAAGTATTAAAGCTTAGGTCTTAAATATTTCTGGATCCCTGGATATACGCTTGACTTATTGATTGGATTTAAGTGCTTAGCTGCGAAAAGCATACTCTCATACACATTCCCATCTCTTTTTCCAAGCACAGAGCACAACATTTCGTCAGGTTTTTCAAACGCTTCGATTAGCCCAATTGCGTTATCTCTAGTTTTATCAAAAGCCTCCAATAATACATCTTTCATCTTATCAATGACGTTAGGGCTTGCTCCCAAGTTAATCAAAATTCCTGCATACTTATCCAGCTGAGTTATCGCATAGATTTGTCTTAAATATTCTATTGCTTGCTTTGCATTTGGATCGGTTATTAAAGAAAGTCCTTTAATAAAATCTTCATGCACAGATGTATGGAAAAATGTTTCTGCTGCTTCTATTCCTTCAATCTGCAATATTTCTGTCCAGATTTTTTCTTTTTTCATTCCATTTTTCAAAAACTGAGCTTCTCTCTTGGCTAGATTATTAAGGCTCACATAAGAAATTGCTTGGAAGCAAGCTTGATGGAAACTTGGACTGGCAGGATTTTGGTCGCCGGATAAGTGAGGAATAGGATTTGCTAAAAAGACGTATTTGTCAGGGATTGGCTCACCTTTATGAATTTTTTTGATAATGTTGGTCATATATCTGGCTGATTGGAGGATCAAAATACTGTTATCTCCATCATAGGTATAGCAAATCCCTCGTGGTTGGTTGCTAGCCATTAAGTACCCCCCCCCCCCCATGTCACCCACCCCCTGACAGTTCTGAAAATTTTAAATGTTAGAATATTATTTGACAAATCCCCCTTAAACATTTTAACTTGTCAAATTAATATTTAGCATGTTAAAATATTTGGGACCGTTAGGGTCTGGGTGGCATGGGGAGGGGGTGCTCAAGGCCGATCCAAAACGGAGTGTAAGCTATAGCAGATGGAAGATAAGAAGCATATAAATGAGGGATACCTGAGTACATAGAATAGCCATGACCTCCGCAACACCTTCTGCAGACTTCAATGCACTCGATCGCAGATGCTGTGATAAATCCTTTGCATAAAGAACTCAGTGCATGAAGTTCCCCTAATAAAGATCCATCCATATTCTTCATTCTTCTTTCAGATTCGTTATATTTTTCAGTTAGCACAGCTCTAACAAACACAATAGCATAGATTTTGGCTAGAACTGTAAATAACTTTGATCTTTGGATTTGGTAGTCTAGTAACTTACGCTCTCTCTGGGGGTTTTCAGGGTCTGGAAATTGTTCTCTGACAAGAGAATATCTTATAGCAATAGTTGCTGCAATTGTTGGATAGTGCCAGGCGTCTCTTGATAAGTTAACTCTTGCTCTTACAAGTGATGAATATAAGACTTTCAGTGCATTTGGGTCTAAGATCTCATATTCTCCTTTGTCATTGATTCTGGCAAACCTAGTTAGCATTACACTTTTTGGCACTCTGTAGTTATCAAACCTTAAAAATCCATTATCAGCACAAGGATTCCCCATTTTAGGGCCTATATCTCCTACTGTAATTCCAGGCAAAGGCTCATGTGTTCTCATATCTCTAATAGGCACAAAAAAGGTGTGCGGCCCCATATCTTGCTGGTTCATTATAAGTTTGGCCACGACCAGTGCATGAGAACAACTGACACCTAGGCCGCCAATCCACCACTTATGTGAAGTTACTGTTGGACTATTCATAATAAATTCATCTCTTTGATTATCATAAATTGCTTGAGTTTCAATTCCCCTCACATTTGAGCCATGACCAAGTTCTGTTTGTGCGTAACACCCAATAATTTCTAAATTGTCTAATTTTTCTTTGTATTGAGCTTTTTGTTCTTCGCTTGCTTGAAGATTGAAGGCTGGCATGAAGAAATCGTACTGAAGAACAGCTGCTGTGATTTCAGGGAAAAAACCCATGACCATTCTTCTTTCGGACTCTGTGCAATTTTCTTTTTGGAAAATTGCCCTCATTGCTAAGCCTTGACGGATTCCTCTGTTAAGAGCATCCTCTCTTGTGTCATGATAGCGTTCCAACGTGTAGTTTAAGTCTGGGATTTTTAATATTTTATCTTTAAGTTCTCTTATTCGTTCAAATGAGACATCAGGGAGGATTTGGGCATATAAAAATCTGGTCAGATTTTCCACACAAAATGTAACCTTTTTCCTCTCCTCTTCAAGACCCATTTTTAATTTCACAAAAAGATTAGTTTGGTCAATAAGGCGTTATGGTTTTATAATTTAATATACTTTGTTTAAATAGTAATTAGAAATAGATAGAATCAAAATATTCAAGAAGAGATGCAGCACTCTGGCTATATTGAAAAATGAGGCAAAAGACTTATTGAAACAAAAAGGTTGATATACTTAAAATCATTTAATTAATCCAAGAGTAAGATTTTAGAAAAGTGGCCAGTTAAAATAAAAAATTGAATATTCTAATAGAAAATTAATATTCCTCTGTGAATAGATTTATCAATTTAAAGCTCGTTGGCCCAATTTGCTTTATTATTCTTTAGATTTTCTATAGCATTTTCTGTAACCTTTTTCAAAAGCAAGGCAAGAGTATTAAAAGTCGGCTCAATAATAAAGCTAATAAAATCAATTTGCGACTTCGGTATGTTCACCGTATACCGATCACACAAATTACTTATAGGTAGATTAAGTTCTCTTTCTTTGTCTCCTTGAATGAAAAACTCTTGAACTATTAGCTGTGTCCATTGTTTGCACAGCTCCCAAGGCCTGCATGGGTTCCCTAAATCTGAGCTATGCATCATCATTTCCATAGTCAAAAGTCTGTCTATATCATCTTTTATAGGAGTATCTATCGAGAATCTTGTTTTATACTTCGCAATATCACTAAAATGTCTTGACATGTCTGTTGCCAATACCATTGATATTATTTTGGATCTTAATGATTTTCTTTCTTCATTGGTTAGGCTGGAAAAAATATTTTTGTCTGGCTCTTGTGCACATTTAAAAGCAGATGCTATATGATGGTTTTCAAGAACACTTTTATCGTTATATAAAATTGCAAGTGGATCTTGAGTATTGATTAGAAAAACATTATTTACACCTGGATGCTCAAAATCGTGAATTGCTGCACTTATGTAGCAAGCTGCAATTTCCATATAGGTTAAATTGCAAGTTGTTTTCCCCCCACAAGTCGTTAATAAAAAATTAAAAAATTGAGTAACATCTGCAGCATGAGTAGCGTTGTGATAAGAGTTATCATAATGATATCCTTCTTGGATTGCATCGATAAACATCACCAAGCTCTGGGGTGATATATTTGTATAGCCGAACAATTCATTTTCAGAAAATAAGAAAACGATGACTGAGGTAAGCTCTTTTCCATCTGTAGCACGCTTCAAGTTAAAAACATCAAAATCAAGCTCATTCACTTTGGCACAGTATTTAGAAATAGTGGTAGGAATAATAAAAGATAAAGAGTCTTCCCCATAGTTAAATACTGAGCCTCCATTGTCTTGAGTTTCAATAGAAGGCCTCATTGGTTTAACCTTTGAATTTTTTCTGGATTTTTTGGGCCACTCTGTGGATCTTAATTTATCAGCTTCTGTAGTTGCGTCAAGCCCAAAGTCTTCTGCTTTGGCCCTTGCTATTGACTCTAAACATAACTGCAAGGTTTCTTTTAATGGATAATTCTTGGTGCACAGAAATGAATTTGTTATGGTTTCTAAAATATCAATAACTTTTTCTGTATGAGTTGTTGAAATTTTGCGTGTGGTCATTCTTCTGGTTTTGAATTGGATAAAAATTGTATTCAATTCAAATAGCCGACGGTTAATTAAAATAATCCTCAGGATGAACAGTAGAGATTTTAGCCTTCACGAATCACCGAATTTCAGCTCTGGATCATTTATTTGAAAACAAACGATCAAAATCGAGATTATGAGCAGAATCAAATCAAGTCAATTTGACAGATTTTTTCCTTGAGAAATTATTGCGAAGCATAAAGTTTCACCTACGAAAAAAGCAAGCAGACCAAGTTCGATTGCTAGTAATGAGATTTTTGCATCATCTAAATCTGCATCAAAGGTAATTAAGGCTGTAGCAAGTGATGCGTAAATTATAATTAGGACTGAAATAGTCAATTGCATGAGAGAGTTGTTTAGGCATTTCATGAATTTTTTCTTATATTTCGACAAAACTGCAGCATCTGTTGAGTCGCTGATTTCTGTGCTTGTCATGTTTGGAGTAGTATCTTGGTTTGACGGAAGCATTGATGAAATTGACTCGAAGTTTGCGATGACCCTTTTAATCATTTAACTTATTCAAAAATGAAAGGATGATTACTATTTATAGCAACAAGTTTGCAAGTTAAATAATTTATAAGTAATCAGATAAATAACATTTGATTTTAATTTTTTCTTAAAAATCAAATATTAAATAGTTGTTTTTTAATAATGGGCTTCATGTTATCACGAAATGAGATATACTATGTTGGAAAAATTTTTTACTCTATTATTTTCGCCATAAGTTTTTTACATTAAATCAAGACATACATTTTTAAAATAGTTTAAAGCATTAAAATTATGTAAACAATAAATTAATTTAAATATTTTGCCTAAAAATAATGGCTGCAAAGCTTTGCTATCTTTCCAAGATTTAAAATAAGATCTTAGATTAAGAAATTATTTCTTTGGAGCTTTATTTTATCAAAGTAAAATAATTTTTATAAAATTTAGCTTTTCAAATATAAATGAAGATTTCTGGTAAAACTTCTATTTTAATTTTTAGAATTACTATAGCTTATTGTGTTAAATTAAAAATTAAAGATTTATTAATAAATTTAAATTTGAATAAAAATGTATTATTGGGTCAAATATATTATAATTATATCAAAATACATCGCTAATCTCTCTTCACAGCCACGTCCACAATCGTGGATTCTAACGCATACTAAATCATGCCTCAAAAATTTGGCTTTAAAACCATCCATCTATACTAATCCTGAATATGCCGACCAGCAATTAAATATTTTAATTTGAAAATTAAATTCATTTGAACCCACATATATCAGCTTGAAATATTAAAAATCCATCAATGCATCAGCCTAGGGCAGTTTTTTTAATGCCTACAACTACTTAATAACCAATAGCACAAATTAATTTAAGCAATGCCAACTCAAAATCAAATTTAAACGAAGGCCCCAAGAATGAAGAATTACTGGATCAACCAAAAGCAGCCCAATACCAGGAAATTCATAGTAATTTTGCATAATTATTTAAATCATTAACTTTTATATTGAATTATTAGTTATCTAAATTTTATTAGCTAAGTGTATTCATATTTTTTGATAAAAAAGAATTTATCAGATACTGCTTAAGTCTCGTCAAATCAAGTCCGATAAGAAAATTCTTCCAACGCATTATATAATCTGATTGCATAATAGTATATGATACTTTTGTTTATAATTTATAAATAAAATTGATAATTTTGGTCCTATGCGATTTACCTTTTCCATTTCGATTGTAACAATTATTATATTACTCCTACAATCCCATAATTAGAATTGAAATCGTCATAGACTTATCATTATTTATGACATAAATAATTATAAGACTACAGCATTTTATCTTTTTCTTGAACTTTACAATTCTTAACTCAATTTTTTTCTCAACAGGCTCTATTTCTTTTCTGTATTTCCATCTTTCAAAATGAACTCTTGTGCGATCCATTAAAGTTTCCTCACTCCCTCCTCGGTGTGCGAACAAAACCATTAGAAAAATCCCTATTTTTTGCCCAAAAACCCACCCTCCGTGAGCGAACAAAAATATTTTAATAGAAAAAATTTTTAATGGAAAAAAATTTTGGCATATAAGTGATAACTATTATCATGAAATATATAGCTAACTCTGTTTTAATTTTAAACATATTGCATTTTAAAACATAAATTTCAAATTAAAATTAATTAATATTTGCCTTCCAATTTTCAAAAAGTGGATTTTTTAAAATTCAAAAAAAATTATTCTTTAAAATTCCATATATAAATTTTTTAACCCCCTCCATGATGGGTGGGGAGTCAGCATTTAATCCACTTTTGGCGAATTTTCTTTAAATCCTTCCAATTTTTGTCTCTGAGCAAGCTTTCTAGCTTCATCTGAGGTCACTTCTCTTGTTCTCCAGAGTCAATTAAATCTCTTGATTAGAGACCAAATCAATAACAACATTGCTGAAGTATTTTGATATATTTCGTCAATTCAATATTCACAATTATTAAATGTATCTTTTGCTATTGCACCATATACTAGTAAAACTCTGCAAAATCCATTGGTGATACTTCTGAAACTTTCATACCCTCAAGCAGCATTAATTATGCTTGCATATTATTTCAATTTTAAAAAGTTATAAAAAGTTGTAAGATGTCTTATACATTTACGCCAAAACAAAAATTTACTCCCAAAATGATTTCCCGGATAGGAAAAAACAGTGCAGATAGATTTATGATTTTAGGACAGAGAGATGAAATAGTTAGTGGAAAATCTCGCCAAAAACAGTTTCGCTTCGCCCCAGACGAAGATGAAGATCTAAAAGAATCTCTCATGATAAATGAGCTAATTAAAAAAGAAGAAATGGCTCACGATGTAAGCGAAGACAATTCGCCAAAGATCCCTAAATTATCTCCAGCTTTTCGAGCACAAACCCGTGTGGTCAAGCATAAACTCACTCCACCCCTATCACTACCCTTAATATCAAGCTATCTAGTATTGATAATAAGAAATATAAGATATTGCAGTATTTTCGCTCTAAGCGATTTAAAACCTTTTGTAGCTTGTCTACACTTATATTAATACCTTATTTTATATCCCTACTATATACAAAATTTTTAAATGGATAGCAAATTAGCTCATATTTTCATATTAAATTGAAATAAGATATATCGTGTTTGATATGTAAAATAAGTTATTTGAGCACATTAAATTTGCTAAAATGTATTAATCTTGGGAAATCGATTATAGATATTGCATGCACCTATGATACGCAATTATGCTTAATTATTTATTTTTTTTTATCAAATTTTAAAGCAGAATACAGTCGGATTCATGATTTAAAACATGGTAATTAAGCGATGTCCACTGGTAGTTTGGGTATTAGGGGTGGTGGGGAGTGATAGGGGGTAGGTGGGGTGGGGTGGGTTTATGTTTGATGCCCGTGAAGACTATTATCGAAATATTTCAGGTAAAAATTGTGCTCCTCCATGTGGCCATTATAACCCGAGCTTTGAAATTACTCAAAAACATATACAATCTCCAAGACTAAAGAAAACTAAAATTGAAATAAGACAAGCGACAACTGCTCAAAAGCAGTTTAGACACAAAATTAAAAAGGAAAAAAATTTCAGCAATAGCCATTTACAATCTGCAATTCCATTTAATAAGCAATTGAAGAGAGGATCATTTCATAATATATCTGTAAATGAGCAAAGATTTGTTCAGCAAAATTTATCACCAGAAATTTGTACAAAATTCAAAAAAGTAACGGTGCCAGATATATCGAAGCAACTTGCAAGGAAAGAGTTTTATAGAGTTTCTGATTGTGCACCAGAGTATAAACCAAATAAAGAGCCTTTTTTGAAAAAGCTGATTAAGTCATTTTCGTTAGATAAATCAATTGGAAGAAAGGATGAAAACTTGAAGCATATTCCAGATCCTTATGATGTCAATTATAGTTTAGTAACACAGAGACAGCTTAATTTGGATTTTTCTAAACTTTCAGGGAGAGAGAAATATTCTAATTGTCCATTACCATCATTTATGCAAGGGGTTAATAGTCGAATTTCTTTGGAAGCGCCAAGCAATTTATTTTCTTCAAGATATTCAAATTGGGAATTTTAGGTAAGATCCAATCACTACGAATTTAAATTATAGTGATAATTATTATATAATTTAAGAATTGCTAAGTATTTATGCGTCTATATATTTGTTACTCTTATAGCCCCAGTTTGGATGCTAAACTAGAAGATCGAAAAGATTCGAACATTTTTTGGTAATTTTTTTGGCTCTCAATAACTGCTTTCAATTGCTGCTTAAGAGACTTATTAATTCTATCTAAAATCTTCAAGTTTGATAATTTAACAAGCTCATTTACACATTTTGATGCCTTATTGTTTATTTCTTCTATCAATCTGTCTTTAATTTGAGAAAGCTTTTCGATTTTTATATTAAAATGACTATTTTTTTCTATAATGGCAGCAATTTTTTTTTTGCGCTATCTTAATATTGCTGATTTCTTTTTCTAGTATTTTGCTATTTTCAATAAGCAGAATCTTTTTCTTTTCTGCTATTTCTTGAGCCCTCTGATCGCTAAGCAAAAATCAATCATGTATTCTATGTTCATATAATGAGTCCAATATTAGAACCATATCATGATCAGCACAATACCCAATGCTTTTTGATTTTGTAACTTCATAGCTATCATCATTATTCAATACTTCTATTAATGCAAAATTTTTTGAAGGCGGATCATTACTAATCTGTCTGCAGAGATGGCACTCATACCTATTCGATGTATTAGATGAACATGAATTTTTATTTGCGCATGCATAGCAAAACGTGTGCCCACATTTTAATACATAAGGAATAGTAGTGAGATTGTAATTGTTTTGGCAAATTACACAGAACCTTCCATAATCCTTTACTGCTTCCATTATTTTATTTATAGACATACACTAAATATATAGAAAAAGCATTATTTTAATAAAATGAAATGATTACTTCCCTCAAAGCAAGATTTTCTTAACTCTGAGCAAACTCATATTTGCTGCATCATTAGTATCGAAAGTTCTTCGAATTCCTTTTACTTATTAGACACAAATATTAAAGCAGGATCTATCTTAAAATCAGAATTACATCTTCCATTCACATCCCTAAAAAATTTTTGCATTTGCAATCTCCCTGATAATGAATTTTTTGCTTTTACGAATGCAATGGATTATAGTTATGACTTCAATCAAGAAAATTTTGAAGAAAGACTTGTGTTTATTATCGATAAAAATCGGGAAATCCGCATACTAAAGTCCACATTTCCAAGCTATGGGGCGTCTTCTGTATATCATAATGGAATTGTTTATGTATTTTGCGTTAATTATTCAGGAGAGCCAGGAGAAGGGCCAGAAAAATTTATCATCAAGGAAAATCGATGAGTCAAATTACCGCCATTTCCTGATATCCCAGATTATTCTTGATGCTGCGAGTTTTTCAGCATGATTTTAGTATCAAGTCTAGGGAATTCTATTGTTTATTTATACGATATTTATAGCAATTCATATTCGGATTTGCCTTTAAACTTGTCAGATTCATCAGCAAAATTAATTTTTAAACACAAAGAAAAAGCATATTTAATTGAGACAAAAGGGAATTTATATGAAAGTGGCTGAAAAGATCCTTATGAGTGAAAAATTTCTTGTAAAGCAGATAGTCCTTTTAGAAATGAAATGGTCTATTTTGTGTCAAATACTTTATATAATGATTCTTGATACTTTAGTCATGATAAACTAGTGTATCAATTTAAGTTAAAGAATAAAAGGCTCAAAGTTTTTAAAGAGCTCAATCTTTAAGCAACAAAATCGAAGACTGAATCTTGATCTATAATTTAATATTTTAAAATTCACCAATTTAATAAACAATCTATTTTAAATGGTAAAAGAGCGAAGTCTTGATAGAACAGAACCGCTGAATGGGTATGGAATTTATATTGCTCTCATCTACTCAATTAACGCAGTTTTTAACCCAAACCTCCTAAACATTCCTTGGGCTTTCCAGAAAATGGGCTACATAGTATCGATAGTTTGTCTGGGGCTGAATGGTCTGCTCAGTTATTATCTCTCCCGATTGGTAATCGAAATTCTTGCCAGAGTAGATTTAATAGATAGACTAAAGAGCGAAGGCTACACAGTTGACAAGCCCAATATTTGTGAAAACCTATTCGGTAAAAGAGAGCCAAATCACCTTGATTCTCTGATGCAAACTCCTATGATCACAGGACTCCGCTACGATTTAAACCAATGTGCTTCAGTATTACTTGGAAAACCTATTGGCACGCTTTACCTTCTATGTATGATAGCATATTTTCAAGCAGAATTGATATGGTACGCAGAAGTCTTTGTAGATACAATCACAAGATATGTGCCTTTGCTGCAATCAGCCTGCAGCATCAGCAACCTAAACTCATATTGGAACCTGTGCAGGGTTGACTACTGGATTTACCTGGGAATGTTTTCTCAGGCTATGTTTTTCCTCTCAATGATTTCGTTTAAGTGGCAAAAATGGTGGCAAGTGGTCTTGCAGTTTTTAAAATTGGCATTAATTGTGCTTGTTGCGATCACATGTCTTGAATTAATTGGGGATGAAAAAAATATTGATAATGACCACTATAAATTTGAAATGCCAACTCTTGCACATTGGGAGGACTTATATAAAGGATTCCAAATCTTTTTCTATGTATTTTTATATCAACTTCAGCTACCAAGCATTGTTGAGCATGTAGGGAATAAAAAAAGATTATGGACGATACCATTTTTAATTCTTTGTGCAAGTGTTGGATTTGGGTGCAGATAAAATGATCGTGCAATTTGAATTTGGTGGAAAATTGGTTGAAAAATTTTTGATAGTGAGATTTTTGACCATAAAAAAATCAGATTTCGATCAAATGCCACTCTATTTTAAAATTTTTAGACCATATGAACTTTGATGAAATAACTGCACACTATCAAGAATGCACAGTCATTTGACATGGAGCCTTTGGATTTTATTTAGCTTTAGGATTAATTGCGCCTTTAGCAATTCCTGATGTGGATAAATTATTTACTCAAGATTACAGAAACTACTCAGCAGGGATGGAGCAAGCTGGAAAGCCATGGTGGACTGATTTAATTGCATATGCAGTTGCCCTTTCCCCATGCATGATTATTGCATCAAATTTCCCTATTTCTGCGATAAGTTTGAGTAATGCAATCACTTCTTTGTTTTATGGGCCTGGGAATGAAGAAACGCATGACAAGCAAGATTATTTATCATTGAGATGGCTAACTGTAACATTTTCTATTGGGCTTACCTTTTTCTTTTATGATTTGGTGAATGATATTTAGGCATTCATACTTGATTATGTGAGATTGGTGGGATTTTTCTTGATTCCTATATTTATACCAATTATGCATATAGCAGCTAGGCAAATTATAGGGACGCAGTCACCATACGATGCTATTTGGGCTCCAAAGGTAAAAATTATTTAGTGGCTTTCATTACTAATTTCAGTTTTTCATGGATTTTTGGTAGCTTATATTCTGATATTTAGAATTTTTGAAGACAGCCATTATGACTTAAATAGTGATAATTAGTATAAGTTTCTAACTATATTGCTGAAAAAATTTCTCTAAAAAATTAAAACCTAACTCCACTACTCACAATTAATTCCAAAGCATCTGTTGCTAGGAAAAAATTTTCTAAATTATTCGATAATATTTGATGGAATTTTCAGCATTTTTTAATTTTATTTCTAACTTTTTTGTAAATGATTAATTTCTTGAGGAGCTAAAAAAAACCTTTATAATCACGCAAATAAATTCAAAAGAATTAAAGAAATGATTGGATTAAAGATTATTGTAATAATATTTTTATTTATAAAAGCACACTTCTTGCTATTCTTCATGTGCCTTGATATAATTCGCCATATATTGGTTTATATCAGATATTCTAAATAAGTTTCTTTTCATTTCTCCGAATTAAAAATGTCCACTTCAATTTATTAGAATGTCCGATATTAATTTGTCATTTCCTCGCACTCAACGCATAAAAAAAACTCATCAAATATCACATGCAAGCATAGAATCCAGCTATCATAAGCAAGTCCCTCTAAACCCTCGTCAAAAGCTGTATTTAGATTTAACTAACGTCCATAAACAATCTAAGAGCATTTTCAATCACCCTTTAAGCACAAAGTTTGCAGCCTTCCCAGTTAATCAATTAGATTCAACGATGTTTACTCCTTCTTACAAGAATTTAGAAGAATCATACACAGCTCGTCCAGTTGATACGTCGTTTAATAGCATTTCCACATCTTTAAAAGATATTATCAATACCAGCAGGATTCGATCCAGAAGATCTGGATTTAAATCCATTTCAACTCCTTCCAAGCGAGAAATTAAATTTCCCATTTCTGGGCAAGATGCTATGAGATATTTTTGTGAAAATTTAACCGAATATGAACAAAGTGAAGTTTTAGATTATAAAGAAGTTTATTTTTTAGGCAGCAAAACAGGGAAAATCAATGGGAAAATTGGAGACTTAAACTGAGGCTATGATAATGAGAAAGGAGACTTCCAAGTTGTGCTTGGAGATCATATTGATTTCCGTTATGAAATAGTTAGTGTACTTGGAAAAGGGACATTTGGACAAGTTTTAAAATGCTTGGACCATAAAAATAATGAGCATGTCGCTGTAAAAGTGATTCGCAACAAAAAGAGATTCCATAAACAAGGTTTAGTTGAAATAAAGATCCTAAATTTACTCAAAGCCAAAGATCCAGAAGACAATTACAATGTAATCCGAATCAAAGAAAGCTTTACATTTAGAAAACACTTATGCCTCAGTTTTGAGCTGCTTTCTATGAACCTATATGAATTTTTAAAACTAAATTCTTTTGAAGGGTTATCATTGCATCTTGTAAAACGATTTTCTTTACAAATTTTAAATGGGCTGAAGTATTCTAAATCCTTATCGATTATCCATTGTGATTTGAAGCCTGAGAATATTTTATTGAAAACATCGACGAAATCATTGATTAAAATTATTGATTTTGGCTCGTCTTGCTTGGAAAGTGAAAGAATATACACTTATATACAGTCAAGATTTTATAGAGCACCAGAAATCATGCTAGGAATTCCTTATGGTACAAGCATCGATATGTGGAGTTTTGGTTGCATTGTATCAGAGCTGCACACTGGCTATCCTTTGTTTCCTGGAGAAAGCGAACAAGAACAGCTATATAGAATTATTGAAGTATTAGGGCTCCCTCCTAAACAAATCATGGACATTTCGACAAGAAAAAAAATATTTTTTGACAATGATGGCAATCCTAAGCTAATCCCAAATTCTAGAGGAAAAATCAGATACCCAAATACAAGGCCTTTATCAACAATGATTGGAAACCAGGATCCACTTTTGCTGGAATTTTTGACAGCAATTTTAAAATGAGATCCGCAAGAAAGGCTGACACCAGAACAAGCTATAAATCACCCGTTTTTGAAAATGCAGCTTTCACCTAAAAGAAGAAATAGACCGAGCATATCATTTTTTAGTAAAGAATTTATTAAAGCAAAGTTAAATTAACTTGATATATTATGATAAAGATTTTAATTATAAAGCTAAGGTTTCGAATTTAGTTAATTACAAAAGCGATATTAAAGACTAGATGGCTGGTGAATTCATTAACTAATTCAATAGACACTTATATGCAATTTTATCTGTTAATAAACATCTGGGCCTTTTTCTATATTTTTGTCTTTACTGCCCTCCAATAAGAGTTGACAAGATTTTTCTGTTCACTCTTAATGGTGAATAAATTATTTTAAAAAAATTTTTACATTTTAAATCTAATTTTAGTTTATATATAAATTTAAATTTCTTTGAATATGCTCGGAATTTCGTTATAGCAAGTACATTAATTTTTTCTTGAATGGAGTAAATTTTGACAAAAATAGGGATTTTTCCAATAGTTTTGTTTTCTCAATTAAGGAGAAAGAGTTAGCAATTTCATTTTCAAGATGAACCCTCAGCGCGTAGTTCGTCATTCTTTCTCTCTGAAGCTCCGCCTTAAGCTGCTGATTTTCCAATTCAATTCTTGCTGCCTGATCACATTTTTCTTTCATTTTTACCACAGCTTTTTTCAAAATCGAATTGTCCTGCAATAAAACTTCGAGTTTCTGGACTAAATTTGTCTCATCTGGTCCTATTGAGAAATTTTGCTTTGTTTTCTCCTCATAAAATGCATTGAACATCTGTGACGTAATTGAAATGGCATCTTCTCGGGAAGTATTAGAATCAAACCTAGTTATCAGCTCCTGAGCATAACGATAGGCAAGGTCTTGTGATGTAGAAATTGAAAGATTACTTAATAGCTGGATAGCTTCCTCTATGTTGTTTTCTGTATTAATTAGAGCATTTTGTATTTCTTGTTGTTCCATTGTCTGAAAACAAGCAAAATGCGGATGAATTTATTTTTAAGATTTGAGGGAACTTTTGTTCATGATAAATTGATAAGAAATTTATTGGTTAAGAGATTAAATATATCAAATGTTGTGTGATTTTATGCACAAAATTGTTTATGGCAGACATTAAGTATTTTTTTGGGTAGAGCAATTTAATCTTCAAGTAATCCTTCTTCGTTTAATAATGGAATTTTTAAAAAAATTAAGACGATTGAGGCTCTTTTTCTCTTTACATTGCAATATGGAGATTTTTTGCGAATTCCTTATGTCAGCTCACATAATTTTTATAAATTTGATGATTTTTTTGCATCTTTAAATGCTTCTTCTTGACTGCCTCGTCAAAAATTGAACCAAAAAAGTGCTTTCCGATAACTCTTTGCCATTTTTATGCTTTCATAGACAATTCTTACTTGGTCTCTCTGATTAGAATCAGATTTTCATGATCCATTTTATAAGAAATTTACCAATATTTTAATGGGCGATCGAAACTATAAACAAGTATCTCATTACTTGCTGAAAGAAGAGCTTGGTAATGGTACTTTTGGGACTGTCTACCGAGGCAAAGATCTAAATACAAACGAAATTCGTGCCATTAAAATGATTAGTGCACAAAATGTTTTAAAACCTCAAGAAAAGAAAGCACTAAGCCGAGAGATCCAAATTATGAGAAATTTGGACCATGAAAATATCGTAAAATTATACGATTACCTGGAAACAAGAAATTATAATTATTTGGTGCTTGAATACTGCAGCGGTGGTGATCTCTCTGGATTAAGAGATCTAAGTGAAGAACACACAATTATTTATTTGCGCCAAATAGTTAGCGCTCTCAAAGTGCTCCAGGCAAATAATATAATTCATAGGGACTTAAAGCCTGCAAATATTCTCCTCTCTGATAAATCTCCTGATGCCAAAATTAAATTGGCTGACTTTGGACTTGCAAGGCAAATAAGTGCGAATAGTTTAGCAAAAAGCTACGTGGGAACTCCTTTATATATGGCTCCTGAAGTGATCAAGTTGAGAGAAAACCAAAGCGAGAGATATACAGAAAGGGCTGATATATGGAGTGTAGGATGCATTGTATATGAATTAATCAGAGGAGCTCGGCCTTTTGAAGCTAAAAATTTTGGAGATTTGCTGCCTGTCATAAAAACAAGACTTAATGATCCAGATTTTTTGAGTTCTCAGTACTTTTCAGAGCCTTGCATAGATTTTTTAAGTAAAATCTTCAAAATAAACCCAAAAGAAAGGATGGATTTTGAAACCATGTGCGATCATCCTTTCATACTAGGACGACCCAGCATCAAGCCTATAATTGACTTGCATGGAATCCAATGTATGAGTGAAGATTTTGAGCTCTCAACCAAAGAAGATGCATTAGATATCTCAGAAGTTTTGTTTAACTTATTCCCCCATCTCAGTGAGCGAACCAAAAAATTTTAATTACTCATAGAGGGAGTTAAATTTTGTTGTTTACAAAAATTTATATATAAATTTTTTATAGTAAATTTGTTTTTTAAAGTTTAAAAAATCCCAATTCTCATTGGGGAGGAAAAAATTACAAAATTTATGTTTTAAAGTGCAAGCTGTTTAAAATTCAACAGAATATCTAAAGATTTCATTAGAATAATTATCATTTACATATCAAAAAAATATTTTCATAACTCACACCGAGGGGGTTTTTACTTATAAATAGGAATTTTCCAATGGTTTCGTTCGCTCACAGAGGGGCGGGTGTTAGCAAAAGATACACCCCACCCTTTCCTTTTTTATATGAAGGCCTGCACTTTATTAGAACCTTATTTAGAAGACCAAGTATGTGCAAGCATTTTTAAGGTGAACTTTGATGAGGCAAAAAGATGTAAAAATAAAACTGATTGGGAAAGCTCAACAATGACGAGGCTGATTTTAGAAATGGCGGTGAAGCTGTGTAGAAGTGATGAAAATATAGCTTCACATTTATTGAAAGAAAATTATAGACAGGCGCTTACACTTTTAAATTCATTGGGACCTTCTTCACATATAATTAGATTAAAGGAAGCGATCAAGAGACAAATGGATATGCACAATTAATATTAAGAAATATTTAATAAATGGCAATAGGAAATTTGCATAATAACAGAGAAAGACTAAAAGCAGAGTTATCAAAAATAAAGTATAGGTCTCCAATAGATACCCGAGAATTACCTGAAGGACATCCAGCAGCAATTTTTCCTGTCATTCATTTCTTATTTTTAGAATACTCAGATCTTGTAAGTAATTACATAAGCGATATGGGCTATGATTTAGCTACTAAAAATGATGCAGGATTTCTAGAATCTATCTATAAATTGCTGAGAAATAAATTTAACTATGTTCCAATTTTAAGAGTTGATCAATTTTTATCTTTGAATTATGCTGAAAGAAAGATTTTAATAGTGCTTGATATTGTAAAATTAGTGAAACAAAAGCATAAAGAGTTGTTGAGATTTCAACAGAGACCGAGAAGAGTTGGCAGCATGACGAGCCAAGAATCAGAAGAATTACAGCAGAAATTAGCAGAAAAACAAGCTATTGAAATTCCGTCTGAAAATTTAAATTTCCAGGAAGAAATAATTGTTGAAGAAAAAGTTGAAGAAGATGCCATGCAAACAATGAAAAGAAGCGAAACAGAAAGTCAGCTTAACCTTGCTTCTGAAAGTCCATATCACAATGAGATCGAAGACTCAAGCATAATGATAAGGACAGCAATTGAGGTAATCCTTAATTAGTTCATCAACGCTCTTACAATGAGAATTTCCAAAATTGAAAGTAAAGTTGAAATATTTATAGAAGAAACTGATGCAAAAATCCACTTAATTCATGGGAAAATAAAATCTCTCGAGCAAAGACGCAAATCAGTAATAAAAACTCAGAACCTTGTTCAAAAAGCCGTTAAGCGCTACGAAGACCACATCCAGCCTCCTTCCTCACAAGGCCTCCTTGGACGGCTAGGCCTTTCACAAGAGTTTTTTGACAAGCCAAGGACATTTTTCTAATATGCTATATAATAAGTCATTAATATGTCTCGACCTAGAACTTTAAGTGCTTCGAAATTTTCTACTTTTTCTAAGCCCAGGCAGGTTGTGTATTCCAATATAAAAACCAACCCAATCTATGCAGCAAGCTTAACATTCATGCGCCCGCCCAAAACCCGGAGCAAAAATATCTCTCAAGAATCTCCACAAAAAGAAGTTCAATTATGAGAGCTAACTCAAGAAGTCAAAAAGCTAGAAGAGCAGCACAAATCCTTTGTGAAAAATTTTGAAACTCAAAATGAGAGCTCATCAATACTGAGAACGAATGGAGAGCTTGATGAAATTAAAAGAGAAAGAGATGAGCTATATGAGTTAAAAATTAAAGATCAAAAACATATAGAAAATCTGGAAGAACAAATAAAGAAGATGACGGAGTCGTATGAAAATGAAGTTAAAAACATGAATGAGTACATTGCGCTTCTCAGAAGAAAATTTGAGAAGAATTCGGGCTCGTTATCGAACTCTCCTCAGATTTCTAGGGTAGATAAAAGTAATAATTTTGAAGAATTGTATTTAAGAGAAAAAGAAAAGTCAGGGCTTCTTCAAGATACTTTGAAAAATAAAGAAAAAGAGTATGAAAGCATCCATAGAAGAAATAGCTCAGAGTCAGTAGCCTCGAGAATTGAACAATTGACATATGAAAATAACAGCTACCGAAGTGCACTTGCAGAGGCTGAAAGTGATATCAAAAGACTGTATATGGAAATAAAACACCAAAATGAACAAATTTTCCAGCAAAAACAAAAAATTGAAATATATGAAAGCAAAAAAGATATGATGCACTCTTACGAATTTGAAGATTTAAAATTCATAAATAAAATGGCATTCGGTTCGAGAGAAATTGGCTCTGCCAATTTTCTCTCCCTCATGGAATTTTATTTATGGGGTTGGGTTTTCTCTCGAGAACTTCTGCACAGCAATAGTCGTTTAACTTTGGGGATAACCAAAGGCACGACTCCTCAGTGCACTCAAGATTTCGGAGTTTTACCTCTCAGCACGTCCCCACGGGAGGATGACCCTTAGGCGGAACACGCGCAGGAGCTGAGTCTGGACGAGCGACGGCAACGCGCCGGGTGAGATGTGCGGCGATTTATCTGGCGACTAGCCTTATAGAAGGCTTGGGTGTGGGCTGACCACATATTCCAAGATGGCTTGGTGACGTCACTAGTTGTCGCTTTGACCCTTTTTCATTAAGGGGTGTGGGCACTAGACACCTTAAAAACTATGTAACTAAGTAAGTAAGAAGATTTAAAATTCAAGTTGAAAAAATGCAGTGAGGAAAAAAAGGAATTAGAAGATTAGATTAGATTAGATTAAATTATAGCGGGTCTTCGGGGTTTATTTCAGCCCCTCTCCGTCCAACGGATAGCTTCGCGTTGGCGCTAAGCGCTATCCTCACACCACCTTTTTCTCCTCTGGTGTCCCCAAAAAAATGGTGACATCATCAGGTCTATCGGGGAGAAACCCTACCGTTCGGACATGCCTTTCTTGGTCCCAAAGTTCAGCAAAAGACTCCCTTAACCTCCGACAGGGCTCAGAGTATGGGGGAATCGTCTTTTGCCTCCTCCATGGCCTGTCAGAATCTTATCGCAGGTTCAAGAATGCTCCCATGGAGTGGTATTGGGACTCTGCGCCGGTAGGGACCTCTGCAGGTAAGGAAAAAAGATCTAAGGTTATCCTTAGACCAAAAAAACCCCACCCCGGAGAACTATCGCCATGTGGCTCGCCTTTCCTGGCCCGGATCAACTCACGGGTTGTCAGGAGTCCACGTCAGATCACGCCATTTTAATAATTTTGGAAATTCTGGAATTAGAAGAAGAGTGGAAGAAAAATCAGCTAAAATCGAATGATTTAATCCTTCATTTGATAAACTTTTGAATAATAAATTATTAGAAAAACATTTATTTGTTTTATTTAAAATAAATTAAATTCGTTTTGTGGGTTAGAAAAAATTATATCTGAATTAGGTAAAAGCTTATTGACCATGACTAGAGAATTAGAAAGTAGAAACTCTGAATATCAAAATTTAGAAAGTGAATTTGAGAGATTAAAAGAAAATATAAACCCAGCTGAAAACACTGAAAAGGCTAAAGAAACCAAAGAAGAATGCATGCTAATGATTAAAACAGCAGCGAATGAAATGAATCAGCAAATAAGTGATATAATGTATAAGGTTGAGCAAACAGAAAATGAACTAAACAAAATTATTAATTTTGTTAAAGGGTTTGGATCAAGAATAGATCGACTTATCTTATCTTATACGGATAAATCCACTACAGAGAGCCAACTCAGAAACTCGCCATCTCTACACGAGTTGGGCCCACAGGCTGCTGGGTCAACTTGCTTTAAGTACCAAGACTCGCTAGGAGACGATGTTAACACCTTCGACAGCTCATGAGTGAGCGGCCTCTATCTTCCTTGATGCCTTATGACGATTAGGCAGGCATCTTCGCCGCCACAGGACGAAAGTGGACCTTTCAGATTCCCTTGGGGGGTAAGAGGGCAAGTGCCTCCCTCCCATCGCTTACTGCTTTGAAGAATCAGGATTTCATGTAAAATCAAGCCTCATAATCACAAAATCCAGAGTGAGTGATGCTGATAGGCTAATCGGTACTTTGCGAATGTCGTCATTTTATGATTGTAGATCAAGAATAGATCAAAATATCAAAAATAAATCTATTAAAAATGAAGAAGCGTTAAAAAGAGAAGTCCAAAGGCTTAGCAAAGAAAAAGAAGATTTAAAGCAGAAATTAGAAGCAGAAAGCGCAAAAAGGCTAAAGGAGATTGCAAGCTATGAAGATGAAACAAATAAATTACGATCATCTTTAAGAGAAAAAGCAAAAGACTATGAGTCACAAGTTTTAAATCATCAAAAAAAAATCCATAATCTAGAACAACAAAATAAAAAGATCAAAAGTAGTGGAGGTCTAGAAAACGAAAAATTGAAGCTTGAACAAGACAATAAGCAGCTGATAGCTGACTTAGAAAGTCTCAATATAGAATATGAAAGCCTGTATAAAATTAATGAAGAAAATAAGGATGAGATTGGAACCCTAAAAAGTATGATTGCAATTTTAGAAAAAAAGCTTAAAGATGCACAAGTAGAATTAAAACCAAAGACAGTTTTTGAGTCAAAGCAAGATGAAATATTAAAAAATATTACTGGAGACAACAATAAAAGAATAAAATCTTTGGAAGAGGAAAATAAGCAGCTAAATAGCCAAATCCAAGCTTTAAACTTAGAGTTGGATAAAGCTTCCATTAACATTGACGAATTAAATGAAAAGTTGAAAGAGTCCAATGAAAGATTTGCTGAGAAAGCAATTGAAGTTGAAGAAATAAACAAGCTATACGACGGCTTAGCGATAAAGACTGAAGAAGTATTAAAGGAGCAGCTCAAAGTGAAAACTGATTCGCAGAAAATTAAAGTAGTTTATATTTAGAATGACTTCGAAGATGAAAAAATTAAGTTGCAAATTGCACTTGACAATGTCGTTGATGAAAAAAATCAGCAAATTATAATCCTTCAAAATGCCATTAAAGATCAGCAAGAAGCTTTTGAACAAAAATTGAGTGAATTGAAATGGGAAAACGGACAAGAAAATCTTATTATAGCGTGAGTACGCTTTTAGCGTGCCCTAACGTTTCTTCCTCTTCAGAATCGGGAGATTTGAAGGTAAAAGGTAAAACCTAAGCTGACAAAGCCAGACCCTCATGCCTTGATTTGTCAACTTGGATTTGACTTGCCACCTTCTTGTGACGAGTCAATCCTCCAAATTGGTAAGGAGGAAGAAGCGTTAGGGTAGCTAAAAGCGCACCCACGCTATACTGAATTAGAAGAAAAAATTAAAACTTTAAAAAATGAGTATTTCGATCTTATGCAGAGAAATGAAAAAGAATTGAAAGAATCATTTACAAAAGAAATCAGTAAATTAAAAGCAAGCTACGAGGCAAGCTATGATAAATTAATGGAGAATTATTTGGATTTAAAAAAGAAATATGATAAAAATGTCGATGATCTGAAAACTTTAGAAAACTTACGAGAAACTTTATCTGCAACTCAATATAAATTGTGAGACAGAGAAAAAGAAATCGATAAGCTTAAAGAAGAATTATTTGAAGTAGACGAAAAAATGGAAGATTTAGAAAAATATCAGTCAGATCAGTTGCAAGAAGTAATTGAATATGAAAAAATATTAAAATCCAAAGAAAAAGAAATATTTGAGCTTCACATTGAATTAGATGCTCTTAAGCAAAAAGAAAATTCAAACTCAATAATAGATGAGTATACTGATAACACGAAATTAGCAGAGATTAATATTCAATTAGATGACTTAACAAAAGAAAATATTAGTCTTAAAGAGCAGCTCAAAAAGCAATTTTCTGAGACTGAAATAGCGAATTTGCATTCACAAATTTCTAATTTGCGGCAAAATTTAGAAAAAACTCAAAAAGATTTATTAAGAAAATCAGAACTGGAGGAGGAATTAAAAATTTTACAAGAAAAATGCAAGAATAAAGGGCAAAAATTAACTGCACTTAAAAATGCTTGTAGCGAGCTTGAAGTTGTAAATTCTTCATTAAGGACAAGCAAAATTTTATTTGAAAATGAAGCAGCCAAAAAAGAAAAAATTATAAAGGACATGCAAAGAGAATTTGGATCACAAAATGTTGAGGTAAATAAAGCCAAACAAAGAGCAGATCAATTTGAAGCGCTTTATAATTCATTATATACAGAAATGGAAGAAAAAAATAAGAGGATAGAAATATTGGAGAGAGATTTACAGTCGATTGGAAATAAAGGGCTTTTCAAAGGAGGAAAGCTTAAAATGGAGGCAAATGAAAGTGTTTCAATTTTGGGCAAAAAAATGAATGAAAACGAAGAAAATGAAAAATTAAAGCAAAAAGTAAACTTATTAACTGATGATATTGATATCTTGCTTGACAATGAGGAGAAATATAAACTTATTATAGAGGACTTAAAACAAAGGCAGGGCACAGAATTTAATGCTGAAGATGCTAAAGTTCAATTTGAAAACTTGGAAGCACAGCTGGAAGATTTGCAATATAGATATGATCAGCTTTTGGAAGAGCATGAAGAACTGATAAAAAATGAAAAAAATAAACAAGACACAAGCCAAGAAGAAACGTCTATGCAAATTCAAATATTGTCTGAGCAGTTAGATCAAATTATCCGTGAGAAAAATGATTTAGAGTTAGAAATTGACACTTTAAGAGAGCTTCACGGAAAAGATGAAAAAGTCAAGCATTATCAGCAGCAAGCTGAAAATCTAGCAAAAATATGTACAGAATTGGAAGTAATTTTTATTTAGAAAGAAAGAGAAGAACCAAATAAAGTGTATAAAGAGAATCTAAAAAAAATTGAAGAGAAATATGAAGAATTTCTTAAGCAAAGGCTAGATGAAATAGCTGATCAATTTGATGAACTTCAAGAAAAGGCAAATAATTATGCAATAGAAAATGAAGATCTTAGGACTGAGCTGGAAGCTGAGAAAGAAAAAAATGTTATTTTAGAGCAAGAGCTTTATAAATATTCTCAAAAAAATAAAAATAATTAAACTTGTTAATCTAAGATTCTGATATAAAGCAATAAGGCAAGTAGCAGCTGCATATAATTATTATATTAGCCAATTACATAATGATTTATCAGCATTAATAAGTATATGAGTTATATCATTCCATACACTAATTTCATTTTCTTATCCGAAATTTAATTAGCAATCTATGATCTTTATAATGCGTAATTGATTTATAGATGCATTTGGCAATCTGGTTTTCTTTTATTTACTGACTTAAGTATTAAGTTTCTTCACTTAATTGCTAAAAATCTTATATTTACATAGTAATTTTTTTCATTAGAATTCATATTTTAGTTTTCATTCTCAATGCATTAGCTTTACATATGTGGACTAGTTTTAATTTATTGATGATTATAGATTTATTTGCACTATACAATACTTCTTTCAATTTTATATATTCCAGTGGTCCAAATATAAAAAGGGAATTAATATTTTTCATTATTTTACTTTTCAGAATTTATGCAAGGTCTCTTATAATATATTATAGAGCAATTTATCCATTAAGGCTTCATTTTATCTTCCTATAATGAATTCTGTTCTGAAGAATAAAAAAAATGAAAGAGAATATCCAAAAACTGTTCTTCAATTATGACGTTGACATTAGTTATAGATTAGGGCTCTTCTCCTTTTATGTCTCACCCGAACGAGTCTTCTTGGAAGATTCGTTTAGCTGCTGGCGAATCTCCCTGGGTATGTCAGCATTTCCACCAGAGATAGCTCTGCTCCGGCTTTCGGCCTTCTTAATGTTGTCTCAGGACCTTGGAGTACGCAGGTTTTTCTTTAATTATGACAGTTTATATTTTAAGTTTTAAATCTAAATATTATTCATTTAATAAATGTCTGATGATGACGATGATGGAAAGCTCGCTACTATTACTATATTGGCACTTTTGTGCGTATGCTGCATGGGCTGCTGTTTATGTTTTTGTTGCAAAGTAAAAAGCGATACCCAAAGGGAAGTCAGATTATTTAGAAGACTATTATTAGGAATTATAAGTAACCATATGTATGCTGTAGTCCCTGAACATATATCAGTTCATGAAATTGACTTAGAATCATTTTTCCCAAGGTTTCAATTCGGAAATGATCTTAGTGTAAAAAATGAAGTTGCATGCTGCATTTGCTTTGAAGAGTAAAATTAATTTAGATTCAATTCAAACTCATATGCAAGAAAGCTTCTATGCGGCCATGTTTTTCATGATAGCTGTATAGATGAATGGTTTAAGCGACAGCCAGAGCCTCGTTGTCCTTTATGCAAGTCAGATCCTTTTTTATCGCCAAAGAAGCCGAATTCTGAAGTCCCTGAAGTTAAAAAGCCAAGGGTAAAGAGAAGAGGAGAAACTCTGAAGCCTCCTAATATCGTTTTTGTTCCTCCTGAAACTGAGGAAAGTGGTATGCATTCATTTAGCTCTCCGTAATATGTGCTTTTATTATTATACAAATTTGTATTTAGCCTTCCTTATTAAATTGGCTCAGCATATAATTAATAGTTATAATTGACTCTCTTTTTGACTTTGTTTAAAGCAACTGGCTAATACTGGTATAGTTAATTATTTATGTTAAAAAATAAAATCCTTAATTATTCTATAACCACTGATATCGAAATCTAATCGCTCTATTTTGAATCTTTATTCTTATTCTTATGTGCTTTAGCTTTAAGCTTCATATAAATAATAGTCGCAGCTCCTAAAAAGATGAGACTTATGATAATCAAAACAAAAATATTTGAGTTTTCATCTGATTCATTCTCTCTTATTAAACCTTCTTCGCTATTTTGTAAGAAAAATGGATCTTTATTCTCTCTTTCAAAGCCTCATATATGTTTGCGAAGTCTTTTCGCAGGAAAAGTTGCTAACTCGCAAGGTTTGAGGACTTGATCACCTTGAAAGTCATCTTTATAAGACGAATCCTGATCAATTAACGGCATTCCAGTTTGGCTTTTATTCTTGAAATCAATTTTTTTTCCGTTTTCTTCCCAGGGAACTGATATAACTGCTTTGCTATATCCATCTATTCTGCAGAGATAAATATGACACATTGAAGCAGAAATTTATAGAAATGAATTAAATTGATTTTTATAAAATACGTTACTATCTTTCATAATATCCAATATTTTTGATTCAATACAGTTGGCTACAGACTAATAACATTCTTCTGCCAATACTGAAATTTTCAGAAGAAATCCCTGAATAAGTATTTTTAAAATTTCAAAATCGTAAAAATAGCTGATTTTCTTTGATTACTGCACTAGACAAATATATATGAGAATAATTAAATCCGAATTCGTACTTTGATATGTACTTTCAATTTTCATTAAAATTGTATGCATTTTTCATGTCCTTATCAGTCTCAAAACTTTTTGAGTCTTTGATCCAAAATTGATAAATATCAGTTTTAGTATCCAGTGAAGATGCCTTAAGCTCAGGCTGAGAAAGTGGGCTTAATTCAATCATAAAATGTAATCAGTAAAAGTTTTATCATCTACCCCTTCTCCAAGCCCTAAACTATCATCTAAAGGGGCATTTCTATGCATTAAAATTTCGAAACTCGTGTGACTTACAATTCCTACACCTAATGAAAATTTTGGAAATATTTTAAATGCTTCTTTACCCATATTAATTGCAAATCCCCCTGGAACTGGATACATATTTTCACCTTTTTCTTCTGGAATTAAAGGTTTTTTAGTCTTTGTATTATATTTATCAGAATATTCTTTTGAATTTAAATATTTCCTTATTCTCAAGTCTCCAGAATTTGAGGTATAAAACCAATCGCTGGCTGCAATATCTTTGCTTTTAAACCTAACCAGAATTTCTTTATTTTCAGCTGCATAAAGTCCATATTTCCAAATGAATCTTTTTTCTCTATATAAAATTATTTTCTTGTAATAATGATCATAGTTTGTATTTTTTTCTTTAATTCTTTTCCATTTAACCTCCACAATATTTGCTACTGAGCCTTGCCAAATTTCAAATGACTCGAGATTTAAATCAGAAATTGGATTCCCCTCACTGGTTGGCTCAAAAAGATAAGCACCAGCTCGATCAGCTGGATAAGACCAAAACTCTTGTATTAGTTCATATTTTTTGTGTGAATTTTTGATGCTTTTAGCATATCCATGAGAGTCAAACTCTATTGAATAATACTGATCTGAAATAATTGATCCGTTTTCTTTTAAAATAAAAGGTGTAGAGCACAATTTGCACGAAGTTGCGTGCTCTGTGATGAAAAGAGTTACAAATGACAAAGCAGGGAGTGTCAACTTTAGGTAAATGACATACGCAGTTTTATCATGATTTGATATGTATTGAGACTCAATGCTCTCCCCTCGTCAGTTTTTAATTTCCAAATGCTGGACACCTGAATCGATAGTAATTAAATCCGTTTTATCTCACTCACCCCCTCTGTGAGCGAACAAAACCATCAGAAAAATCCCTATTTTTTGACCAAAACTCACCCTCCGTGAGCGAACAAAAATTTTTTTAATAAAATAATTTTGATACATAAGTGATAATTAGAAATGAAATCTCGATTTAATTCTGTTTAATTTTAAACAAATTTCGTTTCAAAAAATAATTTTATAAATTAAATTAATATTTGCTTTCCAATTTTTGCGTATTAAGTTTTTTAAATTTCAAAAAAAAAAATTCTATAAAATTTCTATATAATTTTTTTTAAAAAAAAATTATTAACCCCCCTCCGTGAGCGAGCAAGAATTTTTTGTTCTCTCGGACGGGGTAGTTAGTTAATTGAGTTATAAAGGATAAGAACTTTATAAGGCAAAGCAAGTGAAAAGCTAGACTTTGTCTTGGCAAACACTGATGATATCGTTTCACATATGGCTTGATAAGCTTTTTCACAATCAGATTCTAATCTGATTTCATAGTCCTCTGCAACTCATGGCTTGCTAGCTCCAGTTATTGCATCATGATGTAAAGCTAAACTTGCATTATACGCTGCAAACTCTTCTCCATGTATTAAAGCTTTGGCAATTTCTGCAGCTCTAGCTAGTCGATGTGCTTTATTTATAAGTTGCTTAAGAGAGGGTCTTGTGCTATAATACCCAGTTCAATAAGCTGGGATATTAAGTCTATAGCTTTGATAAGGGAAAAAGTCGCCAGTATACACAGGATATTTTTTATTTGATTTCTTAATATCTTCAAAATACTCGCTTGGAGTGGCAAATTTTATCTTTAGCTGTTTATATAGCCCAGAATCTCGTTGCCAATCAACTAGTTGTTCAATTCTCTCGAAAAGTATTCTTGCTTCTGTGATATTATACTTTTGTGTATTGAATATTATGCATAAATAGTTAGATAGCCACTAATAACGATTTCTAAATATGATGTTTGTTTAGAATTATAGGGAATATCGTAAAAGAAATCTCCTCCATATACCATCATTATTTTTTTATTCCTATATCCTTGAGATCAGTCTTTACACATGCTGCAGAGCATTGCTACACTAATTAGTTATTACCATTCCCTAATATCAGCTTCAAGATGTTTGGGCCTGCCAAAGCAAGGCCCAATAAATTCAGTTCTAAGAAGTAAAGGTGCATAATAAAAATCATATAAAACGTGTGTGAAAATTGATTCACTGCTCCCAAAGTCCACTCCTTTTCATATAAATTCCATGCCTCTTGTTTCTCGAAGTTGGGATCTGAATACTTCATTTATACGAGTTATTACAAGAAATTCATACCCAAACCTCGAATAAATTCCAGGAGTTAAAGCAGAATGACCAAAAATATCAATTTGTCAGCCTGTTTTTACTCATTTGCTAGCATTATTAAAAATCACAGAAAAGCCCCTTTTCAGATAGCTGAAACTGCTCTTCACTTACATAAATCTCTAATGCTTACTTGCCGGTCTTCACGCGGCCTTGCAATATGTATCTCCTTCCGGATAGGGCCTCTCTTACTCCCAGAAGCAGAATTTGTGTCACCTTGCTGGCTGTCAGCATAGATACCATCCATATAAAATTTAAAATATTGAATTTATGACCAGTTCAGGATGCAATGCCTGACATCGCGCTGAGTAAGTTTCCCGATATGTCTATGAACATATCCAGACATTGCTTGGAAAATCCTTAAGCTTGAGCATCCTTATGGGTCGCTTAAGCGTCCAACTCCGCTTGCCAAGTTGAGAGTTTGCTTCGTCTTCTCTAGTTTCGAGCTACCTCCCAATTTCGAGATGTTGCAGATTTTCGAATTAAGATTGGCTTGTCAACTGGTATTGATTAAGCAAACTTTCCACTTGGCAAGTGGAGTGGAGGCTTGAGATCCATAAGGATGCTCAAGCTATACCAAATTCGTTTTCCCATTTTCCTGAGGAAAAACACCTGCCCATGATTGAACTTTGGCAGATCAACACACCATCGCCATTTCACCTGCGCTAGTAAAACCTAGCCGATACAAAAATTGACCACCTCTCTTTCTATCTAAAGATCCTTGGTCTCTTTCAGTCGCTATATATAGGAGTTAAGAGCTTGGGTGGATTTGTCAGGCCATTTTAATTGATATGTTTTTACTCTCTCAATACCAAACTCTTTATGCAAAAATTGATGGCCAAGTTCAATTTGCCTGATGATCATATCAAAATCTGTATTTGCTTCATCATTTTGCACATACTCACCACCAACTATTTCAATTCTTCCCTTTGCAACTAATTCATTAAATTTATTTGTAATTTTTTTATCTTCATTTTCCATTCACACCTTGAGAAAAGATATCTCAGATCAAGAGAACCGCCTATTCTCATCCTCTTCAAGCAAGGTAACTACATTTCTCAAAATATTTTTTACCTTGAGCTCATAATACTTGTCAAATGTTTCTAGCCAGCCGGAATCACAGTGAGAATGAGGGATCAGATATAGCTCTAAGCCTTCAGCCAGTACTTGAATAAGATAAAAAATTATCATTTTATATATAAAATTTAGTACTATATAATTTACCTAAATGGTTACCGCATTTTATTATTGATTAGCTTGAATAATCTTTATCTTTATCTGTTTTAGTCTTGAACTTCATATATAAAGCAATTCCAACTCCTCCAATAATAGTGAAAATAATAATCAAACTGAAATAGTCATATCCTTTCCAAGCTCTGTCTTTTGAATTCACATCAGCCAATGTAGCGCTATTTTCTAAAAAACTTTGCTTATTTGAATCGCTTACAAAAAAGCCAAAATATGACTTTACCCGGCTCACAGGAAGAGTAGCAAGCTCATATGGTCTAAGAATTTGATCTCCTTTGAGCATATCTGCATCCCATATATCTTTATCAAGCAATAGCCCAGTGTTTTTCTTATTATTAAAATCAATCACCTTTCCGTTTTCTCTCCAAGTAGCCGGAATAAAATCTTTACAATACCCATCTAATAGTCTTCTTCTTCCAATATTGAAGTTCTCTAAAGAAAGCCCTTGATAGCTATTCTTCAAATTCCACAATCTGAATAATAGCTGGCCTTCTTTTATGACAGCACTAGACAAATAAATATAAGGATCGTTGAAACCAAACTCATATTTCGATATATATTCCCAATCTTTATTAAAATTAAAGGCATTTTTCATATCACTTACAATTTCTAAGCTTTCTAGGTCTTGGATCCAAAGTTGATAGATCTCAGTTTTTGCATTTAACGAAGATTTTTTAAACTCAGTTTGTGAAAGAGGACTTAATTCTACCAAGAAATGATAATCAATATATGTCTTATCATCAACTCCTTCCCCAAGTCCAAAATTATCATCCAAATACAAGTGTCGATGCATCAGAATTTCTATGCTTTTCTGATAAACCATTCCTACTCCTAACGAAAATTGTGGAAACATCTTAAATGATTCTGCTCCCATGTTAATTGCAAAACCTCCTGGAATTGGATACATGTTTTCGCCTTTCTCGTCTGGGTTCAGAGTTTTCAAATTTTTAGGAGTGCTTCTGTCAGTGAATTCTTTTGAGTCATAGCATTTTCTCTTTCTTAAATCTCCAGAATTTGAGGTATAAAATCAATCTCCGACGCCTATGTCTTTACTTTTGATTCTCATAAGAATTTCTTGGTTCCCAGATGCATAGATCCCATATTTCCAAATAAAGCTTTTTTCTCCAAATAAAATTAATTTTTGATAATAAGTATCATGAATATCTCGTTTTTCTATTGTTCTTTTCCATTTTACTTCAGCTACCATTGCTACTGACCCTTTCCAAATTTTCAAGGAGTGGAAGACTAAATCTGGGATTTTATTTCCTGGGTTGCCTGGCTCAAAAATATAAGCTCCAGCTCGATCAGCATAGTAAAGTCAGAATTCTTGAATAAACTCATATTTTTTGTGCAGGGTCTGAATACTTTGAACAAAGCCATTGCTGTCAAACTCTATTGAATGATGATTGTCAAAAATTATTGTGCTATTTTCTCTTAATGCAAAAGGCTGTGAACACAATGAACAAGAATTTGAGTGCTCAGTGACAAAAATTGTTACGAATGACATAGATGGGAGTGTTAATTTGATGTACACAGAATAATTATTTTTCTCTTCGTTTGCTATGTATTGTGATTCGATATTTTCTCCTTTCCAATTTTTCAATTCTATGAACTGAGTATCTGATTCAATAATAATTATGTCTGTCTTGTCCCAGTTAATTGAGTTATAAAGCACAAGGACTTTATAAGGTAAAGTAAGTGCGAAACTTGCTTTTTTCTTTGTAAATGCTGATTGCATGGCTTCATTTATAGCCCGATAAGCATCATCACTATCATATTTGAGCCTTCACTTATAATCTTTAGCAACCCATGGTTTGCTAGTCCCAGTTATTGCATCATGATGCAATGCCAAGCTTGCATTATAAGCTATATAAGTCTCTCCTTGTATTAAAGCTTTCGCAATTTCAGCAGCTCTAACTAACCTGTGCGTCTTATTTATGAGCTGCTTCAGTGCAGGTCTTGTTGTATAAAACCCAGTCCAGAATGCAGGACGGCTTCCAAAACGATAACTTTGATAAGGGAAAAAATCGCTTTTATATATAGGGAATTTTGCATTTGATTTTCTGACTGCATCAAAATACTCGGTTGTCGTTGCGAATTTAACATCGAAATCTGGATATAGCCCAGAATATTTCATTCAATCCATAACTTGTTCAAGTCTTTCAAAAATTAATTTGGCTTCTGGAAAATAGTTAAAAAAGAAGTCTCCTCCATATATCATCATAAGTTTGTCTGTTTTATAGCCTCCTGACCATTCTAGGCATGTGTTGTAAAGCCTTTCTGCGCTAATTAGAAATTACCAAGCTTTAATATCATCTTGAGTAGGTTTTGCGTTAAGGAAACAAGCTTCGGCACTATTTGTTTGAAGAAAAGCGGGAGGATAGTAATAATCATATAAGACATGTGTAAAAAGTGCCTCATTACTTCCAAAATTCACCCCTTTTCATATAAATTCCATGTCCTCTGAGCTGGAATTTTGGTTGGGCATCAAATCATTTGCACTCTGGTATATGCACCTATTGTAGGCCACTTTTACTGGAGTCAGGGGAGTCCAACCTATGGGATGCTTATGACCGTATAATCTTAATCTTAATTTATGTCCCCTGAGCCTCTTAACTGAGATCGGAATGCTTCGTTAATGCGATTAATCACAAGATACTCATAGCCAAACCTAGAAAAAATTCCCGGAGTTAAAGCAGAATGCCCAAAAATATCAATTTGCCAGCCAGTTCTTACTCTATCAACAGCAAATTCTTTATACAGATATTGATGGCCAGTTTCAATTTGCCTTATGACCATATCAAAATCCGGATTTGCTTCATCCCCTTGCACATATCCTCCTCCCACAAACTCTATTTGGCCTTTTTTAACCAATTCTCTAAATTTGTTGGTAATATTTGCATGCTGATCATCCATCCACATTTTAAGGTATGAAGTCTCTGACCAAACAAACTTCCTATTTTCATCTTCTTCAAGCAAAGTTACGACATTGTTTAAAATTGATTTTACTTTTGTTTGATAATAGGATTCAAAAGTTTCCAGTCAGCCAGGGTCACAGTGAGAGTGTGGCACTATGAATAATTCTAATCCTTCACAAAGTGTATGGAGAAGAATCAAAATTATCATTTTATAAAGCCAAAGAATTGACATATTGATTCTTCTTATTTTCAACACTGTTAAAATGTGATTGATAATAATTTTTGACAATTAATTATTAGTTGGAAAATTTATCAAGATTTAGGTAGAAGCACTTGTTCTGCTATTGATGAAATTTATCAGTTATTCATATTATGCTAGATTTTTTGGTGTTATTTGCTTTTCTAACTCCCTTCCTTTAAAATTGGAGCATATATACATTACATATATTAATTAAATTGTGTAGGGTGTCTCACGCTGCGCTCAATTGCCGGACAGTGCCAAAATTGTGACATAAAGAGCATTTACTATCAAAAAGGCCGGATCATCCTAAATAAACTGTTTGCTATCCTGACCAGAACTTTTCTCAAGGTGCGATATCGTTGCCCTTGCCTGACTTAGCTTCTGCGCGTGCTCCACCTAAGGGTCATCCTGATCGGATGTGCTGACTCCCCCCCCCTTTAAATTGGAACAAAATATCGGTAAAATTTCCACTTTTTTGGTAAATTAACCTCCCTTTAAATTGGAACAAAATTTAATTTTTATAATAAAAAATTATATATAATTTTTATCTAAAAGGTTTTGATATAAGCTAAATGTTTCTTCTTAACTAAAATTAAAAATTTAGTTATATCTTGCTCTTTTTAAAAGAAAAAAAAGTATAAATAGCATCTTATTTAAATAAATTTATTATCCTTAATTGTTAAATTTAAAAAAAAATTAAATTATTTTTTAAAAATTTTTTCAAAAAAATTTTTTTATTTTTTTTGATAAAATTGATATTCTTTATTTGGATAGTTTTGATATAAATTCAATAGGAATTCTTTATAAAATTTCAAAATTTACTTATTTCTTGCTTTATTTTAAAGAATAGAGTATAAATAGCATCTTATTTAAACAAAATTAGCACTTTGATCGATAAATTTTCTAAAATTTTTTTTTTTAATTTTTTTTATCAATAAAAATAATAATTTTTGTGTAAATAATTTTGATACCAATTAATAGTGGCGTATTAACTAATAATGAAAATTTAGTTATATCTTGCTTTGTTTTAAAAGGATAAAGAGTAAATAGCATTTTATTAAACAAATTTATTGATCTAATTCGATAAGTTTTTGAATTTTTTTTTTTTTTTTTAAATTTTTATATTGATATTTTTTTTTTAAAAAACAAATTAACCCCCCTTTAAATTGGAACAAAATTTTTAGTTCCAATTTAAAGGGGGGGGAATGAGTTTTGAAATCCTGAGCCTCTTATTTTTACTGCCGAATAGTTCCTCTGGCTATCCCAAACAAAAATGCTGTTGCTCTGCAGAAGTTCTTGAGAGTAAACCAAACCCCATAAATAATATTTTCTCTCGAATCGAATGCCACTTTATTTATCCTTTAAATTGGAGCACAAAAATTTGGTTCCAATTTAAAGAAACAATAATTATTAAAAAAAAATGATATGAAATTATTAGCAAAAAGTCTTTCGATTTTTGTGAAGCTATTTGCATAGGAAGTTATTATCAATCAATCTCAGTATTGAGCTTATGTCAAATGCTTTAATAGTCTTTTCAATAATATATGATTTAATTAATTTGTTTAATTCCCTTATAAGCAGCCAATATTTCATCTCCATTCTTGGGTTTTATCTCTGTTTTTAGTTTTATACCTAATTATGTTATTTTTACATCCAACATTAATGGATAAATTTTTAAAAATTGAGAATTATTTTTATATTTTAAATCTTTAAAAATTATGAATGTTGAAGAGTTTTTGTAAATGATTGGAATCATTCGGCCTGCTTCTATGCAGACTTCATTCATTTATTAAGATTGCAAATATGTCCAAAACATAATTTCTAGAAAGAAATAAAAATATTTTTTAACTCTTTAATTCGCTGCAATTATTTTTTTTTTAAACTTTATAATCAAATTTACTCTTCTCAGGATGCTTATTTTCTAAGACTGATGATAAGCAAATCACATGAAGGTTAATATTTTTAATTTTTATTAATTTCTGCCCGATTAATTATGGACAAATTTTTACGAATGTTTATTTAAAATTGATGATTTTGGATTAATTTTTTATATGGAATCTGATATAATTAGAATTTTTGTGTACTTTATTACTAATTCCAAAGATTAATTTAAAACTTTTGCATTTATCAAAAAATTATTTGGCCAGAATTAATTTTAATTATTCTCTGATTCCATTTATTTTCTAAAAATGATCAAGAGCATAAAGGAGCAATGAATCGTTGAAGAAGTCGAGGAGTCATATAAATTTTTAATTTCTTTCAGCAATTTTCTAATAGCCACCTCCATAATTTCCAGAGTATGTGACTTAATTTTTAGTCCTTCACCTTACCTATTTGAAACTATTATCCCATGAACCATCATGCATATACTGGTCACTTTATCCATAAAGGTTGTCCAGAGTAAATCTAAAAACTACAAAATTGCAGCATCTCTCTTTTACGCAGAGTACTTTAACATTGTGTGCAAGGGCTTTGCAGATAAAAGTCTAAAAAATCAATATTCGATTACTGAACTTTTTGCATTTTTGATCGTATCATGCTTCCAGTTTTCTGTAATGAAAAATAAGCTGGCCTTCAATTTGCTGGCCATAAAGTTTATGTATTTATGAGAAATACACGACAGATTATTTAATTTTAAAGCGATTGAAGAGAGTCACAATCCTGCACATCTTTGAATTTCCATCACTCTGCTCATAAATGTATGACATTCTTGGTCAAATAAAGTTTCTTTTGAAAGGTTTAGCTATAAATTAGAACTGGAAAACACTAAAAAGAGGCTTAATACTGTAACAGAATCATTTTCTGATGGATTTTTAATTATTTCAGAAAATATAAAAATAGAATTTTTAAATTCTTATGCTCAAGAGCTCTTAACCCTGTTGGCGACCTTAACGTCAAAAATCAAAATTTTTGAGCAATATTAAATCTATTCATAATGATATAGCTATTATAATAAATAAAAGCACCCATTGACAACCGTTATCCTGTTTTAATATATAAAATATGATAATGATAATTGGTAGGAATATTTTTATTCATCCTAACTGCTTATATATAAAATATAATTATTTTAATTATTATAGTGCAATCTTTAGCTAGACTATTAAATTTCAATAAAAATTAGATTTTTCCTTTGATATTTTTCCTAATTTTTGAAAAATAAATAGTAAATTCATTAATAATAATTATATATCGAAATTTTACAATCGAGAAGACCTTTTTGTGAGTATTTACCATAAAAAAGACGTTTAATCTGCTATAAATTATATAAAATTTTTAAAATAAAAATCTTGTGAGATCGAAATATTTTACTCACTCACTGAAATGAGGAGCTAGGATGTAGCTTTGAAAATCTCCGCACGTCAATTATGCAAATAGAATACCTTCAAAATAAAAAAGTCTGCAATTTTGGAACATCTAATTTTTTAAAAGATGATCTGATGTATTTATTGTCAAATTGGTATTTAGAAGAAGCCACACTTGGATTTGTGTTTTTGCAAAACAATAACATAGAGTTTAAGGCCAAGCAGATTTTCTGAGAAAATAAGCATGCATTATTTCTCACAATTAGGAATGTAAATCAATCAATCGAACTAGAAAAAAAAATCGCTAACGATCGAATGAAAAATCTATTGCTACGCTCTGTCTCGCATGAATTGAGAACTCCATTAAATTCAATAATATATTTTACAAATGAGCTAATTTCAAAATTTTATGATAAACCACTAGCAGATTATAAACGGGGTGCGAGTCAAATGACATTGCCTATTTGATAGTGTCCATTTCACCGAAAAATTTCTGGCCGAAAATTTTTGATAGTGAAACATTTGACAGAAAAAAACCGTTAATTTTCGGCCAAATGTCGCACTATTAAAAATTTTCAACCAATGTATTTCGATGAAATGTCACTGCCAAAAACCACTGTCATTTGACATGAAGCCGATTATAAACAGCTTAAAATTATCTGAATTTCAAGTAAACTTATGCTGTCATTAATCAACGATATTGTGGATTATACTAAACTACTATCTGGAGCATTTACAATTCAAAAATCTCATTGCAATATCAGAGAAGTAGTTAGGCAAGTTTATGAATTATTTAATATTCAAGCAATTAAGAAGCAAATATCAGTTATAGTAAGAGTTGATCCAAGCATTCCTGAGCTTATTTATACAGACTCAATAAGGCTAAACCAAATTCTGCTTAATTTAATGAGCAATGCTTTTAAGAATACTTTAAGAGGGAAAATCGAAATTTGCTGTGTGAGTACAGTTAATAATAAGATGAGAATTTCAGTTCAGGATTCTGGAATTGGAATGAATAAAGAATTTATGGATAGCTTGCTTACACCAAATTCAGGAAGAGAGCAAACTCATTGTTCTTCAAAAAATTTACCTGTCTTCGTAAAAGTAAATATCAAATTGCATATATAAAATCTTTGGATAAATATCTAAATAATTCTATTATATTTTAAACTACTTGTTTTCTAAAATAAAATAAGATTGCTAATATTACATAGCATAAATTTTATAAACTACACTTTTAGTTTTCAAAATATTTGCGAATTCTGAAATTTGTGAGCACGGAATAGATTGAATTAAATATCTTAACTTTACTCCTTGAGAGGGCAAAAAAACTCTTCACTAGAGAGGGGTGTTAAAATTAAGATAGAGATTTGTCGGCCATAAACAAAGTTAACCTCAGACTATCACATTGTCTCAGCTCCAAAAGCCAGTCTCCTTATACCTTGGAGTAAAAATTAGGAAAATAGAAGTTCGCCATATTTGATTTCCGATCAGAATCACCTGTCTAAGGTATTAGATATCTAATTCAAAGGCCCCATCTGGGAGGTGTCCCGATAATCTCGAAAAGGAAAAACCATAAGGTAGACAAAGCTTGTCAAGCCCATCTGGAATAATCAGAACCTTCAGGGGAGAACCAAAACTCCGTATTTTGACAGGGCTTTTCTTGAACAGTCTACTTTCTCACCGAGCACTTTTCACTGCCCATCCAGCAGGTCGCCTACTCCATCAAAAATTGCGCCCAGGAGTGTTTATTCTATCAACATTACCATTTTAATTCTAGAGAGATTTTAAATAAATTAAATTGTTTAAAACTGGCGATAAGTTGCAAGCCCACTGGCGTTTGCCTCATCATGGCTCCAAAAAGCCAGTCTTCACAGACCTCGGAGTTCGAATGAAGAATATGAAAGGCTGCTATTTTGGATTTCCGATCTGAACACTAGTCCAAGGGTCAAGATAGAGCCAACGGCTGTAGCACATCCCGATGGTTCCGAAAGGGAATACCATTTGGATGTAAAACCTGTCTAATCCGTCATCAGGGCAGGAAAACCTTCGGGGATGATACAAAACTTCCCTCTTAGGCAAGGCTTTCCCAAGCTAAAGACCTACTTCAAAAAGGGACATTGACCGTACTTTCAGCTTCATTAGAATTGGTTCGACCAATTCCACAGAGATCCGCTTCGGAGTCCAATTTCCGTCAACGCCACAATTTTATTTCTAGAGGGTGTTAGTTAGTTAAATGTTTATCTGGTCATAAGCGGGTAAACCAAGGTCTTTGCCTCATCTCGCCTCCAAAATATCAGTCTCCTTCGACCTCTGAGTTCAAATGAGGAAAATGGAAGGCTACCATCTCAGATTTTCGGTCTGAACCACCTGCCCTAGAGATTAACTCTTTAGGGTAGAGCCACCAGCTGTAGAGTCCCCGAAAAGGGAAGGCCATGTGGCAGGTAAAACCTGTCTAGCCCAATGTAGCATGAACAGAAAAGCCTTCGATGGATAAACAAAATTTATGGTTTTTCCCAAGACCTGAAGTCTACTTCAAAAAGGGACAGAAGCTCTATTTTTCAGCTCTATCAAAATGGATCTGCATTATAGTGAGCCTCGGAAATAAATTTCTGTCAATGTCACCATTTTATTTTCGAGGGGTGTTAGGAATTTAAATATTTTAAATGCGCCAGCACTTAATTCAAACGGAACAGGACTTGGCCTTTACATTTCAAACTTACTTATAAAACAACTAGGTGGGAAAAGATTAAAAATTAATTCAAATCTTGGAAAAGGTTCAACATTCAGCTTCTCAATAGCTATTTTTGAAAATAATTTATTGACTGGCACTCATGAAAAAATTGAAAGCAATTTTAGCGAAGACTATGTTGAATTAAATAGCGAGCCTAGATTTTTTTTAAAATCAAGGCAAAAAGATGTATTAATAGTTGATGATACGGAATTTAACTTACTTCCCCTCTGTGAGCGAGCAAAAAAATTTTTGTTCGCTTGTGGAGGGGGCTAATTTTGCTTTAAAAATATTGGATATAAATTGTATAGTAATTTTTTCTAAATCCAATTTAAATTGCAAATTTATAGGCTGTTTAAAATTTAGCAGAATTAGCTAGGGATTTAATTATAATAATTATCGCTCTCATATCAAATTTTTCATAAAATAATGTTTTTTTTTTACTCACAGAGCGTAGGTCTTTTATAAAAAAAAGGGATTTCAAAATAGTTTCGTCCGCTTACAGAGGGTGAGCTAGAAGTTCTTTCTTCTATATTAAAGAAAAATAAGATTTCATACGAAGAAGCTTCAAATGGGAAAATAGCACTTGAGAAGGTTATAAAACAAGACTCTATAGACCAGCCATATAAAGTGATTATTATGGACTGCGAAATGCCGGAAATGAATGGGTGAAAAGCATCAGAATATATTGAAACATTGTTTAGACAGGGTAAATTAAGATGTTTGCCACATATTATAGGGCATTCTGCGTACAATTCTGAAGAAGATATAAGGCTTTGCTATCAAAGCGGAATGGTTTATTTTTTACCAAAGCCTTGCTGCCCAGAAAAATTAGTGAATGTGGTAAGAAATTACCTGAACTGTTAAGCCTTGTATTATTCATAATTTATAATAAGGATTTTTGCTATGAAATGCTTCCATTTATATTCATTTTAGCTCACTGTTTTAATGAATTCGCAAATTTGATAATTGATGAGCGTTAAAGTCTTAATAATAAGCGTTTCAACTGTCATCAAATATTACTGGAAGCGTTATCCTTATTCTATTATAATTAATTGCGTATAATGTAGTAATCAGTTTGTAAGCGTTGCAGAATTAATCAAAATAGACAATAAGTTTATTCGACCACGATAAGGTTTAATTTCTTTTCCCGTCTAAAAGGTAAAAAGTTAGCGACTTGCTTACTATAAAAAGATAGAGATTTTTCGTAAAAGTATGCCCTTTTAGATGATATCTAAAGATTTATATCCAAACCCATATTAAATTGAAGAATAGAGGAGAAAGTAAATTTATTTAAAACTTGGCTCTTGATTACATATTGGTGCTAAATAGAAATTACTAGAAAGGTCCTCCATTTCCTTCTGGAACTGTCCATTTGATGAAATTGCTTACAGCTTTGATATCACATGTCTTGCAATGAATGCAGTTTTGAGAGTTTATATGAAGTTTGCTATCAATATATTGGATACTTTTTTAGGAAAATTTGCAAAAAAGATCAAATATTCGCAAATAAATAGTAATTTTTTTTAAAAAAAGTCTATTTGCGAAAGTGCAAAAAAAATGGCAAAATGTTTTTTTGAAAAAGCAAAAATAAAAAAAAATAACAATAAAATAGAAAAAATTGAAGATGATCATATAATTTGTGCAGATAAAGTAGAGACACAGGTCTCTGATATATGAAAATTAGCCGAATTAGCAAAGAAAGAAAAACTTTTTTGTTCTCTAACGGGAAGTGGTTTTTTGGGCAAAAATAGGGATTTTTTAAATGGTTTTGTTTGCTCACGGAGGGAGCTAGTGCAATTTATATTGCTTCTTAAATAATCTTGTACTGCTATAGATTAATTCATGCCAAAAGTATAAATCAATGATTGAAGATAGAGAAGCATTAATAAGAGTTTTATAAACATTAAAACTAAAATAAAATCTCTTTGCTATTTCAAATATATTTCGCATTTTAAGTAAACTTTGTGAAAATAATGAGGAAAATTTTCAGCTCCCTAATTTTTTATCTAAAAATTACTAATATCATTTTAATGAGAAAGATAATGCTTTTGTTTTATAATCGTTCATGAGCTAATATAACGCGATTTATAGCTACTTGGTCATATTTTTTAATATTTTTAAAATACTTTAAATCCATATCCCTTATATATACAGAAATTTATATGGTAAAACATTTATATAATAAACAAGAAGTTAATAGATAAATATGATGGAATTGGTTTAATTTATCGTTTTAAGCACGAATTAAAATAAATTCGATTATAAAATACATAAACGGAAATAAATTGCTTCAATAATAATTATTAGTCATAAACTCATAATCTAGCATTGATTGCACTAAATCAATTTGCCCTAGCAGATTTATACATTTAAATATCCTATTTTTGACATAAAATAAATATATCTGATTTAAATTTAATGCAAAAATAAGAAAAACTTGTATATCATGCTTAATTTTTTTAATTTGCAAGTATTTACTCTTTTTGCATTCCGAAAAAACTCGTCCCAATATATTCATAGACACCTGCAGGGCAGAAATTTTGTTCAATCCCTGCATAATATTTGAGTGATAAATCTGGTTTTCCATCCATACCTGGCTTAATCTTTAAATGGCAAGGCTGATCTTCATGATGATTGGTACCTGTTTTTGAGACTTGGGTTAATAAATCAAATGTTAATTTACCATCAGGTTTTGGATAATCTATAGGCTTAAAATCTCTTGCAAAATGTGTGGCAGCTGAATCATTTTCAGGATTTTTCTTTGCTGTTAATGCGACTCTATTTCCTCCAAAAACTGAATTGCTAAGCCAAGCTTGCACTGATCCCCACCAAATATTTTGAGAAAACCCTTCTCTGACATTTCTCACATCATAAAGCTCTTTCCATAGCCAGGAGTTCCTATATTTATGATAATATTTGAATAGCTCCTTTCCTTCCGCATCCCCATGGTCAAGTGCTTCATGAACTGTTTCTGCTGCTAGAATACCAGACTTCATAGCTGTATGAGTTCCTTTGATTTTTGCTGTATTCATGAATCCAGCTGAGCAACCAAGAAGCATCCCACCTGGAAATGTTAGTTTTGGCACAGAGTAATACCCACCTTCATTCAGGGCTCTCGCACCATATGATAAACATTCACCACCTTCAAGGTGTTTTCTGATGTCTGGGTGAGTTTTATATCTTTGGAGCTCTTTAAATGGAGAAATATAAGGATTCTTGTAATCCAATCCAAAAACAAGCCCGACATGAACGATATCTTGAAGCTGGTGATATAAAAAGCCACCACAAATGGTGGTAGAATCAGTAGGCCATCCTATTGTGTGCTGCACAAATCCTGGCTTTGATTTTGACGGGTCAATTTTCCAAACTTCTTTGATTCCAATTCCATAAATTTGGTTCATCACTTGTCTTTCTCCATCATTGAAATTTCTAAGATCGAATTTTTTGATTAGTTCTTCACTTAGGCTTCCTCTGCATCCTTCAGCAAATAAACTTTGTTTTGCTTTAATTTCGACGCCTGGTTGGAAGTCTTCTCTTGGCTTTCCATCTTTTCCTATGCCAAAATCCCTCGTAATTATTCCTTCAATGTGTCCATTTGGACTAACCAATAGCTCATTAGCTGGGAAACCTGGATAAATCTGCACGCCTAAGTCTTCTGCATATTTTCCAAGCCATCTGACTAGCTCGCTTAGGGAAATTACATAATTTCCAGCGTTGTGCAAAAATCCAGGGATTAAAAAATGTGGAACATCAATTGAATGCTTTTCGGTCAAGACACAAAATTTGTTAGTAGTAACTGGAGTTTTGATTGGGGTATCCAATTCACGCCAATTTGGGATTAGCTCATCTAAAGCTTTGGTTTCAAAACAATTTCCAGATACAGTATGAGCACCAACTTCTGCAGCTTTTTCAACAACACAGACTTCGTAGTTTGGATTTAACTGCTTTAGCTTTATAGCAGCGCTAAGTCCAGCAGGCCCTGCTCCTATAATCAAAGCATCGCATTCGATTCTTTCTCTAGTTTGGCTTGCAAATCTGCGAACTGCCCTCCACATTTTATTAAGCAAAGATATTAAAAATTTTTAAAATTTGAAGCTTATGTTGATTTCTATTTTTTAATTATAATAGAAATATTAGTCAGATTACAATACTCATTTACTTTATTTCGCCCTCAAATACACTTTAGCTATCTCCTTCGATCTATTGAAGCTCTAAATACTCCAGCTAAATACATAAATTTCTCTTAAAAGTTAGAAGGCGATATGCGGTAGAATTATCCCTTACCATATCCAACATAAAACCTCTCTAAATGGAACGAACCCATAAATAACAGTCAAAATGAAAGAATAAAATTAAGCACAATACAAAATATAAATAAAAAGACAAAATTAGCAACAAATTATTCTTTTTGTTAATTTTCAATCCTTAAATTAAAATGAACATTCAGTTAAAGAGTCAATTGGGGCGAGCAAGCTTAAACACAAGAAAGGCTCATACACAAAATACTGCATCACAAAAAAAATCATCCCATTCAAAATGACATGTATTAATGGAATAAATCTTGCCTTCAGCATATTATGATATCCAGCCAGGAATTCATTATTATATACCATAAACCTGATTTTATTGTCGTAACTTCTTCTCTCCCTTAGCATGGTCATTATTTCAGGGTCAAACTTAAAAGACTCCAGCTGTTCTGAAGCAATTTCAAAATAGAGATAGCTTGTTGACCCACGATTACATAAAATTGGCGAATAGACCATATACATGAAAGGGTCTGGGATTCTTTTTTGATTGGATTTTAAGATACACACAGCAAATTCATGGATAAGTAGTGTAAAGCAGTTCCCGATGAAGGTAAGAAGATTGATAAAGGGAATAAAATAGAAAAAAAGCATGCAGAATAGACATCGAGATTCCAATGCAAACCATAGCTTATAGAGAAAATCATTGTGAGCTGTTTTTAAAAATACCTCGCCTTCACGGTTTACTGCGTCATTGTATTGCTCTATCACAAGATTGCAGCGGGAGATAGGATCAAATTTCCCTTTTATTTGTTCGCCAAGTTGTGTAAGACCAATTCCTCTTTTATACATAATAAATAGATTTTTAGCTTAATACTCTCTTATAATTTTCAGTTAAAATTATTTTGCATGTGCAAAAATTAAAATAACAGCTATGGCTGTATTACATATATATAAATTATTTTAAGTATTTATTTATGTCCTTACTCCCCCCCCCCCCTCCGTGAGCGAACAAAACCATTAGAAAAATCGCCATTTTTTGACCAAAAACCCACCCTCCGTGAGTGAACAAAAATTTTTTTAATAGAAAAAATTTTAATGGAAAAAAATTTGGATATATAAGTGATAATTAGTATAATGAAATCTAGAGCTAATTCTGTTTAATTTTAAACAAATTGCGTTTTAAAAAACATAAATTTTGCAAATTTAAATTAATATTTGCTTCCCAATTTTTGCAAATTAGGGATTTTTTTAAAATTTCGAAAAAAATATTTTTTATAAAATTTATATATAAATTTTTTTTAAAAAACAAAATTAACCCCCTCCGTGAGCGAACAAAATTTTTTTGTTCGCTCACGGAGGGGGGGGGGGGGAGTTAAGGAAGTTTTGGAATTCAGGCTTGGATTTTATATTTCTTTCTTTGACTATATCTAACAAAATTTTAGATAACTCTTCGTTATCATTTATGTTTAGATGATTAAGCCCATAAATAATATGCAAAATAGTCAAATCAGCTTCGTATTTTAGTTTGGACTTGAATTGAACCAAAACATCTCTCAGCTGGTTTAAGAAATCTGTCTTTTGCTCTAACAATTTTGGACTCATGTACCTCGCATATGCATTTAAAATCCCTGAAACATTTTGAATTGTTATATCTTTTTTCCCTTTTGTTATCAACAGATTTTCAATATCACTATAAATCTTCGGGTTTCCTTTATTCGCTTTCACAAGCCCCGACAAAATTATCGTGAAATCATAAGCTGTCATTCCCTTTGTTGTTTCTTCAATCCTTTTAATTAACCCTCTATAAAGATCATCACTCCCTAGTTTATGCTGTGCAAATGTATATAAAATCCTGCTTGCATCTACCCCATCTAATTCATCTGAAGTTCTCAATACTTGCTGCTCTAAAATAAGTAAAATCTTTTCATTGAGCTTATGGAGCTTTTTAAATGCGTACATGATGACGGCAACAGTGCTTGCTCTCATGCTGTGCAGTGGGCATACTCTTTCAACAATAATCTCTTCTAATTTATTCCAAAATTCTGGAGAGCCTTTTCTGGATGTTGAAAAGACTTGGACGACGCCATAAATATTTTTAGAGTCAATTGAGTTGTAATGGGTAGTCATAATGCTTTTTTCGAAGGCTTGTCATAGTTCTTCGTTCATGATATTGAAGTGGGAGCATTCCCTTATGATTTTTATAAGAGATTTGAAGTCGTAGTTTTCAATAATTGAGATCAATTTGGAAGAAACTAGCCTAATTGCAGGTAATGTGGCAAAATCTACCTTAGGAAGGGCGAGACTTTTCTTTTTCTTTTTTCTCTGTGTAGATTGAGCATCTGTATGGATTGCTCAAAGCTTCAATTTTAGAGCTTGAAAGTCAGCTCCAGATTACAAATCAGACAAATCTGAGATATCTTGTATAATTGCCAAATTGAGGTCTGTATCTTGGAGAAGCTTAAGGAGTTTGGAAGCATTCTTGGGATTGGATGTGTCGAGCTTTGAAATAGCTTCCAGGTTATATGCAATTTTTCGTGGGAGATGGCTGTATTCTGAAATTCGGGCAAATTTGGAAAAAGGTCTGGAGAAAAGAGGATATAGCCGATAAATCATTTTTACATTGTTTTGCATGAAATTTAAAGAAAAATTAGTACGAAGAAAACCTAGATTTGATTGATTGAGCTCAAAATCTAGTGTAGACAGATAATAAAACTAATATGGAAATTATGTTACTTTATATTTATGGCTAAGTGATAAGCTAAAATTTAGTATTTTACTTTTTTCTAATATACTTAAGAATAGCTTTGATATTTATAAGGAAAATTTCTAAATTTTCTCTGTAGATGGATTTTAAAAAAATTATTGTAAATGCATACCTATAAAAACCACACGAATTTCTCCACATGGCAACTTCATTATTGCATATTCGCTATTAGAATAATGAACATTGTCCAGTAATTTCTTTATATAATAAATGATCATACTTGCAAATCTTTTTTTGATCATCAAAGTTGTTTCTACCTCTTGTCCACTAGATTATGGTTTAATCACATCTTCATGCTTTGGCTGCTTCCCTCCCAAGAAGCTTCTCAACGATAAAATTTGTGTCTCCAATTGCCCTTCTAGCTCATTTGAAATCCCATCCTGTGATGGTCTTTCAGCGGCCTGCAGTCCTCATACAGGTGAAATTTTTAGCTTGGCCTTTTCGAAGACTTACAACTTGACAAGCAATTCAATTGGCCGATTCACAAACTTTAGGAATTTGCCTTATTCTAACTCCCTAGGGCGAACTCCATTGCCATACAGTGAAAGAGGCTTTTATTTCTTGCCCAAATCACAAATGTCCAGCGAATATCATTACATACCATCAGTCGAATTTACCTTAAATCTCTGAATTTGGGCTCAAGAAAATGGACAAATTTTGAATATCGAAGATAATATAGACCGTTACCTGAAATTCGAGTCAGTAAATGGAAAGTATAGGGTTACTTTAGCAGCCAAAAATTCATATAGAAATGGAGAAAGCTCAAGAATCGCATTTATTTCTGAAGGCTATCCCAAAGGATGACATAGTCTCACTGTTCAGTACAATCAAATTGACTGTGAAACTGTAGAAATGACAACAAAAATAAATGGAATTACCAGTTCTAATCAGTTCTTTGGATATGAGACAGGATTTGATGGAGAGAACTCTTTGTGAACACTTGGGCAAACAAGAAATGAAAACTCTTTCAGAGGGTTTATTTATTGACTTGAGGCTAGAAACGACTTATTCATCGAGTTTCCAGAGTTTGAAAATAGGCTGGAATGCAATTTTGGAAGCTTTTGGAATGGAAAAAAGTGCGAAAAATATAAAAGTCCATGGCCGCATCTCGCAAATTCCACCTCAGATATGGGAAGATCACTGACAAACTGCTTTTATGGCTGTCTTTGCTCGACAAGCACAGGACTTTACACTGATTGTACAGCATGCGATTATACCAATTTTTATATGAGTGTTGGGAGTCCAATTATATGTGTTGATTATTGCCCTACTGGATATCTTGACAATGGTGATGGGACATGTGCCTGGTACAGTGATCTTGCCACTTCACTTGACTTGAACTCCGGGTCAGTTTCGCTCAAAAAGTCAGGCAGTTGAAAATATGGAGCAAGTCAATCAAATAATATGCCAAATTATGATGCAAACGATCCATATCCAGCTCTTCAAAGAGGTTATTATTTTGCATCAAACTCCATAGCAAATACAACAGCAGGTATAGTGATTAGCCCATATTTTACGATGAATTTTTGGGTGAAGGCAACTGCCAGTGGCACTTTTATGAGCCAAGGCAATAGCATGGGCAAAATAATAGTTAATTCCGATGGAACCGCGACTTTGACATTAAAAATGCACGACTCTTCAACTGCATCAGTTAACTCTGATAAGATTGTTGGCTCCTGGCATAATTTGGTTTTTGTGGGGCAAGCAAATGCTAATGGATCTTATCTATCTATCTATTATCTATAACATTGCGCATGCAATGTCGAAGCTCTTATGAGCTCTTAATTAGCCAGCCAGTGATCTTTTTCTGTTTAGCCTGCATCCGCTCCATCTCTTTGCTCTTCTGTATGTATCTCCAGGATCTGTCTTTAAGTATTTCAACATGGAATCGCTTCACCGCATTATCCACCAAATGTACTATGTCTTCCCTTCCATCCATTCTTGTTGCGTCACTTTCCCTTCATATTTTGCTCCACAGAGCATCACCTGTAGCATGCCTATGCAGTTTCAATCTTCTCCTGTGCCTTCCAATACCTCCTGTAATTCTTCTCTCTGCTTGTGATATCTCGGACATTCTATCAGTACATGATCTTCTGTTTCAGGAATTTTGCATATTTCACATGCCTCATCATTCGACAAATGCCGCAACTTGGCATTAGCATTGCAGTAGTTGAAGCCTGCCCTGAGCCTATGTATAGCCCCAATTGCACATGTATTGCTCTGATTGACCGTGATGAATGTTGGCTTGACCGGGCCTAACTCCGTCGACCATAAGTTGGCAATATAGTCTTGTAGTTTTTCCGTTCATTTTTCAATCTATGCAAGGATTCCTCCAAGTTCAATTCTCTCGCCGCAACTGCAACAATTGATTGCCATTCTTTTGTATCAGTTGTTTGCAATTTTGTATTGTCCTGATATTCCTTCAGGTTCAGCAGTGTGAGGGTGTCTTTGCACCTCTTTTCCCACGGCAGCAATTCTTTTGCATTTATGTCCCTCATTATTACTGCAAGTTGGTCGTTCATATTGTAAACTCTTTTTCTGAATCTGAGCAACCTCGTCCTCATGTGGTTTGCAAGTGTAATCCATCCCATGTCCAGCATTGACGTTTCTCTAGCTATGCCTGCAGGTGCATGCAGTATCATCCTAGCAAGCCTTACTCTTTCGATTTCAGCGCATTTCAGAGATGCGCCGTTTCATTCATGCTGTGCACACTCGCTAGCATATGTGGCCACAGTTGTGATGCACGCTTCAGCTATTATAGATCTTTTTATGATCGGCATACATTTGACGCTGTTGAGGATGACTCTTGTAGCTCTACCAGCTGATCTCACTCTCTCCAGTGCAGCTTTGGCATGTGCAGCCCCAACTCTAGTTGTACCAATTACCTTCCCTAAGTACCTGTACTGCGTTACTTGTTCTAGCTGCTTTCCTTCAATCACTACATCCAACTTGGTAGGTCTTGCTGAGTAATCCACAACTACTGATTTATGTAGGTTTATCTTAAGGGAATATCTGTTGGCTCAGGTGTTGCATATGTCTACAAGATCCTGCAGTTGATATGCAGTGTTAGCAAATAGCACTATGTCATCTGCATACATCAGTAATCCCAGTTTTTTTGACCCAGGTTCTAGCGTTACTCCAATATCAGTTGCATCTATCGTTCAGGCTAGCTCGTTGGGAATTAGGTTGAAGCATATGGGAGATGAGCTTTCCACCCTGCCTCACTCCTTTTTTAATCTTAACTGGATCTTAGAGACGATCATTTATAATAATGCTGCTCTCGCAGTTTTTATACATTGCGCCAATCATGCTTATTGTGTCTGCCTCAATCCCCCTGCTTATCATTACTTCGTTTAGGTCACTATGTCTCACTGTGTCGAAGGCTTTACATATATCCAAAAACGCACACACCCACCCTTCTTTTTTGCTCTGCAGTGTTCTATAATTGTTTCCAACCTATATATTTGGTCCGCAGTGGACAGACCTTCCATGAGTGGGGTGCATTAACATTTTGCTTACTATGTCAAAAGCGAGCCTGTTTGCCACGACTTTGTCGAGCACTTTGTAGATTGTGTTGAGCAGGGTAATCGGTCTGTAATCCTCTGGGGCTTTTGATCCTAGCTTTTTGGGTAGGAGCACTACCAACGCACTCTTCATCATCTCAGGGAGCCTTCTTTGTGTCCATATGTCTGTTATCAGTCCTCAATACCTGTCTCCTAGAGCCTTCCCTCCATATTTGATCAGCTCAGATGGTACCCCATCCGGTCCTACTGCCTTCCTGTTCGCTAATGCTTTAATAGCTCCTTCAGCCTCTTCTTTTGATGGAGGATTTGGTTCAGATCACACATCCCAGTTCCAGTCCTTTCTTCATACTGCATTCTCCATCAATCCACCATCCTTGCTTCTTCTAACTTTGTGAACCTTGATGGTTTATTTCTCATCGACCGTTTTAGTCTCCTCGTTATTTCCCACATATCCTTTGCATTGGTTATGGCCTGTTCAATTCTTCTCTCCCTTAAGTCAGTCAGTTGTATCCTCTTCAGTTCCTCCTTGAATTCCTTCATTAGCTGCCTGTGTCTTGTCATGAGGGCTCTGTACCGTACTTTATCACCGTTCCTTTTGAGTTCTTTTAGCGCCTTCCATCTACTTCTCCTCGCTTCCTTCAATTTCTGGAGTGCTCTCCACTATCAAGAGTCCCATTTTTCCTATTTTCAGCCAGTCCAAGTACTCGCTCTGCTACCTCAAGTATCACTGTATTTATGCCTTCATACCTTTGGTCCGTCGTCGCTGGGTCTCCATCCTTTCACCTTGTCGTAAATTTCTCTCTGAAGCTCTTCCTGATATTGCTTGAGAAATACTGGGTTTTGTAGCCTATCTAGGCGGATTCTTTTCCTTTTTGAGTTGTTTGTCTTTACTCCTCAGTCCCATATCTTTATGGTGGTTGGTAGATGGTCACTGTCTATCGGGCAGTCTTCATTCACGTCATAGTCAATTATCTCATCTAACATGCTTCTCTTTATCACTGTGTAGTCCAAGCAGAAGGTGTTTCCCGTCGAGTGAAGATGGGTTGGTTTATCGAGTTGTAACAGCTCTTGATCCCACTGCTTACACATCACTTTGAGTCTATTCCCATTTTGGTTAGTGCCTGTGGATCACCATCCCCTAACGTGTGCATTGAATTCTCCCATCAGTATTTCTTGTTTGCCTTTTCCTCTGCTCCATAATATTGCTTCATACATATTTTCGTAGAACGTCTCTATTTCTGTGTCGTCGCCGCCTTCAACTGGAGAGCAGGCCTCAATGAAGGTGAAGTTACCCATTTCTAGACCTATAACTCTCCCTCCCATAAAGCTGCGTACTTCCCCCAATTTCCACCTCGACCTCTTTGCTGCTGATGATGATGATGCCGACCCCTGCGCTCCTCTCAGTTCCTGGGCTCACCACTCATTCATAGCCTGCGATTCTGGGTAGGTCTTCCTGTTTCAAACAATGTGTCTCGCAGATCCCCATTAGGTCTGATTGTATCTCTTCTGTGAATTTGTTAAGCTGTTGACCCTTGTTTCTAACTCCTTGAATGTTCACATGTGAGAGAGTCTTGATCCTGCTTTGATGTTCATATCTAACCCTCTTCGCCGACGGTAATCCAAAGCCAGCCTCAGTTGTAGTTCTCTTTTTCGGAATGTTACCACCGCTGAAAGTATCAGTGCTAATTATCCTGCTCGCCCTAGTCATTTCAGTATTAACTGCACTGTCAGATTCCCCAATATTGTAACCTGTCCTGTCTGCACTTACTGGAACATTACCAGTAGCTCCCGTGCTGCATGTAGTGCTTGTATTTCATGTAGTGCTTGTATTACATGTAGTGCTTGCATTATACGTAGTGTCTGCATTAGATGCAGTGCCCTTATTGTATGCAGTACTCGTGCTACATGTAGTGCCTGTATTTCATGTAGTGCCTGTATTGCATGTAGTGCCTGTATTGCATGTAGTGCTTGTACAAGTGTTGCTTGTTTTACAGGTTGTGCTTTCGTTACACATGCTGCTTGTGCTGCGTGTTGTGTGCTCTTGTATACAGCTTCATAATGGCTTGTGCTTATAGGGATGTTGTCCTCTCCAGCGCTTCATGAGCTTCTTGAGCTACAGGTGTAGCTAGCCTTAAAGGGTATGCTCATACTGCAGGTGTCGCTAGTGCTACATAGGTTGTATTTTTTCGGGTGTAGCTGGTATTTCTGGCACTATAGCTTATGCTGGTGGTTACGGCTTTGGTATTAATTGGCATTTGATTCGACCAACCGTTGCAGGGGTTTTCAGCTCCAGAGTCGCCGCTAATATTTTCGCCAGTGGTCGCTGTAGTAGGCGCTTCATTTCTTCTCCCTTCTCGTCTGTCGATTTCTCGGTTCCCTTTTATTCCTATATAGTCAAAATCTACTTACGTTACTCGTCTCTTCTGTTTGCATCCTGCTTTTCTGTTCCTCTACTGCTTGTCTCCGTATATTTCTTTTCTCCTCTCTTGTCTCCTTCATGAGTCCTTCCTTGGCCTTTCTTTCTGCCCTTCTTTCAATAATTTTCGCATGGCCTTTGATGTTGTGACCAACCTCCTTGCAGGTCTCGCAATATAAGCATGCCGCATGGTTTACCCATATCTTCTTTCCCCTGATTGTCATCTCGTCGCTTAGGTTCAGTGCCTTCTCCATCGATTCAAACTCACCATACAATATATACCTGGAGTTTGAACTAAAATGCACCGCGTACCTTTCTTCTCACATAATCACCTCATTATCTGCTAATACCTCCACTACCTTGCAGGTTCTGCTCAGCTCAGTTATTATTTCATCTAATGCTATTCCTACCAGGACCATGATTTGCATCTTGTACCTGACAAAATTGATCTCTCCACCCTCAAGCACCGGCCCAGCTGGCACCGTTATTTTTTCCCCTTGATGTTGTACCAGTATTCTGGCCCTCCCCTTTAAGTCTTCTCAAGCTTCTCGCTCCACAAACGTGACCACTGCATCTCCTGAGGGCAGCCTTATACTCCTAAGTATGTCTCCGACCCTCAAGCCCGACTCTAAAGTTACTACAAAGGAATTATACAGTGCTCGCTTCATCTCTTCGTCACCTTTCTTTAGGAATTTTGAGAGGTAGAACTTTAATGAATAGCCAAGATATTCTCTGTCGTCTATTTTCGGAAGAATGTTGACGGGCGCGCTAAAACCATAACAAAAGCCTCCTCTGCCAAATCCCAGGATTTGGGCTTCCTCCTCCTTCGCGGCTTTGAGTTTGACCTGTTTCTGTTTTGTACTTCCCATCTTCGAAAATTAAAAAAGTGCTAATGGATCTTATCAGTTGTTGTCCTATGTTGATGGAGTCCAAAGCAACACAGCTTCTTTTTCAAATAAGGCCTACATCGATGATTCATATCATGACTCATCCCAGTCAATTCAATTGGGAGACCCAACGAGTGGCTTTAATGGCTTTATAGCATCATTCTACCTTTATAATTCAAATGACCCAAAATATATTTCCGCAAATTATACAACTTCAGGCTGTGTAGGAACTTGCAGCGCATGCTCGCAGAGTTTGCAGTGCTTAAGTGAGTGTGCCTTAAACACCTATCCTCCTAGCTGCACATCGTGCTTGAGCTCGTGCACAAAAGGTTGTGTGGATGGCCAAACATGCACTTTATGTCAGGATAGTCCTTGCACAACATGCGCATCTTATACAGGATCTTGCACTGCCTGTGTAGCTTCTGCCACAGTGTCTAGTGGACATTGCTCTTGCAACAGTGGATTGAACTGGTCTTCTTCATCTCTTTCTTGCACAAGTGGGCCTGTATGCCCGTCTAGCTGCTCAACGTGTACTGATTCTTTGACATGCACTGGGTGTTCTTTGTCTTTATACTTAATCCAAGGCACTTGCCAGAGTTTTTGCCCGACTGGATATAAAATTAGTGGTAGTTCATGCAATTTGGACGGTTTAAATGGATTTATATTTAATTTGATGCCACATGGAATTAGCGATATAGTTAATGATTTACAATCAAGCATTCCTGTTGTTACTGGATCAAGCAGTGATTTCTATCCTAACTATAAGTCAGACGATCCTTATGCAGCAATATCAAGAGGCTATTACTTTTCAGGGTCCTCAATTATGCCTCTTCCTCCTAATTATAAAGACTCTACATCTCTCCTGACCTTTTCTCCGCAATTTCTTATGGCAGCCTGGATTAATCCTGCGAACGACGGAGTTTTATTTTCTAAGCAAGATTCTTCTGGCAATGAATATTTCACATTCAGCACTTTAAGTGGGCACCCGAAAGGAACAATCAAATTGGCAGATGGAAATTCTTATACAGCTACCAGCAGTTCATCAATATTGATGAACCAATGAAACTTCGTTTACATCAGCTCTTTTATCAGCAGTTCTCAAAAGCAAGCAATTAAATTTTTAGTTAGCACTGTCAGTGACACTACTGAATTTGTGTCCAACTGGTATCAAGATCTCCAAAGCTCATTTACAATTACTATAGGAGCGAAAAAAAGTTCAGGCGCATATTTGAATTTTTATAGAGGATTTTTATGGGATTTAAAAATTTACAATATAATACCTACTTCTACACTATACTCTACTTCATGCTCATCAGGATGTAGCTATTGTCCTATCGATAATTCGAATACTTGCCTACCAAACTGTCCTATATCAAAATATCCATCTGGAGCAACTTGTGGAGACTGTGATGGATCATGTAATAAAGGCTGTGTTAGAAGCTCTGATTGCAATTTATGTAATGATGCTATTTGTGCTGTATGCAGTGACTTTACATCCACTTGTACAACTTGCAAATCAAATGCTGCTGTGAGTGGGTCAAATTGTGCATGCAATTCTGGATACTATTGGAGTTCGGCATCTCTATCCTGCACCCATTGTCCGTCGAACTGTGATGCTTGTAGTGGGATTTTTGTGTGCACTACCTGCACTGGATCATATAATTTAATACAAGGGGTTTGTATGTTATCATGCCTTACTGGATATAAAAGTATTAGCGGAGTATGCAATTTGGATGGTTTAAATGGCTTTGTGTTTAATTTGATGCCACATGGAATTAGCGATATAGTTAATGATTTACAATCAAACATTCCTATTGTTACTGGATCAACTAATGATTTTTATCCAAACTATAAGACAGACGATCCTTATGCAGCAATATCAAGAGGCTATTACTTTTCAGGGTCCTCAGTCATGTCACTCCCTCCTAACTATAAAGACTCTACATCACTGCTAACCTTATCTCCTCAGTTTGTCATCTCAACCTGGATTAATCCATCAACAAACGGGGTCATTTTTTCAAAGCAAGATTCGTCTCAAAATGAATACCTCATATTGTCGATAGCCGGTGGCTATCCTAAAGTTACTATCACATTAAGCGATGGGAATTCATATTCAGTGTCAAGCACTTCAGCAGTTACTTTGAATAGCTGGAACATTATTTCAATTACCTCATCTCTCTCCACAACTGAAGCCATTAATTTCCAAATAAACACTGTTTCAGATTCCCAATCTCTTGCTGCATTTTTTTACCAAGATATATCAAGTTCTTTTACCATTACTTTGGGTGCCAAAAAATCTTCATCATTTAATAGCTTCTATACAGGGTTTTTGTGGGATCTGAAAATCTATAATAAAATTCCGGTGTCCAATTTATATTCTTCTACTTGTTCATCAGGATGCACTTATTGTCCAATTGATAATTCGAATACTTGTTTGCCTAATTGCCCTCTTTCGCAGTTTCCATCAGGATCAAATTGTGCTAGTTGTGCCTCCAGCTGTAAATCTGGCTGTGTAAGAAATTCTGACTGCAATCTTTGTCAAGACCCTATTTGCGATATTTGCAAGGATTTTACATCAACTTGCACAACTTGCAAATCTAAAGCAACTCTTGTAGGAGCTTCTTGTCAATGTGATAAACGATATGGATGGGATTCATCAGCTTTGTCTTGCCTACTTTGTCCATCTAACTGTTATTCATGCAGTGGAACGCTGAAATGTGACTCATGTGCTAGCGGATTTTACTTAATCCAGAATCTATGTGTTGATAACTGCCCTACAGGATACACTGGAAGCAGCGGGAAATGTACAATTGATGCATCAACAAATGGGTTTGTGTTTCATATGAAATTAATTAAAATTGAAGACAGAGTAGTTGATTTACAGTCAGGAATTCCTGTTGAAACAGGAAGTAGCAGTGACTTCTATCCTAATTATTTAAGCAGCGATCCTTATGCAGCTGATGGAAGAGGGTATTGGTTTACTGGCACTTCTTATATGGTATTACCTCCTAATTTTAAAGATGCTTCGCCTTTGCTAATAATATCGCCAGAATTTGCCATTTCTGCATGGATAAACCCAAAAAGTGATGGAATTATATTTTCTAAATCCCCATCCTTGATCTACAACCATCTAAAGTTAGATCAAGGATAGGGATGAACAATTTTGGACAAAGAATAATTATGATTTTTATTGATTTTAATTTAAAAATGTATATAAAACTCGTTCGATAAAAATGAGAGTACATTTTCAGGAAATTTTCAATATAAGCATTTGATCAAGAAAGTGAGAAGTAAGCAAGACTCTTCTGATAATGAAATTCTTACAATGAGTATATCTAGCCAAAATCCATCAATAAAAATCAAGCTTGAAAATGGCCAAACTTATTCAGTGTCTAGTACCTCTAAAGTTACCTATAATCAATGAAACTTTATTAGTTTTACACCCACGATTGATAAATCCCCAAGCGAGACAATTATATTTAACACTAATGGAGCTTCTGATACCTCAGCAGCATTATCTACAAGCTGGTTTAAAGATATATCATCTTCTTTCACGATTATAATAGGTGGAAAATATAGCTCAAGCACTATTACTTCTTTTTATACAGGATTTATATGAGATCTCAAAATCTATAACGTGATCCCAAGCTCTACACTGTATAGCTCAAGCTGCTCAGGGGGATGCGCGTATTGTCCACTAGATAACTCACTCTCCCCCTTTAAACCTGCATAAAAAATCCTGTTCCAATTCAAAGGGGGGCAGATTCTTTTTAGAAAATTATGTTAAAATTTTCACAAAAATATTTTTAAAAATAAAAAAAAAACATAAATTGAAACTCATTATTTTTGAATTTTAATTTATTTTATAAAAGAATAGTTCAAGAAATTAATCAGTGCAGTGCAAAAACCTTTTAAACATATTCTGATGGTTATTTTTTTATTAAACTAGGTTAAATCTAATTTTATAAAACAAATAATAAAATCCAAAAAAATAATACACCCCAAAAAATGGAAATTTTACATATATTTTGTTCCAATTTAAAGAGGGAGTTAGGAAACTGTTTACCAAACTGTCAAGTATCTCAATACCCAAGCTCAGGCTCTTGTTCGAACTGTGACTCTTCTTGCTCTCATATAGGATGTGCTAATAGCAATTCCGACTGTAATTTATGCCAAGACCAAAAATGTGAGGTTTGTTCAGACTATACATCAACTTGTACTACATGCAAGACAAATGCATACTTAAATGGATCTACCTGTGATTGCAAAATTGGATATAATTGAGACTCAGCCACATTTTCCTGCTATAAATGCCCTGCGAACTGCAATTCCTGCTCTGGACCCTATACTTGTACGACATGTTCTGCGACATACAATCTAATCCAAAATCTTTGTCTACCATTTTGCCCAACCGGGTATAATTCAAGCGGCAACAAATGTGCTCTTGCAGCTTCTTTAAATGGCTTTATTTTCAATTTAATGCCTCATAAAATCGAAAATAGAGTAGTTGACTTGCAGTCTGGAATTCCAGTAGTTACAGGGACAACTTCTGCCTTCTATCCAAATTATAACTCTGATGATCCTTATGCTGCTCTTGATAGAGGATACTTCTTTACAGGCTCTTCTATAATGATGCTTCCACCAAATTACCAAGATTCTTCACCTTTATTAACACTTTCTCCTCAATTTGTGATATCTGCATGAATAAACCCAACAACGGATGGGGTAATTTTTTCAAAGCAAGACTCTTCGAAAAAACTTTATTTTTCATTGGAAATTGCTAGTAGTCACCCAACTATTGAAGTCAAGCTTCAAGATGGAAACTCTTATTCTGCAACAAGCACAGCTTCAGTGGTAAAAAATGCATGGAATATTGTATCAGTCACATCTGATGTAAGCTCAGCTCAAGTAATTAAGTTTGAAATTAATGGGATTTCAGAAGCATCATCTGGATTAGCAATAAGTTACTATGAAGATATCCAATCAGCTTTCTCAATTCTGATAGGAGCAAAATATTACGCTTCATCAAAACTTTCTAATTTATATGCAGGCTTTTTATGGGATTTGAAAATTTATAACACAATTCCTGGATTTTCTTTATATTCAGCAAGTTGCCTTGGCTGCTCACTATGCCCATCAGATAATTCGGGAAGCTGCATACCAAACTGTCCTATTAACCAATTTCCAAATGGAAGCAGTTGCTCTACTTGCAGCTCTAAATGTGCATCTCAAGGCTGTGTAAGAAATGACAATGCTTGCAATTTATGCCAAGACGAACTTTGCAGTATTTGTGATGATTTTACATCTGCTTGTAAAACTTGCAAAGATCATGCTTCTCTTTCTGGATTTTCATGTACATGTGAGACAGGAGCCCTTTATGATAAAACCAATCAAATTTGCTTTGGGTGTCCCGACCAATGCACTACTTGTGACTCGAATAATTTTTATTCATGTACTTCCTGCGCAAGTGGATATTTTATGTTGAATAGTATGTGTCTAGAAGCATGCCCTGCAGGCTATCAAGCTGATAGCAGTGGAAACTGTATACAGAAAATAACAGCTATTTTTGACTTAGACCTAAACTCGCTAGATGGTGTTATATATGATAAAGAGAGTAAGATTCCTGGAATTACAGGGTCAACTTCTAATTTTACTAATGGCTATGATAAAGATGATCCGCTCCCAGCCCCATTAAGAGGCATGTATTTCAATGGAAACAGTTCCATTATCAACTTGCCTGAGTTCGGCACATATTTATCGCCAAAACTAGTTGTTGGGCCTTATTTTACATTTACAACCTGAATTAATCCAAGTTCATCAAACTCAGTACTTTTTGCTAAAAGAGACTCAAGCTTAAACGATATTTTGATAATTTCCCTATTAAATGGCAGCCCAAATATAAGGATTTCTTTGGATTATGGAACTCTCTATTCTTTCACAGCTCAGAATACTGTGCCTATGAATGCTTGGAGCCTTTATATGGTAACTTTTGATATTTTTTCAGGAAATACAGTTATTTTAAGTTTTATTAATTCTGTGCAAGACACTTTGCAAGGAATTTCGAATGGATACTTTAATGATATTTCTGGTCATATGAGAGTGACTATTGGAGGAGACTCAAAGTCTCCTTCTCGAGAAAGAGTTCTAACAGAAGGATCATTTTTCAATGGTTTTATTTATAGCGTATGCATTCAAAATGAAAAAATATCATCTCCATCATCTTTCTTATCATCAGCATGCAGCAGCAGTTGTTCATCATGCCCAAAATTGACTGGCTGCATTCCGAACTGTGGTATAAATCAATATTGGACAGGCACCAGCTGCAGCAATTGCCATTCAGGATGTTCTAGCTGCTCTGGAGATAGTTCTTCTTGCACTTTGTGCTCGAATCCAAAGTGTTTGCTATGCAGCAGCTATAGTACTCAGACCTGCACTTCGTGCATAGATCCTTCAGCAATCTTACCAAATTGTGAGTGCGAAAATGGATTTTATTGAAATTCAGGCACAGAAAGATGTGAAGCTGTGCCAGATGGTTATTACCTTGAAAATGATGATACCTTAATTAAATGCCCTGATTTCTGTTCATTATGCACATCAGATACTTACTGCTCCAAGTGTATAGAGAATGCCTCAATTGTTGATAACTTATGCAAGTGCAATGATGGGTTCAGTGGCACAGCTCTCTGCTCTGAAGTAGAATTCTACGCAACCTTAGATGTCAATAAAAACAACACCCTTAACTTGCTGTTCAATGATAATTTAGCAAACGATCTAAGCGAGAAAGACATTTCTATTTTCATTAACTCAACCAAATTGAATTTCACTATCACAAAAGTGAGCCAGAAAAATTACTTTATAGAGCTTAGACTAGATTCAGAAATTAATCAGGATACTATAGTTACCTTGGAGTTCTTAGAAATATTGAAAATCAAATCTGTCTCCAACGGACTTCTAAAAACAAATAAACTATATGGAGGGCTATATTCTTATGATCCATATGAATGAACAGCTAAAATGATAGATTTAAGCTCTCATATAGCTATTATAGTCCAATCTACACTTGCAACGTCACTTGGGCTTTCGTTTATAAATTTTAATCCTGTTGGATTATGAAGCCTAATGAACATCATCTCAATGGTTACCTATTTGCCATTAGTTAATGTGAAAATGTCAGAAAAAATGACTGATTTTTTTAAAGATACTGGAAATTATAACCCTATACCAAATATTTTTGAGTATTTTATTGATAAAAGTGATGGGGAATCTCCATATGAACTAGCAGAAAGAGCAGGGGTTGATACCGATTTGCTTCTAATTAATATTGGGAAGAGCCTAACTGTACTCATTGGATTACTAGTAGGAATACCAATCTCTTATGCCCTTTCTTTTATTTCTCGCTTGCATTTAAAAGGAAAATACTTTAATTCATTAGTTTCATACAAGTATTCACTTTTTGCCAGGTTTTGGATCCAATACTACTTATCTTTTACCATTTCTTCACTTATAGCCATTATAACAGTAATTTTTATTTAGTTTTATTGTGGTAATACAACCCAAAGCATTAATCAGCTGCTTTGCGTCATAACGATATCTTTATCAGCTATTTCACCCGTAGCATTATTTTTACTTACTTATTTATGTGAAATTAAAATTGTTCAGCATAACCAATCTTTTGGGAAATATTTTGGATCATTTTATTATGAGCTCAAGACTTATAAGTTTTTAAGCACTCAATATCATACGATATTTTTTGTAAGAAGAATCGTTTATGCAGGAGCTTTAATTCTTCTTGCTCCCCTTTAGTGAGAGTTTGCTTAAGTTAGTTAAAGATATGACTTCTTGCTAATTTCTCATCCAGACAAGTCTTTTAAGAAGACTTGCTCAGCTACTGAAGAACCTCCCTGCTGACTATTTCAGCATTTCTGCCAGAAATAGCTCTTCTTCGCCTTTCGATAAGGTTATTGCACTGCTCAAAGCCTTGGAGTGCATAGTTGGAAACTGACACTTCAGTGACTAGCGTTCCAATTAGAAATAAACTTCTTAGCTAGTATTAGTATTAGCTACGCTGCTTTTGTTGCAATATTTGCCTCTAGGTAAAAGTCCCCTTTTTCAAATATCCATCGGGAAGATACTAAATTCTTCTCTCCATTAGTGAACAAAATCATTGGAAAAATCCTTATTTTTTGCCCAATAGCCTACCCTCTGTGAGCGAACAAATTTTAATAGAAAAAAACTTAATGAAAAAATATTTTGATATATGTGATAATTAGTATAATGGAATCTCTAGCTAATTTTGTTTAATTTTAAAAGCTTGCATTTTAAAACACAAATTTTGCAAATTAAATAAATATTTGCTTTCCAATTTTTGTGATTGGGATTCTTTAAATTTCGAGAAAAAAAATTAGCCTCCTTTTGTGAGCGAACAAAATTCTTTTGTTCGCTGACGGAGGGGAGTAAGTTACTTTTTTGGGCAAGGGAAATAAACTGGAACGCAATAACCAGTATCCATAGACTTTGTTTATTATTCAGTAAGTAGATGACCTCATTATTTATTTGTGTCCTCTTTAGTGAGAGCAAAATTATCTTTATAAAATAATTCAATATGTAATAAATATTATATTAAGTTTTCTATTAAAGTTTTTTGTTTGCATTCTAAAATATAAATTCTTTCTCAATTTTTTTCTTTTTGCAAGCATAGGAGTATTATATAAATTTTTGAATCCAAAACATTAATTCCACCCATGAGCCAGTTCCTTGCCCAACTGAAATTAAGGAGTTAGAAATTCATCATCAGCTCAAATCGCTATTTTAATAGTGATTTCACTAGCACATATGATTTATTTAGTTGTCATATGGCCTTATAAAGATTTTATTATGGGAGTATTTCATACTCTATCAGAGCTTTGCTTAGCTGTAATTATGACTTGCATGTCAATTTATTCTTCAAGCATGGATCAATCAACTATTGGAAGATACGAGCAAGTCATTGTCGGGCTTTTTATCCTTATTTTAGCTTTTCACGTCGCAGTTTCTATTATGCTTCCTATCAAGTCAATCATTTCGTTTATACAGTCTAAGTCTAAAAAGATTTCAGGAGTTAGACAAGAAATCGTCCTCGATACAATCAATGAAACCATGGAAGGTGAAATAACAGCGATGACTTCGAGAAATTCACCAAGCCGTAGCTTTTTTAATAAAGCTGCAAACAACCAAAGAAAGAGTGGAAAGATAATTACCCTGGAGTAATTATTATTTAACTCGTTTTAAAAATTATGTGTTTTTAATTTAAATCCTAAATGCATATTTTCTCCCTAGGATGTCGATATTATATATTGTAGTAATAAAACTTTGAAAATGATTATAGCAATACACGTCAGCAATTATGCATTCATTAAATGAATAAAAGTAAGTATAAAACAAAAACTTTAAGATATTATAAAATCAAGACTAATTCAGCATAAAATCTATAGCGCCTTCCTATAGATGGCGCGCAATGCGCCATCACCGGGCCATGTCGGGAGAGGGTTCTCCACGAGGAATGGTTCCACGTGTGGAACCCTCTTTTTGGCTCGTGGAAAAAGAGGGTTCCACACGTGGAACCATTCCTCGTGGAGAACCCTCTCCCGATATGGCCCAGTGATGGCGCATTGCGCGCCATCTAATAGAATTCACTATATAGAATTTTCCCATATTTGGCGCTGTTTGCCCTTGATTTGGCCACTGGGAAAATTTTTTGGTTCGACCAGTACCATATGATTTGGTCAAACCAAAAAATTTTCTCACTCCCCCCCCTTTAAATTGGAACAAAATATCGGTAAAATTTCCACTTTTTTGGTAAATTAACCTCCCTTTAAATTGGAACAAAATTTAATTTATAACAAAAAATTATATATAATTTTTATCTAAAAAGTTTTGATATAAGTTAAATGTTTCTTCTTAACTAAAATTAAAAATTTATTTATATCTTGCTCTTTTTTAAAGAAAAAAAGTATAAATAGCATCTTATTTAATAAATTTATTATCCTTAATTGCTAAATTTTAAAAACAATTAATTTTTTTTTTTAAAAATTTTTATTTTTTTTGATAAAAATGATATTTTTTATTTGGATAGTTTTGATATAAATTCAATAGGAATTCTTTATAAAATTTCAAAATTTACTTATTTCTTGCTTTATTTTAAAGAATAGAGTATAAATAACATCTTATTTAAACAAAATTAGCTCTTTGATCGATAAATTTTCCAAAATTTTTTTTTTTTACTTTTTTTTATCAATAAAAATAATAATTTTTGTGTAAATAATTTTGATACCAATTAATAGTGGCGTATTAACTAATAATGAAAATTTAGTTATATCTTGCTTTGTTTTAAAGGATAAAGAGTAAATAGCGTTTTATTAACAAATTTATTGATCTAATTCGATAAGTTTTGAAATTTTTTTTTTTTTAAATTTTTATATTTTTTTATAAAAAATTTTATATTGATATTTTTTTTTAAAAAAAAAATTAATCCCCTTTAAATTGGAACAAAATTTTTAGTTCCAATTTAAAAGGGGGGGGAGTCAGTGGGCAAATCAAGGGCAAACAGGGCCATCTATGGGAAATTTCTATATACCTAATTGATCCTATTTATTATATAAAAATAGTATAGCTGCTATAAATCGAAATGCTTTCATTCATTCTGATTCGTATATAAATTTTATATGCTTGATAACTATTCTGATTTAAGCTTTATATGTTATAATTCAGAGCTTTATTTAAAGCTTTTATTATTTTAAAAAAACTGTTTTTTTAACAAAACAACAAATTCCTCGTTTTATTTGAATTTTTCTTGTAAATGCTTAAGCTTTGAGTTATAAAGAGCATATTTCTTCTATTATAGTTGAAATAATAAAAAATGATTGAGCTGTCTATTATTCTTGTCCTATTTGAGTTTGTGAGTGGAAGCTGCCCAGAAAGATATGCAAACTTTTCTTCTTCCTGCTACATATGCTTGCCAAGCCAAAAAAATCTGGCTGACAGATTATGCGTTGATGTATGTCCAACAGGTTCATTTGAATATAGTTCATGCTCCGGAACTAAATTTTGCAGCACTCCACAAGGCTCTATTTTTACCATAGATATTAGTCATTCGAAGGACTCAGTCCAAACTTTTACTAGAGATAGCGACCTATTTATTGATAATGGATTACCAAAACTGCCTATTCTTCAAAATAATAATTTATTTTATTTTGAATCCAATAAGACAATAGAAAGCAGCGAAAACTATATCCCTAGCTTTTCTTTTTCATTTAATCTATGGATCAAGCCTTTGGACCAAGGAAACATTATTAGGGTTGAAAGCTCAATTGGAAGCCATATTAAGATAGAGGCAAGAGAAAATATATATATATTTATTCTAACTGTCTCGAATTTGCTTAATAAGGATGCTTTAGAAGAAATTTTCATTGAGACGAGCCCGTATCAAAACCTTTGGCAAGCTTTGTCTTTTCAATTTGAACAAGTAAATTGCAATATTATAGAGCTTATGGTAAAAATCAATGATGAAATATCAGTTAGATCATTTTTAAATGTAGAAATAAGCTTTCCAAATGAGCTTTATAAGTGGACAATAGGAAGCGTAGATGAAGTTTCATCTTTTAAAGGATTCATTTATTGATTAGAGGCAAGGAATAACTTAGAAGTTAATTTTCCACAGCTTTTTAGTAAATTAGAATACTCTGAAAACTCATATAGAGGTGAGTTTTCATGCAAAAATTGTGTACCCGTTTATTTACCAGAGCCGAAAAGCAGCCAAACTAATCATAGCAGAAAACTTCAAAGTTGTTTTACAGGATGCTTAGCCTGTTCGTCATCACTTTTTAATGATTGTACTAGTTGTAATCCAGGCCTAGTCCAATTTAATTACTTTTGCCTAAATGATTGTCCCACGGGCAAAAGTTTAAGCTCCATTCAATGCATAGGTCCTGATCTTGGATTTGGTTTTGATTTGACAAATTCCCTTATTTTGAGTCAAATTGGAGTGTGAGATATAGGCAACAATAATGCAAACATTTATCCAAACTTTGATGTTAATGATCCAAAGCCAGCTATAAACAGAGGCTACTACTTCAAAGTAAGTGATAGAATAAGCACAAGTGGAGTAATTGCACCTTCTTTTGCACTTTCCTTATGATTGAAAATTATCAATTCTGGTTTTATTTTGGTAAAAAGCTCCATGAGTGATTATTTGGTTGTTAAAGAAGACTCAGACATTATTGAAGTTTCAATATTAATGACAGATGGAATACCATATGTATCTACTTCTACAAATGTATGTAAGCAATGATGCAATCTAGAAATTTCAGCTGAGCCAGGGGCTTTAGGATCCACTCTTATAAGAATTTTTATAAATGGAAGTCAATCATCAATCCAGAATGCAATGATGGCTGCATTTTTTGACTCCATTAATGCTTGGTCATACATAAAGTCAAATCCCCTACCCCTCAATTCAACACTATCGCCCAAATTCCTCGAAAATTTTTTTATTGAACAAAATATAATGGACGGATGAACGACTAAGACGGACTCTCTCGAAGGGATGAGCTAGATCTCATAAAGGGAAGTGTTAAAAATGGCATGCCAAAAAATGGTTGACAAGTGAAAAAAGTTGATAAGCAAACGTGCAATTTTTAAAATGGTTTTATTATTAAATTAATTTTAAATTAGTATGCATTTTAGACTGTAAATGATAAATATAAATGATTACTATGAGTTATTAAGAACTTTATAAAGAGCAGCGAGTGCTTAATACAAACTTTGGCTTTTATAGAGAAATAGATTGGCACTGTTATTTTTAAATTTATCCTTCCGCAAAAAAGCAACTCGATCGATAAGTTTTTAGTTTTTAAGTCCATTTCAATTTGATAACAATCATTATATGAGCCATTAATAACTTCATAAAGAACAGCAAGAGTTCAATACGAACTTTGTACTTTTGTAGAGCAATTAATCTTAAATAAATTGGCACTGCTTATTTAAAAAAATTATCCTTCCGCAAAAAGGAACTTGATTGATAAGTTTTTATTTTAAGTCCATTAATGCTTCCCTTTGTAAAATTCAGCTCATCCCCTTCAGCTGTTTATTACATTTTGCTCGATGAAGAAATCTATTTCGGGATATGAGCTATTCCTAGTTTATAATAAGATATATAAAAGATACTGCAGTATTTTCTCTCCTTCGCTATTAAAAGGCGATTTATAGCATGCTTGCAAATACATTTAATAGTTTATTTCATATCTACTATATACAAAATATTTATATGGTTAGCAAATTTTTCATATTTTGAATTAAATCTAAATGAGATATACTGTGTTTTATATATATAATAAGCCATTTAAGTATATTAAATCTGTTTAAACGCATTAATTTAGCGAAATCGATGCTATATAATGTATGCCCGTATGATGCATAATGATGCTTGAATTGATTATTCGTGTCTATCCATTTTAAAGCAGAATAACTGGATTAATGCTTGAAATGCGATTATAAAGCGATATCCAGCGCATTTTTCTATTAACTCCTTTATTTATTAGTCTAAAAACTTTACGATATAAAAATTTTGTTTATAAAAGAGATATGAAATAAAGTATTAAATGTATTTGTAAAAATGCTATAAATAACTTTTTAATAGTTTAAAAGCGAAAATACTGCAATATCTCTTATATTTCTTAGGTAGTTTTGTATTGTGGGGTGGGTTTATTATTGACTATATGCTGGCTTATATGTGGGAAGTGATGTAAATTATAGCAATGGATTTGAAGGGTTTATTTCAAAGTTGCAAATATATCAAGATAGTAGTTATGTGGGATCGGACATTCATTATACCTGTACAGGAACCTGCTCAGAGTGTCCGAGTAATTCTTTGTGTTTAAGTGAGTGCGGTTTCACAAAGTTCCCTGAAGATTGCGACACCTGCGATTTTAGCTGTACTGAAGGATGTAAAAGTAGTGGTGCTTGCAGTTTATGCAAAAATAAAGAATGCTATGAATGTTCAAGCTACACAAATACATGTATAAGCTGCAAAACAAATGCCGAATTTGTAGGAACAGATTGCAAATGTAAAAGCGGGTTTGGCTGATATTCTAATAGCCAATCGTGCAAAGCTTGTGAAGTATTGAACTGTGATCTTTGTGTTGACGATAATACAGTATGCACCAAGTGCTATTCTCCTTATTTTTATATTAAAAATGTGTGCATAACGTTTTGTCCCACAGGCTATACAGCTAGCAATGGTGCATGCATTCAAGATTCAGCACTGAATGGGTTTGTGTTTGATTTAAAACCACTTAAAATAGAAGATGTAGTATACGATTTGCAATCAAATATTCCAGTAGTAACAGGAGTTAACAACGAATTTTATCCAAATTATGATGCTACAGATCCCTATGCAGCCATTGAGAGAGGGTATTATTTTACAGGATCTTCTTTGATGATGGAAATTTTTGACAATCATGGCAGGTTTTGGCTTTGGAGCGACAGGAAGCCGAAATTTTAGCAGTTTTAAAAAAATAAAACGGCCTGAAGGCCACAGGGTCTCAGATGGCTGAATCCCGAGGTGGGGTGGGGTGGGGTGTGGTCTGGCTAACTGGGCCTCCCTTCGAACCACAGACAAGAAGACTGGCGGCATAAACCAATCGAGCACTTCTGGAGGAGTATTATGTTGCCTGTGTAAAGAAAGTCCTTTGTTGAAGGTTTTTGATAAAGCAGGCTCGGGTGAAACTCCCCGAATGATGTCGAAGTCAGCATTTTTGGTAACGTCGACAGAAAAAGGCGTTAGGTGGCTTTAATGATTAGCGACACACAAGTGTGAAGCTGAAACTAGATTGGATCAGGGGCTGAAATAAACACCGCTTTAGCCCTCTCTAACCATAATCTCTCTATCTCTTTGATGATGGCTCCTCCAAATTGAAATAATGCTTCACCGCTACTAACAATTTCTCCTGAGTTCACCATTCTTATGTGGTACTATCCAATAAATGACGGCTGAATATTTTCGAAGCAAGACCTCTCTAGAAATATTCATATTGCAGTTGGGGTTTCCTCTAAGCAGCCAGCGATATCAATGCGTTTGCAAGATGGGTCTGCATATTTAATGCCTGGACCTACAACAATTACATTGAGCCAATGAAGTTTTACTATTTTTTATTCCACAACTGATTGGAATAATGAAAATATTTTTATCAATACAAATACGAATATTGATGATTGGAGTGGAATATCAGGTGCATTTTTTGTAGACCTCGAAAGTTCATTCACAATTTTATTTGGAGCAAAATACGATAGCTCAGGAAATTTTGCTGAGTTTTTTAATGGATTTCTCTGGGAATTTAAAATTTACAACAAAATCCCAACTGAGCTATTATATTCATCTTGCACATATTTATCGGGCACCTCTTCTTTCTGTCCCTTACTCACCCCCGTCCTTGATCGAACGACTCGTCGTCGTTCGATAAAGGATGGGGGTTAAAAAAAAAAATTTTATATATAAAAAAAAAATATATAATACTTTTTTTTTTTTTTACTTTTAAATAAGAGTGTTAAGAGTATTTAATAATTATTTTTATAGCAAAAAATTGAATTAATTTCATAAAAATACCAATTTTTAATATTTTGATTTATTAGTTACCCCTTTAAACTATATAAATTTTAATTTGTTCCTTATTAAATTAAATTTTTTTTAAAATTTTTAAAGAATCTGTATTTTATTAGATTATTGAGTTTTTAAGCCTAGTTTGATGGCTAAATCACTTCGAATGATTGATTACGAAGCTTTCTGTCGTCTCAAAGTCTCTGAAAGCAACTTCATTATGTACATCTTCCCAAGCTTTTGATAACTAATATATTTTTATATATATATAAAAAATTTGCATGATATGAAAATCGTTCGATCAAGGATGGGTGTTAATTTCCCCAATTTTAGGAATTTTTACAGTCAATCGCTCGATCAAGGATGGGGGGGAGTTAGAGCTTTCTGGAAATTGTATACCAGACTGCTCTATAGATGATTATCCAGATAATGGCAGCTGCTCAGATTGCAGTGCGAATTGCTTATCTGGCTGCAAACAAAATGGCTCGTGCAACTTATGCATGGATCCGCTATGCTACAAATGCAATGATTATGGATCCGGTTGCAACTTGTGCAAAGACAACGCTTCTTTAAGCATAGGATCTTGCATCTGTGATTTCGGATATATATATGAGGCAAATTCTGAAAGATGTATGCAAACTACCACCACAATTTCTTGCGATATTTCCTGCACTACTTGCAGCGATGCCTATTATAATAGCTGCATTACATGTGCTAGCAATCACTATTCTTTTGCAGGCTTATGTTTAAGATATTGTCCTAGAGGGTATTATGCAGATTCATATGAAACTTGCCAACTTATTGATTCAATTATTTTTGAACTGGATTTAAATACTTTGAATGGAGTAGTTTATGATAAGAAGTATTTGATTCCTGCGATTACATAAATAAAATGGCATTCGGCTCGAGCGAAATTAGCTCCGCTAATTTTCTCTCCCCTCAAGCAATTTTATTTATGGTGTTGGGTTTTATCTCGAGAACTTCTGCACAGCAATAGCGGCTTAACTCTGGGGATAACCAGAGGAACTGCTCTTAAGTGCGCTCAAGAGGCTCAGGTCTTTAGCCCTCAGCACACCCGACAAAGGTGACCCTTAGGCCGAACAGGCGCTGGAGCTGAGTCGTATAAAGCCGTGGCGGCAGCGAAGCCCGTCGAAGCCGGGACGTTGTATTTGCACGTGCCTTGGCGAATCAAAGTGGATCGATCCAGAGATCCATGGGGCCCGACACGTGGAAAAATATGGTGGCAACTCTCTGGACAAGACTAACCCGTAGTAGATGTAAAACGTTATAAATAATTTAAGATTAAGATTCCTGCGATAACAGGATCAACTCAAAATTTTTACAAGAATTATGATCTAGATGACCCTCTTCCAGCTTATTTGAGAGGGTTTTATTTTAATGGAATCTCGTCATTGCTTAACTTGCCTGATTTTGGATCATATACTTCTCCCGTGCTATTAATTGGGCCCATTTTCACCTTTTCGTTGTGAATAAATCCCGAATCAAATAACTCACTCCCCCCCTTTAAATTGGAACAAAAAATTGAAAGGGGGGTTAGAAAAAAAATTTAAATTATTTTAAAAATTTAGCAATTAAGGATAATGCATTTATCTAAATAAGATGCTCTTTATACTCTCTACTTTAAGGAAGAGCAAGATATAACTTAATTTTTAATTTTAGTTAAGAAGAAACATTTAACTTATATAAAAACTTTTTACATAAAATTTTGATTTTTATATATAAAATTTTTTATTATAAAATGAAATTTAAAGGGGGTTAATATACCAAAAAAGAGAAATTCTATCTATATTTTGTTCCATTTTAAAGGGGGGGAGTCAGTTCTTTTTTCTAAAAAGAATAATTCTTTGAGCTCATATTTAAGCATCTCTTTGTCTAATGGCTATCCAAAGGTACTTATAAATCTTGCTCATGGGGCCTTATTTTCATTCACCTGCCAAAGTTCATTATCGTTATTTCAATGAAATCATTTAGCAATAGTATCAGATTATGATGGATCAAACACTGTAATTACCTGCATTGTCAACACAATTCAAAATTCAAATGGAAATTCTCCAGGATACTTCAATGACATTTCGACAAATATGAGAGTAACCATCGGATCTGATTCTTCTTCACTTACATCCGGATCTTCTTACTATAAAGGCTTTATCTACCATATCCATATATATAGCATTGCAAATTATAATACAGATCTCTCTATTGCATCATGCACTGAAGACTGCTTATCTTGCCCATTAAGCCATAACTGCATTCCCAATTGTCCGATATATGAATACTGACTTGGGCCAAGCTATAAATCATGCACAGACTGCTCTTCAAGCTGCTTGACTTGCAAAGACGAGAGCTTATTATGCAACTTATGCTCCAACAAAATTTGTAACATATGTAATGATTATTCTGAGGATTCATGCTTAAGCTGTATTGAAAATGCACATAATCCAGAAAATTGCATTTGCAATGAAAATTATGGGTGGAATTCAACTTATGAAAATTGCAACGAAATAACTGGGCATTACACTGGGACAGATGGAAATCTGTATCCCTGCCCTGATTTATGCTTAGCTTGCTCATCAAGTAATTTATGTGCCGCATGTGTTGAAAACGCAATCATTGTTGATGGGTTATGCAAATGTAATGATGGATATCGTAGCGATAGCCAGTCATGCACTAAGATGCTATTTTCAGCATATCTATCAGTAAAAAAAGATAATTCATTAGTATTGACATTTAGCGAAGAGCTATCTACCAATATATCAACTTCTGATATCAATATTTTCATTAATGCTAAAAATATAGCTTTCACAATGGAAAGCAGCTCTTTGGCTACATTTTATATTACAATAAAAATTGATGATCATATTACTAAAGGGACGGAAGTAATATTGCATTTCATTGATAATATACATATTAGGTCTAAACAAAGAGCATATCTGATTACAAATAATTTAAATGGGATTCTATTTGAATATTATCCAGATACTTCTTCTGATGATGCTAACTCTATAATACTGCAAACTACAGCTACAGTACAATCGGCCGTATCAGCTTCTTTAGTGTTAGCACTTTTAAGTGGTAACTTATCTTCTTTTTGGAATTTCTTAAACTTTTTGACACTGCTTTCCTATTTACCTTTGTCAGGAATAGATTTTTCTCAAAAAATCAGATATTTTTTCCAAAATTTGCTAACTCCTCCCTCTCGTGAGCGAACAACACAATTTTGTTGTTCGCTTTACAAAGGGTTTTTTTTTAAAAATTTTATATATAAATTTGATAGTAAAATGTTTTTTCGAAATTAAAAAAAACCAATTCACAAAATTGGAAAGCAAATATTAATTTAATTGGTAAAATTTATGATTTAAATGTAAGCTGTTTAAAATTAAAATAATTAGCTAGAGATTTCATTATGCAATTATCATTTATATAATTATCACTTATATATCAAAATATTTTTTAATAAAAAATTTTATATTAAAACTTTTTTTTATTTGTAATGTGGGTTTTTGAAAAAATAGGGATTTTTCCAATGGTTTTGTTTGCTCACAGAGGGGGAGTAAGTTTTAATCTATTTCCAAATATTTTTGAATGATTTGTTGATGAGAATAATGGAGGAAAACCATATAAAAATGCATATGAAGCTGGGTTCGAAACAGATCTACTTTTTTTAAATTCTGGGAGTGATTTTACGGCAATTTTACTTTTAATTATAGCAATTCCATTTGTCTATTATTTTTCCAATTGCTCTTGCAAATATATTGCCCAAAAAATTGAAAAAATATTGAAATCATACAAGTTTGCAATATTTTTAAGGTTTTGGATTCAAATTTATCTAGAAATTGGGATTTCCTCATTAATCTGCCTTACAACAGTATTTATTATTTAGTATGAAAACTGAAACATTGTGCAATATTTTAATAAAGTTTTATCAGTAATACTTACGCTGTTTTTATTTATAACCCCTATCTTATTTCCTATTTTCTGTTAAAAATTAAAATGGTGGTGGCGACTAAATAGGTCCTTGGCGACGACGAATCACCTTGGTCGCAAAAGTTACCCTATAGCCAAAACCAAGGTCCGGGCCCTTTAATTCTAACCCTTAGCAGACTTAGCGCTGCCGTATGGGGTGGGTAACCTTGGGAGTAAGCTGGTGTCGACTCAATGACAAGAGTTTTAATTATCCGGAGGAGGTGCATGGCTCTCTGCGTGGTGGATCTGTCAGAAGGTCACCGCAGAGGAATTTGGGTTAGGCTGGCCTGACAAAAACTTTCTTCGTTAACTTGGAATTGTTAGCCTGGCCTGCTGTTGGAGCGGGTGCTGGGCGTTGATGTGATCTTAATTTGGAGTTGGTTTTATGGAGTTGGTTTTGTAAAGTTGGTTTTGTGGAGTTGGTTTTGTGGAATTGGTCTTGTGAAGTTGGCTCTGTGGAATTGATTCTGTGGAGTTGCTGATTGTGAAGTGGAGTTGCTGATTGTGAAGTGAAGTGGAGTTGCTGATTGTGAAGTGGAGTTGCTGACTGTGAAGTTGGATGAATAGGATAGGGTAATAATAAAAATCTTTCTATTCTATTTTCTGTTGGAAAAACGAAGGCCATATTATTGGCCGGGATAAGAGTTTTCTATCAATTTGGGACCCATTTTTCTACGAGTTTAAAAACGATCAAGGATTTATGAGTACTCAGTTTTATACAGTTTTTTTCTTAATTCACATATGAGGATAAAGAAGAGATCGTAAAAATGATTTATACATCAACCTCTCGAATTAGGAAGAAATTTTAATATAAAAATTTTTGGATACAATATTAGCGTATATTTAATAATTCTAATTCAAAAAATTTGTACTCAAAAATAAAAAATAGCAAAGTAGCCTGGGGTTGGATATAAATAAACTATTCTAATAAAAATTTATTTAAAGATTAAATTAATTATAGCCCAAGGACTGTTATGGATCTGCATTTAGTACTTCATTCCATTCTATCCACTTCCTGTCTGTTCAAAATATTTTAACATGTTAATATTAATTTAACAAACAAAATATAATATTTAGAAATTGCCATTAATATTTTTACTATTGAAAAATTAGGACTGACAAATACCAATGAAGTGGATGAGTGCTCTATAGCGAAAGCGGAGTAATTGTGATATAACCTTCTAAAAATACATGTTTTTGAGGAGATTTACTCCCCTCCGTGATTGAACAACAAAAATTTTGTTCACCTTAATTTTTTTATAGAATTTTTTTTTCGAAATTTAAAAAAATCCAATTCGTTAAAATTTTATAAGTAAATATTATAATGTATTGGTAATATTTTATTTTTGCTTATTTATGGTAAATTGATTTTAAAATGTCAAAAAAATTTTTGGGGTTTTTACCTCAAGAACTTCTGCACAGCAATAGCGGTTTAACTTTGGGGATAACCAAAGGAACTGCTCCTCAGTGCGCTCAAGATCTGGAGTTTTTACCCTCAGCAGCACATCCCAAGGGAGATGTACCCTCAGGCGGAACACGCGCAGGAGCTGAGTCGAACAAAGCCATGGCGGCAGCAAAGCCCGTCGAAGCCGGAACGCCTTATTTGCTCGTGCCTTGGTGTATCGAAAGGGATCGGCCCAGCGGTCTCTGGGCCCCGACACGTATACAAATATGGTGGTAGCTCTGGAAGCGGCAACCCCGTAGGAGACGTTAAACATTTAATAGATAATTAGTTCTAGTTCTAGTCAAAAACATTTTGACATGTCATTACATATAAAACTGAGTCTATGGTATGCTAAAATTTTTTTGACATTTTAAAATCAATTTACCATAAATAAGCAAAATGAAATTTATGCAAGGGATTATAAATAATCGGTAAAATTTGTATTTTAAACGTAAGCTGTTAAACAGAATTGGCTCGAGATTTCATTATAATAATTATTGCTATATATCAGCATATTTTTTCATAAAAATTTTTCTTAGGAGATTAGTATATATATTTACCTTGATTATTTTAAAAGATTATCCTAGTGCAGAAGTTACTATAAATATAGTTCACTCCCTATTAAATACATTGTATTTAATTAGATATTGGCCTTATAACGATATTCTAGTTCAAGTAGGGAATTTAATTGCAGAAATAGGTATAGTAATTGTAATGTGCTTTACTGGAGCATTTCTGTTTGATATGGATCACAATGCGTTAGTAAATATTGAATACGCAATAATATGGACAGTAAATTCCATAATCGCAGTCAACTTGATTTGCTCAACGATTATTTCTGTAAGAGATATTTGAAAAATAATTAAAGATAATTTCATTCCGAAGAAAAATACTGAGATCAATAAAGATATTAACACATTAGGAAATGCAACTGTAACTAATGAAGCTATAACACTTGAAGGAGTGGGAGCTTCTAAAATAGTTGAAGGAAGACTAAAAAAGGGCCTAAAAAATAAGATGAAAGTAATAACAATATAAGAATACTAAATAATATTCATTTTAACAGCGATAATAAAAATTATGGAAATATACGAATAATAAAATCGATATTCCAAAATTAAAATAATTAATATTTAAAATCGCTGTATATTTAAAAATGGTAAAAAAATATTAACTACCCCCTCTGTGAGTGAACAAGCCATTGGAAAAAATCCCTATTTTTTGCAAAAATCCATCCCATAAACAAAAAAGGTTTTAATTGAATAATTTTTTATGGAAAAAATATTTTTGATATATAAGGATAATTATTATAAGAAACTCAAGCTAATTCTGTTTAATTTTAAACAGCTACATTTAAAACACAAATTTTACAATTTAAATTAATATTTGCTTTCAAATGTTTATAATTTGCATATTTTTAAATTTCGAAAAAAAAAATTACTATAAAATTTCTATATAAATCTTTAAAACAAAATAACCCCCTTCTAAGCAAACAAAAAATTTTTTGTTTCAGTCAGGGAGGGGGGAGTAAGGATATTAAAGATTGCTGATCATATTATAGAAGTAGCCTCCTTGACTCATTAAATCTTCTCTTGTTCCTATTTCTAAAATTTTTCCGCTTTCAAGCACCATTACTTGATGAGCTTCTGAAATTGTTTTAAGTCTATGAGCAATCATTATTACAGTTTTCCCTGCCATTACATCTTTTATAGCAGAAAGTAGCAACATTTCAGTCTTAGGGTCCAGAGCACTTGTAGCTTCGTCGAAGATCAATATTTTAGGATTCCTTATAATAGCTCTGGCAATAGCAATACGTTGCTTCTGTCCTCCACTGAGCTGACTCCCTTTAATGCCAACTTGACGTTCAAAACCTTCACTCCCTCCGCCTTTAAATTAGAACAAAATATTAAAATTTTGATTTTTGATATTTTTAAATTATGTTAAATTTTTTTCAAAATAATTTATAAATTAATTTTAATCTAATTAGAATATTATTTAACTATTTATAAACTAAATCGATAATTTTTTTAATTAATACTTCATTAAAATAAAATAAATTGAAAATATTATGTTCGATTTATATTTTTTTATTTTATTTTTCATATTAAAAATATTAACTCCCTCTTTAAATTAAAACAGGATTTCGCCTCAATTAAATGGAAGAGTCAGGATATTTTGGATCTGTAATAAATTCAATAGCTTGCGATTTTTTGGCTGCTTCTTCAATTTCTTCTTGGGAAGCTTTGATTCCATAAGCAATATTTTCTGCGATAGAACCTGTAAATAGCACTGGCTCTTGACCAACAAGTCCAATTTGGCTTCTTAAATGCTTGAGGTTGTATTCTTTTATATTTAGATCATCAATTAAAACTGACCCATTTAGTGGATCATAAAGCCTTAATATCAGTTGAATGACTGTGGATTTTCCTGATCCTGTTCTCCCTATAATGGCAAAATGAGTTCCTGGGTTGACAACAAAACTAAGAGATTTGACTGCCATATAGTTTCTGTTAGGATAGCTGAAGTTAACCTCTCTAAATTCAATTTTGCCTACAATTTCCTTTCTTTCTCCTTCTTTGCTGTTAACATTGATTGTTGGTTGGTACTCTAACTCCCCCTCCATTACTGAGCAAAACCATTGATAAAATCACTATTTTTGGGGTCAACCTCACTGCCGTGAGTGAGAACAAAAAATTTTATGAAAAAATCTTTTGACATAAAGTGATAGTTATTATAGCGAAATTTCTGGGTAATTCTGCTTAATTTTAAAACAGCTTGCATTTTAAAACATAAATTTTGTAAAAAATAAATTTATATCTGCTTTAAAATTGGGATTTTTTTGGAAAAAAAAATTAATATAAAATTTAATATAATTTTTTTTGTTCTCTGGGGAGTAAAATCTTGAAAAGTCTTTTTGCTGCTTCCACTCCATTTTTGACATCTGGAGCATAGATACCTGCCAAGAAAAAGCCATAAGATCCAAACATACAAGTCATCATTGCAACTGTCATATTTTCATAAGTATCAAGGTCTTCAACAACTATTTTACCACCCCACCAGAATAATAATGCATAAGCGCACCAAATTAACCCAAAACCTAGTCCATATGTAATTCCTGAATATGTGGCTTTTTTCCTAATGCCAGCAAACTCTTGTGTTGTTGGCTCCAAATATTTGCCAAGCATAGTAGCCTCTAACTTCCTCCTTTTAAGAATAAGATTTTTGCCCACAAATATATTATTTGTTGGGTAAATTTTTTTGAAAAATTTCAACTTATAAACATTTGAAATAAATTATAAAGTTTGTCTTTTAGATGCAAGTACCTAAAATTTATTATAACTAGAAGTAGATCTTAATATAGCTTTCATTATGACATATAAAAATATTTTATACACAAGATATTCATATAAAATTTTGCTCACTGATGAATGGGGTATTCTTCCAATATTTTTGCTTTAAGGGTGTAAGTTAAAAGCTTTGGCAGTCCTATAATTCATAATAGCATCAGCAGCTTGAGATGTAGTAGACTCGTAGTTAAATTTAACAACTCCAACTGACTGAGCCATAAACGCAGCTGCCGTCGAAAAAATAATAATTGGGATAATGGCTAAGAAAACCAAGCACATCCTCCAAGAATATCCAGCAGCAACTCCATGGGCAACTGCTAAAGAACTGATAAGCCCAAGAACAATCCCTATCATGTGCCCACCCAATCCATTGACTTTCTCACAGTCATTGCAAAGCCTTGCTGAAAGCGCGCTACAGTTATTTTCTGGCAGGTCAAAAAATGCAGTCTCATACTTAAGCAAAGCTTTAAAGCTTTCGCGTCTCATTTTTTCAGTAATGTTTGCGCTCATCTTTGGGTAGCCCACTGATTCAAACATCAATCCAAGCGATACAAAAAATGCTATAAGAAATAGATATCCAGCATATTCTGAGCTTTTTGAAATCATATCGCTTTCTTGATAGGCTAGTACAAAGGTTTCTTTGCCTACAAACATCCCTACGAGTGGATATCCTGCGCCTACTAAAAGTGATCCAACCATTCCTAAATACAGCCACCCTCTTTCACTTTTGCTCATCATCATCATTTTTTTCCTCACATCTGCTGGGTTGTAATCTTCAACAACTTTCTGAGCTTCTTTGCTTTTCAATACTTCTAGATCAGTGGCCTTCGCTTTGCTTTGGTCCTCATCTTCATTTTTCTGCTGAATCTTTTGCATTTGTATAAGATGATAATATTTTGATTTATTTTTCATAAGCTCTTTGTGACTTCCGTATTCCAAGACGACTCCTTGGTCAATCATGATAATGAAATTTGAGTCCCTGATTGTGAGAAGGTTCTGAGCTATTGTAATTCTTGTGGAGTTTGGCATTGCTTTATCAATAGCTTCAACTACTGCTTGCTCTGTTTGTCTATCTAAAGCACTGGTAGCTTCATCCAATAGCAAGATTTTAGGATTCCTGATAAAGGCTCTTGCAATAGCAATTCTTTGTTTTTGTCCTCCAGATAGTTGAGAACCTTTTGTTCCTGCAGAAGTTAAGTATTTGTCGGGTAACGCCATGATGAAGTCATGAGCACCTGCTTCCTTGGCGGCGAATTCGATTTCTTCTTGTGTAGCATTAAGTTTTCCATATCTTATATTTTCATAAATACTGGTATTAAAAAGAAGTGGCTCTTGACTGACTAGCCCAATACTTTCTCTTACCCATCAATTGATAAAGAGGATCACCATTGTTCGATGAAAGATGGGGGCAAAAAAAATTATATAGCATAATAGTTAATTTTTTCCACATAGAATACTTTATATATTGTCGAATGCGATACATTAGCAAATATTAAATTAATCGCACTCGAAAAATTTAGGAGAGACTATAAAGTATATATCTAAGATTTATTATTATAAAAGATGGGTAATTAGATTTAAGGTGGCTAGGGGAGTGGTTTTTCATACTTGACTATATGAAAATTGTTCAAGCAAGCTTAGAGAGTTAGGAAACTTATTGGATAGTCCATAATATTGTTGCCATCAATAGTTATAGTACCTGAAGTTGGTTCATAGTACCTTACTCCCCCCCCCCTCCGTGAGCGAACAAAACCATTAGAAAAATCGCCATTTTTTGACCAAAAACCCACCCTCCGTGAGTGAACAAAAATTTTTTTAATAGAAAAAATTTTTAATGGAAAAAAATTTTGATATATAAGTGATAATTAGTATAATGAAATCTAGAGCTAATTCTGTTTAATTTTAAACAAATTGCGTTTTAAAACATAAATTTTGCAAATTAAATTAATATTTGCTTCCCAATTTTTGCAAATTAGGATTTTTTTAAATTTCGAAAAAAATATTTTTATATAAAATTTATATATAAATTTTTTTTTAAAAAAAAAAATTAACCCCCCTCCGTGAGCGAAACAAAATTTTTTTGTTCGCTCACGGAGGGGGGGGGGGAGTTAGGAGAAGCTGAACAATTGTGCTTTTTCCAGATCCGGTACTACCTACAACCCCTAGCCTTTGACCTGGCTCAAGATCGAAGCTCATGCCTTTAAGGATTTCGGATCCTGGAGCTGATGGGTATGCAAATTTAACATCGCGGAATGAGATAGCTCCACTGATTTCCTTTCTGCATTCTCCTTGGGTAAGTTTTGATTTTGTGCTGATGATTTCGTTGATACTACGCACAGCTACTCTTCCCTGGCTTATCAGTTTAAGACTTGGAACGCACAATGAAATATTGTTAAAGGCCATCAAGCTTACCCACATGACTGTTATGACCATCGATAAGTCGTATTCTTGTCCGCCAGTCCAGTTTTCTTCATTTTTGTCAATGAACCAGGCACCAACAATAAAGATTACCCCGTTCATGAACATAAAAGAGCCCATCCCTAAGGCAGTTCCTCCTCCAACTTTAAGTCCAGCAGTGATCATCGATTTTTGTGAGTCCTTAATTCGTTCTGTATATTTCTTCGCTTCGTGCTTCTGGCCATTCATTGAAGACACCGTTTTGATTTCTTGTAAAGCTTCTTCTGCAACTCCTCCTGCTGCTTTATAAGAGGTATCAGCCATTTTTGCATTTTGTTCAAGTCCTTGATGGGTAAGGATATAGAGGTTTTCCTCTATATAGCGCTGAAAGCGCAGACATTTTCCCAGGAGCTTTCCAAGTTCGTCGGACCAAATCGCTTTTTGGTCCGACCAAGGCATTGATTTGGTGCAACCAACCGATAAATTCCGATCAGAATTATCGGCCTTACAGCGCCAAACATAGGAAACTTCTATAAATCCTGCTGTCACTGTAGGCATAAATATGAAGCAGAATAGTGTCAGCTGAAGTCCTTTGACTATTGCTATGATGATTGAGGAAATAATCATGCTGGCACCTTGTATAAGTATGACTAGTTTGTCACCTGTAGCTCTTTCAATCATTAAGGTCTCGGTTGCGATAGACTGAGGCAGTTCAGCTACATTTCTAAGGTCAAACCATGATGGGTCTGAATTTATGATGGCTTTGAAAAATTCTCTTCGATAGTGGAATCCTTGCCTTGCTCCAACATTAACAAGGCACATGACCGCAAGTGTTCCAGCAATTGTGAAGACTACGGCTGAACCAATAAGTTCATAACTAACGATTTTTGAAGCATCGTAAAACTCATTCTTCGAGGTATTCTGGTCCATGCTTCCAAAAAAATCTCCCATAAAGAGAAAGAAAAGGGGTTGGATTGCTCCAAGGGCTGCAGAAGAGATGAAGCCAACTACAAAGAGAAAAAAGTCTGTGTAGGTAGCATACTTGTATAATTCTTTGATAGATCCTTTTGCTTTTGGAGTTTCGGGCTTTTGGTCTCCTAGTGGAGTGTCCTCGTCTGAATCTCTGACTTTCATTTTTATTATTAATTCCATTGATCATCAGAACAGATTAGCTTGATGTTAATTTCTCCAATGGAATATACAGAATAAACAGAGATTAATTAGTCTGATGAGTTCTATTCTACCTTAAATCATTTAGTTTTTTGGTTAAATAAGAAAGCTTTAGACAATCTCTCTGGTTAGAACTTAAACTAGACTTTATTTTGAATTAAGAGAGAATATAATTTTTTTGAAGAGAACCTAACATTCCCTATAAATTTTAATTTTTCAAGATAAAAAACAATTTCTATGGAAATAGTTTTGATGCAAATTACGCCATCAAAATCAGATATATATCCTAAACTTACTCTATTTTAAAGACTGGAGGTATAAGTAGATTTATATTCCAAAAAATTAGCACTTGAATAAATAATTTCATAATAAACTTTCTTTATTTTTTTCTAAAAAACAATTAATCCACTTCAAATAGGAAAAGATATTTTTGTTTCAATAAAAGGGAGTAAATAGAAGCTAATTATTTTAGTTTTAAAATCCTAAAATTTAGACTAAAAGTCTAAGCAGTTAATAGTTTAGGTAGTTTTTGAAAACTCTTATGAACTGTCTGTATAGATGAAGAGATTCAAAAATAAGCTGTTTAAAGTAAAATTGGAGAGACTAAAAATTGTTTTGTGGCTAGCAGAAGAGATTTTGAAATTTTTGGCTTATGGAAAGGTATATGGAAAAGCCTAGTTATAAATAGGTAAAAGGGATTCAAAAACCACAAAACTCTGGAAATTTTATTAAATTCAAGACTGAGACTCGCGAACTAAAAAGCGTTTTTAAAAGTCTAGAACCTTCTATTTAACTTCAGAAAAATATATTTAAATTAATTCTGTGAAAAATTAGTTGGAAGTATAGTTTTAAAATTTTTTAATAAATTTCTCTTGCGATTTTATGCTGGTAAATAGTTAAGCCAAACCCAAATTTAAGCTTTTAAAATTATCATAAAGAATTCGGATGATTAAAAGCCATATTTTTTGTTTGCTTATATTTCAAACCCCTTTATTTATAAAAATGCCTATTTTTCGAGAGATTTAAACATAACTTGGAAAATATTGAAAAATTAAAGAATTTGAAAGGTCATGAGATGAAACAGATAAGCTCTGCTATAAAAAATATTTAATTGATAATTAGCTAATAAAAAATTTTAGGTAAAGAATTAAGTTAATAACCTAGAATTAATGGAATTTAAAACTATAAAATTATTCTACTAAGTGCTTTCAATTCAAAAAGACCTTTTTATCAACAACAATTAAAATAGGATGCACCGGCTTTCTTTTCTCTTTTCATCAGCAATTAAGCATGACTGGCATCATCAACTCTGCCCTATTTCACTTCTTTCAATTGCAACAACATTCACTACTTGAGCTTTGCTTACTTTAGTTTGTTGTATATTTTCAGCTTCTTTTATTTCAGGTTTTATTTCAACGCCAAAAATTTTCTCCTTAACTTCTTCTTTGTCATCTTCTTCTATTGAAAGTATTGAGCTTTCCACAACAAAAGCTTGATTCATATCCTCTTTGCCTTCTGACTCTTCAAAAGCCCCTCCAAAATTATCAAAATACTCTTCTCCTTTGCTTTCACTAGACTTAGAAAAAAATGAGCCCTTTAAATCATCGAGGGCAGCATCGAAACCTGAAAAATTTTCTGTGTCAAAAGAAAGATCTAACTCGAATCCTTTATCTGGTGGAGAGTCTTGTGCAGCTTTTCTCGATTGGCGCTTTGAAGATTTATGTTTACTAGACATAGTTTAAATAAATAAAAAGTGTGATATGAGAATTTCTTCGAAAATTCATTTAAATCTCTAAGATGTTTAGATGATTTTTATATATCAAGCGATAAACTGATTAAGCCACATCATAAGCCCAAGATTTTTATTTCAGCTATAAAGAATTAATAAAGAATCATAATATTATTCCAAACTCGCTTTACCTATCTCATCTGAATGCAATAATTTTTCCTTACTCCCCCCCCCTCCCCCTCCGTGAGTGAACAAAAAAATTTTGTTCACTCACGGAGGGGGGTTAATTTTTTTTTTTAAACAAATTTATATATAAATTTTATAAACAATATTTTTTTCGAAATTTAAAAAAATCCTAATTCGCAAAAATTGGAAAGCAAATATTAATTTAATTTATAAAATTTTATGTTTTAAAAAGCAATTTGTTCAAAATTAAACAGAATTAGCTCTAGATTTCATTATACTAATTATCATTTATATATCAATTTTTTTTCCATAAAAAATTTTACTATTAAAAAATTGTTGTTCACTCACGGAGGGTGGGTTTTTGGGCAAAAAATAGCGATTTTTCTAATGGTTTTGTTCACTCACGGAGGGGGGGAGTTAGCCGCTTCTAACTGTGCGTGCTGCTTTATCAAATCAGTCCTAATTTCCTCTTCAGTTTTTTCAATCTAAATATAATTTACTGTTCTTAAATTGTCCAATTCTTCCATCAACCTTTTCCTTAGCTCTTCTAATTTCGCATCCTTTTGTGACTGCTCTGCTAATAAATCCTTTATTTCATTTGCTAGCCTTGCTGCTTCTTTGAATTGTTTGCTCGCCGCAGCTGTTTTCTTTTCTGCTTCTAAGCCTGGGATTTTGTTACTAATTTCTCTGATTTTATCTTCTTCTTGACGTACGATTTCTCTCAGCGACTCAGTTTGCTGCTTATTTACATTATAATACTCTTGAGCATCTTTTAAAACTTTTTCCTTTTCTTGGACTTGTTTTTCACTTTCAGAAATTTCTTTTAAGCACTCTTCTCTAGCAAGAATTAGCTCATCAAGTCTATCTTTTTCAGATTTTAATAGAGATGCACAGTCTTCTAGTGATTCTAGCGACTAATATGCATTAAAATGATGCGGCGAATAGGCTTGACCTCTTAACTCCTGTAGCATGGGCCGTACTGATGAGGAGACGTTGAGGTAGAGAGGAGGTGCCAACTGTGTGTAACTGTCTATGTATTACTGTGGCAGGTGAATCAGCAATGATATAACTTCTCAGCCAAAATTCAATCCTGAGGTAGGTCTCCTTATGGAAAATGGAACACGAAATTGGAAATGGTCCTCCCAGCAGCAGTGCCAGAGGATATTTCTTTGCCAATTGGGGCACTTATCTAGTGCGATACTAAGTACTAAATCAGGGTATCAAGTTTTCATTTTTGACATCTTCTGGCAATAAATTCGACCATTTTAATTGTTATATAAGTTAACCCCTGTTGACCCGAGGCATGGTGACACAAATCTCTGGCTTAAGAGAGAGTGTAGAAACTTGTCTAGAAGAAGGAACATAGTGCAAGGTGGTGTGCAGACTGGCGAGCAAGTAATGTAGCATTATTGAATGGAATAAGGGCTTAGGGCTCCTAACAGTGGACTTTTCTATAAGCATAAGTCTTGATATGATCTAGTTGACTGCTTTGCTCTTCGAATTTCTTGGTCTGTGACTCAGTTTCAGCTGAAAATGCAACTTTTCTGCTTGATAGGCTTTCTTGGGAATTTTTGATTTCTTGTAGTTCACTTGAAATTTTTTGTTGTATTTCTTGGCTAGATGATAGCTCATCTTCAAATTCCTGCATGCTTTCATACAGCTTTGACTCTGCAATGGATAAGCTTTGACGAAGTTCCATTGACTTCTGGATTTTTTCTTTGAGAATTCTTTGAAGTTCTTCAATCTCAGAGTCTAACGAAGAGAGCTCAGATTCTAATGTACTTTTTTCATCTTTAAGTGATTGGGTTTTTTCATTGATTTTACTTTGCAAAGCTTCATAACTTTCTTTGGCATCTACTTCACTGCTTTCGAGAATTTTCTCTTGTTCACTCAGATACTCTCCTTCTTGCTGGAAGCTTTCTTGGGTTTCTTTTGAGTGGATCTCGAAGTCTTCTTTATTTTTCTTTAAGAGTTTTTCAAACTCAGTGCGATACTTTACGCTTGCTTCATTAGTTGCATTGATTCATGCATCTTGGGATTTATAAATTTCTGTTTTGGATGTTTCCAATTCTGAGTATAAGTTTGAATTTTCGTTTAACTTGGAGTGGTTTGACTCTATTAAAGATCTAAGCTCACCGATTTCTTGGTGATAGCTGTCTGCAGTTTCAAAATCATCGTTAGCTGCAGCTATGTCTTCAGCCTCTTCAAGCTTTTTTATCTTTTCCTCCGCATCTAATATCTCTTGTGCCAGCTGAATGCTCTGCTCTTTAATTCTTTCTTGCTCCTTTGTTTTTTCTTTAATTTGATTAGAGAATTCCTGAATGGTGCTCTTTATCATTTCTTTTAAGGTTTCGGGATTTTCATAAATTTCTCTTTCTTTTCTTTCCTTTTCCTGCTTTAATTGCTCTTCTTTGGCTTTGTTCAATTTTTCTTCTTGTTCTTTTCGCTTTTTGTCTTCAATCATTTTTTTGAAACTATTTTCTTGTGAAGATTCAGTCCTCTTCTCTTTGAATCCTTCCTGCTTTTTCTCTTTTTGAGGCAGAGAAAATGGTGTTTCTAGCTTTTTATCTTTATAGACGACTTCTTCGTCTTTTGGCAATTTAAACCCCTTTTCTTCTGATTTTTCTTCTTTACTTGGTAAGGAAAAAGGCTTGGAGATTTCTTCAATGGCATCTGACTTCTTCTCTTTGGCTGGCAAGAAAAATGGCTTAGCCTGCTCTTCTGTATTTTCTTTCTTTTCTTTGGGAGGTAAATAAAAACCCCTTGATGATTCCTCAGAATTTTCTTGTCTTTTCTCTTTGAGATTCAAAAAAAGAGGCTTGCTCCTCCTTCCTTCCTTCAAGAGAAAGTTTGATTCTTTCTGCTTTAAGGTTTAATTTTTTTTTTAAAATATATTTTATATTAAATTAATATAAAAAAATTATTTTTAAAAAGTCAATAGGCAAAGAAAAATCTTATATAAAATGATATTTTTTATCAAATATTTCAAATGGTTATATATAAAAATTCTATATAAAAAATTTTTGCTCACTATTAAAGGGAATAGTTAGGGGAATCTTCTGGAGTTTCTTTCTTTTCTTTAAAATATCCACTCACATCTTCTGAATTTACTGATCTTGTTTCGCTTCCAGCGCTTTCTTCAGTTTCTGACTCTCCAAGTCTCATTTTTCTTGATTTCGCGAAAAATGATGTTTCTTCTTTATCATCAGGATAATCTGTAAATTGCTTTGTGGATTTAAAATTTGTCCCAATTGCCTCTTCTTTATCTAATTTGTTTTCACTCACACTTCTAGATTTTTCATGTGAAATTTTTTTGAGCTCTTCATGTTTTACAGCTGGTTCTGTTTTAGGTATTTCTAAGCTTGCAAAAGGATCACTTGTTGAAGAATTCATCGTGAATCCTCCTCTATCAGAAGCATTATTAAAAGTGTCGCTATGAGAAAGTCCACCTTGAAATGGAAAACCTTGAGAATTTTGCCTTAGATTTGAAGTTATATCGTCAGACATCATAGGCGGCTTAGAAGCCGGCATAGGCAACTGTGGAGGAACATAATCTTAATCTTAACTAATCTAGCACGTTTAAGGTACACTATCTGATAGCGGTGCAGCTAGAGCTATCCACAAAGCTTCACTGAAGCACTTGCGCTATTTTCCTGCACTTTTATCGTGCTCATAATGAGGATGCTAGCCTTCAAGATTTGACTTTAACACCTCTCCATGAGCTCAAGCAGCCTACTTGGGTCCTCCAGAACCTTAAAGATATCAGTCTCGGATCCTGAGGAGGGAATACATAATCCTCTAATGTCAGGAGTCCGATAGAAAAAGCGAACGCCTTGATTCCCTAGCTCAGTAAGGATAACTTCACGAAATGAAGCCAAACCTCAAATTAAAATATTCAAGAGAAGAATTTCGGTCAGAACTCATCGAAATTCGAAAGCCTCCATATTTTAATTATGGAGAAACCTAATCACTAGCCTTTTCCTGCTGTACATTTTTAGATGTCTGCCTCACTGAAAGCCCAGAAAACATATTCATAGGTGCAGGCGAAGGAGCAGGAGCTGGGTTTGGCTTTTGCCTTGACTCTTCTTTCTTAGTCCCAAATATCGCTAAATAAGTCCTTACTTGAAAGAAAAGACATTTATTATATTATTGCCCTAATATTGAAACACTGCTGATTATTTATCTACCCTTCAAATGTTTTAAAAGCAGAAATTATGGCTAGAAATTGTCCTGGGTGGATATCATTGGAAATGGAAAACAAGACTTGTTCTTCCGGCGGCACTTCAAGCTTCAAGCCCATCTGCTCATTCTGGTACTCGATTTCTTCATCTTCGACTAACTTTGGCTGTTTTAATTTTTGACATAAAGCATCCTACATATATTGTACCAAATTGTTATAATCCATGACTTCCTGCAATCGATTGCGGATCCTCAAATAATCTATATACAGTTTTATATTTCTAGATGCTGCATGACTTTGGTCATTGCTAAAAAGCATTTTTCCAAAAGGACTGTAAACGAACCTGTCAAGGCCTTCTTCCTCAGGGGTTAAGGAAATCGGAATAAATTGCTTATATTCGGAATAATAAAGATTTTTCATTGATTCTATTTTAATTTCGACTCCCATCCTTTCGATTTTAGTTCATGTGCAGGGCAAAAATGCTCTCTGAGCCAGTTTTAAATCTTCACCTAAAATATAAATCTGTGCAGCATATGGATAGCTTGAGACTTCTTCATAAAACTGTTGAGTGAGCTTCAAAACTTTTTCGTGCAAAAGCTGATACTCCCCATCACCCTTAAATCCTGAGTGATCAATAAAATAGATATTCAGCTCATTAACTGATAAATCGACAACAGCTTGTATTGCTTTAATCATTATATTGGCAGTGTCTTCTTTTATAATCCTATTTATTTCCCCTTTAAAAGTAGGACACTCTTTAACAATCATATTTCTTTGGCTTTGCAATAGATTGAAAATAGAGTCTAAAAGATAGTCTTTCAGCTTATTGAATACGTGCCTTCTTCAGATTATCATCATAAGTCTCATCACTGTGAACGGCGGCATTTTTGGGGCATTAGGCCAATGAATGTCATAGCTTTGGTTAATCAAAATGCTGAATGGTAAAAATATTTTGTCCAACCAATAAATGCTTGCACAAAAAGCATCCCACTACATAAAATATACCCTTAAACAGTACTCACTCAATAATTCTGTGGCTTCTTCAATTAAATTTAAACAATTCCAGCTAGCCACACAGTGGATTTTAATTGTTTTTTTCAGTGTACAAAAAAGCTTGATTATCAATGGATTGGCATTAATCATTTTATTTTGAAAATAAGTGGTCAATAAAGTGCTATCAAAATCACCTGTACTTGAATAGCAGGTCGACTGATTTCCCGAACTTCCTAACGATAAACTTTTATTTATATCACATTTATTTCCTTTCAAAGCCCATTTAATTATAGCTATTTGATCAATGCTGACGTTATCTCCAATCTAAATAATGTTTACCTCGTCAATAAGATTTTGATTCATGACCCCCTCAATTATCATTTCAGATTCGGTTGGGAGATTGAAACCAATTTGAGAAGGCTCTTCAAATATGTGCGCTAATAAGTCTTGGATAATAGTAGGAAACGTTTTAGGCTCACGGCGAAGTGGTGGAGGTGGAAGTAAAGGTTCTTGAAGGGTCAAAAACACTTCACACCGTAAAGTGTCTAAGTCGTCATGTGTAAAACTGTCGCCTTTTAGAAGAAGCCAGGAGTGACGGGTTTGGATCAGCTTTTTTAAGAGATGTCTCCAGTGAGGTTCACGGGTGGGCTTGTAAAGATACTCATCGCCTTTATAGATTGAGCTACATATTAAATACCCAAAAATATCATAATTCCCAAAATAAACTCTCAAGCATTCACGTTTCCATAATTCGTCCTTTTTTGATACAGAGTTGAATAGCTTATTTACTTGACCAAATGAAAGCAAATCCCTGAATGTCAAATGACGAGCAATTATAAAGAGAATGTTTGCTGTGTTCATTTTTTAAGTATTTATTAAACTAATAGATTTGAGCAGTAAGTGAGATATGAGAAAATTATATTGAAAGCGGACTTAGCTGAAATAGGGGATACTTTAAGCTCTCAGTTGGATTTAATTCAAATTTATAAATTCCATAAATTATAGTTTTTTAGAATTTAGCAAGCCTATAAATCCATGTGGCTAAAAAAATTAATTTTTTATAAATTTGAGTATGTATTTAATGCTTGAAATAGTGTTTCAACTGTTTATATTTATAATTAAAAATTTTTCTAATATTTTCAAAAGATTTTTGGTAAAGATATTCAATGAAACTATAATTGATAAATTCTGCATATGGATATATTAAAATGATAATTAAAAAATTGAATAAAAAATTGTTTTATGATTTATGCTATCTTTTAATTTTTAGCAGCTTTATTTGTTTAACTCCGCAATATTACCTTTTTGACTAGTGAAAAAGGTTTCAAAATCAGCAAAACAGTGCTCATTTTCCTATTATATGACTATCGAAAAAGGGAAAATAACCAAGTACTTCTCTGAAAGTCAGAGACGTGCTATTTTAAACAAAGCAAAAGAGTAGTCATATAAAAAATTAAAGTTTTGAATTAAATTCTATTTTGGATATAGCAATATTATCAATTAAAATTGCCTATTATAAAATCTTGGTATAGCTAGCACAAAATTTTTAAAATAATATTTTAAAATGGGATTTTTGTTTTGTAAATTCATGCTGTTCTTTCGTTTGCAAATAGGCTAATATATGTAATATCTTCTGATGTAGGAAAAGTGTGACACTATACAATATTTAATAAGTTGAAGTATTATATATCAAAATTACTTTCAATAAGAATATGGCAGAGCTGTCTTATTGTCAATTGTCTATATCTCGGTTTGCAAGCTCTAGCCTTCATCCGGAGAGAGCAGCACATTTATTCAAGCCGTGCATTCGGATTGTTAAGTAGAGGGCGGGAGTGGAGAGTTGATATTGCTGGCAGGAGCTACTTTATAATGATCTAAGTTAAGTTAAGTCTTATTGCCAATCTTGAAATTTAAAAATTAAATTAATATCCTTAAAATCCCACTTATTATTAACTAAAATGGATCTCCTTCTCTAGTCTCCAATCGATGCAAATTTCTTACATCATGATCCATAGTAATTGAACGATCTAATGTAATAGTACGCTCAACTTCATTTATCGCATAATTTCTCGCGCGGCTTTCACTATTAATCACTTGCAATATTTTTGGTTTCACAATTGTGTATATTGTCTTGAAAAATGATGATAAACTTGCGAAAATCTGTATCACCATAATTGCAGCAACATTCACATAAATTATTTTTTCAAGCCAAAGCTCAGCATCGTCTCCCAAATTCATTACAAACGCTGTAGTCAAAATCATTACAATTCCAACTACTATTTCTGTAAAAATGTTTGAAAATTGATGTAAGAAATCTGAATAAGGCCTATAAGCAAGTAAATATGAAATAGTCACAACTGAAAGAACAATGTTTATTAGGCCCTGATATATTGGAATATCAGATAGGAAAATTAACGATGACATGTAGATTAGCCTTCTTATGAAAAATAGGGTATAAAACTGATAGCTCATCATACCTTGATTGGGTTTAAATTCATAGAATAATGAATCAAATTTTTTAAGGAATGGTATTTTTCTTTTAATTATTTGGTACTTGTTTGCATATAGAATATAAATCAAAACCACAGGCGTCGCAAATATATACATCTAAATAAAACTTACACATAAGGAAATGCATATAACGGCATTGACAATTTGGGTTTCATTGTTATATGAAAACTAAATAAATTTTACAATTAACAAGCCGATGACAGCTGGTGCTCCTATATCTAAATAGCTTTGTATCCAAAATCTTAAAAATACCGAGTACTTATAATGCTTCAAAATTCCAGTGAACATTTTACCGAATCATTTATTAGAGCATTGAGAAAAGAAGATAATAGCAGGATAAACAGCCATTATAGCGCTAAAAACAGTTAATAGATTCCCTGCATTTAGTAAAATAAGATCTGTTTTATATCCAAATTCTTTGGCTTCTTTATAAGGGGTCTTTCCATCACTTTCCGGGGCTAAAATTTCATATAGATTTGGGATTACGTCATAGCTATTTAAGCTGTTTAAAAATGAATATAGTGATGATGATAATGGTATTCCTGAAAGCGTAATAAATGATAAGACCTGCAATGTGTTTAAAGTTGTTCACAAGCATGATGGATCTGGATTAATCAAAGCCATAATCAGAGAAGTCGCAACGCTTATATGAATAGCTGCAGTGGTTTGCTGAGAAATCGCTTCAACATTTGATGAGCTAGTAGCATAATTAAATTCATATAGTTTCCCAGTTAAATTTTTCTCTTGGAGTATTGAATTATTTGTAGACAAAATTTGGTCATTTACAAAATATAAAGTGACAGTTGTGTTTTGTTTTATATCAGAATCCATCAAGATAGATATATAATATTCTTTAGATCCTCTCATTTCCATGGATCATTCGATTTTAGACTTATTGAATATTGAAATTTCTATGTCTTTTGAGGTTAAATCTTGCATCAGGGTTTCAGAAAAATTCAAATATAAGGAATTATCATAATCTACAAATAAAGTCGCGTTAAAAAGAGAAATCATACAAACCTTTTTGGAAAAATTATATCCTGGCTTGCACACACAAGCTCCGTTTGATATTATAGCGTCTTTAATGCAGCTTAAACAGCTATTTGCACTTTTGCAAGTAGTGCAGTTTGAAGGGCACTCATAGCATTGCCCATCAGATTCTCCTCTATACTGTGTAATATTGCAATAAGAGCAGGACTCAGTCAACGAATTATATCCAAATGGCGAGTCGCAAATGCAATTACTATTAAATGTTGAATTAGTTTTACACTCTATGCAACTGTTTTCATAATCTGCACAATCATAACAGAGAATATCTCCACATAAAGTGCAGGACGGTCCTGAATATCTGCAAGAACTTGTACAATTTTTATTACAAGCTCCGCAATCATTGCAGTTTGGGCCTTTTCAGTACTCCATAATAGGGCAATTTGGGATACACTTTTTGGTTATCAAGCAGGCCGGACAGCTTTCGGTGCAAGAACTAAAGGGCAATGCTAAGTCATTTATCGATTTTACAGAATTATAAATAGCGATTTCATATATAAACCCTTTATAAAAGTTTTCATAATTGCTTGTGGTTGTTTGTCTAGCTCCAATTTTGACAGAAATACTTGCTGCGTCATCTTCAAAGTATTGCAATGGAAGAGATACAAGAGAAACATCAGAAATTGTATTAATAAAGCATGTTATAACAGAATTTCTTGTAGAGTCAGTTGATAAAATAAATGCTATATGCTGCCAAAATAGTTGGGTTATTTGATTTTCGCATTGGTGAATAATTTGTATCCCCCTCATTAGTAAGATTAAGGTGGGATAGCCACCAACTATTTTTAATTCAAGCAAGGAGCTTCCTACAGAAAGGTGGCTCGATTTATAGAAAACTGTTCCAGTAGTACTTTCAGTGTTTATTCAAGTCGAAAATGTGAAAATTGTCCCTAAAACCAAAGTTGGGGAAGCATAGCTTTTATATTTTGGCAGATGCATGATTGATGTATTTCCATTAAAATAAAACCCTCTCAAGTATGCTGGAAGAGGATCATAATAGTCATAATTAGGATAAAATTCTATTGAATTCCCTGTCAAGGCTGGGATATTGCTAACGCTATCATAAATAACTCCAGTCAACTTATCAAATTTCATGTCATACACAAATTCATTCACAAGCTTGCAAATGTTTCCACTCTGAGTATATCCCAATGGACAAAATTTCAGGCAAACATAACCTATCATAAAAAACCCAGAGCTGCAATCAGTGCATCCAAATGCGCTTGGCTCAATACAATAATTGCATGCAGAACTGCATGTAGTGCATTGCAATGAAACTTCATCCCAAAAATATCCGGTATCACACACACACGCCCCTGAATCTAAATGGGCATTAGTTATACACTGGATGCATGTTGATGCATAATCATCACATTCATAGCATAAAGGATCTTGACATAGATTGCAGTTGGATAAAGAATCTTTGCATCCCACAGAAGAACAGGCAGTATCACATGGTATGCAAGAGGAGCCATCCCAATATTGAGAGATAGAGCAGATAGGATAGCAGGCATTGGAAATGGGGCAAACAGAGCAAGTAGGGCAGGAGGTGGAGAATAAAGATGATGGGGAAATGATGGTGTTATATAGGAGTAGCTCATAGAGAAAACCGGTGTAAAAGGAGCTGAATGAAGTTGAGGAAGCACGGCTAGATGAAATTGTTATGTAATAGGAAGATGCGATATCTTGAAACCAAGAACTTGCAGGAAGAGATCGAATATCTGTAGAAAGGGTATTAATAAAAAAAGATAATTTGTGGGTTTGTGTTGAATCAATTTTATAAGTTGCTGCTATAAAGTTTCAGGAGTTAACGGAAACTGAATTCAAACTTGTAGCTGAAGTTGTGGTTCCATCTGTTAAGAGTAAGGATATTGTAGGATTATATGAGGAAATTCCAAAACTGTAGAGGGATGCTAAAGTTCCATCATTTTTTTGCTTACTCGTGATAAATAGATAGCTGATATTTCAGAAATTTAATAATTGTTTTAAATAATTAAATTCTTTAATTATATACTAATCTTTCTTTTAACCATTTTAAATTATTTTTAAACACTATTTATGTAAAAATATTGCACGCTTATACTATACCCCAGAAAAGACTTTGAATCGCTCTGGCTGAAGAAATTCTTAGGCTATATGCCTTTAATAAAGACCAAGAATGATTTTATTTGAGGAGTATTAGTAAACAAAGTCCCCATGCTCCCAGTAGGATTGATTCATATAGCTATAGTGAATTCAGAAGAAATAACTAAGCTTGGAATTGAAGAGGCATAACTATCAGGAATCTTCATATAAGAGCTGCCTTGAAAATAATAGCCTCTATATTTTGCTGCATATGGATCTTTAGCGGTATAAGCAGGATAAAAATTACTATCATCCCCAGTCATAAATGGCATCCCTAACTGCGAATCAATAACAGTGTCTTTTATTTGATTTAATTTCAAGTCAATTACAAACCCATTTAGCCCTGCGGTGTCAAGAGCGCAATTTCCAGCAGTCTGAAGGTATCCTGATGGACAATTCTGTACACATACATTGCTTAAGGAGAAATAGCCAGAACTGCACGAGATACAATCAATGAATCTTAATCCATTGCATCCTGAGCAGACTGAATAGCATATTTCGCAGCTCTCTGTTAATTGTGATCATACAGCATTAGAATTACAAGAGCAGCTCCCACTGCTCAAACTTGCATTAGGAATACAAGAGCTGCAAGGTCCATCAAATTTGCTGCAGGATAAGCATTCTTTTTGTTTACAGAGCCTGCAAGTCGAGAGACTTCGACACCCATAAGTGTTGCAACTTGAAGAGCATGAAGTGCAGCCTGATGAATAAAACTGATTAAAAGTGCAAGAATCAGGACATAGCAACTCTGATGGGCAGTTTGAGCATCCTGATTGGCAGCCAGTTGAAATCCATTCACTTAGAGCAAAACTGTTGTCATTATATATAGCCCAAGCACAATTTTGGCTTGGGCTTCCCGATCTATCCTACTGAAAATGGGGATTTGGTTTGACCAATAACGCTGGCTAAGCCAACTCCATGAATGGCAGAAATCTCGTAGCAAGTGGCTCGGCCATCTGGGGATATGATTTGACCAACATAAGTTGGTTAATAACCCCACCCTTTTCAATCAAGAAAGATCAATAATACAAACAAGGCTCGTTCTGGGCTATATCATTATACTCCATAAAAATCCTCTAAAACTGCTTGAAGATCCAGTATTTCCGATCGTAATTGATCCAGAGCTGATAAATGGAGATGAATTTGAAGAAAGCTGTGTGAAAACTTGTGAGCCATCTTTATAAAAAGTTATTGATGTTTTAAAAGAGGCTGAAATAGTTCCAGTAAAAGCTATATTATGCCAACTGTTAAATAAATTTGAGGCTGTGGTATACGAAGCCAAAGAAGTGTCCTCTAAAAGAAGAGAAATTACCGCATGGCCGTTTAAATCAAAAGAAATCGATAAAAGTTGACTTGCACCATTGAGTTGAGTTAAAAAATTACCTTGTCCAGTAGGCTTCACCCAAGCAGTTATTGTAAACCATGAAGAAATGATATAAGAGTTCGTTGATGTCATAATTGAACTGGTTTTGAAATAATATCCTCTGTAAATTGCGGGTATTGGATCATTGCTATCCCAATTTGGATAAGTATTTGTATTACTAGATCCAACAGAGAAAGAATTAACAGTATCCAAATATATCAAATTTTCTAGTTGAACTGAGATAATAGGAGACGACGGAGGATTTGTGCATTGATTTAAGGAAGAGTCTTCAGTATATCCTGTAGGACAGTGGGCATAGCAAATTCCATTTAAAAAGAAGTAGCCTGGATTGCACGATGTGCATTGGGTTGATAATGTTCCGGAACATCCTGACTCCCCCTCTGTGAGCGAACAAAATCATTGGAAAAACCCCTATTTTTTGCTCATAAACCCACCCTCCGTGAGCGAACAAAAATTTTTGATATATAAGTGATGATTAATATAATGAAATCTCTTGCTAATTTCTGTTTCTTTTTAAGTATATTGCGTTTTAAAACATAATTTTTTTAAAGAAAAAGTTAACCCCTTCTGTGAGCGAACAAATTTTTTTGATCGCTCACGGAGTGGGGAGTGAGCAATTTGGAGCACAGCCCCAAATGCAAGATAGGCCATCAGTAGAAACGATGTAGTTTGTATCACAAGTGCAAGACCCTGAACTGACAGAGGCATGAGCCACACAATGAAAGCATAATCCTGAAGTAAACCCTGTGCATTTGTCACATAATAAATCATAACAAATATTGCAAGTAGTTCCCAGTCTGCATCCAAGGGAGCAAGTATAGAACTTTCTCTTCAATAGCGCGATAAGACGCATTCCTAGGTTTTACCGGAGGGTCTTGGACATATGAAAAACCTGCAATTCCTTATTCATGGGGGAGACAAACAGCCTAAATAAAGAATTCTGCCTGATTAATCTCGAGAACATGAAGAGAGGCTGTGTGGAAAAATTGCATTTTGGTTCGTCAAATGGATCTGACGAGCCAATTCTTGCCAGTACTTGAAATAAAAAATGATAGTTGCCAGAATTTTATTAATTTTCTGATGAAGAGTATGATCAGAAATTTAATAATTCCTTTTGACAATAGAATTCAAAATTCATACTTTTAATAGAAGATTTAAAGAAATAATTAAATCGTTATGATAATATAATGAATACTCTTTACTGCCTTAGGGAGACGATGCCAGTAATGATTTTTAAAATTTGACTTTTTTCATAGTGACTTAACCATCTTAATAATTTTTTAAAAATTCAAAATTCAAACTTTTAATAGAAGATTTAAAGAGATAATTTAAGCATATAAAAATAACGTAATCAATACTCTTTACTGCCTTAGGGAGACGATGCCAGTAATGATTTTTATAATTTGATTTTTTCATGATGACTTAACCATCTTAAATTTGTGTTTTTAAAATTTAAAATTCAAGCTTTTAATAGAAGATTTAAATGGAAAAAAGAGAAGTGAAGTTGAGATCGATAGGATGCAGGTGAATTCAAGAAAATTTCATTAGTTGAATAAAACTTCATTTAAAATCATTAAGACCTGCAATTAATTGAGAATCTGATTTCTCATAGGAGCTCGCTCCATGAGGGGTAACTTTTTGTATTGATCGTTTAAGCCATCTTTTTTTTTAATTTTAAATTAATAATAAGAAAAAACGAGAAGCGAAGTTGAGATCGATAGGATGCAGGTGAATTCAAGAAAATTTCATTAGTTGAATAAAACTTCATTTAAAATCATTAAGATCTGCAATTAATTGAGAACCTGATTTCTCATAGGAGCTCGCTCCATGAGGGGTAACTTTTTGTATTGTTCGCTTAAGCCATTTGTTTTTAATTTAAATGGAAAAAAGAGAAGCGAAGTTGAGATCGATAGGATGCAGGTGAGTTCAAGAAAATTTCATTAGTTGAATAAAACTTCATTTAAAATCATTAAGACCTGCAATTAATTGAGAACCTGATTTCTCATAGGAGCTCGCTCCATGAGGGGTAATTTTTTGTATTGTTCGTTTGAGCCATTTTTTTTTTTTTAATTTTTAATTTAATAAGGAAAAACGAGAAGCGAAGTTGAGATCGACAGGATGCAGGCGAATTCAAGAAAATTTCATTAGTTGAATAAAACTTCATTTAAAATCATTAAGATCTGCAATTAATACAGAACCTGATTTCTTATAGGAGCTCGCTCCATGAGGGGTAATTTTTTGTATAGTTCACTTAAGCCATTTCTTTTTTTTAACTTTAATATTTTACTATCTTAAAATAATCAAAAAGTTATTGACACACTATTTTCATTCAAATCATTATTATTTTAATCTCCTAGATCTTGACCCCTTAAAGCTAATATAGAATATTTTTCAACAATGCTTTTCATTAATGCTTTCATATTTATCATTCCAGCAACATAATTAATTGACATTTCTAATTTGTTTAAAATAAGTCCTTCTTGAATACTCTTAAATTTTCGCTTGATAAAACTAATAACTCTTTTTACAAAAGCAAATTGTGGAGTATATGGAGCATTAAAAATAATTGATGCACATAGCTGATGATAAAAGATTTAAACTTAATAATGAGCAATGAATCTGCGAGATATCTAATAGAAAATAAGTTCTTTCTCTAAAGTTTTCAGATCTCGAATGCAAAAATGTAATCAAATCATTGAAAAATGAAATAAATGTTTTACGAATCATTATTGGATACTACTACGAGCCAAGCAACCTGCTGTTTCACCCAGAAAGAAGATCAGCAAGCAACAATAGACTTGAGCAAGATGGCTCGGAAGTTGCCATTAAAATGCTCAATGCACACATGAGTGCTGGACTGACAGCTCAATTGCCTAAAATCAAAAGAAGAGGCACAGTTAAGAGATATGTCAATGCAAATATTGATAAGCTCCTTTCTAGACTGTCTCTCGAATCAGATGAAATGGAAGTGGCTGAGGATTCCAGGCTTAATCCTTGCATCATCTGCTTTTCAAACAGGGGTCAACTTTCCTACACATCTTGCTGCTCTCAGTCAATGCATCAGGAATGTCGGCTGAGCACTGTAATTAGTTGCCCACATTGCAGGTCTGCTGAATTTGAACTTCAAGAATTTCCATTTAACCCAAACAGAGCATTTAGCTAAAGTCTGGGCTCTTAAGTTAAAATCTCTTAAATTTAATCTTCTTTAAAAGTCTTTAGTCAGGCAAAGAACCCTTCCTTCAAGTTCTCGAAACTGGATCAGGTAGAACTCTTCATTTTCACTGTTTGCCTCTCCTACAAAGAAGAAAAAGCAGACTTTCAGCTGCCAAAGAATTTTTAGTCAAACCAGGAAACACGCCTTATCGCGCTATTGAAGTGAAAGTTCTATATTAAATTTCTGATCATACTCTTCATCAGAAAATTAATAAAATTCTGGCAACTATCATTTTTTATTTCAAGTACTGGCCAGAATTGGCTCGTCAGATCCATTTGACGAACCAAAATGTAATTTTTCCACACAGCCTCTCTTCAAGTTCTCGAGATTGATCAGGCAGAATTCTCTATTTAGGCTGTTTGTCTCCCCCATGATAAAGAATAACAGTTTTTCATAGGTCCAAGACTCATCGGTAAAACCTAGGAATGCGCCTTATCGTGCTATTGAAGAGAAAGTTTCTATAGAGCATGATGTGCATGAGGAGCCTGAATAATAATGATTCATATCGCAAGGCCACAGGCAATTTGATCCCAATCCAGTACCACACAAATTCGCTATTTGTGAAGAAAAATCAGTAATAGGTGTATTTCATAAGGAAAAGTGATAAATAAATCCATTAAATGAAGAAGCATTGCTTTTTCCAAGAAGAAGAGTTTTGCCTACAATATCTCTGAATATGAAGTTATTAGATACTATCGGAGCTTGTGGAGAATCATTGAGATAGACTGTAATTGTGGAAGCCCCTAAGGAATATTTCACGGTCAGAGATATATAATTTCAGTTTGTAATCGTTAAAGAGGCTGTTGAAATAGTAGTAGTTGCTTGCAAAGGACTTTCTAAAGTCAAAGTAAAAGCTCCCAATTCATTCATATATAAAAAATCCTGCTTTTCAAGTACACTACCTGAACCTACTACAAACATCCATAAACCAATCGAAAAACTATGTGATAAGTAAATCGGAGTATTAGATTCCAAATATGATCCGCTAGAAAAATATAACCCTCTGTGATATGCTGGGATAGGATCATAAGTTTCAGGGGTATTATAAAAATAATAAGAACTTGAGCTTAAAGCTGTAGTAAAAATCCCATATGATCCTTGAAATGCTGTATCAAAATTTTCATCAATTACGGATGAAGTTGTACTTACACATCCAGGCATAGTATAGAATTTTCCCATAGATGGCGCTGCTTGCCCTTGATTTGCCAATGTGGAAAATTTTTTGGTTTGACCAAACCATTGGTACTGGTCGAACCAAAAAATTTTCCCAGTGGGCAAATCAAGGGCAAGTAGCGCCATCTATGGGGAAATTCTATAAATCCTGTAGGACAATCATTAACACAGGCATTTCAAACTTTGAATTTCCCTGCTATGCATGCACTGCATTCAAAATAGCCATTTCCAATGCAATTCTGGCAATAATTATCACAAATCTCACAGCTCTCAGATGATTGTATTCATATTGCATTACTATTGCAGCTGCAAACTCCAGAATTGAGCTGGGCATTTGTTATACACGAAAAGCAGTTTCCATCGAAATGGTCACAGCTGAGGCATTCCTTATATTTGCATAGCCTGCAAGTTAATGAGCTCCTGCAGCCATATGAGCTGCAGCTTGCTGAGCAAGAAACGCAACTTGATGAGTAAAAATTATTAAAAGCGCAGTTGTCAGGGCATAATAATTCTGATGGGCAGCTTGAACATCCTGAGCTGCATCCTGTTGCAATTCATTCGGTTAATGCATGAGCATTATCGTTATACACATACAAGCTCCATAAAAATCCGGTAAATCCATTTGTGCCATCTGAGCTGCCGATTAGAACTGATCCTGAGCTTACAAATGGAGATGAGCTTGGAGAATCCAAATAATTGACTAAAGTTCCATCTAGATAGAAACTAATCCTTGTTTTTGTGTTAACAATATCCCCAGTGAATGCAATATTATGCCAATTATTAAATAGCACCGTTGTTGATGTATATGAGACTGTTGAAGTATCTTGTAAAGTCAGTATAATTGATATCACGCCAAGAGTGGTAAATGAAAATTTAAGCATGGCAGGTAATTGCCATAGCATATATCCTCCAGAAATAGGTTTGGTTCATAGATTTATCGAATATAAAGGACTTATTATATAAGAATTTGTAGAAGCAGCAGACGAGGCACCTGTGAAGTAATAACCCCTATTAACCGCAGGGAGTGGATCATTAGCATCATACGTAGGGTATGTATTTGTGCTTGAAGAGCCGATTGAAAATGTATTAACAGTGTTCAATATTATCAAATTTTGGAATTGCAAAGAAATTATCGGAGAAGTTGGAGGGGAAGTACACTGATTTAGCCCAGAATCCTGTGTAAACCCAGTTGGGCATGCAAGTAAGCACATGTTGTCATATAAAAACCATCCAGAAAAGCAAGAAGTGCACTGAGTATAAAGAGTCCCTGAGCAGCTAGCACAGCCAGCATAGCATCCCCATACACAAGAGAACCCATCAGTTGAAGGAATATAATTTGCATTACATGCACAAATTCCGCCTGCAAGCACGCTAGCATGTGTTACACATGCTGAGCACTGGCCTGAATTAAAAAAGCTGCAAGTTGCGCACAATGTATCATAACAAACATTGCAAGAATTTGATCTTCTGCAGCCAAGTGGACAAGTACTGCAAGAGCTGCATGCTGATCCCGTATAATATTGGCTTATATCACAATTCCACAAACAGCTTGATCCTAATCCAGTTCCACACAGGTTATTTTTTTCAGCTGAAAAATCACTTAATGCAGAATTTCATACAGTAATCCAATACAAAAATCCTGAAAATGACGAGCTTGAGGAGCTCTTTCCGAGAATAAGGGCAGATGAAAGAGCGTCTCTAAATATCTTACTTGTAGACGATATTGGTGTGCCTGCAATATTGTTTATGTAGTTAGTAATTGTTGAACCGCCATTCAGGTATTTTACTGAAATAGATATATAGCCCCATCCTGTAAAAGTTAGAGCTGATGCTGTTGCAGTGCTAACAACTTGCAAAGGGCTCTGCAAAGTGATAGTTGTTTGACCATTACTGCTCATTGTAAAACTGCTTTGTTTCTCTAAAATATCTCCAGCACTTTCTACAAGAATCCAGAAGCCCAAAGAAAAGCTTGAGGATAAAGATAGAGATACAGAGCTTTCAAGGAATTTACCACTCGAAAAATAAAGACCTCTTGAAACAGCAGGGATTGGATCGTCAGCCTCAGGACTATTTGAGAAATAATAAGTGCTTGGATTCGCTCCTACATTGAAAATCCCATAATTTCCTTGAAAGTTATCATATAAGGAAGCATCAACTACTGGAGATGATGTGCTGGTGCAGCCAGAACTGCTAAATCCAGTTGGGCATTGATGCAAACAAACAGTTCCTACTAAAATTTTTGTAGCAATACAAGCAGTGCATTCAAAATAATAACTTCCAGCACAGCTGCTGCAAATGATATCACAGATTTCGCAGGTTGCTGATGATTGAATCCATATAGAGTTAGAGTTACAAGCGCAGCTTCCATTATTCAATGAGGCATTTGTGATGCATGAGCTGCAATCTCCGGTAAAATCAACACAAGATAAGCATTCTTTTTGTTTGCATAGCCTGCAAGTTAATGTTGATCTGCAGCCATAACTACAGCTTGAACAAGCAGTGCAGCTAGAAGAATAAAAATACCCAAAACCGCAATTATCGGGGCACAATTTTTCTGAAGGGCAGTTTGTGCATCCTGTGTCAATTCATTTAATTATTATAGAGAAGCTCCTGGCAAGCTGAATAATTTTTTTCATGCCCTCTGCTCCGTATCACCCCCTTGCTAACCAGTTTGGGTCTACAGCCTAAGGCTTGTGCTGCTGCCTCCAGACAACGACCTCCACTTGCTACCTGTAGATAAAGTCTGAGTCACAGTGAAGTAGTCAATGAGGCTACCCTTCCAAAAAAATTCAAAAGTGAATTTTCTGGACAAGAGAAACTTGTGCCTAGGGCAAAACTCCAGGCATCTATCTAGCTATTACTTATAGCAATGCGTGTGCATTGTTTAAGCTCTTATGAGCTTTTTTCAAAACAAGTCGGTGGTTCTCATTTGCCTTTTTTTATTTGCTCCATGTTTGGTCTCTTTCGCCTCCATGTAGCTCCATGCTTTGCCCCTAAGTATTTTTCAGTGACATCTCTTTTCTGTTGCATCAGCATACCATATCACATCTTCTCTGCAGTTGATCTTCGAAAGTTTCGCCGTCGAAGCTGGGTAACGTCTACCCTAGACGTACCCTGGAGCAACAAAGCTGGTCGACCCAGAGGCCGGCGGGCCCGATGCGGCGAAAAAGGCAGGCGGAAGCCCTGGGACAGGTGACCCCGTAAGGGACGTTAAGCGTTATAAATCTAATGTGAATATGTGATCTTCGAAAGTTTCAGATTTGCTTCATACTTTTCCCCGTATAGCACCACTTCTCTCCAGTCTATTTTGAGTTCTTCTAGCCTTTTTTGTAGCTTAAGCCTCTGTTCTTCATAGGCATTTAGTCTTATAAATGTTGGCGGTTTTGTGCTGCTCTTTCCTATGGTTAATTCCTGTAGAGTTTGGTAGTTTTTTCTGTTTCGTTTCTTAACCTCATCAAAGCTTCATCCAGGCTAAGCTGCCCCGCTGCTTCATCAATTTTCTTTTTTCAGCCCATCTTGTCTATTTTCGCCGGTAGACCGAACCCTGCTTTTGTCATTGCCCTCTTCCTTGATATTGCTTCCTCCCTTATGTCAGCCGTTAAATTTCCTTCATCTGATGCTATCTCGTCTCCTATTTTATTTATTCTCCCCTGGTAAAACCACTTATTTTATCGTTTTCTTGCAGCTGCATCTGTTCCTCTGTTAGTGTTTTAAGGCCTAGTGCCTTTTCCTGTGCCCTTTTATCCTTCCTCAGTCTTTCAGCCTTTGTTTTCTCATTCTTCCTCTTCACCACTTTTTTGTGACCTTCTTCGTTGCGCCCAAGTTGTTTGCATATCTTACAGAACAGTGATCCTGCGTGCCTTAGAATTACTCTTTTTCCATCAATAAATAGTTCATCTGGCATATCAAGCGCTTCTTCAACATTCCCAAATTCTCCGTATATGATGTACCTCGAGTGTGACTGAAGTGTACCGAATATCTGTCTCCTCACCTCCACAGTCTAATGTAATGTCCACTATTACCTCCACAACCCTGCATTTTGTGCTTGCCACTTCCACTACTTTTTCTATTGGTATTCCGACTGGCAATGTAAAGCCAATTCTATATCTCGCATAGTTTATCATTCCTTTCTCGACAACTGACCCGACGGGTATGACTATATTCTTGCCTCTCTGTGCTGTCAGAATTCCTCCTCTTTTCTTCATCTCTTCTCAAACTTCGCTATTTGCATATGTGGTGATTGCGTCTCCTGATGGTAATTGGATGCATCTTAGCACATCTCCCACGTTTCCAATGCTAAAATAAAGGACGCATATAGCTCTCTTTTTTCTTTCTAGGCTACCTTCAATATTAAATTTCGAAAGGTAGATTTTTAATGTTTTGCTAATGTGATTAATCTCGCTGATATTTGGCAATTCTTCTTGGGTGCCTGATACCCGTAGAATAATCGTTCTCTGCTCATACCCAAAATTTGCAGTTGCTCGTTTTGGTTAGCCTTGAGTTTTGGCACTCTGCGCATATTTTGACTAAAATTAAAAGTAAAACTCCAGGCATCACTTTAGAAAAATGTCCGATTGACTAAGCGAACACCCTTGGGCTATCCCTTTTAAACTTCCAGCTTCAATCCTCCCTCGGGATAAAAACTTACCTTGGATGCGAGTCTGCAGTCGGCAACCGACATTGCGCTTCACCAGAACAAGTAAAACCCGGCCGGGCATGCTCTCCGCACGCTGCTTTCCCTTCCACAAGGTCACCTGACTGCAGATGCTATGAAGGCAGGCTATTCTCCGTGCCATTTTTATGTGTCGCATCCTGTAGCGCATCCAGACGTAATTCACTCGCTCAGAGAATACGAATTATCGTTATATATTTTTATGCTCCAAATAAACCCACCAAGAGAATCAGTAAGGCTTTGCTTTCCGACAATAACTTGTCCAGTGCTGATAAACGGCTGCTTATTGCTGCTTGACAAATTTGATTTAGCAACTCCATCCAAAACATAATAAGCGACTGTATACGCATTCACAATATCTCCATAAAACACGATATTATGCCAAGAAAAAAACAAATTACTTGTTCCAGTTATCTGCACTAGTGAAGAGTCTTTTAATTGTATGCAAAAATTTACATGCCCACTTGAGTCAATTGAAATGCCCATCATTAAAACAGCTCCGTTTAATTGCGATACAATAGCTCCTTGAGACATTGGCTTTGCCCAGATATTTATTGTATACCAAGGGCTTATAATGAGGCTTGTGGTTGAGGTCATGCATTTCCCAGAAGAAAAGTAATAGCCCCTGCTAATTGAAGGAACTGGGTCTGCAGTATCAAAGGAAGGATAAGGGTTAGAGGCTGAGCCAACTGTAAAGACATCAACTGAATCAAGGTGAATCAAATTTTGCAAAGCTAATGTAACTATAGAAGATGATGGAGGATTTGTGCATTGATTTAAAGTAGAATCTTGTGTATAGCCTGTTGGGCATGAGGAAAAGCATTGGTTGTTTAGGAGATAATAATTTGTATTGCACGATGTACACTGATTGTATACTAAATTGCCGGTGCAGGTCGCGCATCCAGTTGTGCAAGCCCAATTACATGAAAGCCCATTGCCTGAAACCCAATAATTTGCATTACAAGCACATACCCCAGCTGTTGGGGTGGCATTAGACACGCATGCAGTGCACTCTCCTGATTCAAATCCAGTACATGTTGTGCATAGTGGGTCATAGCAGATATAGCAACTTTGGCTTCTTCTGCATCCTAAACTGCATGAGTTACAACCACTACAAGAGGATCCCGTATAATAATTATTAATATCACAAGCCCACAGACAGCTTTTGCCTAGCCCAGTTCCGCATAAGTTATTTACTTGTGAAGAAAAATCAGTAATTGGGACATTTCATAGCGTAAACCAATAAATAAAGCCTTTAAAATTGGCAGTCGTGCTTTTTCCTATATAAAGTGTTTTCGCAGCTTGATCTCTGAAAATCATACTATTAGCAGTTACAGGCGTTTTTGCTACATTATTTGAATAAACAGTAACAGACGTTATTGTGCTTGAAGAAACAACAGTAAATGAAATATAGTTTCATCCAGAAAGGGATGAAATCGCGGGAGAGATTGATGAAGCTGTTACTTCGTTTGGATCTTCTAGTAAAACTGTTAAAAATCCATCAGATGCTAATATTAAATGAGTCTGCTTATATATGATGTCACCATTTGTAATTGTATATACCCAAACCCCAATTGAAAAACTATGTGAAAGATAAATCTCTGCGTTTGAATATAGAATTTGGCCAGGAGCGAAATAAAGCCCTCTTTTATAGGCTGGAGTAGGATCAACTGACTCAGGAGAATCCCAAAACTGATAATAAATTGCACTCATCCCTGTTACAAAATCTCCATAGCTTCCTGCAAAATCCCCATAAAAGGTTTGGTCAATTACTGCAGTTGATACAGATCCACAGCTGGGAGAAGAAAACCCATATGGACACTCTCGTATGCATAAATTTCCTATTAAAAAATTTGCAGTTCCACAAACACTGCACTCAAAGAGTGCAGTTGATGCACAAGTTTGACATAAATTGTCACAGCTAATACAGCTTTGTGTTGGGATATCAAAGACAGCATATGCATTGCAGTAACAAGAGCCAATATCAAGATATGCATTAGGTATACAAGTGAAACAGTCTCCAGTAAATTCATCACATGATAAACAGGTGCTTTGCTTGCATAGCCTACAAGTTTGCCCGTTTATACAGCCATTGTTGCAGCTTGATAAACAGCTAGCACAGGTTGCACCAGGATATGTGCTTATTAAGCAATCACTAAGGCACACAAGAGTGCTAGGACATTGAGAGCAAGCCCCATTGCACCCCGTGCTGACATAGTCCAGTGCGTAGCTAGCTGCATCTGTATATATGTTGATTCTATCAATAAACCCTTGGAATCCATTGTTCAAGGAATTATCATTTCCTATATAAAGCAGTCCTGAAGTTGAATCTCCTACGTAAGAAAGAGCAGCTACAGTCTTAGTTTGGTCGACAACTCCATTAACATATACATTAAAAGTTGTTGCTCCATAAACGCTCAAATTCGATATCTGAGAAGTATCAGAAAACAAACTAGCTGTTGTTGAAAATAAATATCAAGAGTCGAATAAACTTGTATCTGTGGTTATATTTATTGAGCCTGTAGTTCAAAATGTTGTCATTGTGCAATTTAAGATTGCTTCGCCTTGGCTATTTATTCGTATTTGGAGTATTGGATTTGTGTTGTATTTCGTAAGGACAGTTCCATTTTGAAGAGCTTTGAGCCATATAGAAATTGTAAAAGTCGGCCCAAACATATAAGGCATAGATGCGACATCTGTGCCAGAAAAATAATATCCGCGGTTTATTGCTGGAAAAGGATCATTAGTGTCATAGTTAGGGTATGTATTTGTGTTGTCAGAGCCTATATTGAGGGAACCTATTGTATCGAGCTTAAGTATACCGTGAGCACGGTTATAGATCGACCTGAGAACCCCCCCTTCCTTCCCCCACCCCCTGACAGTTTCAACTTATTGAAATCTACAAATTAAATTTTGACTTGTCAAATCTTTAGTGAGGGACTTGTCATTTTGAATTAACAATGTCGTTCAAATTGAAACTGTCAGGGGCTGAGAGGGAGGGAAGGAGGAGTTTCAGGTCGAGCCATACCTGTTCTGAAGGTATAGGCCATAAAAATCTAGAAAGTATGCAGCAGAGTCGGAGGGATCACAGTTGTTTGTTGAAGAATTCATAGTATACCCATCAGGACATGTAGAAACACAGATGCCGTTGTTTAAGTAATAGCCTGAGAAGCATACTGTACAAGAGTTATAAAGCCAACTCAAACAATGTTGGCAGCCTGCTGGGCATGCCATACAAGTATAGGTGTACATAGTGAAATACCCATCGTTGCATGCGCAAGTTTGAGAAGGAGCCCCTGCAGCATTAGCTACGCAGGTTGTGCATGATCCTGGGCTAAAATTGGTGCAAGTAGCACATAATGGGTCATCGCATTGATTGCAAAGAATGCTTCTAAGACAACCTGTTAGAGAGCTATCACAAGCAGCACAGGTTGTAATATCATTATATAAAGTGGATGTATAGGGATATAGGCATGTGCTTGCAAGCCCAGTTCCACAAATATTATCATCAATTCATGAAGAAAAATCAGTAACCAAGGCATTTCACAGTTGCAATGAGTAAATGTATCCTGCAAAGCAGTTATAATAGGCATTGATTCTTAACTCCCCCCTTTGTGAGCGAGCAAAACCATATCAAAATCCCTATTTTTGGTAAAAAGCTCTATTAACGAACAGAAAATTTTTATATAAAAAAATATGGAAAAATATTATAATATATAATTATTATAAAAAATCTCTAGCTAATTCTGTTTAATTTAAATTTGCTTGCCTTTTAAAACATGGATTTTACAAATTAAATTAATTTCTGCTTTCCTATTTTGCAAATTGGTATTATTTTAATTTTGAAAATATAAAATTTATAATTTTTAAAAAAAATCCTATTAGCGAATAAAATTTTTTTGTTTGTTGACGGAAAGGGGTAAGTAACTTATAGTTTTTGGTCTAAATATGTAATTATAATTCGTATGAGTTGTGACAGAATTTCCATTCGCGTATATATTGACATTGGTGCTGCTATATCCATAGCTTATTGTAAACGATAAATAATTCCATGAATTGCTAGGTATAACCGCACTTGCTAGTGAAAATTTAAATTTTGTCCTCCATCTATCACATAATTGGTACAGTAAAGATCCATCAGTAGAAAACCCTTGCTTACTTAATTATTCAGTATTTAACTTGCAGACCGTTCCACAGTCTTTACTGAATTGCTTGACTCCTACGCATACTCCGCCTAAGAGCTCCCTCCTGGTAGGCGTCAATGCACTATGCCCTTTCCTATCCAATATAATCCGTTGGTAAAATTTCTTATGGACGTTATATGCGCCATTTTCATATGGGATTTCAAATTATGAATTTGCCGCACTAAAATCTGCGTTTTGAAACGCATATTTGGTTTTCACATACCAAATTCAAATGACATGCATATGCATGATAAGAAATTATTGTAATACATAATATCAGAGCCCTAGTCTATGCACTCGACTCTTCTGGTATTACTGGATAAAAGTCCACAATAATAAAATGCGAGGATGCAAAAGCTATCTCCAAAATCTTATTCTGACCAAGCCATTTTATTATTATGTCAGTAGAAAAAACAAAATCATAATTATATAACGATGAAGAATAGGATAACATATTTCCATCTGTCACAGTATTTACCCAAATACCTACTGAAATGTCATGATTGAGCCAAAAATTATTCGTTTGTAAATATAGTGCTTCATTAACGAACAACCCTCTTTGATCAGGAGTTACTGCATCATTATTATCAAGGGTTTGGAAAAAGCTGTAGCGATTTGAGTCCATTTTGGTTTTGAATACTCCATAAGTTAACTGAAGGCTGCTATTAAAAAATTCATTGATAACAGGTGTTGACACTGGGGAACAGCCAGAGCCAAAACCATATGGGCAAGCATATAAGCAGTTTAATCCTACGAGAGTATATTGTGAGAAGCATTCTGAACACTCAAAATATGTAGTGCCTAAACAAGTTTTGCAGTTCCAGTCGCATACATCACATTTTAGAGTAACTGAATACCAAAAATATTGATCGTTGCAAGCACAACCTCCATTTCCATCAGGGGATGCATTGGAAACACACAAAGTGCATGGGCCTGAAAATGATAAACAGCTATAGCATGGAGGCATTTGGCAAAGTCCACATGAAATGCTATTCCTACAGCCATTTGTGCAGGAAGCAAGGCAGTTCGTGCATGTTGATGTCGAAGAGTCTAAATATGATAAAAATGAGCACATAGGAAGTGTTATCCCGCTTGGGCATGGAGAGCCTCCACAGCCAGCTGAGTTCCAATCAGCATCATATTTTGTTTCATCGTTATAAGCAGAAAGACTTCATAAGTAGCCTGCGAATCCTTCAGATGATTTCCCAATATACATATCCCCTAAATCATATAAATATGCTAAATTTACTGATGTTGATGTAGCTGCAAGAGCATCATTAATATACATGCTTAAACTCGTTTTACCAGAAGAAACGAGTCCAATTATTGATAGATAATTTCAACTATTTAATACAGAAGAAGTTCCTGATAAATTCAATCCAGAAGCGTTAGATAAAGTTAATGAAACTGTTGGATAGCCTGTCCCTGAGGCAATCGAGATTGAAATATAAGTAGTTAGTGTTGAAGATTTTCTAAATAGAATACCTCCAGATGTAGGATATATCCAAAAATTCAAAGAGAAATAAGGTGACATATAATTTCCTGAATTTATTAAATAGCTTGAAGATTTGAAATAATATCCTCTGTCATAAGATGGTATAGGATCATTGCTATCGTAGCTTGGATATGTATTATAATTTTTTGACCCAACCTGAAAAGTAGAAATTATGTTTAAAATAATAATTTCATAAAAAGTGCCAGATATTACCAAATTTGTGATTTGGGTACACTTATTTAGCGTGCTGTTTTGAGAATATTGTGATGGGCAAGTAGTCATGCAAATTCCTCTAGCTCTCCCAGTTAGCGAGCAAAAAATTTTGCTCGCTCATGAAAGGTCAATTATTTTTTGAAATTTAAAAACATTCCAATTCGTAAAAATTGAAAAGCAAAAATTAATCTAATATATAAGATTTATATTTAAGAATGCAACTTATTTAAAATTCAATAGAATGATAATAATTATCATATATATATATATAATATTTTTGAAAAAAAAAAATTGTTTTTTTACCATAAAAATAATTCTTCAATGATTTGCTTGCTCACGTAGGGTAGTAAGTAAATAAGTCCCTAATGGGCAGGCAGTGCATGAGTAATAGCCTGGGCCAGAGCATGCAGTGCAGGAAGTGTCGCATTGATTGCATATAGATAGCCCAGTTGGCTTATAATATCCGGAATTGCATGCACATGGATTTCCTGCTGCGCTTGTTATGCATTGACTACAGCTTTCACTGTTAAAAGAACTACAAATTTGACATAAATTATCATTGCAGATGTTGCAATTTCCATTTAAAACACATCCAAGTGTGCATCCTCCATCATATTCATTAAATGGAGTGTGAACCAACCCTTCCTTTTAATTCCTGTAGCTGGTGTCCCACAGGGTGCCAGGGACCTCGAGGAAGGAAGGAAAGAGTTAGGAAATGTGTATCCAGCTAGGTTTTCCAGGTCATGGGCAGCCTATGTTGATATATGGCATGGTGGAGCAACTCATCCAACTACAGGGCAGTAAGTGTATGGCAGGAGTTTATTTCTAAGACTATTTACGAAATGGTTGGCAAGCTAACGGGGCGCTACGGCAGGAGGAGGCTCTTCGGACAAAAAGAAGGTAAGATAATGTTAAGTTAATGAGCATCCTCCATCACATGCAGTGCAGGCTGATCCCCAAAACAAAAATCCGCAATTCCACAAGCAATTGATTCCATTCCCAGATCCACATCCTCCATCTCCCATTTCTCCGGAAAAATCATTGATAACCCCTCCCCAGAGTTTAAAATAGCTTACAAATCCATTATAATTATCCGAAACACTCTTTCCTATAAATAACTGATCATTGCTAGCAGGTCTAAATACATAGTCGCTAATCGAATTCAGTGCACTTGGCGAGCTATCGGAGTACACAATAAGTGTTGTTTGTTTATTGGAAAAGTTTATTGAAAAAGATAGATATTTTCAGCTAGAGGCGCTGATTAAGACTGAGTTAGATAAAGAGGCTGTTGATGTATTATCCCATGAATCTAAAAGCAAAGTAACTAAGCCTGCAGAAGAAACCTTGAGGCTCCCATATGAATTCCCTAAAATATCACCTGATTCAGGTCTGATTCATAACTCTTCCCCATTTGTTCGATTTTCAATTTTTGGGTGCATTAATTCATCATAAATTGTGACAAATATTTTTTCAATAGGAAAATTTTACCGATGAAATGATAATTTTTATAAAAATAAATTTGGCCTAATTTAATGGAAAAAATGTAAGTAAAGCATTATTTAGACATTTCTAGCGATTACAATTAATTTTTTTAAAAATAATGATTTCAATTCGGAAAGATTTTTGAAAAAAAAATTAACCCTCCTTTAAATTTGAAGAGGATTTTTTGTTCCAATTTAAAGGGGAGTAAGGAAATTGTAAATGTATGTGAAAGATCAATAGCACCTGCTAAATATTTCCCAGATGAAAAATACAGACCGCGATTTTGAGATGGTACAGGATCTATTGTTTCTGGAGTGTCAAAAAATTGATAACTTGAAGAGTCAGTCCCAGTAGTAAAAATCCCATAACTTCCTGCAAAAGGAACATTAAAATCAGTCGAAATCAAAATTCCAGTATTTGTAGCACAGCTTCCAAAACCATATGGACATGAATTTAAGCATACCCCGTCAATCAAAAATTTTCCTGCTTTGCATGTACTGCAGCTCCAAGTTTGACTACAAACATCACACAAAGAGTCACAACAGCCTGGAGCCAGTCCAGTATTGCAGCTTGTGCACATTGAATTTTCATAACCATTACAAGCCGTGCAATCTAAGTTTTTGCATACTAAACAATTTTCACTTCTGACACATCATGGTCAGTTTTGACAAGAACCACTACATAATTGGCAATTTGATCCATCATAGTATATCCCGAGCCTTATTTTAAACCCGACTATGCTAACAATCCAACACCTAGGTATGCTGATAAGCAAACTCCTTAGGTTACAAATCTCTAGTTATAGGTGGATTTGCCATCCAGGGAGTTGGCTTGCATGAAAATGTTGGTTTTTCAAACTCCTTTAGTTACGTCAGAAGACTTGAGTAAAGCTCGAGCCAAAAAGATGCTCGCTTTATAATAAGAATTTTGGCAGGTTGGAGGACTGATGGCAGGAAAATTTATTGTATTATCACTATTAACTTGAATCCAGTAAATGAAGCCTTGAAAAGAATTTGCTGGGTCCCCAATAACTCAATCATAGCTTCCATTAGGAAAGTTTGCCTCTTTGTCTGAAATAATAAATGCTGTTTGAGCATTATTTATAATAATTTGAAAATCAATTGAGTTATAAGCTGTTTGCATAAATTGAAAAGTCACTGACTCTCAAGCATTACTTAATCCAGATGCTTGCCTCGGTTCCTTCACACGAGGTCTACTCCATAAAGACTATTTTTTTTTGGCCTATTTTTTTTTGGCCTATTTTTTTTTGGCCTATTTTTTTTTGGCCTATTTTTTTTTTGGCCTATTTTTTTTTGACCTATTTTTTTTGACTTTTTTTTGGCCATTTTTTAGCTATTTTTTACTAATATTTGGGCCTAATTTCATACTAATGATTTTAATATAATTTTTAATCCATTTTAAACGATTTTATCAACATAAAATACACCCTTTAAACAGATCTCTTACTCCATGAATGCTAATTCATTGCTTTTTAAATTTCGAGAATTTTAAATTTAATTAGGATTTTTCCACTTAATTTTACTCAATATTAATCGTGTAAGGAAATACATCCGTTACCCAATAATTATTTAGTCTCTCAGCAGCTTCATGAATTATCCCCGACAGAAAAAATAGGCCAAAAAAAAATAGGCCAAAAAAAAATAGGCCAAAAAAAATAGGCCAAAAAAAAATAGGCCAAAAAAAAATAGGCCAAAAAAAAATAGGCCAAAAAAAAATAGGCCAAAAAAAAAATAGGCCAAAAAAAAATAGTCGTTATGGAGTAGACCTCGTGTGAAGACACGATTTGCCTCACTTCTAAATCATTATTTCCAAAGTTGAGCTGGTCTTTCAATAATAAACTCATCTGATAATTCCCAGATAAAGCTTCAATTTTAATAAATTCTAAAGTTCCAATTTTTGTCTTAAATATCACACCAGAAGAAATGGGGAAAATTCAAATATTCATTGTAAATAGATAGCCTGGGATATAATGATTTGAATTTTCTATACTTGAAGTAGAAGCAAAGTAAAAACCTCTATCTACTGTAGGAAGAGGGCTAGTTAGACTTAAATTATCAAATTGAACGTTTAAAGGTGTTGAAAAATTGTCAATCGAATTTGCAGTAAGGTCCTTCTGAGTTGTAAAATCAATAAGGAAAATTTGACCAGATGGGGCTGAGCAGGATAGAATTGGAGTTGGAGAAAATGCTGAATTAGTTGGACAAGTTTCTACACAGAGTAAATTCCCGATCAGACTGTAGCCAGTAGAACAGAGAGTACAGGGAGTCGCACAATAAGATGGGTCACAAAATAAGCAGCATTGAGATATTACCAATGGTAGAAGAAAGACTATAAATAAGCACATTCGCATCCTCATTAATTTATATTCGGAGAAAATTAAAAATATAAGCTCGAGCAAACAACTCACCATTTTATGCAACAACCATATATGAATGTTCAGAAAGATCTATTATATAGTTATTCGCTACTTATCTTGTACTTCAGAAGCTTCTACTTCAGATTGTGTAGGATTGAAATAATTTTTCCTTCTCTTAGTTTCATAGCACTCCAATATGTCTCCAACTTTTAGAATGACATCATCTTCTAATCCTATTCCTCCTTCATGGCCTTGGACGACTTCTTTTACGTGCTCCTTTAATTTCCTTAAGCTGTCTGCTTCAGCATCTTGGTAAACAACGTCTCCATCTCTGATAACTTTGAATTTCCCTCTTCTTTGTATTGAGCCATTAATAACGTATATCCCTCCAACCAATTTACTTTTGCTTCCTTTTTCTGATATGCTAAAAATTTGCTTTACTTCAGCTTTTCCCAAAGTTTCTGTCACATATAGGGGCTCTGTAAAGTCAAGGATGAGGTTATTCACATCAGCCAGCAGGTGATATATGATTTTATGGGACTTTATAGCGACGCCGAGCTTTTGAGCTTTTGCCATGACGTTCCTTGGTATTCTTAGATCCATACACAGTATGACTCCTTTTTGCTCTTTTGCAAATTCGATTTCTTGGGATGTTATTGCTCCAACTTCAGACTGAATTATCCGAATTGGCACATTTTTCTCTCTACCAAGTATATTCACAGAATCTTCTAAGTCCCCCCCCCCCCCCGTGAGTGAACAAAACCATTAGAAAAATCGCCATTTTTTGCCTAAAACCCACCCTTCGTGAGTGAACAACAATTTTTTTAATAGAAAAATTTTTTATGGGAAAAAAAAATTGAAATATAAATGATAATTATTACAATGAAATCTAGAGCTAATTCTGTTTAATTTTAAACGAATTGCTTTTTAAAACATAAATTTTATAAATTAAATTAATATTTGCTTTCCAATTTTTGCGAATTAGGATTTTTTTAAATTTCGAAAAAAAAAAATTTTTTTTATAAAATTTATATATAAAATTTTGTAAAAAAAAATTAACCCCCCTCCGTGAGTGAACAAAATTTTTTTGTTCACTCACGGAGGGGGGGGAGTAAGCCTCTAGCATCCCGAAGTTCTGTGCTTTTAAGAACACATTTATTGATTTTTCCTCTTTATCACTAAACATTTCTTGGATTTTCTCTAAATTTTCTTCAAATGACATGCCTTTTCCTAATTTATCTTTAATTTTCTTAAGGTCTCGAAAAGCATTTAACTCTGCCCCAGCTTTCACTTGTTCAAGCTCATCTTTTAGTCTCTCCACAATCATATTTGTTTTTTGGGTCCTGAGCCCTCTACGCTCTTGATAACTTAGCTTAGGCAGAACAATCTTTACTTCCTTTTCTTTCTTTTCTGCCTCTTCTCTTTCTTTTTCGTTTTTTCTTCTATCCGCAATGGCTTTGGCTTTTGCTGGACTCGACACAATTATAAGATCGTTTCCGGAATCAGGCATATCGTTTAGTCCAGTAACTTCAACTGCTTGGCTTGGCAAGGCTTCTTTTAACTGTTCTCCGAATTCATTCAAAATAAATCGAATTTTTCCGTAGACATTTCCACTGACTAAGTTATCACCAGGCTTAAGGGTTCCTTTTTGCACCAGAAGACTGCACAAACTGCCTCTACCTTCTATGATTTTAGATTCAATTATTGTCCCTCTTGCAAAACCGGTTTTATCCGCCCTCAAATCCATTAATTCTGATTTAAATAAAATCGCTTCTTCTAGCTGGTCCAAATTCATCCTCTTTTTTGCGGAAATTTGGATACTCATCACTTCTCCTCCAAATTTTTCCAATTCAACCCCTGCATCAAGTAATTGCAGCTCAACACGATTTGCATCAGCGTTAGGCAAATCAATTTTATTTAAAGCTACTATAACTGGTACGTCAGCTTCTCTCGCATGCCGAATGGACTCAAGAGTTGTAGGCTGAACGCCTTCTGTGGCACATACAACTAAAATGACTATGTCGGTGATTTCAGCTCCACGTGCTCGCATATTAGTAAAGGCTTTGTGTCCTGGGGTGTCTATAAATGTGATAATTCCACCTGAGCTGGTTTTCATTGAAAAAGCTCCAATTGACTGTGTGATTCCTCCATACTCGGAAGCACATATATTCGAATTCCTAAAGCTGTCCAGCAAGGTAGTTTTTCCATGATCGACATGACCCATGATAGTGACCACTGGAGGTCTCAAAGGAAATTTTGCTTCTTTTTGTGGATAAGTCGGCAAACAATTGAACTCATGGGCCAAAATTTCTGCTGTTTCTGCAGATACAAAGGATTCCTGGTCTAGTTTATTGTTGGATTCGATATCTCTTAAAGCATACAAAAGGGTATTCATATTGATATCCATTTGGGTTGCGAGATTTGATAAAGTCATAGAAGGAGATATAATCACTTGTTTCTTTTTGATTAGTAGTGGAGAGGTTTTCGTTATAATGCTTCTTGAAAGGCTAGGAAGTTTAGGAAATAGGGGAGATAGCCTTTTTAAGTATAACATTAATTAAAATTTAATATGAGGTGGTATAAGAAGGGATAGGGAAAATGACAAATTGGAAATAAATAACGAGGAATGATTAGAAAAAATGCAAAGAACTGTTGCTTTGATCAAAACTGTTTTAAATACTTAAATTGTAAGGAAAATAATTAGTTTATTATATTTTTATATATTATAGATCTTGATATTGATTATGATGAGTTTTAATACCACATCCCTATCTAAAAACCACCCCTCCGTCGGCGGCCAAAAATTTTTTTTAATATCAAATTTTTATAAAAAAAAAAATTTAATATATAAAAATATATTTATAAGAAAGGTGGAAAGTGGATTGGCCAAGGTTATCATACCTCAAAGACTGATTAAAGGCTAATTAGAAGCAATTCTCATTTTAGGAATTTCTTCACCAAAAGCTGCACAATATCATCTCTATATTAACCACATTTGTCCTTTTAAGCATCGCACATTTACTATGTGAAGTCTTAAAAACTTGTTTCTCAGATTCAACTTGAATTGTTGTAATCCTACTAACTCCCCCCCCCCTCCGTGAGCGAACAAAAAAATTTTGTTCACTCACGGAGGGGGGTTAATTTTTTTTTTTTAAAAAAATTTATATATAAATTTTATAAAAAAATATTTTTTTCGAAATTTAAAAAAATCCTAATTTGCAAAAATTGGGAAGCAAATATTAATTTAATTTGCAAAATTTATGTTTTAAAACGCAATTTGTTTAAAATTAAACAGAATTAGCTCTAGATTTCATTATACTAATTATCACTTATATATCAAAATTTTTTTCCATTAAAATTTTTTCTATTAAAAAAAATTTTTGTTCACTCACGGAGGGTGGGTTTTTGGTCAAAAAATGGCGATTTTTCTAATGGTTTTGTTCGCTCACGGAGGGGGGGGGGGGGGTAAGAGTAATCTTACTATTGATCAGAAAATTTTTATATTTATTATCAGAAAAATAAGATCAGACTCAGATCTTTAAGCAGAAAATTGATTTAAGATCAGATTGACTTTTTTATCAGAAAAAATAAATTTTAGACTAACTAGTTCTGTTAAACAATTTCATATAAAACATAATTAAATCAATCTTTATTCTCCATTTTTTGTGAATCTAGATTTTGCTATTTCGAAAAAAAAACTATTATAAAGCTTATATAAAATTTCTAAAAAAATTACCCTGTCAAAACTTTTTCCTTGCCCATGAAGGGGAAGGAGTTAGGAATATTCTTAAAGAAAATTATAAAAACAATACATTTTGATTATTGAAATTCTATTTTTAGTTTCTATTCTTAATAGATCAAACTTAATGATCACAAATTTCTTCCACCTTATTTTTGAATCTAATGAGAATTTTATAAGAACCTAAAATTAGTATTTATTAAATTTTTAGGTCGATAAAAATAAACTTAAATTTCGAAACTCGCCAAACATATAAGGTAAAAGATTCTTAAAATCAAATAAAATAATGCTTCTTGGAAAGAAATCAAATGATGCCTCTTGATAAGAAATTATGCTGTACTGCAGCGGCCTTACTAATTCTCATAATTTTTAATGCTTTATTTATTTAAATCGCTAACTTTTCTTTTACTAACTGAGATTAAAGTCACATATTAGTATTATATAAATGCATAATCTATAAATGACATTGTTGCTTGTAAGCTTTATCTCCTTATTTTTGTTGATTTTTTCAGCATGCCCTAAATACAGCCTTTCTGGCTCATGTACAGATTCTACTTATAGTTTAATGACTGATGGTAAGGTTTGTACTGCGTTTTGCTCTTCAAAATTCACAAAAGTTTGCACTACAACATCAGGTTCGACTGTTTGCACTGCTTGCAGTCTCCCAACTTCTCCTATACTATTTCAGCTAAATTTCTGAACTGTCCAGGATTTAACCAAAAATTATATAGCAAATGCCCTTAACCCTTCAGAGCACTTCTCGGGAGGAAGTTCTTTCAGCTCTATTTCAAAAAGCTCTCCTCTTCCTATTGTAGATCGAGGATTTTATTTTGCTCCGCCTTCATCTTTGGGACTTACTTCAGGATATTATGCCGCTCTTTATTTTACTTTAAATATATGAATCCGCCCTTTGGCTGCAGGACAGATTTTTACTTTTTTTTATAATTCTGGCTATTATATTGAATGTATCGTAGGCTCTAACACCTTTATATTAAAGGTGCTATTATTAGACTCGAATGATTCTAATCAGACAAAGGTAACAGCTTATAGCAACGTCTATACCACTGTTTGGCAAACGGTTTCATTCCAACTTGAGCAAGCATCTTGCAACCAAGTAAATTTAAAATTTTATATGAATTCCTCGCCAACTGTTACTAGTTTTTATAATTATGAAGTGAATTATCCAATAGGGTGTTAGGGTGTTAGGGTGTTAGGGTGTTAGGGTGTTAGGGTGTTAGGGTGTTAGGGTGTTAGGGTGTTAGGGTGTTAGGGTGTTAGGGTGTTAGGGTGTTAGGGTGTTAGGGTGTTAGGGTGTTAGGTGTTAGGGTGTTAGGGTGTTAGGGTGTTAGGGTGTTAGGGTGTTAGGGTTAGGTGTTAGGGTGTTAGGGTGTTAGGGTGTTAGGGTGTTAGGGTGTTAGGGTGTTAGGGTGTTAGGGTGTTAGGGTGTTAGGGTGTTAGGGTGTTAGGGTGTTAGGGTGTTAGGGTGTTAGGGTGTTAGGGTGTTAGGGTGTTAGGGTGTTAGGGTGTTAGGGTGTTAGGGTGTTAGGGTGTTAGGGTGTTAGGGTGTTAGGGTGTTAGGGTGTTAGGGTGTTAGGGTGTTAGGGTGTTAGGGTGTTAGGGTGTTAGGGTGTTAGGGTGTTAGGGTGTTAGGGTGTTAGGGTGTTAGGGTAGGGTGTTAGGTGTTAGGTGTTAGGGTGTTAGGGTGTTAGGGTGTTAGGGTGTTAGGGTGTTAGGGTGTTAGGGTGTTAGGGTGTTAGGGTGTTAGGGTGTTAGGGTGTTAGGGTGTTAGGGTGTTAGGGTGTTAGGGTGTTAGGGTTAGGGTGTTAGGGTGTTAGGGTGTTAGGGTGTTAGGGTGTTAGGGTGTTAGGGTGTTAGGGTGTTAGGGTGTTAGGGTGTTAGGGTGTTAGGGTGTTAGGGTGTTAGGGTGTTAGGGTGTTAGGGTGTTAGGGTGTTAGGGTGTTAGGGTGTTAGGGTGTTAGGGTGTTAGGGTGTTAGGGTGTTAGGGTGTTAGGGTGTTAGGGTGTTAGGTGTTAGGGTGTTAGGGTGTTAGGGTGTTAGGGTGTTAGGGTGTTAGGGTGTTAGGGTGTTAGGGTGTTAGGGTGTTAGGGTGTTAGGGTGTTAGGGTGTTAGGGTGTTAGGGTGTTAGGGTGTTAGGGTGTTAGGGTGTTAGGGTGTTAGGGTGTTAGGGTGTTAGGGTGTTAGGGTGTTAGGGTGTTAGGGTGTTAGGGTGTTAGGGTGTTAGGGTGTTAGGGTGTTAGGGTGTTAGGGTGTTAGGGTGTTAGGGTGTTAGGGTGTTAGGGTGTTAGGGTGTTAGGGTGTTAGGGTGTTAGGGTGTTAGGGTGTTAGGGTGTTAGGGTGTTAGGGTGTTAGGGTGTTAGGGTGTTAGGGTGTTAGGGTGTTAGGGTGTTAGGGTGTTAGGGTGTTAGGGTGTTAGGGTGTTAGGGTGTTAGGGTGTTAGGGTGTTAGGGTGTTAGGTGTTAGGGTGTTAGGGTGTTAGGGTGTTAGGGTGTTAGGGTGTTAGGGTGTTAGGGTGTTAGGGTGTTAGGGTGTTAGGGTGTTAGGGTGTTAGGGTGTTAGGGTGTTAGGGTGTTAGGGTGTTAGGGTGTTAGGGTGTTAGGGTGTTAGGGTGTTAGGGTGTTAGGGTGTTAGGGTGTTAGGGTGTTAGGGTGTTAGGGTGTTAGGGTGTTAGGGTGTTAGGGTGTTAGGGTGTTAGGGTGTTAGGGTGTTAGGGTGTTAGGGTGTTAGGGTGTTAGGGTGTTAGGGTGTTAGGGTGTTAGGGTGTTAGGGTGTTAGGGTGTTAGGGTGTTAGGGTGTTAGGGTGTTAGGGTGTTAGGGTGTTAGGGTGTTAGGGTGTTAGGGTGTTAGGGTGTTAGGGTGTTAGGGTGTTAGGGTGTTAGGGTGTTAGGGTGTTAGGGTGTTAGGGTGTTAGGGTGTTAGGGTGTTAGGGTGTTAGGGTGTTAGGGTGTTAGGGTGTTAGGGTGTTAGGGTGTTAGGGTGTTAGGGTGTTAGGGTGTTAGGGTGTTAGGGTGTTAGGGTGTTAGGGTGTTAGGGTGTTAGGGTGTTAGGGTGTTAGGGTGTTAGGGTGTTAGGGTGTTAGGGTGTTAGGGTGTTAGGGTGTTAGGGTGTTAGGGTGTTAGGGTGTTAGGGTGTTAGGGTGTTAGGGTGTTAGGGTGTTAGGGTGTTAGGGTGTTAGGGTGTTAGGGTGTTAGGGTGTTAGGGTGTTAGGGTGTTAGGGTGTTAGGGTGTTAGGGTGTTAGGGTGTTAGGGTGTTAGGGTGTTAGGGTGTTAGGGTGTTAGGGTGTTAGGGTGTTAGGGTGTTAGGGTGTTAGGGTGTTAGGGTGTTAGGGTGTTAGGGTGTTAGGGTGTTAGGGTGTTAGGGTGTTAGGGTGTTAGGGTGTTAGGGTGTTAGGGTGTTAGGGTGTTAGGGTGTTAGGGTGTTAGGGTGTTAGGGGTGTTAGGGTGTTAGGGTGTTAGGGTGTTAGGGTGTTAGGGTGTTAGGGTGTTAGGGTGTTAGGGTGTTAGGGTGTTAGGGTGTTAGGGTGTTAGGGTGTTAGGGTGTTAGGGTGTTAGGGTGTTAGGGTGTTAGGGTGTTAGGGTGTTAGGGTGTTAGGGTGTTAGGGTGTTAGGGTGTTAGGGTGTTAGGGTGTTAGGGTGTTAGGGTGTTAGGGTGTTAGGGTGTTAGGGTGTTTGGGTGTTAGGGTGTTAGGGTGTTAGGGTGTTAGGGTGTTAGGGTGTTAGGGTTAGGGTGTTAGGGTGTTAGGGTGTTAGGGTGTTAGGGTGTTAGGGTGTTAGGGTGTTAGGGTGTTAGGGTGTTAGGGGTGTTAGGGTGTTAGGGTGTTAGGGTGTTAGGGTGTTAGGGTGTTAGGGTGTTAGGGTGTTAGGGTGTTAGGGTGTTAGGGTGTTAGGGTGTTAGGGTGTTAGGGTGTTAGGGTGTGTTAGGGTGTTAGGGTGTTAGGGTGTTAGGGTGTTAGGGTGTTAGGGTGTTAGGGTGTTAGGGTGTTAGGGTGTTAGGGTGTTAGGGTGTTAGGGTGTTAGGGTGTTAGGGTGTTAGGGTGTTAGGGTGTTAGGGTGTTAGGGTGTTAGGGTGTTAGGGTGTTAGGGTGGTGTTAGGGTGTTAGGGTGTTAGGGTGTTAGGGTGTTAGGGTGTTAGGGTGTTAGGTGTAGGGTGTTAGGGTGTTAGGGTGTTAGGGTGTTAGGGTGTTAGGGTGTTAGGGTGTTAGGGTGTTAGGGTGTTAGGGTGTTAGGGTGTTAGGGTGTTAGGGTGTTAGGGTGTTAGGGTGTTAGGGTGTTAGGGTGTTAGGGTGTTAGGGGTGTTAGGGTGTTAGGGTGTTAGGGTGTTAGGGTGTTAGGGTGTTAGGGTGTTAGGGTGTTAGGGTGTTAGGGTGTTAGGGTGTTAGGGTGTTAGGGTGTTAGGGTGTTAGGGTGTTAGGGTGTTAGGGTGTTAGGGTGTTAGGGTGTTAGGGTGTTAGGGTGTTAGGGTGTTAGGGTGTTAGGGTGTTAGGGTGTTAGGGTGTTAGGGTGTTAGGGTGTTAGGGTGTTAGGGTGTTAGGGTGTTAGGGTGTTAGGGTGTTAGGGTGTTAGGGTGTTAGGGTGTTAGGGTGTTAGGGTGTTAGGGTGTTAGGGTGTTAGGGTGTTAGGGTGTTAGGGTGTTAGGGTGTTAGGGTGTTAGGGTGTTAGGGTGTTAGGGTGTTAGGGTGTTAGGGTGTTAGGGTGTTAGGGTGTTAGGGTGTTAGGGTGTTAGGGTGTTAGGGTGTTAGGGTGTTAGGGTGTTAGGGTGTTAGGGTGTTAGGGTGTTAGGGTGTTAGGGTGTTAGGTGTTAGGGTGTTAGGGTGTTAGGGTGTTAGGGTGTTAGGGTGTTAGGGTGTTAGGGTGTTAGGGTGTTAGGGTGTTAGGGTGTTAGGGTGTTAGGGTGTTAGGGTGTTAGGGTGTTAGGGTGTTAGGGTGTTAGGGTGTTAGGGTGTTAGGTGTTTGGTGTTAGGGTGTTAGGGTGTTAGGGTGTTAGGGTGTTAGGGTGTTAGGGTGTTAGGGTGTTAGGGTGTTTGGGTGTTAGGGTGTTAGGGTGTTA